GTAAGGACATCGCTCGAGAATGAGTAAGGTGACGGGGCGAACCAGGCGGGCGATTCGAGGTTCTGCGTAGCGAGGAAGAGCCCTCGGTGGGACTCGCCTGCACAACTGGGATACGTGAATCGTTCATGTCAAAAAATAAGAGAAACGGAACCACAAAGACATACCGACTACAACGACCTAGAGATACCCATTCGCAGGTGTGCAAATACCAGAATGTCGCTCTACGTCGTGGTTGAAACGGAAGTAGCAAGACGCGGGGGGGATCGCCGCAGAAGCTGTGCCACGCATCCGCTGTGGCGGTGAACTTTAGGGCAGACCGAAGTTGACTTTCCTGCATTGTTATTTCACATTTCCCGTCTCACCCGCATTCACTCCATCGCCGGCTGCACCCTGAGCGACTCGTTTAACAAGTGAAAAGTGGAAGTCAACCTCCCTTAGAGGTGACATTCAGCCCCTTTCACGTGCACAGTGGTGGGAGTCGCAAGCGAGTCGACTCCGTCTCACTGGTACAACATCCTGAATCCTCTGTACACAAAGAGACCTTCTTCTTATGAAATATGCAGTCGAACAATTACCCGCAATTTCCTAATGCAAATCATGGAGCTGATCTCAACATTGCTCAGGGCAATGCCAGCACGTTCACAGGAGGCTTCAACGCCGCAAACTATTGGCCCGTGCGTATTTCCTCGTGTTTGAGTGTTCCTCTGCTTGACCGAACCACTTTCAGATGTACATTGCATGGTTGCAGAATGCTTGCAATACTCAACAACAACAGCAGTTGTCTTACAGTCAAAGCGCTCAGACGTTACAGCCTCAGCCCACTACTGTTCCGGCAAACTTGGCCAGCTCAAGTCAAGGTAGCACCCCCAAATTCGGTTCTCAGGAGGAATTTCTGCTTGCCTCAGTTCTTGAATCCTCTGCGAGCCACGGGCTGTCTCATAGTCAAGCCATTGCTAATCTTGCTGGGGTGTGTCACAACTTCCTCCTTCCCTTTCTGTGTTTGAGTACTAATAGGGGCTTTATCGTGATGCAGGTGAACGGGCACTCCGAAGCAGCCTGGATGAGATACTACATCGACAACATTACTCGAATTAATGCCGCTGTATCGAACGGCCCCCAGGAAGCCTCACAGCTTACTAGTGGTCCCTCGAAGCCTCGTTCTCCTCCAAAGACCGCGTCTGCACACCGGTCTTACACCGACGGGAACGAAGACTCGGACCCGGAAGAGGTCGTCTCCTTACATTCTACTCCGTCACGCGAACCTTCAATTGCTAAAAACAAGACAACATCCTTGCGCAATGCTGCCTCTCTCCGTCAGGCGTCCTCGACCACCCCGAAGAACACTGTCGGTAGCTCACCTGGGAATATTCGTGCGAAGAAACTACATTCCTCTAGGATGCCAGCACTTTTGAATCCATCAGTGCCGATAGCGTCACTCAAATCGAAACCCGCATTGAAAGCCCCGCCTCAGGCGCTAGCTAAGTCTGGACTCCGGTCGACTAAACCCACCAAGACGCCCGTCCCCCCTCGGTTCGTGGAGCGCGCGAAAACCAACCGCGGGAATGCGTGGACCAGCGAGGACGACCGATTCATTGCCGAGGTCATCACCTACGAACTAGAGCGCGGCCGGTGTACGATAGACGATATGTGTGTCTCGATGTTCAGACAGGTGCGTTTTCAGAAAATCAGCTTCGGGCCGTTTTCGTTGTACCCATAATACAACCTAACATGTGGTTTCTTTATACGTCCTTGTTCCAAGGCGGACCATCATTCTGCCCCCCAGTGGAAGAAAAGGACGACGGAACTCCCAGCCGCGAGAAAACTTCTCTCTGATGCGGGTTTTCTACAGAAACGGTCTACGAAGGCTGTCCGGATCCACACACCGGATGAGGGATCAGAGACAGGCGTCGACGAGTCAGTCGGTTCCGATAATCCGACTGGTTCATCTATTGGTGTCGAAGACGACCTGCAACTTTCAACAGAGGACGAGTCCGAGATGGGCAAACACGGGCATAATTATACGGACGCGGATGCTCGCGCTATGGCGAAATGGATCGCGATGCATCCTGAATGGTCCGGAATGACTGCAGCACAGAGATTCAACGGTTTTGCAGAAAAAGTCAGCCTTTCATCTCTTTGGTACCGTGGTGGTAAGAGCGCTAAGTTTTTTTTGTTCTAGTATTCTTCAAGAACTTTTCTCGCCTGGCAGGAGTATTACAGGTCCCATAAGGAAGGTATGCACCATCCTATTTCTCTACTGCCAGTGTCTTCAATGATTATATGTCAGACCTTCACCGTCGTGCAGAGGAATATCGAGCCCACACCACTGGCCAGTCATTGCACGAGAATACTCAAGAACAACACCATGAGCCTGCGTCGAGTTCTGCACTGAAGAGTTCTCCCCTGAAACGGAAAGCAGAAGTCGAAATGCCTTCGCGCAAGCGAGCATGGTACCAGACTTGATCGGTTTGTATCATATGTCGCATACTTTCTTGGGTTCAATACATTCTCCGCATCTATGTCTCCAGTATCATCGTGAATGAACAGCGTCCACATAGCTCTCTCCACTCTTGTTGGACATCTCTCTTGTATATAACATCTTGATCGTAATGTCCTCCTAGTACTGCGTACGTATATTTGCGGTCGGGCCTAGATACTGAACTGAAGCACTGTTGATTGGGTGTCGACTCGTGAGTCGTGCTTTGACCTGTATGGTAGTACTTGTAGAAGTGAGCGCGCGCCGTCCATTTCGGGTGGTTCTTTGTAGTTCTGCTGTTTGGACTTGTTATGACCCAAAGCATTCGGAGAATTTGGCGCTCCGGCCAACTGTTGTACCGTTGTACCGCCCACGATGCCGCTGTCCCTCGTATCATATGCACATCGACACGATCGCCGCTTCAACGTGCGTTTTGGCGCTTAGATGTAAATAGCGATCTAATCTACAGATAATTCTGCGCAACCAATCAAGCGAGGGCATAAATCACAAGCCAAGCCAAGCAAGCCGGACGCCAGAATAAGCTCCTGATGTCTCCAAAGCTGCTTACCCCTTATATTGCTCGCTGCATGCTTTCTACTGCACGATCACCACCACAATCCCAATAAACAATGGTGGGCTACCCTTGATTAATTTTTAATATGGGACATTTACTCTCTGTCTTTTTTCCCCAACAGAGTTCAGACAGTTCGGACACCAAAGGATCTGGGGAGACCAGGGCAGCGACTACTGCTGCTGAGAACGTCAAGTCGTTCATCGCGGGTGGATTCGGTGGTGTAGCTGCTGTTTTGGTCGGTTCGTACATCCAAACTTTTCTTTAAGGAAAAAAGTGCGAATCCGCTCTATCTAACAGGTCATCCCTTCGACCTGACGAAGACGAGGTTGCAGACCGCTTCCCCAGGAGTGTACAAGGGCGCCATTGATGTCGTTAAACAAACTGTTGCTAGAGATGGAATCAACGGGTACGTGTTTTACTTATCTGCCTGCTGTCTCGTCTAAACTCGCCAAATATGTAGTCTGTACCGCGGCATGCTACCACCATTACTTGGTGTCACGCCAATATTCGCTATGTCATTCTGGGTACGTTGATGACTATGGGGAGGTATGCACTAGCCTCTGACACACTGTGACGTTTCTTATAGGCATACGATGCCGCAAAGGGATTGATCTTCACCCTCACGCCCAACAGGACTTCCACTTCTCTCTCCTACGCTGAACTCGCCACAGCTGGTTTCCTTTCTGCCGTCCCAACCACCGCGGTGACTGCTCCGGTCGAGAGGGCAAAGGTGCTCTTGCAGGTACGTTGTTAACTTCTCTTCAAAGTCCTCCAGTCTGCTGATGTGTTTCATATTGCGCAGATTCAGGGACAGGGTGGATCAGGCAAGCAATACACAGGTGTTTTGGATGTTATGAAGCATCTTTACAAGGAGGGTGGTTTGCGTAGTATCTTCCGCGGTTCTGGAGCGACAATAGCTCGTGACGGACCTGGAAGTGCAGCGTGAGTCCTTTCACCGATACCACGCCGTTCTCTCTGACTTGGGATGTTGCAGTTATTTTGTCGCGTACGAGGCCACGAAGAAATACCTCACGCCGGTCGGCCACACTCCTGGCGATCTGAACTTGGGTGCTATCATCGTCGCCGGTGGGACTGCTGGTGTTGCGATGTGGGCCATCGCTATCCCTCCCGATGTACGTTTTCGAAGTCACAATCTCGCGAAGAGTTCCAACTGAAAGTCGATGTCTGTTATCGCAGGTCATTAAATCACGGCTACAGTCTGCGCCGACAGGAACATACTCCGGAATCATGGATTGCTTGAGGAAGACCATTGCGGCTGATGGGGCGGGTGCTCTATGGAAAGGATTTGGGCCTGCTATGGCACGGGTACGTCTGCCTTGCGATCTCAGGCCTGTCAATTCGAGCGCTCAATTGTCACACCTTGAAGGCATTCCCTGCGAACGCGGCAACATTCGTAAGCACCTATCAATGCTCGCGCATTACACCCAAACTGATAGCGTTCACTCCTCTAGCTTGGTGTCGAATACTCGCGACAGCTGCTGGATACATTTTTCTAACGGGTTGTAACGCATGTGATACTGTATTTTCTACCATTTTACCAACCGCATCCGATGACGGAAGTATTTCACGGGTGCTTATTATTGCCACGCGAGATTACCCCAAAAGGAAGTCATTGAACGTAAATGAAGTCGCGACGCGGTGAAGCTCTTCTTTCCAACTTCTTTCTTCCCCCCCACCGACTTTGAGGACGTGTCAAAACGTCCTCTCCACAAAACCCTCATCCGCTTCACGACTTGCACGATTTATCATAACACCGCCGATTTTATCAGCCCGTCTTTACTCTCAACAGCAATTATCTATCTTACATTTCGGTGACGGAAGCAATTACAGCCCCACGTATACGACAGCATGCGACCTTCACTAGACTCAGCAGCTTCTTCAGTTCCAGCACGCAAGACGACGCGTCAAGCGCGTGGTCTATCTGCGTCTGAGTATGTTGTGCTCTATTGATGCTATGTGTTTACTGACACCATAAACTGCGCAGGATCGCACGAAACACCGCACATTTTGACACTTGGGGCAACTACCAAGGCTGTCAGGAAGCGGGTCTCTCAGATATGCCCAAGGATATGAGAGACGAAGTCCTTGACGTCTTTTTGACAGATGGCGTGCTGCCAGCTTCATGGCTTGACGAGGTCTGTTCGCGTTCCATTAGCCTTTGTGCATTGTTCTTCCTTTCAGGTCTCGCTCATGAATGACTTCATCTCGTGCGTGTCCTTCGGGCACGCAGTCCACGAAACTGTTCAAGCGAACACAGAAATACTCTCCGCTGTTTCTCGAGTTTCTTGAAGACGCGCAAGAAGCCTCACCTAAATTGTTCTCAGAGGACGTACATGCCAACACAGAAAGCAGCTACGACCTGCTCGGCGACCTTCAAGGGGTATTTCGTGCTTGGAATGCTCTCAAGAGGCTGCGTCGAAGTAAGAACAGGAAGGTTTCTGAAGCCGAATATGCTGGCAATGTGTGCGTTCTAGACCTTCCGAAACTAAAAATAAACACATCATTTATTGTATTGCTCCTTGGCAGATACGAGATCATTCGCAGCATTGCCCTCACCCGAAGTGAATACCGGTACGTTTTCACACATTTCCTTTCGGACGCAGTTTCTCCTCATTCTTCTGTAGCTGGCTGACACTTCCCGCTCAGACCAGAAACAACAATAGCGCTACCCCAACCTCTGCGAAACCCCCGTGCTAAATCAGATGCTCTCCGCATCCTCAACACCAAAACGGTGATCCCCGACGGTGCCGTCTTCCTCCCCGAACACACCCTCCGACACCTCTCCCTCTCCGCCCATTCCCCCTACAAACGCCTCAAATCCAGCAAACAAGCCCGCGGCTCCGGCTTGACTTCCTTCGCGAACCAGTCCACACCATGTTCTCAGCTCCCAAGCACACCATGCTTCGAGTTTGCGTCAAGTTTCTTCGAGGATAAGAAGCCGATACATACTATGTTCGGGGACGCGTACAGGCAGAACAGGATGGCGACTGCATCGGCGTTGAGGCAGTTGCAGTGCATGGGCATCAGAGCGCCTGTTCTGGGTCTTATCTGGGCAAACGGGACTGTACGTGCCCATGTCGACTGGTGGGAAGAGAATGAGAAAGAGAACTTGAAGGTCAGTGCACCATAATTTCTACCACTACTTCACATTCACTGGTTTCATGACGGTGGCTGATTTTTGAATGGATGCATCTCGGACAACAGTTCCTGCATTCCGCTCCATATCCTGGCACGGGTCAACCGGAGAAATCTGGCTCGAACGACGATCTGTTCCACGAATGGTCTCTCGACCGACCCGCCGACATCATCCGCGTTTTCCTTCTCCTCCGAAATATCGACGCCTGGACCACAGGCCGTTTCAGAGATCTCGTCGTCTCGGGCATCAACCGCCTCACCGTCTCCGTTGTCGACCAAGGCCACAAGTTCAAGCCCTGGAAGCGTGCTAAGCTCATCACCGTCTCTCCGCTCGCCGACTCCTCGAGCGTCAATACCGTTGCTACGCAAGGCGCGGAGAATAGCTCGGCTGAGCCGGAGAAGGTGGTCAAGGTGAAGACGGCCAAGTTGGAGGCACAGACACAGACGAAGTCTACGAGGCAACTTAGGCATCGAAAACCCCGGAGGAGCAGTACTTGACCCTTTCCATATGCACTACCTTTCTTTTTTACCCGACACGCGATACCTCCCTCCTTCCATTTCACCTTCACAACAGTGCGCAATATATTAGTTCTATGGTCATAAAGATAGTAGCGAGCAAGCAAGTCTGAAGGAGCACAGGTACAAACACAAACAAACTGATACACGCTTTTTGGGTAAGTAAATAAATCCGCCAAGGTCAACGTCCGGGAATACTCGAGTACATACAGAGTTAGATGAGATGTAGAGATGTAGAGATCATTGAAGCTTCCTCCAGCTCGAAGGAATTTTGGTGACCACGTCCGCCCATGCCGACAACCGCCCGCGCTCCCACGACTCGACGTACGAAAGACCAGCCGACGCACGACGTCCTTCCTCCGTCTGCAACCTCTTCTCCGCATCGCACCAGAACAGCACCCAATCACCCAAGCGAATATGACCCGAACTGCGCTCGAAGTACCACTTGTTCACAGGGTTGTTCGCCCTGCTGCGCCACACTAGATCCTGGCCTTCTCCGCGACCTTCCTTACCACCGTTCGGGTTGACGGAGAAGGTGAGGCCGAGACCGTATGTCTCATCGTGAAGCGCGACCCAGAGGAAGTCGACGGTGCCGTCACCTTGGTGGCTTGGGAGAACTGCAAACTTGTCGAGGTAGGCGATAGGAGAGAATGATTGGGAGTCGGGACATGGTTCCCTCGTCACGATGGCGGCACCAGCATAGTCACCAGCGACGATAACGAAATCGAGGTCGCTCTCGAGACGTTTGTAGAATTCGTCTGCTTCCAATGTTCGGTTGAAAGACTGCTCGAGGAGCGCAGTCATCTTGACCTTGTCGATGCTGTGAACGTCTCGGATGACCTCGATATTGAGGCCGCGGCGTAGGAGGGTGGGAGTACTGGAGGTCAAACTCCGGTTGCCTTGCAGAAGTGCGTGAGGAAGACTAGAGCTGACGGCAGGCTTGTTCGTGATGAGGTTGCCGATGAGGGAACTAGGGGAGCGGTGGCTGACCATGACGGCTGATGACGAAGGGGGCATGTACGACAAGCAAGTACGAGCGAGCGCGAGATTGGAGAGCGAGGTAGGATGGGTGGTCTTCCAATCTGGCTGAAATGTATTCCGGATGTGCTCATACTCAGAGGCGAGATTGATGAGAAGATGGGGGTATCCAGAACGGGCATACGAGGGCACACCACCTTCGCGGTTGATAATCATGAGCCGCAGGGGTGTAAGGTCGATCTCCCGTTTTGCACCCGAGCGCTGAACCTCACGCTCATCAACTTCTGCAGCTTCGACCATACCACGCGCCAAAGCTGCTACGACATCGTTAGCGTCTACCCTGACCGACCGGCAGAAGGAGTCGACGGCCATAGGAGCGAGCACGGGAATCTCGCCGGCACGGAGCGCTGAACGAATAGGAGCGAGGTCGGAGACTGACGTGTGGGCCTCGGGAAGAGGTTTTCCTGGCGTTTCCACGTCGCCCTCCTTGGGACCTAATCGAGCGATGGCGCTGAGAACGGGGCGAGCTTGAGCACCATGCCTCTCGAAGGCTCCGACGACCCGCATGACCTCGTTCATGGTACTCTCGCGCTCGCCTTCCTCGCCACGGGGTATTTCGTCGTTCTCGACGACGATGACGCTGACGAGACCGAGTTTGGCGAGGTAGATGATGCCCCGAGTGATACTCTCTAGCTGTCGATCCGTGAAAGGACCCTGGACCTTGACTAAAGCGGTACGGTGGTGAATAGGATTAAGAATTGAGGCGACGAGAGGGGTGGGAGCTGCGTCTGTCAGAAGGGTAGCCTTTTGTGTTTCTGTAGCTGGGACAGGGAAAGAGGGAAGTTCGGTTTGAGGGACAGCTTTTGGAAGAGTAGGCTGAGGACGAAGGCCGAAGTGGCTGAGGTATGACTTCGCATCTCTGGTTGAAGGGTTCGCTCGAAGAATAGACAAGATGAAGTCCTACTCGATACTCAGTTTTTGAACGAAGCAAGCGAAGAATGACGAACGAACATTCGTCGGGGTAGGGCCCTCTAAATCCTCTGGCTCTGGATGAGGTCTATAACCTCGTACAGTCTATATGTCGAGTTGAGAAGTTTTCGGTGAACACGAGGACGAAAAACATACGGCATAGAAAGCCTTGAAGGTATGAGACTTGTTTGCGGCTGAGACTGTGCGGGATACGGCTAGGGATGTATGGCGCATCATGGCGGGGGGTCTTCAAGTGATGGGGGGCGCAGGAGGGGGGTGGAGGGGGTGTTTATATGACTCATGGACGAAGCATAGCCTGAACCAAGGAGGAGGTTGAAGAAAGTCGGGGCAGAAAGACGCTGAGGTACGACCCTCAATCCCATCTAATCTTATCAGATCCGTCGGCCGACAGCGCTTTGCCCTCACCACTTCACCGTGCGCTCAGGTCCCTCCATGCATCGATGCACCCTACATAATCGTTCACCCATATGACTGCGACAGGCTTCCGACTGGGCATTCATACCCTCGCCCCCTCATGTCCTTGGCTGGCTGAACTAGTAGTGCCGCTCGGCCAGGCTCGCAAAAAATTTAACATTCAGGCTTCAAAGCTTCGTCAGTTGCGGCAAAGCGAGAGCTTATTGAGATTTCTCCGACCTTCCATGGCAGTTCACTTCACTTGACACAAATACAGCCTTTGGGTTTCATCGAGATGATACAACGTTCAAAACATGATCAACCATTCACCGCCTGGCTAAAATAGCGCCTTGATTCTCATCCTCCGGCGTCTCTCAAAAGCCGCTGAGACCGTCCATAATTGTCTCAGAAGGTGTGGCTATTTCAGCGTCTATCAAACCTGTAGCAACCTAACTGGTCCGAGGGGTATTAGCGCAGTGTATGTTGTGCCCAAGATGGCAGTTGCGTGATATTGGCTAAGATACGCCGCACGTCGAACGGACAATTAATTACTCAACAGGGGACGAAGGAATGTGACATCTGAATACGCATCACACGGCGCGTTCGCATGCAGGTAAACAGGAGTCTTGAAAGATTTCTATACGTATCAAAATGTGTACAGGTGTATTGTTCGCGGACTCGTGGACACCTGATTGAGAGCGCACCAGTTTCAGAACAGCGACGACGTAACAGAACAGGACGATGGGTGGTGACTCACCTTCTCGAGAGCGATCAGCGTGTCTTCACTGATCATGAGCGCTACGTCCTCTTGTTCTACTATATCGTCCGGCAGGTTGATCTCTTTACGGAGATAGGGCAAGCTAGACTCGACAGGTCCTTGTTGTAGCCAGCCGCCCTCGATGACGGTGCTGTGGATAGACGTCACTGTCAACAGAACGCCACTGGAGAAATAATGAACGCCACATAACGTACGGGTCTGTGATGACTTTCCACTCTTGTTTTTCTCCTTCTTGTGCACAGAGAACCCGACGAACACGTAAAGGATGGTAATCCGTGACACTTATTATTTCTTCCCCGAGCCAGTTGTACGGCTTTTGCGATATGTACTTCATCCCGAATACATAACACACCCAGACGGCCGAGTTGAGCATTTGTTTGGTCAGGCGCGATCCAGTGGGACCCCATGAATCCCAAGGGAAAGCGTGACACGTGACACCCTCCTCGAGGGAATTGACGCGATCCAATAAAGTACTTGAGGGGACATAGAGCTGTAAGCCGCGGATCGTCGCAGAGACGATGACCGTATAATTGATGACGAGGAGACGCTCGGTATGGGAGGTGTGGAAAGGAACTCGCTGCTTTTCGTCGGGCGTCCAAACTGGCGCTGGGTCCGAACGAATCATCAAGTCGAGGGGAATTATATCTGGACGCATCGTGGGCCACTCGAACGACGCAACGTACGGTACCCCGTGAAAGCTGGGCTCCTTGGTCGGCGTGTGTATAAAATCGTATACCAGCATCGAAGGGCCGTCCTGGCCTTCGGGACCTTCCACACATCCAACGAGGATGTATGTATCGCTCAGGAACGTGAAAGAACTTATACTGATATCTCTCAGCGCCTAGAGATAATTGTGAAAGATGTTAGTAAAAGGGGATAGAGATGTTCAAAGCGTCCTGATCCGAGTCGCAGTCGGCCACTCACAAATAACCGATCACCCGTCTTCCAGTTCCAAACCACTACATCATTGTCAACCTCATCATCCTCACATGTGAATGCCACCCCGAGATAGTCTCCATTGACCTGGACGGCGTAGGACCACATAACTATTGTCGCTGTGGTGAACTCAACGGGATGCAGCAGCTGTTCCTTCGATGCCAAACCATGTTCCTTGCCGGTGGATAACGACCGAAGGTGAATATGGTGGACGCCACCGTGACTAGCCAAAGTCAACCACAATCCAAACCATAGATGAAAAGAAAAAGACATACGGATGTCGAGCTTCCAACAACACCAGCAGATCCTGAGAAGGATCGATTCCAAAGTCTCTCAACGAGAACTCAGTGGTAAGTTCCCACTTCCGTTCCTCGATCCCCCTCAATCTCGACGGCAACTGGTGAAAGACGAGATGTCTCCGAACCGGGCCTCTGCTCTGCACCAACACATTTCCGTACAACTCCCACAGCCCTCCTGTATGCATCTCCATTTTCTCATGATACGACCAGTCCAGTCTCTCCCATGCGCGTTGATGTTTTTGAAGTAGCTTGAGGCGTTCGGACGGCGTGAGGAGACTCGGTGGCCCATCTGACAAGCCGCCGGCGGAGAGAGCGACTTGATATTTTATTGTAACGCTGCTATCGATGAGTTCTTGGAAGGCTTTGCATACCTGAGTTGCCCGCGTGAAGTCTAAGCAAGAAATAGAGAATGATTTATGTGATCAGGCTTACTCGCTGACAGGTTAGTACTGCTTTGTAGTCCAGATCCTCAAGGATCTTGATGAGCAGCTCCGGTGGCAGCGAAAGAACAGATGAAGAAGACATAATGAACCAGAGATTGTAGAGCGTTTGTCGTCGTCGTACTCGAGTTGTAGACTGTACGTCCACAAGGGAAGCGAGTACCAGTGACGTCTGTAGCATTCAAAATCGGTGGCTCCGCCACTCATCGCGATCGGCGTATCCCGGCTCACACTGTAATCATCGTTCAAGTGGCGCAAGAACAGGTCGGCTATCTGAGGGAAGTTGGAAGGGCACACGCCGGCGCGCCGACCAGTACCATGACGACTCCTTTTCCTTGACCCTTATAAAAGTTGAGAAAAGGATACTATCGTCCACAGGATATCGAAGTCGCGCGCATTGAACAGGGTATACTAGTCTATGATGATGATTTAAAAATGGTAAAATGATAAGAAATTCTATTGTCGGAGGTAGGTTGACATGTGAATGTGAGAGAAATTAGTGATGTAGAATACAATGCAAGAGTCTCAATGAGAGAGAAGTCCTAAAAACAACAACAACAGCAACTGCAAAACTCCGAACAAAAAAAGCAACAGCCCCTCAAAGACAACACACCCCAGCCAAAACGGAGAGCAGCCCGTTTATGAAGTAGTAGCTCTCTTTGACCGCGCACGGATCTGCGGGCCATACCGGTAGAAGAAGAATGGTATAGGAATCTGATGGATAAAGATCGGTTAGTGATAAGTCTCAGCGTGTACGGAGCGGAACGTACCATTGCCAAGGAGACGAAACCCCAGACGCTTGCGGCCCAGCCATTGCCCAGGTTGTGGTACATAGCAGTGATGAATAGAGGCATAGCAGCGCCCGACCCAGATCGGATGACGGTCTTGGCTGCAAGAGCAGACGCGACATAGCCAGGAAATGCGTCAATGAGGAAGGCGTTGGCGGAGAAGTAAATGATAACCACTGTACGGAAGGCGACACATGAGCGACTGTGGAAATTATGAAGAGGGATGACAAGTGGATACGCACTGCCAAAGCCAAAGGGAATTCCAGAAATGCAGGGGCCAACCCAGTTGCCACCGCCAGGCATCACATAGGGAGGACTTGTCCACCCGAAGATGAAAAGGGCTGTCGGAAACATAGATTAATACGATATATGAATATGGAGCAATCGCCGAAGACTTACAAATAGGAACAAACGGTGCGCCCATCATCATGCCAATCAACCTGTCTTCAGGCTCGCCTTTTCCACCCCGCTCAGCGCAGCGGCGGAGATAATCTTTCTCCAGTTGTGGCGTAAAGAAGAGAGCCAGGAGCAGGCCGATGATAACCGAAAGGAACGTCAAGCCGACACGGCCATCGTCCCAACCGTAACCTTCCCCGAAAACGACTGAGCGAGGGGGTACGTCAGTCGCGTAAACTTCGAAAGCAGAAAAGCCAAGAGACTTACCAGGGAAGGAGAAGAAGAATGCATAAAGAAGACCGTAAATGAGTGCGATGTATAAGCTCATTAGTAGGAGGATAGGCTCTGTGACAATCATTTCTGCGACGGTTCGTTAGCAAGACATAGTGACAAGGAGAATCAACCACGACTTACCGAAAGGCCTGATAAGCGTCTCAACCAACAACTGTCCGACGGATTTCCCGTAAATCTCCTGCTCTGTCACGATGGATTCATCGCCAGTTTCCTTCCGCAGCGTTACCGCACGTTTCCCGAGCAGTACTGGAGCGAAAGTTTCTGGAATAGAGCACGAGAAGGCCGTTCTAAATAGGAAATGGGAATTGTCAGCCGTCATACTCCAAAAGAAATATAAGAAGGCAGACGACTTACGTGACAGCAGCGAAAATCATGTTCACCCAAAGCATCCACCTCCATCCAATGTTTTCTCCAACGAAACCACCGACGATAGGACCCAAGACAGGCCCACCATAAGGCGCAGCAGCGAACAAAGCGATGGCAAGTCCTCGTTCGTTGTTGTCCCATACGTCGGAGATCGTGCCGCCCGCAAGGGTAAGGGGCGCCGAGGCAAAGAACCCGCACAAGAAGCGACATACGAGTAGAGTGCCGATATTTGGCGCAAGAGCACAGGGTATGTTGAAGACTGGAGTAAGGAACTGAGCGTGACGTTCTGGAAGGAGAGTAAGGGATGTGGTACTTACTGACGTAGATGAGAGAAGGGCCGACCCACAGTGGCCGACGTCCATATAGCTCGGACTACATGGTAGCTTGTGTTAGTATTCATACAGTCGACAAATAACGAGGAAGAGACATACTAGAGGTGCCCAAGCTAGCGGACCCAAACTGAAATGTTGAGAAGAAAACGACCGTTAGGATTACATGACATAATACGACAGGTCGAGTGTACTCACCCAAACCCAACGACCATCAGAGACACAGAAAGAGCGACGACTACTTCGCTGACTCCAAACTCGCTCTCCATCCCCTTGAAATCACCAGTAACGACAGCACTTGCGAATGCCACTTGTACAACGGCGATCGAACATACAGCGGTAATATCTGTGGATATTGTCGTCAGCAAATTTGGGAGTGACGTTGAGGAGACAGGATGACGTACACCATCGGTAAAGATTGCTCCAATTTCTCGGATCTTCTGGATCGTCCACCTTCCAGGTCACGAACTGAAAACCTTTCGATCCCTTGGTTTTTCCTCCCTTTTCTACATCAATGACGGTGCGTGTATGTGTCTGTTCACTTGTCCGGGAGGCGATGGGTTCCAAGTAGCGTTCCGGTATGAGACCCGTAGGTGACCTGGCACGGTATTCATTAAGTTGTCCAACAGGATTGACATTGGTAGTTTCGAATGGATATGAGAGATCAGCTCGAGTAGAATCATGTTGGGGAGAGTTGAATCTAGTAAGGTCGAGATTAGAGTGAGCAGGAGAGGAGACCGCGGTTGGTGTGGTAGATGGTAGCGGCGAACTCGGACTAGAAGTTAAGTGTGTCATCGTTCGTGGATAAATATTGAGCGTGAGCGAGAACGTCTAAGGGGAAGCAGAGGCTGAAAACAAGGAGCACCAGAACCCAGCCTAGCAGCCATTTATACGTTTCGCAGGGACAAAGCTCAGTAGATCTATGCTAGATGGAGCCCCGACCAATTCCGAGGGAAGAAGATTTTGAGTCTCGGACTGAGGACGGACAACGTTCGGAAGGCTTTCTAGTCGGGGCTAGTAGGAAGATCGCCGTCGATAATTGGCCGGAAGGCCTAGCCTAAGAACAAACAACGTCACGTCACGCCATCACGGCGAGCACACCTTCCGAGACTTTCCGCACAACAGGAGCGTGCTCCAACCAAGCTCCAAAACAGCCGGGCATGCTCGGCTGTTGTTCCTACGCCGTTTCATATTCCGGAGCCAACGCTCAGCCGGCTCGGCCGTGCCGGGCCATCTATGAGTAAAAAAAAGCGCCGAATCAACAAAAAGGAGCCGACGGCTGCCGCGTCGCTGACAAATAATCGCGTCCAATCCACTCCGCCCAAGATTTCGAAATTTCGAGGCATCTCTACAGCACACAACGTTCTTCTTGTGCACCAGCTATTGACACTCCCTCTTACATTGAGCGACGCTGATGGTGCCTGTAGTAAAAGAACTCGCACTCTTCTCCATCGCATGCTGCACGACGTTTCTGACTCGCTTGCCGACCCCCTGACCATCGCTTTGCCGTCATAGTCGTCTACCACTCTTGTCACCTGCTCAGAAGGCTCGCGAGGTGCATCACTCTCGAAAAACCTAAATATCATCACGCGGTCATAGCGCACCATTTACTCTGCTTCAATTTCAATGCTTGCAGGGTATAAATCGTCTCGGGATTGGGGTCACAACCCGTTGGACAACCCCACATCCACTCCCTAGTCTTTTTGAACGGCCACCCTTCGCCGTTCCAGCTACGTCGATGATTCTTCCCGCAGTTCTTTCAGTCTGTCTTCTTCTCGGGTTGTCCAAGGCTACGTCTCTTCCTCCACGGCAGTCCGACGATGTGAACTTCGCTCTTGCACTCTGAAACTGAACTCCTCTGACGCGATATTATACGCCTTCAGCCGTTGAAACTGGTACAGCTTGAAGCACCCGATGGGTCCGCGAAGGCACATTTCATCCCGTACGGTGCCATCACGACGAATTTTTGGGTGAAAGACAAGGTTGGTTACCTTTCTACGATCTAACTGGGACTTGACTGAAATGCCAATCCATTGTAGCACGGAAACTTTAGGGACATTATCCTTGGATATGATAACCACGTACGTTGTGCCTCCAACGTCGACGCCGTGCTGTCTTGACAATATCCTTGATCTAGACTAACTATCTGACCGACGCTCTGGGCCACCCATACTTCGGGCCAGTAGTTGGAAGGTACAGAAATCACTATCTACCTATTGAGCATAGCTCGAACCCTCATCACGTGTTCTTTCCTAGGTACGCGAATCGTATCAAGAACAGCACATTTACCATCGGGAACAACACCTACAACATATCAGCTAACGAAAATAACGGTAAGTCGGATTCATCAGTGTCAATTAGGTTTGAGTTTGTAACGCTTCGCCCAATCCAGGCCTGGATACCCTTCACGGAGGAGAAGACGGTTTCGACCGGCGGTTATGGACGATCGAAGAGACCACTAACTCATCCGTGACCTTCAGTTTGACTGACCCTGATGGCATGGAGGGCTTCCCTGGTACTGTCAACGCCAATGTAGGTCCATATGTCTCTTCTCAGATATTCTCCGCCTTCCTAAAACTGTTTGCCTAGATCACATACACTTTGGACAATAATGCAACATGGAAAATCAAAATGCATGCCACTGCGACTGAACAAACGCCCATCATGCTCAGCTGTCATCACTACTGGAATTTTGAGGCCTACCAAGAGACTCAGACTCTCGATGATCATTTTGCTCAGTTCCCTGCACACCAAGTTATTGGCGCAGACGGTATACTCATTCCTGATGGTTCGCTTGTCAACGTCACGGGCACCCCGCTCAATTTCCGGACGGCCAAATCCATTGGTGCTGCTATCAATCAGACGATCGGCTTGGATTATTGTGGAACAGGCAAGTTCTACGTTACTATTTCGACAACATGTGATTGACGATTGCGGCTTCTAGGCTGCGACGGTTTCGATAACTGCTGGATATACGACAATAATACCTCCGATAGCCCCGTGTTTTCCCTTTGGAGTGTTAACTCCGGTATTCGGTGAGTCCTTTTGCGTAGAAAGGAACACTTCTCGCTTTATTAACAACCTACACACAGCCTGGATGTTACGACCAACCAAGCCGCTCTTCAGATGTATACCTGCGACGGTATCTACAACGCGAGCCTACCCATACCCCGGAAAGTCGAACAAGGTGGTCCTTCGACCTTCTACCAGGACCATTCGTGTCTCGTGGTGGAGCAGGAATCTTGGATTGATGGGATTAACCAACCCGAGTGGGGAATCGATCAGATCTATGGACCAGACAGGGACTATCTTTGGGAATCGGAGTACGCGTTCTCTGTTTTGCAATGATACGAAGGCGTACGAGCTGTATAGCCCTTTATCTATTCACCATAATTTGTTGTTCTCGATGACAAAGATTCTCGAACTTGACGAACATTTGACTCTTCAAAGGGCGAGCTGTTTGCGCCCTATTTGAAATCGACGTGACACCGAGTTTATCGTTGTTTCTCATTGTTTGGGAGAGCTGACCGTTGTGGTTTCAAGTCGGGAACGCGACACTCGGCTTGAACGCAATATTCCACTCCTCCAGCTCCGGTCATATCCACCTCTAGTCTCTATCGGCACGGCTCAGATATCCGGCTTTTGACGGGCCACTTCTTCAGATCTTAGCGTTAGTAAATAAGTATCGCCGCCACGGGAGATCCTCCGCGCGGGCTATGGAGCTTTTCCCTTACGCCGTCGTCACTTCTGCCCGAGATGACAGCGGTTTAGGGGCTTTATGATGCAGTCCCAGAGCTCATTGAGGGTTTTATGATGAAGCCCCAGAGCTCATTGGGGGTTTTATGATGTAGCCCTAGAGCTCATTGATGGTTTTATGATGCAGCCCCAGAGCTCATTTTTCTGTCTGGCCAGAGATTGCTCCACCTCGAGCGCCGGCCCCGCATGCGACGAAGGCAGCAGTGCTCGGCGAGTTCCGTCTCGAGCTCTCAGAGGTTGCTGAGAGTGCTTCAGCACCCATTCTCTTCTATAAACTTCGTGATAGGCAATGTTAGAGTGTTTTGATATTATTCCGTGAATAGTTTTAGAGAAAGCAATCCAAAGTAAAGAGCGGACCAGGCGCACTCGATTGATAGAGGGCGGCGCGAAGCCTCTCGTGGGAGTGTGGAACCCGGAGCCACTTCGATCTCTGGGTTCATAAAACTCTGTCCCCAGGTCATCGGAGCGCCCGCATCATAAAACCTCTTTTGCAGAATCGTAGTCGCACCTCGATTTCGCGCAGAGAAGCTCTGCTCCACACGAAGCCTTAGGGGAAGCTGGGGCGAAGACAGGGCTGCCACGAGCTGGGCCACATCACTCTTGCAGGCCCTCAGTGCACAATACCGAGCTCATTTTTGCATTTTTGATCAATATCATTGGTGCAGCGAGGCCCTGCGAGTCAGGGGCTCACTCGGATAGACTTTGTCCAATATTCTGAGGTGGAATGCTACTCAGTGGTCAAGTGTGGCCACGCCATTGAAGTGTGCCGGGGGTGGCGTTTGCTTCTAGCGGTTGCGTCAAGAAACGCCGGTCGCTCCATCAAGAGAAACAGTGGGAGCGACTACGATTCTGCAAATTGCTGGAAGGCGAAGCTCTGAGTACTATGCTAACTTTCCGCTAATCTCGATCTTTAGGTCGCTCGTATCAGCACTAATCCGTTGCGGCCGCCCATTGGCCCGGAGGCGCAGGTGAAGGTCAAGGAGCTCCGTGTCGTCGGGAACCACCCTCTCAAGGAAGCGAAGATTAGGAATACAAGTTCGCTCTGAAGCTCCATGCCCTTCTTGGTTCGATGCAGCTAAGGTGGACCAGCCCGACGCTATCCGCATCGGCCGGAGACCCGTCACCCTCTAGATCGGCGCTGTTCTATCCCTTCACGAACCCGTACGACCGTCTTCTACCGCTGGAGACTACCACTACGGACGAAGACATGCGCCACCCGACTGCGCTCGTCCAGTACAGCGCCCCGAGTACTATGGGGGTCAAGCATAGTGATGCCCGCTGGCTTGGCCATCGTCCGTGCCGACGACAAAGAGACCTCGTAAGGAGTGAGCTATTCTTTTCCCGTGCGACTCCACTTCTCGGTCAAGAGTGACTCGGAGCCGGTCATCGTCGACGACCTCGGACGACCGACTGACTCAAGACGAGTAGTTCTGGCACCATATCCTCCCTCTGAGCTAGACATCGTCTAGTAAGCCACACCCATTAGCTTACTCCTCAAACGTATGCGAAACGAAGGACTCCACAATTACGAACTAAAGAGGGGCAGCATTTAGGAAGCGGAGGAGTGGATTTTTATTGTACGTTGACCATCCATAGGAAGGTTCGAGCTGTATATCATGAATTTAGATCGTCTTCGAGTCATGGACGATTCCCAAGTTCACGCATACTTCGTCCGCGGTGGGAAAGTGGCACCAGATTTAGCCGTATGCGAGCTGCATTGGCGCCGCAAGTCACGACGGCTTCTTCAACTACCATCACTATATCACAGGCGTGGCTCCCGAATTGAGTACACCATGATCTCCTCCTTGACATCTTTATTCTCTGGAGAGAAGCTGGAAATCTGCGTTGCCTCGTATTACAGAGGGAAAGACGCTGACGGGAGCGTGAAACGTTTTCACCGAGCTATCTTCATCATCACACAACCCTCGGCCGACACCGGATATCCTCGAGGGACAGTCTATCAGGTCATTCATGGTCGACCACTCTTCGAATATATGACGAAGGACGGAGTGGACATAAGACAGAGGCAGCCTGGTTACAGCGGCAGGGTCAAGATAGGGGAGATGCGGAAGAGAGATATCAAGAAAGTAGAGAAGATACTGTCAGGGCTGGAAGTCATACGAGATATAAATTCGGACTGGAGTTGTCAGACATGGACGAGGGAAGGGGTGAGGCAACTGACGGAACATGGGTTTGTTAGCAGAGAGAGACAAGAGAGTTTGGACGACGAACTGGCACGTGCGGAAAACGAGTATGTGAAAGGTCTTCAGCCGACCGGTGGGGAAGCTGGCGGCGTCTATGAAATATAATCAAAGTCGTTGGCTGCTAGTCTCGTAGTAGGGCTAGTGACAAATAGATTCTGTCTGAGACACAGATCAAGGAGTGACAGGGACCTCGGAAGTTGGTGTGGCGCCTGGCAGACGCACAGCTGCGCTAAAGCTAGTAACAGGATAAAAACAAGACTGCTGTTAATTGCGAGTCATTCGAGCAAGCAGCAGTCATTGAGCACAATGCTAGGCGAGAAACCATCCAATCACAGTTGAAAGGTTTTGGAAAAACAAGGAGACAATGGGGCGACAGAGAAGGAAAGTGTTCGGCATTGGCCATACTCACTTTGCACACACGACCAAGTCGAAGTGCCACAGCTGTTCTGCGCGAAAGCGTCGCTCAAGACGCTCACCATCAATCCTCTCTGCCGGGAACCTCTCCGCGATGGATTCGAAGGATGGGGCTAGTACACCTGCGAAGGCATGCCTTGCAAACTCTGAGGCTGCTTGATTTTACTCATCTTGTTTGTGGGTCGCAGTTCTACCAGGAAGATATCGTAAAGAGGAAAGATAACTTGGACCCAGCCTATGGTGTCGTACTGGTGCGTTCAGCTCATTCTTGGGATAGTGAACCCCGTCTTACCTTCAATACTCTATATCAGAGGTCTTGGCACGATGCTGAAGACGTTCCACTTCCACCGGACCACCTTGACCCACTCATGCGCCCGTTAAAGCGAGGGGAAGTGGGAGTGTCATTTTTCTCTGGGGGTGCTCGCGATATCCTTCCGGAGTCCATGTTCACACTCGTGGATCGTATGTTCCAGCCAGGAGATCTATGTAAGAAGAGCATCAACGATGTCCAGTCCGGGGTGGTCACCAGCGTAGACGTACGTGCGCGCCTAGACCATGCAATTAGTGGAGAGCATGTCCCGGGATGGAAGACCATGGATGACATAGAGAGTCCAGCAGATGTAGATATCGGAGATTATGTGACATATGACCATTGGATTGGCCAGGTGAGTTTGGAGATTTCTAAGGACATAGTGCGAATATTAACGAGTGGATAGGTTGTGGAGGTGAGCTACGGACGACCTCAAATTCTTTGGTCTTTCTAAACAACCGTAGCTGTTTGACGAAGCTGTTATCGACGTTTCTGATGGAAAACTTGCCCGTCTACCTGAAATTTCCTCCAGGCTGTCTGTTGGGGATATGGGTAGCGTAAGCCCCCTACTGTCTCTAATATCCACCAAGCCTGACAACATGCTTCAGGACATCATTCCGCACCCCAGTACCGTCTCAAACCTCTTCGGTGGTCTCTTTGGCCGGCACAATTCCGTATCTGATACCGTCGTCCATGTTAAGCACACGGTCCTTGCGGTTTCGTGGCTTGCCATCGACCAATCTGTGAGTTGCAACTCCATTCCTCTGTTGAACTACTTCTTACGTTTCAATGCAGCTCCCACCGGAAACCGCTGCGGGAGCAAGCCGACCGCAACGTTTCTGGCACGGAGAGGATATGGGGAAGCTCAAGCTCGTGCGGAGTAGAGCGGAACAGATGATGCGCGTCGCCGATAAGGTCACTCTAAGAGACGGGCCCGGTATACCGTACACAGTCCACGGGAAGGCCGGAGAACCATGGGGTCTCATCCAAGTCCGAGTATACGTGGTCAGAGTCACCCAGAGTACTGTCCATGTTCTGTGGCAGGATGGATCAACAGAAACACTCCTCGCCACTGAGCTCATCCCTTACCTCAATCCTGACGAATATGACTGTTGGTGAGTATTTTCCACGCACGATTGCACTCGAATTTTGACCCTTTTTCATGTGCCCTAGGCCTGGTGATCACGTACTTTGGAAAGGTGAAGATGAGAAGCGCGCGGCCGTTGTTCAATCTGTCAATGCACGCGACCGCACGGCAGATGTCGTCTTCTCCGATACAGATAGCCGCGAGCTCGTCTCCGTCTTGGAATTAGATCCTCACGGGACGGGCGATTGGTCTGCCACTTCGCCGACTACGTTCGATGGACTCGGTCTGCGCCGAGGTGACTTTGTATTCATCGGCGAGTCAAACGGCATGGAACCTCCTAGGGTACCGCGAATAGGTGAAGTCGAAATGTGGGTCAGGGAGGCGCCTGTTATGGATGAGCGAGGGCAGCTTGGGGGCTGGCGGAAAGAGATGTCAGATATGGGGCACGACATCGCCCGGAAGAGAGAGACGGAGAAGACTGTTGAAGGAAAGATCTTACGGCCGTCGAGCGGTGACACGTCGTTGAATTGGTTTGGAGAAGTTTCCGATGTAAGGCATATCACAATTTTCGTTCAATATGATATTGTTGAGCGACGATTCTCTCATCAGTTACGGTTAGATGGTTCGGTCGAGGTGACCTTCCCCAACGGCTTGACGGCGATTTTCCCTCTTCAACGTTTAACGCGATTATACGACACGATGGAACAACTAGAGGATATCTGGGGAGACGAAATGCAGGGCGAAACGGAGGAAGGGAGACACCCGCACGAAGAGGACTTCTGGGCGATGGACGAGGACGGTAATTGGCAACAGGGGACAGGAGAAGACGACGAGGATTGGGAAGAGGAGGATGAAGAAGGAAACGAGGATATGACAGTAGATGAGGAGGGGTGGGACTTTGATCCAGAAGCACAACCACCTGCAACTGACGCCACTCCGAACAGCAACAGTTGGTGGCCTGGCTTTCTCTCCACAGCACAGAATAATTCGACACCAGAAGAGAACGGTCAACAAGACCCACCATCGACGGGAACCTCCACCTCTCTAGATAGAATGCCGGAAGACAGCACCGAAGGGCCAGACGCAGTTGATCTCGCAGCAGTCAATGGTGTGCCCGATGTACCGCAACCAAGCCACATTCCTGACGCAGAAGCCGAAGACTCGCCTTGGAAGCGTTTCGAGGTCATATCCGAGGCTCCGCCCGATCATGCATTTTATAGCTCTGTGCCGTCCCAACCATCAAGACAATTTCTCGCTCGATTACAGAAGGAGTATCGTGCGCTGACGAATAGCTTGCCAGGTAAAGCTCTTTCTATGACATTCATAGATGTCACATATAGGGCTGATTACATCGTCACCAGATTCCATCATTGTACGCGCCTATGAGGACCGGTCAGATCTCCTTCGTTCGTTGATAATCGGTCCAGAGAACACGCCTTACGAGGATGCACCTTTCGTAATCGACTGGATGCTAGACTCCAATTTCCCGCAGAGCCCCCCTATTGCCCACTTCCTGAGCTGGACGAATGGCAATGGACGTGTTAATCCGTACGTGTCCCTGGCCCCATACAGGCGGTTCGGTGAGCCTAATCAACCTACGATATAGAAACTTGTATGAAGAGGGAAAAGTATGCCTGTCCATTCTTGGGACTTGGGCCGGCGATAGGAACGAGTCCTGGAGTCCTGCACGATCATCTCTTCTCCAAGCCCTCGTTTCGATACAAGGCCTTGTTCTGGTCAAAGAACCGTACGGGATTCCTTCGTTCATTTCTCAATGACGGGTCTGATTTTTTTTCCCCAGATGGTTCTGTGAGCCGGCATACGATAAACTGCGTGGTACCGAGGAGGGAATCGTCAACAGGTCAGCCTGTTCGCGCCTCTTTCAACAAGGATCATGTAACTCATTTAATCCATGATTTTTCTAGCCGTCTATACAGCGAGAAGGCATACGTTCTCTCCCGTGGGTTTGTTCGCCGCTCTCTGGAAATTCCGTTAGGATCTCTCGAAGCCGAAATTACGTGGCTGTACCGCAAACAGGGGCGTCTAGAAAAGGTTATCAAGGACGCTCGTGCCCTTATCGAGAAGAGTCAGTCATCGGACGATACAGCTGTAGACCGTGAGCGAGCGGTACCACGATTGACGGCGGGGGGCATAATCACATTGGGAAGGACTTTGGGGAAGTTGGAGGGTTTGCAGAGTATGCCACCTTCGTGACATTGAGCTCAATGCCCGGGGCGTCGAATCATCTACAGCGTAGTATTTTGTGTCGATGTATCAGACCATGTCATGTACTACATATCTCTATTTGCTATATCCTTTGCTTTCAACATTATAGTACAATACTATGACAATTTCATCGCATCCACATGTTTCTTGGTGTAAGCGAGGGTCAAGGTACACCATGCCTAAATACATAACTTGAAGTGCATGATCTCTGAAAGGCGTAGGTTCAGTGCGATGTCTATCTAGAAGGATTATGCGAACTTACACTCGAGTAAATCAAAGTCTTCGCGCAAAGACTGCCAGATGGCCTTGCGACGCCCAATGAAGGTATCACGAATCGCAATCCTGCAAGGCGCGCACATTATGGAAGTTGTCGAGGATGCCGCCATCATCAGAAGTTTGAGATACCTGAGAGGGTCTCGCTGCTTCACAAGGATCGATACCTGACAGTGTTGATCCAACCATGTTTGTCCACAAGTGCATACTGATGCAGCATCAGGGCCGCGATTGATCTTGAAAGGAGTCAGCAGGTCAGATCTCATGCTGTCCTTAACTTTCATCAACGTCAACATGTCTGGGGACGAGAGTAACGACCAGCGTGCTTGAGCTGCCGAATCCCATCTCCAACCATCTATCTCCCTCGAAGGTCCTCGTGGGTCCCATTCTTCATGGCGAAGGTCGATACACGACAAAGCGTAGAATGCAGCTGGGAGAATGTGGGGAGTATCGTATTTACGCGCCAAATTGATGATAGAGCATGGCTCTGGAGCTTGGAAGGGCATAAATACTCTGCGCGGGGAAGTGGCGCCCCATATCATGTCCCATTCTTCCAGAGACCCTGGCCAGTCTGTCTCGAGATGTTCCACGACAACAGCACGAATGTGTTCGACTTGATACTTGGTGGACATGGATAACACCGCTTCCACATCTTCAGGTATGCGTGCATCTAAGGGAGGATGTGGAAGTATGCTGTGTGATCAACGGTGTCAACAACCACCTTGGAAGCCTGGCGAGTAACAATTTGACGATTGCAAACTCACTATCGATCGTACAGAGCAAGCAGAAGGGCCTCAATACCGTTCGTATGATCCTGCATGACCACGAGGGGGAGACCTTCGTACTGGTCTTGATCACCAGCGTCCGTCGCCGGTAAAGCGAACATGTCTTTGAAGACAGACGAATGGCGAGCAAGAAGAGATTTATGAACGCGAAAGACAGGCCGCGGGCTTGGACTGTCGTGCAGACCAGAAGTAAGACAGACATTTCCGTCATCGAGATATAGAGAGCTGTGATGCTCGAGTTGAGGTGAGTCTGTCATGATATCGGGGAGTGGTCGTGAGGTGCAGAGTTGAGGTGGCGCTATGATTGACACGGGAACCATTGTTTGTCTCTGTTAGGGCCGGAAGTCTCCGGAAGCGCCGGGCGTGCACAAAGTGCCCAGTCAGACGAAGAGAACAGCAACCATTTCTTCTGTATTGTGTGAGGTCTGCTTCGGAGACTACCACATATTTGTTACGAGTGCAACGAGCATACAGTAACATTGACAAGAGCTGGCCTCCCACAACGAATAATGCCAAACTCGCGACGCGCAAAGCCTCAACAAGCGACTGAACGTTTCTACATAACTTCCTAGGACTGAATCAGGTGTGGGCGTAGGTGTCGGGATAAAACGTGAGAGGGTAATCAATAAGAGGCCAAACTACTTATATATGCCTATAAGACTCCCGAGTCCGCGTCTGTATAAGTATCTCACATCTCGGCCTTGCAGCAAGTTACCAAGAATTAGTCTGTGGCCAATCGAATCCAACAAAAAAAAACGCAATGCAGACCCCTCCATCAAGTCCACGACATTCACGCTCAAAAAAGTCCTCGAGTCCTCGTATTCAGAGCTACAGCTGGGTCCATGTCACAACAATCCAGCTGGACCCTGGTGGCTCCCATGGCCATGCGTCACGTACGTTGCACGGGTTCAGTACTGAAGTAGGGTAGGCTAGGTATCGACGGGGAAGAAGTAATTCATTCATTCATTGAAATGAAAAAAAGGCGCGAGACCGATTGAAAGGGGGATATACGTCTCCATTGAAATTGGATTGAAGTGTTTAGGAAACTCGAACAAAAAGGAAAAAGGACAAGAAGAATGCGTGCGTGGCATCGGTACCAAATCTAAGCTAGGGAGAAGACGCTGAAGGTTGTTTTAAACAAAGCAATAGCTAAAAAAATTTGAAGAAGAAAAAAGGAAGTGAAGGAAAGACTATGGGACAAGAAACTAACTAGGGATCATCACTCAAAAAGCTGAAAAACCGAACTGTCCTGCGTGACGTGAGAAGGAGGCAAGCGAGGGGATTGAAGATCAGAGCCCAGAGCCCAAAGCCCAAAGCCATTACCATCAAACATCGCGAAAGAGAAATGTGCAAAACCGAGGGGCGCGGACCGGGAGCAAGGAGGAATACAGCGGCGTGTGACGGTAGCGGAAGCCCTGGGGACAACGGACAACGGACCATACGAGCGTACGTGCATGTGGTATGCTTGTGATGAGAGAGCGACAACATGAAAGCGAGCGAGACGAGACGACGGTAGACGGGATTCAGGACATGGACTAGCATTGGTCCAAGAACGAGTTCTTGGGGAACGGCTGTCCGTAGTCGTCCTTCCAGGTGGTGAAGTTCGGGTTTGTGTACGCCTCGATGTACCTGGAAGATCATGCCCGATTCAGCTGTCAGATGTCTGGTAAGGAGTGACGACGAGGAAATTGTACGCACTCGTTGATGTATGTCGCCGTTGGGAAGTCGGGAGGATCGCAACCGATGTTTATCGAGTCGGAGTACTGGTACACCCGGATATAATCGATACGCATGACCGCAGGCTAGAGATGAAGAAACAGTAGTCGGGGGCTTAGCGAACACGCCAAAGTAACATTATTAGATCTACTCACGAAAGTCAAGTGGTCCAAGTCCACGGTACCGAAATTGGTCGACATTCCCAAGTTCGCGAGCAGGTACTGGATCCCATTGACAGCTGTGAGCATGATTGTGCAGATATGAAGATATATGGAGGTGAGACTCGTACCAAAGGCTCCTGGGGTATAGCACGGGGCCCGATCTCCGCTGCGGTGTCTGCTCCCATGCCAGAGGCCTTAACCGTCCACGCCGACGTGTTCGATGCGATCCAGGTGATGTACTGCAAAGACAAGGCGCGTATGAGTCGGCATTGTACATTAAACGATGAAGGGAGGCGAAAGCACGAACAGCGTCATCGAAACCAGGCTTATACTCGATACCGTAAACAGCGAAACAACCGGTCTCAAGCTCATAACAACCCTGCTCTGTCTGCGTGACACCCGAGACAGCCTGCTGGTAGACACCACCCTTATAACTGTTCAGCTCGGTGATCGTGGAGTTGTAAATGGACAAATTGTCGGTGGTGTTTGGCCAGGTGTAAGCAGCGTTGAACGGCTGCCCAAAAGAGTCAGACGCACGGCTCTATCTGAAGATAGGGGACTCTAAGAGACGTACAGCAAACTGTCCAGATTGGGAGACCTGGCCAGTGAGTGGAGTTCCCGTAATCTAGAAACAAGAAACCAGTCAGCCATAAGCAACGATGTGGACAGTGGGATCACATACCTGAGCCTCGAAAATATCGATTTCAGGAGCCGACCTTCCGACATACGTTCCATCCTCGTGCATAGGACCTGGGTGTGATTCGCCTGTGCATGTGCAGCGCGAGAGGCGCTGACCAGGAAGGAACGACAAAAGGCCACCATTTCCAGCATCACCGTTCTCCAGGGCGGCAGTAGGGAGCCCATTGACGGACTGATTCGCCACTGTACCAACATCACAACTATCATATGTGTACGGCCACTATACGGCATGCGTTGCTCAGCGGGAAGGCACAACAAAGGATCAAAGTACGAAATACGCACCATGCCCTCCAGAGAAGCACCGAAACCTGCACGGCCGAGATTGCCCATGGTCCACACTGCAGGCCAGAGACCCACGATGTTATTCGTACCAGGAAGCGTGACAGCGGTCTCGACGATTCCACCGGTAAAGCAAAACTTGTTCCAGGTCTGGATCATACCGCCCTGATAGTTCAGATCATGCGTCTCCTTTGCGGACAAGGTGATCTCAAGAGCGCCATCCTTGGTGGTAACAGCCGCAGGATCATACCACTCCAAGTTGTTGGTCTGCCAGTAATGCAAATCAACAGCCTCCCAGTACGGGTCGTCGCCGGGATAGAATGTCCGGCCGTCGACGTTGAACTCGTCCGACCAGACGAGGACCAGCTCTTGGGTGTCGTCCATGAATGACTTTCGTGTCTTGGCGTAGTCAGGTGTTTCGAGATCAATGAGGCCCCAGTTACCATTCATACTCGGGATCTGCAAATGCGGTGTACAGATGGTAGGTGGTAAGTTTGATGGCGTAAATATAGATTGAGTCCGGGCTGAACTCGGCGACGAGAGAAAAAAGGTACAGGAACTGACCTGGCCAGAGGCGTTGGTCCCACCGATGTTGAAACCGCCTTGCAGCGAAAGACCGTGTTTTGTGACATATGATGCTACAGGATAACCAGCACTGGAGCACGAAACAAAACAACAATATCAGACAGGCACGGAAATGACGTAGGCGAGACATAGTCAGCGCACAAGAGAGCGAAGATGCCGAGGGCGATGAGGGCGAGACAGCCCAGGTTGGCGATACCACGAGCAGTGAAGACGTTTCCGCCTTGGTCGTTCTTTCGGTCTCGTCTAGGATCTGGGTTGTGGAGGTAGTCGTCTGGCTCGCGGTTGTTGGGGGATAAGTCAGCACCCCACGAAGCTGGGTCTGGCGAAAGTGAGAACTGCGATATTGTTAGCCTGAAAAGTCAAGCTTATAGAAGCAATCAGCACACCTTGTCTGTCATAGACGAGTGTGACATGCCGCCTGCTTGTCCGGCTGGGTATGGAGAGTCATTCTGCGAGTGCGGGCGTGTGAGAAGAAATTAGGGTCCACCAGAAAGAGCAGTACGAACGAGAGAGGTGGTGCTGGACATGGGCGTGGCATTTCTTGACCCTTGAGCGAGCGCGGCCTGCACGCCCGGGCCTCTCGCATTCGGGGCTAAGAGGTTGGTTGTCGAGGGGGTATTCGCGGCGGGGTAGTACCGCATCTCTGGGGCCGCCATGGCGGGGAAAAAGCGAAGAAAAAGCGAAGAAAAAGGGCAAAGAGTGGACTAGCTGCCTGTAGCGGCTTGAGTAGTGAGGACGGAGAGGGGGTCGTTGACAAGGCGGGAGGAGGAGGATGAGGAGAAGGACAAGTCGACGTCGAGTCGGGGGCGAGAAGTACGGTGTGATCTCCAGGCCCCGTTTTGGAAACGCACAACAACGCGATCATTACATAAGCCATCCCCCGCCATGCCAAGCATCGGCGGCTTTCCACGCACCCCGTTGCCTCCGACCGTCGACGCGTACAGCGACCACAACACAGCAGCCGAAAGAAATAGCGCACAATATATTCTCTCAGCTATCTGCCAGACCACCCCCTTCTAACAACCCCAGAATCCCGCCTTTAGCCCTCCTCTCGCTCGTGCCCAGTTCCTCTGCAGCTTTTTCGACTCTTCCCAACCCTGTGCTCTCTCCGCCTTCTCCCCCGACCTCCAGACCCCTCTCTGCTGCTCGCCTATCGATCTCTTTTAATCGCCCCAGTACCGCCATGTTTGCCCGATTCAAAGCCTGCTCTCCCTCGTTCCAACCATCCGAATCAGAAAGTATCCCGTCCAGCAGCTCCTTCTTCTGCGTTTGATAGGTCGTGCGCGACGTGCTCGGGGCGTTCGAGATCAGGACGTGTGTTGTTGCTGGCGATTGGCCCTCTACCCCATCTACGTCATGCCCTGTCTTGTCCAGCCACTTCTCGAGCCCTACTACCGCGTCTCGTGCCTTCTTCAGCTTCTCGTTCTTTGACGGCCGTCCTTTCTTCGCGCCTGCTTTCTGACCTGCTTTCGAAGTACTGGCTTGTGGACCGAGCTCGAGCGTGTTGACCCCATCCGGAACGAAGACCTCGCGCGGGAGGGTGCGTGGATTGTAGGGACCGAGGGACGAGTGGGGTAGGATGTGGAAGACTTCTTTCGAGAGGAGTTCGGATAGCGTGTGGACGACGTAGGGAGCAAGTGATGCGAGTGAGTCGGTGAGGGTGGTCGGTAGACTGAGAAGTTCGGTGTACGTGTCTGAGATAGGGGTAAGGACGGTCATAATAAATTTGAGGTTCGGTGAACACATACCGATGGCAATTTCTATGTGATTGATCGAGTGTAAAGGAGGATGGGTTTCTGACGGCTGCGTGAGGAAAAAGGTGTAGAGCGCGAAAAGCGCGACCACTCTATGCAAAGGTGGCTCCGTCCCAACCAATTTCTCTGGTAAAGTGAGCGGAATGAAAGTAGTAGCCAGTAATTGTACGACGCACCAACGAAAAGTCTGCAAGTTACACGCAAAAATGTCTCCCGCGTGCGCGCATCGAATACCTTCAGATGAAACCAAATCCATCCACGTTCCGTCCATAGCTGCTTGAAGAACTCGAACGGCTTCGGTGCCTGTGTGTAGCCGGAAACAAAGAGGTCGATGAGACTTTGTACGTCGGCGCGGAAAGGTTCGACGAAGAGCGACGAGGTGAAGTAGGCTGGCTGAAGAACGAGTTCGCCACGACTGGCAGAGGGCGAAGGGGCGAGAGACATGTTTTTTTGTGCTGCGGCTACTTATAATATCTGAGCGTTGTATTGGATATCTGAAATGCGAAGGCGGAGGACGAGGCGTGCGTTCCTGGGCCCTGGCTGCGCGACTTCCGAAAGCGGCCAGATATCCAATGTTCAGATCCGTTTCTTCTCTCTTCCGGCACTGCGCAACCCTCGTCACGTTTTTGTGGTGTGCAGTTACGGTGTGCAAAGCGGTTTAGGGGGGCTCTGAAGACAGATATAAAGACTGACTGCGTCTTTGATGTCGAGCAAAAATGCCACTCTTGAACAGCTCTGAGTGCTCCGCTATTAAACAGACTCGAAGAAGCACGCAGAAATGTGGACGCGCCAGCCGAAGGGGTCTCAGAATGATCCAACGCCGTTGCTGACCTTCTTCGCCGCCGGAAGGCTGGTACGGCCTCCTCATCCCCTTCCTCTTCCTCCCTCCTTCTCCCTCTCCTCCACCCCGTCTCGTCGCCGTACAACTTCGTAGAGGCGCCCACCTCTACCCTGTCAACGCCACGGACGCCGTTCTTTTCTAGTTCATATAATGTCCTACGTCGGTGATCAGGCCCAACAGGGATACTATCCCGACCCCCACTCTCCTTCAACTTCGACTACACACCTACTTAATCCTAATGGCCCTCTTTCACCTTTACCCAGCCCCTCGTCTGCCTCTTTTGCTGCCATTCAGTCCAGGCCAGGTGGCAATATCCCCAGCGCTCCTCCCTCGCCGGTACACGCAGCTTTCAGAGGACCGCCTTCGAAACGGAGCAGTGTCGCCGGGTCTTCGATTTTTGTGCGTCGTGAAGAAATCGTCGTAACCTTCATTTCCTCACATTTCTTTCAGAACGGACCGCCACCAGTGAACCCATACGAAGCTCATGGTCGGAGCTCATCCATTGCCAGCAAGGTCACCCTCAGCTCCCACTCCTCCGACCTTTCGCTTCGTTACTTATTCTGTTGTTCAAACGTGTAGTTCTCTCTTGCTGCCGACCCTGCTGCATGGGCAGCCGACTTCCGTGGCAACAACCAGCCGGAACCCGACGACGAACTGCATAATCCTGACCCACGCAGAGACAGGAAATACGATGCGGGAGGAACCATCTTCACTTTGCGTGGTATTGCCAACCTTGGATGTCTCGCTATCCTGTGTTTTGGAATCATGGCCCTCTTGTGCGTCGAATCTTCTTCTCTGGCCCATTGTGTGCTAGTCAAACTCACGCTCTGTGGAATTGCGTGGTGGTCAATTATGCAGTGCTGGCTATCCTATCACTAGCTGGGCCTTGAAGAAATTCGCCTCCCACCCTATCAACGTAGTAACGATGACCAACAGTACCGGACAGGTATGGTCCTTCATACTTCTCCACTTTTCATCCATTCATCTCCAACTTCGTACTATTATATAGGTCCCCAGCATCGGCAACTTTGGTCTCATCGACGACGACACCCCCGACTGGGCCCGCACCCGCCTCTCCTTCACCGACGGCACCACTGAATACACCCTCGTCTTCTCCGACGAATTCAACACCGACGGCCGCACCTTCTACCCGGGCGACGACCCGTACTGGGAAGCCGTCGACCTGCACTACTGGCAGACGAACAACATGGAATGGTACGACCCCGCGGCGATCACCACCGCCGACGGCGCGCTGCAGATCTCGCTGACGCAGAAGGAGACGCATGGGCTGGATTATCAGGGAGGTATGATTCAGACGTGGAATAAGTTTTGTTTTACGGGCGGGCTTTTGGAGACGAGTGTGGTGCTGCCGGGGGTTAATAATGTGGTGGGGCTTTGGCCTGCGGTTTGGACGATGGGGAATTTGGGAAGGGCGGGGTATGGGGCGTCATTGGAGGGAATGGTGCGTTTTCTTTTTGTTTTTGTTTTCTGGGATTATGTGGGTTTGGAAACTGTGGTTATTGACGGGTGGAACCATGATTTCTTGTGACGGGTATGTAGTGGCCATACACCTATGACAGCTGCGATGTGGGGACCGTCGCGAATCAGACGTTGAAAGGACTTCCGGTCGCGGCGACGGAGAACGGTGACCCTTCGTACAACGGGGTTCTGTCTTATCTTCCTGGACAGCGTCTGTCGAGGTGTACATGTCCCGGAGAGTCTCATCCGGGGCCCATGCATGACGACGGCACGTATGTCGGAAGGTCGGCGCCCGAGATCGATATGTTCGAAGCACAGGTAAGTGATGGCATACTCCTGGACCGTCTGAATGAATTAGATGTTTAACTTTGTGGCATAGGTTTCCAATGGTGTCGGCTACGTGTCCCAGTCCGGACAGTTCGGTGTAGGTGTTTTCTGCTTCTGAGTCCCCATCTAGCCCGAATTGGCTTGACCTGACATTGACTTTTTTTTCTGTTCCGGTCGATAGCCTTTCAACTATGAATACATCTGGGACAACACCACGGACAACTACAATATCCCGAACAAGACGGCGACGAGTCTGAATGCTTACATGGGTGGTGTATATCAGCAGGCCGTCTCTGGTATCAGCTTAACCGAGCAAGACTGCTATCAGCTCGGTACTGCATGTTTCTCCGTATACGGAATCGAGTATAAGCCTGGTATGTCCTCTGGACCTCCTTCTCGTCGAACGAAGACTGACTTTGATAATGATGGTGCGGCACAGGCTTCGACGATAGCGTTCGTGTTGTTATTCCGTGTTATTTTGTGGCCATACATCTCATGCGTGGTCTCTTTTTGACATCCACAGTACATCAGCTGGATCGCAGCGAACGAGACCGCATGGACGCTCAAGGGCGCAGGTATGGGTGCCGACACGGCCACCGAGATCGGCGCGCGTCCTATCCCACAGGAGCCCATGGTAAGTTTCTACACCATGATCTATTCTACACCTTTCGTTTTAGCTGATGTATGACTGCTTTTCTGATAGTACATCCTTATTAATTTGGGTATCTCGACTGCGTTCGGGTCGGTCGATGTGGAGCATTTGACGTTCCCGGCTATCATGACGGTGGATTATATTAGGGTATTTCTCCTTTCTCTACCTGCCATGGATACTATCAGGACGACTTATGTATGTCTCTTCGTGCTCTATTACCTCCCAGGTCTACCAAGAATCCGATTCTATCAATATTGGCTGCGATCCCGATGAATTCCCTACGAAGGATTACATCAATACGTACATCGAGGCATACTCGAACCCGAACTTGACGACCTGGAAGGACGACTACGGCGAGCCGTTCCCTTCGAACTCGTTCCTTGGACAGTGCTAGATCCCCAGCACCGAGTTCACTACGCATGCAGATTATCTGTTCATCGTGTTTACCGTCAACGCGCTCCCTCCTATTCATTTATCATAAGTTTTTCTTGGGCCACGGACTCCTTTGCTTGCATTTGCATACTCCACATCATCATTTCATACCGTCATATTATCATTTTGCGTCATTTTTATTTTGGGTACATTCGTCGTCTTGACTCTTCACGCTACATCTTCTCTCTTGCTCAACCTCACGCATTATCATTATGCTGTCATGGCGGCCGCCACCACCCTTGAGCATCGTGCTCGTGCCCATCCTTCTGCCAAACAATATCCTACCACCATCAACTCCTATTATCTATCTAACACAACGCTCCGCCCTTCGCTATCCCTTACCCTCGTCACCACCATCACCCTTCACACATGCTTGCCACCCTCTTCATCTGCGCATCGCTTCACCCCCATCCCTACTAGCCCGCACCCATCTCCCATCTCCACGTCCCCGGACCTCTCACCCTTCAACCCTTCAACCCTTCACCCTTCGAGTCGCTCTTTTTTATTCACTTATATCCCATATTTTTTTGGTTACGTTTTTACTATACCCACGCATACTGTTCCAACTTCCCAACCAATTGTTGACAGTTTCACGGCCGGATTTTTTTTTGGAGATAGGTATATACATATTGCATATCGCATACACTGATATTAAAGCATAACATACAACGGATGCAATGCTGTAGAGAAGGGGTGGAATGCTGATAAACACATCATATGGTTTGTGGCGAGTTGAGATTGAGTGAACTTTGGAAAGGCATGAATATTGGGGGGCGGCCGCCAGATTGTGGGAGTGCGGGCCGGTTTTCCGGAGGCTTTAAATCTTAACAGAGACAAACAACGCATCGGGACCGATGTGATTCACCAAAGTGGCTCCGACTAGGGCCCGGGAAGCTCCTATGAGGGTCTCCCCGTCCGAAGTCCGGATTTTGCCCTCAAATATCTACTTTTTTTTGGCGGCCCCCGGCCTCAAATATCCACTTTCGGGGAAGGGTCTCATAATTAATATATATATTCAATTCATCGCAATTTTTTTCATAGGCCAGATCGCACACCGGGATCGAGCTTGGGCCACAGTGGTACATCATGCATTAGTGCTCATCAAAATACCACTCAATCTCAGGCTAACCTTCTTTGTATCATCCTCCTTCCCGTCCTTCACCACTTTTTCCAACAATTTCGTGAACTCCCGGCTTGTGTCAAGGCCGACCACGTAGTTGTGGCACTCGTTTTGAGCCATGCCCGTTTGGTCTTTGTGTGGGATTCTGTGGCGTCTTCGGAACCAGCGGATCGCGATTCCAAAACTCGAATTTCGGCCTCAAATTGGCCTCAAATATCCACTTTCACCGGACCACATCGCTCGTCGGGGCCTCAAATATCTACTTTTCCGGGGTAGGATTTCACAAATTTTGCTCCAGGAATATCCACTTTTCGGGGAGACCCTCATAGGAGCTTCCCGGGCCCTCTCCGACTCCAGTCTCCGAGTCTCTGACCAACCTTCACTGAGCTTCAGCATCCTTGAGTTCGTGACGAAAGTTCCATGTACGTTTTTGCATGTATACTAACTACTACTCTATGGATGCTTGCTTGCTTCTTGCTAACTAAGTTGATTTGTTTTACGCTGTGCCCAGTGCGTCTAATCGAGGTGCCACATTCGACCATACTACATCTCCGAGACTGAGCTCCTGTGTCCTTAGTTGCGCTCAGGTGCGTCCGTGTTCCTATCTTTTGGTCTGCCAAATCTAAATCAGAATAACTTGCTAGGTCGATTGACCATGACCATACTAGCGTTGCCTCCGTACCCTTCCTCCGGCGCTCGTGCCAATCTCTCCGCATCCCAACTTGCTACTCTCAACCAGAAAATAGCATCGTCGCTGCAAGAGGTCATATCCCTTCCTCCTCCCAAAAGAGACACCCCCGCGACCGCCGCCTTCGTCTCGACCTACGCTCGTGACCGAGCTCAGTCGTTTCTCCAGTCTTTGATATGGCCGGACTCTGTCAAGTCTTCACAATCAAGAGAAGAGAAGACCACACATGCACGGGTATTACAACTTGCTGAAAAGCTCGCTGCCTCGGGATCTCTGGGGATTCACGTTTTGCTGGATCTCACAATTGCATACCATTCACAGACATCTCGCCTTCGTACCCTCTTGAGCAACGCTATTGCATCGAAGCCACAGTTGCTCACTGATCTCAAAGGGGTAGTGGTTCCGTCATTTATATCCCTCCTCAATAATCCGTCGTCTTCCGGGCTATATGGCTTCCGCAAAACATCGCATTGCATCCTTTCCTTCCTGCACGCCTCACCGCCTGAATTCCTCCTCGCCTTCGCTCACGATCGACAGTTCATCATTTCATTAGCAACTGCGTACGATTTCGGTCTTACCTCGCTTGCTCAGTCGTACGGTGGTCTCCGGCTGCCACCTTCAGACGCCACACAATCCCGTGCATTAGACGAATGGGAGCGTGTGTTCCTCGAGACGAAGGTCGCGCTCGTCGATGCATTTCACATCATCTTCAAGAAGATACTAGAGGATCTCACAAAGGCCGAAACACAAGGTACCCCTCGAGATCTCGCAATGGAATCCCAACGGACGTTCGGCATTATATTCGCTCTCTTGGAACTCCCATCGTCTTCGGCCACCACCGCGAGCCCGAGCCCTCCCATCCCATTCTTGAACCGTCCATTGCTCGCGGACTATCAACATGCGTACGATATGTCTCGATTACTCGAGAATGTTGTGACGAGCCAGAGCCGAGACGATGGGCGCCTGGAGGTCCTCACCATGTCTCTTCGCTCTCTCGACGATGACTCGTCCGCTGCGTCATCTACACCTTCATCGTCGAACGCTTCGAAACGCTCGAATCCGGGTGCACTTAAACTTCTGCTTGGATCGGGTGTCCCTCCCGGTATCGATAACCTGGGCCGTCGTCCCGCCCAGCCCCACACTAAACCCAACCCGAGTCTTGGTCTCGCATCCACACCACGTAGCTTCCCTCCCCCTGTTGCTCCATCGTCCTCGGCGATTCGAGACGACGTGAAAGCGAAGGTCTCGGAGGTTCTTTCGATTTTGCCAGATTACGAACCAGGCTATATCAAGGCGTTGCTTCAGCGGTCTGAGTATGCGGGGAATAGCGAGAGGGTGGTGGAGGCCTTGTTGGAAGGAACTGCGCCGCCACCTGAAGCTATTAACACTGCGAGTAGACCGGTTGAGTCGAGTGGGAGGACAGAGACACCGCAAGTCAAGGACGAGTTTGAGTTTACGAAGGAGAGGAGGAACGTGTTCGATGAGGAGGCGATGGATTTGTCGAAAGTTAGAGTCGGAAAGAAGAGGTATGTTTACTTTTGAAATCTGGTCGTGTCTTCATGCAAACCATCTAACGGATTGTCGGTGTTTTGTAGCGATGAAGCCTCTGTGTTGCGCGATCGAACTTTCATCGAGCAGATGAAAGCTGACATTCTTCGTCGGGCTGAAGAAGCGAATTACTCTGACGAGGAAGAAGAAGGGAAAGACGTTGCCTTTGAGGAGGAGTTGGACTATATCGATACGGGGGCAGCTGTGAAAGTCGGAGGGGATGGTGAGGAGAGTGGTGAGGAAGATGAGGAAGGCGAAGGTGACGGAGTTGGAGCTGGAGAGAGTAGTGGGAAAGGGAAGGAGCGGGAGAAGGCCAATCCGGAGACGATCCTGGAGATGGCGTACATCCGGGATGCGAAGGTGTTTGAGAGAGATGCGGCTACTAGGAGAGGAAAAGATAGGGTGGCGTTACGCGCGCAAACTGGTACGTCACTCACAAGTTCGTTTCTTTACCCACCTGCATCACCTAACATGGTGCATCACAGGTTGGGACGACTCTCAAATCGAGGGGTGGCATATCATGCTGGAGCGCAACGTAAGTCCACTCACCTTGCCTTCACCCTCACTTGCTACGTTGTCTGATCCCTGTATACCTCACCAGCCAAAACAGAAAGAAAAGCTACTGCAGAAGTACGAGTTTACAGGCAATCATCCTGTGTCCGAGCCACCGAGCCGTAGTCAAACGCCCGATGGTCAATCTTCACGTGGGGGCGGTTCTCGCGGTAGAGGCGGTAGAGGGCGTGGTGGTCGCGGAGGAGGAGGGGGAGGAAGAGGCCGTGGTGGCGGTGGCGGTGGCGGGAATGAGCAAAGAGATCGAGCATGGAAAGATAAGAACAAGGCGAGCAGAGGAAACCATGACCGTAAGAGGGGGCACGACAAGAAGATGTCTAGGGCTGGTGGCCCGAGCTAGTCCCCTTGTTTGGTTTGGTGAGCTAGTTGTTGTTTTCCATTATGCAATAACACAATTTCAAAGGCTGGAGGGACAACGGTAGAGGGACAATGGTAGTATTGGAAGATCAAGGAATTTACTACAAGAAAACTAAGAACACTCCCCAACAGTCTCCAGTCTGAGAACTTCATTCCACCGGCATCTTGTGAACAGAACCTTCAACCTTGCTATCTTCGTCAACAATCTCGCCATGATGAGCAGCCGCCTCGTGTTGCAGCCCTGAGGGAAGAAGTCAGTTCGATAAATATGGATCTCGATGATTTTAACCACTCACTCTCCAGGTCGACACGTCCGTGAAGAATCTCGTTGACGTATGTCGGCACGATGACATCGTCTAGAAAAACACCCTAAGTCTGGCATCTTTGAACGAAATGAACGCTTACGCACCTTCTCGGTAGTAGTTGGTCTCCGTGACGAAATAGCAGACAACAAACAGAAAGACCAGGGAAATCATCTGCTGCGAGAACTGCCACTTGAGCTGAGGAAGAAACTCGACCTCAGCGGCGGTCACACCGAAAGAGACTGTCATGCCGAGCGATATGGAGGATTTGAACATTCCAGCATAGCGCGCACAGATCTTGGGATCGTTGGATAAGGTAGATATCACGAATTGGACGACGCTCTGCCAGATTGCATAGATCACTCCTGATCTATTAGGATGGAATGAGGTCGTGTAGGGTTATGGTAGTCAAGGGTGAAGCGCACTCACAAGACATAGCCAGAAAACAACGGCCCAACTAGAGCAGAATCATCTGTCCAGTCAAGGTTCAGTGCGTCATCATTCACCGAGATCTTGTTGGGTCCAGTCAACCAAATTGTCTCGTCGATCCAGATCGCAAGCGTGATGACGGCGACATAGGTCGCGGCGATGTAGGCTCGCCTACGACGAGGCATGTCTGCATCGAATATAGGCTGGAGGGCGAGTGTTGCGGGGATCTGGACCGCCCAGAAACAAAGACTGATAGGCCACCGACTCAGAAAAAGCTCTATCTAAGGGGAAGGCGGAACGTACTTGACGAGTGACCGTGTACGAAGATTGAAGACGTGCGCAGACATCGCTACAGACACGTTATTAGTGCAGGCCCATTTGTTGTAATGAGGGGAACTTACTAGACTGGAAAGAAAGACACATTTCCGCGGACAAGCCCACGATATAGAGCATCTGGGGGGATGTCGTGTCAACAGAAGGACAGCGTGACCAGGACTGATCATATTACCCAGATCTTCCAGTCCCAGAGGAGTTTCAGGTAGGCTTGAGCTTCCTCTGCAAAGCCGCGTGGTTTAAACACAGCGATACCAGTTCCGTCTTTTCGCACCAGGTCCTTTGGGTGAATGACGAAGAAAATGCCAAACACGATGGACACGAGCTCTATGATGATAAAAATGAGGTAGACGCTCGTAGGTGAGCCGGTGTCGGATTCTGTTTTGTGAAAGTTGACCTAATACAGGTGTAGGGATGAGTACTAGCCGTCCATTTAATGCTACGGTGATCGTTACTTACACCGAACTCGATACTGATTGTTCGATGCAAAAGACTACCTTCAGTCTCCGATGATTCGTATGTATATAGTAGAAAAACCTACGCTGCGCCAATGAATGAACCTGCGGCAACCTGACGAATCCTGAGCACGGAGAAGTATGAAGTGGTCTTAGAACGAAACGCACCATTATCCATTGCAGGACGATATATTTTCCTAGAGAAAGAGTATCAGCATCCCCGCGCTTTGCCTATGTATCGGATAAAATCTCACCTTTATGTTTTTCGTCTGCATATCTGAAAAATAATCACGTCAGTGTGATTGTTGGATGTGGGAGATGATCGTGCTTGTTACGGACGAATACTGGACAAATCCTGCGGTCGTCCATAAGAATCCGGCACCTATACCGAGGACAGCGCCGAACGTGATGGGAGGGGCCTGGTATCCGGTACGGTCATATATCCAGAGGCCGGAAGCATACAGAGGGTATGTCAAGGCTATAAGTCGCATTAGAACATCCCGCCACAGGCACACGATATCATATCATACCTCCGAGGGCAAGAGTCCACTGATGACGGCGTAACGTAGAACATGAGTGGACAGGCAGCATCGGTATGCGACCAACTGGATGCTTACACGAGGCCCGAAAACGTTCAAAACGGAACCAGCGAAGAAAGCAGAGAACGTATAGACGCCGTAAAGGGCGCAATTGGTGACGTTTCCTACCACAGCAGACGAGGGTTTTCCACCACCAGCGCCCAGACTGAATCGCGCAAGACAGTGATCAGTTCAGAGTCTAAGATATAGTCTTCCCTCCCGAGGGATATACTTACCCTGTGATAGCCTACAGAAAAGCAAGAAAAGGTTGGAGCCGCAAATAGTATGTATAAACTGCCTTTGCACGCACCCCATACAGCCCAGGGCAGGCGAATAGGACGAAACCGACGACCAGACTCTGGAAGATAGGGCTCGACTTGTTCCAACGCGCCATCGTAAAAGAGGGGAATCTGGGTGGAGTGTGCCAGACAGCTTGAGATATGTTCTTATGGCATTTATTCCTCACCCCAGGCTAAGCAGTGATGGACAAGTCGGAAGCCACTCGGAAGCCCAAGCCGTTGTTACATTAGGAAGAGACAACCCTCCAAATAACAGAGATAGCGTCTCTCGAATAACAAATGTCCGTCTGCGATAAGTCGGAAGACATTTTGGTCGTGGCGTGGGTCAATATTGGCAAGATGAACCTGCTGAGGAAGTCGTCGAAGCGAGGAGGAAACGAGGTATGACGCATCGGGCAGGAGACAAGATAACGTCGCCACAGTGGCGATAGGGCGTGAGAGGCCGCGTTGTTGTCCAACCCAACGCAACAAAGCTCTTTCTGAATCGGACTCGGACGTCTTCGACCAATAATTTTCACCTTTTGTCTTTGCCTAAAACACAAACATTCATTCACAGGAAAATCTACTCAGCCACTTTCCTCCAGGGTTTTGGGTAAGGTGATCACACATTGCGGCCAGTGTTATCAAAGTGTTATTGGCCCACCCGACGTCGGGGTGTACCGTCGACGAGAGCTCCAGCAATTGCAATGCTACTACCCCAAGCTCGGACTTTCGTTGGCTCTCCGTATAATCTACATCATCTAACGGAAACACCAACTACCACTCCATGTAACTGGGACACTAACCATCAGGTATCGTAGGGTATCGTCCACAACTGCACTAAAACAGTGGTTACTCTAACCTTCTTTGGGTATAGGTGCGCACCACAATCTGAGACATATAAATGCCGTTTTTTTCTTACCGCAATACTATTGCTTTCCAGGGGTTGAGTCTATCTATCTTGAGCAGCTTAGCGCTGTACCCTGCTCAATGCAAATGTACATATCTCTGTTCAATGGGATATGCGGGCAGATGACCCAACTTGATCCACTCCTTCCGAAGTCCGAGTCCCATCCGTTTGTGAACATCGCGAACCAGCGAACCCTCTCAATCTCATTGCTCTATCTTGAACCTTTCCTTATCTTCGAAGTCTAATGACCCGAAGGGGTTTTATCATCTCGCCCAGCGAGACGTTCGCGAGTCCTTCGTCGACATCTCTCAAGCCCACCAAGCCTCACTTCTGTCCCATCACTTGTCTTCGCCATGTCATCCCCAATCCCTGAATCCATGACTGGAATGGTGTACCTGGGAGACAGGCAGGTCGAGTTGCGGAAGTGAGTCCACACTGTTATTCTGGAAGACAGTGTGAAAGTTGATTATGAATTGTGCAGATTTACAGTCCCCAAGCCTGGTCGTGGGCAGGTGCTCTTGAAGTCCAAGGCGTCTTCACTCTGTGGTAGCGACCTTCATGCGATCTACCGGCTGCCGGCGAACAAGTGGAGCAAGGATCAGGAAGGTTACTTCGAAGGGGTCATTGGTGGCCACGAGCGTACGCGGTCAAGCCCCTGTCAATGATGCTACTCTAAGTTTGCTCACGGATTTCACACTACAGCCGCGGGTGAAGTGGTCCAACTAGGAGAGGGGGTGGAGAACGTGCAGGTTGGTGATCGCTGTGTCGTGTTTCACGTACGTTTCGATCCTCCCAATCGTCTCTACATAACCTGATATGAGAGTATCTTAGATTACCGGATGTTATAATTGTCCCGACTGTCGTGAACTACGGCCTGGTTCGTGTACGACGCCTATGGACGTAGAGAAGGGTCTTGGTCGCCGATCCCACGGATGGCAAAGAGACGGCGGACACGCTAACTATATTCTGTGTGATGCCATGACGCTGATCAAGATGTCGCCGTTCATGACCTACCTCGACGCAGCTATGGTCGCTTGTGGATAGTAAGCACAATCTTTTCGCTTGTCTTGTGGCCTTCTGAACGGGTTTGGTAGCGGAACAGCCTACTCTGCCGTCATGAAAATGCGGCCGAATGGACACGACCGGGTTCTGGTCGTTGGCCTTGGCCCAGTAGGATTGGCCATCTCTCAGATCTGCCAGAAGTTGGGTGCGAAGGTCTTTGGCTACGAGATCATAGAGTCCAGGAAAGAGTTCGCTAGGTCACTGGGCATACAGGTTTTGGAAGAAGATCAGGTCGAGGTCGCCGAAGATGGCGTTGCACCTAGGCATATTGGCTACGACTTTACCTTCGATGTCACTGGTGTTCCGGCCGGCCGTGTACGTTCAATTCAACTCTTTGATACTATTTAAGGTGTGACTTGATACTCTTTCCTTGTTTCAGATTATGGCTGTACGCGGAGCGAGAAGATGGGGGACGGTCATGATGATCGGTGGTTACAAGTGAGTGGCTTCATCCTTGATCTACTGGACGATATCTGATCGAGTCATTTACCAAGTGACGTGACTCTCAAAGTATCACCATGGATTATCCAGAAGCAACTTACGATCCGCGGATCGTGGGTCTGTAGCATCCCGGAGATGGAGGCTTGTTGCAAAAAGCTCGAAGACTGGCAGTTGCATCCCGATGCGTTGATCTCTCATACCTTTCCTCTGAGCGAGGCAGAGACGGCGTACAAGGTTGGTGCTTATGTTTGTGTTTCTCGTCATCGCCCTGAACAATTCATGTCCCCTAGATGTTCGACGAAGGCAAGGCCAATAAGGTCGCTATTGTGTTTGACTGAGAAATTCTGGATTTCAGTTCTCTGCATTACTCATTGGTTACGAAGTCATACCCCTGGCGAACATCTGTATCTGATGATAGTGCACGCATTGCCAACTAGGTCTCCCTCTATCCATCATGTTACCAGATCGTATGCATACAATGTTGTGGCCCGTATTGGGTGGCGATGGCTGGCCCCGGATCTGCCCGGGAATCAAACCTTCTGCATTACTCCCAGAACTGTCATTGTAACATCTATGTTTGTCCTGGATACCTCCTATGGCATCATAGTATCAAAGGGAGGGGGGGGGCATCAAAGGAGCCGTATACCGATGCAAAATCTTATCTGAGTGCCCTCTTAAACCGCGAGCAGAGCTCATCCATGGGGGTCAGTGAGCTGGCTCCCATCTCTGACAGTCGCGTCGCAGTCTATAATGTCGCACACGCACATCGCACTCCTTTCAAATGACATTCGTTCAGAGAAAATGTGGGACTCAAGTCAATAGTACCATCCTTACGACGACCGTGAAAATGACGAGCTAGAGACTGGTGTTGATGCGCAAACAACCTTGGTGCCAGTGGTGAGTACAGACATTTATTTGCGTCTCGACCGTGACACAGAGCTCGCGTTTTTGCTCGCAATTGTGGCATTGAACACTCACGTATTTACGATAGGTATTTGATTCCGATGATATCGAAGATATTTACCTGGCGCCGTTGTCCGTTATGCCTACTACCAGTACTATATAATTCTATGTACAGGACCCGTTGGGCATGAGTTCTTCCCCAACCTAATGACATTACTCAGCTGGACAGCTTGAAGATTCCCTGTCAACCTATAATGATACCACAGACCGGCACAACACGAGACAGTGCTGAATTAAAGTACCCCGGCGGTTCAAGCCCTCCAACTGCTGACCGAGCATACAAATCTGGGTGGGTCGCTGTGTGCGGGCTTGTCTCCGACGCGGACTCGGGCGAGCTGCCCTACTGTGGTGTGGAGCCACACTCGCCCACCGATGCCGGTAGTTCGCTTCCCCGTCTTGACTTGTTCGGGGTCGGGGAAGGACGACACCAGGCTACCATGCGAGGCCTCACAGAAAAAAATCCTCAGTTTGCTATTTCGTCTCAAGTCAAAGCCTTGCGTCAATCGCGGGTGTCCTTACATCTGGTATGGATGTGTACTGTGGAGCTCAATGATAGCACCTCAGTTATGCATAGACAGCTGTGAAGAACAGCCGAACACTCTGGTTTTAGGTCCGGCACCAAGCCTGGTACAAATTACGCAGAAAGGATGCTTCCATTGTAACAGATGCTCCAAGAGCCTTGTATCATATCGAAAACGCGTCAGGAGGAGTCGCTGATAGTGTGCCGCTGGCATGAACAGCATCCAGTTATCCTTTCTGAACAAGTCCGTAGTCGTGCCAGGCTGCCATGGAAAGATGATCAGTAAGGACAACACCGCGGCAATCAAACAATCAACCGTCCAGCTGGAGGCAGCGGAGTGGGCGACAGTTGCAGTAGCTCGACTTACAGATGCTGATCCCGCCGAGAACGATTGGCCCATTGATCGGTCATCGTACACCCGTCGTACACGCCAGTGTAAGTGGCCAGCTGTAGCCAAGGACGCACCGTTGGGACAGCTATTCTGATAGGGGTGAGTCAGCTTAGTGAGCAGGATTTAAGACCAACGCCGGAAGGGAAGTGGGTAAGTTATCATGATGCCGACCGAATGGAGAGAGCCATATGTCGGAGGTAGAGCCGTTTGTGGTGAGGGATCCCGAGATGACTTTCTGTGCTTCTGTAATCACCTCGCCCGAGAGTAGTGGTGTGCTACTCCGGCGTAAGTGGGGCAAAACAAAAAATAGCAGATCTTAAAGTTATAAGGTCCCTGGTGGCAGTGATAGGCTCGGAAAGGCATCGAAGAAGCGGTTCGCATGGTAGTTTGGTTCGAGGACTTGGATTGGACTGAGCCATGGCTAAACGTAGGAGGAAAACGAGAACGTGATAGTGAACACTACGAGGGGACAGGTGGGTCCTTAGAACCGTGACGGACTTCGCAGAATGGATTGCTATGATGACGTCTTGATGTTGAGGTATATGTGCGAGGAACCTCTGCTGTGTAAGGCCAACAAGTGTGGATATTATCAGAGCCCAAAAGGCAATACAGTAGCCAAGAAATATTCAGCGAGCATAGGCGATAACAGAAACACAGGTGTGGGAGAGAAAGAGAGGAACCGGATGTGGGCGGCGAGAGGACGATGACAAGCGCTGAAGGACTCTGACCAAGCACCGGGACCCGGCCGGCGCGTGCCGAGAAATGCTCTCGTCAGCGGCTGGTCAATAGAGCTCACGTGGAGGCCGCAGACCCAAGCATAAACAGCAGCGGCGGGCTCTGCCGACATCCTCTTCTCCATCCTCGACACCGTTCATGGACACGCCCTCGCTCTCGCCCTCGACGTCGACGGCGACCATGCTCACGTCCCACAAGAATCCCATAGACCTCACTGGAGACGACAAAAGTCTTGACTTCTCACAGCCGAGGCAGATCAAGCGGCGTCGGCTCGAACCATCTCAAGATTCAAATTCGTGGCCCACGAACTCGTCTGCTCGCTCTCCTCCTGTTTACCGTACCATCGCGCCACAAACACTCGCACAAACACCCTTAGCCGACCAGGGAAGCTCAAACACGCCACACAATGCATTCAACTCATTCACAATCCCTCACACCTACCCTTCTCAACCATACCGTCCTGCATTCGCACCGGTTGCAGGTCCGTCGGGCGCCCCACAAGCTCTTACTGCTTTCACTGGGCCACCAGCTCCCCTTCCAATTCAACCCCCATCTCTCCCCAAACCTGGAAACCAGCAGCAGATCATCGACCTCACCGATTCGCCATCCCCTCCACCCCAGGCGCTTGCACAGCCCACTCTTCAACAGCCCTCTTCATCTGCTCCTTTAGAGGACCTTCCCCCGAAAACGCCGGTTTGCATCGGTCAGCTTCATGTCACAGCTCTCGTTCTTTACCCCGTGGGTTATCTGCAAATACGCCAATCGACCAATCCGGGATCCGAAGAGGAATGGGCTCAGGTCCGACTGCACTACGACAGGAATCATGAACGTGCGGGGAGCGAAGATACGATCAACATTCGGACGCCGAGCTTCAAGGGCGCTAATGGAACCACCTTGCCTGGTGAGCAGTTTGGCGTTGTTGAACAGAAGGTTGCATCCGCTCTCGGTCCCATGCTGTCCAAGGGCTTGATACGACTGGATGCTAAAGTGAGAAAAGGGCTGCCGAATGTGAGTCATGTGTCTTGATTCTCTTATTGTCTCAAGTCTCTTTCTGCCCGATACAGCACTAAATTTTCGCGCTCCAGCTACCCATACTCCCGCTCCAAATGCTCGTCTACACACCGAAGGGGAACATACCTGTTGTCGGCGATTATCTCCATCATGTCGGGCTTTACCTAGACCATCCAGCGCCAGGAGAGCCCCGCGTCGGTAATTACCCATACCATAATCCTCACAACCCACCTCCCGGCGGCTTCAATCGTCCAGGTGCCTGCCGCCCGGGTTATGGTGGCGCCGGCATGAACAGGAGATGGTCGACGCCTAACGTGAATGCAAAAAGCGTGGAGGTACAGAGGAGTCAAGTTGATGAGCTGTTTAAGAGCTTGAAAGATGGTGGCGACGAACTGCCCGAGACAGACCCTCGTATGTTTGCCTCCTCGCTAACAATCCGCCTACAGCTTATCAGTTTTTACCGTTCAGCTCCCGAGGTCGGCACGAAACTCTACCCACACCAGAAGAAAGCTTTGACCTTCCTACTCGAACGCGAACGAGAGATCACAAATGAGGAAGGTCAATACTCGTCTCTCTGGCAGTCTCACACGAACACCATGACCGGCCAGCCCTCGTGGTTCCATCTTGTCACACAGAAGGAGATATTCCATGAACCGCCCGTCTGCAGGGGTGCTATCCTAGCAGACGACGTGCGTATGCTCTCATGCTGTGCCTATCACAAGATCAAGCTGACATTGTTTTCTGACAGATGGGTCTTGGTAAAACCATCACTTGTGTCTCGCTGATAGCAGCCACTCTTTCATCTGCCCGCGCATTTGCCGCTTCGCAGTTAAACCCCGTTCAACTTCCGTTTGGTTCTAATTCCGCTGATCCGTCCCTGACGGCCTCCCATTTTGCCGGTAGTGTCTGGGGTATGCCTGAGCCATCGACTTCGAACGCACTTTCAGCGAAAGCCAAGGCCAAAGAGGTTAGGGCTCAGGAGCAGATGGAAGTTCAGTACGCCAGGGCATGTCGTATTAAGACGAAGAGTCGCGCGACGCTCATTATCTGCCCTTTGTCTACTGTTGCAAATTGGGAAGACCAATTTCGGGAACACTGGAACGGAGAGGTCACGGTCTTGGGTGGTGGGGGCGCTTGTCCCGATAAATCTCAGCTAGCGTCACAGGCCGCCTCATCGTCGTCCTCGTCGTGTATGACGCCATCGGATTCGACTTCTTTGACGGCTTTCACGTTGCCGAAGATGTTGAATGAGAGCAGCGGTACTAGCAGTGCAACTGTGGTGAAGAAGAAGAAGAACGGCCAGTCCATTCGTGTCTACGTATATCACGGAAACGCTCGCCGACCTGATCCTGCTTTCCTGGCCAATTGCGACGTGGTCATCACAACCTTCGCCACACTGGCTTCCGAGTTCTCTAAGCAGGCGAAGAGTATCACGGTTGTGGAGGAAGAGGAGGAGGATAGCAGTGACGGAGAGGGGGGACAGGATGGTATCATTAAGCTGAAGGCGAAGAAGCCTGCGAAACGGAAGAGGGTTGGCTCAGGACCGGAAGCGACCAGTGCTCTGCAGAGTGTGTATTGGTTTAGAGTTGTGCTGGATGAGGCTCAGTATGTCCTATTCTCCTTCTGATCGTGATCTTAGCTGAACTTCGTTGTGTAGCTCGATCAAGGAGACGTCAACTGTCGGTTGCAGGGCTTGCTGTGATCTCATGGCGGACCGACGACTGTGTCTTACAGGAACCCCTGTCCAGAACAAACTGGACGATATGTTCGCGCTCATCAAGTTCTTGCGTCTAGAACCTTTCGACGACAAGAACACTTGGACGGAATTCATCGGCTCACCGGTCAAGTATGGTCAACCTCTAGGTATCGCCCGTCTGCAAAGGATTATGAAGTGCATCACCCTTCGACGTACGAAAGAAAGCAAGACGAATGCTGGCGACCGTATACTCTCCCTTCCCCCTCGCCAAGACCAGCTTCTCTACCTGAAGTTCGACGAGAAGGAGCAGGCTATCTACGATCAGTTCTTCTCCGAGTCCAAGGCCGAGTTCAACGAGCTTTCTGACAAGAACGAGGTCATGAAGAACTACGTCGGCATCCTTCAGAAAATTCTACGACTCCGCCAGATTTGCGATCACTGGGAACTCGTCAAAGGCAAGGGTCTTCTCGCAGGCGAACAATCTCAGGGAGACTCGTCAAATTACGAAGATGCGGTGGCTGCGATCAACGCGGAGGGCATTACACCCGCGCGGGCTGCCGTCGTCTTCGCTATCCTGCGCGAGGCGGCGACGACCCAGTGCGTAGAGTGTGGCGTCGAGCTTTGCCAGCCATCTGCCGATGCGCCGGATTGCGTCGGTAGCCTTGATGGGGAGGGATCTCAGCCTGCCAAACGCGGACGAAAGCCGAAGAACGCCACGGTCTCCCGAAACGCCTCCCGAGCGAACAGCCCGTCTGGGACCGGCTCCTCGACGACGATCCCGCTTGTCCTTACGCGCTGTCAGCATCTCTTCTGCGGCTGCTGTTACAAACGCAGCGTCCACCCAGGCTGGCCGAAGTCCGCCATGGAGGCCATTCGTCCTTGTCCCGTTTGTCAGACGGGCTTGATGCCCTCCGACGCCGTTGAGGTCAACCCGAATTTCGTGCCAGGCGAGACGCCGGAGAAGAAGAAGCCCGGGAGGAAGGTGAAGAGGGTGAAAGGGTCGACGGCCGCAGAAGATTTTCACCCTTCGACGAAAATCAATGCGCTCATGGGCGATCTGGTGCAATTTTCGAAGACGAACCCGAAGTCGGTGAATTACGATCCTGAAAATGTGGATGTGCAGTGTGTGGATGGACAAGGTAATGCGCTTGATGACGGGGTTGTGAAGAGTGTCGTGTTGTGCGTAATTCTTTGTCTTGGGGACTATCGTTTCGTACTAATGACCCTTCGTATTCCACAGCTCTCAGTGGACCACTATGCTTGACAAGTGAGTATCCATCGATTCAGATGGTGTCTTCGTCTTTTACTCATCACTACATCGTTCCATAGGATCGAGGAGGCGTTGGAAACGGCGAACATCCACTACGAACGACTCGACGGGACTATGAAGCGTGATGAAAGAACCCGTGCCATGGAGGCTCTCAAGAATGATCCCTCGTGCGAGGTCCTTCTGGTCAGTCTCAAAGCAGGCGGTGTAGGTCTGAACCTCACAGCCGCCCAACGTGTTTATCTCATGGATCCGTACTGGTATGACTCCCTGTCCTTTCCAAACGACTCGGTCTTCGGGCTGACCCATTCCTCCTTCCCCGTCTCCTAGGAATCCTGCGGTAGAAAACCAGGCGGTAGATCGTATCGTGCGTAGTCTTTCATCAGCTCGGGCTTGTCTTCTAGCTGACCTATGAACTTTCCACCATGTAGCATCGTCTGGGTCAGACGAAACCGGTCACGACTATCAAGTATGTCATCGAGAACTCTATAGAAGATCGACTTCTGGCCGTTCAGAAGAAGAAGACCGAGTTGGCGAACATGACCCTCGGCCAGAACTTCAGCAAGGCCGATCTTATGCAGCGTCGCATGGAGGAGCTCAGTGCGCTCCTCGGATAAGCGACGGCTCAAACTTGTTTTCCCGTATTTCTTTGTTCCTCATATTTTGTTTACCCTTGTACCTGTTCCACACCTCATCTTCTCCGCGTTGTCGCTACCCTTCCTGCTTTCTTGCTGTCACCCGTGTGGTCTTTTGTTATTATTCGTACAATATATGCTCGCGGTCTCCCTCCGTGCGCCCCTCTCCGTTCACGCCCTTCTCCCCATCAGCCCCAATTCTCTATCTTGTTACTTACGTTGCCTGTCGTACATAGATGCGTCATGTTCGTTGTTGTACTTAAGATTTCTCAGAGCCACGAGACGGAGACGTTTCGCCTTGGACTGTACCCGTAACCTATGCCCCATTTATTCCATCTTTTGCCAGCTTTCTCCGTCGGCGTACACATACGATCTCTTCATCGTTCTCAGTAATTTTCGTTTTTATCCTGGCGTGTACCCAGAGTCTTATTTTTTTTGAACGGGGAATATGAATTGATTCCGTGCCGTGTACGTAGCGACCCCAGAGCCAGAATTCGAGGGTCGGACTCTTTTCATGCAGGTCCATGATCATTCGCTATTTCTTCTTCGACAGACAGCGAGAATGATACGGTGCGGGCTTCATTGAGCGGTGGTGACTACCGTTGAAAAATACTTGAGATAACGATGGCACCCTCACGGTCGAGGCTGCCATCAACATCTGTATACCTTTTCCGACCTTCATCTGCTAATCAATGCTCATCATTCCACCGATGAAGCACGCCACTGTCGTAGCCAGAGGCAGAAATGACAGGATGAACGGCGTACTGAGGGGTCGGGGCGTCGTTGAGGTTGGAGACAAAATCATTTACTTTCCGATAGAGAAAATGATACGTTGCAGACTGAGGCCTCGATCGGGAGCTTGCAGAGGGTCGTACTTATGAAGAAACGGAGTGGCGGAGTCCTAGAGAACAAAGGCACGAATGTTCGTACATCGCTCATAACCCACTGCTGTTTGAGGCAGATATGGTGAAAGCCAAATGTGTAACGGTGCATCGTAGTGCGGTGACATCAGTAAAGGAGGGACTTGTCGATGTTGCCCGAGTTCTGAATAGCCAAGTTGTTCAGAGTGCTCATATCGAGCCCTCACATATACGAGCTCATATACTGCGTTTATGAGGGCTCGATATGAGCACTCTGAACAAGGCTAATCTTAGCTTCGGTTGGGGCGCCCTGGAAAAAGTTACCGGTACTACCTGGTACACTACAATCACACCTCGTGCGAAGGTGCGGTCTGAAAGGGATTGGCTGAAAGAGAACATTTCGATCAGTCAAAAAGTAATTGTAGAGAAACAAGAGGTCGTCTGGATATTAACCTGTCTGAGTGAGAGTGATGATATGTTGGCTTTCATAGTACTAGTCAGAGCGTCGTGGTCCAGGGTCAACCACTGAAGTTGAACTGATCGCGCCGGCCCGCGGCATCTCCAAGCAACGTCGCAGCGTGGGACCACGTTGCCTCTTAAGGCGCTTATTTGGTCAATGTTTGGTCTGAGAGTTGGGGATGTGAAAGGCTACGAAGTGCTACTCAGTATTCAGGACTCTCCATATTTCGAGCACTCGCAATGGACAGTTAGCTGCCAACTCACTCACCCATGGAATTAATCAGGCGGTGTCTGTTGGCACCGCAAGATATCATCACGCAGTTTCGCCGGCACCGTATAGTTCGAATCATATTACTTGTGCACGCGAGCTCGGAGCCGCCTTTCCCAGCCTTTCCCAGCTCGTTCCTAGATAAACAAGTCTGCAGAATGTTGATCAACATCAACAAGAACCACGACGTAAACGCGTCGCGAGTCACGCGGCCCTCGCTCTTCGTCCTTGCCAACATGTTCTACCACAACTCTACCACAGATATAACAGGCTTGGATATTTCTCCTGGAAGTCTCACTCCATTGGAAGTACTAGAGACAAGGTAAGCATCCTTTTGAACTGTATACATTTATTTAATGACCATTAACTTATTATGTGCCCAATGGTATCCTTCACTGCATAGCATGTGGGGACACACGTTCGCGGTCCTTGCGTACATCTCATTGGCATCGTCCTTGGTCATAATTCTCCAAAGTGTCTACGCTTTCTACCTCTCTAACGTACTCGCTCGTCATAAGGACTCTGAGATCATGCATGATCCTGGGGTCGCCATTCCTCGGAACGGCTTTCACATTTCTACACATATCGATGCGCTGGGAGGGCCCGCCATCTTTGCGTATAACGTTGCTCGAACACTCTCCGTCTTTGCTCTACTTGGTCTATCGGTCGCAGGATTGCTCTCTGACCAGGTAAAATCCCAGGAGGACCGACTGCTTTACCTAGCATTGTGCCTCGTCTACGTGCGTCAAACCCAAACTCCCACTTGGCATCCGCGTTCCTGCTGTTGCCTGTACTAAATATATTGTCATCATTTGTTGCCCCAATCAGGCCTATGCCTCCGCTCTAGCTTTCTGCACCATTACCACACGGCGCAAATTGGCCGCCATCACAGAAGAGCACCTCATGGTTGTGCTTATCTCCGCATTCGTTGTTTTCGCGTATAGAGATGTTTGGCCTCTAATGACCTTTACTCAAACGCCGGAAGACGGGGGCATGGGGAGCCTGTTGTGGACTCAAGTGGTCTTGCTTGGATTCGCGGCTGTGTTTGTTCCTCTCACGATCCCCAAAGCATACATCCCACTTAACCCGAAGGTACGTAGTACACAGTTTCATACTTTACTAGTGGTAATGAGAACACTTTCTCTAGGACCCACACCAGAACCCTAACTCAGAGCAAACAGCGTCTCTATTCTCTCTGTGGACCTATGGCTTTCTCGACCATATCGTGGCCCTCGCATATCGAGTTCCTCAGATCTCGCGAGACCAATTACCCCCACTAGCCGACTACGATCATGCAAAAATTCTCGTGGCGAAGAGTTTCCCGGTTTGTGTACAACTCGGCCCACAGCGGCATCTATTGGCAGACTGACTAACTGTCAATTTCCAGCGCATTGATCCCTTCAGTGGAGCGAAGAGCAAAAGGCATCTGTTTTGGGGTTTGCTTGCAACATTTCGTGAATAATTCTTTGTACGGCGTTGCGAGAACAAAATACTGAACTAGTTGGACTTGGAACAGGGCGAGAATACTCGGTAATGGCGGTAGTTCTACTTCTAAGGGTGAGATTTTCAGTTGTGCGTTCGCTCTAGAACATGTTACTCACTCGAAAATATATGCTAGATCGCATGCAACATCATGAGCCCGATTGGTATCAACCAGTTGCTCAAGTGAGTTGTTCCCTATGCACCTCGATCGTATGCAGTTCCTTGATCTTCTGTTTTCCCGTGATAGATACATTGAGAATAACGGTGAAGGCGCGACTGTCCGTCCTTGGGTATGGATAGCTGCGTTGTTCTTTGCTCCCATGATTGGCAGTTTGGCGGCACATCGCTACCAATTCCTTTCTGTGCGTTTGTTTCTCTCCGTTCTGTCCACTAGCCATCATATTACTGAACCTGCATCTAGGGCGCAGTGCAAGTGCGAATCGAATGCATCATCACGCAGCTCGTATTTGAGCACTCTCTTCGGATCCGAATGAAAGCGAGTATATCCCCTGATGTCGAGGATGAGACGTCACAGTCCGATACCGCTAGTAGTCTCACAAAGACCGCTGTGGATTCAAGCGAGGGCGGCACTGGTCCTATGGAGAACGATGAGATGAGTCACGCATCTGGTTCATCCGTCGAGGGAGAGGGGGCGACTCTACTGGCTCAGAGCCAGTCCGATCAGGATTCAAACAAAGTCCCCCGAAAGGCTGCGGAGATATCTGCAACCGAGGTGGAGAAGAAAACTGCAGAGACGAGCTCGAAAGCTAGTAATATGATTGGAAATATCAATAACTTGGCTTCGACGGATTTGGACAACATCACCAATGGGAGAGGGTTTTTGTATGTCCGTAAGTGTCCTCTCTTGTTCGCGTCGCTGAGTAATATACCGATCATCATGTCCTGACCTTCCTCGTAGCGATCTACTTGCCCATCCAGACAGCTATCAGCATCTGGTTTCTGTACAGTATCCTTGGGTGGAGGTGTGTAAACTTGTCTCCTCAGAGTTGGTGCATTACTAAACTTCGGCTAACTCTGGGCAGTGCATTTGTGTCGATGGCCACTTTGGTACTGTTGTACCCCATCCCGATATACGTCGCCAAGTCGATTCACAAAGCACAACTCGAAAAGATGAAAATGGTGGGCATTTTTTCCAATATTTGCATCCATGTCTCTCATTACATCCGCTGACTGACTTCTGTCGTTCTCAAGTCTGATGAAAGAGTTCAGACCGTGACTGAAAGTAAGTTCAGCTCCGCCTGGCGGGCGAGCGGGTTCTTTTGAATTAATCTACGTCACTGCTGAGTATGCTTTGTTATTTCAGCACTCGGCGTCCTCAGGATGATTAAGCTATTCGGATGGGAACCTAAGATCAGCGAACGTATCGCGACGAAACGCGACAAAGAGCTCGGCTGGATTATAAGGGGTCAGATGTTCGGTCTTGCCAATGCCAACCTCAAGTGAGCTCTCATGGTTGAATTATCGGAGATGTAGTTGGTATACTGACAATGTCCTTAGCTATATCATTCCAGCTCTCGCCATGGTCTCCACCTTCATTGTCCATGTACGTTTGTGTCTAGAAGCATATTGGCCTGACCACTCTTTCTGGATAGCTGATCAAATATCTCGATCCTGTAGACGACAGTCATGGGCAAGGAATTGACCGCTTCTGCGGTCTTCTCATCTATCGCAGGTCAGTGTGCTCCCGTTGCTAGTACAAGACGAGATTAAATTGATGAAGAATTTGAAATGATAGCCTTCGATATCCTTAAGATGCAGTTGTACATGGTCTTCTGGCTACTACCTCAATTCATCCAAGGTTCGTGCAATTTGAAGTGCGGATAATTTATGGAATATGCTTGAGCTCTCCTTATATCATAGCTAAAGTCTCTCTGGATCGTATCGGCGAATTCCTCCAGGAGGTAAGACAATATCGAAAGGATTGCAGAGAGAAAGCTGACCATCATTCCTTCGAAGACCGAGCTCTTAGATGAATATCAAAATACGATCCACGAAGATCAACAGCTTAGGTCCTGCACGCCAAATGAATTTCCGGCCCCCGATCAAGATGTAATTGGATTCCGAGATGCAAGCTTTGTCTGGTCTCGCGATTCTCTCGATGATAAAGTTGGTCAGCGGAACTTCACGCTCCGTGTGGAGGGTGAGGTCGTCTTCAAACGTGGGAGTCTCAACCTAATCGTCGGACCGACTGGCTCAGGTTTGTATTTCTTTTGTGGGTTGTGCAAGTCATTGACGCTGACTTTGTTACGATATTCGTATCAGGAAAAACGTCACTATTGATGGCTTTATTGAGTGAGCCAGAACTGTGCCTCTGGGATTATGATGCAGTCATTCTAATACTAATCTCCGTAGGCGAGATGCACTTCATTCCGCTCGCCAATGATTCCTGGTATCATCTCCCTCGTACCGGTGGTGTGTCCTACGCCGCTCAGGAGTCTTGGGTACAGAATGAGACAATTCGAGTGAGCATCTCCCAATATTGTGAATTTACATCCATCTCAGTTGTGGCAGGACAATATATTGTTCGGAACTCCATACAACGAAGATAGGTACAAGCAAGGTGAGCTTTGAGCCGATGGAGCCTCAGAGGTTACTATGCTCATAATTTTTGTAGTGATTTCCCAATGCGGGTTGGAGCGAGATCTTGGCTTATTCGATGCCGGTGACCTCACTGAGGTTGGTGAGAAGGGCTTGACCTTGAGGTAAGACAGGTTTACTCTACGTAAAGAGCCGCGAGGATATTCAACGCTCGGTCGGCAGCGGTGGTCAAAAAGCTCGCGTTACGCTTGCCAGAGCTATATATTCCTCCGCAGAGATTATTCTGTTGGATGACGTGAGTGCTCATTCACCTCTGTATAGGAACTCCTTAACGACTTTTTCCATGCAACCTAGATTCTCGCTGCTTTGGATGTCCACACTGCACACTGGATTGTCGACAAGTGTCTCACCGGGCCTCTTGTCAAGGGACGGACTGTTCTCCTCGTCGTATGTTCTTCCTGTTGTAGACGACACGCTCTATCTAAAACGGAGGCTCTTTACAGACGCATAATGTCGCCATCGCCAGTCCTATTGCCGACCATATCGTATCACTGGACCTGGATGGTCGTGTTGCCTCCCGGGCATCTATTGAAGACGCCCTTGCTATGAACAAAGTACTTTCCCGTGAAGTAGCCGAGGAAGTCAACGTGATAGAGAAGGGCGAGGACGACATCGGTGCAAAACAGCTAGATGATGCCGTTAAGGCCGCTGCTGGCAAGTTAGTCGTCGAAGAGGAAATCCATGAAGGTCGCGTTAGTTGGGCAGCTCGTGAGTACATTTCATGATATCAAAAGGTCGAGTAACTGATCTCGCCGTGCAATTTTATCACCAGGCGTAATGTATCTGTCCAGCGTCGGTGGTTCGTGGACCAGATTATTTTGGCCCTTCTTCCTCGTGACCATGTTCGCAACCCATTTCACGATGGTGGCACAGACTTGGATTTTAGGGTGGTGGGCGAGTGCTTATGACCATCACTCGCCTAACGAAGTCAACGTCTCCTAGTACGCTATACTTCAAACTCAAGATGTATCCCTGCTGATTTTCATCATAGCTATCTTACCATCTATATGCTAGCCTTACTGTTGTGCCTCATACCATATGTGTTGGGAAGCACCGCATGGGTCTTCGGCTCTATGGCAGCTGCAAGGACGATTCACAAACGCTTGATAACTTCTATACTTGGCACAACTTTGAGGTATGTCCTACGTGTTTCCTTCGCATTTTTCTCTGATCGCGTGTTGATTCCTGTTCCATATCAAGATGGCTAGACAAGACCCCGACCTCAAGGATCATCACTCGTTGTACTTCAGATATCAGCACCAGTATGTTTGATCTCACCCCCTGGTATAACACAGTTCTCCTGATATACCTCTAGTTGACCACGCTTTGCCAATGCACGTCGAAAACTGGATCGAGAGCACCATTTACATGTTCATACGACTGGGAGCCGTAGTCGTACTCACGCCACAGTTCCTTCTCCCAGGTTTATTCATTTTCGCCGCGGGAAGCTGGCTAGCCCAGGTGTATATCAAGTCTCAGCTAGCGGTGAAGCGAGAAATGAGCAACGCAAAAGCCCCAGTCATGGGCCATTTCGGCGCGGCCATCGCTGGACTGAGTGAGTGCCTTCTCTGCCTTCGTTATGAATGTTCCGGCTAACGAGAGCGACTAGTTTCCATCCGCGCTTATGGCGCTCAGGACCTCTTTAGACAAGAATCGTACAAGCGTATTGACCGGTATTCTAGAGCCGCCAGGACTTTCTACAGTCTCAGCAGGTAGCAGCAACGCACTCTCTGGCATTCACTACCTCGCTGGCTAACGTTGCACTCCACTAGATGGGTATGCGTACGCATTGATGCCCTTGCTGGATTGTTTTCTTCTGGCCTAGCCGCCTACTTGGTATACGGGCCTGGACACGCTGCCCGTTTGTCATCAGATACAGGGTTTTCTCTGACGATGGCCGGCATGTATTTGTATGTTTTATATGTCACAGCTTACACTAACTACATGAATTTAGTCGCATTCGGAGCTATCATTTTGGACTGGGTGTGGGTTCTGAATGACGTCGAAATTGACTGTGAGTACCTCTTTAACAGCTCACACCTCAGGTGCTCATTATTTCACACTCTCAGGTAATAGGTAGGCCGATACTTGAAAGTATTATAAAGATTGCAGCTGAAGCGTAACGAGCCTAGTCTTGAGCGTATTCAGTCCTATGTGGCCATCGAGCAAGAACCAAAGCCCACGAAGGAAGGTGTTCCACCAGCTTACTGGCCAGCTAGCGGCGACCTTCGTGTGGAGAATCTTTCGGCGCGGTACTCCACAGATGGGCCAGTTGTTCTCCACGACATATCGTTCCACATCAAATCCGGTGAAAGAGTTGGTGTCGGTGCGTATTCGATGTACTTCACGCCCCATTTACTAGTTCCCGTATCTTATGTGCAATCTTTGATTCATGCAGTCGGTCGTACGGGTAGTGGAAAAGCGAGTTTATTCCTACACGACGGCGAACGTGACTAACGTACACTACCAGAGCTCCTTGACTCTTTCGCTCCTTCGCTGCATCTATACGGATGGAAACGTATACTATGACGGTATACCGACTGCTTCCATCAATCTCGACGCCCTGCGCACCAACATCACCATCATCCCTCAGATGGTTAGCGGCCTGATACTATTCTTTCTTATTCACTCATCATTGCTTACTTATGTCGATGTAGCCCGAGCTTTTGAGGTGAGTCGCTCTAAGTCGCTTCGGTACTGCGTCGCCTCTGAAATACGGTATTGCGCGTAGCGGTACTTTGCGAGAAAACCTGGATCCGTTCCAAGAGTACGACGACGCCACATTAAACTCGGCGTTACGCGCATCGGGCCTATTCTCATTGCAAATGGAGGACTCTAAGAATGGAATTAACCTCGATACCAAAATATCGAGTGGTGGAGGAAACCTTTCCGTTGGACAGAAGCAGGTTTTGGCGTTGGCAAGGGCCATCGTCCGCGGAAGCAAGTTACTCATCTTGGATGAAGGTTCGCGGGATTTTATACTTTTCATGGTTGTATTGCTCATTGAGTATTGTGCTTCCAGCCACTTCTGCGATAGGTATATCTCATGAAGCTCTGCTAGAGCGTAAGGACACAACTAACAATAAGTCGCAGATTATCAGACGGACTCCGTGATTCAGTCATCTCTGCGCCATGAACTCAAGGGAGACATGACATTGATCACTGTCGCTCATCGGCTACAGACCATCATGGATGCAGACAAGATCGTGAGTGCCCTGTAGTCTCCTCTCCATCCACCGCTAGTAACTCATCTCCGACAGATGGTATTGGACGCTGGACGAATTGTACGTCCTTTGCTGTACTCGTGGTGATATTTCATTGAATATACTAAGTCATTGATATACAGGCCGAGTTTGATACACCGAGTGCACTCTTGAAGAAGAAGGACGGCATGCTGCGAAAATTGGTAGATGAGAGCGGAGACAAGGAGCGGCTCTACGCTATGGCCATGGGAGACCTGTGATCATGTCTTGTACTTACATGTTGACTATGTCGCTTTCTTCTCGATCGCTAGGGAAGAAACACGCATGTCAAACGCACGATACATCATTATCTTGATTTCTCCAAGCTTTCCACAGATCACCCAGGTTGAGCGGAGACGGTAGCATATTGAGCGCCCACGCTCAGGGGCATGACTGAAATGAGCTCCATCTATCGGTGTTAGTTCGAGTGCCCATAGTTTTGTGTAGGATGAGTCCGAGTGACTGCATGTACAAAAGTTGAGCGGATCATGCGTCGACGGTGCCGGTGAGGGAGACGGACGAGGTGGGCCACACTCGTTATTACGTAATAGACCTGCCCTTAACTTGATCGATAAGCGGAAGGTGGCTGGAAAACTTTACCTCTGCCCGTCATCCTCTCCAGTCTCCAAGCTCAGGCCACGGACGACTGTCCTCCCTACGTCCCCATCGTCTCCTCCAATCTTTTCTGTATTCTTCTCTGTAAAATCTAGCCACTATGGTGTACGTATTTTCAATATTCTCCATCGGTGATTACATCTAACATGGCTACTTTGCCATCAGTAACTTCACTATAGGTTAGTAACAAAATTTCACCCACGGCGTCCTTGCAGGTGTTGACGGTTCATTCAATGATTAGACCAGATCCGTGGGCTCATGGACAAGCCCACGAACATTCGTAACATGAGTGTTATCGCCCATGGTACGTCGATTCCTGAATTTCAGGCGCTTGCATAACCTAATAGCCCCTCTCCAGTCGACCACGGAAAGTCTACCTTGACCGACTCGCTGGTGTCGAAAGCTGGTATCATTGCCTCCGCCAAGGCCGGCGCCACTCGTTATACCGACACAAGAGACGACGAAAAGGAGCGTGGTATCACCATCAAGTCCACTGCTATTTCCATGTACTTCGAGTTTGACAAGGAGGAACTCCCCGCCATTAAGCAAAAAACTGACGGTACGGTAGCTTCGTCCCGCTGATCCTCATCTATCTCTGATCGTGTTCGTTTCCTGCAGGTACCGATTTCTTGATCAACTTGATCGATTCGCCCGGTCACGTCGATTTCTCCTCCGAAGTCACTGCCGCCCTCCGTGTTACCGACGGTGCCCTTGTCGTTGTCGACTGTGTCGAGGGTGTTTGCGTTCAGACCGAGACTGTGCTCCGTCAGGCTCTCACCGAGCGTATCAAGCCCGTTATCGTCATTAACAAGGTCGATCGTGCCCTCCTCGAGCTCCAAGTCACCAAGGAGGATCTCTACCAATCTTTCCAGCGCACCATCGAGAGCGTCAACGTCGTCATCTCCACCTACAACGACCCAGTACTCGGTGACGTTCAGGTTTACCCCGAGCAGGGCACAGTCGCCTTCGGCTCTGGTCTTCACGGATGGGGCTTCTCTCTTCGTCAGTTCGCTCACCGTTACGCTAAGCGTTTCGGTGTCGACAAGGACAAGATGATGGCAAAGCTCTGGGGCGACAACTACTTCAACCCCACCACCCGCAAGTGGACGACCAAAGGCACCGACGCCGATGGCAAACCCCTCGACCGTGCGTTCAACATGTTCGTCCTCGACCCCATCTTCAAGATCTTCGACGCTGTCATGAACTTCCAGAAGGAGAAGATTGCCCCCATGCTCGAGAAGCTCGACGTCAAGCTCGCTCAGGACGAGCGTGATCTCGAGGGTAAAGCTCTCCTGAAGGTCATCATGCGCAAGTTCCTTCCCGCCGGCGACTCCCTCCTGGAGATGATTGTCATCAACTTGCCTTCTCCCGCTACCGCTCAGCGCTACCGTGTCGAGACCCTTTACGAGGGTCCTATGGACGATGAGTCTGCCATCGGTATCAGGGACTGCGACCCTAAAGGTCCTCTCGTCCTCTATGTCTCCAAGATGGTCCCCACTTCCGACAAGGGCCGCTTCTACGCTTTCGGTCGTGTCTTCTCCGGTACCGTCAAGTCAGGTCCCAAAATCCGTATTCAGGGCCCTAACTACGTTCCCGGCAAGAAGGAGGACCTCTTCATCAAGTCCATCCAGCGTACCGTCATCATGATGGGTCGTTACGTCGAGCCCATCGAGGATTGCCCGGCCGGTAATATCATCGGTCTTGTCGGTGTCGACCAGTTCTTGCTCAAGACTGGTACTCTTACCACCTCCGAGACCGCCCACAACATGAAGGTCATGAAGTTCTCCGTCTCTCCCGTCGTCCAGGTCGCCGTCGAGGTCAAGAACGCCGCTGATCTTCCCAAACTCGTCGAAGGTCTCAAGCGTCTCTCCAAGTCGGATCCTTGCGTCCAAGCATGGATCAACGACACCGGTGAGCACATTGTTGCCGGTGCTGGTGAGCTCCATCTGGAAATTTGCTTGAAGGTATGGTGACTTCGTCTGCGCACGCTGCCATGACTAAATACTCTTCTTACAGGATCTCGAGGAGGACCACGCTGGTGTTCCTTTGAAGAAGTCTGATCCCGTCGTTGGTTACTGTGAGACTGTCAAGGCCGAGTCATCTATCGTCGCACTCTCAAAATCGCAGAACAAGCACAATCGTCTTTACGCGAAGGCCATGCCCCTCGATGATGAGCTCTCCCTCGCCATCGAGAACGGCAAGATCAACTCCCGTGACGATTTCAAGGCTCGTGCCCGTATCCTTGCTGACGAGTACGGCTGGGATGTCACCGACGCTCGTAAGATTTGGTGTTTCGGTCCCGATACCACCGGTCCCAACTTGCTTGTCGATGTCACCAAGGGTGTGCAGTACCTTAACGAAATCAAGGATTCGTGTATTGCTGCATTCCAGTGGGCGACTAAGGAGGGTGTCTGTGCTGAGGAGAGAATGCGTGGTGTCCGTGTCAACATCCTCGATGTTACGGTACGTCGTTTTAGCCAGTAATCGTGCTTGGATCGCTTTTACTCACGACGTCGTTGCCACCAGCTTCACACCGATGCTATCCATCGTGGAGGAGGACAGATCATTCCTACATGCCGTCGTGTCACCTATGCTGCCTGCCTTCTCGCGACCCCTGGTCTCCAGGAGCCGGTCTACCTCGGTCAGTAATTATATTTCGTCGAATCTACTCTTTTTGTCTGACCATATTATGTAGTTGAGATTCAGTGCCCGGAGAACGGCATTGGTGGTATCTACTCATGTCTGAACCAGCGTCGTGGACAGGTCTTCTCTGAGGAGCAGCGTGTTGGTACCCCCATGTTCACGGTCAAGGCCTACTTGCCCGTTACGGAGTCTTTCGGTTTCAACGCCGCTCTCCGCTCCGCCACTTCCGGACAGGCCTTCCCTCAAGCCGTCTTCGATCATTGGGAGTTGATGAACGGAAGTGAGTACTTCAAGCTTTTCTGCGCTGTATGAGCATATATTGACGCACATCTTCTGTAGCCCCCATTGAGAAGGGGAGCAAGCTCGAGGAGTTGGTCCGTACCATCCGTACCCGCAAGGGTCTCAAGGTTCGTCGTTCTTCCGTATATCACACCTGTGCGTCACTCAAGCCTGAGCATTTTCCGACAGCCCGAAGTTCCTACTCTCGACACCTACTACGACAAGCTTTAATCCTGTCGTTTTCGGTCGTTGCCTTCTGTTTCTTTCGGTCTTGTGTTCGAGGAGCGTCATTCCTGTGCAGGTTACATTTGTTGTTCGTTGAAGTCGACTCGTGCTGTTGTTGTGTTGTTGCTGTTTCTCTAGCCCCGATTACGAGTGTACTACGAAGTCCCGAGATCATGACAATCCAATGTTTTCATTAGTTTGACTGGATAATTCTCCCTGTGCACATCCTTCGACTAGTCGACGAACGTATGAGAGATTGCTATCGGATAACAGTCAGGGTGAGTCCATATGATCAAGTTCGAATTCTCCGACGCGACAGTCAGCTAGGAAATGGTAGCTATGGCGGAAGTAAGGAAGACCGTGCAGCGTCTTGTGTAGGCCATAAGTTGCCAGGAAGGACCACATGATGACGGACCAGGAGCGTAAATTCCTGGCCGCAGGTATGCAATCTGTCGACGATTACTGAATGGCGAATGTTCAACAAAGCCTACTATGAAGAGCCTGAGGTCAAGGCCTGACCGCAGGATGTCCTCTTGGCATGATGTATGGAGTATGAACGTTGAACGAAGGATTGAAGGATCTTGTTACCGCTGTTTCGTTTCGACTAGGTTCGACTCCGATAAGGTCCCGAAGGGTTCTCCAGGTTTTTGAGCACGGAATTTGCCTAAAAGCAGCGGTTGCCGAATGTTCGCCGCGAGAAGATGGTCTCGATGGGTACTGCGCAGTCTTCTTGTCATTTTGATTCGCGATTTCAAGGCACCTCCAAATTCCAAAACATACATAACAGTCTTCCTACCGTTAGTAACTGACATACCCTCTCTCCACTCGACGGTCATGGTCGCTTCACCGACACTCGATGAGCATCTGAAGCCAGAGGACGACGTTCAGGACCCCGAAGACGAAGATCTGAACGAAGACGGGCCTGACGATGTTCCTGGCGATGTGGCTGGTGCGGGTAGTTAGTGCCACTCTCATTCTACTCCTTGATGGGACTTATAGAGCTCAGGTGTGGCGAAGAAGAAAAAGAAGAAAAAGAAGAAATCGGCCAAAAAGAAGCCAGAGCAAACAGATCCGCCACGGATCGCCCTATCTAAATTCTATCCGGATGGCGTATATCCTGAGGGTGAGGTCCAGCCGTATAAAGACGAGTACGCCGCTGTTATAAGTTGGCCACAAATTTAGTGCTGATCCTTTTTCTTCTCTTTGTGGTTGGTCAGCAACATCTGGAGGACGACGTCCGAGGAGAAGCGACATACAGAGAAAACAATGAACGAAGACCCAGAGCGAACCTACGAGTCCATTCGCAAGGCGGCTGAGGTGCATCGACAGGTTCGACAGCATGCTCGAAAATTCATCCGTCCCGGGATGAAGCTGATAGATATAGCCGAAACTATCGAAGCCGGCACGCGAGCACTGGTAGATGCGGACGGTCTAGAGGGCGGTATCGCTTTCCCAACTGGCCTCAACTTGAACCATTGCGCGGCTCATTACACTCCGAATCCTGGCGATACCACTGGTATTTCTACGCTGTTATGATCTACCGTCAAAATAAGCACTCACCTTGGTAACACACAGTACTCTCACAAGGTGACGTCCTGAAGGTCGACATCGGCGTTCATGTGAGAGGACGAATCTGCGACTCGGCTTTCACCATGACCTTTGAGCCTACATACGATAAACTGCTAGAGGCTGTCAAGGCGGCCACCGATACGGGTATTCGTGTAAGATTGATCTATGGTATTGATGAGTTGATCTAATGAGGCCCCTTTTTGTAGGAAGCAGGAATTGACGTCCGTCTAGGAGAGCTCGCCGGCCTAATCCAGGAGACGATGGAGTCCTACGAAGTCGAGGTTGCTGGCAAGGTTTATCCTGGTCAGTACTCCGGCCCTATGCTATTCTTCCCACGAAATTGACCGTCTTACTCCATGCAGTGAAGCCTATTGAGAACTTCAGCGGGCACTCAATTGGATTGTACAACATCCATGCCGGCAAGTCGCTTATGCTGATAAAGAACGACGACGAGACAAAGATGGAAGAGGGGGAGTACTTTGCCATCGAGACATTTGGCACCACGGGCCGTGGTTACTGTATAGAGGAGGTGAGTTGTCAACGCGACAATCTAGTCCGACGGAGCTGACAGTGTATTTCAGGGAGACACATCACACTATGCCAAGATATATAACGCACCGCAGGTGCCATTACGGTGAGTACTTTGCCACATCTGACCAACATTTTGGCGCAATGCTGATAGTGCTATATCCTCCAGGTTGTCCTCTGCGAAGTCGCTGCTGAAGACCATCGAAAACAAATTCGGCACTTTAGCTTTCTGCCGCCGCTACCTTGACCGGGTTGGAGAAAAACAGTACCTGTTTGCTGTACGTTCTCTGAATTGTATCACCAACGACAAACGCTGATAATCCTGCCTCGTAGCTCAACCACCTGGTCTCACAAGGCGTCGTCCAACCATACCCTCCACTTTGCGACCGGCGAGGGTCTATGACTGCCCAATTCGTCCGTTAATTTCTCTAGCTTCTCTACCTGCCCATGCTAACAGCAACTGAAGGAACATACTGTTCTGCTTCGTCCTACCGGAAAGGAGGTAGTGTCGCGAGGTGACGACTATTGATTCTGTTCGTGGTTGTGGATGTGTTATCAGATAACAGAAGAACTCAATCGTGACATCGGTTCGGCGCTTTTTTCTCTGCCTCCAGAATTGCCCACGAAGCTTCCAGGTTCACATACTCTACCGGATTCTGGTCAGGAGGCGTATCTACGATGGCGTTATGTATTCCCAGTCTCGAGCCACATTATTTCTTTCGCTCAGTCGAGGGCTTGTTGCTAACATTTGCGTGCATACGCTCTGCACCGAGATTCAGCCTGAAATTATCAGATTGCACGGTTGGGTACGCAGTAAGCAGCTGAGTGGTTCAACCGTCAGGAGCACTAAGAAACCGCCATATTCCGGGGAACAGCGTGAACATGTGTCTATCGTTGCCGCCGGGAGCAAGTGAGATCTCCCGTAAGGGACCAAATGCGCATGGCTGATTATTAGATGGAAACGAGAGGACGGTACAGTAAATACCATTAATAAAGAAAGTGTATGGGGTTAGAATAGGGACGACGACGCGCGAACACTGTCCAGAAGGATGTCCTTGTAATCACCTCCCGCCTCCCACATCGCAAACCCACGAAGGCCCATAGTGCTAATCAGTACGCCCTTTTCAGCGACCGACGTCGCATCATCAAAAGAGACAAAATGCTCTGCCTCCTGGTTATAGACCCGAGGCTATCAAGTGTCGGGACAATATATTAGTAAAATATCGACAACGGGTCCGAACAAAGTGCGGCTTACCGTCCGGTCACAGTCACCGTAAACATACGCAATACCATCCGCGGCGACGCCTTCCTCAGTCAACCATCCACCCTCGACCAAACCCCAGAGATCCATATTTCCACTGGCGAGGAATGGCTTGCCGCATACGTCACTGCCGGTGGAATTGTCCCAGCTATCTCCCACTAATCGGACGCTAGCGTCGAACAATGGGTAAGCTGCGAGCACGCCGTCGCCGTTGGGGAATGCGGACGATGCATTAACGCTGAACGAATGCCCATACGTCGCCACGCCCATGACGATGTGGTCGGACGGCATTCCAGCATCGTTCCACGCCTTGACGGAAGACACGGCCGACCCCTCTTGCTTGTCCGCGCTCTCGCATGAATCGTCGAGAGGTGCGTTGGGTCCCGCTGTCGCGCTCCAGCTCTATGAAGTCAAACCAAGGAGTCAGAGAGTCGAAACAGTATAAATCAATGAGGACTCACCCCCCAAAGGTCATAGTTCATGATCGTGATAAAGTCAAGGACGTCGGCGAAGCCTGAGACGTCACTCGAAGGGTTGCCACTCGCATCCAGCCAGGGTCTCACTGCAGTAGGGGCACTGACAACGAAATCTTTGCCGGCTGGGTCTGCGCGGAGTTCTTGGAGGAAAAGAAGGTAATTGGCAGTGTCATCGGGGCTCTTCGCGTTGCAGCCGACGCCGACTTCGCTGCCCGGATACTCCCAGCTAAATCATCGGAGGTGAGCGCCCGGAAAGGATTATTCAGGTCTGCACGTGGGGTGGCACTTACTCGAAGTCTACACCGTCAAAACCGTAGCTCTGAACGAGACTGACGACGCTCTGGACGAAGGCCTTCCGGTTGGCATCATTTTCCACGTTGGTAGAAAAGTGCAAGGAGCCGGTCCAACCTCCTACAGCGATCATGGCCTTGACGTTCTATGCGATATAAAGGTAATTTAGCCAAAAGGTTTCAATTGCTCAGGGACTTAAGCTCGTACATTATCATGCGCTGCCTTGACGAAATCAGGTATGACCTCTGGGCTGGAGCGGTTCAAATATAGAGCCCCGGAGGGATCTTCCACCGTCTCACTGTCATCGTCGAGGACAGAACCAAAGTTCAGCGTAGTGTTCCGACAGTTAATCCATACTGAGAAAGGTTAGACTCACGCAAAAGAATATATCATGTGCGTATATTTTTCCCAGCTCACATCAGTGAGAGGAAAGTCATCGTTGTGCCATCCGGTATAATAGCCAACTGCGACCGGAGACGTGGTACGTCGACTCAGGTTTGTGGGAGAGGATGACGCGGATGCCACCAAGAGAGATAAGAATAGGGCCGCAGTGGGAAACATTAGCGACTGGCGTGGGGAGTCTTGTGGATGAGGGTCCGAGGCAAGAAAGTAAATATTAGTGTCGAGACGGCCGTGAAAGAATGACAGGTAGTAGGTGGCGCGTTCGAAACCAGGAGAACTCAGTCCGAATGAGAGAGAGCAGAACTGGGGAATGGGCGATAAATGTGTCGAGATGGCATGTCTTTATAACACGATGAGAGAGGCTGTGGGGACAGAAATGAGCATATATCAAGTGTACTCGATCGTGTCCTACAACGCGAAACAACTGCTCGCACTGCCGCAGGACCTTAGCGTAAGAGTTACTTAGCCTTCTTACCTACGAGCTCTGAAGGGACCCCCGGTGGTCTCCTTCCCGGGCCAGGAAACTGTTCGGTAGTATCAGTGACGGCCTCTAGCTTCAGACATCCGGCTCGTGGATGAGAAGATATTGAGCATGATCCTGCATGACCGGAGCTCCTCCGCAAACACACGAATATTTGAACACCACGCGTAGTTGCCAATGAGTGATTCTGTCGCAAAACTTGCATTTGCCCGGGTCGGCCAGATCTTGGCGAGCTAGGCATAATTAGTTCTGTCAGGATGTGCCCCCCTGACCAGGCCTAACAAGTTTCAGGAAGGGGAATTTCTGCCTGACCAGGCCTAGCTAGCCTGATCAGCCTTGTGCTCCTGTACAGTGAAAAATAGCTTCGTTGCCTCGTAGCACTAGGTACTACTGTAGGCGTAGTGGCGTAGTGACCCTTGCATTCCTTACTTACCGTACAGTCGTTCGTATAGGACGGCTTGCTTCCAGCGATTTGCAGAATCGTAGTCGCAGTCGCTTTTTTCTGCGATGGGGCTTGCGGCTTCTTCTGACGCAACCGACTCCCATAACAGGTTGTGAGCGCCACGACCACCGGTACCGTCCTCTGGCGGCGGGCCACCCTCCACTGAAAAGCAATGTTTCGAGATATCTCCATCTCAAAAATTGTACAAGTGATTCTAGTGTGTTGTTGACACACTCACAGTCTTAAAACCCAATATTTAAGTGGCAGCATCGAGGCTGGCTCGAGGACGAGCACTGTGGCCCCGTGTAGAGTGGCCCGTCGGAATGGCCGGAGACAGCTCCGAGTGGAGCACAGGCTTCTCCGCGAGAAATCTGGATGCGACTACGATTCTGCAAACCGCTGTCACTTACCGAAGTAGTCACTCAGACTTTGAAGGCTAGGGTTCGAACTGACGACCTCATAGTAAGTCGCACGCGTAAACGCCGGTGTGATGACCACTGCGTCATCGTGGAGTATAATAATGGGGAGACATATTATATATAATGTGTAGTTCACTTGCTGGTATACACATCGTGTGTTGCTCATTCTCACCACAGGCCTCGCAGCTTGCCCGAGAAATTGTCCGAAATGCAAAAGAAAGCACTATCGGGTGTGCCTAACAGATGGGCTGAATATTGACAAATAGGTGTGCTCAGTCGTTGCCAGACATGGCTACGGCTCGTGCGAAGGCTGACCAGGCATCTTCAGCCCTTGTCAGGCCCGGTCAGGCCTTCGCAGCTGGCACACATTATTCCAACCTATGCCTTGCTAGCCCTTACTGGCCTACACTGACCGCCTAAGCAGGCATAACTATCCCAATTCCCGTGCGTTAGGCTCTGCTATGCCTAACTAGCCAAATGTCACTTTTCCGACATCAGAAAGAAGGTGTGTATATTCGACCTCGATCGGGGCACCGAGTGGCCGCTGGCCAATCAACGACTTGAATATGTCATTTCGGAGACCTTCCCGAGCTCGAGTATCTCTCCTCACTCGCTAAGACAAGTCTGCCAATCGCGGCATACATGTCGAACTGCAAAGTGCCCCGATACGGAGCCACACCGCCCGTCGGAAGAACGACAGAGAGGTTCGAGTCGAAACAAGAACATACCGTCTGAGATCCAGAGTCATAGTGGTTGGAAGACTGGCAAGTCCCAACCGGATTCGCGGCGACCAGCCTTGCACTGACTTCTATATCAACTTCACCGCAAAGTGTACTCTGCGGCATGTCCAGCCTGCACATCACTCAACACCAAAGGCTTCACGACCTTCGCCCAGTTATCGTCCCAACTGTTCCACTCCCAATCGCTGTCCAGCTCCTCGCCTACGCTACTCAATTCGTGCGAGGTAATCGACGCCTTGGAAGCGCGACGGAGAGAGGATCGGAGGTTGTCGAGGGCTTTTGAGGCCGGGAAGGATAAGAGAAGGGTCTGTGTATGACGTGGTCAAGAAATGTGGACAGTATTAGCGGTGGTTTGGGAAACGTAACCCGAGATAGTGTGAAGTGGCCCTGACCTCGAGTTGTTTGGCGAGTTGTTCGGCAGAGTTGAAGACAAGACCGTTTGTTCCGTCTTTCACGAGTTCTGAAAGGCTGTGTACGGAAGTACGTCGATTAGACATTTGCCTGGTCAGAACTGAAAGAGAAAGAGTGTGTTACCAAGCAAAGTCGAGAGCGCACACAGGCAGGCCGCAACCGAACATGTCTACCACTTTCATCGGTAGGTCCATATTCGAGGAACTCGAGTGCAAGGAAATCCCTAGATCAGCGGAGCCTACATCAAAGAGAGGTCCAAATCAGCAAAATGAACAATACACCGGCCTGTGAACACCGTTGGCAGGCAGAGTGAAGAGGTCTGAGTTGCGTAACTGCTGTCGATCGCACCCCGATTCGGGAGTGACCTGTTTCAGACAAACCATTCCGGATGCCGAAAGGATCCTCGATATCGACAGTCTCGGAGATCATAACTCACCGAGTAACAGTGGATAATCCTGTGCTTCGAGCCACAGGCTGATACACTGGACCCACTCCCACGGTTCGTTTCCTTCATCGCCATTTTGTAGCCTCTGAACCTCGTTCATGTACTTGGACCTCAATGGTCCTTTCCCGGTCACAATCATCAGCAGCTTAGGAAGCCTTCCCTTCACGCTGGGCGGCTCGCCATGAGCCTGAGCATCTTGCTCTTCTGCCTCGAAGACGCGGTTTATTTCCCGAGCTTGTTTTTCGTATAGAGTTAGAGCTTTGAGGAGGATGGAGAAGTCCTCGTCGGGGGTCCAGCTGGTGCTGCTCACGACAATAGCGGGACGGTCCGAACGAAGGGACGGCATGCTGAGCTGTTCGAGTATGGCTGGGCGAGAGCTTGAGGATTGTGTATGATTAGAGATGTGGGTAAATGGTGTGGAATATGGCGTGGAGTATTCGGGAAGAAATTTTTGTGGTAATGAAGGAGATAATCTCAGGAAGAGCTGGGTGAGGTGGTTGAGCTCCTGTTAGTTGAGACGGTCACGGACGCTTACCTCGTGAACTTCGGATGGAGTGCAACGATGGAAGTAAGACGGAGGACGATCGTGTAAAACAGCTCCTAAGCCTCTAAGAGTCCAGATCGTCAGCCGACCAGGACGATGACCGAGAATTCTGTTACCCACTGCAGATGCCACTCTTCGACGAGAGCTGTGCGCATGGCTCTTGTAACGAATAAATGGGCATAGGCGGAACGGCCGAAATACGCCTCAAACCTGGAAAGAACGTCGTGTAACTATTATATTCAACATGAATGGGAGGAAATACTGACGCCCTTGCAAGTTTCACCAGTATGTGCTCGTCCCCCAGTCTGAGAGCGAGGATGCTATATCCCGTGTTGTGCCAGTCTATAATGATTTTACTTCCACGAATCCTGGCAAAGAGCCACACTAGCGCAAGAGTCGGTATACTTGGAGGATTCTATATGGATATCTCCATCAGAATGTTTAAAGATGACGTGCAGTAGATCCACAACATACTTGGACCATGATGAACTCAGGAACATGCGGGAGACGCCACAGCAACGTGATGAGTATTGTCAACGTCTGCCGGACGACCTTGAACGGTGCCACGATAATGAAAGGGAGACGGCCAACTTTTGACGGCGGGGTGGGGAGGTAAGAGAAGTGCACGCGTGGTAAGGATAGCAGTCCGGGAATAGGTTTCGATCCTGAGCATTGTCGAACCAATTAGCAAGAAAGCCCTTCAAAGCCTGTGCAGGATAATACCTCGGTAGCCTACGAGATATGTGTCAAAGCCAAGTTTCGCAAAGCTCTCTGCATGGTACATCATGCGCGGACTTCTACCGATGTCTCCGAGCACCAGGATTGCCACAGTACGAAGTGTGGGTGTTCCTCGAGGTCTCAGGAGCTGCCATAATGCAAGAGTAAATAAGAAAAAGAGAACCAGAGATGAGGTGGTCTTGACAGAGTCTGCACCAGGATCCGAGCCCTCCATGAGGGAGGTGATGGGGGAGAGAAAGAATTTGTGCTGGCAAGAACACTGTGACGCAGCAGAGAAAACATAGGAATCGAGTCGTCACTGCAAACGACATAGTGATGGCGCCAGTCTGTCGGATGGGCACTTCACGTGAAATTATAGGAACTGCTGACTCACTGAAGGATTGGGTCATCGCTGAGCTCATATTATAATCCTGACTTCGCCACCTTGCAGCCAACCATCATGTCTCTTTCTCCAATGGCCTCTTCATCGTTCAAAGCACTTTCAGGAGTAGCTAGAGCACGTATTTGTCGTCCACCGAGATCAACAGCTCTTGTGGCGGCTGCTCGCAACCTCAGCTCTACATCGAGGTGCTCCGCTCACCATGGATCTACTTTTGCCACTGCGGCCGGCGTACGACCCACGACATCCCCTACGACAAGTCGGATAAATCCTCCCTTATGTGCGTTGAGATATTCTTTTAGCATACAGCTGCACTACTGACATTATACGTCAGCGCGCTCAATGTTTATTCAGACCGAGACAACTCCAAATGACGATTCTCTGAAGTTTATCCCTGGCGTTACTGTCATGGAGTCAGGCTCTGCAGAATTCCTCGACACCCGATCAGCCCTCACATCACCTCTTGCCATTCGTCTCATGGGCATCGAAGGCGTCAAGACCGTCTTCTATGGCCCCGACTTCGTCACTGTATCTAAAGACTCCGAGAACCCATGGAGCGTCCTTAAGCCCGAAATCTACTCTATCCTCATGGAGTTCTTCTCCTCTGGGCAGCCATTATTCCGGTCGGAAGAAGACAGGGAGAACGCTGGACCACAGGACACACGTATCCTTGACACGGATACAGATACCGTTGCGATGATCAAGGAGTTATTGGACACAAGGGTTCGGCCGGCGATCATGGAGGACGGCGGTGATATTGAGTATAGAGGGTTCACGGATGATGGCTTGGTACAGGTTAAGTTGAAGGGGAGTTGCAGAGGGTGTTCGTCTAGTACTGTCACGCTCAAGACGGGTATCGAGCGCATGCTCATGCACTATATTCCTGAGGTCAAGGGCGTGGAGCAGGTACGCATTTCTCTGTTATTAATCTGTGGTTGATTCTGACCTATACTATTTCCAGATACTTGACCAAGAAGAGACGATTGCTTTGGACGAATTTTCCAAGTTTGAGCAGCGCTTGAACTCAAAACAGCGCTCGGCAGAGAAGCGCGACTCTGAGTAAGTGCCGTGTACGTTTGCAGCGTGTATTTCGTCTGACTTCCTTAACCCTTCCCCAGCATGGCACAGTATATGTCTGTCTGATCGACTGCCCGTTGCTTTCTTCCGTTCGCTGTGTGCTACCACTGCTTGTCGACCTCATATGTAACTGTAGACTGAGAAATCCCCACGCGTATTCTCACCATTCATGTCGCATGCGAGCCACCCACTGCTGTGGCAATACACTCGATGTAACTTTTGCCCATGCTTTCCATCTGCTCGAGGGTATTTTCATGGCAAACTTCATGGTATTGTTGGAGGCGAATGACGATCGAAGTATTACAGTGATCGTAAGCTTGTCTAAGTAATTCGTTCTCACGGCCCATAATTTGATCCATACATCAGTAGCTGCCATCAAGTGCACCGGCTCAGTCGCAAGACCTTACTTTTCCCTCCTTTCCCTCCACTCAACATCATGGCATCCGCATCCACCACGCCAACGACGGGTCGCCCAGTAGTACTCGCATCGCGAGAATCGAAACTCGCTCAAATACAGACTATGATCGTCGTCCATGCTCTCGAGAACGCCTTCCCCTCCGACAAATTCACTACATCTTTCATGACCACCGCAGGCGACAAGAACCAGTCGCAAGCACTTTATCTTCTCGGAGGCAAATCCCTATGGACCAAAGAACTCGAGGTCGCGCTCAAGGAAGGGATCGTCGACATGCTCGTGCATAGTCTCAAGGATGTTCCGACGGTACTGCCGGATGGGTGCTCGTTGGGCGCGATCTTGGAAAGGGAGGATCCGGCGGATAGTCTGGTCGTGAAGGCGGGTTTGAAGGTGAATGGGAAGGAAGTGAAGACGCTGGATGACTTGCCGGAGGGAAGCGTCATAGGGACGAGCAGTGTGCGGAGGGTGGCACAGCTGAAGAGGAAGTACCCGCATCTTGTGTTCAAGGATGTCGTACGTCTGTATATACACTCTTACAGTTACACGTCTAATCCACCAATTTCTGGACATTATCATCGCCATTTCTGTTCGGTCATTTCAAGCGCGGAAACTTGTACGTGCTTCCCATAACTCCATCCATGCTTAGCGTAAATTCAAGAATTGGGTGTGCCACAGGACCACACGTCTATCGAAACTCGATGCCCCCGATGGACCGTTCGCAGCTATCATCCTCGCAAAAGCAGGCCTCGTCCGACAAGACCTCGGAGGGCGCATCGCCTCCGACATCGTAGCTCCGACACTCTTCCACGCCGTTGGCCAAGGTGCCCTCGGAGTCGAAATCCGCTCCAACGACACCAAGATGATCGCCTTCTGCAAAGCCCTCACGCACTGGCAGACTCAATGGAAATGTCTCGCCGAACGCGCCTGCTTGCGTGTGCTCGAAGGAGGGTGTAGCGTCCCTGTGGGCGTGCATAGTGAGTTAGAGGTGATCAAGGATGAGGGCGAAGGATCGCGGGAGGCGAGATTGGTGATTGTTGGGTCTGTGACTTCGATCGATGGACAGCAGCATGTGGTGGAAGAGCTGAAAGAGGTGCTCAGGAGTGTGGAGGACGCGGAGGCCGTAGGATCGAGGTTGGCAAGACAGTTGTTGGATAGCGGGGGGAAGCAAATTTTGGACGCAATCACGAAGGATCGGGAGACGAGGATTGGGGAGGACAAGACAACAGAAGAAGTGCACAAAATCGAGGAGAGGATGGAAGAACAGACTGGGGCAGCGGCCGTATAGGTTCGTGCTGCCTTCGAGTGGATGTCGACCGTATTTTATAGATTTTGTATGCTTCCTGCTCAGTGCTAGTAGGTGTGTATGTCTGGTGCGAAAGAAATAGAATTCGCAATTCTTGTACTGTAAGATACGGCAGCATAAGAGCATGCAAAAGAAAGACAGAAGCAAAGAAAAAAAGTATGTTGCGCGCCAAAATCCATGTTGACCAGCCTTGTCTACTAGCCAACGCAGACAGTGACGAGCGATTTCTTCTTCGTCTCCACGAGCGCCTGTAAATCCCTTCTGTAAAAATAATGGGAAGCCAAGTGACTCTATGGCGGAGACGATGACATTGAAGAAAAACCAGAATGCACGCGAAAATCGTGACCTTTATACCGCGAGGGACATGTGTGTGCTTGTTTGTACCGGCTTCGCTCAAGCCGCGGCGGACCGCCGGTGATGGCAGACAGGAGCGCGGTCAAACCTGCGGAGCGCCACTTCCTGCTCAATTGCTTGACTGCTTCGTTCTCTTTGCTTGGGTCGCTAGATATGGCTTCGAAGAATAACAGACGACTGGCTAAAGAACTGACGGAAATTAAGTCTCAGGGCTGTCCAGTTGGTATGCTACCGCGAGTCTCCAGACTCCAATCTACCTAGTTTGATACCGACATCTGTTCGAACAGGCATCGAAATACTGCAGGCAGATGACCTCGAGACTTGGATATTCACGATAGAGGTACTCGGCGAGAGTCAGTACAAGGTACGTCATCGTCTTTCAGTCCTTAGCGTCTCTGTAACTCATCTCTTTTGACTCAGAGCGAGAGGTTTGCGCTCAAATTCCGCTTCGACGGAAGCTACCCATTCTCTGCTCCTGCTGTTCAGTTTGTGTCAGACAACAAATGGAAACCTCCGATTCATCCTGTGCGTTCCTCTACATCCTGCGATTCCTCCACGGTCTAACTCAAATATCACTCAGCACGTTTATACCAACGGACATGTGCGTACTTATCCTCCGTGTGGCGCCCTGAACCTCATTTCTTCTTCGCACAACTAGATTTGTGCCTCCATTTTGGGAAACGAATGGTCTCCAGTCCTCAGTGTTATAGCAGTATGTGTGACGATGCAGAGTATGCTCGCTTCTTGCAGAGTAAGCTGTCCTCCTGGCCACATCGTGCCCGTCTAGAACTGTTGATGCCGATATCACTCGATGTGTTTGCAGAAGAAGGAGCTGTGAGTGTCTACATTAGGTGGAAGATGCGACATGGTCTTAATCTGTTAAATTTTTAGGCCACCAGACAACGACAGATACGTCCGTACCGCTCCGGATAACCCGAAGAAGGTCGGCACTCTCACCTTGTCTCGTTCGTTCCGTAGCGCTGATGTCGTGGACCTGTCTTATCGGCAGACAACTTTTGTATATCACGGTATGTTTACCTTCCGTCTATTATCCTCATCCATAACCTAACTCGGTCGTGACCATCGAACCTAATAAGATGACGAGTGCGTGACCTTGATTAACTTTCTACTTTACTTCGAATTGACACTCCTGGATCTTCTTGCTTATAGCGTTTAACCCTGTGAAGTTATTGGAACGATTCATGGCACTACTACCGAAGATCATTCCTATACCACCGCATCCTCTTGTTGTATTATCACACCTTGCTTTCGTGGTGCTCACAATGTTTTGTAACTTATTCACTTTGCTGCGTGCCCATCGAAGGACCGCCGAAGAGCTAGCTAAGATACGGAAAAAACCCGTGCACCGCCAGCTTACAGGCTAATGCCGCGACATCCGCATCGATCATAACTTGGGCCATGTCCTTCTCGAAATCTCATCGATCCCCCATCCCTGTTTGCGCTGTTCTATAAGGTCCTGCGATAATTAGGACGTCAGCTCACAACGAATTGTCCGGCACGCGCATGGTTGAAAGTTGGCTTACAATCAACATCATGTTCTCCCTGGGCTCGTCTCTCCACAATTTCCCCATAATCCTCAACCTCTCGAACCACCCGTCCATCGTCTCTTTCCGCTGATCCTCCAAGTTCTTTCCCACAGTCATCAAGAATATGCCCACTGCCTGTACGCCATCTTCCTCATCTCTTTCAGCCCGCTCCATTAATCGCTCCCCACAATCCACCACGATCTGCTCAGATATCATCCCCACCATCCAAAGTTCACCGATGAACCTCATCAAGCCATACCACCTCTTCTTCGCCATATACAACTGCCAGGGACTGGGGTATATCGGCCTCAACCTACCCTTCACGAAAGTCCTATCACTTATCGTGACCACATTCTCAGGGTCAAACCTTTCTGGTCCCGCATCGAACGCGGTGCGACATCGACTCAACAACAACGCCCGGAGCAATCGTGGACCCGCCAAAGGTTGTTGGGCGCCATCCGACTTAGGACCATACAGCAACGGCGGTTCCTTCAACTCGACTCTTGGCGAGCTCTCCGCCATCAACTTCAGGCAGAGTTTTGCATAGCGCCAGATCGTTACCGGACTGCTCTCCACGGCTTTCTCGAACACGAGCTTGATAACATGATCCAAAGTCCTGCCGTTGTCCCCCGAGTCGGAACCGCCCGTGCTATTGGTGTTGGCGCATGCGACGAGTTGGTCGGAGATGTAGGTGTGTCTGTCTTCGTGCCAGAGGCGGATCTCGAGAAGTTTCTTGACTCTGAAGGTTACCGTGTCGAGACGAGGAGCACCGGGAGAGATCGGGAGACGGGGAAGGGGGTTTGTATAATTCCAGTCGGCGACGATGTCGTTTTCAGACGAAGAAATGCGGATATCTTGAATGGGAGAGAGGATGAGGGGCGCTGCTGGCGATTGGCCCCAACCCTCGTTCTAGGACGACTAGTCAACGCGGGAATCAAGATGTGCTCGGCGGTGTGTCATACCTGGTTTATGTTTCCTTGCGGTACGTCCCATCCCGCGATCTAGATTATTTATGGCTGATATGAGTACAAAGTAATCAATGCCAGATGCACTGTCGGCCCACCTGTGCTCCCGGTGGGCTTGCGAATGCTTGCGTGATGGAAGGTGTAGGAGACGCCGTACCCCACGCGATAGGCTTTGAATGGTATCCGTTGACAAGAGGATTTAGAGACTTGAGAACGTAAATGGCACATACCTCAGGCGTAGGCAAGCTCGATGGACTCGACGTTGACGAAGACGGCCGGTTTGTTCTATACGCTGTGCGATGCGTAGCCTATAACCAAACATATCATCAAGACGCCATGACGTTGTGTTAGCATACGTATTTCCAAACCCGGGAACATAGACAACAAGGCATACTGTAACCCTACGTACCCTAATTGACGAAGTCTCCGAGCCAGGACTGACTACCCTCACACGTTTTACCCGGCCCATTGACCGAACAAGTTTTTTCATCCGCTCTAGCTCCGCCACCACATCCTTATCCCGTCCTCTGTCCCTCCAAATACGGGCAACCTCGTGTAGCGCATTGGACAAGTCTTCGTCTGCCCGCTCATTCAAACGCATTGCCGAGAGCATGGAGCCTAGTCTCTCCTCCAATTGTTCGCGGGTACGGTGCGCCTTCCTCGCCTCTGCGAGCTCTGAAAGCAAACGGGTGAATACGTTGTCGAATTCACGGCGCGCTCTCAGTACTAGGTCCTCGATAGGTTCCTCAATGGATCTAACACGGGGAGGCGATCCCGCTGGCGGTGGCGTTGGGGTGCGTGAAGAGACAGGCGAAGCTGTCGAACTTCCTGAGGCTACGCTGTGTGGGGGTGTGGGGTATTGTGTAGTTGCCAAACTGGCTCTCGAGGAAGGACTGTTGCCTGAGATAGTAGATTTCAGTCATGTTCACCGCGAATCATTGCGTAGAATGGACGAACAACGTACCATACATTCCGCCGCGGTGCTATGGATGATTGGGGCCGGGGAGCGCTGCATGCAAGGATAAGCATGAAGACCGTCAAGTATATAACAAAATGTTCAGGATGGTCGCCTTCTCCCGTGGTACACAGCGTGTCAGCGCTTCAGCCATGACAAGACCAGATTCTCCCCAAATGGGATGTCACGTAGCAAAGCACACATCACAGTCAGATACTGTCATTGTACTCCGAGCGTTCTCAGTCTCCGGGGCCGGCCCACTGATCAGTGAAGCATAGTGACACTTGCATGGAAGGCGATTGTGAGTGTAAAATTAACTTCCTTCCTAATGGATCAGTGAATCACGAAAGAACTCGAGGCAAATGAGAAGCAACGGAAATCTGAAAGGTCGAAGAAGCCGAATAGCAATCTGGCGAACCTCAGAATGAATATTCTCTGTGTGTAAATAGTACAAATGAAGTGAAGAATACGCTTGATAGACAGGCTCTCAAATGCCGGACTGTAGACAACAAACACGCGGATATTGAACGTCTACTACACGAACTGAACCCATCTCGGGAAGGAAATGTTCGGATGCCAACTACTATTCTTGTAACATTGATGATGACGCGCTGCCTGGAAATCCTGAACCGAATAGGGCAAATCGCGGCCCCGGCTTGAAGCTTTGAAGCACGAAGTTACTCGGAATCTTCAGAAGCATAATCTTCGGACCCGCTATGGGCATCATCCTTCGCGTCCTCTTCTAGGAGTTCCCATCGTGGAACGTCGTGACCCGCCTGCTTTACCTGGGACCAGGCCAAGTGGTGGTTGACCTGCGCCATAACGATGGTCAGCGAATGTATCGATATGAGAAATACGGTCCATGACTCACAGCGTTTCTCCATGTCAGGGGTATTCTCGGTTCATGATGGAACTTATGGCGACCTTGTCGTCTGGGGAGCTCTGCTGGACAGTTCAGACAGAGGAATTCACATTTGAGGCAGTCCAACGCCCATTTAGTAGTCGTGACGCGATCAAGTTTGAGTATGTCCAGGATCGACAAAACGGCGGCCTGTGCCGTAGTGTCCAGGGTAGGCAGGTCCTTGGGCATTGGGCCCCGACAGGAAAATACTTCCTCCTCGTGTAGGAGTACGAGCGACGGGAAACTCGAGCGCGAACGGGAGAACACGGTCGTCGCGAGTTCCAAACCCGAATTATTCAAACCATTGAGAGCAAGAATACTGGCCCTCCTCTGTGCACCCCAGGCGTTGAGCTCATTGGCCATCGACTTGAGGAAGCGATAAGCCCTGTCGGCGCTCGTTGGAATTCCTTCGTTGTCGTCGATCCACTCACGCAGCTTCTTGAATTCGTTGATATCCTCGTTCTGAGGGAGACACGCGGCGTCTACTTTGATGAATTTTTGACGATAAGTTTTCAGCCCAGAAGCAAGGATTTCCCAACATGCATCGCGCCTCTGCTGTCGACGTGCAAGCCTTGAGTCTTTGGCCCGATCTAAATCAGCTTGGATGAGAGGAAAAGTGCGGGCCCAAGCTGTGTCGTGCTGAATGAGTTCCGGGTCAAGAGGGCATTGAGGGATCACTTACACGCATCGGTCAATGGTATATCAGAGCATACCCTGGGATGCTCAGCAACGGTAGCAACGTCCCTCACCTCATACCCCAAAGAAAGACAACGGTCCCGGATGCTAGAAAAAGACGGACAATGAGACGTGACACTGAAGATTAGAGGAGATGGAGTGAAAAACCGACTCTAAATATCGCTGTTGGCTCCTCCTTTTCTTTGCATGGTAGCGCTCCTTCTGCGTGCGATCATACCACTGGCTACATTCCTCCGCGTGCTAGTCGATATCGGAAACGCGAGTTAATAGAATTGTTATATGAACCGGTTTGGGGTGTTAGGGCGTACTGAAGAAAATTTTGCCGCTTCGATCTCCTTTGATTGTTTGAAACTCTCCAGAACTGTGTCGATATCTTCGGTCGCAACATCACGAATGAGAACTTCGACTTCGTCCTTGAGCTTGATGACGTCCTCGTCCCACCAAAAGTCGCCTTCTAACACCACTCCCTTCTCATCCCGAGGATTGACTGTTGTGACTTAGAATGAGCTGACGCAATGTAGCATTAAAAATGAACGTACATTGTGCGCACGGCAGACAGACAATCATCAGATCATCCATCATTTTCGAAGTAATGCGCACCTCCGGATCGTCCTCGACTGAGTCCACAAGGCTGCGTGAGTGATTGTCAGTGTGACAGGCCGATTTTCGGTACAGATTGTTCGTAGCCACTTACTATTCATTGAGACAATAGTTGCAGATCCTACGCCGCAAAGCAAAGTCGATCGTAATGACCCTCGAGACAGCGCACGACTGAGGGCATCGAGTTTTCTTAGTTCATATACTATGCACGCCTTCTGTCCGATAAAAATACTCAGGGCACTTACATGACAGATTGCACCGCCAAAGAGCAGGTTCGCCCAACGAGGCTCTGCAATATCTTCTGGGCATATAGGTACCCCTACCTCAACGAAACTCTTCCATGTACGCTTCCAGAGCCATTTGATACTTTTATCCATCAAGATTTGTCGGAATGCCTTCGAGACACGTGAGAGAGTGACAAGGTCCTTTGGATGAAGATGGCTAAAAATCTAGATCAGATGAGAGTCGCGTTGGGTGGGAGTGTGTGTCAGTGTCTGATATGGTCAATGTCGGAAAAAGTCGAGCAGACCTCAGAGAGCATATCAAGTGGGAGCGTTGGAAGATTCTTCAGGCGGCCTTGCAGTCTTCTAGGTGGTCCATTGGTGGTCGCCTTCACATTCTTGGCTGGTGCTTTCTTAGCACGTTTCGCCGGAGGTTTATGGTCTGGGAAGATGGCATTTGATAACAAAGAGGATAGACAGTGAGCAGTCAATGTACATAAAAGGAGAATATACACCGGTCTGAATCGAGCATTTGCATCTCATAGCTGTGGTACACACCTTCTACATCTTTGGTATCCGACTTACTAGTACTAGTACTAGGACTGGCTTTCCCCTTCCTCGTCGGCGCGCTGCCAGCAGGCTTCTGCGCGGGTTCAGGTTTGGACTTACCCTTACCCTTGCCCTTGTTCTTACGTTTTGCAGGAGCCATGACCAAAGTTGACTAGGAGAGGATAGGGAGTCTGTTGTGGTTGTAGATGAACAAGAACAGTCGTTGAAGACCGGCAACTGCCTGAAGTTGAACGACACAAGTTCCCACGACTCGGACACGGACACTCTTCACATCCCTAATGGGGGGTTTTTTTTATTTATTTTTTAAATCGATTGCATTTGTATAGCGCCGGCGAAAGCCAGGGGCGCTGAAAGTAGGTACTAGTCAACTATCTACAGTACGAGAGGGAGTTGGTAAATACTGTGGAACTCAATGTTAGAGCAGGGGATGGAACCTAATGGGGTATTAACTCCGGGCCGGCCGTGTCGAAGGCTACCGCAACCTCCGCCGTTAAATTTTGTGCTCTACACCAGTGAACTGCTCAAGCTCGTCAATAATACTCAAGAGCACGGAGATCATGATTAAACAGAATTGCGAGATTTGGAACACAGTGGCATTGTCGAAGGGCATTTGAAGGCGCCGAGACTGCAATTTACAAATAATAACCAGTAGAAGTGTTCGATTCCCAAAAGTAAGTAAACCAAAAGTGAACCAGAAAAGATACAGACATGTGACTACATTAGCTAAGAGCAACACGACTTCTTCACTCTAGCGCCGACACCCATTGCACTAGCAGAAGGCACACACGACGAGATCTTATCACCCACTTCGTCCCTATTCCCACCAGAACTCCCCGGACTGGCGCTGCGATCCTTGCAACAACCATTGCATTCTCCTCCGCACCCGCAGGACTTCCCACAGCCGCATGAACCGCCACAGCACAACTTCGGTAAGGCCACGGGTCCTCCAGGGGGTGGAATACGAGCTGCGTGGGCAAAGAAGCTCTCAAGTGCCGAATGCCCGCCAAATGTGCCCGTGGCGGGACCGTGCCACGAATGTGAGCTACGAGCTCCGCCGACTCCGGAGAGATCAACCTCACGAAGATTCTCATCAACGCAGGATGTACATCCTTCTCCGCAATCCTTCTTGGCATGACCGGATGATGCCACACGTAGAGTGCTTTGACCTTCGCTGAATCCGAGTTCGAAGTCGAGCTCCGCGGACTGAGTATCGTCTTCTCCGGGGCCGTCTGTGCGGTGTTCGGCACAGTCAGGGCACGCACATTGAAGACCGCATGTGCATCCTGTGCCCGCGAGTCGATTGAGTGTGCTGAATGGTGGCATTGACGTAGGGAAATTGGGATGTTCGGGAACATGTAGATGATCATGTGGCGATAACGGTGGCATCGAGAAAGGAGTGGGTACGATGGACTTCTCTTGAGACGTAAATTGTAATGGTGGGAGCGCGAACTCTGTTTCCGGTGACTGGTATGACCTTGCACGTTTGGGGTATGACGAATTGGAGATACGTGGAGGAGTGGGGGAGCGACGATGCTTGCGCATAGGGTGTGACAATGGAGGAGTGAGGCTGAATCGGGCGTTCTGAGCAGACGGGGACCGATTCGTCTCGGGCTGGGACAGCGACGTCTCGCCACAACATAGGGCAGCTGCTCGAGCTAGTGTGGCCAATCCATTTCCGGCAGGTCTAAACGTGTTCTCACCGGTAGCAGAGCTCTCGGGGTACGTTCTGCATTGACAATTCCACACGTCACCACACCGGCAGGGGTTCAGCAAGGATTCGACTGTGCGGACGTGTGAAGTCAGCAATCCGACGCAAACCACTGCCTGAAGAGATTGAGTGCCAAATGGAGATGTGTCTGAATCTTACCTTGTTGTCGTGGATTGGACAGTTGGACGGGGGTATCCGATGATCGCTCTCCTATCGCGTCTTTAAGGCCATTGGGTAACGCAGGAACGATTGGGATGTATCTCTTCTCTGTCTTAGAAGAGTGGTAAGAATAGACGGTCATATAACATCACAACGGGTCAAGAGGAGACCCTGAAGATAGCAAAATCCCGCTCAGATGACAGGGCCACTTACGTTTCGTCCCAAATGCCTTCTCAGTCTCGTGGCTGTTCGATGCTCGTGAATCTGAGCAGGTACACTTCGAATGTACACGCTTCGTACTGCGTAGCTCGCGGCAGCGTTCGCATTGGGATACAGGGCGGCCTTTCTTCTTGATTTCGTACAATGGGCGGTCGGTATGGGAGCATGATGAGGAACGGTGGCCTTTGATACAGGATTCGCTGTTTCAGTGCGACGATTGAAGAACATATTAGAGAACGTTTCTTCTGAAGTGCAGGTGAGTGCGTACCAAGCAAACTTCTGATTGTTGATAAATACCTATACGACGGACCATAAGCTACGTGTGGTCAAAGGTTTTCCTGGAGGTACGCACCATTATGGGTTTACGCTATTGCTATGCACGTCACAAATAGCAACAAAGCATAGAAAGCGAGATGAAGGGAAGAGCGAAAGGTAGAGATGGAAGGGAGGGAAGGAGAAGGAGGCCGAGAGAGGACTGCGACCAGGCGGTGATATATGTAACACATTTCAAAGGGTGAGACGCTTGGCGCCACAGGCACGGCTCCGAACAAGCCATGGCCAATTGATCGGTACTGTACCGGTGACGCAGTACCTCACCAGTGCCACACTCCCAGGCCGGGCTTTCAATCCTACTTAAGTACCAGCCGAAGTACTGTCTTTCGAATAATCTCAACGGTGGCCAGTAAAAGGAGGGCATGGTTTTACCACATACTTGGCCATATAGTCGAGGGAAATGTCTACGCTCCGCTCTCATTGGTACTGCATCTCACTTTGATCTCACTCGTGGCGATCGCGGCGGGAGAACATCTTGATGATGAATGAGCGCTTTATGCTGTGGTACGCAGAAATACCTCCTGCCGGTGTGGTACTCTCAGAGCTCAAAATATGTCAGATTATGAACAGTACCATTTGGAGCTCGGGACAGAACCATGACATGATATTGCGCCGCAACTTGTAGAACACATCTGGCACGTGTAAATGATGTGGCCCATCGTAAACTTCCTAACTTGCCGAACTCCATGTGGTTACTGGATAGATAGATGGTATGCCACTAAAATTAGAATCCCTCGCATCTCAAAGTTACGCATAAAGAAAGGAAAGGTCTGCATCGTCGAACGGGGACAACATCAGTCCACACCCGCTCAATCAAGCGCCGCAAAGCGCAAAGGAGTACTATTGTTATCTGGGCCTGTAAGAGAATCGGAAGTCGTACTTCTATCCTTCCCGCTAGATCTAGTTCTTGCTTCCAATTCTCGGCAGAGCAAGATCAAGTGAACGGCTAAGCCTAGGGGAGCTACTATTTGGCGCCTATCCTGCATACTGTAACTAAGCGAGTCGTTGAATTTGCCCGTGTTGGAGACAAGTCCAGCTTGTCACAGGCAGAAACCGACCTTCGATAAGGTGAACCACGTATGTCTCTTTATTTGAACTATCAGATACTCATACACGTCGCCTGGTAGTATTATTATCGAGTGATGACGGGAAGTCTGTGTTCAATCGCGGGATACATGAATACGAGATGAGCGACGATATCACAGTGCTGACCCGTCAATGTCGGAAGTCTCAAGACCCAGAGGAGCATTGTGTATGCCCGCGGAATTCTGTTCAACGTCCACCTGTTCGTGCCCGCTTGGAAAAACCAGTGTACTGAATGGTTCTGCATCGTGAGACTTTTCACTGAAGAATCATTGCGGTGCAGCGTGAGCAGTATCCCCTCAGCGAAATATGTATACGATGATGGAACGTACGCGTAGTCCGACAGGTTTTGATACATTCGAGTAGAGCAGATGATTCTGTGAGGTGGCCGGGGGAGCAACGTTGTTGAGATAGAGGTGAATAAAGTGGAATGTTCGGCCTTACATAGTGACGACTGTGGGCAATGTGAGAAAGATGCGGTGATTCGTTATTGGCAAAAAAAACATGCCACTCACTATTGAAGAGGACGAACATCTATACATTGATAGATGTTAGTTGAACCCACGAAACAGAGAGCCGCAATCGCGTTGAACGAGTATTGATGTGAACGCACGGAATCCATAGGCTCTATTTCGATGCATATTCGTGTCATCAGTTGCGTGCGGTTTCCCGGGACGAACTCATGCCACGAACCATTGAGATCTAATTCCAGAAAAATCTGAAGAAGATAATGAACGGCAGTGGAGTCAGGTTTGATTGATCGGTGAGGAGCGTCTTCAAATACATACCGCCGCAGGGAGTCCCGCTAGAGCTGCGACCACAATCCATACAATCCCCTAGAAAAGAGGAATGATAAGGCAATGTGAACCCTACTAGATTATTCTCTGTATGCTCACCTGCTCGAGAATTCTCTTCCAGAGGCAGCCTGAATACTTCATCCGTAGCACACCAGCGAGAACAAAGCATAGAAGAGCAAAGTCGGTAGACAGTCCGACGATTACCGTGTTTCGGCTAGCGTCAGTCTTATACCAAGGGCTGGTACAGGCCCCATTGACGATGTTTCGTTTTGAGCGCTGGGACACGATAATAAATATCTGGGCCTGCTTGGTCAAACTCCGGACATCCGACGTACCGCAACCGCGATAAGGCTGTAAAGTTGCCACCCGCAGTCTAATAGCCAGATGGCGACAAGCAACACAGATACGGGGATGTGGTGTAGCCAGACAGCGATGCTAGAGGCAGCAAGTGCGGTGTTAATCGTGATGGTGTTAGGGAAGCTATGAAATATAAAGACAAACCCTCGTAGAACGATCAGAGCTTGTGCACAAGCCAATGCAAGGTATGCCAACGTCTAGATTGTGAAGTGGTTAGCATGCGTCAGACCTGGGTAGAATGTAACAAACTGATATAGACTGACTACAGCGACAGTGATAGCTGCCTGTGAGGATACAATTAGGCTCAGATAGGGCGGTCTAGCGTGTATTGGCTACTTCACTTGACAATTATATTCTTTGGGCACATTATCCGTTATGAGTATGGTGACCACTGCGCCGAGAGCCAGCCCTCGGCACATGAAATACATCTAAGAAGGCGGTAAGATGAAAGCTCGGTGAAGCCACTCAGCCTGAATAAGATGTACTGACAACCGGTGCAGGCTTGCGAGCTCGTGGACTTTTCATTAGCCGCCAACCAAATGATAAAGTGACCACGTAGTCCCATCTGCATTGAAGTCAGTGACCTAAAAGCCTCGGTTGAGGAGGAAGACACATACATGTATACGCCGCATAAAAAGTGGTAAAGCTTGATGACCACCTCTGTGAGTATGATTAATACGTCAGCAAGCGTTCGTTACGCTCGAGCAAGCAGGACGCACGGTGTTCGGCGAGGATGTTAGATGGATCTTTCCAGTTGACCATCACGAGAGAAGGGTATCTGAGAAGAGGCCGGGAAGTAGTAACAGAGTCTAGGATGGAAGGTCTGGCATATCGGGCCTATATAGCCATGACACAGGTCGTGTGGGATGTGGTTTCTGTAACTTGTCTCGCTGCTCAAGTGCTACAACTCCCCAAAGTGTCATCAAGGACATCAAACCAAAGGTTGGACTCAGGATGAGCTTTATGGGGAGCAGGTAACGAGAGTTGTTGTGAAGTCGAAGAACCGTTATTGGTAATACCACTTGCGGTTCAACTGTTCGATACCACAGTGAAATTCGCAACTGCTGACTACAAAGATATTTGAGCAAGAACTGGACAGTATTCTTCTTAAAACAATAGCAGACGACTGTATCATCAGAACGAGGCGGTTGACGCCTTCACCGATAGTGATGACGTACAACATTAGCCACAATGTTTCCGTGTAGCTTGTCGACGGAACTTGGGGAGAAGTCCGTTAATCAGCTATGCCATGGACGCGCAACTGAGACAGTTGGCAAAAGCTGACGTTCATGCCGCCAGTTGGGCCTGCAAGGGCCGAACTTCGCCTGTTGTTAGGATGACACGGCGGGAAGAGCGATTGATGCTTACCGATGCTCATGGTGGAGACGGTGATGGACGTCCGGGAAGACATAGATCATTGAAAGCATGGAACGGTCCTAGTCGTACTGAGCGTGCGTGGCGATCGGTACTGGTGTGGCGCAGTTTAATGCTTACTACAACGCACTCTGCGGAAGGAGTCGCTACTAGAGTGCAAGACATATTGCACTGGATTTTAATGAAACTGTTTCGCTACTTGATTCGTTAGGTCGATATATTGAGAGACACTCCGGAAATAGGTGGCATGAAATGTGTCTCATAGCCTGAGCTCCGAGTCCGAGGAGAGCATTGCAGTCGGACGAAGACCACCGGAAAAGATAGACGTCAGAGGTAACAGTGCAGTGCGAGGGCAAAGCAGCAAGCTTAATTGTCGAGCTATCGTATGAACTGTGAAAGCATAGAATACTGTACCCATAGACTGAAGGAAGCAATAATGAGAGAGAAAGAGATGTTCCTTGAGGTGACGCGTACGGTGATCTCGAACTTGAGAGCGCGTGTTGCCGGAGTGAAATGCGAAGGGTTAGGTTAGGGTTCCCACAACGGCGATTCCAAGCACTCGAATTTCGCCGCCGCCGCCTCCACCAACGAACACCGGCTCCTCAATACTGTGAGTATTCGTCTCTATGCTGTTTCGTTTCATGCCAGGCATCCGTATCGCTCGTCCGGAGGTCGTAGGGTTGGTCGAGAGGGAGAACAGAGGATCGGAGGCGGTGGATGCATGATTGGACGGTTGGATGACAGGACGGGCGGACGGATGATGTTTGGCTGGCTGGCTGGATTCCTTGCGTTCGACGGTCTCGCTGACTACTTCTGCTGCATTGGAACTTTGATCTTATAGACCGCCATGGCCGTCAAGACCCCCATTGTCAAAAAGCGCACGAAGCCCTTCAAGTGCGTACTTGTGACCAGCACTAAACATCTAGACTCACCCGCTCACGCATCACTTTCTCTGTCAATCACAATAGGCGCCACCAGTCGGATCGCTACCATGGTGTGAAGGAGGCCTGGAGAAAACCCAAGGGTATTGATAACAGGGTCAGGCGTCGCTTCAAGGGCCAACTGCCCATGCCATCGGTGCGTTTCTTCACATACATCTCAGCCTCGTATGCCAGGCGACTTACCCTGAATCTCGTCTCGCGTTTGACTTGGAACCATGCAGATCGGTTATGGTAGCAACAAGAAGACCCGCCACCTTCTTCCCAATGGCCTGAAGAAGTTCCTCGTGAACAACGTCCGTGAGGTCGACCTCTTGTTAATGCACAACAAAAGCTACGCCGCCGAGATTGCGCACAACGTTAGCAGCAGGAACCGGGCTTCGATTCTTGAGCGGTGCGTCTGCTTTCGCTCACACACATTTTCATCTTTCTCACTTTTCCTGTTTCTGGACGTATAGGGCGAAGGTTCTCGGTCTGAAGGTGACCAACCCCGCAGCTCGTCTGCGGTCGGAGGAGTAAATTTACTTTTACTTTCTGCGATGTCATCTCCATTTTGCTACCCCTTGCTACTTTGCTTTCTTTTCACCTCTGGCTTGCCCGCGGCTGCACTCCGACCCATCGACCCACCCCATGTAAGACTTCGTCTCCATACATATGCCGACAAATCATGACATATGCCTCACGCCGACTGTATGTTATTGTTCGCTCTCAATTCTGGGTTGAAAATGAAGAGATGATCTGGGGCGGAACTGGGCCTGTTCGTGTGGACGAAAACATGGCATGGTGTGAGATGCGCAAGGACACAGTTACCCAGACGGCTCTTGGTATAAAACCCTTGTCATCTTCAGTGCCGTGGAATCGTCTTTGCTTTAAGTTCGATCAATGGCAAGGCATTTAGCAGAGTGTCTATCTAATGGGTCCGCTGCGTAGCCCGGCCTGCATTGTCCCGGATTTGTTATCGCAGCGTCGCGTCTACTTTCTTCTCCTCGAAATACAGGATATATGAAATGGAGTCGATAAAAATATCGTTCGCAGCGCGCTTTCAGACTTATTTATAGACTTCACAACGGGTCCATGGGAGGTTGGACACTATAGACCTCTACAGTGATGACAATCAATCACGTTCGACACTGCTATGTACGAAAACCAACGGCATGAGTTGACGGGGGAGGTAATTGCCGCGTACATCCTTGCCAAGTATGTGAACGGTAATACGAGGACACTGATGGTGAGTATCACTTATGCGAGAGGGCGCGACTTGGACCAACAGTGCGAAGGACAAAAATGACGGAGAACTTGCTGGAAGGCCTCGAACCTCTTTGTCTTGCGATTCCGTCGAGCCATCGATTGATACACGTCGATGACCTATGGTGAAACGGGCGACTCTGCATATCATAGGAGGATATGTAGGACAGGAGACCAAATCCCAAGGACACGTGCGACTATTGTATGCGCCACTTGTGTCAGATGAGTTGAAGGATCGTATGAAGGATCGTATGAGATCGTATGAGCACGTAAGTATGGGAATAATGTAGAATGACAGCACGGGTTTGGGAAGAGTCAATCCCATGATGTCCGGAGTCTGGGAGAAAGAACGGGAAGCAGAGAGGGGTCCAAATATAGCAGAGCATCGATGCCATCGTCGAACGGAGTACGGAAGGAAGAAGTCCGAAATAGGAGGAAAGGATGTCGCAGCGAGCTCGCAGTTAGGAATGTGCTGAAGAGAACGGAGCTCGAGCATGCTGAATGTCTGCGACGCAGCGACTGAGGATGTTTCGCAGCCAAGCTCCCAAGTCGACCGTTATGTATACAGGACGGAGTTCATTTGTAGTGATCAGCTGCGCCGATACTGTCGGGGTCGCACGTTCCGGCTGCTGAGCTGCCTCTGCAAGGTCAAAAAATCAGGAAAAAATGGGACTTTGTTGAGGCGGTCTGAGAGATGTGTACAGCGGAAAGACCGAGAGGAGAGTCGGGCGCGGATGGGATCGATGTTGGGGGTGAGCGGAAGAAAGCAAGGAACGTGACGAGCGCTGGTTCCGATGGGCCGAGTGGCGGGCGAAATTGTGTCTCACTCCACCGCCCCCTTTCGTTCACACTCGTTTCCTCTTTCACAACCATTTCTCTTTCTCTTTCCATCTACCAGCATATACTCTTCCTTTCTTAATTCACTGCCCCATGTCCCTCTTAGCGGCACCTGCACTGGACATCACTTTTGAAGACGACGACTGGTTCACACCGTCCGGCAAACCGCGATTAAATCGAGGCACCAGTGTCGGGAACAGCTGGGGTGTGACTTCTATCGGAGGAGGCTACGACTGGTCGAGAAAACAGGATAAGGCGAAGGAAAACCATCATTTCGATTTTCCAGAGGACGACGAGCCCGCCGAGCAGGCACCGAGAGCGCACTCGAACCACGCTCAATTCCAATCTGCACCTGCCACATTGGAACCCGCCGCCGCGTCCTCGTCTTCGCTTTCGAAGCCCTTGCTATCCTCGCCCTTACCGATATATCCTACCACCATGATCACCCCCTCAACCCCGCAACACATCCTCACCACTTCTCACACCGCAAAGTTTACTACAGATCCGCTATCGCTTTCTCCATCTGCATCCCCCACCTTCACTTATCCCACCTTCTCCTCCCGCCCCCATACGCCCACCAGTCCAGCTCTCGGATATTTCGCCAGCAGTAGACCCCCACTACCTGCTCGTTCGCCCACGTCACCTCGACCAACGCGCCGCTCATCGCAGCAGCGTGTCTCTCTCATCGCTGGTCGTGTCTCCATCGCGCCTCTAGAGCACCCAGCGCCTCCCACGGTGGCCGTGCAGAAGCTCGTCCGCACCGGAAGCTCTGCCAGCTTGCTCAGCGTCGCGGCTAGCACTGGTCCACCTACGCCTGCAGAACCGAGCCGAGCACCCTCACCGCTGCCTGGTCCCGCTGCTGACGGCAGCGAGCGAAGTATATCGGAGTTTGTCATTCAGGGCGAGCTCGGTAGAGGTGCTTATGGTCTTGTGAAGAAAGCGAGGGAGATGCAGGAAGATGGAACACTGGGGGTGAGAGCTATGTCTAGTGCCTCACTGGGGTCTCTATTTCCTTTGATCCATATGCTAAATGTTTCGTTAGCCGCCTCTGGTCATCAAACAAGTTATCAAGTCACGCATCCTCGCCGATTGCTGGAAAAAGCACCCGAAACATGGGACTATTCCCATCGAGATATACGTTATGTCTGCCGTTTCTAATACGTCCTATGTTCTCCCTGCACGCCGTCCCTGGGATCCAGCACGGTTCACGAAACCCCACACTCCAATTGCCTCCCCTCTCTCTCGTTCACCTTCGCCTGCGTCCGCGGTCGGCTCTTCCGACTTTGAATGGGTCGAAGGCAAAGTCGTGAAGGGTCACCCGAACATCTGTCCCTTGCTCGATTTCTTCGAGGATAATCATTACTACTACCTCATCTTACCTTCGACTATTCCGGAACCCTTGCCAAACCAGCCGATCCCACCATCAGACCTCTTCGATCTCGTGGAGAGCTATCCTGAAGGTCTCCCTCCGAATCTCATCAGGACCTATCTCGGCCAGATAGCGGATGCGATGAGTTTCCTCCATGCACGGGGTATCGGTAGGGAAACTTCTATACTGGTAATTTGCGAACACTTGACAGATGATCTGTATTTTCACACAGTACATCGCGATATCAAGGATGAGAACATCGTCCTGGGGCCGAATGGCAGGTGCATATTGATCGACTTCGGCAGTTCTGGTCTCGTCAAGAAAGGTGGTTGGGATACCTTCAGTGGAACGTGAGGATTTTTTTTATGCCTTTGCGCCGCTCAGCGTACTGAACTTCTCGCACACAGCTTGGACTACGCTGGACCCGAGATTCTGCGCGGAGAGCGGTACGAAGGCAAGCCTCAGGACGTCTGGGCCTTCGGAGTTGTGGCCTATGTGATGTTGGTCGGGGAGTGTCCTTTCACGACCGCCTCGGACGCACAGACTGGTCTCGAATCACCCTTCAGCAACGCGTCGATTGCCCTCGATGACCGTTGTGGCGAAGAGCACGAGACGGATGGCGAGGAGTCTGACGGGGGAGGAGCACTGGGTGATGCCGCTGCTCTCGTCCGTGAATGTCTGCAGGTTCAGGTTGATGAACGTCCGTCATTCGATAAAATCATGCAGAGCCGATTCCTCGCAGGCATTGGTGGTTGGGGGAGATAGAGAACTATCTATCACACGGATCCGGAAAGGATTGAGACGTATGTAGTATGCAGACGAGGTGGCCCACAACAGCCCAGCCTGGCTCCTCAAAACGTAAGCTCTACTTCCGTATCGATCTATGCCTTGAAGTGGAGTCCGGTTCTAATCTCTCCATTTTTCTGCAGAAACAATTTTCTAGCACACACGGGCGATTCCAAGTTCCGATGTGGATCCTCCAGTTAATCGACTGTTTTCGCTCTGTTTTTCTCGTTCCCCCCTGCTCGTTTTTTCCTCTTGCATTCATTTTGTTCTCTCTTTATTCAATTACATACGTGTATATTTTATCATCTCACAATTACCCTTAACCTTCAAGTCACCGCCAGCTTCGACGATGGCGGACGTGTTATCGTTCACCATCGCGGGCATGCGGCCCTGCCACCCACCTCTTAGCCTCCACGCCTTTCGCTCTCGCTTCTTGGTCATGCCTGTTATGTGTAGAGTAGAAAATGGGTGTGATATTGTGTCTCGTCGTCTAGTCTGTAACATCATACTTATTTTGTAGCGTATGCGAGGTCTGAGTTCGAACGAAATAAATTTCATGCACAAGAGACTGGACCAGTGAGAGCGACCGCGACGGTCAAGGGCGGCAGTCAAAGCGAAAATTACGCTTGCCGAGAGGGAGATTTCGAGGGAGCCGGCGCGTTGGAGCTGGAGTCAGCGTGTTATCGGATCTTGCATCGATGAGGGTCGATCAAGATAAAATTTCGGTTTCCGCGCGTATATCAAAGCCGAGGCTGGCGCTCGCCCTCCCTCCGCGTTCTCTACACCCCCCTGCCTCTCTCTCCCTTCCCCTCTCACCTACTCTCTTTCGTTACTTTCAACAGTGAGTACGCCATCCTACGCACCCTTCAGATCTGTTTTTCTCGTCGACGGAGGCATCGAACCTGGTGGATGGCAAGCGTCTCGAATAGATGACTCTGGGGCTCGATCTTCTGCAGTCTCTTCTCGAGGGCCTGTCTTGCCTCCTATTGCCTACCAGTCTGCGCACATCGAGCTCTTACTGATCCCTCCCGTCTCTCCGATTTGCAGACTAAAAAATGGGAAAGGAAAAGATCCACGTTAACGTCGTCGGTGAGCAGCACTACCCTTATCTGATTAATGACTCGCACGCCCGCTCATCAAGCGCTCCACTCCTCCAGTTATCGGCCACGTCGATTCCGGCAAGTCCACCACCACTGGTCACTTGATCTACAAGTGCGGTGGTATCGACAAGCGTACCATCGAGAAGTTCGAGAAGGAGGCTGCTGAGCTCGGAAAGGGTTCCTTCAAGTATGGTGCGTAGTATTCATCCTGTCTTGTCTCTCTTCCATGTCTCACATTGTGATCCTCCTTCAGCCTGGGTTCTTGACAAGCTGAAGGCCGAGCGTGAGCGTGGTATCACCATCGATATCGCTCTCTGGAAGTTCGAGACCCCCAAGTTCATGGTTACCGTGCGTCTCTGTTTCTTTGAATTGGGCGCAATGCGATGGCGGTGCTCAAAATTTTCTTCGAATTTTTCCTCGCTCGAATAGGTCATCGATGCCCCCGGTCACCGTGACTTCATCAAGAACATGATCACCGGTACCTCCCAGGCTGACTGTGCCATCCTCATCATCGCCGGTGGTACCGGTGAGTTCGAGGCTGGTATCTCCAAGGATGGCCAGACCCGCGAGCACGCTCTCCTTGCCTTCACCCTCGGTGTGCGTCAGCTCATCGTCGCCGTCAACAAAATGGACACCACCAAGGTAAGTCATCGCTTTGACAGATTGATCGATCCCGCTCCCTTATCGAGATCGCAATCTAATCGATGTCGTAATCCATTCAGTGGTCCGAGGATCGTTTCAACGAAATCATCAAGGAGACGTCCACTTTCATCAAGAAGGTCGGTTACAACCCCAAGGCCGTCGCCTTCGTCCCCATCTCCGGCTGGCACGGTGACAACATGTTGGAGGAATCCCCCAAGTGCGTTATTTGTTTTTCGACTCAATTTGTGCAGAACTGACGGCACTCCCTTCTTCAGCATGCCATGGTACAAGGGCTGGACCAAGGAGACCAAGGCCGGTGTTGTCAAGGGCAAGACCCTCCTCGACGCCATTGACGCCATCGAGCCTCCTTCCCGTCCTTCCGACAAGCCCCTCCGTCTGCCTCTCCAGGATGTCTACAAGATCGGTGGTATCGGCACAGTGCCCGTCGGTCGTGTTGAGACCGGTGTCATCAAGGCCGGCATGGTCGTCGCCTTCGCTCCCTCTAACGTCACCACTGAAGTCAAGTCCGTCGAGATGCACCACGAGCAGCTCGAGCAGGGTCTCCCTGGTGACAACGTCGGCTTCAACGTCAAGTACGTTTTCCTCATTTAACCATATTTCATCGATTACTCTTGCTTACCTCTCCACTTTTAGGAACGTTTCCGTCAAGGATATCCGCCGTGGAAACGTCTGCTCTGACTCCAAGAACGACCCCGCCAAGGAGGCTGCCTCGTTCAACGCCCAGGTCATCGTTCTCAACCACCCCGGTCAGATCGGTGCTGGTTACGCTCCCGTTCTCGATTGCCACACCGCCCACATTGCCTGCAAGTTCGCCGAGCTCATCGAGAAGATCGACCGTCGTTCCGGTAAGGTCATGGAGGCGTCGCCCAAGTTCGTCAAGTCGGGTGATGCGTGCATTGTCAAGCTTGTTCCCTCCAAGCCAATGTGTGTTGAGTCCTACAACGAGTACCCTCCTCTCGGTCGTTTCGCCGTCCGTGACATGAGGCAGACCGTTGCCGTCGGTGTCATCAAGTCCGTCGACAAGACCGAGAAGACTGGTGGCAAGGGTTAGTCGATTTTTATCTTTCTTGTCGTGGTATTCCGTCGCTGACGATCATCATCACACAGTCACCAAGGCCGCGGAGAAGGCCAACAAGAAGAAGTAAACATAGATGTAGAACCATCCTTACGTTTCCCTTTGTCTTTTGTCTTACCATCATCTGTGTTACTTTTTTCTCGTTCTCTCTTGCTCGCGATCCGCATACCTCGCATGTTTCACTGTCATCATCAACTTGTACACGATCATTACGATTACGACGCTGGGTCATCCCAGGTGGCTTGGCGGTTGTATCGATAGTTCACGGGGGTTGTCACGCTTTTCTCGACGGTGGATGAAGAATGATAATGTTGTTGTTGTTGCAGTCGTCTCATTTTATGGTGTGATTGTTATCGGACAATTTCATGGTGTGAAATATTGACTCGAGTCCACTCCTTCGTCGTGTTCGTTCCGCCGTCGTCATCCGTCGGGTGGAGATCTTACAGAGGGAGTTGCGGACGTACGATCGTCCGCCCTACGCCTAAGTCGGCCGTTAGAAAACTTTCACAACCAACTAAATGGACGGCTGTCGTGGTCGTCCTTGACTTGGGCGAGTTCGTTGACAATATTTGGCACAACAATCTATGGATACATCGTGTCGACGTGTACATACATTCGAAGCGTTTACAACATCCATTCCTGCCCCTGTCAGAAATACCATTTACTTCTAGCTCCCCATCTACCAGCAAGTCATACCATACCATCCCATCTGCACATTGAGCGTCGTTTAACGGCGCCTCACTCGCGCCGTCTAACAGACGTGCTCGATCTCTTTCCCATCGTCGACGCGAGGACCCATGTCCCTCCCGACGGTGCGCTCGAAGACTTCGAGCAGGAAACCGAAGAGGGTGCGGGTGAGGGCGGCGTCCCAGCGGCCCTTGGAGGATTCGTCGCGGACGAAGGCGTGTTGGGCTTGGACTTCGAGGAACTGTGGGAAGGGTGGGGGGTCAGCGAGGGAGGGGGAGGAGGAAGGGGTGAGGGGTGACGATGCGTACGGAGAGGGGGACGTTGGCGTCTTCGAGGGTCTTGCGGATAAAGTCGCGTCCTTCGCGGGGGACGTGAGTGTCCTGTATCAGCAGCCATCGTTAACACCAATAAGCTGTAATGGTCAGCGAAACGAATGTACCTGTTTGCCGAAGACCATCTGCGAGGGAACACGGTCAGTTCATGGTGGAACCAGACGGGGAAAGCAAGAACGTATACATACCACAATCTCGCCTTTACCCTTGAGATCGCCAGCAATAACGCGCTGAAGGGTGTTGTCGGTTTTGCCCTTACCGAGGGTGGCGCTGTGAATGTCGGTGGCGAAGAAGCAGAAGGAGGAGAGGACGCGGGGGTCAAAGGCGGCCTGTCTTGTGCAATTGATCGTCAGAAAATGACGAGGGAAGTATGGAAACGATAATTGCTCACGCGGAAAGCCTGGAGAGATCTATGGTTAGATTATGAAGTCTAAAGGGGAGAAGAGGTGAGACTTACGAGATGTCCACCAAGACACATGCCGGTGGCTGAAGAAAGTCGGGGGAAAACAGATTCGGATTCAGAATACCCAGTCACGACCACGGTGAGAAGGGCGATGGCTCACAAGCGATGCGGCCATTGCAGTTTGGCAGGGAGCTGAGAAGGTCAATGGCCAATTTGGCATCCTACACATGCAAGCGGCGGGATCATCAGCACTTGGATAGGTCATGATGGCGATGTGGCCCAAAAGATAGGAGACTTACCTCGTCGTAGGCAGCTACTTCCTTTTCGATCTGTGGAAAGTGTTGAGCGTCAATGAAAGCACCCTTTGGGCAGTGCAGAGCGCTTACTTTGAACCTGTTGCCCCTGTCAGTACCTATAAAAATTGTGCCTTTAGCAAAGACCAAGAGTGTGGTGTGGCGTGGTTGTTGAGCATACCTTCGGTATCGTAAGGGAGTGCCTCTGGCCCTTGGAACTCGTGATAGACCGATGGGCAAGCTGGATCACAAATTTCAGGTGAGTACTTACTCCGCGCCTATGCATGTTAAGAGGTCGACCGACCGACGACATATCCCTGGCTGGCGATCTGACCAGCGAAACGTTCTACAGGGCCAGTGACCTGATAGATCTCACTACAAAAATTATGATGAGCTCCTATCAAGCAGCCATCGTACACTGATAGGATTACCTGAAGACGACGACACCTATTCGCGTATACGTTGATTTGATCAGATCGCTGGGAGCAAGCAGACCTGGCGGACGACCTACCCGGGAACTTCGCCTGAGGGTAGTTGGGCACGTCGGGTGCGAGCACGAAGATGCGAACAGGCCTGCCGTTAGCATCCAGCTGAGAGGGCACATCGTGGAAAGTCTTGGTGATCAACATTTTGTTCTGTGTGTCGGAGTCGTCTGCTGTGAATGTACGGAAAGAGCGGGGAGCCTGAGCGATCGATGGAATCGACCTCTTCTTATACTTGGGAATTGTCGGCAGCGGCCGACAAAAAAAGCTCGCTTGGATGAGGAGAACGGGCTGGACAGGGCTAGAAGGAGGGAGGGACTGTTTCTTCTACAAATGTGAGAGGTCACGGTAGGATGTTACATAAGTCGTGGTAGTGAATTGGTAGAGGATGATTGTGGCTCAAAATCCCAAGTATATGCAGGACGACACAGCCGGCAACCAGAAACGTCAGTCTATCGGTCGACAGAGTATCTAAGTATAAGATCTAAGCGGGCTGATACATGAGTCGAACATTCGACAGTTGAGTACAATTCATTTGCAATTCATACAAAGGCTTACGACTGGCTCGCAGAGGCGACGCGGAAAGGAAAGAGCGAAGTTGCGAAACGGCGACCAATGGGCCCGCGTGGACAGATCTTATCTTATCTTATCTGAGGCGATTGGACGCTTTGACGAACAAACGTGTGTTGATGTTCCTGTCTCAGTCCGAGTCCTTCCCCATGCACCGCAAAGAAAATGTCTCTTTTTGTCTCCGTCTTCATCCACATCCACGACCACGACCATGAACGCTCTCGCGACACATGAGCCCCCGGCTGTGGGTATACGCCCTTACGCTTCTGACGACGAAAAACAGGTCCGGTTCATGGTCGGGCAGGCTCTCATGGAGCCTCTTGCATTCGCGAATAAGAGTTGTGCGTTTTTATGGCCTTTTTGCTACCTTTTTTTTTGAAGTCAATAGTTGTACTTTATGCTAATAATGTCTCACTGTAGCATACTTTCACCCGCTCACGCTAGCTGTATGGATTGCTGTTTCGTCTATGTTTGCCCAGTACATGAACTGGTGGCCCAATCCCGAGCAGTATGGCTTCATGGGCTATTTCGTGGTCCTGCCCGCGTTCTTTGCGCCTGCGGTTCCCATTCTTGCTCTCACAGACTGGTCAGAAACCACCGCCTATTTGTTTGTGCCTTCTTCTAATAATGTTGTATCATTTCTTGCCAACAGGTTGAACCGTCCCTCGATCGAAGAGAACACCGAGAAAACACTCCGCCGACCTGATCTGTACAAAATTGACCAATACTACACCCGCTCCCCTTCGTCGGGCCTGTACCTCCTCACTATATCCGACAAAATAATCGGCCTTATTGCTCTCGACGCCTCGAAGTCATCCACCTCCGAATCTTCCATCGCTCCTGCCTCCGCCGCTCCATCCGCCACAGAACGCAAACAGATGCTCGAGTCGAAGGGTACGGCGACCATCGCTACAATCAGGCACATTTTTGTGGAGGAGCCGTATCGGCCCGCGAAGCCTGAGGACGACTTGTTAAAGCTTGCCGTCAGGAGGGCCTTTGAAGGGGATAAGACAGTGGATCGCGTGAGGGCTCTCGGAGGCAGATTGAGGCCAACGGTGGAGGAGAGTCTGAGGAGGAACGGATTTGTCCCCGGCGAGAAGGAGGGGACATTGGGATTCTTCAAATGGGAAACTAGGTGGTACACTCTTACGAGGGAGGCTTGGGAAGCTAAGGAGAAGACGTAGACTAATGGGACGTCTTAATCACCTTGAGACTGAGAGATGATGGAAATCGGAATTGTGTGAATATCACCCTACGTACTGTATACTTCAATGTATCGGCCACGCTATTTTGGATCTGTATACGAACGTACACGGGATATGTAATGCGCAAATGCGAACGCGACTTCGACGCGACGCGTCTCGGGCAAAATTACAAGATGGCGCTCCTACTCCCCGCCATCATCTCAAGCAGCTCCAGAACCCAACAATCACTACTCATCCTCCAGTCATCTCTCGTTCAGTCTTCGCTGCCTATTCTCCGCTATATTCTTTCGTCTGCTTCACATCCGTCTACTCGAAAGAATAAACCTCGAACTCTTCTGTTCTGTTTTCTCTACCCGCCTAATTCCCTCCTCCCACCTGCAACTGGAGAGTTCTCATCTGAGTCTGAGTCGATTCAGGTCTTTGATAGGACAGTATGTGTACCTGGGTACGATGATGAGTATACGGATCCGGGAGAGTTTATTCTCAATACTTTGAAAGCTGGTATGCACATCTCTGTTCACTCCGAACTTTTGGCTGATCCCTTTCCTCCACCTGGATCCGATACAAAGCACCGCCAGGGCCATTGAATGTAGTCATAGATTCAATCGACACTATTTCTGCAGACATCGGCTCACCATCGAAAACATATACTATCGTAGCCTCCATATTGACCATCTTGCGTTCCCGCCCCTGTACGCTCTCGCCATATATCTTTTCTCTTCTCCTTTCATGCTCTTAACAGAAAATAACCCTGAACTCGGCTGACCTCTCGCAAACTAGCCTCCTCTTTTATTATCCACATTGTCGCCTCAAACAACACCTCCTCCTCCTCCTCCACCACCACCACACCAACGAACCTCCTCTCCCTACTCCTCTCCCCCCGTCTATCCTCCTCCCTCACCCACTTGACCGCCCATCCACCCAGTCTCATAACCCACATCGCCTCCACCCACCTCACCGTCCTCCCACCCGCCGCCTCCAAAGACGCAGATAAAGAGGGTGGCGCGGTCAACGTGGCGAGATGGTGGCAGGTTTTTGGGCCCATGACGGAGGTGGGGAGAGGTTGGGAAGTCGAGAGGGTAGTTTTGGGAGCAGATGGGGTTGGTCTGGGAGGGAGCGTTTCTGAGGTCTCAGGGCCAGCGAAAAGCAACAGTACGAGAAATGTGAAAGAGGATGGTGAGGCGCGCGCGCAGGAGATTGTGGTGGAGGTTTTGGTGAGGGGAAGTGCGGCCAGCGCACATGGGACGAGGAGGAGCGTCGAGAGGGTGTTGGAGGGTTGGAGCTCGAAGCTTGGGGCTTGTGAATTGAATGAGTTGGGGAGTTTGAAGGGTATTTGGACGAGGAGAGGTGTGGCGTCTGGCGGAGATGCTCAGGTGAGTTTTTAACGATTTCTCTGCCGTGATCGCATTTCTCAAGTGATCTGTTGCTAAACAATTTCACTTTTAGACTTCGTCCAACGATCCAACCCATGCGTTGTCGTTCAACCTTTCTCTGACTGCAGAACAGCAACAAGCCCGTGCGGGTGTGCCACTGCCTTACATGCATGAGGGTACGTTCTCTTTAGTCCAGTATCAATCCTGATGGTCAATTAAGTTCGATGTCTGCTCTATCCATGCAGGTCAACAACTGCATGCACAGACAAATGCTTCATCAAGTGCAGGAGCTATCTTTTACGACCCAGATTCTGCGGACGATATAGACGACGATGACCCGGATGAAGATCTAGACATCTGAGGACCCTGAAATCAGTGAAAAATGGTTTGATTGTAGAAAATAGCTGGAAGGAAGAGATTGTTGTTGTACAGTAATTGCAGTGCAGATATGATGTGCGTGTGGCCACGACAGACAAGAAAAGAAGTAAACAGAAATGATGGAATCGTGACCAGCTACGTATCATTCCTGGTCCCTTTAGGGGACAAGGTCTGTTAGGAGCTTAGTAAGCTTAGAATCGTCAAACAGCCAGATATAGTTAGCCTTCCTTCCACCGGCACCCTCCGTTGCGTCCAGAATGGCCGACTCGCGTGCTTGCCACGCTGCCGGCTGGCCTTCCATCCTCCTCCACTCTCGTCGTCTCGAGCTCATAAATAAGGCCGATGTTCGTGCATTCCCAATACAACCCTACTTGAATAAATATCGCATCTGCATGGCTCGATTGGAAAAGAGGCCAACATCTGTGGATCGCCCCGGCAAGGAGGGTGGGCAGGGCGGTCCACAGAGGTCGGCATCTTCACACCAGTTGTCAGTGTGGAAGGAAATCAGTGTATATATACAATATTGCATGTCCCGGTGCCACATTCTATGAGGCATATAGCCCAATCTACATCAGGAGAGGAATCCTGAAGTAGAGTATCTCCTTCCCTTGGGTCCCCAGGACACAGAACGACTGGTAAACTTCAAGGATTTTTTTTGGACGCGGGGCGGAGCTCTGCGCGAGTTTACCGTCAGATTAACATCCAAAGCAATCAATATATTTTCTATAACTGATAGCTAAAGGGACCAGGGTAGGGCCCGAAAGGGCAGTTTATAATACAAGCAGTGAGAAAACGTCTACACAGTATCATACAAAGCCGGTGCTTCCTCGCCTTCTTCAGATAAGTCAAGCGTACTGGCCATCTCAAATATAGCTACCTTCCACTGTTCGACCGTATCGATCTCCTTTACTATCTGATCCATAACCGCATCACCTCTCGTTTCGACGTCCTTATCAGGTCCATATGAGACATTAGCGAGATCCAGAAACAATCGTTCCAGACTACGCAAATACTGATGAACGCGAAGGCCACCTTCTGAGCCTGAACATATTGTAAAGTATTCCTTTGGCCCATCGTTCGGTGCAGGAGCCATCAGCGCAGGACAATATATGTCGATCGTGTCAATGAACTTCCAGGAGCTGGCCCCCCTAACTTCAACAAAGCGGGGAAATGAAAAGGCTTTCCTGTTCTCGTTGAAGCGTTGTTTGAGGTTCTGGATCTGTTGTAGCTTGCCCTCGAAGTCCGTCTCGTGCCTAGCAGACGAGATGAGATGCCCAGAAGACGTAGCAGGGTGCCAGTGAGGGCGCCGGTCGTGAACGGGAAGACCAGCACGCTGGGAGCGCTCTTCAGGTACTGGCAGTGCTGAAGGGCTGGACGTATCTGCGGACTGGTTGTCATGAGAGATGTCGATTAGCGGCGAATTCAATTGAGATCGGTACGAACACCTACTTCTCGGACGTTAGAAGGCATTCGCTCGCGAGCGGTTTCTCGGATAATTTGTGCGAGCTCGTTGTACTGGGCTCTGCGCTTAGTAATCCAGGCTATACGTGATGTCATGTCAAGCGAGGGCGGGGGGTCGTAACATAACTTGACACTCACAGTCAGTAAAAGTTTCGAGCTTCTCGTGCAGGTCAAAATTATTTCGGTGTAGGTCCTCAACCAAATTCTCGAGATCTAGAAATATTGATTAGCACTCAGACATAATCGTTAGACATGGGAGACCTTACCGGACTTTGTCACAAAACTAGCCTTGTGCTCTTCAAAACTCTCCTTCGTTGCACGCTGTACAGCGAGCAACTCTGACGAGATCTCTTTCAATGCATCTATGTCTGCATCCTTCTCTTCTCTCCTCCCCATCTTCTCTTCCAAACGTTCTTTGTTCAATTCTATCTGTGCCCGAAACTCGTCGCGTTGGTCTTGAGCAAGGTCTATGATCTCGTCAAGGCGCTCCTTTAGAAGCTCATGTCGTTCAGTCGCCGCCACCTCCATCTCGCGTCGTTCGGCCCCCTCAGTCTCGCGGAGCCGCTTCTCGTCCTCAAGCTTTTCGCGGACCCTTACCAACTCCTCTTCGAGCTCTGTGACGCGCCCAGCACCTTTCTCATGCAGGCGCTCGCACTCTTCGATGAGTTCTCGATCGTGGCGTTTGCACTCCTCCGTGAAGGCATCGAAAAACCTTCCCAATGCAGCTTTACATTCGGTCCTCACAGTTTCCGCAAGAGACATGTCCTGAGGAGCTGTCTCGTCACGACAAGAGGCGATTGGCTGAGCAGTGGGTGCAGGACGTTCGGGAATCGCGCTCTCCATGGTCTCCACATGTTCAGCGTACTCTATGTCCACTTTATCAGGGACAGGGACGCCCGCAGATGCGAGAGCATGGAGGGCAGCGAGTTTTTCCTCGAGGTCTCGCTTGAGTTGATCCTTCCACTGGACGACGTCCTGATCGCGTCTCGCTTCGTTCTCCTTGAAGATTCGATCGCGCGCCTCCTCGCTGCGACGGAACGCGTCCTGGCGAGTTTTCTCAGCCTCCTCAGCCGTCTGAATGACGTCTCGTATCTGGCGCTCAACCTCGCTCAACTTCTCATCCTTTGCTGGTACTGCTGGGTCGTAGATTGTCAAGTGCGTAGCGGGGCGACTAAGGATATGTTGACAGAGAGGAGAACGTGATCGACTCCGAGTCTTCTCGGAGCGCCTCTGTAAATAATCAGATGCGGCAGAACGGGCTTGAGCATTCTTGCCACAACGTTCGGCGGACCATCCGGGTGACTGAGATCTTCCCCTGTAATATCCAATGTAGGAGGAAGTAATTTGAGAGCGAGGACAACTGCGCTGGATTTCGTCGTAAGTGTCAGCGGGAGTTATGCTCGGACAGTGAGGCAGTCCGCGGGATGGAGAGGGAGACGATCGGCGGGATGGTGTCTTTGTTCGACAAGGAGACGAACGAAGAGACAGAGGTTGCTTCGAGGGACAGCGAGATACTGGTCGCACCGATGATCTGCGTGACCGCCGCCGGTCCAGGGATGGGGACCGATATCGAGGCTCGTAACGCGAAGAAGTGCGTCCTCGTGGTTCGAGTCCCATCTCAGACGGTGGCCTATGGCTACGGCGACTCGAACTCTGGCTCGCTGATCTACGTGGTGCAGCAGCCATACGAGGCACGTTGTAAACATCCACCGTCACAGGTTCTTCTATTAGCACAAGCGGACTGCGCGAGCGAGAGCGACTCAGGAGACGACCATGGTGTCCGATTCCGCGGTAAGATGGTCGTGAGTCTGACCTGTTGTGGTTATGCGGGGAGTGACGGTGCGGAGACTCGGAGGGGGGTCGGATTAGCGTCTGTGGACGAGTTATGGCAGGAGAGCGAGAGCGGTATCTGGACGAGCAGCGATACTCAGGTGACTTCGGGTGATCAGGAGAACGCGAGGGATAGTAGTAGCCGCGGCCTCGTGGACGTCTGCGATAATAGTCAGGCGAGGGTGACCGAGACCTGGAGCGAGGACCTTTGCCAGCTGGTGGAAACGAGCGAGAACGAGGCCGAGGGGTGTATACGGGTGGACGGGGACTAAGGCTACAGTGAGTTGAACGACGCGACGACGGACGTATCTCAATGGGCTGGGGTGGCCCTTCGGAGCGCACAGGCGGAGGACGACATGACACGGGCGACTCTGCCCTCTCCGAGTAATTATAAGTGATGCCGCCAACAGTAACAATAGGACGGCCTCGTCGTATGGTCGAGGAAGATCGACTGGGATATCTGTCAACAAAAGGTGGACTCATGCTACGAGGACAGCTGTCAGGATGACATGGGCGTCGATCGATGATCGGTGGTGGGGGAGAAGGTATAGAAGGAGGAGGTTGAACATTTATTGCGATGGGAGACATAGGTGTCGGCTGAGGAGAAGCCATTGCGAGGGTTTGCAGCATATCAAGTTGTATAGGTGGGCACGGACGAGGTGTCTCCGGACGATGAAACGATATGCCCGACTCTGCGGGAGACATGCTCCGAGGGACTGGAGAAAGTGAGGGTGGGGGCCGTCTGCAAAACACGGGAGACCATCGAGATGGATGGTTGCCAGATTGGTATGATAGTGGAGTATGGCTTATGGGCGGTGATACTGGCAGCGGAGAGTTGAAAACTGGAATAGGGCGTGCGCGAGAAGACGCGACGTATACTGTCGGCACTGGCCCAACCACACACCCGACGGGACCAGACGTATGGAATGTAGGAGGCGTTTGAGCTCGATCATTCGCAGTAGGTGGGGTGGCAAGAATCTACAATAGGAAATGGCATCAATTAGAAGGCGACAATGGTCATGGTTCCTTGAACTCACAGTTGACTGAGCATTACTGGGAGCCATGGCCCTCAACACGTCAGACACGACCTCCGTTGCTGGTGTTCCGCCGAACAGATTATCGAATGTTTGTTTGGCCTGGTCACGGCAAGCGTTCTCGAGCTCTACGAAATGTTTGCAGGCAGCACGTAGCTGCGACATAGAGTCCTCCTGCTTCTTCAACATATCGACATACAAGGCTTTTGATTTTGTGCTGTTGTCTATGTAGTGCTTCAGAGCATCTGGGAGAGTCTGGTTTAGCGTTGGCTCTTGTGAGATAGACGTGTTCTCCGCATGCTGGGTGCTGTGCGATGTTGACTGAAAGCCAGGTGAATTGTGGTTCGCCTCCGGAACGTCCGAAGATAGCGAGGAGTGGGATGAACACGACGAGACAGTGGGTGAGATCAGTGGCCAGGAAGTTCGAGATATAGGGTGAGTTGCGACCGGCGTCGGATAGGGATATGTCGCGTATGCCTCAATCTGAGCAAACAGTTCTGTCCACGCATGTTGGCCACGCCGTGTAATGGCGGTATGCCTGAGGAAATCCATGAGTCGGGTGGACATATTGTGCAAGTCTTCGAGCCTGAGGATACATTCTTGAGGAGGGTCGCATTTGCGACGTTGGTACGAGATCAACTCGATCTGCGCGATTGGTTATTTGTGAACGGTAGTCGACCGGCACGATACAATGAGACACGGCGAAGCTTACCATGACGAGGACTTCCTGCATTTTGGGAAGATCACCGAATAGCTCCAGGTGGGAGACTAGTTCATTCAGCACTTGTTGGACTATGAACTCCAACAATATGAAGGTACGCGTGTAACCCTCGACAGCAAGCTTTGTTGCCTCGAACTTTAGAAGGCGACAATCTGACGTGCGAGAGTCAGCGGCTACAATTAGAGTAATATAGCGACTATCGAATTTACCAGGACGAGTAATCAGTAGTTGTAGTTCGTTCGTCCAATCCTGAACGAATTGGTACAGTGGGGGGCTTTCGCTGGTGGTCCCATCTGAAACACGGCAGTCAATGGTCAGAAAGAGATAGCAGACATGGCGGCAATTGACTCGCAGGTGTGCAGCATCCATCCATGAACTATCGGATTTTTCTGAGCGAATGCACCGGTCACGCCCCTGGGAATAGGGTCGCGGGCATCAGGAGCCGGGCGCGTTCTGATGAGAGCGAGCGATATAGGGAAAGTGTCGGGGTTAGAGATATCGACATTAGCGGTGGCGAGAGCCTGTCTGAGTTGCCAGCGCCTGGTGGTATGCGATGAGGGAGCGCGATCCTGATACCCGGGCGATACGTCTGGCGCAGTCTGGTACATGACTGCAGAGTTACGTCAAACTATAGGGGGTGGGGACAGTCAGAAAGGGGGATCGGGTGCGCAAGAGATTGGGGAGAAGGACGCCTGTGCGAAAGGAAGACGGAACCTCGATGTTATATAGGGACCACGGGTGGCGTATTTTGACGCTCATGTCCTATTGTTGATCGGGTCACCGGTAACTTACACTTGCCGCATTGGTTGTCGTATATTTGAAGGAAGTATGCTGACGAGAACAGAGCGGTAGTGTTGCCTCGTTCTGCCTCGCTGCAGCTCGTGACGCTATCGCGGGAACGTACGATCCAATATGCGTTGTACGTTCGCCGAACAAGCACCTCTATTTTTGACGATAGCATGAATTTCATGCAACCAGAAGCATGCAGTCACCATATGTAGTAAGACCAAGACGTGATGTACCGATTATCACAACCCGAGTGATATATCCTTGTTAACGAAGTGCAACAAAGTGAAAGGTTGTATTGCTCCGACCAACCCAGGGTGCTAGCAAAGTAGGAAGATGCCTCGATGGCCATTCTGAACGAGAATAGATGGAAAGAGGTGGCGTGAGCAACTTCCAAGTGTGTTCGTCCACCAAATGCAGCAAGATACTTTCTGAAGGAAGAACACATCAGCACGCTATGAGATATCAGCGACAGAAAAGAGAGCCGAAGGAGGAAGGGGTGCTCCGATTGCAAATTACGACCTTCATCCAGCCAAGTTGTCCACACACCACTCGGCGGTTAACTACTTCGCTCCACGAAAACGGAGGGAGGAAAACGCAGCACGATTCGGTGGGACGGCTGTCAGGTGTCTTGCTTGGTTTCGTCATAGCACGAAGTGATAGACAGAAAATGGGGTAGCTCGGAATATTGGAAAGGGTATGACCTGATGACTTAGAGAAACTCACTGGTTCTGCTTTTCGCGATTTTCAGTGCTGAGCGCGTCACTTTTGCACTCAGACATGGTGAACATATCAATGTGCCTTTGAGCCTTTTATTGTCTAAAATATGAGCGGAAGATGACAAACAGAAGGAAAATGGGTGTGTTTTGTAGTGATAGTGGTGGAAGGAAGCAACTCGCGCCAGGTTGTGTATGATTCCGGACCCGTCGGGCTACTGGATACCGTGAGCAGGTCGATTATTTGGTTTTATATGAGCACCCTATCCTCCTTGGGTTTGAAAAATTATTCTAGTCGTACATAATAATACATACTGTACTATTTCGACCCCAAGTTCAGTCACACGTCACAGGGACCCCCTCGGTGAATTCCATATGGCCGACGGTCACACGTCACAGGCCGCTGTGAACCAAGGAAAAACCCTTAGAAAATCAATATTTTTCGGCTCGCGCCTCCGGCGCGACATATATGGGCATTTTCGGCGATTTCCGGCCCCTTGTGAACTCAAAGTCACAGCGGGGCGCGGCCTTCGGCCGCTATGAACTACGATTTTGCCAAGTTCACGGCGTCACAGGTCACAGGCCGTGAACTTGGGGTCGAAATAGTACAGTACTACGGAACGAGCATCTTTTAGCGTTGCTCGCTACCCACCACGCCTAGAGCGGACCCAGAACCTGAAGGGCCACACGTCCAAGGGCTCGAGCCAGTTCCAGCCCACGCCACCTTTCCGCACTACGGCATCTCCCGCCCCTGCCAAACAAAAACCCAAAAAATCCTCTTCGTGCTTTTTCCTAACCATGCAAATCTGCCCGCATCTGCCCATCTCAGACTCTACGACCGTACTCCTGCTAGGGTTTCAGTGTGTGGATACAGATGCTTTCCTCCTCAGAAGGGTCGTCTCTAGCAATAGAGATTATTCGAGGAAATGAGGAGGTGGTTTGGCGTGTGAGAATGGAATTCCACTGGTGTTTGTAGTCAGCTTGCAAGGCCGATTGCCTCGGTGGTCCGGTGGTTTGCAGGTCGTAGAGGACACCAGATATTTCGTACGCATTGTGTAGTGTAATTGACTGGGATTCTTATATTTTCTCTCTTTTTTACCCCTGCATCCCTTTCCCACGAATGGTTCGCTTTGAACTTCGAATTCCTGCGATTACATTGATCCCGTAAACACGAGGAAAAGGACTGCCAAATGACTGCGAATGACTTCACGATCCCTCCCTTCTCTTCCCGTTTCAGCCCGAACCTCTGTACGGATCAATATCCGGCTAAGTAGCAGCTATAAAGAGCGGGGCCCCACCCGAGAGCCAACCGTCTACATTTCCCTTCTTCTTCCCCTCCGGCTACCCCAGTCTTGGCTAGAGCAACTTTCCTTCAACGTTTTCGACTCAGATCCGCACAATACCTAGATTTCTAGAGGAGGATACCTTGATCAGAGACTAGAAATGCTCGCTGCAGCCCGTACCCAGACCGTAGCACGCACTGGAGGCTTGGTCCTCCGTGCTGCTGGTGTTTCGACCTGGTCCCATGTCCCTGCCGGTCCTCCTGATCCGATTCTCGGTGCGTTCATGTTCATGACGCGTCCCTTCCAACCCAAACTCGCTCTTTCGTCCTGCCGTGCCTTTCGACATATGTTCGCGTCCCAGTCCGCTGAGAGTGGTTGCTGACTGAACCTCGAACTCGACGGCGGTGGTTTGCCTGGGTTAGGTGTTTCGGAGGCGTTTAAGGCGGACAAGGACCCAAGGAAAATCAATCTCGGTGTTGGTGCCTACAGAGATGGGAATGGAAAGCCCTACGTCCTTGGTGCTGTGAAGAAGGTGTGATCCTCGTCCAACTCGTTTGACTTTCTAATCCTTCAATACTTTGGGCTGACCTGGTTCCTGAATGTTTGTTTTGAACGTTTTCCTTTCGGGAATGTACCTTGTCATGTGGCGCCTGCGGAACACGCTGGACGACCCGTAGGCTGAGGAAGCGATCCGGGCTAGCAACGCCGACAAGGAGTACCTCCCCATCACCGGTCTTGCCGACTTCACGAAGAACGCAGCCAAGCTTGCCTACGGAGAGGATAGTGCTCCCTTCAAGGAGAACTCGGTGCGTTGACTCGTGTCTCCTGAGTGACAACACGAAATCTCATCGATTGCTTGCTTTGCTCGGCTTGTGCTCTGTCGTTTGGCTTCGGCTTGCATTCAGATCGCGGTCACACAATCCATTTCTGGGACTGGTGCCCTGCGTATTGGTGGCGCTTTCCTCGCCCGCTTCTACCCGCACTCGAAGGTTATCTACTTGCCCGTTCCGTCGTGGGGCAACCACACGCCTATCTTCCGTGACTCTGGCTTGGAGGTCCGTGGGTACAAGTACTTCAACAAGGAGACTGTCGGTCTCGACTTTGAGGGAATGAAGGCGGACTTGAAGGTCAGCTCTCCTACTATAGGTTCTCGCCGAAATAATTTATACTGAATTTCCGCCACCATAGAGCGCTCCCGAGAAGTCTATCGTTCTCCTCCATGCCTGTGCACACAACCCCACGGGTATTGACCCCACCCCAGAACAATGGGCCGAAATCTCCGACATCGTGAAAGAGAAGCAGCTCTTCCCCTTCTTCGACATGGCCTACCAAGGTTTCGCGTCCGGCTCCACCTCCCGTGATGCCCAAGCCGTCCGCCACTTCGTCTCCCAGGGCCACCAGATTGCTCTCGCCCAGTCCTTCGCTAAAAACATGGGTCTCTACGGCGAGCGTGTCGGTGCATTCTCGCTCACCACCTCTGGACCTGAGGAGAGGGCGAAGGTGGACAGTCAGATTAAGATCATCGTCAGGCCGATGTACTCGAACCCGCCTCTGCATGGTGCTTTGATTGCCAACACCATCTTGAGCAAGCCGGAGCTGTACGGAGAGTGGGAGGGAGAGGTGAAGGGCATGGCAGAGAGGATCATCAGCATGAGGGACAAGTTGTACGACTCGTTGACCCACACGCACAAGACGCCCGGAGAGTGGGGACATATCAAGTCGCAGATTGGTATGTTCAGGTGCGTCGTTGTCTTTCACGCTATGGACAAAACCGACTTACCATTCCTCAACCGTGCTATAGTTTCACCGGTTTGACCCCACCTCAGACTAAGGCGTTGGCGGAGAAGGCGCACATCTACATGACTGCTGACGGACGTATCTCGATGGCGGGCTTGAACGCTAACAACATTGAGTACTTTGCGGAGAGCGTGTCTAAGGCGGTCAAGGGAAACCTCTAAAAGGCTTCGCTCCCTTTGTCTAGTGTGGTATAGACGTTTGTGACATCTTGGCCTTTCAGTCTTATAAAAAACATGGATGATTACTCTTTCAAATGTAGTGGATGGAATTCGATCTCTCTCGTGGTCTGCATGTTCGCCCAGTGAATCGGATCCGGGCGTGGGGATCGGCTCCGTTTGCGGTATCCGGAAAGGGAAACGCCTTTGCTTCCGTTGAATGATGGGCGAGAGTCGGCGCTCCGGAACCTTGGTTTTAATTTAAGAGCTACTTAAGCCTCAGCCGCACGCCGCGTTCGCCACTGATCTTTCATCTTCCTTCCCACTTCATTTTGAACCTCCTCTTCATCGTTTCCCTCGGTGTCCGCCTTCCTTCTAGCTCGTTTACTACCATTGGAGCAGCAGTGAGCCTGCCTCATCCTTTCACATCTACCGGCCTGACCACGAATATTTTGCAGGGTCAGTGGCACCGTATAGATGCACGCCACGCCGACAGTGCCAATCCAAAGATCTCCTACGCCCGCCTTGCCTGGCGCATGGCCAGATATCTCCATGAGCAGCATTTCACACGCCAACACCATAGACTCGATCTCGACTTCTGAACCTGGTTCTGAGGTCGAAGCCGCTGGCGGGCGCGTCGCAGCCAAACACTCTTTCCTCCACGTTCCTTCGCCCACTTCACGCCCCTCCTCTTTTTTGTTCCCACCCTCTTCCTCTGCCACGCCTCCTCCAGCTATGGCGATTCGTTCTATGCACAACTCTGCTGCATCCACACCGTACAGCTCTCGTACCCTGGGAGGATTGGAGGAGCCTTTGCGTGATGACGGTGATGTAGATGATGCTCGTGCGAAGCCCGCGAGGTTGGCGGGTACGCCATCGACGTTCGGCTTACGTTCTCCAGAACAGTCATATTTCGGACATTATGATGTAGGTGCATCCTTGGTATGACTAACTTGGATGGATGCTGATCATGATATATAGTATGAGGAGCAGGAGCAGGAGGATCTTTCCAGTCCTCGCTCTGCATCTTCCGGACTTGCGGTATGTCATGTCACACTAGTGTGTATCATTGAACTAGTCACGAACGTTTTACACAGGATGTCGAATCTTACTCAACGGACGACGACTCGAAACCTTCCTCTCCCATTACACCAATCGATACCATGCGCCTCTCGGCCGTACAAACAAGTGGTAGTCAGACTTCTGAAGACGCTAGTTTCGATACTCTTCCCACTAACCCTCGACGACTCTCCGTCAGCGCCAAACGGGCGTCTGCCATTCATCGACCTCTCCAAGCAATCATCGCTTCCTCTCCCTCCCCTTCGTCCTCCCCTACCAACCCGCATCTGCATCAGGCTCAGGAACATCCGCCGCTTTCAGACCTTCCCTCTCTCTCTCACTCGATAGCCACTGCGGCCACCAGCAGTCAAACTGTTCCAAGTCTCAACTCCACCCTCTTTTCACCGCTCGCTACGCGACGCATGGTCCGGCGTTTGCCCTCCACCGCTAGTCTCTCCGATAGTGCCGATAACTGTAACACCAGAGAACCAGAACAATCAACTTCAACCTCCGAGCAAGCGGAATTCACGCCTCTTGTTGACCCAAAGGACGTGACTTTCTCTCACCTCAACACTCAGGCCCCCACTGTCGGAATCTCGCCTTCTGGGTCTCCTCTCATCATACTCAATTTCGCCGAGCCCTCTTCTCCTTCATCTGCACATTTCTCGCCCCCACCGGATGCTCACGCCTTGGACTGGGCTGACTCGTCGACGTCTTCTATCGCACATGAATCTTCGTCGGCTTCAACTGATCTCGATGCACATAACAGCGTCGGGGAGAGTCGACAAAGTGGCGAGACGTTACACGTTGGGGCTCGTGCTACTCATTCCATTCAGTCGCACGCTCCTCCTTTGGTCCCTGACCCGCCCTCGTCTGATCGTCTTCCTTGTATCGATCTGGAGGCCTCACCGGCACAGTCCAACAACCTTGCACGCCGTCGCCCTCTGTCGACAGCCTCTAGGTCGAACTCTGACCTTCATATGCCTGCTCACCGGGACATTGACCTTGAGCCCGAACATGGTCTTCCTCCGGCTCCGGCAAACAGTGATCAGAAGTCGAAGAAGGGTTTCATGAAGTCCGTTCGAAAAGCCTTCAAAGGAGGACTTCAGAAACTCTTCCATTCTAGTTCCAAGGATCCTTCCGGCGCACCCTCAAACGAATTGGCTCCTACTCTAGACATTCGCAACTCCAACAACCCCGATGTTCATCCAAATGATCATGCCAACGGCATTGGCCGACGCATCTCTCCTTCTCCTGTGCGCTCTCTCGATCCCATAGATGCGTTTGCGCCCCTAAGCGTAGTCCTTCCGCTCCCACTCTCCAACACTTCTCCAGACCGCCCTGTCAGTCATGTGAGTCGTGAAGTGGACGGGGACGGAGACGAAGACGAAGATGAGGATGGGGCGGGAAGTGCTAGGATGCTCAACATCGATGGGGATCCGCAGGTGTTCAGACCTGCAAGGCGTATCCCGGAGCGCCTAAATTGCCAGAATGATCAAGGAGGGACACAAGAGAAAGGTTCGACCCAGGATGTGCCATCTCCGGCTCCAGAGCCACCCGTTCGCAAACGGCGACTCTCGTTCGCACTCCGCTCTCGCTCTCGCACTCGCACCTCTAGCGCGTCCCGTAACGCCGGGATCAACGCATTCGAGCCTACTGCCACACATAGTCCCCCTCCTCTTCCAACAACAGCAGTGGCTGACGGCGCCACACCGAATGGAGACCCTACCACTAGTCTTCACACCGTCCGTCCGCGTTCATCCCGCCGATTTACACTTCCCCCGGTCTTTTATTCCCGACACGTGGCCTCTGACATGTCTCCTTCATTCAGCGGAGAGCCCGTGCAGAGCCCAATAACGGAGAGTGGACCCTTGAGAGCTGGGCTGCCAATTATTCCCATCTCGTCTATCCCTTCTGTTCCATCTCTCCCAGCCATAGAGAGTGATGGAAGTCCTTTCATGTCCTCAATCCTCGCGGTGGAAAATGGAGGAAGCCCGCAGACGAGTCCGGATACGGAGATGGAAAGGGAGCGAGGGCCCCGGTCGCCATTTCCTGTAGAGTTCCCGACCATGGGAGGGTTGGGCGTGCCGAGCAGAGTTGGAAGTATGAGGCAGAAACAGAGGCCGGTTTCTGCGATGCTTTCGTCTGCGGTCCCGTCGACATCGACAGCCTCGAGGCCCCTCACTGTATATGGTGAGCTGCCTAGCATGAGTGAATTTGGGACTGGTGGCGCTGGTGGGAGGTCATCCTCTACGGTTCCGTCGGCGAGCGGCCAGAACAAGAGACCTCGGAAGAGTGATGGGAACGACGCGGGAGAGGATGGGGAGGTCGTGAAAGGTTTGGGATTTGAGGTTTGAAGGTTTGAAGTACGAGGGGGGTAAGTGCGTAGGCAGGCTCAGTGTCGGAGTTGCCTCGTTCGTATTGATTTTGTGGACATTATTCGAAATTTCGTCGCATATATTTTTACTCTGACTCTTGGCTTCAGGCCCCAGCATTCGTTTCTTCAGCTTATTTTTATCAGTTTCTGTACCTTCTCGTCGCATGTGTCTTGTCTCCACATAGCTCCAGAGTCCAGCATGCAGCCTTAAGTATTCTTGTTGTTGCGCTAATTCGCTTCGCCGTGTGATAATGTTGGTTTCGATCGCCGCACACTTGTAAATATTGTAGAGGGCTGAGACGGTATTACTATGATCAAATCATGATAATGACGTGGAACACTCGGATTCGGAGGTGAATAAGTTCTGGTGTCCGAAACGACAGATAGGCCCAATAGGAAACTCCGGCCACAACAACGGGACCGTAGGAAGTAACAAGTCTTTCGCGACCTGCTGGTTTTCACTCTTACTGCTGGATCTCTTGCTTGCGGTATCAGCTGACCATTTACTGTAAGTTTTCCTTCGAGCTTGCGGGGACCTGCAGCTTGGGCCGGGGTCCTCGAAACGCTCTGTACTTCAAGTTCAGCACGGGCATCTTCAGCCTGAGCGAACTCCAAAGTCTGCACAACCGTTTTCCATGTATCAAGACTGACTCCCATTCCTTATGAGCTCAGCAGTCTCGCTTGAGCTCCATCATCCCGTTGTCACTAGGCTTTAGTTAATGACTACCATCATCAGCGTGGCGTTGAAGAGTGAGATATCTCCGCAAGTTGCTTTACTTGTACATTCAAGCTGAACCTCCGCAAACCCGAAACGAACCACGGAAATAGGTGTCGATGGGAGTCGTTACTTCCCAGAGGTTCTTTCCCTAGGAACTCATTGGAAGGGGCCGACTTCTCTTAAACGAGTAGTAATATTGTGAGATTATTCAATAAGTATCTCGAGTCTTCTTCAGAAGGTGTCACTGTTTTCTTTTCTCACCTCGTCTAATATTAATATGTTCTGATTCCAGCGGTGACTCGTATAGCGTCTTCGTCGAATCGACTTCAGACGACCAGAAGACGAAGACGAAGATGATAACACATTGGCCATGCTCTCCGACTCAGAGCCAACATGGGTATGTCGTTATTATCGCATCTCCAGCAGCAGTCTGTCCTTGTTTTTGTCTTTGTCCTGTGGAAGGCATCATACTTATAATTGTGACCCATCAGGTAACACACCTCTCCCGCACATGGCGGTCGAACATAGACGAGAAGTTCATTGAACCAGCGAGCTCAGACAACTTCGCCGTTTCAGGTGCCACTGCTGAAGATGACCTTCATTCACAAGTGTCGCGTTATCTCAATCTATCTCCACAGACGCGGAATCACGAAGCATCTGACGAGCTCGAGTCCACGGAGACTTTATATGGTGCGTCACCTCCCCTCTGCGAGCTGGGCCATCAATGTATCACATCTTATAGAATTAGTATCACGCGCCAGTCTACCTTGGACTGATTTTTCTTTGTTATCTGGGACAGTTTGTTCATAGGTATCAACGATGTGGGCTGCTTCCCAGACGAAGATGACCTGGAAGAAATGATAGAGAACAGCGTGATAGATGCCCTGCATAATTTATACGTCAAAGCTCACGCACGGAACTTCCTCATAACCGACATCCCGCCAATGGATCGATCGCCCGCAGGTTCGATGAATTCATCTTGCGATCTCTCTTACTGGTCTACTTTCTGACATTTGGTTTATTTCCACTTCACGAATCAGCATTGAACACAGACTCTCAGTCCTCTCTCAAAGATCTCGTGACCGCATGGAACGCACATCTGAACTCACACTGCTCCTCTTTCACACTGTCAACACCACAAGCTACAATCCTCCTCTTCTCTGCGCATACCGTAATATCAGACATCCTCGACGATCCTCAAGATTACGGCTTCAGGGACGAGGATGTGACGGGGGAAGGAGGTAAGATATGGAGTGACGAATTGCATTTGACGGGAGAGGTGCATAAAGTGCTTGCGGAGAGGATAGTCAGGGCTTTGTCCAGTTTGGAAGGCAAGTCAGTTTCGAAGGGTGGCGCGGAGGAATCGCAATCAACGAAGAGGAAGCGCGGAGAGAAAGAGGTAAGTTTGCTATCGTTGATTTGATAGGTGCTGAGATTGTGGAATGGTCACTTACGTGTCTTATAAGCTCGATCCCGAAGAGAACCTAAGCAAAAAGGCAAGGTAGCGGACGACTTTGAGTGTAACAGCTGCTTGAATCATGCGTACGGAATAAAGACGCTGCTATCCCCTTCTGCTTTTGTCGACACCGCGCAGCCCAACAAGATATTGTACATCTGGAGCGACAAGTGATATCAGCTTAAATTGCCGCAGTAAAAGGGCTCTGTTATCCCGGTGAGTATGGTATATAACGAGATTTGTACAGTACGAATAATGGTAGGATGTGCAGTAGTTAATCAATCGACGTATAATCATAAGTAAATCGGCTCTATATGATATCTGTGGTATGCTAACGTCCATCGGATGGATGACTGTCACATTCAGATACTCTCCGCCAAATTAATGCGCGTGATGGTCATCACCTCATCCTAATAATCTCTCAAACTCCGATCCCAAATCTCCACAACTCAATCCTTTCCTCTGACGCTTACTGACGCTCCCGACCGCCCTAACCACCTCCTCCTTTGACCTTGGAGACTGCCTCGAGAATAGTGCCTTCGTTCCCATAACGATCCAGGACCAGCACTTATCCCTCGCCCTCCACATCGCATGAGCCCTCGTGTCGACTCTCTCGCTCCGTATCCGGTGTCCGCTGTCGGTGACAATCATGAGAGCGAAAATGGTGACCATCATAGAGGAGAGGGCGGAAGCTGAAGAAATCATGAACATGATGACCATTTGGAGTTTTGCGGCTTGTTCGACGGAGGAACCGCCTAGAATGGCCCCAGTCATCATTCCTGGGATGGCGATTATTCCGAGTACACTGGATGGGTGTGAGGTGAACGTAGAACGCAAGTTAGTGGTCGAGAAGAGTCGAGGTGGAAGTGAAAGAGACGCACCTCATTTGGTTTATGGTAGGCGTAAGAGCTAAACGGAGAGCCTCTTTCACAATCGGTTTGCATGCTTCTAGCCTCGAAGCTCCGAATGCTAGGTACGTCTCCGTCTTGTCACGATTTTCACTAGAAAGGGAACCCGGAATCAGGGATGCAGACGAGTGTGAGGGTATCAAAAGCAACACGTACTCGAGTTCTTTTAGAATATAGGTTAAAGACACGGATACTCCAGATAAGGTGTTTCCACAGAGCATTCCGACGATTGGAACTAACATGTGTCAAATGCCGTCAGAAACGTGTTAATGGTAGGACAAAAGGCGGACCTCACTGTATTCAAATGGACGCCAAAAGGGGCGTATGCCCATAGCAAAATGTGCGCCGATGATCGAGATGGGAATGGTGCATATCATAAGGCTGAGGAAGACAGATAGAAACTGAGCCGTGCGTCAGGACAGAACGGCAAAGTTTCCAACTTAGGAGGCGAACACACCATATGTTCGTATCGTCGCTTGCATTTGTTGAGAACTGTTACAGCAACTGTCAGCGGAATGCTGTAATGATAAGAGATGGTTTCACGTACCTGTCTCACATGTTCCCATGAAGTTCAACAGTACTGTAGTCACAAGAAGCTTCATTAACTTCTGCTGGTTCGACGCCGTCGGACCAATGAGAACAAGCGTATTAGCAGAATACAACTCACCAGTAATGCCCGCGACCGCCCACAAATTATTGGAAGCGAACACCTTTTGCAAGATGAGGGCGACAACTGCAAGTTGAATGATACATCTGAGGGCAGCGGCGAGTAAAGACCGACCGACGCCCAAGTCGAGTGTGTGCGAGACAAAAGCATTGAAAGCTATGAAGGCGAAACCGAGCCCGACGTTGGACCACTCAAGGTGGGTGTTAGCTTGAGGGGTGTGTCCGTCCATGTCGTCAAAGAGCGTGCTGCAAAGCAGATTTATAAAGCGACAGGGACACCCGAGGAATACGGGGAAATAGAAGGTCAGCGGTGCGCCTTGAGGTGAGCCAGAGCGTCTAGATGAATTTGGACGTGGGGAAGGAAAACTGGAGCAGGGGCTTACGGTATCCGTGGTAGGATGGTAAAACAAAGGCCGGGGCGGCGCGCGTCCTGTCGTTGTAGAGGAGAGAAACAGCCATTGCCGTCGAGTTTTAAGCAACGCCTTGTCAGATAATTTCGATCTACTTGATCGGAAACCGTGCTGAGCCAGATACTTGGGTTCCCCGGATCTCTTCGTGAAAGTGCTGGTCTAGGGTTAGGGTCGTCACTCCCCGCTTGACCAGTTCGGTCCGGAACGGTCTTAGACTTTCACACTCTTGCTCAGGTTCACTTTCTCCTCTGGACTTTCTTTCCGTGCTTAGGAGTGCCACCATTGAATTTTATCACATTCAAATATCTCCCGTACTGACAGAAACCTTGGACAAACATGGCTCACAATCCTCGCGTCCAAGGACCCTCAATTTTCGAAAAGAGTGAGCGTCCATTCTTCTACGAATATATGTTACATCCCTCTCACATCTAATCATGACGTCGTGTAGTGAAGTGAGCCTGTCCTCATCCATAAATTTCTGCTTTTCTTCATGATCTTATGCTTGTCTGCAGGATGGGTGCCCTGATGGGTGGTGGTGTGGGTCTCACCATTGGCTTCATCTTTGGATCCTATAGTATCCTCCGGTGCGTTGTCTTATTCTCGTCTTACGCATAGCGTGTGCTCGGCTGACCCGTAAAACCTCTTCTGTTTCATAGAGGCGGAGCAGGTCCACGCGGTGCCCTCGCCACACTTTCACAATACATGCTCAGCAGCGCAGCCACCTTCTCATTTTTCCTCTCCGTCGGTTCCGTGCGTCTTCCTTCTCTATCTCCTCCCCATATCTTACCAGCGTCTCAACGCTGTGTTTGACATTGCCTCACTTGTCGTGCTACAGGTCATCCGAAACGACTCCCTCATGCCTCCCCACCTCGAAGCCGCTCGCCTCCAAATGCTCCCACCAACAATCCGGTCACGAGCCGAGGGCGCCACTCTGATCCGTTCACGATGGCAAGCCGAGCGCGAAAAACTCCGGTCACAGTCATAACTTTGAACTCTTCGGCCACTGGTTAGCCAGCTTAACGAAGCCTTCACCCACCCCTCATACTCCATACTCGTAACCCATCCCTCAGACAGTCACCACAACTCACTCTTGCTCTGGTGTCGACTGTTGATGGGAAACATTACATGTGCTTTTATTGTCCTAAAATGCGATTTTGATTACCACCGTTGCTCCCCATGATAATGCATGAGTGCCGAATACGTGTCTGACGTTGGGAAGTTTGTATACGGTTACTGACGACGTCCTCCGGGTTACTATCGAAGTTTGCGTGGACGCGAGAGGAGAACACATCTCAGCCACCCCGGAGAGCATTCCAACAAGAGCAGTCGACTACATCGGGGGGTTGAGAACGAAATTGGGTATAGAGCGACGATACGCATGAAGTAAGCGAACAAAGTATTTGTATACTACATCGTAACAACTAGTACAGAACATGAATTTCGCCTGCTCCTTTCTCATCCCAACGATATGTCCTCTTTTCCCATTCTTAAGCGTCTTCAGGAATCAGAGTAGATTGTCTGCCTGCGTAAAGAGGTGTAAATTTCAAGGTAGCAGATGAACGGAGAGGCAGGTAAGTAGTGACAATGACGCCAAGTCTCAACGGATTGAGGATGGCACCTGGACGAAAGCGTAACTTAGTAGTGTTCCCGACCGATAGAGAGACAGAGACAGAGACGAGGAAAGAGAAGAGGATAGAGTAGATGGAATGTAGACAAGACAAGTAGAATATGGAGACGAGGTGCAATGAAGGCAGAGTTGATAAATACAGTAGAACGGATCGCATTTGTCCGAAGGGCGAGCGTGCAAGTGGCGTCGATGCCGTGCCAACATGGTTGAAAGCAATTGTATGAATAGATGCCCGTGGAACAATTGTTGTAAAATGAGTGTAAATACGTTGGAATGGCTGGAGCAAGAAATGGCAAAAACAAGGGCACAAGCAAGGGCAATATCCGGCAGTGAACAGAATATAGGCAACACAGCAGCCAGATAAAAGATAGAAAACAGCCAGCAAAGGCAGGCAAATAAGAAAATGAACCACGCTATGAGCCGCTCGAAGAAGGTGAAGGATCAGATGGATCATCCGCCCGTCGTGGCGGTGGGATTATTGGCACTTTTGAATCCGACCTTGAAGCCTGTTGTTGCGGCGTTTCGGAAGTCGGGTTCGCAAGCCCAAATCCAGGTAGAGGTCTCCTGTTCTCGCTATATGATGGTGGAAGCTCGATAAGCTCGTCTTCGTCTGCGGCGTCGGTGTGCACGATGAGACGGGGATTATACTGTGATGAAGAAGACGCGGAAGTAGCGCCCTTTCGACGGGAGCCATTGGAGGACAAGTAGCCTGCAGAGGACGATAGTCCTCCCGGTGAGGGTGGCGGGTGCGGACTGTGGATTGCAGACTCGTAGGACATTGGAGGTTCAGTGAGGGGGAACGGTGTGGGTGTTAGAGGTGTAGCATCGTAACGTCCACTGGCAAGATACGCTGTCGATCCGTGGTTACTTGAGTAATCTCCTAATGCGAATCGTTATAAGTATTCCATATACTGATTGGCAACACATGAGCATACCGTTCAGGTCCATCAGATGCTGCCTACGGCGGTTTTGTTGCCGCTTGCGATAGAAGAACCAGACGAGTGCGAGAAGGGCAGCTATACCAGCAACAACGCCAGCAATAGCGCCACCGACGGCAGCTCCTGACACTCCTGACGAACTCGAACTTGAAGAACCGGTCGAGGTTGGAACTGGCGTCATAGTGGAAGAAGGAGATGTTGAATTCAGACACGAAGAGTCCGAAGATGCTGTAACCTGTAGAAACAAATGTCGTTCAGATCCAAACATAGGAGGCAAAGTTTCCGTGGTCCCGGTGATTGTATCGCCGCAACTCTGAAACGCCGTCGCCAAGCCATGGAAATCGAACGTACCTCCAGAACATTCGAAACGCCTCCTAAGTTACCCTGGGAATCTGACAAGAAGAACACGAGGTCGTTTCCGGCGGCAACATCGACAGTCCAATCGTACGAGGCGTCGGAACTTTTGGGAGGAGTGAGACTCAGGCCTGTCCCACCTGGTATAACAGCCTGTGCGCAGATACAACACCGAGTGAGCCATGCAAAGCAGCGGAGTATGGGAAGTCATCATACGTTGATCGTTATAGGCTGAACAGCAGATGAATAGCCACTGAAGGTGTATGTTCTGCGAGATGCCTATGTTAACCGTCTTCTCCAACAAATGAAGGGAGAATTCGTTCTTACCTGCATTGTGCCAATGCAGAATTCAGTTCATACACGAAGGTTGGTGTTGGGTCTGTCGTGTTACAAGCGCTGCTTGAATTCGAGGCAACGGTCCTATATGGAAAAATGTCGACCAGATGAATCTCTTTTCGCCACCTGCAAGAGGAAACGTGATTACAGTAGCTCAGAGGTCCCACCGGTATTCCAACCTGTCGCATCGGACATGGAGAGCAAGACTTGCGTCTTTGCAGCGACGAGCAGCTGAAAAGTGTACGATCCTTTCCCATTGCTGTAGGCAGAGTCGGAGATGTTATGGATCCGCTGTGTGCCAAAAACCTTCGGGGGTGGCGTTTGAGGAACTATTCTTATCTGCGAGCTAAAAATGTACGCACTGGGAGGACCTCTAGAGTGTAGGGCGCGGTGCCGCCTAATGTCGCGTTACGAGAAAGAAATCGTATAGGAGTTCGGGGTGGTTTCAATTTACTAAAATTGCTAAATGTTCTCACCTGACCATGTAACAGTTAAGTCACCACACTCGGAGGGCGTGCCAGCGTCAAAATTGAAAGCGCTGGCGATGGCAGACGCCCCCAGAGCAACCAAAATCCTTCCCAACATTTGTACTGGTGTAAGCACACGGTCGACGTGGTTTCTTCGTGTCGAGTGGGGCCAGTGTACGCTCCAGCTATTTGCTGGCGTTGAAAGACACCGTACCAAAGAGAATAGAGAAAAAACGGAGGAGGCTGTCGCGAACGATTGACAGACGACGAACGGCGGAGAAAGGAAGTGGGAGGGAGCGTAGCGGATATGATCAGAAGCAAGAGCTGGGGGCGGTTCGGCTCGAGTTACGCGCAGGTGACAGACGGCGATCGAGGACTTAAGTTACTGCAGCCGACAAGTAGCTGTGCCACCTGTACGTTTGCGCCACTTGCTTGCCTTCCCCACAACCAACGCTCTGCATTCGACTGATGCCAGACTACATACCAGTGCAATACATTGATCTTTGTCCTCCTGCAAACATTGATACTGTATGCACAACCACTCCATACGCAAGCAATTTCAACGCAAAAAATATGCGGATGTGTCACTCGCAGCAGCTGCTGCGTCGAAGTCATATCTACATTGACACAAAAAAACACCAGCCTACACGCGAGCATCTAGAACAGTGAACATGCCCTGAGCATTGAGGACTTGGGTGAGATCTCAACATAACCCCAACTAGAATAGCAGCGGCCATCAAAATGCACAGCCGAACCCAGATACTGCTGCAACACCGCTCAGTGCGCACTTCAACCTCTCCAAGGAGGCCGCCACACGGCCTTCACCATCTTCTCGATCGCCCTCAACCCTCCCTTCTTCCGTGCAGTCTCACTTCCAGTAGTCCTCCCAGTATCAACGGCATCCTTATTGGATGCACGGGCGAAGAGTGACCAAGAAAAGGCGGATGGAACAGCGTGTGTAGTTGGGCTACGGGCAGGGGATGGCGGCGGTGTCGGGAATGCACCAGGGAGAACGCGACTAGTCGGAGGACCGCAGGAATTGTGAGTACTGGCTTTGGCCGAAGGGATAGCTTCGGGGAGTGGATCTGCTATTGTGCTACAAGGTTGGATAGGGATATTCTCTTGTGGGACGGGCACTGCCGAGACAGGACGGACGTCCGAGGTCGACAAGGCCAGATTGCTCTTGTCTCGAGGCAGTGGCAGAGCCTCGGAGGCAGTGACGTCCGTTGCCGCAATCCCCGAGCGCACCAGTGGCGCAGACGTCTCTGTCGGCCACGGCGGGCGAGGGACAGCGGATGTCGACCGGCGACTGGAAAGTGTCCGTTCAGCGTGGAGCGCCGTGGAGAGAGGTTTAGGCTTGAGAGGCGAAGGCGAAGACTTATTAGACGAAGTGAGGAGTTTGGGACGGATGGGCACGATGCGGGGAGATTCTGTGGTAGGTTTAGGTGACCTTTGAACTGCACGAATGACAGGGCGAAGCTTCTTGCTGTTCGGGGTGGACTGCTTGGTGGGGGCAGAACCGTCGGGTGTAATGACCAAGGCTTCGAGGGGTCTAGGATGAAGTATAACCTGCGAATGTTCTGATTGCCTGGAGGGAGGTCTCGTAACGGGTGCAAGAGCTGTCTCTAGAGACCTTGTGGATGCCAGAGAGGTGCGAGCAGTGACTGAATGCTGTTTGGGAGCGAGGACGTTTTTCTGAGCGACGTGTTGTTTCTGCGTAGGCGTAAGAGGAAGAGCTGAAGTACGTGTACCGCTGGGACGGTCCTTGATTGCGACGGCTTGTTCTTGCTGTGACTTAGAGGGGCTCGATGCAAGCGGGGTAGGAGTAACTGAAGGCTTCCTAGGTTTGCGTTTCGCGATGACATGACGGCGGCCACCGACTACAAGTGGTACTTCGCGAGGCTTCAAGCGGATGTTCTCCTTCGAGGATTTCCGCAGACGGAGGCCCGGCGATTTCGGCACTTCGGTAGCGGTAGGTACGTTCTCCTTGGCTTTTGAAGTGGCAGTGACGCGAGCAGGTGAGAAAAGGTCCTCAGAGACGGTGGGGCGGACATTGAGCGGCCGAGAGCGTTTGCGAGGAGAGGCGGCGGCTAACTTGGGAGTACGTTGAGGTGACGGTGGGGCCCTAGGAAGAGGAGAACGTAGTTTCTTCCTAGAGGAGCTGTTCGAACCAGCGTTGACACGAGAAACAGCTAGCTTGTCCGCCTTGTCACCGATCTCGATAGCAGTACGAGCGACGCGGGTTTGAAAAGCCTGAAGCAGTTGTTGAATCTCGTCACCGCCAGTCCTCGCCGTGTGATACTGGCTGAGCGAGACAGAACTACTTCGACGAGAGATGGAAGAAGCTGGCGTGGTCGATTCTTTGCGTGCTTTTCGTCTGAGGGATCCCTTGGCTCGGCGGCTTCGCGACGCAGGAGAAGGAGAGACGGGTATGATGATAGGTTTGTCGCGGCGACGGCCAGTGGATCTCCTTGTCGAAGATGGTAGTAACTTTGTGGGGGTAGAGTGTATCGTAGCTTGGGTATCTCTGTAGATGTTGAGCTGAGAAGATTTGTCTGCAAGAGGCCTGGCGGAAGTTATACGAGCGAGGTATGCGGCGCTTTGTTGTCTCGATAACGTCCGCTGTTCCCTGCGAGAGGGCTCCCTAGGTCGCGGAGCGCACTTAGGCATGACGACCAAGCTTAACAGAGGTAGAGACCCAAGCTTGCGACCAGCGGGGACGTCGTAGATGGGATGGTGGAGCAAGAAATGGAACGAACCGAGAAAGGTGAACTTGATGTGACGCGACGTAGAAGGCCGTCACGTCGAGGTCACAGGCCCTCACAGGCCTTCTACAATTCGTTGAAGTCAATAGCAGCATATTCACCCAGTGTATTCTTTCCATTTATTGGTGGAGAAGTGTAGCAGCGTAGAAACCAGAAACCAGAAGGCGTTTTGCACGTTCGAAGTGCAGTCTGGAGAGAGGGAGAACCATCACCGCCTATATGGATAGTACGAGACAAGCTCCAGGTAAAGCTTCGTTGAGATCCTCCAAAAAAGACTTAAGTACAGCGGCGTACAGTCTCTCGAAAGGAAGATCCAAACTGTCTGGAGTCTGGAAGGCAATGCAGGAGTAGGATGTCAGAGCCGCGTATTCGCCACGGCGCTCTTTCGATATCACGACAGTCGGTTCATGAGCGTTTTGGGTTAATTGCACAATACAGAGAAGCTTCATGGAACTTGATACTGGTAGAAACGAGGAAGGAGAAGGCCATCGCCAGAGAGAGCCTGACGCGACGTGTCTGAGAGGTTCGGCGGCTGGACTTCGTTGGATGTTGCAGTGCGGGAATTGCCGAAGCCAGCCACACGGATTCGTCGTCCTTTCGTTGCTCATCGCTCCCGACGACGACAACACTCCCTTCAAGGTCAGTACGCCCTACAGAATGCTCGTCCGGCGTCCGAACGACACGTCTGGACGTATCCAGATGCGTTTAGCCCGTTTCAACGAGCGCAATCGGACGGATGGTCGAACGGACGACCGGATGCACCTCTGCTCTCTTTTCTTATGAACCGCTGAAAGACCGTCCTGCTGACCCCCATCACCATCTTTCCTACAGACTAAAACATGGGTTTCGGGAAAAACAACGGTTTGTATCATCCACTTTAACTGTATCAGAAGTACGGAGGAATTGACCTCTGACAACCTTCAGTTCTCCACGACAACCATTTCCGCAAGGACTGGCAGCGCCGAGTCAAGACCTGGTTCGACCAGCCCGGCCGCAAGCTTCGCCGTCGTCAGGCCCGTAAGGCCAAGGCCGCTGCTCTCGGTGTCCGCCCCATCGCCTCCCTCCGCCCCGCCGTCCGTGGACAGACTGTCCGCTACAACATCAAGATCCGTGAGGGTCGTGGATTCACCCTTGCTGAGCTCAAGGAGGCCGGTATTGGCAGGAAGGCTGCGCGTGGTGTTGGTATCGTGGTTGACCACAGGCGCAGGAACTTGAGCGTGGAGGGAAAGCAGTTGAACGTTGAGAGGCTGAAGGCGTACAAGGAGAGGTTGGTCGTCTTCCCCCGGAAAGCCGGCAAGCCCAAGAAGGGCGACTCATCGGTACGTTCATCTCTGCTCGTTCTCAAATGTTATGTGATCGTGACCTGGGCCATTTTGGCGCCGTAACAGGCTGAGGAACTCACCGCCGAGACCACTCGTGCCGCCGTTGCTCTCCCCGACCCCTACGTTGCCGAAGCACCCCGCAAAATCACCGACGAGGAGCGGGAATTCTCTGCGTACAAGACACTCCGCAACGCTCGCGCAGAGTCGAGGTACGAGGGTGCCCGCAAGGCCCGCGCTGCCAAGGTTCGTGTGCTCTCCTTATCAACATTCCCCGCGCCCTCTAACATCGTTTATCCATCCTTTGTAGAAGGAGGAGGAGGAGGCTGCCAAGAAGAAGTAAACTACCCGCTGTACTACTTCTGCTGCCCGTCCCCACTACTTTGTCGCGTCGTCTCCTTCATTATCACATGCTCTTCGCTCTCCTTCCCACCACATGTACACTCAAAAGCTGGGTCCGACCATTATGCACCTAGGGTCTCTTGCAATACATGCGATTGTATGCACTTGAGCGAGCAGCTTGGAGGCAACCTTTAACCCATCCTCGAGCCGCGTTTCATCTGTCTCTATTCTGCAAAAAATACGTGTTGTGATGCCGAAAGTCTAGTCTCGTCTTGAGACAAAGTGTACATCTTCCAAACATCTGCTTTGCTTGTCCACCACATGGTCAAATCATTACTGGTCTTAGACGTCGACCTCAACAGGGCGAAAAGTCTTTTTGTGTTGTTGGCTTACCGACACCGGTTACCAGCATTTAACGGAAGGAAAATCAACGTTCGTCAGATAGCCCAAGCTGCGACCCGCATAATTCACTTGTGTTATATACACCTGCTGGTGCTTAGTGGATACCTTCATTGTAGACGAGGTTTAGGTGCTAGCTGACCTTGTAGCCCTGCTTCGTCTATTGACGGCTGCAGTTGGGTATTTACCACTCGACAAAGGGAGGCCTCTCCCATTTATGCCGGCTGGTTCATTTTGGCCAATGTAGCTTTCGCATTATGCTTGTGTTGTTACCTGCCGGTTTTTATTTGTCGCTAGTTCAGAGAGTAGAGGTAGTCTCCATTCTAGTTCGATCGACCGTCTAGTAGGCGATTCTATGCATTCTATGCACGAGAACCGGAGCTCGCAACCTACACTTACTCGCTTCAGCCACTATCTATCTCCGCCAACCTCACCTTCACCCCACTTCTAACTCTCAATCCCTCTTCCTCCCCATCGCATGCTCAATCTCCCTATCCGCCACCATCTTCACGATCTTCAACTGATCCGCAACGCTCTTCAACGTCCCCCTAACCTCCCCATTCCCCTCCCAAAACCCAAACTCGGCGTACTCCAGCCCCTGCTCCTTGCAGAACTCCTTAACCAAATACGACGCGTCGAGGAGGTTGTGCCGCGGGAGACGCGGGAAGAGGTGGTGCGTGACTTGGAGGTGCAGTCCGCCGTGCAGGAAGGCGAGAGAGGGGTGACAGATGACGTCGGTTGTGGTGCGGAGTTGGCGGTGGACGAAGGATTCGGTGGGGCCGAGGTCGGCGGTTGAGCGGGAGAAATGGGAGAGCACGATCTATTACATAGTGTTGTTATGAGTCAGTTTTTGGTGTACTTCAGAAAGCTGAGTGGGAGTGGGATAGGGAGGAAGGAGACGTATTCTTACTTGGACGTGTAGAGGACTGGGCACCATGTTACTGATCATGAGATATCCCAATGTTTTCCCCCACGTTCCACATCCCAATAAGACCCTTCCATACCAAAACGCCCAAACGACCAAGCCGATAATCTCACCCCACCAATACCATCTCCCTCCCTTCGCCTTCCTAGGATCGTTCCTCGTCTTCCAGAGATGCTCGTAGGAAAGGCGATAGAGGTTGAAGCGCGCGAGGGACATGATGATGTAGAAGAGCCGGTGTTGGACGGCGATGAGGTAGCGCGCGGGGAGGTCGAATGTCAGTTCGCGTTTGTAGTAGGTGGACCAGAGAGAGTTGAAGAAGGCGGGGGAGATGGCGAAGAAGGGGAGATGTTGGATGTCGGGGTCACTGTGGACATGGGAGAGAGGTTAGCATCGGTAGTGGGGACGAATTGTGTACATAGTGAAGATGGGGAGATGGCGTCGGTGGTATTGTGTTTGAAAAGTGGCACCGTGGAAGAACGGCTGTTTAGTACATTCATATGACTGATATACCTAGTCAGACCATTCGCATTCCCAATTTTGGGATTTGTGAGGCACGAGGCGTAGTAGCCATTACGAAATTGACACTACTGTGCACCAGACCACGGTGTACGGTGCCAGACCGTCGACCACATTTTGGGGTGCGACAACTGATTGGGGTGTTCTGTGCGACAAGAGCGCCTGAAGTACGAGGAACATGAGTCAAAGAAAGAGCTACCCACTGTGAAGGATGATTGGTGACGACTAGAGGCGGGTGTTAATGGTGGATAGTAGTCAATAATGATATGGACAAACCATGGTGAACGTTGTGGTTCTGTATATACACGAGCTTTTATCAACGAAATGGACTTCGTAAAGAACGAAAGGTAGTGCTCACAGCGACCCACCAGCCGACGCTCAGCCCTCCCATCCAGTTGGCAATGAATATGGCGATGGCACGATCCGTAGTCCAGTCGTGAGTGACACCGAGGTGACCGAGATCATGCACGGTAAACACGAGCTGATGCCAGAGTGCACCGAGGCAGAAGGCACTGGTCAAGAACCATTGTTTCTGGTAGAAGACATAGGCTCCAATGGCCATGATCACGTAGCGGACAATCTCGGGGCCATATCCGGTGATGTAGCGACAGTTGTAGAGCCCGGCATCGGCGATGCGTTTGTGAAGCTGCTTGTAGGCGGCAGAGTGCTGGGACTGCTGCTTTAGTGACAGAGTTGTCGGGGCTGGTTCGAGAGTAAGCGCAGACGGGCAGGTAGATGGATTGTCAGCCTTGGCAAGAAGGAGAATCTGGGATGAAGGAGACTCCTCCGAGGGTTCGTCCGAATAGAGCTCTGTGGACTCCTTGTGCCAGTGAAGCTGGCCGTCGTCGCCGATTTTTCGAATCCAGCCTGCATGGGCAGGTGGGAGCAAGGGGACCCAGCCTTCTTCACCAAGGCTAACCGTACCAATAGCGTAACCCAACATGCGTTTAAGGGTGGGATCTGAGTGAAACGCCTCGACCTCGTCCGTCGCGTCACGGCCTGTGAAGTGATGGATGGAGAGAGAACCACCAGGGTGCGCAGAGAGCCATGAGTTTGGAACGCGAATGAGCTTGTCGTGAAGAATGAAGATATTGTCGCCTGCTATGATGCGAGCAGCGACTTGCTCGCGAGTCCAACAGGGCAGGACTGTCGTGGGTACGCCCATGGTTGTAGTTGGGCTGCTCAAAGCAGTTCGCCGCGTCGCGATCGTGGCGTGATGGAAGAATGAATTGCTGAAATTAACAGCCTCCAATAGGGACCGATAAGTTGCGGATAAGTCCGGAAAGGGTAATTTGTGGGGAAATAGCTCCATGACGATTTCGGTTTTAGCCGTCGGGGCCGCCGCTCCGCCTTTGGCTCCCCCGCAACGTTTCGGTGAGCATCTACCCCGACGTCCAAGCACCGACAGCAGCTCCCCCACAACAGCACCGTTCTATCCAGCACCGACAGCGTACACAGTCGACGTCGCAGAACTTGGACCATACGCGACATTTGGGGACGCATCACGAGACGTAGCAGCCTTGGCGCGGGAAGCGGAAAGGGACAGGAACAGACTCATCGACGAGGACTGAATCAGAATTGCCTGCTTGCAGCCGCATTTTCCGTCGCCCTTCTCCGTTATCGACAGCATGCCTACCTCGACAACCCGCGCAGCCATCTCAACCACAGCTCCGAACCACTCCAGGCTCCGCTCCCAGTCCGACCCCTTCTCAGACCCTGCCTACGCCGTCCCGCCCGCCCCGCCCCCCAAGTCAGGCTCCACGCCAACCAAGTCGACCCACCGCTCCCACCAGTCTCACAACACCCCCCAGCGCTCGAGAGCGAGGGATCCAGTCATGGAGGCAGTCAAGGACACCGTCGTATACCGTTCATCCAGCGAGCAACAGCGCTCTCGTCCTTCTACTGGCAGGAGCAACACGAATGTGTAAGTCATCACTCCTTGATCCGCCGACTCAGCAGAAGCTCACAGCTTCCCCGCGATCTCTTCTCTGCTTCCTAGAAACTACCCCACGACAGCCCCGGTCAGGCCCATGGCCACCACCACCCGTCGCTCGCACTCCGATGACTCCGTTCGCCAGGCAGCCGCCGTAGAGAAAGCAAAGGCCGCCGGTCGCAAACCAGCCAAGAAGGGCTCCACCCATGCAGATGTCATTGATAGGCTCGATTTCACCGGTGTTGGTCCCAGTGCGTCTTGATTTTCGGTTTTCTGTATTTCTTTTATTCCCAATGGCTAACTCCGTCCATCATTCCATATCTCCAGTGTTCCACCATGATGGTCCATTCGATGCTTGCGCCCCCTCTCGCAACCGCCATCGCACGAAGGCGCCAATGTATTCTTGGACGGGCGTAAACCCTGAAGACGCCCAGGTGGCGGCAAAGTACCGCGATGTTCAGCAAGGCGGGCTTGATCACCCTGGCCTCGAAGGCCCTTACGCTGCGGCATCTAAAGCTCCTGCCTCTCCGTACTATCCAGAGCCGCCGAAGAAGCAGGTTGACGCCATCGCCGAAGCTTGGGGTATGCATGAGCCGGAGCCTTACGAAGAGTTTTTCGCTGGTGGTGACGCTAGGACTCGTGAGGAAGAGATGGCCGCGTATGAGAGTAAGCACGCACACGGAAGAGATCGTCGTCCCGATCCCGCCGGTCGTCGTCCTACCAAGCGTGGCGCCATTCCCCCTCCTCAACCCATCTTCGTTGAGCCCGAGCTGCGAGGAATCGATGGCGAGGTGCCCCCTTCGCCTCCGTTGTCGGGCTCTCCCGGCGTCAGGCGCAACAAATCTCTCATGCACCGTATCCGCAAGATGCGTGACGCTCCCAACGTCCCCGTAGGATATGACGAGGGTGCAGCCAATGGTGAGGCTTCACCAACCTCATCTTCTGAGGGACATGCTGTCCCCTCGTCTGGTCGTCCCACCCATCGCACTCAAAATTCTATCCTAGGACGATTCGGCCGCCCCGGCCGCGAAGATAACCTATCGCCAGCATCTGACCGTAGCGAACCATTCATCTACGTCGAGGATCCCAAGGACAAGGAGTTGCCTGCCACGCCCTATGGGCACGCCCAGGCCCAGCACCCAGGATATTTTGACGATTACCCCGTCAGTGGACCAGCGGTTTCTCCGGGCGGTGCGAATGGTGGGCTTGGGAGGAAGACGAGCTTGATGAACAGGGTGAAGGGCGTTGTGCGGGGAGGTGCAAAGTAGGTGGGGCCGATGAATGGCCGATGATGACGATTGTCGATGGATGCCGATGATACGGGTCGTTCCCAATGATGATGCCCGTTGGACTTTTCGTGCATTGCACGGTGCGATTCGGCACAATATGATAATTCCCTTGTTCCGTTTGCCTAGTGTTTCTCCCTTTCCTTCTACTCGATTTGTTTGATGAATTCATGTTTTAACTTTCTTTTCGGCTCCATCCTCCATGAATTCTTCGTTTATTGGTGACTCTACGGTCCCTTATGATGGCCTTTTGGTCTTTTTTCCCTATCTTGTCTTTGCTTTCTCCCAGCGACTTCAATAGATGTGGACGGATCTTCATGGCGCGTCGATCTTTGGCCTTGTCTCTGTACATAAATCGCGTTGGCGTCCTCGTCTACCCTTTTCGTTGCGCGCCAGCGTTTATACACCCTTAGTACTTTGGAGCGTTGTTGAGCCTCTTCATTCTCTTTATTTGCCTCCTGCCGACTTTCGTATCTGTATCCCAAATTTCTTTCTCCCTCGCGAAGCCTGTGTTTCAGTTGTCGACTACTTAGCTTCGCCCATCCATAGCTTCGAATTCTTCCCGTATTTGACACCCTCTTTCAGTATATTCCAATATTCCAATGACAACCCCGCAACTCTTACTCCCAGCTCTTAGCTATGAAATACCTATTTTTTTTCTTCCAGTGTGTCCACCTTCGTATTTCGTGTCCGTACGTCCGTCCTTCGTCTGCATTTGCGCCTGTCTACCCTGTGTCTGTTCTGTATATCTTCCATCCACCCCGTTCAGAAATGTACCCGTACGTCTATTATCTGTGTCTGTCCGTCTGTCCTCGAAGTCGTTTTCACAATTTGAGTCTGATCTCTCGTGTAGGTTCCGATAATATGAATCGATATAGTAGCCTGTCTATCCGTCGAGTTTTCTGAGATTTCTTCTTCTAACTTTTTGCCTTCTTGGTGGAAATATCTGTTCTACGTTTCGAAGTTATCTTTTTGTCTTGCCGTGATGATTCAGAGCCCTTGCGTATCTTCGTGGTGGTGGTTCTTTGATGTGGGGGTTGTCAAGTATAAGTAGTACGAGCTTGAGTACGATTGAATAGGAATGTGAATATGTTTGTCTGAAAATCGAAGGATATTCCAATATTTGTTCTTGCAGCACACGGGGAAGTCGGGGGTAGTTCTTTGGCTGGAACAAGACAAGAACGTGTGTCGGGTCAATAAGGACTCCTGACGGTGAGACTGGTAGCGATGCGATAGTGGGAACGTAGATACAACGACGGGTATAAATAGCTGGAGAAGTATGGGGAGAGCTCAAGCTTTCTACTCCATATGGTTTGTCTATATTTTCATAGTAAGTAAGAGACAAGTCACGGTAGACAATGAGTAGACACGGCTTTCGTGTCCGATCACGAGGATAGGGGTTTGGTGGCGGATCCTGGAACTTGGCTATGGGTTTTGTTGTGGCGTCAAAGTGGCGAGAGATATCATCAAGGCCTCGTAGTAAATATGGCTGGAGTTTGCCTCCTACGAACGATCCAGTTTGTGTGTGTGTATGGCTTGGTCTAATAAGTATAGATGAGGATACACCAGTTGTATACATCGATGCTCTATTCTTTTATTCTCCACACGTTTGCAGTACTTCAGAGACCCCTTACTTCAATTCCCGCCTTTCGAAGCGCCTCCTTCACCTCCTGTATTCCTACCTCCTCCCTGTGGAAGATACCCGCCGCCAACGCAGACTCTACGCCGGTCTCTTCGAATACCTCCACAAAATGTTCCGCCTTGCCAGCGCCGCTACTCGCCACTACTGGAATCGTCACCGCCTTCCTCACCAACCCAATCAAGTCATGATCGAAACCGGCACCCGTCCCGTCACGGTCGATACTGTTCAGAAGAATCTCGCCAGCTCCGAGCTGTTCGACGCCTTGCGCAAGTTGGACGACGGAGAGTGGGCGGGATTCCCGTCCGCCGGAAACAGTACATTGGTACCACCATGCTTTTTTCGGGTTCGTGGAAGCGTCTTTCGAGAGGTCTTTGGAGCGTGCGGAAGAGGCGAGGATTAACTCGCCCTTGTAGGGACCGTCGTACGTCTCTGGGTCGACGTAGACTTTACGGGGGTCGATGGAGACGACGACGGCTTGTCGGCCGTACGCCCATGAGATGGTCTCGATTCCGCTTTTGCCGTCGCCTTTACCGCCATTGGCAAGCATCTTCTCCACAGCGTAGACTGCTTCGCTCCCGATGCTGACTTTATCCGCTCCAGCGCGGAAATAAGCACCCGCGACTTCGAGGGCGGTGTGCGGTGTGCCATCGGGATCGACGGTGTCGCGGATTCCACCACCGATTGTGAGAGGCACGAAGACGGCTTGGGCGGCAGCGCGGACGACGGCGATCATGGGTTGGTCGAGGAGGGGCGAGTGACGGAAGGAGGTGATGTTGAGGAGGGCGAGTTCGTCAGCTCCCGAGGTGAAGTATCGAGAGGCGAGGGCGACGGGTTTTCCAAGATTGCGAACGGCGCCGCCGGTGTGGGCGGCGACGGTGTTGGATTCTGTTGACGCCGGTGTTGATGTAGATGTTGGTTCCGGTGCTTTTTCACGAACGTCGTATTGGTCGCCTTTGGTGACGACGAGATCGCCCTGGTCATTTGCGCGAACGTCCATACAGGCGATGATTCGTTTCGTCAGGCCGTCCTTCTCCCGCGGTGGCCAGGGTATCCGTGGTGTTGGTGGTGCGTGTGCCCTTGAGGATTCAGGTTCGCGGAGCCAAGCGTCCAACATCCGCAATCCCGCCTCACCCGATTTTTCAGGATGGAACTGACAGCCAAACACGTTCCCTTTCCTCACACTCGCCATGAAGATCTCCTGTCCGTACTGAGTTACCGAGTGCACCCATTCCGCACCCTCTGGGTTCGTTTCGGGTTCGTAGGCGGCTCGGAAGGTGTGCACGAAATAATAGTGAGCGCCGTCGGACACTCCTGATGCGGATTTGGAAGAGGGGTCGATGAGATGGGTAGAGTTCCAACCCATGTGCGGGACGGATTTGGTGGCATTGGAGAATGAAGAGATGCGAGCGGGTATGACACCGAGGCCAGGAAGTGATGATTCGGATTCGGCGGAAGATTGAAAGAGCACTTGCATGCCGATGCAGATACCGAAGTATGGTTTGCCAGAGGCGATGTACGCCTTGAGGGGTTCAAAAAGTCCCCGAGAAATGAGCCCATCGACGGCTGTTGGAAAGGCGCCTACACCAGGAAAGATGAGGGACTATAAATGTAGAGATGTAGGAATGGGACAGTGATTTGGGGTGAGGAGTCACATCATGTCAGTTTTCTGATGTGGCGAGAGAGAAAAGTAGTAAAGTGCCTACGGTGGCCCGGTCAAAGTCATCTGGGGATGATATCCATTCGAACTTGTGGCCGAGACGTTCAAGTGAGTTTGCGAGCGACTGCACATTGCCAGCGCCGTAGTCGAGGAGGAAGAGACCCATTAGACGGGGGACGTGCGAAGGAAGGATGAAAAGCGAACGTGCAGCGGCGATCACTTGTCTAGACAGATCTGGAGTCGAGTCAAGTCACCGACGTATTCTGCCATAGTCGCCACTCTCACGCAACCATCATCCCTTCCTATAAAACTTCGGCTTACCCGTCATCCCTTACGCTCCCTTCAACGCTTTCATCTACCATCATGACCACCCCAATTTCCATCCCCACTTCGGTCTCGCCATCGCTAGCTGCTGTCTCCTTGTCTCCCACTGGCATTTCCTCCATCCATGAACGGATGCGCCAGAATACCCTTCAAGCCGCTGCGTCTAGCGTTCGCCGACCAAGAGTTCTTCATCCGGTAGACAACGAACATCTCAGGCTTCTTCTCCTTGAAAATATCAGCCAGGATGCTGTCAAGTCATTCGAGGCCCAGGGCTTCACTGTCGACCACTCTGCTAAGGCCATGTCTGAAGAAGAACTCATCCAAAAACTCCCAAACTACCATGCTATTGGCATCCGTAGTAAAACAAAGATCACGGAGCGTGTCTTGAAGGCTGCTTCAAAGGTTCGTCTTCTGTACTCATCAAATGCATTACTTGGATTGACATGCCTACTGGAATTCAGCTCCTTGTCATCGGCTGCTTCTGCATCGGTACAAACCAAGTCGACCTCACCACCGCCGCCAAAGCAGGCGTTCCCGTCTTCAACTCCCCCTTCTCTAACTCTCGCTCCGTCGCTGAGCTCGTCATCTCCGAAATCATCGCTCTCGCTCGGCAATATTTCCAACGTGGCTGGGAGATGCGCCAGGGCCTTTGGAACAAGCAGTCCAAGGGCTGCTGGGAGATCCGTGGTAAAACACTGGGCATTGTCGGCTACGGTCACATCGGCTCCCAACTCTCCGTCCTCGCTGAAGCCTTCGGCATGCGCGTCCTCTTCTATGATGTTGTCAACCTCATGCCCCTCGGTTCCGCCCGTCAAGTCAACACCCTCCATGACCTCCTCGCCGAATCCGACTTTGTCACCCTTCACGTCCCCGAACTGCCAGAAACGACGAACATGATATCCACCGTCGAGTTTTCCAAGATGAAGAAGGGGTCGTACCTCATCAACAACGCTCGCGGCAAAGTCGTCGACATTCCCGCTCTCATCGAGGCCGTCAAGTCTGGTCATCTCGCCGGTGCCGCCCTCGACGTGTTCCCCTCCGAACCGGGCGCCAACGGTGCTCCCTTCGATAACAAGCTCAACGGCTGGGAGTCGGAACTCTGCGCTCTCAACAACGTCATCCTCACCCCTCACATCGGCGGCTCGACCGAGGAGGCCCAGCGCATGATCGGAGAAGAGGTCTCTGCGTCCGTCTCGCGCTACCTCAGCTTCGGTTCAACGCTCGGCGCCGTCAACTTCCCTGAGGTCGCACTCCGGGCAATTGCGGTCGAGCAGACGAACAACGTGCGGTTGTGCCATGTGCACATGAACCAGCCGGGTGTGCTGAGGCAGGTCAACGAGATTCTGGCGAGCTACAATATCGAGAAGCAGTATTCGGACTCGAAGGGCGATGTGGCGTATTTGATGGCGGATATCGCGGATGTCAGCCCGAGGGATGTGAACATGTTGAGGGAGCAGATCAGCAAAACGAATGCGAACATCCTCACGAGGTTGTTGGCGTAGGTGTCCGGGTCGGTGGTAGTCTGGAAGGATCTGCTTTCAGTGGGCCTGACTTATTGCCGTTGGAACTTCATACAAAAGTACATATCTTGCTGCTTACTTGTCGACTCTCCGCCCACTCAACTGGGCTTGCTTTTACCATTCAACTGGACTCAATATCGTGTTGGCAAGTAGTAGTGTACCATCATCTGTAGCTTTATCTCATGCATACGCACATCCACACTGTACAATGACTTCAACAGCAGTACCCTCTGGTTCATTTGCCTGTTATACTCGTCTGCACAGGCTGATAACTTCACGGCACCTCCAAGCCCGGGCCACAGTGGCACCACAAATCGGCTTACACGTGAATGTGCCCATCCCCGCATCCTTGATCATACACATAAGGTCCATTTCTAAGGCCTCTAAACACTCATATCCGAGGTCCTACACAGTTCGGTTGCAGAAATGTCACATATACCGTCACTTCCAGCAGCCCAGAAAGCTCAAATTAGTGAGTGCTCATCCTCTTGAGCCTGTGTGGCCCAGAGTAATGATCGCCAGTTCGCGCGCACCAAAGGGACTTTATACACGTCTCTTCACTGAAAGAGCAGATTGAGAACGTTCTTCGTGCTTGGCTGGGTGAGTTTCTCCTATATCCGACGTTTCTTGAATTATGGCTTAGGGACTGGGAATGGTGCTTAGGAACGCGTTGGCTTACGAGGTATGACAAGGAGGTCGAGTTGGTTGTGAAGGTTTTGTACTATGGGTTGACGACAGGTCGCGGTATGATATCATTTTGCCAGCTCTCATCTCTCTGCTGTAGCGTGCTTAATGATGTTCTACAGCCATTCAAACCCTCGGCGAAGAATACACAGGCATATGGTCTCATCCAGCGCGTACCCGCATCCATTACATCCGTGCCCTCCTCGTCCTCCTCCCCGCACTCCCTGCATACCTCCTCGCTCGGTTAGGACCAACATTAACATCTCGAAGTGAACGATTGAAGAGCATGTTGAAGGGCGCTGTAAACGCGTTGGAAGTGTTCAGCGAGTTGAACCTTGCGGTGTTTTATTTGAGAGGAACGTATTATGAGGGTGTGAGGCGGATGCTTCGTATCAGACATGTATGTATTCTCATTCTTGATTCTCAGAGTGGCCTGTGTTTATCATGGGTTGGACTTAGGTGGCTGCGGTGCCGGAGGATCCTCATTCAAGGCCACCATCTTATTCACTTCTCGGAGTTTTGATCATCGTTCGCCTGCTTTACCGACTCGTAATCTTCCTACGAACACGCGCACGCGCACCACCCTCTCTCACATCTTCATCCTCAGAAAACGGGAAATCGCCAATATCTACCTCATCCTCATACCGAGAACACCAACATTCGCAACAACTCGAAATCCACATCGACGGCCGGCCCATCTCCTCACTCCTCGAAGTCGTCGATCCCGAATCCGCCCCGGCACTACCAGCCGAAGAGGATGAGCTGACGATCTTGGACGTGGGAAGCATACCGGAAGAAGTGAGGGCTGGGAGGAATTGTACGCTTTGTTTAGAGGAGAGGACGGCGAGCGCGGCGACGGAGTGTGGGCATCTGTTTTGTTGGAGTTGTGTTTATGGGTGGGGGAGAGAGAAAGTGAGTGTTCCTTTTTGTTCTTGTGGGTTGTGATGAGCGCAGGCTGATTCTGATGGTGTGGTGTTGTGCAGTCGGAGTGTCCGCTTTGTAGGCAGTCGTTGGATTTGACGAGGTTGTTACCTGTATACAACTTGTAGCTTGTAGCAATGATCGTGCAATTTCCCGAGGGCCATCAAAGCAATCGTACAATATGCAGGACAGAGCAACTTTTACAAGAGAGGACGGATAGGACGAAGGGGAGCGCTTATACTATCTGCTGGATGAGCGTAATGTTGTCTCCCTTCAACATGATCCTCCCTAAAGAATCTGTTAGGGTGGTAGATAGGACCGAGAGGAGATCACGCACCCAGTTCCCGTCGTGGTTTTGCCTCCTTGACGTAGACCTCGGCGGCATCGTCAATCACGATGTTCATAAACTCGTCGAAACCCTATAGAAAGCGAAGAGGGCCGTGGTCAACATGTGTGTTCTGAATACGAACCGAGCCACAGATGCAAGGCGAAGAGGTGAGGCTTGTGGCCCAAGCGTATATCACGACGCCAGAGTCATAAGGAGTACTCGGTAGTGGCTCATCAACGCGGAGGCAGAAGGGGTCATCGCGACTTGAGGGCGAGACAAGTTCAACGAGAGGTGTGCTCGAAGGTGGAGGAGTGCACGCACAATGATTCGGCCTTCTATCCGCATCTCAATGTTGTCGTATAGCCAGACCACGACTTTTGTCCTCTACAGATCAAATGAACAGAGTGTTAGCGCGTGATACCGTTTGTGTGGGTCATGAGGAGAATAAACGCACTTGTTGCAGGTTTTTGAAGATGACATTCTATACTTCGATGTGAGATACTTTGGCACTTTGAACAAATAAGAAGGACATACGATGGGCTGAACCATCACACGCTGTTGACGTCCTGACATCTTGGCTAGGTGTTACGGGGTAGAAGGACGAGGGTAGGGAAAGGTATTGACGGTGATGGTGGACGCGTTCAAGGCGTGCAACGAAGGCGAGAGAGTTGGGGTTAGGGCTTCCCTTCTTTCTCGGGGCATGCCGAAGTTGGGCAACCAGAAAGAGCGTGTTCGCGCCGACGCGTACTTTACCTTCCGTTATACCACCGGCCTGCTCGTATTGACTTTACGATGGAGGTACGCATCTTGGTTTCACAATCTCATTGTATGCGTTTCAAATGTCTGGAATTTTGACTCTGCGTTTGTGCTACATAGGCGTTGGTAGGCGGCAACTCTTCGACCGCGGCAGCGGTTACCTTCATTACATTCGTGCAAGACCTCAAGAAGAAGACGAAAACATGGGGCCCCATGATAGAACTCTGCGCCTCGGGAGAGAAGACGCTCGAACGATTCCGATACCAGTTTCCCGAAGACTGGCTGTACAGCGACCAGCTGCGTGGAGAATGGAGTGCTTACAACGAGATTCTGAAGAGGAAGAATGACTCTATCCAAGAGCAACTTGGTGCGTATAATCCCCACATCTAACGCCGATACTTGACTCATAATATGTCTCACACGTTCTGTAGCTGGTCTACAGCTCAAGATTGTCGCGGAGGACAAGATCATAGAGAACAAGATTAACGACGTCCTCACCGAATGGGAGCAAACCCGTCCCGTGAATGGTAACATGCGCGCCGATACGGCTATGAACACCATCAACGTTTTTGAAGGCAAATTGACCCGAGTACAAGACGAGTACGACCTCCTCTGTCGTGCTAAGGAAGCCCTTGACCTCGAACTTATACGCCACACGCGTCTCGAGCCCGTCTTTGAGGAACTTCGTGACCTGAAGGCCGTCTGGACAGCACTCTCCGGTATCTGGAGTCAGATCACGGAGCTTAGAGAGATGGCGTGGGCGACGGTGCAGCCGAGGAAGCTCAGACAGCATATAGACGGGTTGTTGAACAGCACGAAGGACATGCCAACAAGGATGAGGCAGTACGCTGCGTTTGAGTACGTGCAGGAGGTGTTGAGAGGATTATTGAAGTCGAACGCCATCGTTGGAGAGTTGAAGAGCGATGCGTTGAAGGATCGCCACTGGAAGCAGTTGTTCAAAGTGTTGAGGATGCCTACGCAACCGAGTCTGACTTTGTGAGTCCATCTCTCTTGATATTGTGACTACAGTTTGACTGACGCGCTATTTAGGATGACGCTCGGGACAGTTTATGACTTGGACTTGAAGAAGAACGAGAGCTTGATCAAGGAGGTCATCGTGCAGGCTCAAGGGGAGGTATGTGGCGTAATTGTCATGGTGGCGCGGGTCACTCAATATGCTCTGCGTAGATGGCTCTGGAGGAGTATATCAGACAGGTCAAGGAGATCTGGACCAACTACACGCTCGACTTGGTCAACTACCAGAACAAATGCCGACTGATCAGGTATGGAGTTTCACCCCACACGCAATATCCGATTTAACTTAATGAGCTTGGCAGAGGCTGGGACGACTTGTTCAACAAGTGCAGTGAGAACTTGAACTCGTTGGTAGCCATGAAACTGTCTCCATACTACAAAGGTTCGTCTTCTACATGATATTCGCTAGATCCAGTTTATCGACCTCCTGCTTTTGTAGTCTTCGAGGAAGAGGTACGAGCCGCCGTCCGGATCTCAGTGTTCTGTGCTCATTATTTCACAGGCAAGTTCTTGGGAGGAGAAGCTCAACAGGATCCACGTTCTGTTCGGTGAGTTTCGCATGCAGACAGTTTATGGATATAGACTGACATCTTGCAGACGTCTGGATCGACGTGCAGCGTCAATGGGTGTACTTGGAAGGTATCTTCTCAGGAAGTGCCGACATCAAGCATCTCCTTCCCGTCGAAACTGCACGTTTCCAGAACATCAACACCGAGTTCTTATCCGTCATGAAGAAAGTGTACAAGTCGCCATTCGTTCTCGATGTCATGAACATCCAGCAGATTCAGAAGTCCCTCGAGCGACTCGCCGACTTACTCAACAAGATCCAGAAGGCACTCGGCGAATATCTCGAGCGAGAGCGTGCGTCGTTCCCTCGGTTCTACTTCGTCGGAGACGAGGATCTTCTCGAGATCATTGGTAACAGCAAGGACATCCTTCGAATCATGAAGCATCTCAAGAAGATGTTTGCTGGTATCTCAACCATCAGGCTTGACGATGACTTGACAGAGATTCAGGGCATGTCGTCGAGAGAAGGAGAGGAGGTTCCCTTCTCGGAACCTATACTGCTGAAAGACTTCCCGAAGATCAACGACTGGTTGGCCAAGATCGAGTCGTCGATGAGAGTCTCATTGGCGAATCTGCTGTGCAATGCCGTTGCGGAGCTACAGGAGTTCTACGGATTGGGCTCGACCGTGCCCATGGGCAGATTTTTGGAGTGGGTCGAGAAGTTCCCCGCTCAGCTCGTCACCCTCGCTATCCAAGTCGCTTGGACCAACTCCATCGAAGTCGCCTTTGAGAGTTCTCAGTCCCTCGAAGGTCCTCTCGACACCGTCAGCAGCAGTCTCGACTTGCTAGCCGACGTTGTGCTCACCGAGCTCAAGCCTGTCACCCGTCGCAAGTGCGAGCACCTCATCACCGAACTCGTCCACCAGCGTGACGTTACCCGTCAGCTCATTCAACAACGCGCCACCGACAACAGCGCCTTCTCATGGCTTTACCAGATGCGTTACTACCTCGACCGTAATGCCTCAGATCCCCTCGAATGCCTCGCAATTCGTGTCGCGGACGCTTCCTTCCCCTACGGCTGGGAATATCTCGGTGTCCCAGACCGCCTCGTGCAGACGCCGCTCACTGATCGCTGCTATCTCACCCTTACCCAAGCTTTGGACAACCAGCTCGGTGGTGCTCCATTCGGTCCTGCAGGAACCGGGAAGACAGAGTCCGTCAAAGCGCTTGGTGTTCAACTCGGACGATTCGTACTTGTCTTCTGTTGTGACGAGACGTTCGATTTCCAAGCTATGGGTCGTATTTTCGTCGGTCTTTGTCAGGTCGGAGCGTGGGGATGTTTCGACGAGTTCAATAGGTTGGAGGAGAGGATTTTGAGTGCCGTTAGTCAGCAGGTGCAGAGCATTCAGCAGGGTTTGGCTGCGTTGGTGAAGAACCCGAATGCGGAGATTGAGTTGGTGGGAAAGAACTTGAAGATCAACAAGAACATCGGTGCGTTTTGCCCTCAGGAAACGCAATTTATTCATCTAACCGTTTCACCCCAGGTATTTTCATCACGACTAACCCTACATATGCCGGTCGGTCTCAACTCCCTCCCAATTTGACCAAGCTGTTCAGACCGTATGTCTCGATCATCATTCACCTGTGATAGAATTACTCACCATACTTTGTATAGGATGGCCATGACCCGTCCCGACCGAGAGCTTATCGCTCAAGTCATGCTGTTCTCCCAGGGTTTCCGTACCGCCGAATCTCTCGCTTCGAAAATTGTTCCCTTCTTCAACCTTTGCGACGAGCAACTCTCCCCGCAGCCCCATTACGACTTCGGTCTCCGTGCACTCAAGGCCGTGCTTGCCAGTGCTGGTATTTTGAAACGTGAACGTCTCCAGGCAGCTCGAGAGGCTGGTGAGGAAGCTGATGTCGGGGGATTGTCGAACTCTGTCGCGGAGCAGGTCATCGTGATCCAGAGTGTCACCGAGACCATTGTTCCCAAATTGGTTGCAGACGATGTGCCGCTATTGACGAGGTGAGCACTGACATTCGAAACCTTCCTAAGCTCTCGCTGATTTTTGGTTGTTCAGCCTTCTCGCAGATGTGTTCCCAGGTACCGACTACGTCCCAGTCGACCTCGATGCCCTTCGCGAGCAGATTGGGATCGTCTGCAAGGAGCGACGTCTTGTGGAGGGTGATCGTTGGGTGGAGAAGATCCTTCAGCTCTACCAGATCCAAAAGATTCAGCACGGTCTCATGATGGTCGGCTCCTCTGGAAGCGGGAAGACAAATGCCTGGCAGGTCTTGCTCAAGGCACTCGAGCGATTGGACGGCGTCGAGGGTATTTCGTATGTCATTGACCCGAAGGCGATGCACAAGGATGCGCTGTACGGAACGCTTGACCAGACCACTCGTGAGTGGAACGATGGTCTGTTCACTCACGTTCTGCGGAAGATCGTGGATGATGTCCGTGGTGAGAGTGGCAAGAGGCATTGGATCATCTTTGACGGTGATGTCGACCCGGAGTGGGTCGAGAATTTGAACAGGTGAAACGTCTTTTAATTAAGGTGTGGAGTGTTTGCTGACTGCACCTATACAGTGTGCTGGACGACAACAAGCTTTTGACGCTTCCCAACGGCGAACGTCTCAATCTCCCATCAAACGTTCGCATCATGTTCGAAGTCGAGCACCTTCGCTACGCCACTCTGGCCACTGTCAGCCGTTGCGGTATGATCTGGTTCAGTGAGGACGTCGTGGAACCATCCATGGTCTACCGTCAATACCTGGATTCACTTTCTTCGACTCCCTTGGACGCCGAGGATGATGAAGCGTTCGAAGGCATAGGGCGTCGTGCCGATGAAGCTGCAAACGAGGCCATGAGCGCCAACTTGATGACGCAGAGGCAAGTTGCAGGGCTCCTCGAACCTTACTTCGCAGAAGGCGAGTTGGTCAGCTCTGCGCTGGAGTATGCTTCTACTATGGAGCATATCATGGATTTCACTGCGACTCGCGCCCTCAACACCCTCTTCTCGCTCATTAACAAGACGGTCCGCAACATCCTCGAGTATAATGCCCAACATTCCGATTTCCCCCTCTCTGCGGAACGCGTTGAACAGTATGTTAGCAAACGATTACTTGTCAGCATCATCTGGGCATTCTCCGGTGACTCGAAACTCGATCTTCGCGCGGAGCTCGGCGAGTTCCTCACCAAGCAGACCGGAATCGACTTACCTCCACTTGGACCAGGAAGTTCTCTTATCGACTTTGACGTCCAGACTAATAGCGGAGAGTGGTCAGCATGGGCTGCGAAGGTCCCTACCATCGAGATCGAGGCACAGGCCGTCACCGCTTCAGACGTCGTGGTGCCTACCATGGATACTGTCCGTCACGAGGAGGTCCTCTACTCATGGCTTTCAGAGCACAAACCTCTCATGCTCTGTGGTCCTCCCGGTTCAGGAAAGACCATGACGCTCTTCAGTGCTCTGCGCAAACTACCAGACATGGAGGTCGTCGGCCTGAACTTCTCCAGTGCCACGACACCGGAGCTCATCCTGAAGACCTTCGAGCAGTACTGCGAGTACAGGAAGACGCCCAATGGAGTCATCCTCGCTCCTATCCAGCTCGGTCGTTGGTTGGTCGTATTCTGCGATGAGATCAATTTGCCGGCTGCAGATAAATATGGCACGCAGAGGGTCATCTCGTTCATCCGCCAGCTGGTCGAGTGCGGTGGTTATTGGAGAACGACCGACATGGCCTGGGTCAAGTTGGAGCGGATTCAATTTGTCGGTGCTTGCAACCCTCCTACAGACCCTGGTCGTGTTCCTCTCAGTCACAGGTTCCTTCGACACGCTCCTCTTGTCATGGTCGACTACCCTGGAGAGGTGTCACTCAAGCAGATCTACGGGACTTACACCCGCGCCTTGCTCAAGGTCGTACCCAACCTTCGTGGCCACGCCGAACCTCTCACGGATGCGATGGTGTCGTTCTACCTGGCCTCGCAGAAGCGCTTCACAACCGATGTGCAAGCTCACTATGTCTATTCTCCTCGTGAGCTCACTCGTTGGGTACGTGGTATCTACGAGGCAATTCGTCCCCTGGAGTTGCTTTCAGTCGAAGGGCTTGTTCGTGTATGGGCACATGAGGCTCTGCGTCTTTTCCAAGATCGTTTGGTCTCCGAAGATGAAAAACAGTGGACCGACGATAACATCGATATGACCGCCATGGAGCACTTCCCCACCATCGACAAGAACGAAGCTCTTGCGCGTCCAATCCTGTTCTCGAACTGGACGTCGAAGCACTACATTCCTGTGGACAGGGATACTCTTCGAGAGTACACCAAGGCTCGTCTGCGCGTTTTCTACGAGGAAGAGCTCGACGTTCCGCTCGTGTTGTTCAACGATGTCCTGGACCACGTTCTCAGGATCGATCGTGTCTTCCGCCAGATTCAGGGTCATCTGCTGCTCATTGGTGTCAGTGGTAGCGGAAAGGTACGATTCGACCATATGAATGTGATGTCTGTATACTGACCACACCATCTTCAGACTACCTTATCACGTTTTGTCGCATGGATGAATGGTCTCAGCATCTTCCAGATCAAAGTCTCGAACAAGTACACCGGTGACGATTTCGACGAGGATTTGCGAACGGTCCTTCGGCGCGCTGGAACCAAGGGGGAGAAGATTTGCTTCATCATGGACGAGTCGAACGTCCTTGACTCTGGTTTCCTTGAACGCATGAACACACTCTTGGCCAACGCCGAAGTTCCAGGTCTATTCGAAGGCGATGAACATTCGGCATTGATGACCGCTTGCAAGGAAGGCTCGCAACGCGATGGTCTCATGCTGGACTCTCACGAAGAATTGTATCGCTGGTTCACTCAACAAGTCGCGAAGAATCTCCACGTCGTCTTCACCATGAATCCTCCGGAGAACGGTTTGGCGTCTCGTGCTGCGACCTCTCCCGCCTTGTTCAATCGTTGCGTGCTCGATTGGTTCGGTGACTGGTCCGATCAGGCCTTCTTCCAAGTCGGCATGGAGTTTACACACACACTCGACTTGGACCTGTCGTCATACTCGCCGCCGGCGATCTTCCCCATCGCGTACAGGGAGCTGGTTATGCCGCCTGTTCATCGTACGGCTGTGGTCAATGCTTTGGTGCACGTCCATATGTCGCTATACAATATCAATCAACGCCTCAGCCGTCGCCAAGGCCGTTACAACTACGTTACCCCTCGTCACTATCTCGATTTGTGAGTGCTTTCCTTTTGTGTTCCCTCGTTTAGTTAGGCTGATAAGGTTTGTATAGTATCAACCACTACGTCCGCCTATACAGCGAGAAGCGCGACGAGCTGGAGGAGCAGCAACGCCATCTTCATGTCGGTCTCGATAAGCTTCGAGACACTGTCACCCAAGTCGAGGACCTTCGGAAGAGTCTTGCCATCAAGCGTACTCAACTGGAGGCGAAGAACGCAGAGGCCAACGAGAAGTTGAAGCAGATGGTTTCCGACCAGCAGGAGGCCGAGCAGAAGAAGGCCGCGTCTATTGAGATCCAAGCCGCGCTCGTTGAACAGGACAAGCACATCGCGCAGCGTAGGAATGTGGTCATGGCTGACCTCGCGGATGCCGAACCCGCCGTGCTCGATGCCCAAGCCGCCGTCAGCAACATCAAGAAACAACACCTCCAGGAAGTGCGTTCAATGGCCAATCCTCCCGAGGGTGTCAAAGTCGCTATGGAGTCCGTTTGTACCGTTCTGGGCCACAAGATCGACAGCTGGCGTACGGTGCAGGGTATCATTCGTCGTGACGATTTCATCCAGCGCATCGTGAACTTCGACACGACCAACCAGATGACCAAACAGCTACGTGATCTCATGAAGAAGGACTTCCTCAGTCGACCTTCGTTCAACTTCGAGACTGTCAATCGTGCCAGTAAGGCTTGCGGTCCCTTGGTCAAGTGGGTGCTCGCACAAGTGAAATTCTCTGAGATCTTGGACAAGGTCGAGCCTTTGCGTAACGAAGTGCAATCTCTGGAGGACCAGGCTAAGGAGACGAAGAACCAAGCCGCCACAATCATCACTATGATCGCCGAGCTGGAGGCCAGTATCACCCGGTACAAGGATGAATACGCCCTGCTCATCAGTGAGACCCAGTCCATCAAATCCGAGATGGAGCGCGTCGAAGGCAAGGTCGACCGTAGTATGAAGCTTTTGGGCAGTTTGTCGTCCGAGAGGGAACGTTGGGAGTCGGGCAGTCGTACATTCGACGCAGAGATGAGCACCATCGTCGGAGACGTTCTTCTATCCGCCGCCTTCCTCGCATACGGTGGTTTCTTCGACCAACACTACCGTGAGGGCATGTGGCAGGAGTGGATGAGCCACTTGGTCGATGCGAATATCAAGTTCAAGCCCGAGCTGTCCTTCACCGAGTATTTATCGACAGCCGACGATCGCCTCAGCTGGCAGTCGAAGGGCTTGCCTTCCGACAACCTTCAAACGGAGAATGCTATCATGATCAAACGCTTCAGTCGATACCCCCTCATCATCGACCCTACTGGTCAGGCGACGGCGTTCCTACTAAACGAGTACAAGGATCGCAAGATCACGGTGACTAGCTTCTTAGATGAGGCGTTCCTGAAGGTCTTGGAAAGCGCCCTCCGATTCGGTAACCCGCTCCTCATTCAAGACGTCGAGCATCTCGATCCCATCCTGAACGCTGTCTTGAACAAGGAGATTCGTCGCACCGGTGGTCGTGTCCTCATTCGTCTCGGCAGTCAAGATATCGACTTCTCGCCTTCCTTCACGATGTTCTTGTCAACTCGCGACCCGTCCGTCGAATTCTCGCCCGACATTTGCAGTCGTGTCACCTTTGTCAACTTCACCATGACCCGTAGCAGTTTGCAGAGCCAGTCCCTCGACCAGGTTCTCAAAGTCGAACGTCCCGATACCGAACAAAAACGAACGGATTTGATGAAGGTCCAGGGTGAATTCCGCGTCCGGCTCCGTACCCTTGAGAAGCTTTTGCTCCAAGCTCTCAACGAATCTACAGGTAACATCCTCGATGACGACAAGGTTATCGATACGCTGGAGACTCTGAAGCGCGAAGCAGCGGAGATCACTCGCAAGGTCGAGGAGACGGATATCATCATGCGTGAGGTTGAACAGGTCACTGCCGAGTACCTCCCCTTGGCCCAGGCATGCAGCGCTGTCTTCTTCATCCTCGAACAGCTCAACTTGGTCAATCATTTCTATCAGTTCTCCCTTCGGTTCTTCCTCGACATCTTTGAGTTCATCCTTCACCACAACCCAAATCTCCAAGGTGTCACCGATCATAATACGCGTCGTGAGATCCTGATGAAGGATCTGTTCCTCACCGTCTTCAAGCGAACCTCAAGGGCTCTTTTCCATCGCGACCATGTCATGCTTGCTGTGCTCCTTGCGCAAGTCAAAGTACGCGGCTCCGAGGAGATTTCTGACGAGTTGGAGTTCCTGCTCGAAAGTGGGGATGGTACCACAGCAGCTGCGGGTTCGGCGTCGGAGAACGCGCTGGCTGGTCTCACGTCGGAGCAGCAGCACCGCTTAGAGGTGTATGCGAAACAACCCCTGTTCAGACCCGTTCAGAACCATATTGCGGAACACGAGGAAGAATGGGCTACATTCCTCCAGTCAAGTACTCCGGAGACCTCTGTCCCTTCACCATGGGAGCCTAGCACTCGTAAGCTTCAATTGAATCTCGCTAATGTTTACGTCGTTCACTAAGCAAGTTATTTTCATAGCCTCTGTGGATGCTCTTCGCTCGCTACTCGTCATCAAGTGTCTCCGACCCGATCGTCTGCTGCAAGCCACCGCAGGATTCGTTCGCGTCTCATTCGGCATTGATGTCGGCGTGGAAGCGGCGTACGACCTTGCCGCCATGGTGGCCACCGAGATCCCCGCTCAGACACCTCTCGCTTTGGTTTCCGTCACTGGATACGATGCCAGTTACCGCGTAGAGAGTCTCGTCCAAAACACGCAGTCTCGATGCACCTCTGTAGCAATGGGTTCACAGGAAGGTTTCTCTCTTGCAGACCAGGCCATCGCCACAGCCTCGCGGCAAGGTACATGGGTGTTGCTCAAGAACGTCCATCTTGCGCCGTCATGGCTCGGCCAGCTCGAAAAGAAGTTGCAGACCCTCAATGCTCATCGCAATTTCCGTCTATTCTTGACTATGGAGGCGAACCCATCTATCCCTGTCAACATTCTACGTCAATCCCGCATCATCATGAACGAGCCTCCCCCTGGAATCAAAGCCAATCTCCTTGACTCCCTTCGCAGCATTCCATCTAACCGTCTTTCACAAGGGCCCGCCGAGAAGGTCCGCCTATATTTCCTGCTTGCCTGGTTCCATGCTGTCACACAAGAACGTCTTCGCTATGTACCCCTTGGCTGGAGCAAGCCGTACGATTTCAACGATTCCGATATGGCGTCCGCCTTCACTACAATCGACGCATGGTGTCGCTCGGTTGCGAAGGGCAAAGCGAACATCGACCCTGCGCTCATTCCATGGGATGCTCTTCGAACGCTCATCAAACAGTCCGTGTACGGTGGACGTGTGGATAGCGACTTCGATCAGAGGATCCTGGACGCGTTTGTCGACAATCTGTTCACTCCGGCAGCTTACAACGTCGATTTCAACCTTGTTCCAAACACAGGTGCCAGTCAAACGTTGACAGCTCCTGAGGGAACGAAGATCGATCAATTCCTGGCGTGGGTCAGAGGCTTGCCAGATCGCGAACCTCCATCGTGGCTGAGCTTGCCGCCGACTGCAGAGCGTGTCATTGCTGTGGCGCAAGGTAAGGCCCTCTTTGACTTTCTATGCACACCCTCACGCGTACTCATCAAATTGGACGTTTCTAGGTAATGAGCTCTTGGGCAAACTTCGGAAGATGAGAACACTGGCAGACGACGACGACGATGCTACTCCTGCGGCTGGGCCATCAATGGGACAAACGTCGCAACAGCCGGCATGGATGCGAACCCTCCTGGACAAGTGCCGTGAATGGTTGGCTCAGCTCCCATCGGTAAGTAGTGTTCCATGCCATTCGGACCAGTACTCTGTGTACTGAACTTTTCCCTTTCAGAGTTTCAACGTTTTGACAAAGCAGACTGGGGACAATCAAGATCCGCTCTATCGTTTGTTCGCTCGTGAGGGCAGCATTGGCAAAAACCTCCTTGGGCAGGTCAGGAAGGATCTTGCCGATGTCGTCAAGGTTTGTGAGGGCGAGCTGAAGCAGACTAATCATCTGCGTACGTTGATGAGTTCGCTGACGAAAGGTCAGTTTCCTTTTGTGCTATTTCGTGTCTTCCTTTGCTTAAATATCGCATCTACAGCCACGATCCCAGTCCATTGGCGGCGATACAAGGTCAAGAGGACCATGGCCGTCTCTGAGTGGATCCCGGACTTGGCTCGTCGACTCGCCCAGCTCGACAATCTTGCTTCGCTAGATACGCTCTCGAACATCGAAATCTGGCTCGGAGGTCTGTTCTTCCCCGAAGCCTATATCACTGCGACGAGGCAGGCCGTGGCACATCGCAAGAAGTGGAGTTTGGAGACGCTTCACTTGCGCCTCGACATTGAGCGCATGAACGACCCTGAGGCCTTTATTGTTGATGGTAAGCATCTTTTACCGTCGCAGCTTTGTGGTGGGTGGCACCGAATTATTACTGACGATATTGTGGCTGTCTAATAGGACTGGTTCTGGAGGGTGCTTCGTGGGCCGAAGATCAATTGTTCTTGAACGACGGGGAGTCCGTTCGGCTTAACCCGTCTCAGATTCGTTGGATCCAAGCCGATGCGGAGAAGACGGAAGAGGAGAAGTTGTTCGTCAACCTGCCGATCTACTTGAACAATGATCGTAGCGATGTTATGTTTACGGTGGATCTACCGTTCGATAGTGCGGCGGGATCGTTGGTGGCGACGAGAGCTGTGTGTTTGACTGCCGGTGGTTAGATGTGTTGTTCTCCTTCACGCTTGTTGTATTCGGTCACGGTTTCGGTTCACGGAAAGCATACCCGGTCTTGATTATAATATGCTACTCGCTGGTTTCTTTGATGCTTTGATGAAGGCTTTGGATGCATACCCTTATGTATTTTACGATTCTAATGATTACATGATTTTTCTTCCTCTTCATCTTTGGTCTCCGAGTGACTACAGTATTATTGAGATAAATACTCCCATAATCAAGATTCGGTCACGACACTTCCATCGGTCACGACATCTAACAACTTCCAGTCAACCTCGACACCTTTCTCCCTGAAGATTTTGCGTGCATCTTCTGCAATCTTCTCGAATCCGTCGACAGCAAGGGCGAGAATGGTCGGACCTGCCCCTGAAAGGCAAATGCCGAGGAGACCTGGATGGGTGCTTGGAGTGATGTTCGAGGTCACTTCGGGAAGACCGGGAATCTGCAGACGTAGAAAGGTTACAACGATATGGTGTGTACAATGTGAGCAAGAATTGTATGGGGACATACCAGGGTGTTGCGGTAGGGTTGATGAATACGGTCCTTCATTGCTTCATAGATGAGTTCCGGATCAGGTGGTGATTGTGCGAGGGCTGTCGTCAATACAGCAAGTCGCTGAAGGTTGAAGACCTGATGGACCATAGTCAGTCCTAGTGAAAATATAATTACAGTGTAAGGAACTAACGAGATCTTTCCGGGAATACGAGGTAGGGAGCACTTCACGCGCCTTCGCCGTGCTTAACTCGAATCGCGGGATGATGGCCACAGCACGTATTGAAGGTGCCCATCCGAAGCGAACATAGTGACCAATTCCCTGAGGAGGAACAGGCGGATCGAGGCCCCATTCCGGTCCTGCGTCTGGAGGAAACTCCGGGAGTACCTCACTGAGAGGTACATCTGCGGCCTGAGCTGCCACAGGGTCGAGCTCCCGAAGATAGGAGCCAACAAAACCACCAACTAGCGCGGCGGTAACGTTGTCTGGATGCCGTTCGACCATCAAGGCAAAATCGAGCACTCGCATTGGGGAAAGTGAGAGTTCGCCCAGAGTTGAGCCGAGGAGGACTCCGGCGATAACAGCGGCACCTGAGGAGCCAAGTCCGCGACCGAAGGGTATTTGGTTGTGGCAGTGTATGCTGATATTGGATGGGAAGGAAGGGATGGAGTGGCAGCGAAGAACGTAGAGGGCCACACGGGTAGTCAGGTTCTTGTAGGCATCGAGTGGCACTTCGTCGGCACCTTCGCCGGTGTAAGTGATTTTGGGTGGGACGAATGAGGAAGTATGTGGTTTGGGGATGTCTACTCTGAGGGTGAGATAGAGGGAGAGGGAGAGACCAACAACGTCGAAGCCTGGTCCGATGTTGGCAGAGGTCGCGGGCACGTTAATGGTGAAAGACCTTGATTTGGTAGACATGTACGGTATCTTCGGTTCCTAAAGTGTATTCGCCGTTATCAGGGTCATCCTCTACATTTGCAAGTCCTTATGGGCTGACCTGTGAATTTCCCCAGTTGGATCTTTCAGCTCTCGACGATATAACCTGCGCAGAGCAATGTAGAGGGTAGACTGTGCTACCCGAGTCACAGCGGGATTGCAAGATATAAGACAGCAAGAAAGTTTTCGCCGAACACTCGGAGTCCTCGTCCGATCTCGACGCGTCTCGCCACGTGGACTCGATCGCTGCGCTGGCGCTGAAGCCTTGAGGGGTAACGATATTGTGCAAGCTGCTCTTTCAACGACTGCCATATTACTTCGGTGCGGTGTGAACGAAACCCTTTGCGATCCGCTGGATGGTTAGGAGCGCTCATGACTTGGAAACTGCCACGGCACAGAAGCTCGCCGGCGCCTGCCAGTGTGGTCTATACTAATTATCACCAGTTACCCATCCTCGTCGGCGAACTGCGTAATCAGTTGTGTCGCACTCAACAGTAGTATATGTATAGCTATGCGAAACATAAATTATCCAATTTATTGTATGTTACGATAACATTCTCGACCAATTTAAGCTACAAAGTACCAGACCGAGTCAATGCTGCCCGCGCTATTTGCTACAAATTGGATCTACCATGAAAGACCAAGGGAAAAACACAAATACGCAAGAACCAAGGATAGTAGAAGTCCATCCATAACTTAGATGTATAATGTCAGAGTTGTATGTCGTATATATGAGAGTCGTTTGGACGTTAACGTCGTGGAGGCGAGCATAGTGTGGCGCGGATCTCAATCCTTGGAGGCAGAAGACGTTGACGTCGAGGTAGAAGAAGAACCTGTCTTCGTACTGGACTTGGAAGACGCCGTTGTAGTGGCGGCACTTTTGGCGGTGGCAGAAGTAGCGGCGGAGGATGATGCGGCAGAGGGATCGTCGGATACGGTGAACTGCAGATAGATCATTGACAGGATAAGCATCAAGTGATGAGTGGGAACTATAAGAAACGTACGTAGATCATATCGTCAAGAGCGCCCCTTTGTGCAATGGCTACCAGGACAGGTTGGTGGTTCGCAGCTGAATTGATGCTGGCCATCCTGTAGACCCCAGCCGGCAAACCCCCAGTCACCGCCACAGTGACCTCTCCATTGACAGCGGCTCCATCCACACCCTTGAAAAACGCAAACTTGGTCGGATCGGTGACAGTGGTTTGCGTGAGTGAGTCAAGAGTCTCGATCACGATGTGCGTATGTCCGACAACGTTGCCAGAATCATCGACTTGTTGGGGTGCAGAGTAATAGTTCGAGGCTGCATTAACGAAGTTGCCGGTGACGAGGTTCTTGACGGCCATGCTGACATTGAAGTCGGTATTGGACTGGATGGTGTCAAGGTTCTTGGGGGACGTGAACTTGGAAGAGGGCATGTTGGTAGATGCGGCGATGACACCTGGTAACGATCACATTCCATCGAAATTAGTCCTAAGCCAAGTCAAATTGAACCCGAACGAGCTATTGTACGAACCCATAGGAGCAGGGTTGCATGATCCTGTGGTGATCTGTTGGCCATTGGTGATGGGCAGATCGACGGTGGCGCAGAAGTTAATGAAGTTGTTGGACGAGGTCAATGATGCGACTTGGCCAGCTGTGGCGTTTGCTTGACCGTCTGACTCGAAGCCGGTCGCGACTACCGAAGAGAGCAATGTTAGAGAGTTCTGTGCGTCATCAGTGCTGGTGGACGAGGCAGCAGCAGCAGTCGAAGAACCGGTCTTGGTGGCAGTTGACTGTATATATCATATCAATATTGAATACAAGGATGTAATCACGTTGAAAGCTCACCGAGGTGGTAGCGCTGGCTGCCGCGGTCGAACCTCCAGCAACAGAAGAAGTAGAAGTGGACGCAGCCCCAGCGCTCGAGCTTGCAAAGCTAGTTGCACCAGTAGCTGCAATTCTGGCGTCTATGTCGGATTGAGTGTCGCAAGTGATACTAGTGCCTTTACTATTGACCAAAGGAAGCGCTGCGCAACTGTTATCAAAGACGAACAAATGATAAATACGCAGAGCTAGAGGAGCACATGTAGAGCCATACGTTTCGCCACTTCCGCACGCTTGGGCTACCCATGCCCCGTTGACACACTGGGCGAAATCGCCACCCACACAGGCCTGGTCGCCCGTATCGCACGTGTCCGCCATGGTGAGTGTCTTGAACTTCTCGCTGAAGAGAAACTCTGAGTATCACGGATGACAATAGATCCACATTGCACAACGAGCTTACTTTTGAGAAATAGCATCCTGCCCATTCTGAAGTGCGAAGCTCGACTCACGGCGTGTTGGAGCAGTAGAGACGGAAACAGCGAGAGCCAGGATGACGAAGGCGGTAGAGAACTGCATGTTCGTTGCAAAAGACGTGATGTTGTAATGTCACGAGAAGTGAGCGGCAAGCCGTTAATGAGGGTGAGAGAATCAAGTTAGCGGGTGTAGTGAATGAAGGCCAGCAAAAGAAGGACGCCGGGTCGTGAGAGGGAAGCAGACTGAGAAAGAGACTAGCTTCCAGAGCAGAGCAAACTAACGACAAGGAGAGAGCGAGAGAGAATGAACAGCAGCGGAACATGTACAGCAGTTTCGCAGCAGACTTTATGTAGGAGGCAAGATTGGTATCCAAAGGAGAACAATGGGCTATGCAGCGATAGGGTTGTCCATTCTCCAGACAAAAAGGGTGTCTCAAAATGGAAGTCATTGTTTACAATCAACCGCGCGTGTCGCTTTCAAGGTTAGATGCAAACATGCTTATAGTATACGTCCAGCCATCGAGGGCATACATTATCGATGCACCCCCAACGGACATCCATATGGCGACCAGTGTTCGGCAAAATGGCAGGTCAACTTCTTCTCTCTTTTTGCAGTGGCCGTCCGCTGTCTTAGTGGTTCCTGTGGTGGAGTTCAAACCAAGATAAGGATGCTGTTTTTGGTGCATATGAGACATCTGGCTTGAAACAGCCATAGAGGACTGCAAGGGAGCTGAACAGTATGTTCAGGACAAAAGGACAAGGATGAAGGGTGCCATGAGCGTGGGAAGTTTGTCGTAGCCAGCATCGCCGCATCGGCATGAGCTTCGGACCGCGCCGCCGGAGTATGAAATCGTTCTTGTTTCAGTGCCACATCTCAGCAATCCGTGGCTCTGCAAACTAACCCTGAACTTTCTGTATTTGTGACGAGGAGCCTTTAACCAGCAAAGGCCAGCAAGACACCTGCTGTTATACCCGAGTTATCTGCAGTTAAAGAGATCCAAAATGCCCGGTATCACAGTCGACGCCGTGCGTGCCATTTCTATGTCATCGAGTTCTGTTTGACAGATGATTCGGAAGACTTTCTTTACCGTCACTTTCTACCCCATTTCTCTCAAATTCGTGGGTGATCACGTCCTGAATAATTTTTGCTCTCTTTCGCAGGTTCTCTTTGATATGGACGGGTGAGAACTCACCAAGTATCGCTGCACCTTGGGCCACATCTGCACGATCGCTGTCTAGGTGCTGACATCGGCACTCTACAGGACCTTGATTGATTCCACACCAGGAGTTATGCGTGCCTGGGAAACCTTTGGAAAACAATACGGTTTTGATCCCGCTGAGGCTGCTCATGCATCTCATGGCAGGAGGCTCGCGGATACTCTCGTCGAATGGTGCAAAATCCCAAAGGATGATCTCTTCCGTTTGGAGGTAATATATTTGATCAGTGCTTTTACTACCGAATTCCTACTCATAAATTGACCGTCGGGCGTTTGTGTATCTCGAAGGCCGAAGTTGTACGGTTTGAGCAGGAAGTCATCGAAGGCGGGCCAGTCATCCTGCCTGGCGTTCACGAACTCGTCGAGCAGGTGTGGCCCTCTCTTTCGATTATTAGGACTATACTGACAGATAATTATTCTGAAATAACACAATCCCACCTAGTTGATTGAGGGCAGCTCCCCTGAGACCAAATCTTACGGGTGGACCATTGTCACTTCTGGTATTTCCTTCCAAGGCGGCCTTTATCCTCATACATTGTTGACAATCTACTGATACTAATATTGGTCGCGCATTAGCCACGTCAATATACACGCCCAAAGCACTTTCTGTGTGCTCCATTCCCGTCCCGGATGCAGGTTACGTGACCTCAGACGATGTAGACAACGGCAAGCCACATCCCGATCCTTACCTCGCAGGGGCGAAGAAATGTGGCGTTGATCCCTCGAAGTGTATGTATTCTCCTGGCCAATCGCGTCTAGTGCACTGCTCACACTGATTTCTTCTACAATTTTACTTCACGCACAGGTCTTGTTGTGGAGGACGCTCCGTCAGGTCTCAGAGCAGGCCATGCTGCAGGTTCAAAGACGCTCGCGGTTTGCACATCACATACGCGATCGCAGATTGAAGAGTCGGGAGCGAACCCGGACTTCATCGTCACTGATCTTTCAAAGTAAGTGTACCTACAGCTCAGAGGGACTTATTATAGTTTTGTGCCGCTAACATACGAATTACAAGGGTTTCGGCACGGTGGGTTGATGGCAAAGTGGTCATAGAGATAGACGACCGGGTTGACTAGAGTTTGGTGGCCCTCGCTCTCTTGCCCGCGAGAGAAGGAAGGGATGTGGTCGATGTCACAATAAAGTGTAGCATGTAGAGGTATTATCAATGGCTGAGCCAAACCACCGAAATTTTCGTCAAATATATGGTTCAGACCTTGGTGGATCGAGCGAGCTTCGTACCCTTCGATAATCAATTTGCTCCAGCTTCGGGTGAGGCTGTTCAGGTTGAGAAATGAACATCATTGCAGGAGCACAGAACATTATACAGAGTTCTGAAAGAGCATCATATTCTGGTACAATCATCTACCGCGACGGAATAGCAGTATCCTCCGTCCGATTTAGCTTCTTCATCACAAAACAACGGCATGATACACGAAGAGGTCTCCAAGAAAATATGTAGCACATCACTATATATCGCATCACATCCATCCTCCGCCCGAGTCACACCCCTCGTTTAGCGGACGATGAACATCCCGTCCGTAGTCTTTTATGAGCTAGGGGCAGGTGCGTCCTCAAGCGGAGGGGGACCATCGTCATCAGAGTCGTCCTCCTCTGCGGCATCACCCATGTCTGAGGGCCCTCCTGGGCCTCCGGGACCGCCAGCGCCACCGCCCATGGATGCGAGCATCTATAATTTACAAAATGTCAGTAAATATGACCTAGTTCACCGACACCAAAAGCGGTAATCATGTGGCGCACCTGTTGGATATCCATGCCACCCATGCCAGGCATACCGCCACCCATTCCACCCATTCCACCCATTCCGCCCAGACCCTCCATACCGGGCATACCACCCATGCCGCCCATTCCTGGCATACCTGGCATACCGCCCATGTCCTCTTCCTCCTTCTCGGGGACTTCACCATCCTGCTCATCCTCGTCGACCCATTTCGAGAAATCGGTCTTGATGAAGGCGACCTTCTTGTCCTTGGAGAGACGAGGCCAGTACTCAGTGTTCAGGTCGGCTTTAACGAGAGTCATGACGAGGGAACGGGAGGTAAGCTTTTTGGTCGTGCGGGGGTGGTCGGGTTTGATGGGGGCGAAGAAAGCGAGGTTGAACGAGTAGTTTTTTTCTTGGAGCCCTTTAGCAGCACTAGAGTAATTGAGAAGTAAAAGAAAAGAGGAGGTGAGTATTTGATTACCAGGGTCTGGGGTCAGAGAGAAAACAATGAAGTACGTACTTGCCCGAGCGGGCTTTGAAGTTGATGCCCTCGGCGGTCAGGTCGAGCTCCAGAGAGTCCTCAATCACGTCAGGGAGGTTGATGGTGATGAAGAGGACGTTCTGAAAGGTGGTAAGATAGTTAGGTCCTTAGACGCGAAACACAAAGAAATCGGACGCGATCAAAGCGGAAAAAACACGCGTTTATTTCCGCGTTTCGATAATCGGGCACAACGTACCTTCTCCTCATCGGAATCAGAAGAGCGCTGAGCCCAAAGAATCTCGGGGTGGATGGTCTTGTCGGACATGATGACAAAAAGTGGTGGTGGTGGAGGTGATTGAAGTGGGTGGCGAGGAGGAGAAGAGAAGAGGTGGATTTGAGCAGAACAGAAACGACTCGAAGGCTGGAGAAAGATCGAAGCGGAGAACGCGTACGTCAGTCACGTGCGTGCCTCAAGCCGCGTCTATTTCGTGTCTGTTTAAGCCTGTTTAAGCTTCTTGTTCCGCACGAGCAAGGCAGACTCTAGTTTCGTCCGCAACGTTGGGATAACACAGACACTCGGCTACGCTGTTATGTGGTACGTACGCGGTGATATCTTTTGTGACTTGGATGTGGATTAAACGGGCAGCAAAGCAGGTGCACGCGCTGGTTCATACCACTCCTCCTGCTGCCACTTCCGGCGGCACCACCATATTTTCTACTCATTTACCTCTTAACATTGACACTTCATGCAAGACCGTGGTATGAATCTCTCCCTTCTGTTTTTTTGCAGTTTTACTCAATGTTTTGACAGCTTCTACTGCATCATCTTGCTCACGGCGCTCTTCATCTCGTCATGCTACTGGCAACCTATCCCGACCAACTCACTTCTCTCGAACCCAATCTCGGCGACCACTCTCCTCTCTCAATTCCTGCCTGATATGTCCTACTCTGAAAATGGTACACTTGCGCCGTCATTGTTGTCGCTCAATGGAACTATCGTGACCACATTTGCCGATGCTTTTGCCCTTCCCATTGCCGCTCTTTCCTTTCCGTCCGACCTCCCTACCCTTCCAACATCCCTTCTGGCAAAGTTGCCGTCGTCATTCTTTCAAACGTATCCTGAACTCACGCTGACGACCGAGTTCGACACGCCGAACCATGAGCTACGATTGGTTCCTGCACCAGGTTCGCCAGTCACGCAAGAGTTGCAGAAGGTGGAAAGCCCTGCGGTGATGAGGTTATTGGACAGGTGCTGGTGTGACGTCGCTGGAAATGATGGCGGGTATCGCGGAGCCGAGAGAAAAGGGAAGAGGGATAGGAAGAGAAGAGGTCTTTGGGATGTATTTGATGTGTCAGAATGGGAGTTGGCTAGTGTGGCGCGAGCGAGGGAAGAAGTCAGCAGGGAGAAGAAGTCGAGACTGAGGAAGATTGAGCAGGACTGGAGGAATGCTATTGACGTGGCGAAGCAGGGAGAGGAAGATCTGGTAAAGGAGGATCCAGAAGTTCGAGACGAAGTTGTGGTCTTGGACACCAGCAACGAGACGACGACGTCACGGGCCAACTCGACTGAGAGCGAGGCTGTAATAACAGCCAAGAGGCAGTGGCGTACACGAGGTGGGCTCTTCGACAACCTTTTGCCTTTCTTCTCCAGAAGAAAGCCTGAGGAGGAGGTTTTTATTCTGCCAGACGCTGCATCATCGCCATCCTCTTCGTCATCTCCCTCACACGACCGAGGAAATCTCGCAGGGTCCAAATCGGAATCTGGACCAGTGCCAGAGCATGACTTTGATTCTTCACCGATGGAGTCGCTGCCACCATTACCTCTTCTTCGACGAGAGTACGATCTTCGACCGTACGGCTTCGCCATGGTCATTGACTTCGGTTGGTCGAGCCCTTCACGGTCGCCAGCATGATATATATACTGTACTACCTACACGTTATTTGCCAACCTACTTATCCACGCGTTGCATTTTATCACAACTCTGGCATAATTATAACAAAACACCTTAGATCGTGTTCTAAGCTTTTCTGTTCTTGGGCCACAGTATCACATGCGAGTGGCGAACAGGAACGCGTTGGCATCCGACCCTCGGAAAGGAAAGTTCTCCGTACGCGCCCTTGACGGCGCACCCGTATTCGACAAACGCGTCTCTGTTGCTCTCGACGCTAGCCGACGCTGCCTTTCAAGCTTGGTCCCAGGCAACGGCGGCCATTATAAAACGTAGAATATTACCGTCGGCGTCGAAACCCGAAACCGTGACGATAACGTACTCGACTCCACTGTGTCAGCGGCAGCAAGACCTCTTTGTCCACTGACACCATAACAACCTCTTACACAACCCAATCGCTTCCTCAAAGCTCTCTCGTTTTCACAACGCGTTCATACGTTCAGGCCGTATATGGTCGGACGGGCCAGCCAGGAGCGCGACCGAGATGAGAACTCTCGCGACAAAAGTAGGAAGACGAACCGTTCAGCACCCCCACCGGTCGATACTGCTGGCGGTAATGTCGCGAGTGGAAGTGGAGGGGGTGGTAATGGAAACAAAAGCGGGGAGAGTAAGTTTGACGTGGTGACGAGGACGCTGCTGGCTCCGTTTCAACATAGGAAGTCGGATTCGTCGAGGATTTTGTCGGATCGTGAGTGGTTCTCTTTGTCGTTTCGTTGGCTCTTCGCTTCCTCTTTGGCCTTGTTTGAGTATCGGAGTGGAGGAGAACCCTACTTCTGATATTCAAAGATGATTGTGCGCTGTGAGGATGGACGGCATGGGCTACCATGAGCATGGTAAACCATCCGTTGTTCACCAGCGACCGGACATCGCACACCTTCCCTACCGCGTATGTGTCATATCATCATAGCGAAAGGGTGCTTTGAATACTGGGTTGACCAAAGCTTTTTGAGGGTTATTTGCCCGTATTGTCTTATAATGACACAATGGCGTATTGTTATTCCGTGCACGAGACCCCGATTACACCAAACATGATAGTATTTCTCTTCTCTATCCGTTACTTCGTATATGTCCCTCATATTCTGAACACGCTCCGCTGTACTTTACAGTCGCCCCTGTCATCATGACCCCGAAAATGATCTCCCGAACAGCTAATGCCTCAGCCAACCGAGCCACCATTTCCCCCTCTTCTGGCCAATCTACCTATGCCGCCGCTGCCAACTCATCAACCCTCTCAGCTCACTCTTTTGCGACTCTAGGCCGTGCTCCCCTTCGTCTAGGTCTTGGAAGCCGACGCATCACCTCGCGGGACCTTGAGATCGTAGAGGCGGCAGGCGAACTACTCTCCGCTCCTATACCGGACTCTCCAATAGGCAATGAGCCGGACGAATTTGGTGTCGGGGGCGGTGGTGGAAGCGGAAGTGGAGGTGGGAGTGTGAGTCTGTTGAGAGGTTTTGAGGCGACGATTCCGAGTGCGGACAAGGGAAGGGCGAGGAGGAGGGGGATGAGGAGTGTAGAGGCGCCGAGGATGGGCTTGAAGAGGCTGGGTGCTGGAGCGAGGGGGTTGATAGCTTCGGATGGGGAGAGTGAAGAGGCGGAGGAAGATGATCAGTTGGTTTTGGTGGGGCCGGGGAGGGAACGGGGAAGGAAAGGGAGGAAGAAGAGAGGAAGGGAGAGTCTGAGTGCTAATAAGGTGTTTGGGAGGGAGGAGTTGGAGAGGCAGACAGGGGAGATCAAGAGAGATAAGGAGAATATGCATGTGCGAAGGGTGAGTTCTTTTACGTTGGCCTGTCTGAGACGACAGTCTAGGTTCTGCGTCTTGAGAGAAAGCTCATAACGGCTGCAGAGCCTCATTCAAAGCGAAATCACGGAAATCACACATAAAATCGAGGCGTTAGATGCCATTCGACAGAAGCTCGAGGATGACTTGCTGAAACTCCAGGAGGAAGAACTGGAGCTGGATGACGAACGTAAATATTTTTCACTACCTTTAACGGAAAATTTTTGACTCACTATATGGCCAGTTGAAATGGTGAAGGAACGCATGGAACTGGAAGAGCCCAATGCCCGTGCACTTTCTACGTCTCGAATCCAGAGTTCAAGAAGGCGGAAAGGTCCGTCTTTTCTTCTCGAGACTCACTTTATTTATAGCCACTGACGGTCATTGTGTTGGCCTTACAGGACCTGCATTCCTGCCATCAGAACATGACGAGCTCCCGCCAGGCGTTGCATTCATGGTAGGGAGATATCTGGTCGTACAAGCCTAGTTCTCGGAGATGTCTGACTTGATTGATAACATAGACCCTCGACTGTGGCACAACACCAATCACTGGTCTGGACTTCTCAGAACCGTACGGCACCCTTGTCACCGCCTCGCAAGACTCATCACAGCCTATCGTATGGGATTTGCTCTCGGGCGAGGAGATTGGAAGACTCAGAGGACATACGGACACCGTGAAATGCGTTCAGGTGTGTTTCGTTGTCATCATTTGTGTACTGAGGAGTTACTCAACTACGATGACGTAGGTGGAAGACCATATATGCCTCACTGGCTCAGAAGACGGCAATATTCGGTTATGGGACCTGCGCAGAGTCGACGCTGAAGATGAATGGGAACATGGAATGGTCCATCTCAGCGACGTCATCGAGGAGCCTGAAGAGAGTGCTAGCGACGCTGGGGTTGTGGTGAATGGTGGAGGAACAGAAAGCGGAGGTAGCATCAGAGACGGTGCGGAACACAAAGACGATGATCATGACGCCTCTAGTGCTTGTGCTAGAGTCCTGGGCGGACACAGCCGTGCCGTGTCGACCATCTACTTTGAGGACAATACCCTCGTCTCCGGCGCATCCGACAAGACTCTCCGGCAATGGGATCTCACCACTGGACAATGCGTCATGACTATGGACATACTCTGGGCCATCTCCCATCCGCCTCCTTCATTACCGGCTGCAACTGCCTCGATGTCATCATCCATGTTCGCACCTGGTGGGTTGGCTTCGCCCGGCGGATTGTCATTTGGAGGAGCGGCAGCAGCGGCTTCCGGGTCGTTTGCTGTACCAACGCCACCATATGCGGATGGAAGTTGGGAAATGTATCAGGATTTTGTCGGTGCGGTGCAGTTTTGGGGATATGCGCTTGTTAGTGGTAGTGGCGACGGGGCTGTCAGGATGTGGGACAGTGAGTGTTTCTCTACCTGGGTCCTCCCTTGCTATCTGTGGGAAGCAAACACTGATGTCTCTGCCCTTGTAGTGCGCACGGGGCAAGCACATAGGACATTATTGGGACACACAGCTCCGGTCACTTCCTTGCAGTTTGACGAGATTCACGTCGTCAGTGGTAGTTTAGACAAGTCCATCCGGGTACGCCCATTATCTCTCACTCTTCGATTTTCCACCCGCTGACAGACTGGATACTTAACAATCTAGATCTGGGACCTTCGTACAGGCGGCATCTTTGAGACGATCAAGTACGACCACGGCGTCACTGGTCTCCAGTTCGACAGCAGAAAGATCGTGGCGGCTGCAGGCGAGAACGGCGTCAAGGTTCGTTCCTCCTTTCTTCCCTCCTCATCTTGTCCCTCCGTTTCTGACCGACTGAGTGCTCTCGCCGCCCTGTTTGCAGGTCTATAACAGGACGTCGATGCAGCACTCGACATTGCTGACGAACGGGCACACGAGACCGATCGAGAGGCTGAGATACATGGACCGCTATCTCGTGTCGGGCGGCCGGGACTCGATGGTGAAAATCTGGGCGTTGTAGAGCCCTGCGTGGATCGTCGTGTCTTCTTTAAATCTGAATTATTTCACCAACGTGGGCTTGTGTGAAGAAGAGGGAAGGCGCAGTGCATATACGGTCCTCGACGACTGTGGCCTTGCTTGCTGGCTAGAGGACGGAGTAGGTAGCCTTGGCGGGAGGTGAGAGCACAATGTAATATACCAACAAACATTTTCGAAAAGTTTCCTAGAATGCAACTCGTCAGGTTAGCGTATTACACTGGATCAGTGGGACGCCAATTTGCGAGTCGAATTGTATGTCTATGCGAAGAGGTTGTTCGAGTTGTCCGTCCAGCGTCGAGTTTGTCCGTCCAGCGTCGAGTTGTCGTGGCCGAGCCCCCGGCTCCGACCCTGACGCCACACGAACGCCACATCAACGTTCCTCTTATTCAATTACTCTTCACATTGCATAAAATACGACCACTATTCTGAAGTGATGGATGTGCCATCGAGGGAAGATGACAAAAGGGGGATATAGAAGAAACACGGGAATGTATGCGTATCAGCGACAAATAATGAAAGTCTGTGGTCATAGGTCAGTCAACATTGGAAAAAAAGAATTGTCCATGCATGCGAAAAAGATATCTGACAACGACGTTCCCATGTGTTACCACACGGCAAGACGAAGAAGAGGTATGCAAAAAGGCGACAGAAGTGGTCGTAATATACATTCCACGTTGATCAATACCGTTCTGAAGACGGAGGGTAGCCTCGACCGCCGTAACCTCCTTTCGAGTAAAGGTTCTGACCGCTGACGCCGCCGACGAGACTTGCAGGTGCACCGTGGTAGGTGCTGGCGGACTCTTCCTCGTACTCGTGACCCGCGAGCAATGGATCCTTGACCTCCCACACCGTTGCCTTCGACCCGACTGAGAACTCGAGGTCCTCGCGCTAATAATAGCAGGGAACGACGTGTAAGCAATGTAAGGGTGGCATGATGAATTTTGGTAGACGCACCGTGATAGAGTCCCAGTACTTGTATATCATCATTACGCTCAATAGGATGCAGAGTGTGAAGAAGAAGAGCCCGTCGATGTAATGCTTGATGGCGTCACAGATCGTGACACTGAATGCAAACAGGAGGACTTGCGCGATGACAAAGAACGCAGTTCCGAAGACAATGTCACCGATGGGCCAACGGTCTTCGAGCGTGCGGAAGACAAGAATGAGTTGCGAGACGATGTATACGGCTGCACAGATGAGCGGCCAGAGGATATAGATGATCCAGAGACCAATGGGTTTGGAATACTTGAAGCCGGCGAATTGTTTGAATGTGGCGATGGCAATAAAGAACGAGATGCCGAAGAAGACGAGGCAGGCTAGACGTAGACCCTGTAATTTAGAAGGAGCAGGAATATAATGAGTAGATGCTCAAGGCTGGCGACGGAGAGGAACGTACCCAGAGTGATAGAGGTGTTCCATCTTCTGCAAATTGGAAGCCGACGAATCCGTTGATAAGTATGCACCCATAGGCGGCAGCTACTAAGCCGGTATAGATAGCTGCAAACCACTAGATGAAGTAGATTATCAGCACGCACGGCCAGCGAGGACTTGTGGAAGAATACATACTGGGTAACTTGCGTTTGCCGTGGGAATGACATTTGAGTCGAGGAATATGGCCAACAGCTCGATGATAGCGTAAAGATAGAAGAACATGACGATCTCCTTCCGACCTGGCAGTCCAATTTCAGATTCTGCATGACAAGACCATCGAATGTATGACGTACCGACTGCAGTGTACTTGCTTCGTATGTGGTAGATCATAATAATGGTCATGATAATGGCGACGATGTGAATGAAACATGTAGCTAGACAATTGAGAATGAAGGTCAGTAATATTTCCACCATCTCAATAAACCAGATCCCCGCCCACTAGCAAGCCCATCTCCTGATCATTGCCGCGAAAAGCTCACCAGGTTGGAAAATCAGTGTTCCTGCAATGTCTACATTTCTACTGTAGCACGTTGGCTCAATGCCTTGATCCGTTCCAACGAGTGGACATATTACCAACGCCGCTGTTTCACAGATAGCGTCGAATGAGCCGAATGAGACGCCCATAGCTGGACGAACGACGGACACCGACTACAGAGACGAGAATATATGAGAGAATGTGAGAGTGTATAAAAGCGAGCGGGTTGGTTGTGAAAGACTTGTGAGAGAACACAAGTTGGTGGGTGAGTGGCCTCAGGTGGCAGCCGCGAAGGCGTCGAGGGCGGCGATGAGAAGGATGAGGTCGACGTTGGAGATGGCGACGAGCCCTCTCGCTCTGTTGCTCTTGGCGCTGGGTCACGTTGCTCGTGAGAAAATACCTCCATAACAAGCTTCTTAGGTGCAGTTGAGGTCGTGGGAAACTCAACTGCTCCTTCTTGTTCGCTTCTGTTCTTACACACCAGTTCCGAACAACTTATCCTTGTTGCTGTTGCTTGTCTGTGGAAATCAGTAGTCGACATATACCATCCAGTCTTATCTGATGTCCTCTTGAGGTGCCTATCCTACAAAGCTCACTCCGGTTTCGTGAGATGGTGGTGCAACCGGTGCATCGGATGGGAATGCGGAGGATTATGGTTCACGACACCTTACTCCAGGCATGACCTTCTTCTCGACCTGACTTCATGCTCTATAGGTGTTCGAAGGTGCACGCGATATGACTCTGGCATCTATTATACGCTGTTCCCTGCACCATACACCCACTAACTGGAGCTTCGCAATGGGAACTATGGGCGTTCGGCTAACACGGTTTGGCTTTGTCCGTGGACGCACCTCTTCTGGCTTTACTGCGAATATAGTTTGGAGCTTTGGCCCCTTTCCCCAACAGTCAACGCTCGGTCCATCAGAACGCGGCGACGAACGTTGGTTCATCCCTTTACGATTATTCATCGGTAAGCACCGTGCCTTTCGTTTCATTGCGTTCCTGCATCATTCGTTTCCGTCTCGCCGCTCGAGACGCGCCACGCTGGCAAACCCGCTCTCTCTTCCTCTCCTCCGGGCATGTTGCAATCGCTATCTATATATGATTCTAAAGTTGTAAAGCAACACTTTCTCCACCGAGGACTATCACACAGCATGACTACTGACGGCGTCAAGGGGCCTTCATACATATCTCGGAGCCTCGTCGTCAGTTGAACGCTTTTGAGATAATCACAGTAATCCGCAAGCCATCTACGTCGCCGCGCTACGAGATATACGTTGGCGCTTTCCGATCGATGAAGCTCGTGTCAATGATTTCGACGTCGTTTCCAACATGCACGTCGACAATCTCATTCGTCGTCCGCGGGGTTAATAAAAAGACATCAACATTTCATCCCAGGTATTGTGGGTAAGCCATAAGCATAGCATTCTTCCCGCTTCTGGCCAAGCCTGTGCTGAATCAGGTATAGGTGTTTAAGTTGGGTCGAATCCAGCAATGTGATCCGACACACGCTCTGTCTCCATATAGATCGAAACTTCTACGCGTAATTCTCAGATGCGCATCATCGCTCGCCCAAACTCGAAGTGCGATTATCTCCTTTCAGGGCGGTCCCCTTTGTGATACGCCATGGTTCTTCCCGTTCTCTTGCTCCGGAAGAGGCACAGTGTTGGGCGCGATCCTCATGCTTACCGTGGGCATTCTCTCTTGATCCGAGGTATGGTCTGCTTCTGGCCAATGCGCTGAAAGATTGGGCCTTGTCTAATTTAACCACGCCGGCTTTCATTCTCGTCACTAATACACGGTGGCAAACTTTCGTGGTCAAAATTAACTATGCAGACTTTCGTCGCCGTCATTCCACAGAACGTAGCGCCTACCTTTCGTTGGATGAAACGCAGGAAATTTTTGCTTGCCGAGCAGAGAACGGTAGGGCGCTCCCATGACGCCGCGTTCTTGAGGAATCGAATGCTTGGTGTGTATCACGCTTGGTCCGGTAAACATCATACACGGTATAACGCACCCGTGGCCAGCTATTCTTCTTGAGTCTGTGGTGTATCGACATCGCTTTCCTCTCATATCTCCATCCGTGCTTGGAATTGAATGGTGCTTACTTGACTAGGGCCTTTCAGGCCATTTTGAGGATCTTTCATCTCACTGCGAGTAGCTCGCCTATAGCCCACTCCTACACATTGCTTCCATACGCCGTGTCTCCGACGTGGCGCCTGGGTGTTTAAACATTTCCATTCTCAGGTCCATGGCGCCTGCTCCTGACTCGGACACACACCCATAATTGTTCCTGTATTTGACCGCAACGGCCGCGGACGGTGCGACCCTCATCATGGCGATAGCAAGGCAATATACATCTCCTGCGGTCATGTTTCGCGGAGGTCCTACGCCACAGGATGGCCGTGCTCATCCCGCTCTTGGTATGGATCATTGAATGATTAATCTCGCGACGTAGATGATCATGACATCCGCGATGCACTTATTTCTTGCCCTTCCAACACGGTAATTTTATAAGCTTTCGCAGCCGGCTGTTCCTCAAGCTTCAGGCTCGGACTCGTCGTGCGCCGCATCTTGACAATATGCGGATGTGGTTCGGAATGTTCGAGCTATACCTCGTACGACAACCCGTGGCATGTAAGTACGTGCATGTTTATTCTCTTGTTGGTTCTCATTTCTCATCCACCACGTCTCGTGGCGTCTGATGGACGCCTTCCTTTGTTGCTCCTGACTACTAGGGGTTGCTTGAATCAAGGAAACAGTACATGCAAGAGACGATCCGCATGCGGATGGAGCTCCATACCATTCGTACTGTAGGTCCCTGGATGCGGAGGGTCTACTGGGCTCAAAGTATGTGCTAGTATAAATGATTCTTCCACAGCGAAGTGCAAGCGAGCCAACGCACATGAAGGGGTTCTCTGCCAATATGGTAGTCTGCGTAAGTATGGTCCCTCGGAGGCTCTACTAAGGATTTCGACTCCGACTCTCTGTTTCTGATTTACTTCCTCCACGCCACACCTCGCTTCAGAGAAGCGAACGACGCAGTTGGGGCCACCATCTATCTTCGTCCGACGTTGAGCGACGTATCTCCACCAGAATCACTCTAGCACAGGCTGCGCCTTTGTCATCCCCTCCTCCTTTAGACTCCATCACTTTTAGCTGTCTGGATCTGATCTTGTTCGACCTACAGCTATACTTGATCCTTGCGTCACTTCGGGCATGCTTGTGCCGCGAGGATGGTGTCCCTGCATAGACCGGGACCCGTGACTTTGCTCAACATACATGTTGGTGTGAAATACACTCGTTTGGGCCTTTCCCTAACATGGTCATCCGTCATGATTCCATCTTTGGCGAACTACTTACGAACGTCTTTTTTGGCAACTCCAGTCCTGATCAAACATACGATAAGTCAAGAACACCCGGCTCCGTGACCGTGGCTACGACCTCAAACCTCGTTCCCGCCGCTACGCTTCCCGAATCATCACCACCATCTTCTTCTCGACCCTTCTTCTCATCCCTCCGCCATACTGCATCCCCCGCCGCGCGGCGATCCGGACTGAGGGGTGGTCGTAGTCTGTAGATCCGTCGTGCGTTCATGATCACATCGAGCGCGTTCCTTCCCTTGGTTCCTTTGTTATCACCGTCGGGCATCTGCATACCCACCCAATCCAATCGCGAGGGCTGTGCCAATTAAGTGTGAAGTAACGTCGCGACGGTCTGGATGGTCGGTACTGGGCAGCAGTGCCTCGAGAAGAACGCCGGTACGTTCCATCCTTACATCCCGTTCGTTGCATTTGCCTCAGTTTGGGCCATCCGAAATGGAGATACGTATGACCCGCTCAGGTCGTGGCATTGTGGTTTTGAGGGCAACAGAAATGATCATCGCGAGCACACACTAATACTAATAATTCATACCGAACAACGCCTGGGCCCGCATCCGGCGTTCACACTTTCCTTCGCGGAGCTTGAATTCATAATTATCACAACGACGACCCGAAATCGATGTCAGTACATCGGGCGAAAGCGAAGCACGTCAAACCCAGTCGCATGTAACTCTCGAACATGCTCAATACACGCTCCCCTAGGCTGCTCCGGGCCACAAGGGATTGATACTTATCCATGATGATTCGTAACTTGTCGGCAGGTCGTGTGGCGTAGTAACGTAAGGTAACCCCTCTACTAGACGTTCCGAGACAAAAAGAAACCTTCTTCTCCGTTCTCGTCTTCTCTCGCTGGAAACAATGGCTCCATTCCTAGCGCCTATTTCGACCCTGCAGTGTAAGCTCCCTTCCTGCAAGCTCCCGAAATTCCAAGGTGTTTCGCCCTTGCTGTCTCCTTACATGTTCACAGTGCCGGCGCGATGCCGCTCATTACCGTCGTCTGACCTGGATAATGTAATGTGATTTATTGAGGGCCTAGTCGTATGCAGTATGTACGACGACGACCCTGGAGGAACGAAGATTCTCATTCGGATTCGGAACCGTCGGGAGTTGTGGCACGACTGGAAGCTCGACGAGAGGATGGGAAAGGCCGTGCGGTCGTAAGCTTTTCATTCTAATGGTGGTTCGTATACGTCTACGCTTAGGGTATGTGGTCTCCGCGATAGTTTGTGTTCATGGGCGCAACGCATAATATACGGACTGTATACGAAAGCCTATGTTCCACGTTCATGACGAGGAACCCTAATACAGCTGTGGTTTACTCTTACTTGCGCCACGACCCGCAGAACGAACAGAAGAAGACCCGGTATCTCCCGTCTATACATGGTCGCCGCAGGGCAGTGTCAATGTGAGCCTTGGTACTCACAGTCCGGGTGAACAACGTCAGCAGAATGGAGAAACATCTCTTCCCGTACTTATCGTAGCTGAGTCTTCTTCTCTTTCTCCGTCTCGAATCCTCTTTGCCTCTTGCTTGCCAACGCCAGCCTCCTAGGCTAACCAAACCCGTCCGAATCTCTTCAAGCTTCTGATATGCAAAAATGTCTATCCATGTCTGAATCGCATAGACATAGAACGACAGCAACGACGTCAACCCCCGTTCGAATGACATGACATCGCCAGGATAACGATGTCATGTGGATCCCAGTTGTAAAAACTCGCAAATCTCGCACTACAGCCAGTCTACTAGTGCCGTGCTAGTAAATTTCTCGGACCCCCCTTCTGAAGCTCGAATCCTTCACCGCGACTTTTCCGACTTCCGACCTGCCTTGCTTCCGACTGCCGAAGGTACATTTTACAAAGTCCTTCCACGAACCGACGTTTGCGAGCACGCGGCTGCTTGCAATTGTTCCCGTGGGTGGGTGCTTGTGAGATCTAGCATGTTCTGGCAGGCTCGTCTCGTCTCGTCTCGTCCGATGGCACGAAAAGAGCGGGCGCGACGACCGGTACATATAAATGCTAGCCTGTTCATACGTGCATACATACACACATGAAATTAATGAGTAGTTATTGGCCTACGGGAAGAATCAGCCTGCAGACTGTGACCCGAATGCACGGCCCAGCGATCCACAGAAAACCTTCTTGAATCGGCTCAGCGATTGAATATCTTACGACAGAACAGAACGTCTCCATTTCCGCGTGATATCGGGCCTGCTTACGGGCCAACAGCTGTACATACATACAGGGTGTGCACACGGGAGTTTACAGCAGCGGCGTTGAATCATACATCATGACTGGACCTGGATTCGCTGCAGGGATGCTGGCTGCAACCCGGTCAACGGTGATTGGCGAAGAATTTACCGGCATCGACGCTAGTAATGCGGAGTCGTGGCTTGGCCTTATGGCTAGCACTGTACAGCTTAATTCTGAGGAACTCCTCGGCTTCAACCAAGGTCCAAGGGCCATAGCAAGCATACGCGACAAGAAAAATGCACAGAGAGAGAAAAAATCTACAAGAAATGCTTGCATCGGTCGTTCGGCAACTTCGCAACGCTCCCCAGTCCACTCTGACACAACGAAGAGACTCAGCACAGGAACGTACGACGACGTCGACTCATCGACCTCATCGGACACGGCCAAAAAAACCAGAACCCGATCACTTGTCATCATCTCATCTGCCCGCAAAAACCAAAAAAAGAAAATCGTAGATCACATCCAGACCAACCGAAGACCAACCACCGCATCCGCATCTCGCCCGTCGGGATTCGGCCAGCAAGCCAAAGCAAAAAGAGAGAAAGAAAAAAATATCAAGGCATCGCGATCGGTGACGGTGACAGGCCTAAGATTTAAGACAAGGACGATTCGGGATTCGGAAGATCTCCATCTGCCAGATACTGTAAGTTATTATGAGATGGATCTTGGTTTTTGGGTGCGGGCGTGCGTGAGCCTAAATGCCCGAGGGCGCGAGTGTCAGTGACCGAGCGAGAGATTGCGATTGTTGTGCCTTGTTGGATCGTGAGCCGGCAGGCAAGACGAGGATGCAGGGGCAAGCGTCGGATCTCTCCTAATTTTGGAGGCCGGAGGGGTTCGTATCGGGAGGGAGGGAGGGACCGAACCGAGCGTGTTCATAGTATCATGATCGTGATTCACAGATAGATCTGGCTTGGGACAGTTGGACCGAACCGAACTGATATTGAGATTGAGCGCTGAGCGGGTCAAGTTGTAATCGGGCGACCGCCGGGGCGTCCATTGGCGGTCAACAGCTTCCGGCTCCTCGGCGTGCGTAACCCTCTCGTGTCATGTTCGTTTTTCCCTTTTCGCTTTTCGTGGCGTGGCGTTGTCCTCGGGCGTGGTCCTTTCATGTGTATGTGTAGATTCGTATTCCAGACTCAGACGCATCATTGTAAGTGTTGACAATAAGTTTGACGACCCTAGTTGTGTTGGCCGCGCTTACAGGCTACAGTTGTATGGTGTATGTAGAAGCTTACTTCGAATACCCCATACATACACACCGCATACGCTGTACTGGAACCTACAGTGACCTTCTGCACGGAAGCGTTCGGTATGGCTAATAGGCACTCGTTATGGTCATCGTACCCATATGTAGCTGCAGCTCTGTCTGTCTACCGTTGGGTACAGCAAAGGAGATGACGATGATGGATCCAGAAGCTCCTTCAGACCCTAAAGCGAGATATCCGGATTCCGGATCTTACGTAAGGTAACTTAGGAAGGAAGGAAGAGGGAGCGTCGGCGTGAGTCTTCCTGAACCATAAAAAAAAATGAAAGAGAGAGTGAATAGAATTGGACGTGGACTCGGACGCGGTCTGTGCCACACGGTTCGTAATGTGATGTAGCATAGTGTAGCATATGTACTGTATTCGGAATCCGAACCTTGCGCGTCGACCCAGCACCGCCGACGAGGAAGCGGAAGCAGACTCTTCGAAGCGAAAGAAAGAGAGTTAAAGAGAAAATATACGATGCGGCCGCTTTCGTTTCTCGTTTCTCGTTCTCGTTTCCGTTTCGTTCGCGGGTTCGAAAGCCCCGGGTGCCCTATTAGCTATGAGTGCTTTTGATCTTGTGAGCGCGAGGTGAGCGGTGAGTGCGATGCATAACGAGAAGGTACAGTACTTGGTTCGAAAAGGAAAGAGGGGAGAATACATACGGAAGGAAACGGACTGAAAAGGGTCGATGAACAGGACCAAGGGTAAGAACAGGTACAGTTCCTTGGAAAAAGTACTTAGACCGAGACGCCACAGCCCCTTTCGCGGCGTTGATTTAGAGGGGTCAGCGAGATCAAATGCGCTCGAGCTGAGCATGACAGAGAGCAGGTGCCACACGGATCCGTCGCAGCAAGAAGATTACTCCAGAGCGGCGGGTGAAGGATATCCTTCCGGTTGTGAAGTGAAAGATGACGAAGAGGAGCTTCAAGCAGAAATGAGCACATCCCGAGAGTTGACGTGAGGCGAGCGATAAAAAATTTAGACTCGCGAGTCGCTAGGTGGTATGAATGGTGATACCGTCAGCTAGTGAGACGCAGAGGATCGTCGACCGGCCTATCCGAGCGCAGAAGTTCGATGCGTTGTTGGAGCTCGATGGGGTGGGTGATGTATGGGAGCAGCGGCAGCCCCGAGAGAGACAATACCTGTCTTGGATCTGTGTTGATCAATGCATAATCTGTTCGAAATCGGACAAGGGACGGACAGAACACGAACAGTTCACGATCAGGACGGGCACGAGTATATGTCCCGGCTTAGTGAAGGTCAGACAATTGGAAGAGTTCCATTCCAATGCATTCGTATTCAGGCCGTGCAGGACCGCGAATGGTCTGCGAGAGAGGGTGTCGTGCGCCACATGATCGTTGATGAGTGGATGTAAGAAAGGATCAGGTTCGGAAAGCAACGTACCGTAAGTTGAGAAGTGTAGGGAATGGACTGTAGCCTTGTCCGCGGTGTTGATGTGTCGTAAGACGGCTTCAGTTGTGTTGTAGTGGGATGTTTACCAAAGACGGCGAAGTGAAAGGTTGATTGCTTAGTATGTCGCGTGGCATGTTGTAGTCTTTGTCCGACCGTGGAAGGTTCGCTCGAGAGCCGGGATCAGGTCCCAGAAGAACAGAATAGGCGCAGCTTGCGAGACAGGCTGGCAACAGGGCCGTGCGATGTTCAGCATGGAACGCAGATGAATTGGACGAAGCGCAGGCCGTCGTAAGCTACGTTTGTGGTGGATCTGAGCCGCACAGATTCCGAGCGACACTGTCCAGAGAAAAACATGGAGCCGAGAAAGAAGAACGTCATGTCTGCCGCGTCGCGGAGGCGGCCGGGGTCAGCGCAAGCGGAGGGAGGTTAGCCAATACGGGCAGGAGGATTGCCTGATTGGGGATGGGGAGAGGAGGACAAGGGGAGCGCTGATCAGGCCGGATATCAGTCGTGAGTCACGGCAGGGCAGAAAGAGAGAGGATGGAGGCAGTAGTAACGAGGCCCTCAGAGAAAGATCTCGGTTTGACAAACGGAAAATTGAGAACGAGCACGAGGATATGGGCGACGAGTGGACGACGGACTGGGCGGCGTGGGAGAGCTGCGCTGAGTCAGCACCGAAAGTAGAAGTGGGTGGGGGAAAGGTTATGGGGAATCCCCAGGGAAATCCCCCTGGCGAAGACTGGACTGGTTCGAGCGCGGTTCGGGGGGCGACCGGTGCGGCGCCGACGGAAGGCCCGAAAAGGCAAGGGAGTGTTGGTGGCGGGACGGCTCCTGTGTGTATTATCCGCTTTGTTTTTTGCGCTCATCGAGAGTGTCGGACTCGCCCTTATTTAATTGACTACAGCATGCCCCGCCTTCCGCCTTTTACGACCCCGCCCCAACAACGACATGGCCCTAACTTACCACCTCCCCGCCATACAACACCACCCCAATCTCTACCCCATCGTCCCCAACAATGTCCAGCCAAATAACCTCCATTTTTCCCAGTCCTGGGCCACCTGGCGTAACCCAAGACTCGACATCCAGACCCCCCCTCGCTCAGATTCCACCGCAGTGCGTCCAATAAAGACCCATCAGCACACAGTGCTCCCACCCATCTCGAATTTCGACAGGCCAGCACCGGAGTACACGCGTGAGTCCGAGCCTCAGAACGCGTCGCGTCACTCGTATATTGACTTTGAACCAGTCCCGCCCCTAACAGACTCTGTGGCGCGCACGAGCCCTCCGCTGCCCGCTCCCTCACAGTACGACGCGTACCAGGAGCCAATCACCCCTCAGTCTCCCTCGCCTTCTCCCTCGCCAAAGCCAGAGGACTTCTCCGAATGGTTCAACGAAAAATCACACATGTCTGCGCAATTTCTCGCCGAAAAGACCTGTGAAATGATCTGCTATCTCTGGTTCTCCAAGTTTACTCCCCCGACCTCCTCTTCGTCGCATAATACCTCGCCTTCGTCCCCCTTTATCCCACATCCTAATTCCAAGACGGCTCTCCTTCAGTTCTCCGTCTCCTCCGTCTTCGTTCACTTCATGCAGAAACTGCTCGAGACGACCCAGGTCAGCCAGTCGGTCATCGTATTGGCCCTGCACTATATCTACCGGCTCAAGGAGCGCAATAACACGTCCGTTCCGCACGCCGGTAGCGAGTTCCGTGTTGCGGTGGCGGGTCTCATGATGGCCAACAAGTTCGTTGACGAGTGAGTTTCTTCCGCCTCTTCAATGGCTTGTTCTTTTTCTCTTACACATACTCGCACGTGCTTCAGTAACACCTACACGAACAAGACGTGGTCCGAGGTCTCTGGTATCGAGCTCACGGAGATCAACAAGATGGAGCGGGAGTTTTTGGCGGGGATCGACTTCGGGTTGTATGTGGATAAGCAGAGGTGCGATTCGTGGTTGAACTTGTTGAAGGGTTTGGTGATGGCGAAGGAGAGGGATAGTCGTTACTGGAGGCGGTCACGGCAAGGACTCGGCAGGGCGTATGGTTCGAAGCACGACCTCACTCTCCCCACCTCTACCCGGTCCAAGGCAGTATCCTCCCGCGCTCGTTCGTCTTCTCCGTCGCGTCGACCGCGATGGCCTCAGCAACCTGCCGTCGACTATGACTACTCCGCCTGCCCTTCCATGGACTCCGACTCGCCCACACGCCACGGCAAACGCACGGCCGTAGACGCGTTCTCGCCTACCTCCACTACGTTCGACGATGTCAGGCCTCACAAGAAGTCAATGGGTCTTTCGCTCCAGATTCCGGAGACTATCGTCGGTGGCGCCGTGCACACACCATCTCCGCTCGAGTCGCTCCAATTCTCCAAGCTCTCCCTAGCATCTTCGCCTGCAGGACACGAGAATGGGATGCCATCTGATCACCATAGGCATGTGTCGCCACATACACTAGTGGCTGCTTATCGGATGGACCCAACAAAACCGAATCCAACTCCCCAGGTACGTCTTACCTCACAGCTGTGTCTCAGCAACGAGCTGACCATCTCCTTTAGAACCTCTACTTCTATTCACTTGCATGTTCTCCTTTGGCCGAGTCTCGGAAGGCTCGCCTGCGGTACCACCAGCCTAGTGCCCCCACGGCCCCGACGAACTACGCGTTTCCCCCTGTGCAGCCAGCATACGTTCACTCCGCAACCACAAGCCCGCATGATGTCCGTATGACGCTGCCTCCCGTTCGCCCCCAGCAGTCGGCTTGGTCACCCAGCGTCTACCACTCGTACGACTCTGCGCGTCTGCCGCCGCAATCATATCCGTCCGCGACCGTCGCTGAACAGCCCCAAGGACATCCTGTGGACCACAATGTCCCGTCTGCTCCGTTCGCAAACGCCGGTCCGCCAGGCTTTCATTTTTACCCGGCACCGGGACAGCAACAGCCTTCGCCTAACGACTTGTGGCACCACGGACGTCGTCTATGATTGAATCTTTCCTCTTCTGTATCATACGTACCGGGTTTCCTTGCATTTTTCTGTTACTAGTGCGAATCCTTCTCCTTTCGGGCGACCGCCTTACGCTAGCTATGATTGCATGTTCCTCCAATTTGGTCCTCGCTAATCCCTTCTCATCTGCATCTCTCGGCTTTCCCTCGTGCATCATCAATCACTTCTCCCTCCTCTCTTCCCATCACGTTTCTTTTTCTGCATTTGGACTCTGAATCATAATCAATCTCGCCCTTCCACCAGTTTTTTTTTTGCATGTTCAATCCAATCACTTATAGAGAATCTAAATCGTTCTCGCTGTATCAGTCTTTTTATTTTGGTCGATCGGTTTCAGGCTCCTCTACACGCACGCATACATTCATCGACCACCCCATCCGAATCCTCCGTCACACGTTCCCATCCCATCACAGCACACACATGAATATCCCCGCTTTCCGCCCACCCGTTCTCTCTCTCTCTCGCCTCTTACCCTACCCTACCGTCACTTTTTTTCAAGTCGGATCAGACAATCACAATCACACCCCCGGTACGCGAAGATACTTACCGTTAGTTACCATGTTACTATAAGTCGATGATGATAATCAGACGTACGCTACACAACACAACAACAAATGAAAAGAAGTATTGTACCATGGGTCGTAACATACATAACATAACATAACGCGCATGCCATTTTTTGTGATGTTTGATCTGGTTTTCGCACCATAACACGGTTGTTTCGATGGTCGATGTTCGATGTTGAGCCACACGATCACCCTTCCTCCTCACGCCACACCAACCAACCGTCGCGGGTAAGCCCGTAGCCATGGGTTGATGGAGCCATTGAGAATCCGTTGTAAGAGAACATAGAAACATAATAGAACAGAGCAGGGGTTCTCCCGCCCGGCTGCGCGTTCAACGTTCATGTTCGAGGTTGCTTAGTTGCGAGTGCGAGTTTGGTTTTTGCCCACTACTTAATAAGCTAGCTGTTGGGATGGGACCGGTATGCGTAGTAGTTCTTGATTGAGATGATTGTTTCGAAGGATTGATATTTGGTCTGGTCTACTAGTCTGGGATGACCTGGATTGAGTGGGATCCGGAGCGAGGGAAGGCGTGCGTCATTGCGTTCAAGTTATGATTGGGATTGGGATCGGTTTGTTGGGAAACGATGATGATACATAGGTAGCCACGGAACATGTACATGCGTAAGCACAGAATCGGAGTTTCATTAGACTTGGTGTCGAGAACGAGAAGGGAAGGAGGCTTAGGGTCTTGGAGTGTGCCGGTGGTTTGCCTTGGGTTATTGCGGGGATGACTGTATTTGGAGGAGGAAGAACGTTGCTAACGTTAACGTAGATTGTTCTATTAGCGGCTACTCCAGGCGAGCATGAATACCATCACTGAACTCAGACACGCTGGATCGAATGGAGGAACGTGACCGTCAAGGCTCAAGAACAGAACAGAGCAGAACAGAAGAGTGAACCGCAAGCAATACAGATACAGCTGTGGCGTGAGTGTGACTGCCAAAAGTACCAGCACAAGGGTTTAATTTCGTGATTATCGTGGATCATTGCATTGATATACGATGAAGCTCCGATTGAAGGGCGAGGCGAGGGAATGGGCCATACATACGCAGAAGTGTACGACACCGACCCGATGTTCCCTGCGCCACTCTGTTTCGAGACGGAGGTTCGTATGTGAGAACGAGCACGAGAACGAAGTGGCTCAAAGGATCTGGACAGGAACAGCAAACCAATTGGGCGTTAGGCGTCAGTAAGTTCGAAGGCCGTGTCGTCTCGGGCTACGTATCGGAAAGTAGGAACGGACGGACGGGAGTTCTCCAAGCTCTGAGGCTCCTGGCGAGGCTTCCATTCGTCCGGGATACCGTGCTGTGAGTTACACTTACGGCTGTTCGTGGATAGGACGACGACAAAGAACATGGGGGCATGTCGGACTTGGAATGTCGTGGAATTGGGCCGCTTCCTGTCGCTTCGCAATCGACTTCATATGTCGTTCTCGATTGAGGAACCAGGATAGAGTTCTCCTGGGCCCGAGTTGCTCCCTATGTACATCATACGGCGACACGCTCACTTCAACTGAACAACCCCACTCGACTGTATAGGGATTGTAAGGCAGGGCAGTGTAGTTGTATTCGGCTCGGCGTTCGTGCGTCCCTTCATATCTGATAACCATAGGTTCATGACCCACGGGTGGCTCATGCACTAGTAGTAGGTATGTACTAGCACTCCCACCTGTGGCGCAGCGCAGCATCAACATGAGAAAGAACCAGAGGCTGCTCGGTCGGAACGGCACTGCACATCCATCTTTCCATCCATCCGTTCGTCCGTTCATCCGTGCAATCCGTCTAAGTTTGCGTCCCTGCAACGAGTGGAGAAGCGCGGGTACGGGTGCTAGTACGGATACGGGCGCAAGCATGGATGAGAGATTTGAACAAGTTAGTTAATCTCCCGGGATGAGCCCCGTGGCCCGTGAATAAAGTTGGAGTGGAGTAAGGTTGGGATCCGACTCAGTTCGGAGGATGCTAGGATGTTCGACCCGGGCACGTCATCGTGTTATCAAAAGCTCCAACTTGGTTGTGGAAAGTAGTGGAACAGAAAATTGCTCGAACGCCGGGTACGGAGGGATGAGTCGCAAGTAGATCACGGGTCGTCCGAATCATCGACTCATCGACATCGGCGTTCTTACAGATTGTTCGTTCAAGAATGCGAGCAATCCCACTAGGTATCATGGGTGCATGACTGCAGGATGTATGGACAGCCCGCTCGGGATCATGAGATAGATGGCCGTGACAACCGCATCCAATGATCCAGAATAAATGAAGGGACGAAAGACCGGGAAGAGTGGAACAAGGGTGGGATCTGCGCGCACAGTTCGTCAAGCTTCAAATGACGGGCTCGGAGAACTGTCTCATCAAATCGAGAACAGTCGCACTAAAAGTTACATGACCGGCTCGGGATTCGAGAGATCATTCCAAGACAGAGATCATCATCATGTTATATAAATCAAGAAAAGATTCGAGCTCGGGCTGCAGTATGTGGCGCGAAATCAGATCTCAGAACGGAAGGACATACCGTGGCGTAGTCACGGTGGCGGGCGCCCTTCCCAAAAGGTTTAACTTTGTTTCTGTTCTCCCGAGGCCGAGCCAAGCTGCTGTACTTTGGGCGGCGAAGTGGTTCCAAAGTTAGAAAATGTCGTCCCGGACCTGATCGACCTCCCAGGTGAGCAACTAACTTCACATCGTTTTGGTCATGCTTTTGCGCTAACTTGGAGCAGGCCAATGAAAATGAAATGAAACGTACCTCAGTGCACGAAGGGGCGCATACGTGACACCCGGCCCAAACCTGTCAAGCATTGTAAGGGGACGACCGTTACCATTATTTGCCCTACACCATCCGTTGTCAGCTCGGTGTCACTTGCGGAGAATCCGCAACGTCCTAACTGTCTCGTGTTTAGACCCGTGTCTTTTGAGGCGCACCCTTACCAAGTGTGGCGCAGGTTGCACTCAGGGATGTCTTGCCTTCAAGTGGAACTGTAAGCCGTAGAAGCATGACCGAACGCCCCGATTCTGGATGATGGCCTGCACGATAAGTATGGGTGGAACGTTAGCTACAGCCTCATGTTCATTTGGCCTGCGTTCCTTTGGCACCGCCCTTTCGAATAGGAGATATCTTGATTGAGATGCTGTGACGGGTTTGACAACGTCAGAAAAGCGCAGTGGCGTGAGGGCTGGTCCCAAGTAGATCGACATAGGAAGGAGAGGAGCCGGCATCGATCTGGACAAGCCGCGAGGGGAAAAGGATATCAGAAATTGGAACATGTGCATGCCCAGGCGAAGCACTGGTGCACGGACCTGGATGTAGGAAGCGATGCAGTCAAATCTTCCTCCACGGATATGGGCCGGCCCCGCAGCCGGAAGGGCGTCGTGAGTAGTTTGACAGAAGACAGCAAGAAAAAGTGAGGGTGAGCCAATCCAGATCAGCCTAAAGTTAAGAGCTACTACTAATTGTGGAGTACGGTCGAAACCACGTCGACGCAATTTGTGAGCGCGTGAACAGGCCCAGAAACAGAAGGGCCTCCTGTGTATAGACTGAAACAGACCGACTTTGAAAAACAAACGTCGAGAAAAACAAACCCCGCGTTAGTTCCTCCTAAGATAGATCCTCAGCCGGCGTCATGTTAGCGCGCTAGAGCACAAGTACCGTATTTGTCGTATGTGATCGTGTTCCTTCATGCGTGCGTCGTTGACCCTCTCGCCGCATTTCATCCATGTCTTTGTTGCGACGCGTCGGATGTTTGATGGTGCAGATGTTGGCCAAGATACGTTCATGCAACCAGGTGAACTTTCAAGCAGACAGGCCACGGTCTGAATACGCCGAGCCTGCAAATGCGCGATTGTCAGCGAGATGTTCCCAAGCGAAGACTGGAGCTTGTGCCGTCCATGTTGTTCGCAAGTTCTTTTTCGCAAGTAAGAGCGAGAAGGGCTGTCAGATGGAACTCAGACATATGTCCCTCTCCGAGTCTGTCCAGACTCAATGGCTGTAATTCTGGGTACCTGGGTGTTCTGCAAAGATACACATTGATGACCCCGAGGCATCGTGTATTGTGTCGCTTAGAATGGACATCAATGAACTGTCCGGCACTCGCAGAGGCTATTACAGTTTCTTCCGTAAGTGAATCCAAGAAACGTGCACAGGCTTGAGTGAATAAAAGGAGGAATTCGTTCCGCGGTAGAACAGATCGGTTGACGCAGCAAGCACAACAAACAGGGGCACTGTTCGCAAAGAACATCGAGGAGTGGGTATCGGCCGCACGATCCATATGGGGAAAAGACCGTGTCTGGAGATGGAGACGGCATCGCTAAACAGACATGCGCTTGCGAGCGGCATTAAGAGCGGTAGGTGACGGTTGCAGAACTAGCCCATATAGATTCCAGGCCAGGTCAGGACATTCTTTCCGAGTCGCACACCATTCAACACCGGGTCAATAATGATAGCGCGGCTGAGGGCAGGGGAAGCGAAGGGACCTGAAAACTAATGTCGTCAGCCCGAGAAGGTTCAGAGTTCACGTCACGAAATCGAGCACACGATACTTGGAAACCCTCGTATGAAGCTTTCCGGTCAAGTGCGAAGTGGTGACAGAACCGAGATCGCGCAGACAGAAGAGCAGATATATGAAATCCCTGAAGCCGGGTATTGAGCGACTCCAGTGTCAGCGACCAGTCTTGAATCAGATGGGGAAGGCAGGGTCGAAGGACGCTGAGGCAACGGAAGAACATGCAGCTTTGGCGCTGGAAGTGGATTTCAGAGTCCGACATCTATGGAAACATAGATTACCAAAGAAGATGGATGTCAGATATGGAACCTTTACGGTGTGGCGAGCCGCCCCAGGACACCTTGCCAGCACTGATCAAGGCCATCTTGTGTCGGATCAAGGCATAGTGTAGACCGTACGTACATGACAACAATCAGCGTATTGCTGTCAAATCCACTCACAACTGTGGATCCGAGGACGGCGGCATCGAAAAAGGAGAACCTCAGCTCGGCGAGTCCACGAATTCGGTCTGCTTCTTTTGGGCAGAAACTTCCGCACGAGCCCGGGAAAGGTTGGCGGCCATGAATCCCTCGGAGAAATAGTAACCGGAGAGGGCCGCAGTGACTGCAGGCGAGGACGACAGGGTGTTTTGTGAGCGCTCCAACCAGATCGAGGCATCGACAAGCTGGGCGAACTTACGGACGCCAGCGAAAATGCTGCTATTCCTACTCAGTTTCCAAAGACGAGACGCTATATTGGCTGCGAATGTATTTGGTCAGAGAGACGGTGATATAGAAAACCTGTGAGTACGAACAACCCAGTAGACCGGATGTGAGACCCGCGAACGCTCCATTGATACGAGCATCCTGGTACATGTCAACGACGACTCGTATCACGATATAGGAGATGTCCTACTCTTTTCACATTTGCAACGACATCTGGAGGCAAGTCGTTTGCTGGGCCAGGTATCGAACCTGGTTGTAGTCGAAAAGAAGACATGGGAGACGAGCGAGTGAAGCGAGCAAGGGGAAGCGTGACGGTTGACGCGTCCAGTCACGAAGTGTCACCAGGCCCTAGCGTGACAAAGCTTCGCCACTTTCTTTGCCACATTCAAGTTACGCAGCGCGGCGAACGTCGAGCTCTCACCGCCATGTCCGCGAAGAAACGGAGAACACAGGATATTCCTGACTTCCAGGGAACGTATCACGCTATACAGGGTGAGTTTGTCCATTACAACATATGTAATAATCGACTGACTGATAGCGATTCCAGATATTCTCGTCAGCATCAAGCCAAACCTTAACAAACGTATCTCAGACGCAGACGAGACTCTGCTTGCCCCACTCGATGATATTGCGGTTCTATGCGAGAAATTCCTTCTCGAACGCCCACGAAGTAAGGAATTGGCGCAGTTCACAGACGCGCTCGATCGAGAAGGTGTGCTATTCCACTCGCCCTAATAGACGTCGGTCCTTACGCGTGTGTGAGGTACGGAGCTTTGGAACGCCTCTGGCACCGTCAAATCTGGCGCTGGTGGCAGATCGAATTCCATCTGTGCTGCTCGTGAGTCTGTTCCCCATTGGTCGGTCAAACTCGAAAGCTTATCCACCGAAATGCATGCCAGTCAGATTATGTGGCTTTCGTCTCCTGCAGGCCGGAATGCCCTCTAAGCCTGATATTGATGGTGAGCGCATTGTTCTAAGACTTTCGGAGATGGCTAATAACTCTGGGCTAGGCTTGATTCACATGTTGCAGTTAGCCAGCAAGACAGGCGCCTTTCAGGCAGGTGAGTACCTCGCTCTCGGTCGTATACACGCACACGTTCTTCGTGCGCCTGGCATCCTGATGGAAATCCTGTGACGGTCAGATATGGGCAAATTTGAAGTAGCTGCCAGTGTACTAGGCTCTGCTGCCAAGGTTCGTGCATCCTTCAACTGCGCGAAATAGTGCCTGTACCAATCATCAGATATGACAGTATGAAGAACAACTACGGCACGCCAGTGATCCACAAGATTTATATCAACGGCCGAAAGCGCTTGCGACTGTGGTTTACTATTGCAGCAGGATGGAAGCTGTGCGTATGGCACGGGCTTTTCATCAGGCTGGCTACGTATCATTGACGCTGCGAAATTCCGGCCAGGCATGGAAAGAGGGCAACGACAGTCTCGCACGATATATGCTTCAGTACATCACTGGTGGGGTCGACACGTCGTTTCCTCCAAATGTGCCGCACTCATCATATGATGATCTAGAGAACGATAGTGAGCGGCTCGCCCTGATACCCGTGCGCGACGTAAGTACATTGTATGTCCCACCATTTCGGAGCCAGAAAGTTGACTAGATTCGCTCTAGCGCATGTCCGTCGCGTCGAAGCTGTTGGAGATAGGAAGATCATTGTTGTCGAGCGACGGTCACCGCGAGGAAGGCTTGGAGCCCGGAAAAGCATTCTCTCTTCAGGCTGTGGAATGGCTCCAAAAGGCTTTCACTGTGGCCGAACCTCTGGAAGACATGGAAACACCTGGCTCAGCAGAAGTCAAGGTAAGGGTTCAGTGCTCCGAGTCCGTAACTGGTTACTGAAACACGGTGCTCCATAGAGAGCCATCTTAAGAAATCTATGTATGTTATATTGCCTCCGTGATTCGTGGAACAGAACTTCTTGCTGACCATCACATCGCATAGCCCGCGCATATGTCTTGTCATCGTCTCATGATCCCGAAAACCTCCTTCGCGCCGAAACGTCGCTGAAGGAACTACTCGCAGTCGTCGATGGCGTCAGCAGCGATGTAAGAATAGACATCTCCTGCACCTCGACTCACCTCATTCGTCTCCATCCTTCCATTAGACGGGCGCGGAGTTACAAGAAGTACGATGGTGGCAGTTGGAGGTCCTTAAGCGGAGGGGAGCCGCCGCCGACGCCTTGTACGATGGTAAGAACATTCGTTTCGTTGCGATGTGTGAGTTTGACTAAGCATATCACCATTGACCATGTTTTCCCAGTGATACGGTCTCTCATCGATCATATGCAGTTCACAGAAGAAAGCTTGACTAGGTCCGAGTCTCCACCTTGTTATCCTCGGACCAGGCACACTTAACGGCTCCCATGAAGCGTTCTCCAGGAACTCAGAATGCTACCTCAACACCAGTACGTATTCGGCTGACTTGTCGGAGATTGATGCTCAAGGGATGGCATGATGAACAGGGTCCTCCTTGTGTCAGTCTTGAAACAATGCCTGGAAAAGGCTCTCAAAGTTACCGATCCGACGAGCTTGCCATTAGTCAACCGCGTTCTCTTGTCCACGATCTATCAATGCTCCCGGGATGAAGATCATGACAGAGCTATTCGGGATCTCCAGTCGGCTTTTGACGGTGGCGTGTTCTCTGTTCTCACAAGGTCCGTATTCTTCTGACGTCTATTTCGTCCACAGCTTCACTTTCCGCCGATGTTGAACTCCCGAGGGTTCCCGCGACATCGTGCTTGACTGTGGGTGTACCCTAATTAAGCTTGTTCGGATGTGCTCGGTCTCAACCGCCCTTGCTGCATAGCTTCTGTGGCAATTCGGTGAACGCCACTTCGGTATTCAACATTACGCAGAAGCTGCAGACTGGTACCTCTCGGGAACGCACCAAATTTTCAAGCTCAGTCGAGCTACAATGGGCAAGTGTTACCGTAAAGCAGCTTTGTGCTACATCCAGCAACAAGAATACGCAAAAGCATCCGAGATAATTCGCCAATGCCCAGGAGACGAAGCGCCCACCCATTATCTCTCACTGCTCGCCGCTATCAAACAAGGTGAGGGCATCAGACCCGAGCATGGCAGCCTCAGTTCTGTACAACAAAACTAATATCGCACTCTTCCGAGAAGGTTTGGAAGATGAAGGTGACTGTCAAGAACTCCATCGTTTTCCGGCTCGCTTTACTGATCTTGCTGTAGCTATAGCCGCAGTGAAACAGATGGTCCAGGCCACACACTTCGACCGCAAGATGTTACTTCTTGTCACGCGGCTCGCTCACGAATCCGACCTGCAAGGACTCCTCCACTCCGTTCTGGAGGAGTTACTGACTGCCGTGCTAGAGCAAGAAGGGTTCGATGGCGATGTGGAAGCCATTACCCTCATTCGCTGCTTAATCCGATTGGTCGTAATATTCATCAGCGATCCGAACACACGCAAGTGAGGTCTCGCCATTTCAGTCAGTAGAAGAAGAGGCCCCTAACGTTGCTTTCAAACCAAGGGAAAGCCTTATCGATGCCCTCATCCAGCACTTCATGACCGGTAAGGCCAAGACGTTTTAGGTCTCGTGTCCTCGCTGATAAGCGTTTCACCCCAGCAAAAACATTGGTCAAAACGGCCTGCGCGCAAAACCGAGCGCCTCTGGTGATTAAAGACATCTCGTGGTTGTGGCGCAGCGCATACAACTGTGCCGTCCAAGGATGCTCAGAATGGGCTAATGCCGAAGAGAAAACGCCTATGCTGTTTGATTTGTCCAGGGAGGTTCGTACAGGGCCCCTGCTAGCACCGGGCCACCAGGTGCTAACTCTTTGCTAACAGCTCCTGGAAGTTTACCGCGAGGCCGCAGTGGTCGAATTGGATGAAACTAGTCATCTCTGTATTGTTTACGGCTCCTTCGCCTCTGTATCTGGGAGAGGTGAGCATCGGACCGATCTCCAATACAGAAAATGAGGGTGAAGCTCACTTCAGTTTGACGTGTAGTGTTTGCAATTCGCAAGACTCTTGCAGAGCCAGCACCGGGTCAGGTATGCATTGCCTGTTTCTTGATTTCTTCCGGTCCCTGACTAGACGTGTCGGGCATGTAGACCGAGAGACTGAAGTCATTAGCCGTTGAGATCCAGGAATGCGACCACAGGATTCGTTCCATCCTAATGGTGACATCGCTTTCAGAAGAGAAAACGCTCTCCGTCCAGACATGCCTTCATGCTTTGGTCGTCTTCGAAGCCGAAATCTCATGCTACCTCAAGGACTGGGGCCGCCTTCCTCACATTATCACCGTGCGCAACGTTTGAATTGCCCTACTGTGAAATCAGGGGCTTACCCTTTCTTCTCAAGCGGGCCATACGCTCAGAGCCCATCCCCATGGATGCCGTCGAGACGGTCACAGATATGCTCGTATGTACTCACATCCTGGTTATTGTGCGTGCTTAACGCCACTTGACAGTGGGCGGAGAAAAGGTGCCCCGTCGATGGTAAGCGCATGGATATACGCCCTAGCGATAGACTCATCTAACACGCTTTGACAGTTCTCTTCACTGGCCTAGAGGCAGGTGGTCCATTCTACTGCATGCGTAGTCGCTCACCTTTTACGCTTTCGCGTCGGTTGTTCGCTGCAGGCCATCCTCCGTGCGAGTCTCGACCATAATTCTCTGTCGGTCGAAAAATTCTCTCGATGGCTCCGAGCAACGTGCAGCATCCTTTTGTCTCGCAATACCGCTCCGGATCGTACTAGGGTCATCAATTACATCGAACAGGCGATTACCGTCTTGGATGAGCATGGCGATATGTCCGACGATGACGGCGAGGTGCGCCACGCTGTCCACCCAAGTCTTCTCTCAACTCACACTCATCCTGCGTCAGGTATACCCCATGGACGAACGTTACTGGCTATTGACCACGGCATATAACAACGGTCTCGAATGTTTGCAGTGAGTCTTTGACCTATTATTGCGTGTGTTCGATCGTTATCCTGATCTACGTGTCTTTGCCACGCCTAGCATGTCCATGCTCGATGATGCTAAACGATGGTTCGAGGCCAGTACCGTTATTTGTAGGTTTGTTCCTGACGGCGAGAGGCAGGCGCAGAAGGTATGTCGTCAATGCCCACGAGGTCTGTACTCACACGTTGACAACGATCCCTCTTATGACCCAGATCTCCGAAACCTACGCTCAGCTTCTCAACCGCTATTCTTCCTCGTCCTCGTGAACGGTCTCGATTTGCTCGCTCTGCTCTGTCTGCTGTGTTCCTTGTGCTATGTTTCTGGTCCTTGTCTTGTATCCGTAACCCTCTCTGGACTCGATCTGCTAACGCCTTTCGGTCTAATTCGTGTTCGCTGTTCGCGTTTCTTGCTGTATCTGCTACGACCCTCTGCTTGGACTCGCTTGCTGGTTGTATCCCCGATTGAGTTTCTCTGTCTTTGTAGCTCCCATGATACCTGGCACCCGTCCAAATGTATGCTGGCTCACCCACTTAGTTATTGCAATTAATTATCTTGCCCATGTTGCGTCACGCCAGACCCCGATCATACGACAGCCGTGTTCGCAGTCTCATAGCATATTGAGAAGGCCGTAGAGCACTACAGCCTGATGGCATACATACGTTGGGGTTGTAAGTAGATTTAGTGCAGATCTCATCCCATGGTCATGATGGCGCAAAGTCCTTGAGATGATAGAGCAGCACACGCCCGCGATTGTTCCCAACGGCGACGTACTCGCTTCCGGCGGAGAAATCGATGCTTGTGACGTGACCGAGAGGTGTGCTTGACGTTGGCCAGTTTGAGAAGGCCGTCATGCTCGGAAGATGTATCTGCAAATATAACGGTGTCAGCAGATCGATCGAGGGTGAGTAGCAGGGTTGGTGTAGGAGATGGGGTATTCATAGGGTGAGGGAACAAAGATGAGGACATAAAGACGTACGAGACGCATTTGGTCTTTTTTGGTGTTGCTGGCGATGGCGAGTAGTTGGGAGTCGTGGTTGAATCGAGCGGAAGTAATCGATGTGGTGAGATTGCCTATCGCTTTGAGAGGTTTTGGACGAAGGGACGACGACGAGTTTGTGGCATCTGAGCCGTACACGTTCACAATACCTGATTTCGACCTACGAAAGACCTATCAGTCAATGGACATCTTGGAAGCGAGAGAGATAAAATAAATAAATAAAAAAGAAGAAAAATATACACACCCGACGGCGACATAATTCCCCGCCCGATCGCCAGACATCACTTTACTCCCAAACCCACCCTCATCCTTCCACCTCCTCAGACACCTCCTCTCACCCACATCCCACACATAAATCTCCGCATCCTCTCCCAGCGTCATCAGCTCCCGGCCTCCCCCAGCTCCTCTCGACCACCACATCGCCTTCACCCCCGCATTCGCCTTCACACTTCCAACGACTTGTCCCGACCCGGCCTTCCAGTCCACTAAGTGCACGTAGCCACGTCTTCCGGCGACGGCGAGGACGTCGCCTGTGGGGTTGAATGAACAGACCTCCATGCTGAGGTCTTGGGAGGCGGTGTTGGTGGAGTTGAAGGTGGTGCCCCAGAGACCGCGGGGGGATTTGAGGGTCGCACCGGATTGGAGGTCGTGTGTGTAGTAGAAGGGACGGGGGCCGGTGAGGAGGATAGAGGAGCCTGTGGGGTGGAATTGGGCGGTGGTGACGGGGAGGGAGGGGATGTGTAGTGTTTGTAGGTGTGGATTTGTGTGGCCGTCAATCTGAACAGCGATAATCCGCAAAAAAAAAATTAGTGAGATGTCGAGGTTAATTATGAACAAGATAAGTGAAATCGTACGTTGAAGAGTCGTATTCGTCTATCTGCGCTGGCGGTCAAAAGAACGGGCACTTGAGGTGAGGGGTGAAACTGAATGGCCTTGATCTCTCCTTCTGCCTGCGCTGCCTGGTTCGCATCCCTCAACCTCTCAATATTCAACACGCCCGCCTCTAGCTTTCCGCTCTTCTTCTCGCCAAGTATGCCACCCGACGAAGCATACAATTCATCCGCCTCTTCCTCCACATCCATATCCTCGTCCTCATCCTCGCCATCAAGCCTTCTCCTCTTCCCCTTTGCGCCCTTCTTCCTCGCGTCAACAGCCCAGTCCGGGGTAGGATTGATCTTCTCGTATTGTCGGCGCAAACGACGTTCGTATTCGCGTCCGCCGACGCTATCCTCGGAGGGTGCGTCGCGGAGTTTGAGTGTGCGGTGGGATGAGGTGAGAGAGATTTTGAGAGTACTGTCGTCGGGATCTGTCCATGCTGGGGCCTTGCGGCTTTTTCGGAGGGTTGCGAGTGGGTCAGATGTAGGTTTTGTGGGAGGTTGTGCTGGTTCGTCGGCGTCAGATTCTGAGTCGGAGGATTTTGAGGCATCCTCTTCCGCATCGTCCTCTTCATCATCTTCGTCTGTCCCAGGTTCAACACTATCTTCTGGAATATCGAGCTCGGCGTCCAGCTCTGATGTATAGTTTGGCTTAGGAGCGTCACCAGTATCTACGAAGAATAGCTGATATCGTCGCCACAGTGTGGTCAGAAACGTGTTGCGCCTGAGAACTTTCAAAAACCTACATCGTTATCCAAAAGACCCTCGAGCTCCCTGCCTGCGTCCTCTCCAATATCATGCTCCTCATCATCGTCTACAACAATGAGATCCTTCGGACCTTTACCCTTGCCGGATGGGACGAACGGTATCCCAAACAGCATGCTCTCCAGCCTGCGCTCTTCATCGTCTTTGGTTGCATCGTCAGTGAGCAAAGTTTGAGCACCTAAAGGCTGAGAGTAGTTTTCAGAGCCTTTGTCCGTCCGCTGGCGTTTGCGGGAGTGTTTAGGCATTTTAAGATGAGGAGGCGTCGAAATCAAAACGGTGAAGTCGGGGCTGGCTTGACGAGAAATGATGGTAAAGTTTGTGTGGCTCGATTTAGAAATAAAGATACCATAATCGGTCAATTTTCCCAGCACGTGGGGAGCGCGTCTCGCGTTCCACCGTCGCGCTCAGCGCTCGCCGTGGTTCGTTTTTATCTTCTGCGAGCCCGCCGCCGAATGATGGATGATTGACGCGCCCCTGCGCTACTTATCCATGTTTCAGAAAGGCATCACTGTCGCGTATATTCTCAGCACGGCAGAGTAACGGCCCGTCAAGTCGACTTTTTGAAAGGTGTCGGAGGCCGAATATATGTTGATAGATAGAGACGTCAATTGGATCTTCGCTGCAAGTCAGATGTCTCAACGCTCTTGGCCTTCCCTGATCATGGATTTATTCAGAAGTAGGCTAGCACGGCGTTGAGAACGGTCCGTATATTGCGGAGGCGTAGCGCTTGCTGGTCCTCGTTACGAGTAAGAATCGTGAAACACCTTCAAGCAGCGCCGCCAGCCAGCGTTTCAATATTTTTATCATCAAGTGGGGATATTTTGGGTAAAACAAACGGTGCGACGCGAATTGTCGGAGGGGCCGAGATTGTCGTCTGCCGCCTCGGTACAAGTAGTGTTTGCAATTTCTGCCCCCTGACGACATGTGGTCCCCCAACTCATCCGGAGACAAGGCTAACTCTGGCTCTTTATCACCTAGTACGGTCGACGACAGTGATCAGGTCACCTATCGACCTTCGTCGCATCAGTCAAGCCCTCCGGCGGTCTTACCCGGCTGCGAACGCGACTGACAGTGACATCTGGTATGGTCCTGTCAGGCGTCATCTAAAATAGCTCTCAATCAATGGCCTTCTTTCCGATTCACTGCGGCAGCCATCTAGCCTGTGGTGATGTCTCGGTTCATATGTATGGAGAAAATAAAAGATGTCCCTTCCGACCTGCGAGTTCAATGGGACAATTCCATAAGGGTGCACGGAACAGGACCACACAAGGCCTCAGGCACCGTCGACTCATCGTCAGTGTCGCTGTCGATCAGCGCTGGATAGTCTGAAGTACTAAGTAGTGCCAACAAGCGCAAGACGGGAAGGAAGGTATAAGCCGCTCAGAGGCAGATCTAAAACAGTTTGCAAAGCCCTCCTACTCCATGCTAACTGATGGCTAACGGTAACTTGAACAGTTGCAGCAGCCACAGGGTCTCCCGACGTGTCTCGCACCAATCTCGCGCGTCAGCATTGATTAGCGGGAGTTAGCATTGGCGCACTGGACTTGGCCCTACTTGGCCATCTTTCTGTGTCGCAACTTCGTCGCCTCTGGACTACCAGTATCCTCCCTTACGCTCCGCTCGCCCATCGTTTACCGGAGCCCTTGCCGGCCCCACTCCTATTTCTTCGCAATAATCATCTACGTGCACGCTTCTACTTGTAATCTTAAAGTTATCGTAGACTCGAAGAAAGAGGAGGACGCGGGGAAAAGGCAGGGAGGATCGGTATTCAGGTTTCTGCTTTGCCCCCGTACGTTTGTTTAAGAGGATCGAGCCATCTTTAACTATCAACAATCGCTCTCCTTCCGCGCGTTTGGAACCCGCGACATATTCCGACCTTTGCCCTGATCCTTCAAGTTGTAAGTCATTCTTTCATCACCCACTTTCTTTATTCAAACAACAGGACATCTGAGCGGCTGGCAAGCGTCTCAACGCAGTCGTCAAGATGGGCTGGAAGTCTTCTGTTGCTTTGAACACCCTTGTCCCGATGCTGACCAACCATCATTTGTTATCTCTATGTGCTCTGAAAGGATTTGTATATGGTGCATTTGGTGCTGCATGCGTGAGTGCGATTTTCCTTCTGCCTTAAGCTTTCCTGTCGGTTGCTCGTTGCCTGCTTTCCTTCTCGTGGCGTTTGGTGGCGCTCTGTGGCGTTTGTTTTAGCTTTTTCTTTTCCTTCATGGTGGTTTCAGGTCGGTGGGGCTGATACGAGGTCGATTGGACGCTGACGTTGTGGTGATTCGTAGGCCGGCGATCACACTGCATAATCCCCTGGACTTCACGGACCCTCAGTCGCTTTCGACGACGAGATGCCTGACCGCGGCTCGCGCTATCCTGACGCAGCATTACACGCTCATCGCCACCTCATTCGATATCACACGGCTGCATCCGTTCGCCACGTACCATGCATTGCATCCCGGCGAAATCAACTTCATACCACAGTGTGTTGCTGACGTGATTAGGTGTTTTATTGTTTGCGTCGTTGGCGGTGTAGATATGCTGATATCTCGCCGCTGTGGTGCAGATTCAACTGTGTAAGTATTTCATTGAGATTGGGAACACGGAGAGGGAGTATGGCGTTTGGGGAGAGATCAACGTACTTCGGTACGTTTTGATATTTTGCCCGTCACTAGACTTCGTTCGTTTACTCACTTCACCTCTTTTCTACTCGCGACCATAGATTCGCCATGACTGAACACGGCAAACGCTCGCCCATCGGGAGTAAGCATCCCTTCCCATTCTTTCTTCCACCGTCTGCTGCCCTCATAACATCTGACTCTCCCTCCCCACCTCCTTCCCAGCCCGCCGAGAAAAACTCCTTCAAGGACTGATGGCCAAAATAGTAAGAATGACGACCCAACAACAGCCCCTCGAAGTAGGAATCCCGCTCTTTCTCGCACGCCGGCGTCTTCAAAAAATCGGCCTCGGGGTCCGGAGGGGCGGGTGGACATGGAGGGGTCGATGCGTTTGACCCTCTGTTCAATCCCGGACTACAGAAACTTGCGTCGGCATTGTCCCGATCCAATCTACCTCCACCCAACCTCGACCTTATGTTTCGCAGTCTTGAGGCCATACCAAAAGCGAATAGGTCTCTCCTCGCAGTACGTACACACTCTTCACGTCAGCACCCCGGTCTCTCATCATATCTCTATTCAGCGTCTCGAAGAAATCAGTACAAATCCTTCGTCACCGAAAGCACTCGGAGACCAGATAATGCGATAGGTATAGCATCCTCACCCCATCCTTGCGTTTCCTTCTTCCTCATACCCTACCTTACTCCCTGCCGTAGATCGACGAACTCGAGCCGCCCTACACAGCCTATTGTGAACGCCTCTGCTCTGGCTTTGGTACCTGGGATTCGGTCAGATCAAATGATTGCCTTCCTACCATGCCATGCCCGCCTCTTTCTCCGTCGCCAGCCTTCTTCCAATCCCTCCGACAGGTCCCGCTCACCCTGCAGGACCATGGACGGTCGAGAACATTGCCCCCTCCGATAGAGACAGAGGATGAGGTCGTGATTGGAGGCTCGTGTCGCGGGTCGCATAATGGACATGGTGTCACACTACCACCTCCGCCGAGACCCGACCTTGCGCACGGAAGCGATTCTAGCTCGGCTCGTGGTTCCAATTCATCAATCCCGTGCATATTCATCCACTCTTGGTCGTTATTCTCTGGTTACCATTGATTGAGCGGTCATAGGGTGAGGTCGTCTGCGGATACGGGGAACACGTCTCTTCATGCTCGATCAGAACACGGCGTTCTTTCAATACCCATCTCTGATCTCGAACGCCGTTTGAGCACCGACCGATGCTTGGATATCTTCATAATGAAACCAAAGGTAGTTCATTCCTTCGCGGCTCCATGTCCCTTCCGTTCTCTGACTTCTGAGATGCGAAACAGCAAGTGAAGCTTCAGATCCGCCTTCGCTCTCTTGAAAGAGAGAAATGAGGGTTTCAGCGGTGACCTATATTCGCTTCGTGCCGCGTTCGACAGGCATAGAGGTTTCGCATCCTTGCGGGCGCATCTTCATCTTGTCAGACTTGTTCCTCACAAGCGAGCTGACACCCAGTCACGAGAGAAATCCAGACGCGGGTATGTGGCTCTTGTATCCTCCATTAACGGAGAAACATCTCAAGGTCGCGGCCGTTGACGGTCAACGTCGGTGGCTGTCTCTGCTTCCCCAATCTCTAAAAGGCTGTTGCTCAAAAGATTTTTCTTGAACAAAGGACAACGCTGTGCAGGTCACCATCGTGCGCAAGGAGAAATCGATATTCGAGTTTGAGTCTCAGCAAGTGAGAGATAGAGTGATGTCAGAGTTTTTAGAATGTATCGAGTTCGCCACTGCCAGTAGTAAGCGAAGCCAGTTCAAACTATGATTAGCGCTGACTCACTTCTTCCTTCCATCTTCCTATCCTCCATCCTAGTTGTTCCTTCGAGTAAACACCCCGTGTCATCGCTTCCTAACCTTAACGACCTTCCAAAATCTCCATCCGCACCTCCGGGTCCACCTCGAGAACCGCCACCTTCTTCCAGTTCCACACCAGATTTCCACTCTAGCAACAGCATAGCCGAAGCCCGGCACCACATCCAGACGGGGCCACCTCTCCGGTCACCAGTCTCCTCATGAGCGCTTTTCAAAATGCGAGGATCGAGTTGAGTCGGGACTCTGATCCAGTCCCACATAGCGGCGAAGGGACACCAATGTCTTCTCGTCCTGGTCGCGACTCATCGAAGCTGTCGTCGAGGAATAGGAATAGGAGGTGGAGGAGGTGGAGGAGGTGGACCGGAAGTTATGCAGCGGCATCATGGGCTCTCCTTCTTTTCCCTCGCCAAAATCTGTCCATGACACCTAGCGACTCTTGTGTCGGACGTTTGGGCTTGCAAATGACAGATGTGGTCTTGACGGCACAAGTTGTGCTCCGTTGCTTGTCCAGTGTGACTGTGTGCCTCGGTCGTTCTGCAGAACCCGCGCATGGTGGGGGGAGGCAGACAGACAGAGCGGTACCATTGATAGTGGGCGCCGGTAAGGATGATGACTGAACATATCGGGAAGATACATGCATCTGTGCGGCTGCACTGTTCTCTTTCAGTCAACATTTTCTGTTCCAATACGCTGACTGACTTGTTACCAACAGTGGCCTCTATGGTGATTCGATTCCGTTGGAGGGTGTGGGACCATCAGCCTGCCCGGAAGCTTCACGGACATCTTCTCACGCATAGCCAGGGGACTTACATCCATTGGGTTTCCTATCGTTCTGGCCCTCTCGTACCGTGTCCCTCTATCTTCTGCTCTCATACTGTATAGTGACCTGCGCAACTTTGCACTGTCATGCCCTCACATACGGCCCAACACCCGTGAGTTATACCCACAGATACCTCGAGCCATATCTGCATGATAGCGTTATGAAAGACGTCAGTATAGTCGAGATTCTTCAACGAAATAAAAAATATCCAAACATGGGTGATAAGATATGCAAAGCGACACATAAGATAGTGGCCCGGCCCGTGCCAATTGCCGATTGCCATTGAATTAAAACACCATAAAATCCCGAAAATATTAGTCTCTTGTTCACTTTCTCCACAAGTTTCGCAGGAGCATGTTTTGCACACCATGATGATCTGGAACAAAAAAATTGTGCTGCGCTACAAAACTCGCATTTTGGTAAATATTTTCTTGACATGACATGTGGACCTTCGAGAGGGGCCACAAAATCCTCGATGCAGGTAGTGTCTAGCCCCTGAGACCATCTCAGAGGACCGGACAGTCATACTGGGAAAGCTTCAACCATTTCGGAGGTGGCAGTGAGAGACGAGGCGACAGAATGTAAGTATAGTACACACAAGAGAACATCATATCATGCATGTTTCAGGGTTAGTACGAACGCAAGCCGGGCCCTCTCAGTCCTCAGCTAGTATGCTCAGGGGAGAGCATTATGAATAAACACACAGAAATCCGGAATGGCTGGAGAAGTGTAGATTATGAATGGTCGTGGCATTCAGAACGAGCATGGTCACTGCGTGGTCTGATACATGAAACATGAATCCACTGCTCTGTAAATGATGAACAGGGCTGCCAAATCCGGCAAAGTGCAGTGGCACCGTGGAACTGTGGCCAAAGCGTGGTTAGTTAAATATCGATATCCGAGATGCGTCACATAACTTCTGTGCAACATCATATCTCCTCCACACTATGAGAATTACTCTCGCAATATATGCCTGACTAGGCTGTCTGTGAATATTGAAACGAAGCCCAAGGTTGCCACAGTTGTGGCACAGTCGACGATCTATTGACTAGGAACATTAGGTAAGTACGCCTTGCAATGTCTTACCCTATGTCGTGACAAAACAGCAAGGTGGCACTCATGACACATTCATTGCGGCCTACCACCTTGATGGTCTGTGATTGCAAGGTATTCTCTTACGTCTCCAACATGCCTTGCTCAGCTTGGATTGCTTTCTTTCATGGAAGGAAGGTTGGTTTCCGTATCATCATCTAAGAATTCTCAGCAACCCCCAACACGTAGCGTCTCAGTACCCACGACTATTGTTTTCGGATGTGAATAACCCTTATTCATCTTGAAACCTCCTATTTGACCAATCTCTCTGTTCCCATGGGCTATTGTATCTTCACTTGTGATCTGCTATGTGTCGTGTCACTGGCCTATATAAGCTAACGTACCTGGCTTTGTCTTAGCAGAATCACACCGGCTTCTGCTGCACGATGTCCCTCACTCCCGAGCTCGATGATATAGTCTTGGACGAGAACGACGATGGCGAGGCTGGCCGTGCTAGTCATAGCATCATGAACCGGAATCCTACCGGAAAAAACCAGTATTCCTCTTGCCGTACGTCCCTCCGTCTATGAGTTTTTCGAGTTCTCCATGACACTTACTATGAGTGATATCTCCCTGCAAATACCATAGCACCTCCTAACGATCCAGCAGTCGCCGAGGCTCTCAAAGAGTATCATCGTCGTAACATCACTAATGCAGATACAATATCACAGCTTCTCTTGAAAGAACATGGAGTAGAGATGTCGTGAGCTTCCTTTAATGTTCTTGAGGGTCATTGGGTGGTGGCAGCTTAATCGTATGTACCACTGTGCGTATAGCGCGATCACCGTTCGCAGGCGCCGAAAGAACCTAGGTCTCATGGGGAGTGGTACCACAACGCGAACCATCCCCGACGGGCAGAAGCGTCAACTTATCTTTGATCAGATGGCCAAAGATCCCAGCCGAAACCGAGGTCCAGCAATGGTCAAGGAAGCCATTGCTAAAGATGAAGGTATCCACCTCACGCGGTAAGCCTATCCTGTGGAACCCTATGCAGAGAGTGTTTACGACCATTTTGTAAACTCATTACTATCTATATCTGTGTACAGCGATTACATCGCTGCTGAAATGCGCGCTCAAGACCCGGATGGCTTTGAGCACCGTGCACCTACCGCCAAGAAGATCCATCGTGAGCCTCTCAGCGTGCTGGGACCAAATCATGAGTGGTCCGGTGACGGACATGATAAGCTTGCAAAGATAGGGTTTCCTATCTGGGCCGTCAGAGATGTATGGTCTGGGAAGTGGCTAGGGCTCTGGGTCGTCCCAAACAACAGGTTGAAACGTGCTATCGGCTATCTCTACCTCTCCCTTGTTCATGATATGGGCGGTGCGTCCCCCTCTGGCATATTTTCAGCTCTCAGCAGATCCTGACGAAATCTTTGTTGGTTGTTTCATTTTCTAGGTATGCCTATTCAGTCCACTACCGACTGTGGTTCTGAAACAATCGAAGTATATGGTCTTGCAAATGCACTTCGGTGAGCATTCCCAGACCCATTGACTCAGACCTATTTCTGTTGTTATGAAGTCATCATCTCTGATATGTAACACCAGGGAGCTGTTCGCACCTGAGCTGGACCGGGAGGAACTACCAGCACATAGGTTCCTGCGAAGCATTCGTAACATCACGATCGAACGCGGATGGCTTCGCCTTCGTCTTCAATGGGGCGACAATATCAGAGTTTACTGGGATCAAGGCTATGCTGTCTATGATGAAAACAACCGAGACCATTAGTATGTCATTGCGCTTTGTATCTGGTCTTTGTGGCACACTTCTTCATGCATGAATAGTCTTTTGGTCCAGTGGCTGTGGCCCAAACTTATCCGGCAAGAACTTGACGAACTGAAGTCAAGGTTCAACGACCATAGAGTCCGTCGTGATTGGAAGAAGACGCATCCGTCGGGAGTATCACCAAACATTTCGTATTCCCTCCCAAAGACATATGGAGGACAAGAGAGTTTATTGCAACCGGTTGATAGAGCTGTGGTGCGCAAGCTCATGGAAGATCTCGGTGGAGAAGATCTCATAAGATTCGTATCAGTCGAGTTCGACGCACAAGCTCAGGAGGTGTTCGACACACTTGCGGTACCAAAGTTGTCTCTCGAAAATGTCTGGAATATTTTTAGTTTGATGCTTCCTCTCATGTTTGGACCACAGTAGATAATACGTAGTGTACAATTTACTTGTGTGCTACTTGTCTGGTTGAATAAAACTATCGCTTACTAGTGTGTACTTGAGAGGTAGATTGATTTTCATCGCTCACACTCATCAGCAAAATCACCCGTTCCTAAATTCTGCCTAAATCGGAAGACACGTCGAGCCGCGTAAGTCTGCCTAAATCTGCCTAAGTATCATTATGGGTCACCTCAAATGCAACCCCCGGGCTCTCTGTGTGTACTTCTTGATCCCCGACTGTTTATTGACGAAACCACTTGCATATATGGCTCCCTTGGGGTATGCATGTCAACATTGTTCTATTATCGATCTACTGTACGTACTCATACTAAGTACATTGGTAAGGATGCAAAAGTCCGTGAATGAAAAGTCAACAGCATAACAAAAGATGCTGGGGCCTGAATCGAACGTATGATGGCCCAAAAAGACCGTAAGTAAACCAGACGCGGCAGGAGATTTGCATGCATGAAATAAAGCTGTCCACAAAAACGACGTGCCTCGCCTAGTCTACCGAAGTATACATCGTGCAGCCAGCTATCCTTCCAATTCCTTCGCCATATGCCTCCTGGTCCCTATTCAGCTTCCTCTGCACCCTCCGTCCCCTCGTCCTCTTGGGGAACCACTCGCGCTCGAACGGAACTGCGTGTCCAAATGGCGTAGTGCTTCTGGGGCATATGCATTTGAACAGTACTAGCCCTGTTACGAAGAAAGAAGATCCAGTAACAATAACATGGTAGGGAAAAAGGGAACGATACACACATTGCGGCAGACTCAACGAGCTCTGAGGTGGATGTGTTTGTGTGCGATTGCGATTGTGACGAGACTTCGGTCTTCTTGCAACGGCCTGCGAAGACGGGGTGGAGGTGAGAGCTGACAGCGGATGAGGATAGTGGCTGGGGAGGGGGGACAACGACGGTGGATGAAGATGGCAGATGAGGAGCTAATGACGGTGATGAAGATGGAGTATGCCCCGTCACATGGGACGGTGTGTGATCGATATTGGGCTGGCCACCATCGGTGGTGGAGGGCTTACGGCCAGCTGGGTAGTAGAAGAGTCCTTATCCTTGGCTTGTGGACCACAGTCGTAGATATCGGTGCGAAGGGACGGCTGCGATGAGCGGAGTTGTCCTCGAACTCTGCGGATGGCTCAAAGTTGGGTCTCTTGACTGAGGCAGGGTTGTAGGAGATGGGAGTGTGTCGGTCAAGGGAGAAGGTAGCTGGGTTCGGTTCCGGGCGGGTGTATTGGTTCACTTCCCGGGTGCGCTCCTTCTTGGCGGGGTGCTTGCAGATGATGTCGGTTGAGTGGTTGTGTTTGAAGCTGGGAGTCTCGAGCTCTTCGATGCTCCTACAAGCAGAGCGATGAGTGGCGTGGGGTGGCGAGGGGGTGGCGGACAAGAGGGGGTTAACGGGGAAAGAGAAGGAAGGACGATCGATATGGAGAGGCACTCACCTGCCCTTCTCCTTGTCGAGCTTGTCGCTCATGTGTTTTGGGAGGTTCTTGAACTCGCACCATTGCCGGTATCGATGATGAGGTTTTCAAGCCGTTGGCTTGACTCAATGAAGCAGACAATCTTCATAGCACGAAGATGTTACAGAATGGTTGACCGTCCCCTGAGGCTTGACGGATACATTCAATAAAAAGAAATGAACGTACGAATGGTTTACATATCCGCCATTGTCACGAACCCATGCAGCACAGCCTTCACAGCCAGGACTTCAGCACTTGACGACTCATGCTCCCTCCTCCCTGGTTCTCTCTCCGACTCCGAGTCTTGACGTGATGATTCGGTGAATACGTCGGGCACACCAAATGCGCTACCGCAGCCGGGCATGTCGTTGATCATGCGGGAGGAGAGATCGGAATGGGCGTGGATGAGTTGGCAGCAACGTCGAGGAAGGGATGACGGGTGCTAGGCCACTGGTCACGCAGCTGGCCATTGTATCCACTGGGAGAAAAAAAAGCCGATGGAGTCGATGGGGAGGTGCTGGTGAGAGATTTTGAGGCAGTTGAGTGTACGATGGAGGTTGGTGGGAGACGAAGAAAAAGTTGCAAGGCGCGTTGTTGCCACAAGTTGAACCACATGTTTGTTTGGCCCTGTTTGGCCTGTGTTGACTTACGCGTCGCGCGCGACTTTGTCCCTCTCCGCCCTTCCTCGCTCGCACCGCACACCCTCACCATATCCACATCCTCCTTTTCTCGCTCACCCTCGCTATCCCCACCTCTTCTTTTTCTTCTGCATCTTTGCCTCGCTCTTCGTCCCTAGTGCTTCGGCAGCCTTCCAGAGCAACTAGTCACTGTCGTCGACATTCACAGTCGTCCTCTCGCCACCCTCTCACCTTCTGCTCTTCTTCCTCCCCCTTGTTCCCCACTGCATTTATATTCTCTCTTATTCATTTGCTCTCCCGCTTTGGTCTCGATTCCTTGTCTACGTGGTGCTCGCTCGCCCACACGCAACCCCTCGCGCACCCGCACACCCGCACCCACACTCATTCGGTGAAGTGGATAGTGGATGGGAGGGATGTTGGTCGATGAAATTGCAGGTTATGATGTTGACAAGGTGCGCATATAGTCCTCCCTACATACCATCTGTAACACACTCATTAATCTCGTCGCTTCTGTCTTCCTTTACAATTGGCTTGTTCACCTTCGCCCTCTCTTCATCACTCCTTCATCGTCACTCAACGATAGCCACAGCCAGCACAGCTGTCATAACAACCCCATCAATCATATGCTCCAGGACTCGGTGGCAATAGCTCGTTGTAGGCCCACATCCAGAGCAGCATCGGGAGGAGCGTCAACGGGAAGCGTATATGCTTACCCCCGCCTCCATCCGAGTACTTCCCCATCTCACTTTCTCAACGTATGTCTCTTCAACGGTTAGTTCTGTTTCCGATCAGTTAGAGGTTGACGATGTTCCGGAAACTATCCACAGCAATGCCGTCAGGAGTGCCGTTTTCCCCCTCTGAGAGCCTGACAGCATCTGGGCAAGTCACCTGGGCCGCTACAGACCATTGTCTTTTCCTTTTACGACCTCGACCTCCGCCATGCAAAGAGTGCGATGTGCTTGCTCAGTGCGAGGAGTAGTTCCTCGCATGCTCAGCTTTTCACCGCAGCCGCCTCATTTCCGCTCTTCCTACTCTTCCTCCTCTATCTCTCCCGCCGGTATGACGATGTCTGACACTTCTGACACCAGACCTGTCAATTGCTGGTAGGCTCGCGATGAAACTCGATACTTTTTCCTTAGGTCGTTTAATGGTCTCTTAGCATAGATATTTTACGATTTCCCTGGGTACGACACGGCTCCTGAATACAGTATATACAATACAGGTCTTGTCCTCTGATTCTCTCTTGTATTCGTTCAGCGCACCGCCCTTGGCTTCGCCGGTGTGATATAAATGTGCTGATTTGACAGAGAGAAAGCCGCGTAGCTTTCTACTTCAATTTCTCATATCCATCTCTTTCAGACTACCAATAATTATCGCTTTAGACCCTCAAGCATCACTAATCAATCAACCATACCTGAAAAATATGTCGTGCTCCACCCAACTCTGCCCTGACAATAGAGTTGCAAAGTCAGTGCAAGAGCCCAGCTGGAACATGTTCGAACACATTGGCCGTTTCGTGGTCTTCGTGACCAAGAGGTGGGCGGAATTGCAATTCCAGACATGGGAAGGTCCTCGGCTATTTGATTCCCACGGGGGGAGGTTGTCGTAACGTTGCCCTAAAAGGCAGGTTCGAGCAATGCGAGCGGCGGTGCAGACGCGCATGAAGCTGAGTGGCACTGTGTTGTTTGTGAGTCTGGAGAGCCGTTTATGAGCATTTCAGCTCATTTAACAGCTCAGAGCGAGTGCTTTTTGATGCAGGAAACCAAGATTGAAGTCCTCAAAGGATACTTCTGCATGAAATGATGATCATACCACAGAACGGTGCGGGCCACAATGGCGCTCTCGGATCGGCCACGCAGCCCAAAATGGTAATTCAGAAGGCACGTTACGACAACCCCCCCCTCGTGAGAATTCAGTAGCCGAATGTCCGAGCTGTGTGCCGGATTCCAATTCCGCCCACCTCTTGTTCGTGACACATTGCGCTACAGATTTCAAATGGCCGACTAATCCCAGTGCCCTTGCGCGAAGCCCAGAGAAGTACGAAGAATATAAAACACAGGAAAGAACTACAACAGGAACTGCCCTGCCGTACAGGCGTCCTAACAAGTCCAGCAAACGACTCTCCTGTTGCCGGTCAGTTTGGAGGCCGTAGAACTATGAGAAGAGTATTTAGCGTGCGCAGGTTTCTTTGAAATTAGATACATACCCTTGAGTGGGCTGCCAACTGAACAAAGAGAAGGGTAAGAATAAGGCAAGTATGAGAACATGACGTAGCCAACATACCGAACAACAAGAAACGGAAGCCTCCAAGGAAATAGAGAAATATTCACAAATCAAATGAACGCGCTGAACGGATTGTCAAAAAACGACAGCTGAAAATGGGAAGGAGAACATACTTGGAATTGGGAAAGCTTAGACCGTGTTTGTGTGCATTCTGAGGAGTCCATTGACAGAGTTGAATATCCGGTGCACACCGTAGGCAAAGCAAAAGCAGTAAAGCACAATCGCAACTCCCAGAAACCCAGCTTGTGTGCTAGTGATATCCTGCGGATAGAAGTCTCGACCCGAGGGCGAACCCCCTTGCAGTCTGTAGGAGTCCATGTGGAAGTGCCGCCGGTGGTGGTGACGATGTCAGTGCTGGTTTGAGTTCAAGTACTAGTGTGGCGAGGTAGCGTAGCGGTGTGAGTTCAAGTCGCTGGAGCTGATAGGAGGGCACATTTGTGAGCACTCAGAGAGTCACGACGGACTACGCAACAGTGTAATGTTTAGAACAGCAGCGGAGTCGGAGCAAGAGTGGAGTCACAGTGTTCCATACATGAGATTTGACAGGACCGTTTCGTTTATGCCGGGACGTCCCCATTAAACCGCAACGGTTCGAACTTCACGTGTTCCATGGAAAAACCCGAGGGCGCGTCGCGTCGTGCGCCATCAATTCCGATTCTCTCACCCTCTCTGTTCTCTGCCACCCTTCCGACATTGTTCCCTTTCACTCCACGCCACAAGACCCTCATATCCATCACGGTCGCCATAGTCGTTGTTACTAACGGCGGCGGGAGTCTCTCGCCATTCCGTACCCTCAGCTGAATCTACAAAAGCCCTGTGTGGCCAGCGCCTCTCCGCCGTCCGTCTTCGCCACCTTTCAAGACAGTCTGCTTCTTGCCACACTCACCTTCCTCCCTCCGTACGCCCGCCTTCAAACCCCCTTCTCCTACTCGCTGCACCGACTGCACTATCCAATTAGTGTGCGCACTCATCATTGGTGGCTCTCCTTTTTGGTCTCACCCTTTTGTGCCCCTCCTTGTCGTGTCGACCGTCCAATCTTCCTTGCGCAGCCCTCTCCTTTGTTATCATCTTTCCTCGCTATCCTACTGTGTAGCCCTGCTGTCATTCCAGTGTTATTCTGTATCTCTACATTCGTTTTTTTCTGGCGCCCACATTCATCGTGCTCTGTACCTCCACTCTACTCTGCACTCATCAAATACTGTCTTATCCTTCCATTGAGTCTAATGCCTACCCTGGCTCCGGTCCATGACTGCACTCTGGATGCTCTCGCTACTGTGGCACCAACAATTTCTGCAAAGTGCTTTGCTAAAGATCCCGGTATGCTTCTCGTCCTCCGCTGTTATACGTATGTGTTTTGTCTGACTACCTCCAGATGGCTGGATGGAAGGCATTGCGGAAGCTTTTGAACGGCTGTCAAGACCCAGACCACCTCACACTGTTGATAGTTCTGTTCTCCCCCTTCCGTCGTCGGGAATACAGCCCCGGGATCTTCACACACCTGAAGTACGTCCCTGCCTGTATCCTCCTATCGTTTCGTATAACTGCAAAATTGACACTATCCCTTAATTTAGCCACCAGATCTTGAACACAGTAACCTCCATCCCTTTGACAACAACACCGTTCAACATACCGTCAATGCTGAAGATCCCACGTCAAAATCACCGCTTTCACCAGCTACCCAGCCAACTACACATATACAAGGCATCGCGAAGAAGTCACGCATGTCCGAAAACATGGTGCCGCCTCCAAAATCTTCTGGACGTGGATGTACGTCTAATCCCGTTCTCTCTGAGACTCTCTACTCTAACTGTCTACTTCAGCGCAACCCTATTTCCGTGAAGACTCGACGCAACGCCGTCAAAAGCACTGTAGTCACGTGAAGACCGTGATCAATGCGGTTTGTATTGTCTACTATTCTTTCTGACCTTCCGCTTATGGATTATTGTGATGATAGTGCAACGGCCTCTGGACTACGTCTCGACCCTTTATATACCTATGGGTCGCAAGGTCCGTTTAATCTCTATTCTTTGGTGAAGGATACTCGCTGATCACTCATGTATTATTGGCAGACCAGAGTCAATTAATACCACTCAAGGAGTTCCCCACATCTACTCCTCGCCTACTTTTAACCATCCTAATCTGAAAAAGGTGACGGATAGGCTTGCCGCCGAGCTCGAGCGTGCGGTTCGTGAGCATGTTCGTGATCCAGGTTCCGAGCAGATCACTGGCATGCCGGTCGCCGATGCTGTAGCTTTGACCTATAGGAAGCAGGCTCAACATGACTCGCTTAGTGAACGAGAGGCAAGGCTTGCGGAGCGTGAGGCTGCTCTTGAGAAGGAGGTTGAGGAGTATCGCTGTCGCCTTCAAGAGACTCGTTAGTAGTCAGCTTATCCGCTTGAATTTGGCATTATCTACCATCTTATTGTTGCCTTACTGCATCCACTTTTCTTGGCCAAATAAACTCATACGACGCTTGTTCATTCTAATACTATGTGCAGTGAAGCCAAAATATCTGCACTAACCGAGTCGTTTCCGATATCGTCAAGCTCCGCTCAAAACTGTTTAGACTTATCGTTTTCATGCTCATTGAGAACCCGGTCCGTGTTCCCGTTCACCATCGCGGTTCAGCTCACACCCTCAGTCAGAGGTCATGTTGTAAAGTACTCTTTATTGGTGGTAGTGAGAGGGCCTTGGGGCTTTGGGGGAAGTTGGCCACGATGACTAGACCTCATTTCACGCCGCGGAGGATGAGTGATTTCCGCTGAATCAGTGCCTGCTTGTCCATGGTCCCGCACCACCCTCCCCACTCATCACTGGCTTTGACGGTATAGACCTCACCTTTGACGCCACAAGATCTCTTCTGCCTTGATCTTGTCCGGCTCCGTCATGACGAGTGCGCTTGTGGATAATCACGTCGGAAGCAGTGGCGCGTCTTCCGCTCCTTCCAATCGACGTGGTGTGTCTTCTGACCGGTCGACGCTATGCATGACATGGCAAAGCAGTATTTCTGACACGGCAAAGCAGTATTTCTGTTCTTAGACACCGTTCAAAGCTGTAAGACTCGTCTCGAATACGTGATTGTTCTTGGAAGCCTTCTAGTATGGCGGTTTCCAAGTCTTACTACAAAGGCTCGTGTCCGATCTGATCCCGCTCATCATCAATCCTGAATGAACAAGGGTAAGCAATTCTTCAGTGTCGTAACCTCTTCCCCACGCTCTGACATATATTAACCTTGTTGTTCCCTCTATTCGCACCTCACCCTTCTTTTTCTCAAACCCCCATCATCGTCACCTGTGTACACCCTCTCACTATGTCTCAGCGGCCTGACGGTGACAACGGCTCTCCTCACAAAGACAAAGAACCTCTAGGCAATGTCGAGCCCACCAATATGCCCACCCTCGAGGATATCGCTGAGGAAGGCGATGACAACCTCGAGGACATCGCTGAGGAAGGCGATGACAACGTGGAGCAGCCCTCGTACGCCTCCGCTGCCACCGCCCACCGCGAATCTCGCCCTCTTCCCATTCGCCCTCTTCCTATTAGACCTATTAATTCCGTAGCGGCCAGTGCCAATGCAGCCATACGCAGGCGAGCGTTTGTGGATTGGATGAGCGGGGTGTCGGACAACTGGCCTCCCCTGATGCGGCCAACGGGGTAAGGACACTTTTTCCTGTTTCCTGTTTTCTATGTTCGCCTTTGAATTGCCGTGACATGCACACGCATTGACGCTTCTAATCCGCCCTTCGTTTTAGTTCCGGTCCAACAACTAAATCGGCTAGAGTCAATGGCCCCTCTTCATCCGACGCCCAATCCCAGCGTGACGGTGAAGTAGCTCAGCCGTCGGTCTCTGTGGGGACCATATTCCCGGGCGATTCTAACTCCGACGCGGGCGGGAGCTTGTCGTAAGTCATTCCTTCTAACGTTCTTTGATCTGCTGATTCTCATGCCACGCTCCGTAGTACCCAAGGCGTGGCTGCCGGTGTCGCGTCGTAAGTATCTTCTATGCTTAAAGCTTTTCGCCTTGCTAATTATCTCGGGTTTATTTTAGGAACCAAGTCCCCAGCGGTGCCATTTTGTCCCAAAATGTTGCGATCTTGAGCACCGAGGACCCCGATGCTCCCGTCTCCGATGCTCCCGTCTCCGATACTCCGCAAGGCCACACTCCTGCCCATTTGGCACCTGGCCCCGCCCACATGCGCTATCTTCCGGCTCCTCGTCAGCCCATACCTGTTCATTCGGCTCCTGGTGCGGCCCGAGTGAGCTTGTCCACAGACTCCGGAATCCTTGAGGGCTGGTAAGCTTTTGTTCTTACTCTCACGTCCGAGTCTTCCACGTCGCTCATCATCTCTTTTTTTCTTTTGTTCCCTATTACATTCAACACTCTGACAGCCGTCATATTGTTCTACGAGAGGCTGCCGGTGAAATCGTATGGCGTCGATACGCTGAACCTCTCTTGAATCCAACCAGTGTAGATGTCGACCCCGACGACGATTCATCCTCGACCACCGCAGACCAGGAGGACGCCGCTTCTGTTGCTGCAGATGCTCCCCTCACCGATGGTGCTCTTAACGACAACACCTCTGCCTTCGGCAACCTCTCTCTCGAGGATCGCATTTTCGCCACCAACGGACGTGACCACGGCAATGTCGTCCCTGCTGCGGACACATCTCCCGCCACTGCTAACCACAATTCCCCTAACACACCGCCTCCCACGCCTGTCATATACCGTAACCCACGGGACCTTCCAGATGCCACTGCGCCCTTTGCCCACCAGAACGTGGCTGGCTATCAGGGCATTTCATTGAACATATTCGGGACTGGCCCTCCGGGAGGAACATTCTCCCTGGTAAGTCCTAGTACAGCGTTTTTCATCGCCCTTGCATTTATATCCATTACTAACGAAATACCCTCATATCTTAGACATGGGGTTCTGGACCTGCCGCCGTCGAACCTGCCGCCGCTGAACCCGCAGTCACGGTCGCTAGACCTGCCATCAATGGACCCGCTAGTATCGCATGTCCCACTATCACCAACGGCGCCAAGTCTCCGAGCGATGAGCCGAGGAACGCTAGTACACTATAGCCCGTGGTTGTGCCCGTGGATCCTTGAGAATTGGTGAGTCTGCGTAGCAGCCTACAGTACCTGATCGCAATAACACTGACACACTACCATCAGGGATGAGGCAGCACCACGATCATACTAGTAAAGGTACTCAGCGGTGTATGGGGCCTACGCATGGCTTGCTAGGAGATGCTTCGCTGACCTCGTGTGCTTCATTTCTTACGCATTTTGCATGCCTTCATTGCCGCTTTCTTGTTCCCCTTCTTGGCGTCACTCAAGAATCTTTCGTATACTCTTCTTATGCCGCGCGATTGCTTCCTTACTCGTTACTCGTCTCACCGTAACCGCTATCACACAATTCTCGTTCGACCTACCCAAAATAACCACAAAAAAGACCCCGATTCTGACACCTTCCTGTATGGGTCAATTCCTTCTCGTTGCTTATACACGCCTTTATTCTGCTCTCTTGACGCGACTCGCAAATGAATTCTGCATCGTCGCAATGTAAGCGATCCTCGATAATGCTGTCGAGGGCTTCAAGTTAGACAGCCCACGGCGCACCCAAAAGTGAGCTAATCCAGAGTGGAACGCGCACCACCACGGGCAAGTTCCCGGTCACCCGTCTCATCCAGCTCAGCCACCTGCCTTCGTTCTGTCTCTACGCCCCATAAATATATACTACCCCTCGCCCCTGCCCCCCACTGGCCCACCCTGGCCTTCAGTATATTTTTATTTCCCCCCTGTTTCTCCCTCTGGTTCATTTACGGTTTATTCTGTCACTTATTTCCTCCTGGTTTACCCACCCGCACACTCAGCGTGCCGCCACAGTCGCAGACGCGGCCGCCACACAGACGCGGTGCGCGTGTCTGAGTCCGTGGGACCAGCGCGCGTGTTGAATTTGATTTCGCAGATTTGGGCGGGGGAGAATAGCATTTGCTACGGCTACATCGGTGGTGCCACATCCTCACACATGCTCGTCAATGCACTCAACTCGCTGCTGAAGCGTGCTATAGAACTTGAACATCATAAATAAATATGTTTTTCCGATTCCGATAGGTGCCCGAAAACAGTGTTCCCATTGGCTTGCGTAAGTGATCGACGTTTCAAAAGGACGTGTCTTGGAATACCTTACAGTCGTCTTGGAGGAGGGGTGTCTTTCAAAGTTACTGATGTTCTCTATGTGTCTGTCTATCAATGACAGTGTCGATTGACAGGTCGCTATGATAGGGTCGTGTACTGCTGGGACTCTGCCTTCAGATCCCCCCCCCCCATTTCTGACATTGCAACACAGCCATCGATCCGGGCTACTGTATTTGAATTCTGTGAGTGTTATATTCCGTTTCTTCCTCTTCTTGTATTCGTTACGAATGATAGGACCAGTTTCACCTATGAATAATCATATATCAAGCCAAGATACCTTGAAACTATCCAGGAGAAGTCGGAGTGTCGATATGTCCACTATGCCCGACTCTGCTCACGGTGCGTCATAGAATTGACATCCTCCATGCCTCGCAAGACGTGGATACAATTGTGTTTCGTCTCATGGATGACATCGAGCAGCGGAGAACTCGTTTCCCTCACTCTACCCCCAACATGACCCGATGCTCGCTCGCTGCCATTCTGCAATGGGTAGTCAAACACAGCCTTCATCACTCTGGTTGCCACGTCGCAGCAAGTGGCATAAACATGTATCTTCCCTGCTTGTTGGTCTGGATGAGTGATTTTGACTTTTTTATGCCCTTCGGAAATGAATTTCAGTTCGACAACAGCTCGATATATTGCCTGGAGGCTGGCAGGGTTTTTTGGCGACCATGTTATGCTTTTGACGCGTCTCTCGTTCTCGTTCTCTGCAGAATCTCGGCGGCGGGTATATAAATCAGTGCATAATCTGAGCCTTCACCAGCATCACCACACTCTCGTAGCGCTATGGGTCACTGTCCTGGATGTCTCATGGACTTTCCTCACTTCAAACCCTCATCTCCTGACGACAACTGTCCAAAATGCATGAAACTTGTTTCCATTTCCTCTGCGGTGGATCGGAAAAAGCTGCAGGTGCGCCTTACTATTGACCATGGCTGAAACATTCTGACCCTAGCCTACATCTCTTTTCTTTACTTTCTACCACAGGACCAGCCTCAGTGCATGGGGTGTGGTGTCTCTGCGCCGTTTCTGACTCCACCTCTATGCGGGCCATGTTTGAAGTCAGGACGAGAAGGTATGGTCCACCAGTTAAACTGACTCGTGTTTACTCCTTGTTGACATTGATTTTTTTAGATGGTTCAGCGCTCCTTGGTCCGTAGTCGTCTCTCTTGCCACCCGTCATATCCTCATCTTATATATTTCTGCTCTCTAGACATTCCAGGCACCGCCGAGCTGCTCGCTCAGAACAAGACCGCCCATGAGAAGGACGCGTCACAGCACCGCATCAACACGAAGGCGGCTCAGGCAACAAGCAAGGCTACCACTATCAAGAAGCAGGTCAATGCGCAGAAGCAAGCAGCACTGGCCGGTTACGTCAATGCCACTGTGCAGCTGTGGGAATATCCTTCTGGCACAGGCTCGCCTCGCAAAGTATGTCTCTAGCTTATGATCTGTGTCTATGTAACTGTGTCTACGTATATTCCACGACTAACTATGGCACGGCACCGCTCTGTAGGTCCAACTACCGCCATTCAGTCGACACTTTGAAAGGATGACTTCGGCAGACTCGGTCTTTGATATACTGTGTAAACAGGCAAGCGAGGAATATGTCGACTCTCCTGCTCGCCAAACAGACACAGCCATCCCCTCGTTCGAACGGTGCGATGCTCATTGTGTATCGGCTTCCACTAATGTAGCTACTGACATGCTCAACCTTTGATCTAGAACGCAGGTTCGCTTCGCTATTCAGACACAAGCCCAGAATCAGACCCTCATACAGGACTCCGAGCTGAATGGCACGATTGGTGAATTGATTAATACCCTAAAGACCACGAACAGATTGTCCAAGACGGACGAAAGTAGCGGCAACATCACACTTCGCTTATATCTCTATGCCTTACGTTCGGTGTGTTGTCTTTGCTTATATTCATCAATATCCCGCGCTGATGTAGGTCTACAATATGACAAAGGGGGACGATGAGGACGAGGATGAGGAGGAGATAGCGGTCTCGAATCGCAAGCGAAAACTTCCACGTGGTGAGCCTCATACTGTCTATGCTCGCAGCATGACGCATGACGTAGTAGGCAGCTAACATGGTCTACTTGTGTAGCATCTCATGCCCCAGCCCGCCCTTCCAAAGCACCTTATCGTAGTGGATATTTACCCAGTGCCTCACTGCGTAATCTCAACATGGACAAGTATCCGTTCGATAAAGGTGTTGCTGAGTATGTCGATGGTCTGGTGGAGATCAAGGCCTCAGGCAAGCTTATTGCTACGATTCCCCGAGATTGGCAGAAGTACAAGAAAGGTGGAAAGCGTCAGGGTGGGTATATTGGCCAAGGGTTATCAAAATATGCATTCCAGGTCAGACTTCATATCGTCTTACAAGCTGTCCTACATGTTTTGATCACAGTGCCGGATAATTTAGGGACGCATAGACGGGAAGGATTATGCAATTCTCCAAATGAAGCCCATCGACAATCACTTCGGGGAGGACGATGACAATGAGACAGCCCTCCAGAATGAACTGAAGTTAATGGTGTTAGGACAGTATCTCATACAGACGTTCTACGATCGCGCAAAGTATTATGACATGGATCTTGCCAAACTAGTCCCAAGTACGTCTGCACTCTAGTGTTCTTTTGTGTTTGTAACGATGCTGACTGGGGTTCACAGAGATGACCTGGAATGCAGATGAAGCGTTCTTAGGCAAGGTCGCTGACTCTAACATTCAAAAGGGCTCCAAAGACGCAAGTGATCCAGACGAACGCTCACTCCTCTGGCCTATGTTTCTTGCGACGCCTCTGATTCCAGACAGCTATCAAGAAGTCAAGTTCTCCGGTAATGAACAGTGGGAAGGCAATTCGACTGTCGTCGGACGTGTGATCGATGCGTACGCTCACCACACCGTTCTCGACACTGCCAAGGAATATCTCTTTGTCGACCTGCAGGGTACGGCCATTTCTTCCTTGCCCGCCTCCATGCTCTGAAACTCACATGATGCATCTTGCAGGCTTCATCAATTCGAAGGGCTCTGTGATTCTCTTTGACCCTCAGGCCCATACGTACGTGACAAAGGACGTATATTGTTTGCTTACTTCTTAGGCTGATGTCGTCTTCCATGTTAGTTCCACAGGAGATAGTGGCTATTGGGACAAGGGACCCAAAATGATCGAGGAATACCTCAAGAACCATATCTGCAATTCGTACTGTAGGCAGCTTAAGCTCGATCGTGGTATACCTGGGAGAGAGGTAGATGTTGGAGAGTCCGAGAGCTTCGAGGAACCAGAGGAACCACGGGTGATTCGGGAGAAAAAAGACCTTCATCTCATCGAATAGTTCTGTCAGTTATTTAGAATGATTTCTTGAATTATCAATTTGTGTCGCTTTGCACATCTTATTGATCATTGGCAACAGTCATTTTGTTTAACGAAGAGGGAAGAGGGACACCCCATGAAGGTGGGTTACATAGATACGTGGAGATAGCAGGCCTCTAGGATGGACGATGGACGAAAGTCATACCGCACAACAATGAGATTGGAAGTCGAGTATCACGCAGCGCAAGCAATTTCCAACGTTGAGGTTTGCTAACCGCAAGAGTCGCAAAGACTAGAGCTAGAATTGTTAGGGCCAGATTGGTAGAGTTGGCATTGAGCGTGTTCTGCGTCGAGTCAGTGCCACGTGGAGTATTGTGTCACTGAGTCGTGTCGACAAAACATTTGCCAAAATACGAGTTCCATAGCGCAGCACTATTTTGTTGCTCCAGATCGTTATTATATGATAATCAATGCTCTGCAAAGATTTTGAAGAAAGTGAACATGAGGTCAATATCTTCTGGATTTTACAGTGTTTTACCCTACTCACGGTTGGGCGGAGTCTGAAGTCCGGCTGTGTCCGAGCCTACGCCACACTTACGGATTTGGATCTTCAACCAAGGACTGAGTGCTGAGGCCTGAGGCCAGAGGGCTTGGAGGTCATGAAGAATGGTATAAGTTTATTTTTCGGCAAATAAACCAGATCGTACTCCTCATAACTGGGCCCGACATCCGTGAGATCATTTATGACCGGACCCTCAACATGCTTCCCAAAACCCGATCGGCACGCCACATCGAGTCCGTACACACAAAGGGCCACAAGTTTGTTCAAGGTGAGCTAGAATCCGAGCAAGTTGAGTTAGCGTTCGAGCAAGACGAGCTCACATCCTATCAAGGTGAGCTATCATTCAATCCAGGTGAGCCAGCTTTTGGTCAAGGTGAGCAAGCACACGATGATGATCATCTGCGATGACACCTACTTCGACAAGTCTTGGTGTAGTGTCGGCCAGGGCATGCTCGCATCAACCAGATGGAGAGGGAGATGTGTAGCTATCTGGAGTGGCAATTGAATGTCGAGCCGAAGATTCTGAAGGAGTTTGAAGACAAGGTCTGTCGCGACTTCGCCGGCCCTGGGCCCTATCCTCCCATCGTCCTGCCGCAACCCGCGCCGTCACCCTTCGCCCACCCCAGTGCAAGTTCATCGACGTCGATACCTTCGTTTGGTCATCGCATGTCGCCACCCAAGCCGGTACCTGCCACCATCACCGCTAACCACACCATGTCCTCCTCATCCCCATCAATACCAGATACCCCACCATCATCCCACTTGATGTCCACCTCGCCACCCACGCCACCAGACTCGCACGCTCCTTACGATCAAGGACGTGTGAACTAAACGGGTATGGGAATGAGAGGGTCAGGCGAAAGGTACAGTGGCCGTGCAGGAGGAGAATCAGGGCTCAGGTGCGTCTCGTTCATTTTTCGAGGTAACCCCTTCTCTACCTCATCCACCACTTCAAACTCTCACCAGCTCCTCATCTACCTCCGCCGCCTCCTTTCTCCTGCCACGGGAATGCGATAGCCAGCTTCGTATATGTTGTCCTAGTATTTCCCACCATAGACCCTGCAGCTGGTAAGTCGGTTGTTTGACTAACGCGACACTGCAGTACTCACGTGAATCTACAAGAGACGCCCTCATCTCCTTCATCTCCTCGATCGCTCGTCCCCAAGCGGACGCAATGGCTGTCTCCCTCTCGTCCTCTCGTCCTACCTCATCGCCATCTTCTCCACCTCCCTCATCAACGTCCTGAAGACCACCCCCACGCACGGCACTCCTGCTCTCGCGTAACAATTTCAATGTCTCGACGTATCCGTGAGCGACCGCCTCCCGCCCTCGTCCTCCAAACCCGTCCTTGAGAACAACATTCTGCACCACATCGTCGACGATGTCGCCGGCGCCTTCGCGAACCAGACCGTATCCACTTACATGTCACTCGAGGGCTCAGAACTTCACGTCAAACGAATGGCATGATCATGATCAACGTCAGCGGGAGGCGAGACAGCCTGAGCTACGAACTCTCTGATCATGGTCGACACCGACACTACCAAGTTAACTACCAAGTTGAAGTGCGAGTTCACGAAGCTCTCCAAATGTATGAGCGGCAAGTTCAATAAATGTGAGCGCCTCTCCACGTTGACTGTTCTCCTTCCTCTTTCCCCCAAAACCGTTGACGCTGACCCCTTGTCAGTTCCTTCTCTTCGTCCCCGCTACCTGTCGCCCTTCTAACTCCTTCTCACCCACCGGCTTCCGCTCCCTGGCACCCAGCCCCGACCGCAAACCTAACGCTACTGCAAATGCATCGTCGGACCGATGCTCACTCAGACCCATCCCTCCCGCCGTGCACATCTCTCCCCTCAAATCCACCTGCAACCTCTCCTGCTCCCTCGGGCGCGAGCTCTTTACGCTCAGCACTAGCCACGCGTGCACCACCTACCTGGGTTTTGCCCTATCGTCCTCACCATCGAGGAGAGTCAAAGAGGTCATGCTTGGGGCGCTGGAGGAGAACGGGGGACGATAGTGAGGTGGTATGGGTTTGATGCGGAACATCATCATTGGTATATTCTGCGTATCCTGAAGACGTTCGAGAATCAAGAAGAAGCGCAATCCAGCAACGAATGTAGCTCATCTTCTCCTTAGACCAACTCACTCTCATCTCCTCCGCCCCATCCCAGCCAAGAAATCAACCCCAAGCCGTCCGCAGAGTTCAAGAACAGCTCTGCCCGTCGCAGCCATCCCTCCCCACAGACATCCACGGCCAACGTTGACTCCGCCTCGAATCTGCCAGACGTCAATGACAAGGACTGTCTTCTCACCCAGCGAGATCTCGAGCCTTTCACCGCCGTCGACGGTGGCCAGCCCATTACTGACGATTATAATGTCTCGCTTCGCTTCCCGTCTGTATTTGCTCTTTTATATCCATCTCCTCCTGTGACGGACGGTATGACGTTCTTGAAGGTGTGCGTGGCAATTCTGGCTTCGACTTGTCCATTCTCCGACCCATGATACTTTCTCTTGATGAAATCCTCGAAGAATATGTTGTCCTCGTTAGCGCCACGTGCAGCGACTTATTTAAACATTGTCGCATGCTAGGGAGGCGGAGGGTAGTATGGCAGATAGATGTCGACAGCGGCTTTGCATCAGCCATGACCAGGAGACCAGCCTCGACGGAGATGATTATAGGTGTCGGTGTTAAACGGGGCATCGTGAGCGTGTAACTGAATAATGGTTTCACTATGTGTGCAACCATTGAGGACACTGACCATCTCACCGCCTCTTCCCCTTTGTTCTTTGTCACCTCTGTGATGCGATTACTGTATCAACCTTGCCTTGTATTTAGAGAAAAGCAGATCACGACTATTTCAACATGTGTATCTGAAGTGGGTCATGTACATATGTGCAGTAGCAGTGTGAGAATGAAAAGTTAAACAAACAAACAAACCGAGCTCAGCACTGCTTGGAAGTCGCATTCCCCGCTGCTAGGCAGATTTAGGTGCGTTCAGGCAGCTCTTCGGCGAGCGCCACCGCAGCGACGCGACTTCTAGTTTAAGCAGATTTTAAAACGGGGTGTTTTGCTGATGGTAGAGAGTATCGGGGGGTCATGTCACTAGAAAAGTTGAACTATGGTGACTATGGTGACGAGAGGACGAAGGGGGGTGAAGCAGTTGCCCCCAATACGCGTTCAAGTACACAAGTTATCATCTCTCATAGAATTGTAATAGCCTGAAGCTTCAGCAAAACCGCATCGGTCTGATCCGGTCTATCGCGTCTAGCCCATGACGCTCTGGGGTGGTATCCCGATAAGAGGATTCTCTACTGATAACAGACTTGCGTAGGATGCGCGGTTTCTAGCACTAGACACGAGATAGAGCTCACAGAGCTCGTTTTTTTTTGTTTACACAAATAGAGCTGTAGATAAGATACATGATTGTATTTGACGACAGGCAGATATCCACTACCACCATGGCACAAGCGCGCTACAAAAGGGCTGCGGGAATGATGTCTAGTACTACATGTAAGTACGGAGCACGGAGTCAAGACTACCGGCCCACCATATCCTTCGACGGACTCTCACCAAGTTCCAACTAGAAAGCACTTCGAACGCCGGACTTGTGTCCCGATGTCCTCGAACGCGGAAAAGAGAACGTTGCGTGCATCGACGGGAAGTGAGGGAATGATTAGAAGGAAGAGGAGACGAGCACCGCGACAGGTAGGCTGACCATCGGCTGCTGCCGTGAATCATCAACATCACGTGAAGCTTCAGGGCAAGCATTCCACCAAGGACGCGACTTGGCCACATTGATGCTTTCTCTTGTTTCCCTATCGCTTTCTTGCTCTCGCTCACTTGCCCATCGCGCTTGGGCACCCTCAAACACTTTCAGCCTCTCGCATTTGACGACTGAGTTACTACTCTTTAACCTTTTCTATCCGGCAATCTCACATATCGTTTGGACCTCGTAAGCTCCACTTTCCAGGCGTCGATGCTCGAAGGAAGCAGGATGTTGGAGATATATGAGGTATGCCAACATTGCTCCAATATCTTGGGTTGTTTGACACTGACTTGCATCCGATGCCTTGGTATACACGAGGATGTTGTGTGTAAGGTATGCATCGCTCGCGGTCTTGTCCTCGCATCTAGTCGTCTCCGCTTTCCACTGGACGTTGTTCTCGGGCGTTGTACTACTTGGTCCAACCCCATCTCCATTATTCTTTGGCATACCTTATTTATTTCACAATCTTACTCTAGACACGTCGTAACGGCTGTTTCTTCTAGCCATCGCTGCTGAGAACGGTACTAAATAGGCTCTTATCTGTTCATGGCACCGACTCTCGCCTACTCTCTCACGCTACTACCAACCTCAGCCGGCCTTTACCAGTGCAGTATGGTATATATATATATATATAGGATTTACACAGCGTGTACTGAGAGGCAAAGATGAACCGTGCAATGTGGCTTACGCTCCGCGAATACATCATATGCTCAGAAGCTTGGCCCTCTACAGAGCCTATATATCTCTATGAACTCTCGTGGCTCTATTGGCTCTATGTGCTTAGAGCGGGTAGACCCGAATAGACCCGATAGGGATATACGGTTTTACTGATTTAAATGTCGAGGGGGTGGAGTGAAGACTGTGAAGTAGAGAAGTTGTGAGTTGGTTGTGAGTCAGAAACAAATTGAAACATGACTTGTCGACTCTCGGAAGCGGAAGTCAACTTTCACCAAACAAGGTCAAACATACAGAGGTACACGCGTCCAATCGTGTCCAAGTCCAATCGTGTCCAAATTCGTCTAAGGATGCCTGAGGCATTGGAGATGCACGCGCGACTTAGCACTTTAGTAATAGGGGAATCACAGGTCAGTATGATGCACATCATGTATATCGAAAACCTAGTTGGCTTCAATCGATTTTTCCCAGGCCGCTCCTCCAGAAGGACACCGCCTCTTAGATCTACTGGCACCCCCTCATCGAGACTCACTAGGTGAGTTTCACCACACGTCAGCAACGCAGGCAGGATGCTCTTTTCCTTGTACACAGACAGTTAATGTCTATTCGTTTAGATAACCCGTTCCTTCGTCCTGGGGTCTATCAAGCCAGGGAACTATTTCCACAGCTTCTGAGACCGAGATTCTGGATAGTCATAGTATTCCACATCATCCCCAATCAGGAGGACCAAACACAGTGATCGATTCGTTACAGAAGGTGTGTAAATTTCTTTGACGGGTACGCGTTGGCCCGGAACACTTTCTCACATCCAGCCACATATTGCAATTTTTTGCAGGCGGAGCAGGGGCTGTGACAGTGGGTGCTCTTCATCAGAACTCTTGGAAATCCCTGAGAGGCCCTGACAATCCGTTCCGCGAAAGTCCGTGAGGCCTCGAGAGCGCGTCAGGGCCTCTCAGGGCTCTCAGGACGTCTCAGGGCGGTCAGTGCATTCCTAGCGATTCTGGTTGTTGTGTGGCACCACGGAAAAAAGGTATAAATTCACAAAATAATTGTATGTACATGCGAGGCTCGATACAGAATCTGGCTATGCTATGGTCCATATCCAGCATACACTAATCAAGCAGCATAGTGCTCTTGCTATATACTGTCTCTACTGGCTATGGTGAAGGGGAATAGACAAAATCGAGCGGGTTTGGAGTGATGCAAGCGATAATGTAAGTGAACCGTTGAGACGTAACGCGGAAGGTCGAAGGAATCAAGAGGGGATGGTACGGTACGGCTGTGAGTATTCGAACAGGGTTCGCGCGCAAAAGTGAGACCGTAACAAATGGGCACATAGACCACGGTCTCGTCCGGATGTAGAGGGTGTGGATGGGTAATTGTAAACTGTTTGTGAGCACAGCCAGCCGCAATGTAAAGGACATGCAGGAGGGGATAATGATAGACTGAGTTGTGTGTAGGCTCAGGGGATTTGTATTGATGTCGGAGGCACGAGGCTATGGTCGAATCACTCAAGAAGTACGCACCGTAAACATAGACAAGGTCAGCCTTGGGCAAACTTACATATGCGTAGATAGCAAGACAGATTGACAGCCAAAGATAAGAGCAAAAAGGCTCACCTTCGCAGGATCTCAACATTCTCTACCCTGAGCTCGTTCGAGAACTCTGTCCTATCAACGCCTCTGAGTAGCCGACGAAGTACTGGGACCTGCGTGTGACGTGTTGATCTGAGGGCAACGACGCTGAGGGATGCCGCCACAGTGGCCACGGTGGGCGGTGGTTGAGAGTAAGTTGGTGATGGTAACTAGCAGGTAAAGACGTAGACTCGAACAGCGACCGGTCTAAAGCAAATAATCGTAGGTATAGACGTCGTGTCTTAGACGTAGGGTGTGGTGTTGGTTTCATGCTGGGCGGCATATGGCTGATTCGTGGCGTATCGCTGCGTTGTAGGACCTGATGCGTGTGGAGAATGTACAGGGATGCAAATGGGGCGTTAGCGTCCATCAAATCAAGCTATAATCGGAAGAAAAGGAGGGAGACAGAACGCATCTCTTTCTACGTCACGGTATAACCCTGCGCTGAGTCTGTCTAGCCTGTATCATACCCTGCATATGATTCGTCATCGACCCATTCTCATAGTGATACAACGGCACCTGAGCCAGAGCATTCGGATCGACAGATCCCTGCTCATGAACATCGCCGTCAACGGGACTTGGACTTGCGTTTGTGGACTTGGTCGTCGCGGGCATGAGTTTGGAGGTGGTTGTGTACTTGGGCTTGCGTTCGTGAGTTCGCGTTTGCGCTCGTGTTCAGTTGGATGAGGGACAAAGAGCGAAGAGGCTGGGCGAGCCAAGGCGAGCTTGTCGCCGTCGAGTTTGTTGACGCTTGTTTACCCTCTGTTCAACTTTGTGCGCCGCGCGTCGTCTGGCGTCGTCTCTGTTCTGTGTTCATACCTTGTCTCTGTCAAACGTTTACTGCGTATCGTGGTATACTCCCTCAGTAAGAACCCCGCTATGGACCGGACTACGATCAGAGTGAACTAAACGCACTACAGTCCCACCTGTACGTACGTTATCTTCTTCCCTTTTCTCACAACACGCAGTCACTCCACATCAACGATCTCGTTCACCACAACGTTAAAGCCGCCAGCCGTATTGACGAGTGCAGATAACAACTCTGCCTTATAGATGTTTCTGGCCCTGCGGTAAAATCATTGGGCTCGATGCGCCGGCTGTGCGTGCGGCAGCGAGGACGGTGATGACGAGCAACATGAATTCTTGAGTTCATTGTACGTCCTCTGACTTACTTACACTTCATTCGTCTTATCCTATTTTTTCCCGTTCGTTGTCCTTCAGTGTCCGCAGGGAATGGCGCCGAGGTTGAGAGAGGCGTCACATCTCACTGCGAGATGTCCGTTTTTTTTTGCGTGAGTTTACTCCTCCCGCCCTTCTCTTGTGACTGTGTTTATTGATTCTGACTACGCGATCTCTGCATAGGTGTACATCCTATGCCATATAACACATTGCGTCGTCGCTCGGTCGCGATGGCAGCGCGCAAAATCGCTCGTGTGTCTTTAAGGCCTTGCTGACAACTTTTCCGCTACAGATACGACCAGACAGTACTCACTTCTTCGTTCCTCTACTGATCCCAGATACTTCATAGCCTCATTAGCCCTTCTGCCCCCGACATACTCTTCCGCCTTCGCCTTCAATTGGTCTGTGTAATTCATATCAAGCTCGTTTACCGGTTTTCGAAGGCAATGCAGTCTATCGGTGCCAGGAAGAGTCATAAGGGGAGGGTCTGCAGCATTTTGAAGCATGTACAGTCTCACAGCACGCTGTACATGGTGCGAGGGATTGTTTTAGACACGAAGGAAAATTAGTGGAGAGAGCAGAACCTCTCTCGACCTCTGTATCTAGCCTCACGTTTACATACGATTATTTTCTGAATTTACGCCTTTTTCCGTGGTGCCACACAACAACCAAAATCGCTAGGAATCGCACTGACCGCCCTGAGACGTCCTGAGAGCCCTGAGAGGCCCTGACGCGCTCTCGAGGCCTCACGGGCTTTCGCGGAACGGATTGTCAGGGCCTCTCAGGGATTTCCAAGAGTTCTGATGCACGGTCGATTAGTGGCGGTCGGGCTAAGGCATAGACAGACCATAATATAGTAAGTGGCGCCGAGATAACACTGACCAGATCGAGGCTGATGAATTTGTTCTTGGCGGTTAACGGTGCCACCGCCTCGGCCTCGAAGACCACCTCCACGACCTCGAGGACCACCGCCACACCCACGAGAGGTACTGGTACTACTAGTGACCACCTGGTGTTGATTGAGCTGACGGTTGACTGATGCATGGTTACTAGAGCGAGATTGTATTTTCCTCTTGCGTGTAAACATGGCAGAACCAAGGCAAAAAGGAGTGAAATGGTAGTGGTTAAAAAAGAAGGAGGTCCGAGGAAAACTTGACGCGTCGTTCACGAACGACGCGTAGAGCGCGTCCCTGTCACGTGGCACTCAGACTAGAGAAGAAGTAAAAGACCATAAATTGCGAGAGATAATGACTAGCCGTTCACTTTCTTCCAAGTTTTGGCAGAGCACTTTTGAAAATGCTAAGACTCATTTGGTGCACAAATTTCGTCCTGCGGTGCAAAATACCCTTTTCTGTGAATATTTTCAGCCTCCGTATTTCTCCTGACCGGTTCAGCTTACCTAATCACGGAACAAAGCCATGCGAGCACGTCCCCGGAACTGTGGGGGAGATATCTCCCCCACAGCTCCGGGGACACTTTTGAACTCCGCCGCCACAGTCAGCATGAATTCCTCACCGGTGAGGAACACGCTTCAAACATGACACTGCATCAAACTGTCCGCATACAGAGCGAAGGGGGCAGTAATGAACATGCGCGTGCTTTTTTCTCTCATCGTTCTCCAGGACAAAACAAAGTATAAGTAAAGTGAACGCACGAGACTGGGTGCCCACAACAGAGGTCGGAACAAAAGGATAAATACTAGGAGAGACACTTGGGTACAAGAAAGATTTCGGACGTTTGGGCGAACCGCCGCGCCTATGGCCAGCCTCCTCCATATCCACATCCTCCTCCCTTGTGAGCCTAACATACGACTCCCAACGCGGACGACCCATTCGTCTGCTGGTGCCCCGCACTGGACACCCTCTGCAGTATCACATGCTGGAACTGTTCTCTCGCTGCGATGAGCTGGCAAATGATGAATGAACATGGCAGACGACGTCAAGGAACAGCGCACGAAGTGCGCCGAAAGATAAAAGAAATTTAATATAAGACGCGGTGAAGATGGCGATAGGTGGTAGAGGAGAAAGGGAAGGCAAGGGAAGGCAAAGAAAGAAAAGACAATGGAGAAAAACAGCAACGAACATCCTTCTGCCGCTCAATCATCCCGTCCAAGAACCTTTCCATGGCCAGCTTGAAATCCTCGATTGGTTCTGTCTCGAACTGTCTCACCTTTGCCTTGACGAGCTTTGAGACGTGCTTGAATTTGTTTTTGGATTCGAGCGCTTTGCGTTCGACCTGTTGCATTGAAACACACATACGAAGGTGAATCGACGGATGTGGATGTACGGGAAGGTTCAGAGTGAGGTGAGTGGGTGCGTGCGTGCGTGAGTAGCAGGAATGGAGGGAGGGACAGGGACAGGGACAGGGGGAGGGGGAGGAAGAACACGGGGCGTACATCAGCGATCTGGCTCATCGAGTGTCCCATCCTATCTGTCGGAACACGACCTCGCGCTCGTTTCCGATCATGGTTCTGCCTCGCTCTCCTCAGCTCCGTATCCGCCGTCTGCCAAGCATGGTACGTCCATATCCGCGAGCTGAACGCAGACGCCGAGTTCGAAGAGGGTGAGGGGGCCAGAGTCAACCGTGCCCGTTGCGGATACGGTGAGGAAGAGGGTGCCACTCATGGAGGCGTTGAGGTCTGGCCGCAAGCAACATCGTCAGTATTAAATTGTGAATATTCGAAAAGATAGGAGGAAAGGGAGGTAAAAGGAAGGGAGCTCCTCACCGGCCGTGACCCCCAGACTACTAATCTCTGGTGGAACGATTTGCCCCACAATTGCAATGCCCACCTGTACCTGCGCATCCAACTTAACGCCCATACTCACATCTACACCCGCCTGTACTATCGCCGGGCCAAAGCTAACCGTGGGCGAGGTAGCACAAGTGGAAGCGGAGCGGGGAATGTGCGTGGAGAGGAGGGTGTAGAGGGCATTAGAGACTGTGATGGGTGTGGGGGATTGCAGCGATATGGTTGTCGGGTCGTCTGTTTTGTGCAACAGGAAAGCGGTAAGTCTTTAGAGATCAAAAGGAGAGGGAGGAGACATACCGCGACGAGCCATAGGCCTTTATCCTAAATATTCATATCCTCGCTTCCTACTACTCAGATCTGCGCTTGAAGAGGCGGAACTACCGGTGTTAGGAGCGTACACGACGCTGCCCGCATGGATCGAGAACGATACGTTTCCGTGTCTGTGGTTCATCCAAAAAAAGGTTTTCAGTATCGGCTCGAATTCGAAGAGGAGATAGAAAGAATAACGTACTTCCCCGCATCCATCGCTGCGAAATTCGTATCCAGCGTCAACGCATGGACCGTAACGTTCGCATCCGCATCCGCACTCCATCCACTTGCACGGCTATCAATCGACCTCTTCACATTACTCGGAATCGTCTGGTCCTCCGACACCCAAGCTTTCGTGACGCGGAGGAACGGCGCGTCGGTGCACTGTATAGCATCAAACCCCAATCCACAGACCAAAACCATAATGCAGTCTCATCAGCGACCAAACAGCCTCAGGAGATCAGCGAGACGCTCACGTTCTGTTGTCCCGCAGGCGGCATCCTCACTAACGTCCCCTCCGCTCCGTTCGTGAAGAGATGATCACACCCCGCGGCCGTCATATCCGCGCTCGAACACGCGAGCCTCACGTCTACCTGTGTCGTTGGGTTGGATGTGGCGTAGGCGTTGGTTGAAGCGGAAGCAGATATGGCGGTCGAAGAGGCGTTGCAGGAAAGCTCAATCCAGCCCGCGGAGGGCGCTATATCCAATATATGGGTCATATCAGTCGTGGAGCCCCACTTTTCGTCATATCACGCAGATGAGAGGTTTAAATCAGCACAACTTGCACATTTAGATCATAATCGATGTATGAATGGTTTCAAAGGGAGATGGATGGACATTTCAAAGGAAAGCAACAGACGTACGATCTGCAAACTCCCGCTCCCGCCACTTGCACCCGAAGCCGAAATCGAATTATCCGCATCAGCCCCGGAAGATCATAAGCACACCGGCCCTGAAAGCACGGCACAGACCAGTCGTTCAGTTTTCGCGGCACTGTGACGGAGGCGAAGGCGGTTTGGGCTTGAAATGTGAGGGCAAAGATGGAGTGAAGGGGAAGGAGAGGGAAACGGGCGGATGCACGGCAGAGGAGAAGAAAAGGAAGAAAAAACAGGAGACAAACGAGGCACGAGATGCCAGAGGATATGAGCGTGCGCCGTGCGCGATGAATGCGATATTGAGAACGACGAGTGTGATGAAGTGGCTGGACGCGGTCACAAGTGTGACTCGACGCGTCGAGAACTGCAACAGACCGCAACTCCACTTCCTTTCCCAACACTCCTCTCCCAGGCGCGTGCTCAAGCGCTCAGTTGGCGCCATGCCGGAGATTCGAGAGCTTCTTGCAGCTTATATCTTTCTCTCGCACGCCTTCACCACCCTCATCTGGCCCACAGGTACCCGTATTCTGGATCTCTGGTATGACAATCAAACAGGCGTCGATGAACCGCGCGAGGATCGTCACAAACTTCGGCTGGTCGGGCGCCTTATCCCATCGGAACGTGTGCCAAACCCCGAAAGAATGAGAACTTCGCTGTGGCCATCGCATCTTTCCTTGCATCAGGTTCGGGGCCTGAGGCTGGAGAAGATTGAGTACAACTGCCGATGTCTGTTTCTGAAGTTCCTAGACATCTACGATCAGGAGACATGGATGAGTGTGAGTGTCATCGTTTTCAGTTTCTGCGTCGTATATTTACTGGTGCACAGGTAAGGTTCTACACGCACACTTCCGTGCAGGTCTACACGAATAAGCAGTGGTTTTACAGCGTCGCTTTGACGAACCAGGATGTGCGTAGCATCTTCATATTTGCTCAACCCTTGACTGAATGTTTTTCCAGAAGCGGGGATTCCGAATCCAGCTGGCGATACAGTTTCCAAAGTACATCATAGCGTTTGTGACTTTAGATCGCTTATGTGGGGTGTGTATCTCTGATTATATTTGTGATATTTCCTACTCATCCTTGATATCATGCAGATCACTTGGACGACAACTCGTGCAGCTCTACCTGGCGCTTCATGGCCAAATATTCTTGACGATTGGTCAGGCTTTCTTAGGGAGATCCTCCAATGGCGCAGGGACTCAATCCGCAAGCAAACACACGAAGCCCGGACGAAGAACTATATCATTGATGTTCTTAAGGCAATCAAATTCAGTGGTGTTGGCGTATATACCGTGTCGGAGATTCTTCATAGAGCTGGTGCGCCTGACGTGAAAGTGTTTCATCATCCATGATTGATACTGAACACCCAACCTAGGCATTGCTCCATATCTATCGGAAAGCGCTGTCTTTGACAATCCACCACGACTGGCTCGCCTTCTGGAGTCGTTGTACTATTTTGTGGCCGTGTTTCGTGACAAACTCTAGTATGTATTTGATTATTTGATAGTCTATCAAAAGTCGTGCGCTGAGCAGTCAACAGTGCTGAGGTTGTACGCCCCTGTATCAAGGGTGGTGTGCTTGCTCCAACCGAGGGACAAAGGCTCCGATACGCACGCTATCTTTCCGTCCATGGAAAATCCAAGCTTGAGGTCCCTGCGCGACAATATGCCTTGATTGAGGCATATAAGGTAACTGTCTCTCTCTTGCTCTGCTAATTTCTATCCCCGCTCATGTGTTGCCATATCAGAATGCCGCTCACCCATGTTACGACTTCTTCGAGCCTTCTGCTATCAAGGAGTATATATTTCTGCCTGGGCATCTCGCGGAACTCATCTTTGGCGACCATTGCGCCAAGGTCGCACCACCGGGCTGGACTTCCAGCAGAAATCCAGTCATGGAGGAGTTCTTCCCTCACACAGGCGAGATCTTGGTTCTTCCATAATTTTAGCAGTATGTAAGCTAATACTTTGTCATACTAAACAGTCAGACAGAGCCCTTTGCTCAGAGACGCAACACGCGACCCAGCTTTGCCCGTCCAGCGATTTCTGGATGAGTGGTATAAAAAGACTGGTGCGTCTTCGAATTATGTGTACTCAACAATCACGTCTGATACTTCATTGCAGATCGGACCGCGTCAATTGTCCAGCCGCCAAAGCGTGCCCCCGCACCGGCATTGCCGAACTCTAAGCAACATAAACCTCCCGCCCATACCATACCCCATCGTCCTCTTAGTACATTCTCCACATATCTTGACCTCTCGGCATACCAGTCGTACAAAGATATCGCCAACAATGGTATTGTCAAGCGCAAAGGTGGGAAAAACTGTCGTGTGTACGCTGCACGCTACAAAGACAATGATTTCTGGTCTGTGATATCACTTCCTCGGGCGCTACGGTACGCATAATGGTCTCGTCTATATGATGCTAGATGGAGGCGTGAGCTTATCGTGTCGTTGTTGCAGGGATGATAAATTCACGCAGTACACTGAAGATAAACAAGCGAAGCTTACCTTCGAGCATTTGGTTTTACATACCCGCCTCTGGGCTGTGGGGCCACTGGAGTACTGTGGTTCGGCCATCCCGCTGCTTCCAAAGAAGGGAGAAGGCAAACTCAATACCCAAGTGTGCGTGCAACTTCGTTCCTAGTGACCTCCTATTGTGTGTACTTATTATGGATTTAGCATTCTCATGACGCACATAGATCCCCTAGTCCCCCAGAACATGGTCGAGCGAAACCTTCTGCGCGAGCACCGGGAGAATGACAAACTGCTGGAGTATATCGCAGCATCTAGCCGTGCCCGCCTCCTCCAAGAAAGCTGGGGCCAGAGTCGCCTTGAGGAGATTTTAGCCAAATACATTGGAGCTAAGATCCGCCGCCGGGAGGAGGAGGCTGAACAGCAGAGACAAGACGATGAGATCCAATTTATGAGGGAGAGGACGTTTTACTACACTATTTCTCGCGAGCTCATCTTCACTCCGATCGTGGAATCTGTGCCGATACGCAGCACTAGGATTGCACTCATTGACCAGACTTGGCACATCCGACGACTTCACTACAGAGCTTGGCCAGAGCTCTATCCAAACGGTCTTCCACCTCGCCCTTCCATTACTTCTCAAGATAAGCTCAGAGTACGCCGTGACCCGAACGTGACTTGGAAAGACGACCTCCTCATTCCAGGCTGCCCGTCCTTGTTCGAGGTGTTTCCATCGAAGACACCAATCACATCACTTCCTAACCGCGAATCTTTCCCTCCCTTTGACCGGAAGGTCCCGCCACCACCAGCCCTCGATGCGTCAGACGACAATCATGATGGACGGCAACCATTGATCCTCCACCATACCTTAAAGGTCATACGCCAAGACGCGTGGGGCCCCAGCTACAACCCTCCGAAAACGCCTTCAGTGACCGTCGCACGTCCATCCGCACCCCTCACCACTGCTCCGTCCTCAAGACGCGATCCTCGTCAATCATCGCTACTCGACCATTACAAAAAGGCTGCAGACGAAAAACGGTCCAGCTCCAGGCGCGAACCTCCTAGAGCGACCGTCGCACGTCCATCCTCACCCCTCACAGCTGTGTCATCCTCAATGCCACAGCCTCAGATGTCCGGAACTGCCCACACTACCGATGATCCCTCAAGTGTTGTAGTAGTCAGCTTGGCCACGGTGAGATCCAAACGGAAGTATGTCAATGCAGATTCTGCAGTGATGAGTGCAGTGGACGGGCCACCCTTGGAGAAGAGGCGGAGTAAGATGCCAAGACGGGAGTAGCAGTTGCTGGACTTGTTTTTATTGCAGTATATATATTTTTGCTTTATCTTAGAGGTCTTGCGCCTTGGTTTTCGTGGCACGCAAAAATCGAATGGTTACCGTAAGTTCTCCTCGCTTCGCCAAGGGTTGGGGTTGTACTTCTAAGCAGACCACTCCGTTAGGAGGTGTGAAACATACCGAAGAACCACTTGCACCATAAACAAAAGCCATGGTGTCCACCAAAAAAGCGGGAGCATTGTTTGGAAGGGATTCTTGGCCAGAGCGAACGGTACCAACGAAGAAGCGGAGCGTTGCCCGTGTGTCGAGAAGGTTGTCTTCGTAGGTGTCGGAGTTCACATCACCCTTGAACGCGGAAACGTCGACAGCGTCCATCAGAATAAGCTCGGGGTCTCTGGGTGCAAAGAGCTTCAGGGTGCCGGACATGGTGCCATTCGGGAAAAGAGCTGCAGAAGCAGGAGCCCAGAGCCTGATCTTGGCGTTTCGAGCACCACCGCCGAGAAATATGACGGTGGTGTTGAACTTGTGATGCCATATTACTGTGTTGCCGTTCGTTGTGGCCTTGTTGGTGGCGATCGACGGCCGTTGGCTGCACCAAAGAAGCCAAAGGCAAAGTTCGAAGCCATGAGTCAGATGATAGGAGTGAGTTGATGACGAGGCGGATGAGAGCCAGAGGTGAGACTTGCGAAGAAGACTCGAAGTGACTCACTGAATCCACAGAGTCGCCTGCAACGGACGACGAACGACGAACAAAGGGCCGTGAACCTCACTCGAGATGATCGAGATGTGAGGCAGCACCCAGAGCACTCGCGACATGGTAGAGGCCGTCAAATACGCAAATTTGAGGAGCAGGCACTACGGACAACGGCAACGGCGAGCAGACAGACTGAAAGACATGTGGAGAGGGTGCACATAGACACGACAATTGCCATTTCAGCTTATGACCAGACCTGAGATCGGTCGTGAAGATCATTCACTTCGTAGCCTAGGGAGTGTAAAGTGGAATCGTGCAAAGCGACCGCAAAATAAGACAGGAAACGAAGGCTGGAAAGTCCAGACGGCGATGTGTCCCTCTGTTTCTGCGCCTTTCACGCTCGACATTCGTTACATCGACAGTATCAGAAGCGGCGAGATCGGAGGAAGGGAGACTCGGAGACGCAGCGAGGAGTGAGGCTAAGGGGTGGATTTAAGGACCTGAGGGTGAAGTAGCTGCGGCGTAGGTAGGATATGGAAGCGTCATGTGTGTGAGGCTAGAGAAAGAGAGAGAAAAGGAAAAGGAGATGCTGTCAGTTCATGAACATGGTGCGAACAATATGAATTCTAGATTTCGATGGGAAAAAAGTAAGTAGAACGTAGAAGGGCTTGCAATAGCTTTACTTTATCGTCGTCAGACCCAACCATAATAACCGATCGATTGTTAATGCGCGAAATGCGCGGCGACCGAAAGGGAAAGGACAACTTGGAGCTACCACCGGTCAAAAGCATCTTGCACCAACAAAACGAGTGTTGAATAGACGGTATAAGCCTCTATGTATCCCATTGCAGAACAGGCACGAACGCACCTAACCAGGATAAAACCGGGGGACTCACCCACACCCGCCTACAAGGGCAAAAAAACAGAGACCTACCGTAATTTGCCACAGTCTTGGTCCAACTTCGATACATCCAGTAAACTTGACGAGGTCTTCAACAGAATAGACCATTCTCGATAGGGCTGTCGCTGCTTTGGTAAATCGAGCCAGCCAGCCTGGTTTAGGCAGTACAGCTTGGTCTCTGTGATCGAATTGAAGACTGTAAATGGACTTCGGGTCCAGATGGGGAGGAGAAGCGTAGGTACCGGTGGTTGTGGTTGCGGACGTAGTGGAGAATGATGACAGAGTAGTAACGAGTACGACGTCACAGCAAGTGTGGTCGGAAATGGTCGGTAGTTGTTGAGGTTGAGATGCAGCGTCCCTTGCGAGCAGTGGCAGTGGAAGGGGTGAGGGAGAGGTGATGAGGTGATGAGGCGATCATCTCATAATACAATGCAACAGTGCTTGCGTCAGAGGCGAAGGGAAGCTCACCACATGGGCTCCAACATGAACGGATGTTGATATCCACCAACGAATGATAATCTGCCTCTGAGCGGCTTATACCTTCCTTCCCGTCTTGCGCTTGTTTGGCACTACTTAGTACTTCAGACTATCCAGCGCTGATCGACAGCGACACTGACGATGAGTCGACGGTACCTGAGGCCTTGTGTGGTCCTGTTCCGTGCACCCTTATGGAATTGTCCCATTGAACTCGCAGGTCGGAAGGGACATCTTTTATTTTCTCCATACATATGAACCGAGACATCACCACAGGCTAGATGGCTGCCTCAGTGAATCGGAAAGAAGGCCATTGATTGAGAGCTATTTTAGATGACGCCTGACAGGACCATACCAGATGTCACTGTCAGTCGCGTTCGCAGCCGGGTAAGACCGCCGGAGGGCTTGACTGATGCGACGAAGGTCGATAGGTGACCTGATCACTGTCGTCGACCGTACCTAGGCACACGGCCTGTCTGCCAAACAGCCTGTCGTTCAGCCCGAATTACCTATGGAATATGTTCCGTGTATACGAAGTAAACAAAATTAAAGAAGTGTTAGAATAGACTCAAGCTCAGAAGACGTCGCACCTCGACAGTTGGTGCGCTGATGCTGATGCGGCTGGGCGGGGCTCGGTTGCGGGGTTGTTGCAGGAAGAAAAGTGACGGATCGAAGGAGTGAATTGGATGGATATTGCAGGCTCCGAATAGAATTGGCCGTACGTAAAATACCGAAAGCGCGAGAGACCCGCCGTTGTTTCCTTCTTCCCCGTGCCCGGTGCTCTTGTCCTCCTCCTCCTCACCGTCGTCGTCGTCTCCGCCCGCCCGCGTCCCTCCCGCTCTTTTCCTCTTGTTTCTTTACCATCTCCTTTTTTTCTTCTGTCTTATTTGGCAACTCCTACGCACACTCCGGTCTCGTCCCGGCCAGCGCCCGCGGGATCACGGCAAGCGTCCTGCTTCTTTGACCATCAATCCACTCGTTCTCACCCACCCACCGCCTTTGCCTCTCGCCAGCCCGCCCTCTCTGAGGCCTACATTCTTCGCTCTTACCCCATCATCAGATCCCTCCAGCTCAGACCAGGTCGTCATCTCGAGTAATAATTACATCGCTGCCGTGAAACTGCTCCCAAAACATGGGTATCTGCACGTCATCAGGTGGCATCGAGATATCAGAAGATGACAAACAGCGGCATCGTGAGGCTGAGAAGGTATTGAAGGAGGTGAGCTTTCACTCTATTCTCGCTGCAGTGCACCTTTGCATCCCCATGCGCCTTCAAGTTTTGTGGCGCACGCTAACTAGCAATGGTGTGCAGGCGAAGACGAAGCTTGCTGTTCAAGTTAAAGTACGTTTCTTTATCTCTGGCATCAGTCGTGGGTACCGAAGTATGCTCCCAGGTGCTGCTACTCGGGTCTGGAGACTCAGGGAAGTCAACAATCTTGAAGGTGAGTCAACCCTTTGAAATACATGTTGCAAGCCGCCGAAAGAGCGCTCAACGGATCCGCTATCTCAGCAAATGCGCCTCATCCACAAGATTCCCTTCACGTCAAACGAAGTCGAGAGCTACCGGCAATTGGTCTTCAACAATCTTACCCATGGTCTCAAGTACCTACTCGATGCCATGGAGGACATGGGTCTCGAAGTTACACCGGAGAACGTCGACTACGTCGACATGATCGAGAACGCGGCCGATATCCGAGATGGAGAGCCATTTCCCACGAGTTTCATGGGTCCCCTGCAGTCACTATGGTCAGACCCAATGGTACAGAAGGCTTGGGAAAGAGGAAACGAAGCCGCCCTGCCAGAAAAGTACGATTTCGCCTCCGAATCGCAATTACGGTGATTCTCACTACTCCTTTGACAGCTTGTCGTACTTCTACTCGGACCTAGAGCGACTTTTCTCCATTGACTACATCCCAACCGAGCAAGACATCGTTCGCTGTCGAGCAAGAACAATCGGCATTACCGAGACCGTCTTCCAGCTCCGAGATCATGAGATGCTGATGGTTGATGTTGGCGGGCAGAAGAGCGAGCGAAGAAAGTGGATTCATTGTTTCCAGGATGTCACAAGTATTCTTTTCCTAGTCAGCTTGAGCGGCTACGACCAGTGCCTTGTGGAGGACAAGGACGCGGTAAGCGCTTCTATTAGATGTCCGAGATTGCGACGCAACTGACTGTCCGTACAGAACCAAATGCAGGATGCTATGACTATCTGGGACTCAATATGCCATTCCCAGTGGTTCAAGGCAACATCTATTGTATGTCTCTCCGCTCTTTCTTCGGACTTCGTTTCTCATATCTATTGCCGTAGATTCTATTCCTCAACAAAAATGATCTGTTCGAGGCCAAGGTTGAACACTCTGATATCAAGAACTTCTTCCCGGTAAGTGCTATACCTTGGGTGGTCACGTCTGCTCCTTTACTTACAGGAATCGTCTGTCATAGGATTACGAGGGCCCACCAGCAAACGCACGCGAGGGTCGCGAATATTTCAAGAAGCGGTTTGCACGTCTAGCTCAGAAGGCTGGCCGATCGAAAGAGCGAGAAATCTATATACAGTATGTTTACTTGGTCTCGCGTTCTCAGCCCCTATTGGTAATGACCGTATTCCAAGTATTACTACGGCGACGGACACGGCTTTGTTGAGAGTGGTTATGGCAGCTGTTGAAGGTAAGCGCCCATCCGTTTTGATGTTAGCTAGGTTCAGCGCTGATTCTCTTTCCTTTGCAGAGTGAGTCTTTCTTCCCTTGACCCATTGTCTTTCCCTTGTATCTTTGCCAGCCAACCGTGCTCAATCGTTTGTATCGTCGTATGTCCCTCCTCATTACTTCAGCATCGTTCTTCGCAATAACCTAGAAGTCGCCGCTTTGATTTAATTCTTCTATCTACACGCATCTATTTCTCACCTTCGCTGTCGCGAGACCTTGCATCATTATCTTCTTTCGTTCTGCCCACGGGTTGGCACGAGCCTATTCTATGGTGCTACCGTTGAGCTGCGCCGGGGAAACTGCTTCTCCACAAGTCCAATATTGGGCTATTGGGTCCCCATGCATGCGTGCGTGCACACTGCATCCTTCCGAGTTCACTAGCGCATGCGCACCCACCCATATCATGTCATCATGTGCTTTATATGTTTCACTTGTCTATCTGTGATCTCGTCTGGTCTCCACCCCCGTGTCGTCTTGGCTTTCGCTCGTTTGCTCTCGTTGTATCGCATTCTTGTCCATGTTTTATCCCTATCTTATCGCCTTCCATTGTTCTCCCGTCTTGTTTTGTCCTATCCTATCCGCCGTTCTGATCATTCGTTTCATTAACCACCATTTGCATGCGCTCAATCAATATTTATCGTCGGAACCGACGGGAATCAAACATTGTGCGCGCAACTGCACCCAAACCAAACAAATTCCTCCGCATTCTAGTTCCATCATCAGTAAGAATGTGAGTGCATACCCATTCTTCTGTATTTTTCCTTCCCATCGATCCCGAACCAATGAGAAGGGTCGGCCGGTTGCCGAGCGCAAGCGAACCCCTTCATCCCCCTTCGATCACGGCCAGACCGTCTGCTAATCCCACGGACCGATATAACGTACGCTAACGAACATCCTTTCGATTTTAGATTCGGGAAATCATGCTCTGACAACGCCATCGTCATGATCAACAGTGTACACGGTCCATACTACAGTGCCTGACCTGGTCAGAGATGTACCAGAGTCATTGTCACAGTGACCACTTGGTCGGGTCGTGTCCTGTCCGTCTCGTTCGTCGAATATGCGGGTTCCTTCTCTTCGGTTCCTATCTTCTTGTCGCCTTTCCCCGTCCCCATGTTTTCCTATGAACCTTTTTAATGTTCAGTGTATACCATATCAGCTTTCACTTCGATTCCCTTTTTTCGTGCCCGCTCTTCGCTTCCAGCTTTCCGACGTGTTCTGCCTCGTTCATTGCATGCAATTTCGCCCCTCCGTCTCTTTCATCCAAGCATCGTCGACCGACCGCACTTTTCATTGTATCCCTCACCACCTCTCCTCTCTTTCCCCGTCGCATGGTCGATCGACTCAACCCTACCTTCGCTCGCTCTTACGTCATTCATTCATTTATTCTTTCATCGGTTCGGTTTGACGTCCACGTCTCACCCTCTCGATCGGTCTATGTTTATTCTGCTATCCAGCTTTGTCTTTCGCCTCCTCGCTTTTCGTCCCTCTCGACCTCCCCCCATGCCCTAGGTCTCGCTTTTTGTCACCGTTATAGGCTATACGTCGCGTAGTTTCCCAGTCCTCATTTTCTGTTACGGCTTTGGAATCCTTCCTTATCGTTTGTTCGTCCGATATACAAGACAGTTCCCCCCTTTTTTTTTCGTCAACTCATCCCTCCCTCGGGTTTTCGGTTCCACTGTGTTATCATTCCGCCCTGTTTTCCGGCATATCCTTTGACTTTTGTTCGTTGTCAACCACTGAATCTCTTTACATTCGTGTCTGCCTCTCGAAGCTCGATCCTCTTTTTATCTATTATTCGGTTTGGTTCGGTCTTCGATTTCGAATTATCGTTGCCTGGGAGAAAAGGTCTGAGACGCGTGAATATTACAGCGACATTCACCTCGATGCGGAAAAACGCGTTTCGAATTTTCGTGTTGCCACAGTCTCGCCACGGCTCTCGGAGCAGATCGGAGCTCACCGCGCAGGGACCCCTGTTGCAAAAATCAGCGCCACTTGCAGCATTGCTGTGGCCAGCCGCAACTCAGTGTCACAAGTCATTCCTCTCGCCAGAGCGACTGTGTTATGCTTCCGAAAAATTCGCAATTCATCCATACTTATATCTTTGTGGTTCAGGCAATCGCTGAGAGACAATATCTATTAGGGAGCACTGTCGGAAGTCAACAATCACATAATATACAACTTTCATCAATGTTTTAGTATGATCCCTCCTGAATATGGGCCTGATGGCTGCAGATTCTGTAGAGAGATGAGTTACATACTCCATGCGGCCAATTTGGTGCTCTTTTCCAATCATATTCTCTCGACCTTGTGCATGTGCAAGTGCCGGATCTTACCAGGTGGTTCGGGGTCCCAGTAGGTCAGCTCACACGTCTGTGGCGAGCATGTGGCAACACGAAATCGCGAAACGCGCGATTCCGCATCGAGGTGAAAAGCGCTGTAATGGCAGAACGAGATGGTGTGCCATGCTGGGGCTGGGGTCAGGGAAAAACCGGTCTGCCAGGATCTACGGTTCAGGCTGGACCGCCGCTGCGTCGCGGTGATCGTACACTGCTTGGTGGAAGCTCTGCATTTGTTGTCTGAGTGACGGACTCAGAAAGCTACTCGAAGCTTTGGGACGCGACGGACCACTGACCAGAGGGACATACATCATGCACTCTGGGTAGGGTTTGAGGTGCATGCCGGTAATAGACGGTAAGTCGACGTCTTCGTAGCTTGGGGTAGCGGCGGTACCAGTGTTCAAGGAAGATTATTCTCCCTGTGAACTGCGGTGGTGGTCCGGGTTGAGTGCTGTTACATTCCATGATTTAGTAGACGTTTCTGTTCTCATCTATATGTATACAGCATAGACTACAACTTGTTAAGAGAAGATGATCATTGCCTCGGAGGACCCGGCATTCGGAAGTGAATACGTACGCCGAGGGGCGCAAGAGCTGTATATAGGTCCCTACAGGCGGGATACCGATAATTACACTAGCTGGACGCACGCCCCGGGCTCACATACAAGTCGGTGGGCATTGACATGCGTTGACCACTCACTTTGAGTTTCATCACGATCACTGGAAGTCATTCCGGTCACAGTTGAGGCCTGAGGCATCGCACGGAGAAATTCAGATGGAAAGTGACTTCGCGCTCACATAACTGTAACTCAAGATTTGGCAGCTACTATGGACGGAGGCCATCATCCAGTGCGTGGGTTCGATATTGAGGTATTGGGAGACGGTGGTAGTTGCCCTCAGTTCGCTAGCAGCTTCTTCTCATCCTGCACTGTCCAATCTACCAGTAGCCTATACCGGACTTCTCGCGATGCGGTGTTGCTGAGGTGAAAGAATGGCTATAGATGGCATAATCGATAGGTGCAGTAGATGCGACTCGGCCAATAAACTTTATACAGGGCGAGGTTATATCCGACCGTCTACGACTCAAATGAGATATATGAGGCAAAAACCCAGGCTGCGTGAGTAGAGATGCGATTCGTACTAGTGAAGTTTGGCGTAGTTCTGATGCCAAGTATAATCCCTGTTCTTCTCCAACAGCCCTCTAACCATCTCTGTGCCTGTTTTTGGTTGTCTACCCAGCAGCTCCCCCATCAGAGGATCCACCGTCTCACCATCTCCCTTTGCGGTCCCTTCATGCCACGATACCCTCTTCTCGAAGAACGCCCTCCCCTTTCCTCCCTGATCCACTTCGACCATCTTGTCCACCCATTCGTTCAACGGCACCTCCTCGATGCGTACATTTCGCCCTGTGGTCTCGTTGATGACTTTGACGATATCTTCGAAAGAGGCGGCTTCGGGACCGGTAAGGAGAGCGATCTTGCGAGATAGTCTTTCGGGAGATTGGAGGAGCATGAGGTGGGCTGTGGCTTCTCCTAGCTCTTCGCGAGACGCGTAGGCGATACGTCCGGTGTTGGGTGGAACGTAGATGGTTTGCGTGGTAGGGAACCAGTCCATGAAGAGCGGGAATGCGTCGGCGTAGACTCCCATACGGACGCTAGTGTATACGAGGGATGACCTACACTCGATTTCATGTCAGATGAAACCCACGAGCGAATGTGAAGAGATAAAACGGAACGCACTCTTCTAGCATCTTCTCTGTGATGAGATGCGCCTGCTGCACGTCTATCTTCGAGTCATTCCCGTACCCTCCCCAAGCTAACGAGGAATAGTACACATGACCGACTCCAGCACGTTGAGCAGCCTCTATAACGTTTCTGTGCTGCCTGACACGCTTCTGTATATCGAAAGTATCGGTGCTGACGAAGAACAGCTTGTCTACTCCATCGAATGTGGTCTCAAGGCGCTCCTGGTCGTCGAAGTCCACTACGCGGAATTGCACGCCCAGAGAAGTGAAACGGTCTCGAGATGATTCTCGGCGGGAAGACGCAATGAACGAAGATGGAGGAGCAAGGTTTTTGTCGAGCAAGGTGCGCAGGACTGAGGCTCCGAGACCGCCTGTGGCGCCTGTGACGAGGATAGTGGGAGAGGCCATCTGAATGTGTTTCTAAACGATGATAATCCAGAGCATCATTTGGTGGTGGTATAAGTAGTACTATAGCCGTAGAGCTTAGAGATACCAGCAGGGCGAATGACAGAGACTGCAGAGATGCTGACTAGACGCCGCTACAGCTGACTGAGCATCGAACAAGTACATTTCATTGTTGCCCAGGATGAGAATTTGCGCTTCTGATGATGAGTGCTGCCCAGTGAAATGGGACGAAATATAACACAGACTTGCATGGCTGCTCTCATACATAATTCAAAATTATGGCACGTCCGGGTTCAGCGGGTCAAATGAACGGGAGGGGGGTTTCTAAATTCTGACGCCGCCAAGTTTGTGAAGCGGCGCCTACAGCCATGTGTCAGAGCGCTAGAGATGAAACAAGGGTGGCTAAGTGTCCTCGTCTTGAAGGTCAGCATCGTCTGCGAACAAGTACGCGGATAGGATATTCGTCCGAACTGTGTGGCCCAGTGTGAATGAGATCGTGTGCGGCGTAGTCGATTGCGATAATTTGCAATATTTTGGCTTCAGGCTTTGATCATGTGGGGAGCGTGTGATCTGCAGCAGCGCCACCCCCGCATTCGCCTCGAGGCGCCGTAACGCTCGAGAACGGGCGTCGAGCTCCAGCCTAAGAGCAGCGACTCTCACCGCCAGTCTTCGTCGGGTCGGGTCGAGTCGGGCAGCACATCGCTGCCCTCTGTTATAATCCCGCCCATGTCTTTCTCTTCATCACCACTCACAGAAGCCACCGGTGCGAGCAATCATCTCCAAATGTCTAACACTCATCTCGAGGTTCGCTTCGACGAGGAGTGTGTTCTCATACCCGACAATATCACCCGCTCGCGCATCCCACTACCCAGATTTGTATCCAAATCCTATTCTGTGCCCCTTTGGAAGAGGAGAGGCAACATCAGCCCGGATGCTACGCCACCTAATGGGCAACCTTCTTCCCCTCCGAGCCAGTCTGCGGTGGATGAGCCCGACCATTTTTCCCTCACCGTAGCCATACCTAGGTTCGTCCTCACGCCCTTGTTTAATCTTGGATATCTTGTTTATGTATCTTGTGCTTGGTCGTAGGCTATCTATGAGGTCACCCTCTCCAGGTCGTTCTGGTCTCTTCGACGAACACCACCCACCTTCCCCTTGTCTCATTCATCGCGATCCGTCGTCTCCACCTCTGCATCGCCCCCGTCGCCCGTCTTTACCGACAGCCACTCGCCATGACCTCGCGACCGTACCGCTGAGGCCATGCTGCGTTGATTGCGTCTCTATCACCGAACAATCTCTCGCCGAAGGTGATAACTGGACGGAGCACTTTACTCGCGCGGCGAGAAAAAAACGTAGCCTCAGTGTGGACGCTCCCCCTCATGCGCGTAGAAGAGTTCACACTCACCATCTGTGCCACGATATGAGCATCATCGGGTTGACCAAGGCAGCGCACGACATCCGCAGTACCGATACCTCGGACGTCATAGATGAGCCGCAAGGGTTTTTGACTGTCTCTGTCGACGAGGTGGATCGCGTCAAGGGGATCAGAGCTGAGGACGAGCTGAAGGCGCCCAAGCCGCCCAGCGATGAGAGCACGGAGTCGGACGACAGCAACGATCAAGCCGTGGGTGAAAGCCCAGAGGATGGGCCCGCTGAGCTTCACCTTCCACCATTGATATCCCGCTCTCGACCCGTGCTCTCTCCGATCCCTAGCACAAATGCCTCAGTCGACGACCTGTTCCATCCCCGCTTGCCTCGAGAGCAGGCAGACTCAATATCTACGACACCTTCCCACCCTCAGGACATGATCTCGACATCTTTACCCTCAGAACCAAATCCTTTCTTCTCGCTCCCAACCCTTGATTCCTCTCCGATCCCTACCGTCTCAAGCCCTCGGACCCCTTCGGAATCCACTGTATCGTCATCGCCAAATATCGGGTCGCCGACTCAGTCACCATCTACGTCTCCGAAAATACGTATACATCTGCCCAGTCGAGCGTCATTCCTACGAGCAGGGTCGGAGGTCCTTCGCAGCGTCACTGCTTTCGGCTCACCCGGAGTGGGCGTACGCTGAGAACAACTAAACGACGTCTTCATTTACTGTATCTTTTTTGACTTTTCTTCCACCCTCTCCTTTGCTCGCTGCTGTGCCGTCTTTCGCTTTCCGCTGCCTTCACGCCTTCCATCCACAAATCGCATAGCATCTCTTTCGACTCGTCTAAATGGGCATGCCAACCACTTTACTTGCCCAGAATACGCCATTTCCTCGAATTCTTTACTACCTTTTCCTCTGTACTTTATATCACGAATGCGCTCTGTTGTTCTTGCTCGCAGTCTCATCTTCACGTTCTCATTTGGTCGTTTGGTTGTTGGGTGATATATGGAGATGTTGTATGTACAGTATCGTGTCGGTTTCGTTGTCGTTTCTATATATTCAGTACGTGCCTCGTTTCGAGCAGCTCACTACGAGTCCAAGCCAGCCCGAACCACGCACTAATCCATGGTCGGATCCCCTGCAAGTTCCCCATTCTCAAGGAATGCAAAGTCAAAGTAGGGATCCACCACTGTCGCCCACTTGGCATCTTCAATGCCATTAAACTTCAACCACTCCTTCGACTCTGCGCCCGGTCCCGTCACAGGCTCCTCGATCGACTTCACATACATGGGGTGCATGTCCAGGACGACTCTCCGGTCGCTGGCGATGATGATCCAGTTTTGCGCGGGTTCGTTGGGCATCCCGCGAGGGTGGAGGACGGGGATGGCGTAGACACCGTAGATTCCCTTGGACTGCCACGAGTTGTTCAACATGTGGGTGTGTGATGCGGATTGGATGTCGAGGCCGCGGCGCTTGCCTATGGCGATGAGTTGCTCTACGGTTATTAGATAGCCTCCGACGATGAGCATGACTGTAAGCAACCGTGTTGCGGTCAGTAATAGCAAAATCATAACTTTGGAAGAGACCAGATTGTGTGAACTGACTGAGGTATGGATGTTGTACTTGCGAGAGCAGTGTGAATTCTATCTCGCTACGGCACTGGAGATCTGCTAATTATCTCAATGCTGTCTCACCCCCTCCCGCCACTCGACAACATCCGCCCGTATAAATGATGTGACATTATCCATAAATATGGACCCACAAAACCATGGTACAGACAAGGCAGTACATAAACTGCAATGACCACATCCTCTGAACTATCACTCACAGGACTCAAAGTACTCAGAAATTTCGCAGAAATCACACCAAGAGAATTAGAAGGAAACATCAATTATATTTGGCACTATTCTACTACAGACCGAATCCACCATATGCACACCTCTCGGAAGTCCCGCTTCAGACTCCTTCACTGAGGCCCAAGAAGGTCCATCAAGCTCAAACCGAGGAAAGAGAAGAGAGGGGAGGGTGTTGTCCAAAAATTGCTAAAAGCCGAAGCTAATAGACGGATTCGGATGTGTAATTTGCAATCAGCAAAAGACATGGGCTCAGTCGAGACTTCACTGCCGCATGTACGTGCCCGAGCACAAGAGATGGGGAAAAGGGAGGGACGGGGGTGGGCAGGATTATATACGATGTGCTGTTTAGGGCAGGCTTCAGAAGTGGCACGGGCCAGGGAAAGCCGGCGGGTTGGCGTGATGTCTCGGAGGTGTGGCACTTTGCATGTGGCGTGATCACGACGGAGGTGCTGAGTTGCCAACATATTCAGTTTGCAACGACTCACAAAAGCGTCCGTTTTTGCATACATACTCATCACTTGCATCCGAAATAAAGATACAACATGTTCTTGGTCAATAGCGTCCTACAAGAACCCTCCGCGACTTCCACTGCCGAAGCGTTCTGACAGCCCCTTTGCGTCGTTGATCATCTTCCTCCGGTCCTTCTCGTCCATGAGTCTGCCACCTAGCCCCATGTCTCTTGAATGATCCCATACACCAGGTACCTCGTCCTTTTCTGCAGGTTGTGTGGATTTCGAACCTGAATCGTGGGCGTCGATCAGGGAGGGACCGCGGGTTTTGCGCTAGATGGGACCGAGTGTCAAGTCAGAGTTCAGCACCGAGTTAGGTAGACATGATTGGAAGAGTCGCCGCCCCAGAGATAACAAAAAGCGACGTGAAGAGAGATGGGATGAGCTTACCGTGTGCTCTTCGACGTCCCTCTTCAGTTCCATATCCTTCTTTCTCCGCTTCCGAGCCTCCTCCTCTGCCTCAAGTTCCTCCCTGCTCGGACCATTCTCAGCTCGTCTCTTTTTTCCTGACACTTCGTCCGCTAGTCGTTGTTGTCGTTCGGCCGGAGTCTCAGTCCAGAGGGAGTTATCTGTCTGGCCGCGGGAAGGGGCCGTGGAGCGAGAGAATTGACGGGATTTGGTGAGCTTTGTTGGGTCGATATCTAGTTAAAAGGAGCGGTGAGACTTGACCATATGCGAGAGTTTGTGTCGAAGAAAGCTGACTCACTGCTTAGGAGGTCAGATGCTGAGGGAGGAACCAACATCCACTCCTCTCGCTTCAAAGCTTTGGGCTTCGCAGCCTCCTACAGGACGAAAGGGCGATGCGGGCACACAGTTACAGCAGCCTATTACTGATATAGATAGATTATTAGACGTACCTCGATGGCTTTCCGCCTCTGCTCCTCCTTCTCCAAAAACTCCCTGACACCGTCCTCCTCTTCAAGCACAACCCCCTGTGGCAACGGAACCGGTCCAACCTCGTCCTCACTCTCTTCCTCTTCCTCTCTTCTTGCAGGTCCCATAGAAGGTCCTAGCACCCTCTTCGGTGGTCCCGCAGAGGAGTTGGTGCCAGACCGGGAGGCAGCAAGATCTGGCGGAAGAGCAGGGGCGTAGTCATCCTCTTCTTCTTCCTCCTCCTCTTCGTACCTAGGAGGTCCTGGATTAGAGCTTGGAGGTAGTTGTGGGCCTGTTGGATAGCTTTGCGGTTCATGTGCAGGAGCAGGACTGGAGCCGTTTGATATTTGTGGGCCTGCAGATGTGAGAATGGTGGGCCCAGTGGAAGGAGTGGGACCGGGTGGTGGCGAAGACGTCTTAGACGAGCCAGCTACGAGATGAGGGAGAAGTGATGGGCCTATTGACGACATGGTTCAGTATCTGGAGGGCTCTCGAGTAAAGAGAGGTTGAAAATGGGTTTGCCGGTGATGGTGGAGTTGTGAGCTTTGAAAGTGGCAAGTTCGAAGGTTGCGGACGCCCGGCCCGCGTGGGCCGTGAGATTGGAATGTTGACGCCACTTGATCGGGATGCCGTTCTTCGCCACTTCGTCCATCTTTCAAAACAACGGTGAGGGGTCTGGTCATATCTATACATCTACAAAGTCTGTTTCCTGCATCGAGTAGCTTACATCGACTTTGAAACAGGTCCAGAGCTCTGTGTCATCCACTAAAAAAGGTACTTGGCGCTGCTCTCTGCACAACCTTGTCGAAATATGATGAGCCCGAAAGGCCCGGGCTGCATGATGCTTCATGATGACTCGAACTTCTAAAGTCCTCGTCCTGCCTGGCTTGCAACTTCATTCTGCGCTGGATTTTCGATGCAGTAACTCTCACTAAAAGAGCTATCTTATCATCGGTTTCCAGCTTCACCGTTATTCGAGCGCCGGACCGAGTCAGTCTTACTTTGGTGGCTCCGATTCTCTTAGCTCATTCTCAAGGTATATAACATACGGCTCATGCTCAAATGTCTTCCGCCTATCTTTTTGACTGGCCCCTTCAATGCTCAGAATAATCAGGGAAATCTCATTTACAACTTCGTTCCAACGCTTTCCAGCTTCTCCACTTTGTCACCCTCGACTGAAAAGCCGACCAATCATGACCGTCCCTTCAAACCCCATATACGGCCCGCCGTCTGAAGCCCTCCGTGCCCTCACACCCTCCCAACTCACCTTCCTCCAAAACCTCCCAAAAGCCGAACTCCACGCACACCTGAACGGGTCCATACCGCTCCCCATCCTCCAAGACCTCGCTCGCACCTACATCGCATCTGACTCGACTCCGTCCTCAGACGTCGTGCAAGCTGGACTGCAACAACTCCAGAGCGGCGTCCAACTTGTAGAGATCAACGATTTTTTCGGGCTGTTCCCCGCCATTTACGCTCTCACTTCTACGCCGTTGGCCCTGCGCAAAGCTACGCGAGGCGTGCTCTCTCATTTCTTGGGACCTGTGCCTGTGGAAGGCGAGGGGCGAGAGAACGTGGTTCAGGAGGTATCATACCTCGAGCTTCGGACGACGCCAAGGGATACTCCGGCCATGTCTAGACGTGTTTATCTCGAGACTGTATTGGCCGAGGTGGAAAGTTATGCGCCTGAGAGTGCGGCATTGATCGTGAGCTTGGATAGGCGGATGAGCCAGGATGTGGCGGAAGAGGTTGTGGAATTGGCTGCGAAGTTGAGGGAGGAAGGGAGGAGAGTCGTCGGTGTGGATTTGTGTGGCGATCCTTTGGTAAGATGCACTGGAACATCAAGCCGATTTATTCAGTTATCGACGTGTCCCGCACAGGCTGGCGATGTCGCGATCTTCACCGCTATATTCGAAAAAGCGAAACAAGCAGGCCTGGGGGTTACACTACACATTGCAGAGGTTGGTAACCCCCCCATGCCCTCGATACCTAGCGCAACACTGCTGACGCTCGTGCGTGATTATTCTAGACTGCGAAGAATCCGCCAGAGGAGACCTTGAAACTTCTTTCTTGCACACCGGCTAGACTTGGACACGCCACATTCTTGAATGAGGAAGCGAAGAAGGTTGTCCACGACCACAAAATATGCATCGAAATATGTCTGACGTCAAACCTCTTGTATGCGTCTTCATGCTCTCGCACCTGACCTTCTTCAGCATGATGCTTATCGATGTTTCATCCCCTCATAGATGCAAGACGGTGCAATCGCTAGACGATCATCATATACGATACTACCTCAAGCACAACCATCCAATCGCCATCTGCGTACGTCACTATGTTTTGTTTTCTACACATACCACTCACTGAGTTCAATTCGATTATGCTCATGGTTCCCAGACCGACGACATCCTCCCCTTCCGCAATTCCATGCTAGGAGAATATGCCCTTCTCCTTGCACCAAAACCGTATGGCCTGGGCCTCACGGAGTCCGAGGTCGAAACCATCGCTCGCATGAGCATGGAATGCCGCTTTCCACTTCCATGACCGTGACCGACCTCGAGTAGATAGTTGAACAGGCGAAGTGCGATTCCAGCTGACCCCAAGGCAAAGATTGACATAGATACATGAGAGTAGAGAGGTATGCATCCATAGCACACCACTCAATGAAAAAACAAACAAAGCAGAATCCCCACTCGACTCAGATGCCCATTCCACCGGTGACCTCAAGGGTATGGCCAGAAACATAAGACGCCAGTGGCGAGGCCAAACTACGTAGAAGGAATGTCAGCGACAGTTCCGCAAGCCCAGGGAGAGAGTACGGCGAAACTTACAAGAGCATGGCGGCGGCGGCCTCATCTGCTGTTCCCGGGCGAGCCAGAGGGATATGAGGGAACGACTTCGCATCTGCAGGAAGACTCGTCCCTGCGGGCTTCGCTCCTGGGACACCCAGAGCTACCTTCTTACCGTCAATCTCAATCGTCGCCCCCGACTCTTTCGCCGCAGTCAATCTACAGCGTCCACGACCAAAGGTGTTATTAGGTCAATGCTACATGTGCTTATGGGCCTGGAGATGAGTCAAGGTGAGACATACCGGGTGAGGACGTGGCCGTACGCCACGGTGTTAGCGCGAACGTTGAAAGCGCCCCACTCCTTAGCAATGGTCTTGGTGAAACCGGTCACGGCAGCTTTTGCGGCTGCATAGTTAGCTTGACCGACGTTTCCGTGCAGGCCTGCGACCGAGGAGACATTGACAATCGAGCGGTTGGCAAGACGGTCGTCACCCTAAGATATAGAGGAAGGGTGAATACGGGTGAATATTACAAGTTCGCTTTCGCGAAGCCGCGAGGTTCTGAAACAAAGGCTGACCTTGAGGCGCATGTAAGGTGCGGCAGCGCGCACGAGTCTGAAGGGAGCACGGACATGGATCTTCATTATGATGTCGAAAGCGTCGTCGGGCATTGTGTGCAGCATGCGATCATAGGTGAAGCCAGCTAATGAAATCAAGAAGCACCAGGAGCAGAATGTCAATGTTCGGACTTTGTCGAGTAAGTCTGCAGGTGGCGGGACGCACCGTTGTTAACTATATGGTTGATTTTACCGAACTTTCTGGTGATATCCAGAGCGCAGAGTGAGAAAGAGACCAAGCTGGTGACACGGTGAATGAGGCATACTGGATGGTTGCGTCCACAATCTTCTTCGGAAACTCCTCTGAGCCAACGTCTCCTCCAACCGCGAAGGCATCGCCGCCAGCAGCCTTGATTTCGTCTACCACGACTTGTGCCTTCTTCTCGTCCAGACTTCAAGATCTATGAGCGACAGCCGCCTGAGGAGGAAGAATAGGGGCCTACTCGCTGACCACGACCTTAGCTCCTTCTTTGGCGAAAAGGAGAGCAGCACTTCGTCCAATGCCCTAGATAGACCCCACCATTCAATTTTCATGATTCCTTTAAGGTTTTGAGAGTATACGTACCTGCGCGGCACCTACCCATAGTCACATCGTGTCGTTTAGTCAACCTTTGCATATTTATAGTCCTGAAAGTACGTGCCTGTGATGATTGCTACCTCGCCGTTCAACAATCCGCGGCTATGAGTGTTACTGAGATGTCCGGCGACTTGCTCGAGTCTTTCAGCCATGGTGGTCTTATGAGAAGGATAGAGAGGTGTGTGGTATTGAGTCAGAGGAAAGACGGTGAGGCAATGAGCACCGGTTGTCGGAATACATGTGAGCGAACATGGTCGGAATCATGCGCCACGAGCGCCTTGCGAGCGCCGTGGGCGTCAAGTGTTGAATTGTGGCATCTCAGGCTTGCGGCCACACAAACCCAAACACCGTTCTTGGACCTTCTTGGACTCGAACATCTCCTGTCCCAGCCTTTGAGCCTATCAACTCTGCCTCGATTACTTGCACAATTTAGCGAGAACCTCTCATTTGCGCCATGAATGCACGAAGTCTGAAAGCACTTCAAATTTCTCTACGCTTCTGCCCTCTGAATTGATGTCCGGCTATGAACTTGAAGTGCTCTGAATCTAGATCTGGGTCTGCTGTCTGGGTGGAACTTGGCCAAGGGACTGGAGGCGTACAAGCTTGGGTAATTTGGCCTCGTCGACAACCACAGGCTGGACACCATCTGGGAGCACCATGTGACCCCCCAAAGTGTCGTTGACGGCCTTGGAGATATCGGTGGCATCGTCACGGTTAGTGACGATATTAGAGCCACGGACTCCTTGGACATTACTCGTCATTTATTTCGAGAACAACATCAAAGCTAGGACTCTTGATGCTCACTGCAACTTCGTTGAACACATCAGCCAAAGTCACGCGTGAGCGAGAGCACTCATTGACCACAACCCCTTTCTAGCCGTGATATTTTCGTGAGGAGGGCATGGGCTGCTGTGAAGAGTCGAGGCAGCCGGGTGACGAACGTCGGCATACGCGAGTGGACACCTTGTTTGTCTTGGGTATCGAATGTAGCCGCGTTGGGTGACCCGTTTCTCATCTTGCGTCCAATTCCTCGATGTCTCTGACTTGTCCCAGCTCCGAGCATCCGTAGCTCTTTGCGTCTTCCAGCAAATGCTCGTGTATCGTTCATTGACGTGAACCTCGCCCGACCGACTGGCAAAAACCAGAAAACCTCGAGTTCGACGGCCAAACACTCGGTCTCGTCTGCGAGTCGAACCAGTTCGTTATTGCACAAACTGCCCCTCGAGAGCTCCCGATTTGCTCAAACTAAAGTGATCGCGCCGCGATCGAGGTTACACCCTGCTTTAGCTTCGCTCACGCTTTGTCTCCTCTTGCAAAAATCAGGACATCTACCGCCGGCATTGTTGACCGAAGGTAAAGTCGGACTGGTGACCGGTTGACCCTCTAGCCTCTAAACGTGTATCTCATGATAAACGCAATGGACTCCTTGTATGCGTATGACTGTTCGATTCTTCTGTCAGGTTGGCAAGGGCAATACAGGAATGACCGAGCCACCTCGTCGGCAAAGCTCGACGCCCCGCGGAACACAGAAATGTCAAGTATTTTTCGAGACGACTACAGCACAGGCATGTCAGTTCAAGGTAAGCTGTACAGCTAATACCATATCACTACTGCCACACGGGGCAGAAAGGAGTATGAGTTTGCAGCGTGAAATTCCCCGCGAGCCGATCCGTACCTTCACCCCTCTTCCCCCTTGGATGGGTTTGTCTCGGACGCAGCGAGTCGCCAAATGGCTGGGACTGATTTGAATCTTGAAGTAGCTGCACCTGATCAGGGTTGTTTTTTCACCATCTCCATTGCGGGACCATTTTGCACTCTGATTACCTTACCTTACCTTACCTTACCTTACCATGATATGGCCCCTGAGGCCTCCTTTCCGTGGCTGGCGTAACGCAAAGGCAGGTGAAATATGTTGATGTTTTGTAAGTGTACCCCTGTGTTCAAGTTAGCTGGAATACTTATTCGAACTTTCAGTCCTTGGCAGTCACAATGACTTACCCTTTGGTTATCCAGGTCTACCTAGTACTGAATGGGCCAGCATTCAATGTTTTCTACAATCATCTTCTCTCTATGTGTATCGATAGGAGCGTTGTTCCTGAAGGGACCTTCTTGCTCTGGGTTTTTACCATGCCTTTTACCTCCTAATGGCCGGTCACGAACATGTTCAAGTGGAATTCGGACCTGAGGACGGTGGCGTTCAAGCATCAGTCGCGAAATTTCCTTTCTTGGCAGTGCGTTGTATCGAACAATACAGGTCGTCTCGGCTCGGTTTCCCGTCAACGTCCATCAGTTACACATGAGTTCGGACGATGAAGTTTGAGCAGTCGCATAACAGTACTGTGGGTCTATACCACCGCATATCTCCATGCAGACTGTATTCGCGTATTACTACAGTGCGTGAACCACGGAGTCTTGTTCGCCCATTCGGGAGGGAATTAGTACAGTACTAGCAAAGTGGAGTTGTTGACCCTTCTGAACTTCTCACAGATTCAACGTACGAAGTTGTTCAAACGGGGGTTAGCGTGAGTGCTATACTGGATGGAGATGTGAAAGGTCGGCGCCACATCGTACATACGTTCAGTAGCGTCCGCCAGAACCTGGGTCATTGAAGTACTGAAATCTTTACGACGAACGATAAAAGTTTTGGGGAAGTACGAAACACCGCTACACGGTTATCATTGTACTGTGTGCGTGCTTCTTTTGTCTCCTAAACTCCGTTATTCGAATTGACAAGGCCTCGTGATGATGTTTGATAGCTCGCCCAAGAGAGATGTCTTTTATAAATGCTTCACTCGGCCGTCATCTCTACGAAAACGTCACGTTTGACGCATTCACTGACTCGGGATAGATAGGGAAGCTTTGGTAAACCATTCGGACCTTGATCACAGAACTCTGGTGAAGGTGCCACACACGACCGTATACACTGCGTCTATCACATATGGGCCGGTCCAACCTCCGCACGTCCTCAAACCATTATTCTTCGGTGGCTGATCCTGATTCACCGAACAGAGCGCACAGAGATCCAGTCTCATTCGGTGCCGCACGTTCATAACGGATCAGTGTCATCAATATTGCGCATGGAAGGTTCTTCATCTGCTGTAACGGCCGTAACTTACAGCAATCGGTCACGCAAACCCACCGACCCATTCAACGAAAAGTATATTCCTGGGGTTTCAGCATAACCATGATCAGCAGGTGACCCAGAAGGAGCGTTGGCGTCTCAGCTTCAAGAAGCAAAAAATCCCAGCAAGGATTCGCCACTGGTAAGCTGGCAAACTGTATCAGAGTTTGATCGCGTTCTGACGCAAAAGTAACTCTACGGAGAGGTTCGGGCACTGTACGACGTCCTTGTGGAAGGAGATGTGGCACCACCAGCTGAGTCTCAAACTCGAACGCACTAATGCCTAACAAACTTGCCGAGTGAACAACACGGGGTAGTCTCTTTGGGTATGTAACCCCGAATGTTTGTGTCGTCACTCATAAGTCTGAACAGTGTCATACACCGGCGATAGGCCCCGACATTATCTGGAAAGTGAAGCAGAGAACCATGCGATTGCTCTCCGCTCGGCAGCGTAAGAATATCAACGCTTCTGTATCACACTCAAACTGGTTCATGAACCACTGTCATGATCTGTGAGAGTATCATAGAGTTCTCTTTTATCACATCGTGACAAGGGCCTCATGAGGAACCGTAAGGTAAGCCTGTATGGGTTGTCTGATGACCAAAGCGATTCTGAACATCGAAAAGCCATGGCTTTAAGTTGGAGTAGAAGTAAAGGGCCCTGACGGCAGGACACGACACGGAGAGCAAACCTCATTACCAGAAGGAGCAAACTCTGCGCAGACAGTCAAGTGGTGAGGAATGATTTTCCAATGGTGTCAGAAGTGGTATGCCTGCAACATTACGCTCAGGTATTGCGCTCTGCAATAAATATCGTGCTGTATAATCGTGAAGATGAATCTGCTCAAACCTGATTATTACCGGTGGCTAGCAGCATCATCAACCTTCAATCGAAGACACTCACAAACAAGACTTTTAAGACCAGCTCACGAGCCCTTCGGCAGCTTGACTTGAAAGGTACCTATATTGCATAATCAGTGTTATTCAAAAAGAAAATGTAAGAAACAGAAAGGAATATGATACGCACACTGCGGTAGATTTACTTCAGGGACTATCACGGCTTGGATACCTAACCGCATAAGAGCTCCTCGTAGGATCCCAGCGGACATAGCAACGTACTGTATAGGGAAGCGAGGGCGTCAAAAAGTGAAGGAGTGAAATAGGATGAGAGGAAATGCACGGACAAGTCTCGCGCGCTTTGTAGCATCTGCTCGACTCTCCCAAGAAGACACGCGAGCGACTGGCTTGAATGCATTGTCTTGAAGCACATAAACACCCTAAGTGGAACATAAGGCTGAAGACTGCCCGCTCAAAGCGTAATAGCGTACTCGATGATTTGTCCGCAAGTTGTCCACTTGCTTGTCCCAACATGTGGCCCACAAGTCCTTGCAGATGAACTTGATCGTATCCAGAGTGTCCGAGAAGATTGGTCGGTCATGACATAGCCTACATCACGAAGAAAAGACTGAGTTCCTGAGCATTCAACACCGAATACAGGTATGGAATATCTACCGCTCCGTAATATTCGCACCGACGTGAAGTCCAATCGCCTCCAACCGTACTCGAACTTCTTCCTCTTCCTCATCCAGAGGAGACTTGCTTGCAATAGCACTTTGTGACGCGTTACTCGTCAAGGATTCCCTCTGAACATCCTTCTTAACTCTCAGTGCGGGAGCAGGGGGAGGAGGTGGTGGTATAAGGCCAGATTCTATCATCTCTTGTTCGATCTTCTTGGCGCGGGCACTGGCTACACTTGAAGAGTGCCGAAGAGCCTCAACAAGTTCTATTTGAAAGTAATCCATAGCAGCGCCGTCCATGAGACGCAGTGGAGGGTCTGCTAGGAGGGCTAGAGAGGAGGAGCTTGAAGATGCTGCTGGATTCATGTTGTGCCAGGTTGTCTCAAAGCCGAGTGCAAACGTAGGAATAAGTCTTTTGCAAAGTGTCGAGGGACGAAAGCAGGAGAATTAGGTGGATAGCGACAAGGTCTGGTCGATATTGGTTGGTGGAGGGTGAGCAAGACGCAGTGCGCCACACTGACTGGCTTCGTCATCATACCCGCCGCCACTGCCAGCCTTGCGAACACCCTTGACATCAACCACCACGACGATCACGATCCGGACTACGACGAACTGGGACATAACGAAATTCGCTTCATAACTTGCAGACAATATAGCGATAATGTCTGGTTTCACTTCTTTCTTACCCTTCAAAGGGCTCGGCTCGATGGGTCCTCGAGATCGTCCGACAGATCCTGTGGCCCGCCTGCGTTCCAATCTCGAAACTATGCCAGGATCTAGGAAGTATGTGTTCCGACCTGAGACTCGGGCTGAGATTCTCTCCGAACTTTACGATGCATTCTGGGGCCCTTATGCCCACCTCTTCTTGCCCAATTCGAACTCGAGCCTCCCGCTGCACAAGACACTTAGCGAAGTTCAGACACGTTCGAATTTTCTGGGAGCAGGAGCAGAGGATATGCCAATACCAGGGAAGCCCTGTGGTCATATTTTTAAGAAGGGGGAATGCTGCTTTCGGTGCAAGTGAGCATTCGCGCGCACACTATTCCCGGTACTCTCCTGACAAGAATAATCCATTATAGGGACTGTGCGCTCGATGATAGCTGTGTACTCTGCTCGCGATGCTTCCATGCCACGGACCACTTCGATCACAACGTCAGCTTCTTCATTGCACAACAATCGGGAGGGTGTTGCGACTGTGGCGATATTGAAGCATGGCGACAAGACATCCATTGCCCTTTCCACCCCTTCGCCGACGCCACCAAAGAATCTCTTCAACCGCCATCCACGTCTTCACACGATTCTTCCTCATCTCCAGCTCAGTCATGGGGTCGAGATCTACCGCCTGTGAAGAACTACCCTTACCGCGTCTCCGTACCCCCTGAACTACGCGAAAGCATGAACAAGACAGTCGCATATGCCATTGATTTCATGCTGGACACCCTCGACTACTCGCCAGAAGACAATGTTGTCTCATCGAGCGAAGCTGACTTACGACTTCAGCCATCCGGCGACCCCATGATGAAAGATCATTATTGTGTTGTATTGTGGAATGACGAGAAGCATTGTTTCGAGGAGGTCATACAGTTTCTCATCGAGACGACGAGGAGGAGCAGGGAGGATGCGTCTGTTATGGCCGACCGGATCGACGACCTGGGCCGCGAGGTCATTGAGATGGGCACCGATGTTCCACGTCTTCTGGAGATTGCGCACACAATAGCCCAGATTGAACTCGGTGTCACAGTCCGCCGATCATACGACACCTTTCGCGAGCAGGTCGTCGCAGTCATCATCGAGTGGCTTCTGGATCTCACACGCAGCAGGCTCGGCACAGACGCGGTGATCCTCCGGGAGATCATCGCAGAAGAGCTCCTCATGCCTCGACGGCGCAATAACGGGGTGGCAAATGCTCCGCCAGACGTTTCTCGTATTTACGCTGAGGTCAACCAACCAGCTCGCATCGAGTGGCTTTTCCTATACCACGCTAAATTGTGGAAGAGGACGCGGTTGAGCTTAAAGGAGATCTACGCCTCCATACTCAATCTCAGCCAACAGCATAGGTTAGCTGTCGGTAAGTGCCCGTCCAATCACTCTATCGATTGCTTGCTCATGTCTTTCCAGCCTCGCGGTTCTGCAACGTTTATCCCCGAGTAATCGACATATACCTTCTCGTCGACCGCGAAGCAGAGACGTCCATCAAATATTTCGCGTTGCAATTATTCACAGTACCGTCTGCAGCTTTGCACGTAGTTCGCAACTTCGACATAGTCTCTCGCCTCTTGGCGATCATCACTGCCTTCTTCACCAACCAGATACAGGACAAACGCATCACATACCCTCCGAACCCAGCGGCGCACATCGACGTCGAAAGCGAACCCTTCAAGTCCAAGCGCTTCATGCCTGTCTTCAGCGATCTCCGTTATCTGTGCCACAACGAGCCTGTTCAGAAGCTCATTGCTCACAAACACGACTTCATCACCCGGTTTGCTGAAACGTGTCAGCTCTTCATGTGCATCAACCCAAATAAACGAGCAGCAACCAGTCATGTCGAATTCGAGACCGACGGATGGATCAGCGTGTTCAATGTGGCGCTTTCACTCTCCCGAGTGATCAAGGTGTACGGCGAAGCCTTCGCACACGCCACACCTGCGGAACTTGTCTCCGCGATCGAAACCGTCACGCACAATATCATGATGGTCTGTACGCTCGCAGATAACAGGCTTGACAGGGACAAGTTCAAGCCACCCGTGTACCATAATGTCACTTTTGCTGGCACCTCTCACTACATCATACAATTTGACGTACTGGATGGATGGGTCAGCTTCCACCATTCACTTCAGTGGCTTCTTGCCGAACTGTTCAAGCACGTCGACATCTTGAGCGAGCATTCACTCCGTTCAGCCGGTTATACAAGCCTCCGTGATGTTATCATGCAGGCTCCTGGCGCCCAAGCTATGCAAACCATCATCGACTATCCTCTCAGAGGTATGGTTTCCGTCGTCTCCGGGTCACACGGTGCTAATGATCCGCCACCCTAGTTCTTGCCATGATTGCACAGATACGCACCGGCCTGTGGGTGCGCAATGGCTTCGCTATCCGCGGACAACTTCTACACTACCGCGACTTCATGCTTCGAGAACTATGCTATGATCAGGACCTATACATCGTCCAATGCGCTCTGGTCATCCTCGATCCAAGCCTTGTCCTCGTTTCTATCCTCGACCGCTTCCAACTTCTCGGGTTCTTCTCAGGCGCCATGATGCATTCAGTCTATGAAGGGGTTCAGCTGTATAGCATGGTAGAGGAGTTTTTATACGTTTTAATCTGCATTCTCGGCGAGACCGGCAACGCTCGCAAAACATCACTGCCAGAGGCCGTCCGGAGAGAGATTATTCATGCCCTTGCGGTCGGACCTTGTACCTTCACGGACCTCATCAAGCGCGTTGCCGAACGTCTGGTGGACGACACTTGCTTCGAACGTGTCTTGAAGGAAGTGGCGAACTTCCGGGCCCCGGAGTCCATGGCGGATTCAGGCATGTACGAGCTCAAGGCCGAGTGCTACGACGAGGTCAACCCATTCTTCTACCACTATACTCGGAACAAGCGGGAGGAGGTGGAGACAGTCCTGCATAGCCATTACAAGAAGAATGGGGTTTCGGACCCTGTCATTGTTCCCAAGCCTTTGGGCATCACCGACGGTCCTTTCACGGCTCTCGCCGCTGCGTTCGAAACCGATGTCCTCTTGCAGATCATGTTCTACTCCATCTACAACGTCTTGCTCCACACAAAAACCAGCGGCCAATGTCCTCCGTCGGGCGAGGCCATCCTTGACCAAGCCTTGTATATTGTAATGCTCGCCATCGTAGAGCGCCCTGCCGTCTTTGATCAGCTCGCGGCATTCAAGACGTTCGAGGAGGGCAAAGGTCTCATCGACATCATCTGTGCCCTCGAACATCACGAATCCTTCCGCGTATATAAGGCTCGTTGTTCGTGGATCCTCGACGAACTGGCGAAGGGTGTCCCCGATGAAGTCTTAACCCGGCGGAGAGTCGATGAGCCTACAGAGACAAACCCTCCGGAAGATGCAAAGAAGCGAGCCGCCAAAGCTCGCCAGGAGGCGATCATGCGGCAGATGAAGGCTCAACAAGCCAGCTTTGCTATCAACTTCGGGGATGAGGACGAGGGCGAGGGAGAAGATGAAAATCAGGAGGCCACCCAGTCATTCGGCACTTGCATCGTCTGCCAAGACGAGCTGACTGCGTCCAGTCAGTTCGGCGCTCTAGGCCTCATTCAACCCAGCAAGCTCGTTCGCCGACAATCGGAGAACAATGGCAACTCTATGAACGACGTTATGACATCCTCGTATTCCATGGACCGCACGCAGCCGATGCACACATGGTCCTTCCCACCCACGAGAGAGGATATTGGCGATGTCAAGACATCTCCCATCACCTTTGACGTCGGTTCAGCTCAAAATCCCCGGTTCGGTCTACATGCCTCGATATGTAGTCACCTCATGCACCTGGACTGCTTCAATACGTATACACAATCCATCCGACAGCGGCATCGCACACAAGCCACACGAAATCATCCGGAGAGCATCCCTCGCAAGGAATACATCTGCCCACTTTGCAAGTCCCTGGGAAACGTCGTCCTCCCTGTCTCACGTCCTGCCACCATTGAGCTCAATTCTCAGCCCTTCGCCGACTGGATCCGAGCCGCAGGAATCAGCATTCTCAAATCCAAATCGGACCCACTCCTTGACTCGTTACTTGTACGAACTGGCACCGGCGAACTAGTGTTCTGGGGTGCTCAAGACACCGGCTACGTATCGTTCTTTAGAGCAACCGACAGGTGGGCAGAATGGGACATGCATAAGATGGTAGACACGGTCGTGAACATTGCCAGGGCTATATCACAGCAGACTCGGCACCTTCGTGACCGGCCTGAACCGGACGCAGGGGAGCGCGGAGCAGGCCTATATCTTCCTGAGGACATGGTCGGCTACACCATCGCTTGCATCGAAATCGCTCAGCGAGGAGTAGGAGCACCGGGCAGCACAGTCGCTGACAATCTGACCGACTCGCAGACAAAGATGATCGGAGGACTTCTAACGTGCTTGAGCAGGATGGCCGCTGCACCATTCATGTCGCGAGCGGATGGTGGCCGTGAAGCGCTCCGTCAGGCGATCATCAAACGCCTGCTCCCTGAATGGAGCCTTTCGACGCTGAATCCCGTTTCATATCCATTGCTGCTTCGCGATCCATTCAGTATCATCGTGGAGACCGCGGCCATCGCTCCTGAGATGCTGCCACACGTTCTTACGTTGACATACTACGCTACCCTCGCCAGGACAGTGATTGGTCTCGTCTATCTTCTCAACAAGACGAGGGGATGGCCGGTTCAGACTGTCGGTCAGCGTGCGTATGAGAACTTATTTGGAGACGTCCGTATGTTCTTTGCGTCCGTCGTACGCCACTCTCCGGTTGTGGAACACGCTTCCGACATCGTGTTTACGACCTATGGCGAGGCCAGGATTGAGAAGCTCATGTACTCGTTCACCCTTCCTTTCCTTCGACGTGCAGCCATTCTGTGCCGAGCCGTTCATCCCTCCGGTTTTCCAACCCCTTCGTTCGACGGCGATGAACCATGCGAATATTCCCGGCTCCTCACCATGCTCCGCATCCCACCTCTTGCCGACCTCCCAAACCAGGAAACTCTTCAGACCGCTCTCGGTGGCTGGTGCTCACACTATGGCCATTCCCATGCTGCGTCACAACTGAACTGTGGCATCGCTCTCGAGAATCCCACCATTTATCGGATCGCACGCCTACCGATCGTGCTGGATGCGTTGTTCGGGGAGCAGGATAAGGCGTTGACTTGTCAGAGGTGTAAGACTGCGCCTCTGGATGCAGCGATCTGTCTCATTTGCGGACAGATCGTGTGCTTCCAGAGCCATTGCTGTGTGGACAAGGAGCATGGCGACAAGGGAGAATGCAACATGCATACGCGAGAGTAAGCTTTCTTTTCGGCGTCACATTTATCGATGTGACTGATGTCTGTAAATCAGGTGTGGAGGAACCATTGGAATGTTTTTCCTCGTCAAGCGTTGCGCATTGCTATATCTGCATGCCAACAGTGGGACATACGCTTTGTCGCCTTACCTTGACATCCACGGAGAGGTTGATACGTCGATGCGGTGAGTTCATTATCTTATACACAGCAGGCGTGTGTTGAGTCAGATCTGACCAAACCTACATTGCATCTAGGCGAGGGCGACGTCAATTCTTACATCCAGCCCGCTGGGAGGAAGTTAGAAAGACATGGCTTAGTCACGGTATCCCGACGCTCGTCGCGCGCAAGCTAGAGGGAACAGTTGACAGCGGTGGATGGGAGTCTCTCTGAGGTATGAAATATGACTGATGTTAGATGTTTGGGTTCCCGCCATTTTTACGTACTTCACGAATGTATCATTTCATTGTTGTTCTTGCGCTATCGCTTTGTATTCGCTCGTTGCCTTTTTTGTCCAATGTTTTTGTTGTATAACCAGATCGGCGTCTCCAATGGATATATCAGATTGTTTCCTGGCATTCCTTCCCTGTCATTGTCGACATGACAATGCGACTGAATCGTACGGGCAAGAGCTCTGCAATATAACATTCATTCGGACACAAGGACGAACTAAACGAGTACTTGTTGTGATTGCTACGGCACGATACTCTAGTCGGGTCGGGCTTTTTGGAATCTGACACAATACACAGGCTTGACTCAAGCTCCGTCCCATCTTACCACAACAGATATTCGATGCATGTATCTCCACTAATTCACAGGGCATAATGACAAGACTAGAGTCCATAAGCGTGATTGTTAGCCTTCGACCTTAGCTAGGACAAGTGATGATACAGGCATTGCCTACACAGTTGTGTCACAGGTTGATGATGGGAATCGCGTCAAGACCGAGCTGATTTCTCATTACTTTCAACTGTTCTCCTCGATGAAGAACGGTCTGGTATACCTCTTGGATGGGGATCGAGAGCTCGAGAGCTCCAGCCTCTTCCAAGTCGTGCATGGTCCGGATAACCCAGCTAGCGCACGTCCATGAGGATCCGCCGGTGTAATACGGGTCGTCTTGCTTCTTCTCCGCCGATATGTCCTTCAAGAATGAACACATTGCGGTTGTGGAATATGGTAACTGCCCAAGGTCAATAACCCCGACGCAGTCACGGTTGGAAGGATTGAAGAGGCAGGTAGTCATGTGGCGGCGATGCCAGCCTGTAGTTGCACCATTCGCAGCGCGATTGCTGATGTCGAAGGTGTCGACGGTGGAGGCACGAAAGTCGGTTTCATGGATGATGAATGCCCAGTGAAAGAAGGTTCCACCCATTCCGTCGTCCATGTTGTACATAGCGATTCCAAGCTTCACGGTAGGCATGGTGAGATTGTCTGCAGGGAGATGCGTGTGACGATATGATTAATTAGTATTGAAGAAAATTTCGTACTCGTGTGACGAGTAAAAAGATTTGCAAAGTGACGGACGATGGGGCGTTAGAGACGATGGTAAGTATGAGGCGTTTGGCTGCCAGAGGGTGCGTTGGATCAGTTCCGGGAAACTCTCGCATTATAAACTGGAAGAGATATGCTTACAGACTATGCCATCATTATCGATGGTCCAAACCTGGCTTCGTTTGTGTGGATAACGCTGCAGCTATCTGTATTAGGAACCTACTAGATACCATCTTGTCGACAAATCAGCTGCCAACAAGGCCCGGGGGTGGTTGAGGGGTGACTTTCCTGCAACACAATCTGCATATGGTAGCTGCGAGCCAGCTCCGCCTCATTGCTCGAGCTCCTATGACTGGTCTGGAGCAACCAGTATAGTGCGTGTTTGGTGCGTGTTTAGTAGCGAAAGTGGCCCTGCAGTGGTAGGAAAGAACATTCAAACGGCAAACGCCGCGTTTTGTTCACCTTCCTACATCTAGCATCACCGATCCACGGCCCTGGCCCCTGTTGTCTGCTCCATATAATAATATCACTTGAGTTCCCCTCATTTATCTTCTGCACTCCCTTGCAACTTCCAGTCGACGAGACTACAAAGGACTTTTGCAGTTATAAGTGCTGTGCCGTAGCGTCCGATAGTGTCAACGGTCAAGATTTCAAATCATCCTTATGCCTCCGGATGATATTTGTGTCTTCGGTGCTTGACAGTCAGCCTTGACCATGGTCTTCATCACGTAGTTTCTCCTTTGGCCCATAACCATCGCGAGAACAAATTTGGCAGACATACATTTCGTAGATGCATCATGACTCCTCAGGGTACCACTCCCCTACTCTAGACGCAGCGTCTTCCAACCTCGCCAACGTCTTCTCCTGGCCTAGCACCTTCATAATTTCGGGTACGCTCGGGCCACTCTACAACCCATCAACACGTCCCGTAACATTTGGATCAGCAATTTTACAAGCACATAAAGAGAAGGCGGCAACTAAAAGAGAAATGACGAACCTTCATCCCGCTCAACGCATGTCGCATCACCGTCATGTACACCTTCGACTTCAACCCCGTCTTCTTATTCTCCTCGTGCAGAACGCTCGCCACATCGTAAGCCTCCCATTCTTGCGACGGAATGGCTCGGAGGCGCTCGAGTGTGGGTTGGAGGGCTTGGAGGTAGATTTCGTGGGAGGGGATGGCTGTGACGAGCGCTTGGGATTCGGGGCTTGTGTAGGATGGTGGTTGGAAGAAGTAAGGAGCGGTGGTGAGGAGGTCGGGGGCAGTCATTAGCCGGCCCTGAGGGGTTGGGAATTTCGGGTTAGAGGGGTGCTAGGAACGAGAGTAGGATGGAGCGAAGTATACCTGGAGGGCGAGGATGACTTTTTTGAGGTATGGTATTGATGTCGAGTCGCTATATACGCCACAAATGTAGGTTAGTATCTGTACGGTCCTGGCGAGGGCATAATGATATAAGATATGATACCGACCTGTCAGGATAAGCTGCTTTGATATCCGGCTGCATCCTCTCCGCAAAGGCCTGTAAACCTTCCTCGGACGAGAAATCGCGCATGAGATGGTGTTTGTTGAGGTATTCAAGTTTGGTTGGGTCGAGGACCGAACGTCGATGTGTCACGGCTGAGAGATCGAACTGTGACAAAGGCAAAGGCGAATGATCAGACGGGAGAAATTGCAGGCCGACGGTGGTAGCAGAGAGTATATGACCTACGTGCTGGATGATCTCCGGAAGAGACATGACCGTTGTACTATCGGGTGCCGCAGTTTGTTTCGACGAAGAAGCACTCGACGAGTCCGAGTCCGAGTTCGAAGAAGATGCCTCTGATGAATGTGAGTGCGAATGTGAATGGTCATGTACGCCCCAGCCAGCAAGTGCCAGCCAATTCACGACAGCCTGTGGTTCCCACCCTCGTTCCTGATACCCACTGATGGTTAGACCTGGACGAATGAAGGAAAAAGGTAGTAGGAGGGAAGGAAGGACATACGATGAAATCTACGACGCGGACGTCTCCCTTCCGTTTTGACATTTTCGACCCATCGGGGTTGAGGAGGATGGGTAAATGAGCGAATTGGGGTGGCTCGAAATTGAAAGAGGCGTAGAGGTCGAGATGTAATGGGACGGATGGAAGCCATTCCTATTTGTGGGGTCATGGAGAACAAGGTGGGTGTGACGGTGGAAAAGTGATGGAATGAGACGTACCTCGCCGCGCAGAACATGTGTGATGCCCATTTCGTGGTCGTCGACGACTGAAGCTAAATGATAGGTCGGGAACAGATCAGACTTGAGTAGTACCGGGTCTGTTGGGAGAGACGCGTGTGCATCGCGTAGGTGACCGAATATGAGGTCCGGGGGAGATGTTCGCCGGGGAGGCATTGAATCCTGAACAAGGAGCAAAGAGAACGTTAGTGACCACATCACATACCAATCACTGAGAGTTGGCCTGGAAGGACTATCAGGCAAAAAAGAGAGACGCCGTATACTCACGTTCAACCTAACAATACTCTTTTCTCCCGCCTTCACTCTCCTCGCCACCTCCTCCTCCGTTAGATTCAAACACTTCTTGTCGTACGTCTGGTTCAGACCTGACCTCGCGAGCCGTTCGCGTGTGCTTTGAAGTTCATCTGCAGTACAGAAGCAGCGATACGCATGGCCAGTCTGTGGGATATAATTGTGAGCTTTGGCTGGTGTGCATTGGCTAGGGAGGGACTGAGAAGTTGTGTGGCGGTGGACATACGTCGAGGAGCTTCTTCGCGTAGAAGTGGTACAGGTCAAGTCGCTGGGACTGTGTATGCCCAAGACGTTTATATGCAGTAGTAGATTAGATGCCATTGCTTCTATGAAGTCGAGAACTAAAGAGACTACAGAACGGACCTGGAAATACGGACCGTGTGGCCCAGCCTTCCCCGGACCTGTACAGTTCGACTACTTGTCAGCCCATGATGCTTTGTGCGACATTTCGCATAGCACTCCGACGAAGATAATAAAACGATCAACTTGACGAGCTGGATGGACACGCACCATAATCATAGTCCAACCCCGCCCAAGCCAGACCTTCCCTTATGCCTTCCACCGACCCCGGTACAGCGCGCGCCTGTCATATCGCCCAACAAGAGCGAACGCCACAAAAGAACCATCACCACAACGTAAGTCACCCCACACATCGAAAGAAAGAACACGAGTCAATACACGACTAGAAAGCAGCCGAGGTAGAGCAATAAACCAAAACACACCGCATCGGTATCCTCGATCCTCAACAACCACTTCCCACCTAATTTCCTCGCATGTATATGGTTCACAAGGGCCGTGCGTAAGCCCCCGAGGTGCAGGGGTCCTGTCGGAGATGGTGCGAAACGGAGGAGGACTGGTGAGGTCATTGTTGGCTGACCGAAAGCCTGTTTGGATTGCTAGTAACGCGTGGGCTCGGGGCTACTCTTCGAACTGAGGCTCGTCCGAGTGTTTGTTTATGATTATAAGAACCAGCAGAGTCGAACCTGGAACCACAATATGTAGTGCCAGTAGTAGAGGTCTTTGTATAAAAGCGCGCTCAGTGTTGGGCTGAGGCGCGTCCGGAACCAGCCTGGCCATTATATTCATGCGATTCCGATTCGGTTCCCCTGTGGCACCCTGTCCAACCAGGCACGCCACACAACGGCGAACTTCCTTGTCCCCTGTCCTCCGCGAAGGAAAAACCAAACGACGAAACTGTAAATAAGTAGATTCCCAATGAGATATATAGATAGAATTATTATAATACACTGATGATACAAGAGTACTTTGCCTCCTTGTGAAATGACACCTATTCGAAACTTGAAACTGTACCGAGAGTCCGTAAGTTCACCACCACTCCCCGTCACTGCCATAGCGTTCTTCAATCGCATTTCGCCCGCGGCCTAGAGTCTTTTCCGCCACGTCACGTCCTGGCCCCACTATGCGCGGTTTTTGGTCCGCCTCCGCCCACCACTCACCAGCCTCTTCCACACCACACCCAAACCCATGCCCAAACTCCTCACTCTCCCCGTCCTACCGTCCCACCGTATCGTCGAGCCGTGGAACACATCGCCCATGAACCGTCACCTCGAAATTATAAGCAAGACCGAAAGAAAGAAGGAAGTCGGAAAGAAAGAACACAACGCAACGAAAGAAAAAAAAGACCGATCTCAAAAGTCAAGCTTCGAGTTCCAACAAATCGAAAAGGGAATCGAACGGTGTTCGTTAGTACTAAAGAAAGAAAAAGTTCCATGGCATGAGATGGGGTGGATCGAAGATCGAATAATCAGACCGCGACTCGAACATGTGGACTGTAAACACTCGTACATACAACACAACACAACGACTCGACTCGCACAACACAAAGACACAAAACGACGACGACACAAAAAAAAAAGAAGGAAAAGAAGATAATAAGCAAGACGACTTAAATACCACGTAACACATAACACTTGGGAGGTGGGCTAGGACTGGGTTGGGCTGGGCTTCGTAACATTCGGTCTGAATCTGAGTAAGAAGTAAGTGGTCGGTAACAAAAATGGATCCGCAACAACACAGTAACACAACAGAAAAAGAGCAATTATTCAGATATACAAGCATAGCGGGACGACGCGGATGTATGTATATATAGATATATGAGAACATTGAACACTGAACGCCGAACAGGAACGAAAAAAGGATGAATAAAGAGACAGAGACCGAGACAGATGGCAGCAGATGCAAACGATACACTGTGTTGGGTTTGGACTAGATGTGGGTGGCTTGAGCGGGAGGGGTTTGGGTTTTGAACATGGCCTGGCGGCGCGCGTTGTGGGTCGGTGGTCGTAGGCTCATTGCTCGTACGACGGCCCCTGCAACGACGCCATCCAGATCCGAGTCTTGTATAACCTGAAAAGCTCCCTGACGAGCTCTCTGAAATCGATCCGTTTCTCGGCGACGAAGTAGAACGTCAGCTTTCGTCGGTCCCTGTGTGACATACACCGCATTCAGTAAGGAGCCGTAGCGGTATCAAAATAAAGGGAAAGGCACAGGGTGGTGTGGGTGTGGTAAAGAGCAAGAAAAAAGACGCACCACTGATACTCCGCATCAACAACCTCCATCGGCAACTTCTTCTGCCTCACCTTCTGCTGACACAACTGCAGCGCCTTCAACTCATCCTGCATCTTCTGGTCCATCATCCTATATCCCACATCATCATCATCATCCAGTCAGCCTTCCATGCGCGGAGAGGAAGAGTGAAGGGAGAACAAGAAAACTCACGTCCGATCCTGCCCACTCGCCTTCCCATAAATCTGCTTCGGATTGATCTCCTTCAGACTTTTCGGCGCACCCTGTCCTCCCCCTCCATTCATCCCTCCCTGCCCTCCTCCATTCATCCCACCCTGCCCACCTCCATTCATCCCACCCTGCCCACCTCCATTCATCCCTCCCTGCCCATTCATCCCCCCCGGACTCATCGGCCCACCCCCATTGCCCGTCGGACTCATCATCCCACTCTGCGCATCACTATTAAACCGCATCGCCATCTGTCTCTGATAAGCCTCCACGTCCTCGATCGTGATGGTATCGTTGATGACCTTTCCGAGATCTTTGCCGCGGTCGGCTTCGACTATGACGAGGTCGCCGACGCTGGATGGGATAGGATAGCAAGTGGGAGGGAGTTAGTGGATGTGGACTAGGATGAGCACCATGAGGAACGGAGAACCCAAAACGGAAACAAGATCCCGACACGATGGACACGCCTGCACCAAACGTAACCGCAAAAGAAACCAAGAACTCACCGAATATCACCAACCCCCCCATCCATCCCCATCGCATAAAACAGATCCGTCCGGCCCGCCTTAAACTCAACAATATACAACGGACAACTCGCCACCGAATGCAACGGCACGCCCTTCCCCAGATCATGCACGCCCTGCGCTCCCAGTCCCGCCCCTTGTGCATGCTGTTGTTGTTGCTGTTGCTGGGCAAAATCGGACGAAGGACGCCGTTGCAGAGGTTGGGAGAACATGCTTCCTTGGGATACATGCTGTTGTTGTTGTTGTTGTTGTTGTTGGTGGTGGTAGGCGAGGTTGGGACCGGCGCGTCCGCCGCCGGAGCTGAGACGGGCGTAGGTGGTGGGAGAGACGGGGCCGTCGTTCGGGACCATCTGGATGCCCATACCGGGGATATAACGCGGCATGACGCCTCCACGGCCGCTACCCTGTTGTTGTTGTTGCTGCTGCTGCTGCTGGAGGTGCTGCTGTTGTTGTTGCTGATGGTGATTGAGGTACGACGACTCGTGTCCATGAGGCAAATATTCACCCAACGAAGGACTCGTCCCTCCCTCACTCGGCGTCCCAATCACACCAGCCCCACCCCCACCCCTCCCGATCGAGCCCGGAATATGAAGCTGCAAAGCCTGATACGAAGCCGAGCCCAACCCGCCCGCGCTAGGCGGGCTCCTGGACGCATACGCAGGCAATGACGACGGCTGACTCGTCTGCCCGCCCATATGGCCCGAACTCGACGAGGTGCCCTCTCCACCAGCACCGCCAAGATTCAATCCATTCAAATTATCCGCCAGATCCTCGTCCGTCAAGAGTAACCCTCCGCGCCCGAACGACCCCCCACCCCCACCGGGGAAGATCCCACCGACCCTACCCCCGCCCCCGCCCTGAAACTCATCCTCCGCGAAATCGTTAAAATCGCCTCCGTTCACGTGCTGCGTATTGCTCGACGGCGCATTGAATCCGACGATCGTTCCCCTTCGGGGCTGGACGACGCTGACGGAATGCCGCCTAGACGTCGTTCCGCTCCCACCGCCGCCGTTCTCGTCCCTAGGCGGGTTCATGCCCGACCAGAGCTGTTCTCTGAACGCGGAACCGTCGTCGAGCAGGATCTGGCCGACATCGCGCATGAAGGGCGACATGTTGGAGATGTCGACTTGGTGCGGACTGCCGCCTGCAAAGCCACCAGCGCCGGGACTGAGGTGGTGGCCATGGTTGTGGTTGTGAGCACTAGGGACCTGGAGGGCGGCGCTAGGAGAATAAGAAGTAGATGAGGAAGAAGTGGATGAAGTGGACGGTTGTCGACGGAAGGAAGAAGAGGGGAAAGAAGAAAGATCATGATTCAGCGGCGAACGCGCGTGAGATTGAACACCGAGCGAACCGTACCGGCTCGAGCCAGGCGGTTTGATGTCCCCGTATCTCGCGCCTGGACCTCCTCCTCCTCCTGGGAAGCCGTTGGTGGGGATGGAGAGGGGATGGGAGGAGAGCGAGGAGGGTTGGCCTTCGAGCCAGCCCTGGAGGCCGGAGGAGGAGAAGGGGCTTCCGATCGGAGCGGGGCGGGTCGTGGCTGTGGCGAGCGACTGAGACCTGCTCCTTGTGAGATCGGCAGCGAAGGAGCGGCCGCGGTGTTGCTGCTGGGGCGGGAGGATGAACCGTTCGTCGTCGACGGGCGTGTACTGGTCAGACATGCCCTCGTTGAACTCCGACTCGTCGTCCTCGAAGGTGGAGGGGAAGCCACGTGACTCGCGGAGGGAGGAGAGGGCCTGGAGGGAGGGCGCGGTGGCGGAGAAGGAGGAGGAGCGGATGGGCATGGCCTGCGTGGACGGATTGAGATGTGAAGCCGAGTTGAAGCGCCAGGGGGACGCGGGAGGACGGGCGAGGGAAGGGGAGACGGAGGAGAGGTAGGCGGTGGAGGTGTGGGGGAGCGAGGGCGAGGACGAGGGGGCGGTGGACCTGGGCGGCTGGGACGCGGCTCGCTCGCGCAGAGAGGACGGGTGGGACGAGTCTGGGTGGACGAATCTGTTCTTGCGGTCGTCGTCGTCTGCTGGGTTGTGCTGGTGCGAGGCAAGCATTGGAGAGTTGCCTAAGCGGGACGGGCGTATAGCAGTGTGGGGAATGGCTGGGGAAGGCGGTAAGCGCACACGACGATGCGGGGAAGAGAAGCGACCGACTCGTATTAGATGTCGTCACTAATTCTCTACACTTCGATGGCTGTCTACGCTGTCTACCGTGTCTGGTATACTCTCTAGTCGACGGCCGTCTATGGGGAAGAGAAGAAAGAGGAGAGCCCATCCATCCTCCGCCCGAGCTCAGAGAGCGCACCAGCGCCTGATGAATTAGAGTTGGAATCGTTCTCATGAGTACGGTTCTGGATGGGTAAGGGAAGTCAGGAGTGGGCGCAAGGTTTGTTTGTGTGAAATTGGATGTTCCTGTTCCGTTAGGACAGGTCTTGAGACGAGCTATGTCACAGCGTCACGTCACGCCTCTTCGGTGGCGGTGGCGTCTTTTTCCTGGGAGTCGTCGCTCGAGATTTTTGTTACGGTCACTCGTCCTCCATCACTCTCGGTTCCCGGTCCGTCCCGGTCCTTCCGTCTCGTTCCGGTCAGTACTACTATGCCTGGGCCCTGCGTCGTGCAGCGCTCAAATATGCCTGACAAGTTCGAACCAACAAATGTGGACTAATTACAGCTTACATTCTTCCAAACATGTGAGGATTCTAATGTCTCAAGCCACGGGCATGCCGTGCTGGTTCTTTCTTTGAACGGGAGGTGAACGTGCTGTGAGCTTTAAACTTTTGTGGCGTTTTCGCCACAGCAAGGGTTGCCAGTATCTTTTTTTTTCAGAGATCTTTGACGAGAAAGCTGGTCCAAAGATGCATTATGATTAGGCGGCCAGCGTTGTTCGATCTGAAGGAACAGGTCTGGCCCGGAGGGCGTGGAATGAGAAGAGGGAGGAGAGAGTGTGGCGAGAGGAGAGGACGGCGTTATGAGGCTTACCTTGTGACCGGCAAGTAAGCGGGAAGCGCCGGGAGTCAGCTGGCGAACTCCCGCAACCTACACGATGTCATATGTCCCCCTCTCATCTGATCACCCATCACCCTTCCGAACGAACAGACCATGTACCCTGCCCAGTCACGCTCCGACTCCTTCGCCTTCCATACCTCCATCCCCATTCATCGTTCGCCAACCCCATCCTTCTGAATTGAAAGTAAAGAAAGGGTGACTGTTGTCAGAAAGAAATGCAATCCTGGACCATCCCGATCATTTGCCGACTCTCCCGACTTCCGACCCTCCGAGCCCGAGTCCGAGTCAGTTTATGTACAGTACAGTACACTCCATCCCCATCACCCATCATCCATCAACAGCTGCCACCCCACCCGATGAACGTTAAAATTCCCCGTTCGTCGTTCCTGGCTCCCTCTGTACCAACATTGTATGTAAGGGTAAGCGCACGAGTCGGGCCGAGTATTCAGAGCGTAAACTCGAGCTCGAGAATGAACGAGACCGGCGAACGAGGTTCGACGTCAAAGTCCGCACCGACTCAAAGCGCAACACCGTCGTCCGAACGGTGTCTTGAATCCTCCGTTCGCTGCCGAACCCCTCTTCCCCGCATGATATCGAGCCCCGCCCCCGCCTCTCGATCTCAAGAGTCCGCTGTTCGTCCATTTCTTCCGATCTTCGCCGGGACGGCATGTAAGAAAGAAAGCCGGACTTTCCGTTTTCAGGTCTCCATCGTCTTTGAAGAGTCCCCTGCACGGCTCATACTTGCCAGTGAATCATGGCGCCACTGGATCCGGAATCTGTAAACATAAAGAGAATACCTCTCCCTCCGTACGGTCGTCGGTCCACCCATCGGGCATTTGCCAGGACACTGGCTGAGACTGAGACTCCATCGTGGACTCGGACCCGGGGTGGACGAGGAAATAAACGACTTTGATCTTCATTTCGACGTCGACCGACTCGGAAGCCTTACGTTTCCTACTCATCCCATCCCCTCCAGCTTCCGTGGGCATCTCCTCGACCAGCTTCCGAACTCGTCCCACGATCCTACGTATCTCTTCGTATCCCCTAGCTGAAGCTGACTGCGGCCTGGCGTCGCTCGCTGAGGAGGAAAGTATCGTGAATCGAAAGACAGAAATCCAGATCGTACGCATATCCCCGTCCCGCTGGACCATGAACGAGTCGAACAGGGAATCCGGGTCCTCGTCGTCCACTGTGTTGGTTGGGATATAATATTTCGTGTCGTCCAGCGTTATTGTATTATTGGTATTTCGATTTCCGAGGCTAAGGTCGATCCGTACGGGTTTCCGCCCTTCTTCACGTGTGATAATATCATAGAGATCGTGTGGTGTTTCGCTGGTGGGGATGTTGATGGTACGTCCGCAAGAGCCCTGGGTACTGAAGAGATTCGGAGGAGTGTTAGGGTTGGGGTTGGGGTTAGAGCTCGAGTTCGAGTCGGGCGTCATGCGGATAGGCACAAATCCAGAGTTCCTGGAAGGAGCACAAAGCGTCCGATGCCCGATCATCGAGAATACCCATCTCGCCATAGTACACCCCGCCCTAACTTTACGGAACGAACGAAACATGGCCCAGAGGGAACCGTCGATATTAATGCTAGTGTCCTCCTCCTCCTCCTCCGACAGCACCTTGTCCAGCACCTTGTCCGACATCCTCCCCGCGATCCGTCCAGATTTAAACCTGATATCCCACGCATCGAGTTTAGGCACCCCCTCGCCCTCTCTCGGAATGATCGCGAGGATGTGTTCTGCCCCAGACTCGAGCTTAGATTCGTGAGCAAACGTGAGGACGAGTCGGTGTAGGCGTTCGAGGGTGAGCGTTTCTAGTGTTTTTGAGTGCGATTGATGGGCGGAGGAGAGGGAGGAGAGGGAGGAGAGGGAGGAGGAGGAGAGGACGGCGGTGTAGACGTCCCGGGGGATGGGACCGAATTCGCGGATGGCGTTGTGCAGGAGGATTTGGAGCGCTTTGTCGATTGACTCGGACTCGGACTTGGACCCGGACTTGGACTTGAAATCGAGGCCGGGGCGGAGGAGTTTGAGCGTGTCGATCATGTGGGCGGTGCGGAGTGCGGGGTCGTCCTGACCATGTAGAGCTTCCTCTAGGTCGCTTCGAAATTGTGCGTATGTAGGTTGAAGGCTCAACCTATGTACATCGACGATGGACAATGAAGCCGTATCAGCAGCAATATGGTCACAACGCAGAGAAAACCCGAGCGAAAACACGAAAGACAAACCCACCCAGCCAACACTTCCTCCTCACTCCAAAGCGACATCCCCCATAAACATCCCCTCCTCTGTTTGCGCCAACGTCCATACCGAAGAGGCCCATCGGGTGGACAGGCTTGGACAGGCCAGACGTTGCAGTTCGTCGGGATGGCGATTGCGGAGTCGGGGGTGGAGTCGTGTGCGTTTGCGTTGATTAGGGCCCAGATGGGGTAGGGATTCAGATGGAGGGCACGGTGGGTGTGGGTTGCAATTGGGAGGAAGTGGAAGCCGCTATAGGGCATGTGCTGATGTTGGGAGGAGGAGGAGGAGGAGGAGGGCCGCCGGACGTAGACTTTGCCTTGGAAGAAGAGGTGGGAGGATGTGGAGGAGACTAGGAGGACGACTTGGTGGAATGAGAGGAGTTGGGCGAGGAGGAATGTGAGGAATGTGGATTTGCCTACACGAAATAATCATAAATACATGTGTTAGTGAATTTGTGGGTGGTAGTACGACTCGGAGTTGAAGTCAAGAGTGAAGATACAACCGATGCCAGGCTGCCCGGTGATCACTACCCCCTGAGCATCGAGTCACTGGTTAAGAACATCACTCCGGAGAAGCAATATCCGTTGGAGCATTTTAACGAACGAGGCTGTGACGAGGATGTCTCCGTCGTTTGTTGTGGCCCCACCGATGTTCAACGCATAGGGTACATTCGTATTAACGGATTTGTACAGTGCGGTGGCAGGCATCTCGGAACCACGCCATTTATCGTACAGATCCTGGTAGAGGGTGTCATTTGGTGTCCAGAGGGCCTGATTCTGGGCGGACCAGGTCCAATTAGCATCTGGAAGAGGCGATTCAATATTAGTGGCCGAATATCCTGAAGATGCATGTGCTCGCCTTCGTCTGAACCACTACTTAGCAGGGTTTGTATCCTCTGCATATCGGAGGCAAGCATGCTAAAACGAAGGAGACAGCCGTATGGAGCTTCGAGGACAAAGACAGAATAAAACCAGGCAAGTCTTGGTGGTCCCGTTTTACCTTCCACAGCAAGGTCTTTGATTGTGGCGAGTGGCACGGAACAAACAAGGCCAAATAGTAGAGTACAGTGGATGTGGCACCCTTGAACAAACTTACGAACTTGATTATGCGTTACATTGTGACCATACAGATTGTCCTACACTCCGCAGATCATCATTGTCTCTAGTACATCCATCAGGCAAATGTCCCCATCCGTGCCCTCCGAGCGGAAAGACTGTGATCTAACTTGCCCACTGGCAGCGAAGTACTCCGAATCGGTTCGCTCGTTTGTCTTCCCTGTTGGGCCACTTTACATACATGCGGTCTCTCCGTCCGTGGCCAACCAATCGAGAGTCGAAAGGGACCCATACCTGATCCGCAAGTTGTGGCACAGCAGAAATACGCCAACACTGAACCACACACAACTCGCACCCAGAACACCCAAGTATCTTCCGACTCTCTCGTCTTTCGAACCTCGGAGGATGGAGTCGGACCGTCAGGCGTTGAGGAGCAGAGGGAAGTTGCGGATAACGAGCTCGAAGCTGGACGAGGTCGGGCGAGGCTCGAGGTGGATCATCTGTATGTGTCCTGGATGGGTACACAGTCCCTTAAGCCCAAATACCCTGGTCCATTCGTTCGTGTTGTCCAAACGGTGTGTTTCGTATTCCGTTCGATGCCGAGCGCGATAAGGCCTCCCCGGATCACCACGACGCTTCCCCGCCTCTAAACCCAACCTTTTCTATCCGTGGTCGGTATTGGTCCTGTTCCCGTAGCTCCGAGTAGTGGAGTTTGCTGTCTTCCGTTCGTACCTCGAGGATCTTGAACGTCAACCCCGACTTTTGCTGAGTGGATATAAATCACCCGGCCCCCGAAACTCCTCCACTCCACATGCAATCTATCACCCCTAACCCCCACTCCTTGCCTCGAAGTCGGTGGTAGGTCAAGTCGGTCAAACCCATCAAACGTCGAACAAAACATCCATAGCCCTGAACGCCGTATTTCCCGGCCAGACCTTCACCGGCACCTCACACTCCACCATCTCGACCCCCAACTCCGTCCATCCGTCCTTCCCACCACCTAGATCCTCTTCTCCTTTCCCACCCTTCCCCTTTCCGCCCCGTCCCTTGCCAGCTCGGTCCCTCCTTCCCGGTGAATCAGACGAGGAAATCGACGACAAGTCGTCCTCTTCCTCTTCCTCTTCAGAAGAGTAAGAATCAAGATCGCCGTCATGGAAGGCATTCTCCGTCGGCCCCAGGAACGCACTCGCGAAGAACTCCCCCCAACTCTTCGTCTTCCCCTTCTCTCCTCCATTCTCATTCCCACTCCCATCCCTGGCTCCAGCTCCCATTCCCACTCCCTTCCCATTGAGACCAGGTGGCGAGCTAGACGCGGCTGGAGGAGTCCCCAAAACCCTCTCCAAGCCGCCAATACCCCCGGTCGGCACCCAACTGCTTCCCCATTCGCCCTTCGCGCCTTGTCTCACTAATCCTTTGATCCGAACGCCTTCTTTGCCTGCCCAGGTGTTCGGCTTGGCGACGGCGACAAGGAGACAAAGCCTGACTTTCCATTCGAGGCCTCCTTTCTTGCTTCCACTCCCGATCGACTGACCGTTGGTGTTGAAAGGTTGTCCGTATGTGTATGTCGGCGGAGTAGGGGAGGAAGAAGGAGGGTCCAGAGAGACTTGGAAGGCGGGGGACGCGTCGGAGGGGATGTCGAGGGAGAAGGTCGTACGGGATGTGGAGGCGACGAAGGAGGTGTGATGTTCTGCGTGGACGCGTTTGAGATATCGTGCGTCGGAGGGGGCGGACAGGTCTGCGGGGAGAGATTCGTGCGCTTCGAGCATCGCCGAGAGCTGTAGATGCCGCCACACCAGATGATATGGTCATTTAGTTAGTAAAGTCGTGGGATGGTACATGCAGAACCCCGATGAATATGACGGCCTTGCGTAAGACGAGATATGAAAGACAAAAATACACACCTTCAACACCCTCCCCCTCCCACTCCTCTCATTCACCTCCACAACACCCACCACAGTCTCCCCCAACCTCCACGCCTGCTTCGTAAACGTCAACACCGCAACCTTCACCCCGTCCTTATGCACATCATACGAAACCTTCTTCGGCACCCGCGTGAGGATCTCCACGGCTTCCCGGCACCCGCGGAGTGTCCCCGTGGGGGCGTCATCGGGTTCGGAAATGGGCGAGAGGGCGGAGGTGGGAGGGGAGAGGGCGGATGAGGGTGATAAGGAAGAGGCGGATGAGGGTGATAAGGAAGAGGCGGATGAGGGGGAGAGAGACGGTGCGCCATTTGGCGAGGTAATTGATGGGGACAGTAGTTTGTCTTGTTCGGCGTCGTGTAATAACCTCAGGCCGTACATCCTTAGATCCCCAATCGAACCCTTGAGCGGTGGCAGCGCTATAATAACACACATGAGCAAAATAAAATTACAATTAAAGCCCGCGTCGATCAGCGTCATATCTCAGAGCGCAATCCGAAGAAATGACAGACTTACGACTCAAAGAAGGCGAAACGGGCGACGAAATCTGATTCCTGTACTCACCATCCCCATCTCCATCTCCATTTCCATTTCCAGCACCGACTCCGAACAGGGCCTGTTTATGCGTCAGGACAGGAACTGTGAGAGGCACCTCGATCTCTGCGACTTTCGCCTCTGCCGGGATCTCAGGGGACGAACTCGGGAGCCCGAGAAGATCGTACGGTCTTTGTGGTCTATCCACTACAAACCGGGAACAAAGGATGTATTTAACTTACATGAGGACGAAGCAAAGCACATGAGAGGGAGAGAGAGGTGATGCGTACCGGAAACATGATTGTAGACCCTGATTGGCACCTTCATGACCCTGCTACTGCTCGTGCTCGTCGATCCGTTTATGCTCGGGCTTCCACCTAGACTCGAGTTCGACGCGTTCGATGGAGGTTTGGAGGAGGTCGAGGCGCGACATGTCCCGACCGCCAGCTCGTATGAGAATTTGAGGGACCTTCCCTTGAATGTGGGTGGGAGATGCGAGGGGAGGGCTACCGTATATGTATCTGTGGTGCTCTCAGTATCAGCAAAATATCGTGACAAGGAGATGGAAGGATGCACGCACAAGACCTCGACTCGCCCGGCCCTAACGAAAGATCGACAGCCAACATCGCAGGTCGAACTTCGAAAACAGGTAAAGCCGTCTCAGGGTCCCACTCATCCACCAACATCCCTTGTGGTGGTGCCGGGATGTACTCCCTCTGTCTCTCTCTCACCACCACGCTCCCACCGTTCACATGCCCATTCCTATGTCCAGGTCCATATCCATTCGCCACGCCGACATGCCCGTTCCCGTTCGGCACATTCCCATCTACGCCTAAACCCAACCCCACGCCTTTCCCACCCGGATTCTGGGACTGAGATTGGGATTGAGGGGGAACACCAGTCGCCGTTTTTGGTGTTGGAGGTATCGAGAACGACGAGACCGAAGGGGAGAATAACGATCCGATATACGACGTCCGATTCCTATGTCCCGGTGTCCATCCCGAACCAGCAGCGGAAGCCCCTCCAACCCCAGTCGAACCCACACCAGACGGAACGCTTGAGTGTGACGGGATCGAGCCTCCTCCTCCACCGAGAGCAGGGGATAGTAACGACAACAATCCCGCCGTCAAACTCGTGCTCCTCGCATGTCTCTTCCTCGCCGCGCCCATCCCGCCCATCCCCGCGCCCACGCCTCCCGATCCCATCATCGGCGTACCCATTCCCCCACCCATCCCGGACACGGAGCCCGTAATATCCATACTCCCACCTCCACACACCATCCCCCGCGCCTTGGTATATTTGTCCCTTAAGGCACCGAGGGGCACGCTCCGCGTGTTGGAGGCGGAGGCCGTGGGAGCGAGAGTGGCGAGGCCGGTGAGTTGGACGTAGGCGTAGAGGACGAGTTCACTATTTGGGAGGGGGCCTAGGGTGGGGAGAGTGGATTGTCGTTTGGGTGGTGGGGGTTTGTGGGGGGTGGATGAGGAGCCGAGGTCGGTGAGGGAGGAAGAGGAGGGGAGGCCGTGCCCGAGGGCATGTTGGGCTGGTTTGCGGGTGTTGGTGTTGTCGTTTGTGGTAGTGGTGGTGGGTGGGCCTCGGGGAGGGTATGCGTGTCCGTTTGTCAGTGCGTCGCCGGATTTACTCCTGCTCCTGCCATTTATGAGAGGGGCAGGCACGGAGGTCGGGGCGAAGGAATGGGAGGGAGTAATCGGGGAAGGGATACCGGGTGTTTGAGGAATAGGTGACGTGAGAGTTTCGGCGATGGGGTCTAGGGAGACGGAGAATGAAGAAGCGGAAGCGGAGGCTGTTTGTGGGACTGGGGGTAGTTGCGACAAAGTACCGTTAAAAGGATGAGCTGGCTGATTGACAAGTGGGGCGGCCGTGGGTTGGGAGGGGATCTCGAGCAGAGAGGGTTTACGGGCGTGAGGATGGTGTGCGGGGACGGGCGGGTCGGATGAAGTACTGGGTGTGCGTGCGAGTGGGGAGGAGATGCGGGGGGACGAGGGGACTGCTGTAGGATTGTTAGATTCGTTGATATAGGGAAATAGCTAGACTCGCCAAGTCGCTGAGGAGATTTTCCTTTTGCGTCATCTGTCTTTAACTGGTCGGCCAAATGACTGGGCAATATATCCACTGAAAGTGACTTTGCCAGCATCCGTTTCCTACCCTCTTTGTTTTCTAATGGCAACTGATCCGCGCCCTCTTGTGCAACTCGCAGCCCCACCAGACCCTTCCTCTGTATTGTATTTTTCGGCCCAGTTCCATTTACGAGTTTAGAAGAAGAAGGTACAGCGAGAGACGAAGTAGACCGTAGCAGACCAGGCGACGTAGGTGGCCGGGCAAGAGGGGCGGAGCTGACAGAGTGAGCACTTCTTTTGTGAGCGTGGCGAGCAGCAGAGAGCGAAGGTAAGTTTGCAGGCTCTGAAGCGGAGCGAGTGTTGGTGATGGTGATGGTAACTTGTAGAGGTTCGCCTGCGAAATATGAAGACTGAGAGGGAGAGACGACGACGCGGAGTGCAGTGTCTATGTCTGCCGTGGTGGACATGGTTCGAAGTAGGTTATTTGGCGTCGTTGAACAAGAAGGAGATATGAGGTGCGAGATACAAGATGGGCCCAGTGGGGGCAATTAGAGCGCGTTATGGAGAGGGCTGGCTGTGGTCGGAGCGGGTCCGGGGTGTATAGACAGTCGCACGTATGGAGAAACGTCTGGGAACGGTGGGAGTTCGGTGACAAGTTCACAGGCTGAACGTCGGAAGAGCGGCGGAGAGTTAATAGAACAAAGACACGTATCCTATCCTGGGAGTCGTCGCACACAGCAGGCGTATCACAGACAAGACAATTCGCCACAGTTCGTTCGAGCGAAAGCAGCGTGGTAATAACGTACTATCCCCTTTGGGACAGCAGGCACGCTTTGTTTGGCTGCAGCCTTCGATCCAAACAACGCCACACGCGAACGGTCCCCGCTTGCCACTTTCCTTCGTACCACCATCTCAGCTCGTAATCTCTTAGTCTCGCTATGGAACTCGGATCGCACCAGGCAGCAAAAGTCGAGCCGTTTGTGCTCATGTCAAAGTCGGCCAAGGGCGCTGCTGCTGCAAAACTCGTCCAGGACGCCACTTCTGCCCCTGGCCTCTTTGTCTTTGCTGAGCTGCTCGATGTACCAAGCATCCAGGAGGTACGCATCATCGACGCGTTTGATATGTCGCTAGACTGACTAGGCGTGTAGCTCGCGAACAATCCAACGCATTCCTCGTCCTACACGCTTCTACAGCTCTTCGCCTATAAAACCTATCAAGATTACCTCCGTACGTACACCTCTTGCCTACACATCTCTTCTTGATAATCAATGCTATCGTCCAACAGAACACAAAGACTCCCTCCCACCACTCTCCCAAACCCAAATTACCAAACTCCGTCACCTCTCCCTCGTCACTTTCTCCATGCAACGACGCATCCTCCCCTACTCCGACCTCCTCTCCGCCCTCGAGATCTCCAACATCCGAGAGTTGGAGGACTTGATCATCGATGCTATCTACCTTGACATCCTCCGTGGAAAACTGGATCAGAAGGAACAGCAGTTCGAGGTGGAGTATACAATGGGACGAGACCTCGAGCCCGGGAGTCTAGGGAACTTGTTGGGCGCATTGCAGGATTGGTACGCCAAGCGTTCTGTCACTGTCAACCGTACAGTGATTGAATTTATCTCATGTGCCTGCTTGTATACTTGATATAGGTCCGACACCACGTCCTCAGTCCTCTCCGTACTCGATGCCTCACTCGCCCGTCTCTCCTCCCAATCCGCCCAACGTGCCAAAGAATCCGAAGAACACGAACGTCTCCTCAATCAACATATGAAAGAGGTCCAGGATAAGAATGAGAGCAGGCCTGGAGGGACTGCGAGGCGACCGCTGAGGAACGCAGGATCTGCACGCAGTGGCGGTGGTGGGAGCGAGAGGTTGGGGGAGGACGTCGAGATGGAGATTGACGAGGTCATGATGGAGAGCATGTCTAAGGGGAAGAATCGGAAGTGAGTGTTTCATCTTTTTTTATTCTTCTTGCATGTGCCTGCTTTTCAGAGTGCTGACATTGATGTTTGAACTTTTAGGGCTCCGCAGGAAACGATGAGCAAGCCGCGGAACAAGCGGAACAGACTCTGAGTTACTTACACCGTCTCGGTTAGGCCTCAGCAAAGCCACAGGGAGATATACTCCAGGCAGGAAGTTCTTGACCGCCCCTTACACACCATGTCGCAATCTCGATGTTTTCTCTCGCTCACTTACCAATCGCCCCTTGTACAACACAGATATGTATCTCAATGTTTCGTTTAAATGGGTTTGATCTGCATCATCAACTGAGCACCAGGCTTCGCGTCACCGTCCTTTGGCTGCAATGGGCGTTCCGAGCTTAACTGTAGATCGTAGAAAAAATGAACGCAGTTGCTCAAACCAGAACAAGAACTCCATCCGATGGAGACATCTGTCTACGCGATCCTGGCGTACGCCCTGGTATTTCTGTGGCGTGAGCCCATCCACAGCGCTAACAGCCTCAAGGCGACCCTCTATCTACAGGCAAACTCTTCTTGAACCCTCAGCCCAGCACTCTACCTCCACGTACGTCTCAGTCTACGCATCCACTCAATCGTGTAGACAAAGAAAAGGACATGGCATCAGCTGCACAACTCGCAAAGGAACAGGCGAGCACCCATTTCCTCCGCATCTCTTCGTGGGCACACTTCCTGACTGACTGCGAATGGAGTAATAGGGCAACGATGCGTACAGGGCACAGAATTTTGACGCCGCGCGAGAGCTTTATAGTCAAGCTATGGAGCTGGACCCCGCAGACTTTGCGTACCCGCTCAACAGGTCGATGGCTAATCTGAAGTTGCAAAGGTACGTATGTTCGTGCTCTCGAGGTGGACGTGGTTTATATTTATGCGGTCACGCATCGGGCCACGGTTTATTCAGGTGGTCCGAAGCGAAGGATGATGCTTCGAGGGCCCTCGAGCTTGATCATGGAAATTTGAAAGCGTTCTGGAGGAGATCTATCGCACGAAGAGGACTAGGGGATTACTCCGGTGCACGACAAGGTTAGTTTTTGGTAGCACCACTTCCAGGGATCTACTTTGCTCAATGACATTCTTCGCCACCACAGACATAAGACGATACGCTGACGTCGGGGGAGAGCTGAAGAACTTGGTCGATGAAGACGTCAAGATCGCTTCTGCAGAGGCGGCGGCAATGCTTGACTCCATGGCTAGCGAGGACTCCACACCCAGTGGTTTCGTGGTGAAAGAGTCTCCCGGGAAGGGGTACGGTGCATTTGCTACCCAAACCTTTCAACGCGGAGACCTCATCTTCGCCGAACGCCCTCTCTACACTAGCAATAGGGACTCTCCCCTACAAGTCGTATCCGCCGTATCTCGTCTCTCCCCGAATTCGAAAGCGGCCTTCATGTCTCTTCACAACGCATGGTCCGGAGATAACCTGTTTGGAAGCAGTGTCGTAGGCCTCAAGACGGCGGGATTACAACCCGAGGAAATGCGCCTCATCAATATACACCAAACAAACTCCTTCTCGACCAGTGAGGGGAACGGTGGTCTCTTCCTCCGTTGCTCGAGATTCAACCACTCGTGTCTCCCGAGTGCGAAGTATAACTTCCACGAGCCGACGGGGGTGATGAGGATCTACGCACTGCGCACTATCGAGCCCGAAGAAGAGATACACGTCGGATATCTTAGTGGTTCGTTCCCCAAGTTGTACGGCACTCCACGCAGCGCGAGGCGGGCAAGGTTCGAGCGGACATGGGGCTTCACGTGCGAATGTGCGGTCTGCTCTCTCACGGGAGACGCACAGATCAGGAGCGACGAACGAAGGACCGAGCTTACGCGGCTGTGGAAGTCTGTTCCGAATTACGATCCCTCCCAGACCAGGCAAAGGCTGCTCGCTATCGTTCGTGGAGTTCGTCTCTTGGATGAGGAGCGTTACGCGGCGGACAGAGACGATTTTACGAATGATGCTGCGGCGATATGTGGGTATCATTCGGATTGGGTGTCTGTGGCATATTTTGCGAGGATAACGTATGAGTGCAGAGTGGCAGAGTTTGGTGGGGACAGCCCGGAGGCGGGAGGCGCTGATATCTTGACGTCGTTACTGCACCCCAGGGATAGCAACATGGCGGGATTGGGGGCGAAGAAGATATTCGATGTGCGCATTTGAATGTCTGGCTGTACGCATCAGCATGATCATATATTGGGAATGTCCGTTGGCCATGCAAAGCTTTCCGTTGGCATCTCTTGAAGAACGTAGGTGCTCTATCCGGAGTGCGCCACAGCTGTAGATATGTGTGTATGCACTTGTCTGTGTCTTATCTATGCAATTCTGACGACGCCTAAATCGAGTCACGAGCTCCCCCGAGCCGCACGCTGATTTTTGGGAATTTTGCGCAGGTTTTAGAACTCAGAAGATCCCATTGAGAGCAGAATTGAGATTCCTCTATATAGACCCGGATCTATTTGGAATCACTGTGGCGTGAGCGTTCAAAGCTTCCCTTTCTCCCACGAGACCGCGACGATCCTTCAACGCTACAGCCATCGGCGTCTCTTATTCTACTCACCTTTCCCATCTGCGAGGCAACAGTTAGTATGGCCTCCACTGCCCAACTCGCAAAGGAAAAGGTAAGTGTTCTTCGTTCTATTTCTTCGTAGCACATCTAAGTGACTAACTACTACTTGCATGGGGGCTGTATCATAGGGTAACAATGCGTACAAGGCTCAGGACTTTGAAACTGCGCGACAGTGCTATAGTCGAGCCATGGAGCTGGATCCTAGCGACTTCGTGTACCCGCTCAATAGATCGATGGCTAACCTCAAGTTACAGAGGCACGTCCCGGGCGGTTGAATTAGCATGTGTGCGTTCACCTACTAACCCAACATGTAATCTGCATTCATAGATGGTCCGAGGCAGAATTTGACGCGTCTAAGACTCTGGAACTCAAGCCGGGAGATATGAAGGCGTTTTGGAGGAGAAGTATCGCACGAAGGGAGCTGGGTGATTATCCAGGGGCACGTCAAGGTTCGCTTACACTGCTCTGCTTCCTCAAAGCCAATTCTAATGTATTGATCATTACATTGGTGGCCTTCAGACATGAAATCGCACGTTGACGCAGGTGGAAAACTCAAGGATTTAGTCGAGGAGAACGCAAAGACCGCTGCGATAGAGGTGGCCACCATGCTAGCATCTACGTCCGGGGGCTCCTCGCTACCGGATGGCCTCGGCATGCGAGATTCACCGGGCAAGAGCATCGGCATGTTTGCCACTCGTGCGTATCAACGTGGAGAACTCATACTCGCCGAACATCCTCTCTATATCGTCACCCGCACCTCCTATACTCAAATATTATCCGCCGTATCTAATCTTCCCCCAAGTACGAGAAAAGACTTCATGTCTTTATACAATGCGTGGTCCGAAACGTACATCGATTCACTCTGGAAAAACATTTCGAGCCTACATCTGCGTCCGGAAGATCACGAGATTCTCAAAATACACGCCACGAACGCTTTCCGATCAGGCGACAACGACGGTGTCATCTGCTTGCACACTTCGAGGTTCAATCACTCTTGTCTCCCGAACGCGAGGCATTCCTTCCGGTCACCGACGGACCGAACGATGACAATACGTGCACTACGCCACATCGAAGTAGGGGAAGAGATCTGCACGCAATATATTGACGGACGGGGTTGCTACGGGACTGTGCGGCGAGAGAGACAGGAGCGATTATTGAAATCGTGGAGGTTTACCTGCTCCTGCACGACTTGTTCGCTCACTGGAGACGCGCTAGTCAAGAGCGAGAATCGAAGGGCAGAGATCATGAGGCTATGGCGCCGTTTATACGAGGTTTTCCCTCCACAGCCATTTCAAGAGCTTATACAGACCATCGTGCGCGCGGTTCGCCTGATGGAGGAGGAAGGTTATTTAGCTGATATGATTGACTTCACGAACCACGCCGCTCGCATTTGTGCGATACAGTCGGATTGGGAGTCAGTCAGGTATTGGGCGCGGAGGACGTATGAATCTAGATTGGCAGAATTTGGCGGAGATAGTCCGAAGCTGAGCGTTGATGAGACGATGACAGTCTTGTTGGACCCTATGCATTTCAGCTTGGCTGGCAAGGCGCCATTCAGTGCGCCTTGTAATCTGCGCGTTTGAATGACATACTGGCTGTGTACGTTTCAGCGGACGCATGTCCACCAGAGTCGTCGAGAAGTGGTATCCCGATATGTGTATGAATATCGTCGTGTTTCGTTGGAATACTAGAATACCAAGATAGATACAACTTGTGGCCCCTTGGAAAGTATATATTACGGGCGCACATCCGTAAACAATTCAACTTGCCCCTTTCCTGCTAGCTCGGTGGTCCGTGGACTAAGTAACAGGTCGATCATCTGAGGCTCCAGCGCCCCGAGGGCCCTCTGACTATCCCCGCCATATTGAGCCGCCCTCGTCTCATAGGTCCTTGTAGCCCAATACTTGACCGACTCCCAGTCGGAATGGAAGGAACAAAGCTGCGACGCCATGCTCGTGAAATCGTCCATGTCCGCTGCGAGGCCTTCTTCCTCCATTATGCGGAGCGCCTTAACGACGTCGAAAAGCTTCGATTTTGTCTGCCATGGTTCGCGGATATGCTCGCGGTGCACGTGCAGCCCGTCGTGCAGACGCAGCAACTCTTTGCGTCGACGGTCACTACCGACCTGTTCTGGCCGGGGGAGAGTGCAAGCGGTGCAGAGGCACGCGAAATTATAGGGCTTCAGACGCTCTTGTCTCTCCTTCCTCGTTTTACCATACATATCGTCCTGAGTTGCGGAGGCAAAGGTAATCTCCTCCCCCTTCTCGATGGTCCGCAGGGCGTGCAACCTCATTGTCCGTGTGGCATCGTGCCACGAGTATCTTGCGTTTGGGGCGCAGGAGAAATTGAATCGAGCGAAGCGCAACCCTAGGACAAGCTTATCCGCGCCGGCCCCGAGAGCGTTCGAATCCTGAATACTCCTGATTTTGACCATCTCTGCGGCCTGGGGGTTATTGATTATAGGATCACCTTCAGGTGGAACAGGGAATGTCCCTGAGTCGTGTAAGGACATGAACTCCTTCCTAGCAGATGGTGAGACGCGGAACATGACCTCTAACATGCCCTGTTCGGCTTGATCCTTGGAGAGTATATAGAGGGGCCGTTCTGCGAAGACGAGATCGCCACGCTGGAAGGCTCGAGTAGCAAATGCGCCGAGTCCTTTGCCTGGGGACTCTTTCACTTTGAAGAACTTGGATGTTGACTGTCGAGTTGCTACCAGCATAGCTTCGACTTCCGCTCTGGAGATCTTGATGTTTTCATCAACGAGGTGCTGCGGTTCGCCTCCCGCATGAAAGTACGCCCAAAGATCTGGGCTTCAACCGTTAGTATGGTGGTGGAGAATCCTCTTGGTAGATCTCAAAGCAGAACTCACCTTGACGAGCACCAGTGAAATCACCAAGCTCTTTACGAGCTGCACATCGTCTCCAATGCGCTTTCAGGTTCTCCGGTTCCAGGTGGAGTGCAGCGCTTGCATCTTTCTCCGCCTCAGACCATCTATAGATGAATGATTCATAAGTATCCTTTCATGAGAGAGCGAGCCGTAATGACGAGCCTTCTGAGCTTGAGATTAGCCATCGCTCTGTTCAACGGAAAGGTAACGTCTGCAGGATCGAGGTTCATGGCTTTTGTGTAGTGTTCAAGCGCAGTGGCGAGTTTTCCCGCCTTGAAGGCGATATTTCCCTGTAGATAAACTGTTTTAGCGCACAAATAGATACGACGATCGATCTGACATTACCTGCTCCTTCTCAACCTGGGCAGCTGAGGTCATCTTGAAATTGGTATGGCGGTGGCAATGAGGCAAAGAGAGATCTGGGAGAACTGATGATGGGATGGCTGTATCTATGGCCTATGCTGCTGGTCGCCTTGGCACAATGTAGATGTCTTATAACGGCTATTGAAGAGCGTAGCCTCCGCGAAAATTAGTAATACTAGTAGTAGAATCAAAAGTCCCAGTCTAGCAAGAGATGAATCTGGTCCAGTGAGTATATATGGAGCAGTCCAAGTCAAATAGAGCGAATATTCCGATGAAGACGACGCCAAAACCGCTCAGAACGTCAGGCGTTTTCGTGAACCGTTGAGCACGTCCTTCAGACAGATGAAGGTGGCGAACAGTGCTTCCGAGCAACTTCGGAATTGCTAGAATTTCGAAACTTGTTGCCGGCGCCGGCATGAGGGCACAGGCGCGTACATAGAGCCAAATAAAGAGCGCGACGCGTCCGCTTTGCAATCAACGAAACTCCTTATTCCTTATTCCCCAACCACAATTCTTGTAGCACACGCTGTCACTGTCCTTGAACCTAATCTACGGGTTTGCGCTGCTAGTCTTTCCCTTGTTCATCATCTAATCAACTCAACACTTCGAGTAACAACACAACGATGAAGGTCACGGTCAAAAACTGGCACGCGATTGCTCAATGGCAATGGGATATTGGGAGGTCGGATGATTCTGAAGAAGACGTCTGCGGTATCTGTCGCGTGCCATATGAGGGGTGTTGCCCGTCATGTAAGGTTCCAGGAGACGATTGTCCCCTAAGTACGTGGCTTTGTCTTCGTTGTACTCACTACGCGCCACTTTATCTGCTGCCGTGTGGTGGCGTTGGAGGCATTGAGTACTAATCAAAGATCTCATATGGTCACGTAGTCTGGGGAGAATGCAGCCATGTGTTTCACATGCACTGCTTACTGAAGTGGATTGGGACGACGTCGTCAAAACAACAATGTCCAATGGACCGCAGACCATGGGGTGCGCCACACTGATACTTTGTCTTCCTGGACAATTGTGACTAATATTACTACTGGCATGCTTAGTGACGGCCGAGAGGAAGGTGGCAACTAGCAATACCGGGCGATGAGTGGACCCAAGCTCCAAGGACCACTGCACTGCGCCTATCTTTATACCCTTGCCTTGCCAATACCCACTTCGCCTTGCCGTCGTTCACTGTCGGTGATCAGAATTTTCACGACCGCCACATGACTTGTAATTCCTAGACGAATGGATTATCTGTATCCACAATACATGGTTTCCGAGCCGAACTTGTACCATACATCAAGGCTATCGTACACCAACGAAACAAACTGATTTAAACTTCTCTTATAATTTGGACTTGATCTTCTCGAACATTCTTCAAGGGCCAGTCTTAGCCCAACTGCTCTTCCCTTTCAATACCCCATCACCTAAATGATCTCTCCACCGACTTCCCGAACCATCGCCATCCTTTGTCCAAACATCGCTCTTCCCAACTTTCCTTTGTACAACCAGACTGGGCACCACACTAAACGACTTCAATCTCCCACTACTTATCAGCCAGGCTAGTGCTTGGTCGATCGCGCGCGAGTATGCAAAGGGAAGGTGGCGAAGGTGCAGTAAGATGCGACGTGCGCCGGTGTGAGAGACGACGTAGGCATGGGTGCATTTAGGTGCGACGGATGGGTGCAATGCCGTTTCCGTGCGGAAAGGTACTCCAAAGGAGTAAGGGAAGAGCTTGGGACCTCGGTTGTGGTGATACGAGACGGTGCTGATTGTTCGTAGAGGGAGATATTGGGATTCATCTGACCAGCAATGACCTAGAGAATGGCCGATGAAGATATCGAATCAATTGTCAGCATGCTTTCTGTGCTGTGAAAGCCAAGCCAATCGCACCGAGAAAGACGATGTCCCAATCGTCAGGTAAAGCGCTCCAGACCTCGTTAAGCCTCTTTCCTATGTCCCACTCGATATCGACATCGTCTTCCAGCACTACCGCCGGGCCGCTATCATGGCCACTCGCGGCGACGGCGCGCAGGATCTCCAGATGCGAGTGCCAGCAGGCGATTTTGGCCGGGGTGAGCTGCAAGTATGGCGGCAGATCATCGGCCGAAGTTTCGTTACGAGGGATGGCAAGATTCTCTGTAGCGCAAGCTAATGGAGGCTGAGAAAGGGCAGACACTGGTGCAGTAGGATGCAGATGAGATACTTCTGCATCAGAGTAGATAGACCAGTCATCAGAGCCCGAGCGAGAGAGGGGGACTTCTGAATCTGCCAGAGAGTCGAGATCGTCAGGCCACGAAAAGCGATAGTCAGGCAGTGGGACGGTGGAAGGATTCTGGGCGGAGGCTGATGAGGCCTCAGATATCTGTTCATCGGTATTCTTTACGAAGGTCGAGCCAGAGTTGTGATTTGAGAGCGCCGTGGGCCCCGTATGCGAAAGTGTAGCCTCCCTATAACCGCGAAGGTGCCGTATTATGGAGATAACCGAAGCGTTGTCCTCACCAAAGGCACCTACATATCTCCAGTCAAGGTCAAGCGCAAGACGAAGATATTCCATGGACGCTCGACGGTCTTCCCGACGAGGTAGAGACAAGACGTAGATGCGTGAGGCAATTCCAAGGGTGTTCGAGCCATACGGAGTGTGGTATCTCGGACCTAGCACGAGTTTGGTCAGGGACAGATTAGAGATCGACGATGGATAGGATATCGTGAGTCCAAGAAGTGCGAGTAAGGACACAGCGAGTAAGAGCAGCGGGCTTTTCATTGACGATCCTGGGACGTGCAGACGCGGGATGGGGAGAGCCGCCAGGAACCTCAGCGACGCTTGGATAAGCTGGAAGGACCTGATTGGCATGTTCGTTTGTGGGAGTACGCGGAGACAGTAGGGCGCGGAAGAATGAAGACGGAAAGACAGGCGAGTGCTCCGTGGAGCGAATGTTGACTGTGCAGGAAAGCAGAATTGGAGTCGGATTGTACGTGTCCTGTTGTGAGAAAACTGCGGCGTCGACGTTCTGCCGTACACTTCAAGACAGAGCTGAGTGTTTACAAAGCGATTACTGGCCAAGTTAAGCTGCGTCTGTATGCAACGTCCTTGCTGAAGATATGGAGGAATTTGGTTGTTGGGGGTGCTCGTCGCGGCTTACGGTGACTGATGTTGTAGAATAATGCTACTGATCTGAGATAAAGGTCTTCTCATTCTATCAACATCTCAAAGATAAAGAGAGAAGCTACTCACCCAACTTGGTTGAAAGGCCCGAAAAAAGACTGAGACGAAGCAAAAGGTCCACGGATACGACAGCGTGGGTGGCTTTGGGAAGATGTTGAAACCACGTGATGGCCATTTGAAGTTCAAAGTGAGCCACGTTGCGGGGATTTTACACTCCGAGCTCTTGCCGATAGTTTGGCAACCAGCTTGAGCACTGCTTGCTACCATTCCACCTCTCTCACATGCTGCATGGTCATTTCCGTTCGTTGGCTCGACCACATTCTCTCCTCAACGGATAGCACTAGTGTCGAAATGCTTTTTAGGCTAGAAAACTCTAGGCTGACCGCTTTCTCAGCCACCATCCTAAGCCTCGGAGGTATCGCCGTCTGGATGCCGGATTGTCCGTTACATGTTGTGGATAGAGCTGGTACATATTTGGAACACCACACGCTCATCATTGGCACTTCTCGGGAGCCACGACTACAACAACTTCCCACTGGCATGGTTTGAGTCTAAATGATGCCATTCGTGGCAGAGTTGAACCTTGACCTGGCTCACTACAATGGCATTTGTTGCTAGAATTTGGCTGGATGGCAAGCACAGATCGCAGGGCCATAATGTGATACGGAAGTATGTTGCTCTTCATTGGACTTGTCTTGATATCTGTATCTCGAAGAATACGAAGAGCTGGGAGCATGCGTACTGTTGTTGTTCGGAGAAGCCTTGTACATACCTGGATTCATTCAGTGCCTCGCCCGTCATCCTGGGTTGCTGTTGGAAGGATCAACCGGACCACCTTGTCTTGTACGTCCCGCACATCCAGAAGCTGATGCGGTCAAGGTAGTTGGTATAGATCAGGTATGCGTGCGTCTGTTACCCCTGTGACTACAACCGACATGACATTTGCTTGACAGATGGCAAATGCTCAGCCCTTGAGAAAATACGTCCCAACATGTATTGACCTGCTCCATGGATTCTCGGGGTATTCGAACACCTCGCATGTGCTGGTGAACCTCCGTTCTATGTTTGCTTATCTCTACTCCTCCGCTCGTGGATTCCTGGGTCTCATTCTGGGGCACAGAACGACTTCACAGTGGCACAGTATCCGTTGTTCTGTGCCTGCGCGAGGACTTGGTGCTTGCGGGTGCAATTATTATGCATATGGCTACATGCATACGTTCATGGCAGACGACTCGCTTTGGTGCTCCGAATCCCATTTAACTTCGCAGGCCAATGTGGTCGCGAGACACTCACTCACGACCCCATCATGTCTGAGCCCCTCTCCCCCGTGTCTGGCGGCAGTGAAAAGCACTCTCGAGATGCGTACTTTCAAGGAGAGAAGGAAGCTGGGCTTGGATTGCGTGACGTCGACTGTGAGTTGCCAATGATTTCGAGCAGCTAGACCAAGGACTCAATGAAATCTCCACATTTTCCAGCGGATATCATCGCAGTAAGTTGTATAGAGTATGCTTTAATATTCTTCTCTGAATATCTTGTCTATCCTAGGAAGTGACTGGGGCGCAGTTCGACGACCCCAACCTCGACAAGTCTCATCTCATTGACCTCGATGACGAATCTCCATATCCCGAGGTTCGATCCGGTATGTAAATCAAGATCCTGCCTTTAAACCGAGCTCATCTTGGCACCTTACAGCTGTAGCTAATACTGACGACCCAACGTTGCCCGTGTCCTCCCTTCGCACGTGGATAATTGGGTTGTGCTGGGCAATAATCATACCTGGCCTCAACCAATTCTACTTCTTCCGCTTCCCCGCAGTGAACATCACTGGCATCGTCGCTCAGTTGCTGAGTTTCCCCATCGGCCGCGCCTGGGCTGCATACATGCCCAACGTTAAGATATTTGGCGTTTCTGTAAACCCCGGCCCCTTCTCTGTCAAGGAACATGTCCTTATTACGGTGAGAGCTCTCTTCATTCTTCCTGTGTGGTAGGAGGGAGATCTGATATCCGGTTGGTCAGATCATGGCATCGGTCGGCTCTGGCTCTGCATACGCCGTAAGCATCTGCGCTCTTTACCAGAATTGCAGGTTATCGACTCCTGATTCGATTACAGACCGACATCATCGCTGTCCAACGAGTTTACTATAACCAGAACTATAATTTCATATGTATGCTCCTTTCCCTACGAGTATTGATACGATCCTGAAACTGAACTTTTTAATACGATCCTAGACCAATGGATGGTAGTGATGTCCACGCAGTTGATCGGTTTCTCGATCGGTGGTGTTGCGAAGCGTTTCTTGGTCTCTCCACCGTCCATGATTTGGCCTGCGAACCTCGTTAGCTGTGCACTCTTCAACACACTCCACTCACAGCAATACAGTGGTATCGGTACGTTACCGCGACACCTCCAGGTGTCCATATGGTCTCAAATTACTTTCGATTCGCAGGCACTCGTGGAGGTCTCTCACGCGAGAGGTTTTTCGTGCTCAGTTTCATCGGCGCATTTTCGTGGTGTAAGTTTTGTCGCCTAAATATGCTTTTACCAACCGATATTGATGTTCTGGTCGCCAGATTTCTTGCCAGGATACTTGTGTAAGCGGCGTCATTGAGAGGGACAGAGGATGGCACTGACGGTATTATAGTCCAGGCTTTGTCCTTCTTCTCGTGGGTAACCTGGATCCGTCCCGAGAACACCAGTAAGTTCAAGTCGTGTGATAATTTTTCGCTTATCATCGCTAACCCATCGTTCACCAGCCATTTCTCAGCTGTTTGGGTGAGTGCCGCTCATCCTCATGCAGTACACTCTCATACTCAAAGATCTTACCACAGATATGTCCACGGCTTGGTATGTATTCTAGTCTACTCAATGTAGAGGTCAATAGCCTCATTGTCGAGATCAGGGGATGTCGGTGGTCACTTTCGACTGGAGCCAAATCGCGTAGGTGCTTCTCACCGTGTTGGCATATCAGTATATTCATTGTTTTCCCTCATAGCTACATAGGGTCACCTCTGGCTACGCCATGCAAGTTTTTGAGATAACTTGATGAAAGCTCTCACCGGAACTGACTTCAATCTTCAGGGTGGGCCGAAGCGAATATCTTCGGTGGTTTCGTCATATTTTTCTGTGAGTAGATAGCTCTAATTATGTGGAACTTCGACTTACTCACCGTTCAACACAGGGATTGTCACACCTGCCGTATATGTGAGAGGCCCCTTATGCTTGAGATATAAGACGGTGAAATGCTAATGAAGAATTTATGCTAGTTCTCGAACACTTTCTTCAGCGCATTTATGCCGTGAGTGATGCCTGACCGGCCTTGAGTAGTCATGTGCTGATCGCAAACGTGACCCACAGCATCTCATCGCGTACCTCCTACGACAATACCGGTGCTGCGTACGATCTCACGCGCATCTTGAATCCCGACTCTACTCTCAATGCCGAGGCGTACCACAGCTACAGTCCACTCTTCCTCTCGTAAGTCCGACTACTTGCAACCTATGGCTTGCTACCGTGACTAAGATGAATATAATATAGCACAACCTTCGCGATGAGCTACGGACTTTCCTTTGCCTCCATCACGGGTAAGATATGATTTCATAAGAGGAAGTTTTCTCTGACCTTATACCACCTATTTATAGCCACCTTGATGCATGCTTTGCTTTACTTCCGCAAGCAGATCTGGGTTCAGTCTCGTCGCTCCCTCCATGAGCAGCCTGACATTCATGCTAGGCTTATGTCTCGCTATCGCCAAGGTACGTTACTCCCAGCTTCGACGTCTAGGTCACTTCCCTAACAGGCTCCCACAGTGCCCGACTGGTGGTACCTTGTCGTGTTTGTTTCCATGTTCGTCTTCGGTATAATCAGCATCGAGGTCTGGCCTACCCAAATGCCAATTTGGGCCTTCGTGTTAGGACTTTTGATCTGTGAGTCCACTACTGTTTGGCAATCGCATGATCCAAGTTGAAGTAAATTTCCTTGTTTAGCCTTCACGTATGTGATCCCCGTCGGCATGATCCAAGCCATCACGAACCAGCAAGTCGGGTTGAAGTGAGTTCATTCGGCCGTTACGCGGAGTAGTGACTCGTTCGTTACTGATGCATTTTGCACTCCGCGAACAGCGTCATCACGGAGCTTATCATCGGGTAAGCGCCTAAAACCTTCCGTGAGGCATACATATCTTCACATCATTATAAATACAGGTATGCTCTACCAGGCCGTCCCATTGCTATGATGATGTTCAAGACGTGGGGATACATCGTGAGTTATCCGAGGTCTAGCTAGAGCCCACCATGCTTAGAATTTTTGCACTAGACGATGGCCCAGGCGTTGACCTTCACGTCTGACTTCAAGCTCGGACACTACATGAAAATCCCTCCCAGGTTCGTGCTCTGCCCCTGGTTCTTCATGTGACCACTGATGTGTTCTGTTCCTTAGGCCAATGTTTTGGAGCCAGGTAGGTCACCTTAAGCGCCAAAACTTGTTAAGTTGTCTGATTTCATGTTTTGGTGTAGATCGTTGCGACCGTCAGTAAGTGATAATGAATGAAAAACCCGCGATAATTTCTGCCCTGTTAAATAACATCGCCTTATAGTTGCTGGTACTGTTCAACTCGGAGTACAAGCATGGATGTAAGTCGATGTACGCTTCTCGTCAGAAGGAGGTTCTGATATTCATAAATTTCAGGTTCACCAATATCCCGTGAGTAGACGTTTTACGTTGATCGCATACAAACTTATACCTTGTCCCTCAGCGATATGTGTGCGCCCGACCAGCCAAACGGTTTCATCTGCCCAAGCACTGAAGTATTCGGTACTGCGTCTATCATCTGGGGTGCGTCCTCTAACAATATTGACATGTATGATAGCTCAAAGGTTGACTTTACTAGGCGTCATCGGACCCGGCCTCCAGTTCTCGAAGGGACAGACGTACTAGTGAGCGTTCTTCCCCTTTTCATTCACTCGTGCGCTGACCCAGTTTCACAGCCGTAAGAGATATCGTCCTCCAGAAGCGACCAAACAGTACTGACTGCTTCGATAGCTCTTCTCTTTTTCTTCCTCGTCGGAACCGTCGCCCCTGTCATTCCCTGGATCATCACCAAGAAGTGGCCGAACAGCATGTTCAAATACATCAAGTGGGATTGCCAAATTTATTGCATATTAGATTGTTACTAAACGAATGCCACCATCGTAGCTTCCCGGTTATCTTCAACGGTACTGGACTCATTCCGCCCGCAACCGCTGTAAACTATGTACCTTGGGCGTGAGTATAGTAGCCAGTTCGAGACTCATTCTTGCTCTAACACCTTGAGTCATTCAGTGTCGTCGGGTTTATCTTCCAATATGTCATCAGAAGGTGTGTGCGACTCCTTTCCCGCTCCAGATATTACTGCACTAAGGGGCGTCCTTTTCAGGCGTCATTTCGATTGGTGGACGAAGTACAACTGTGAGACGGCTTGTAACACATCACTTCGATACGATTGCCTGAGTATCTTTCATTCTAGATGTCTTGTCTGCCGCCATGGACTCAGGAACTGCGGTATCCATCCTTGTGATCTTCTTCTGGTACGCTATATTCCTTACCGTTCTAATATCGTGATTAACGTACTTTAATATAAAGCCTGCAGTTCCCCATGAATGGCCAGGTGAGTATATGGACTCATGAATGGCCTTATTCTACCACTAATATCACTGTCGACCATAGATCGGAATCAACACCATCCAGTCCTGGTGGGGCAACACGGTAAATAGCCTTCCTCATATACGTTTTGGTCTCACGTCGTAATCTCATGTACTCTCCCTTTAGGTGCCCTTCAGTGGAGCCGACAACGCCGGAACACCCATCTCTGCTCTTCCCCCGCAGGGAACCTTTGGGTAAGTCTTGCTTATTCTTGATAATTCTGCGATTAATCGGCCATCCAATTGGTCTTCTAGACCCAGCACATGGTGAACGGCTCATCTCGCCGTACGGACTGCGCTTCAGAGCTTTGGAAATTATGCTTTTTATTGTGCGATGTGTTCATGTATGCGATTAGATACGAGGAGAGAAGGTGTACGATGTTGAGGGACGATGAATTTACAATTTATTTGACGAGAGAACGTGTTTTACGAGATCTCCTCGACCATGTTGTTCAAAAGTCGTTCTCGAAGGTTTGAAAGACGGATCAACTCCTCGCGGGCTTGATGTAGTTCTTGCTTTGCTAGAGCGAGGTTCTGACGTGACAATGAGTGGCGAGTTGAAAGAAACCTTGGAAATTGAGTATATAAAGGGCGTACCGGAGGTAAACCCTGGAATGCTTGGATCCTCGCGCGTTTGATTTTCACTTCGTGCTCTTTCTTACGTAGACGTTCCTTCTGAGCAAGGAAGTCGGCCACTGTTGTAGTGGGCTTTATGTCCTGCACACAAGATATCGGCGGAAAAATCAAGTCACGAAACATATCGGAGTGATCATAAATTGCGATAGCTAGGTGTACCTGTATATGACGAAGCTCGGCTTGGTACTCTTCAGCTTTGAGAGCGAGTATGGCGCGTTGATGTTCTGTTTCCTCAAGCTTGCTGGTGAGGTCTGGGGAGTCGAACTCTTTAATCCACCTAAAGTGCAAAATACGCAGCCGTTATTTACGACGAGCTCTGAGTACAAAGGGAATAGGTTACTTTGTGATGAGACGGAGCTCACTCTCCGCCATCTTCAGATGTTGTTGGACTTCCTCTTCGACTCCTTGAAGTCGTATGGAGTCGCGTCGTAAATCAAACAAATCTCTTGAGATCTTGTTCAAGGCTGTATAAAAACTGCGAGAGATTTCAATATCTATCAGCACCAAATGGCTTGGGCCTCGATCGATAGACATGAGAGACAGCAACACCGTACCTAGCAGAGGACATATCGTTTATGCTTAGAGCCTCTGCTATAAGAGCTAAAGTGTCTATTCGCTCGTCGACTCTGCCTGAAGATGCCATAATTCAAGCGAGACTCAGATGCGGAGGCGTTCGTATAGGTGAGTCGCGAAGGGCAGGTGTGGAATCAACTTGAATCGAGGCTAGCAGGGGTTTGAGGAGTTGATGAAGAGAAAATATGCACAGAGAACAGTTGAGGCTGTAACGTGGACGAAGTAATTTTCTCGTCTAGTATATCTATAGATATAAACGAAGAGATTTAGAACTATGATGTTATACTTAGTTCGCATCTCCTCTCACCACCTATGGGTCCAATCCGGGTAGTGACACTGAAGTTAGGTCTGCGCCAGTTGGCCAGGATGACAATTCTGCCCTTTAAATTTGGGAACCGGCAATACATAGACTCACTAACGGTTAACCTCGAGGGTCGTGGGCGTTGAAGAGCAAGAACAAAATTTAAACTCCGCTGACTTGACGAGTCTTGGGCCTCAGGGCCTGGTCAGAACTTGGGTCATTTTGGGCTCGGTTTGGCCACAAAAAAAGGAGTGGCATCCATCGGACTTTGAATGTCTGCCGCAATGCTTCGGCTCCTCCCACGCATTCGTGCGCAACAACGCCGACTCTACTATCCTCGTCAAAACAAAGGCGGCAACGCTTGTCCGATCTGGCTCTAGAAATGTCTGCTCTGGCATATGGGGCTTTCTCTGTCTAACCGAATTATGACGTTCATGACCTGATCCATCGAGCATAACCGGGCCTGCTAGTACTTACCCAGATGGTCACCATCTCTCCAACGCTGGGTTCGCGTTACCACAGTGCCAGCTTGTCTGGTAATCATGGCCACGGTTTTGCTTGCGTTACATGTCTAAAGGCGGAGCAGTTTCGCTTCCACATACACTCTGGGAATTTGTGCTCGCACGCCGGGCATATACACTCAGACCGATGTGGATACCATGGCAGTAATGGGCCATATTTCTAGGTTCAACAAGTGGATCGGTGCTTCCATCTCGTGACGATTCCTGTCAATTCCATTGCGTTACAACGGCATGGCTGTCCTCATCCTTTGACTACGAACTCACGATGTGTCTACCATGATGATCCTATGGTGGCGCAAATACTTGGCGCTCGCTCTGAGTCGATGACCCACTCGTTTTCAGCTCTATGATTATCGACCTCGGTACTCCGCTCACTCTCATGATCCACATAATTACACATTCAGGTATACGAGCATCGTAGTAGACGTGGTACCATAAAAGCGAAATAGCACCACTTAGGATCTCAGGATAGTTGTTTTTCCACCAGCGTCCTCTCTGTTGATACCAGCTATTATGTCCGACACAGCCTGGTTTAATAACCTCAAGACCCTCAAGGGCATTCAAGCCAAGCCTCTTCCAGAGCTTGAGTCCCACGATCTTTCAGGCCAAACGTTTCTCGTTACAGGAGCTAACACCGGTGACAGTCGATCCGCTCACTTCATCTGCTCGCTCTCCACTGATCCTCCACCTGATTTGCATTCGCTTTTGCTTCACTAGGTATCGGCTATGAAATCGCGAAATACCTCGCGTCCCACAACGCCTCGAAGGTGATCCTCGCATGTCGCAATCCTTCCAAAGGAACCGCCGCAGCCGCATCACTCGCCTCCGAAACTGGTCGTTCGGCAGATGTGATCGAGAGCCGGATCCTTGACTTGACGTCGTTTCGGAGTGTAAAGGCGTTCGCGGGACAGTGTGCGGAGTATGCGGATGGTATCGATGTGGTGTTCATGAATGCGGGGATGAGCACCGTGGGAGATATCAAGAGTGAGGATGGATTTGATCCCGTGTGCGTTCCTACTTTCCTATATGCCTCCATCGTGTCCCGTACCATGACTACCACCAACTCACGCTCAATACTCACATGTATTCGATGATAGCCTGCAAGCGAATCACCTCGGCGCCACACTGCTCACCCTCCTCCTCTACCCCATACTCTCGAATCCTACCACGAATCGTGACCCGAAGAAGCCAGCCCGCATCGTCTGCACCTCATCCAACGCCATCGGCATGACCAATCTCCCCGCCTCCATCTTCACCTCACCCACTCCCATCCACACATTCATCAACGAAATCCGCGTTCCTCCCGCGGATGACCACGACCTCAGTGCGGATTATTACGCGAAGACTAAACTATGGGCGTATATCTGTTCGTTGGAGTATGCGAGGCGCGCCCAGGATCAGCAGGACGGTGTCAAACGAAACATTGTCGTTTCGAACGGTTGTCCTGGATTCGTCAAGACGCAATTAGGACAGAAGGATGGTACGGGCGGCGATTTCAAGGCCGTGAACATGGACGTGTCGTTCCCTGGTATAAGGATCATGGCCCCGGAGGAGGGTGCGAGGACGATAATACTCATGGGGACTTATCCGGTCGAGAAAGTCTGGGGCATCGATGAGGCTGGGGGAGAGAGGTTGAAGGTGCCGTGGTTCGTTGGGATGCAGGGACGCACTTGGGAGGAGTATGGACCGGAGGTGGCGAGAGACGAGGGGTTCAGGAAGAGGGTTTGGGAAGATACGATTGGTTTGATTGGGGTGGACAGTGGGGAGGTGGATGTACGGTTTTTGTAGACACGGTGAATGCGCGGACGAAGCGAAAACGGTAACAGACTTTTGTATGTACGACCTACGATCACATCGAGACGATGTAATGACCTTGCTGCTTACAGTCCTCAGTGAGAAAAGACCTGCTTCAGTCCACTTCTCCCGATAGCATCTCGCAGAGCACTTATGTACATTATGATTTTCAATCTCCCAGATCTCTCAGAATTTCAACCCGTCCTGCCCAGCCTAGCATCAGAAGCGTCGAACGTCGAACCTTATAGCTTATTTCCCCGAGCACCGACATCAATCAAAGCACAGGGTTCTCATACGACGCAGATCTTTCAAAGCGTATCGTATGAAATACGCGTACGTACGCGACTCGGATATCTGGATATCTTGCGCAAAAGGCGACGCAGATCCTCCTATCCTCCGGCGGTTACTACAGAGTCCATAGCATCATGATTTGCCAGAAGCTTCATAAACGAGAACGAACTTTCCCAAACGAGCCTCCCGTGACGCGCTCGGAGCACTGCTAAGAGTAAGATGGATTGGAAATACTAGTACTTTGAGCTGGCAGTGAGCGGTCCCGATATCATTGAGATTGGTTGGGCTTGGCTGACGAGAAGTCATGTCAATATTGATCCAGAAGCCGAAGAGAAGGATTCAGAATCTTCGAAGTGTCAGAACCGGCGTCTGTACTGCATGGGAAGTATGTTGTTCTACAGGACTTGGATTGCGGCTATTACACGGTATGCGTACGTGGTGATTAGGAGGGTATGACTAGAGTAAGGTATGAGTATGTCGATATCTAGCTACTGATTCTGCAGGGCGGGAATGCGACTTGGTGAGAAATTATGACAGGGGCCGGAGAGGCGGAACTACACACAACAGCGACGACGAAACGAGATGCGATGCGAACAAACCAAAGACACACAGACCGAGCATACAGACGACGAAACCCCTTGGGAAAAGTGAGATGAAAACGACATGAGACGAGCACAGAATTTTGAGCATGCAATGAGCGAGAGGGGAGAAACGGAAACGTCCGAGGCGTTCGTCAAGAAGCAGCGCAACCAAATACAAGCACGAGCGGGGCCGACGATTCAGGTAAGGAATAAAAAGATTATAAAGTTGGAGCTGATGATATACAAGAACTGACTTGTTGTTTTCGTAAAAGGTCGTTATAGCCGGAGAAATTAGTACACAAAACCCCAAAACCCAAACTCCAAGCTCCAATCAGAAAATGAGGACACGACCAAGATTCCTGTTCAGCTCTTGTTCGAGCAAAGCCGCCGGACCAGGAAGCTTCCCAGCCCACTCATCCGGATGATATGGCCTCTGGGAGACCATACTGAACGAATCACGCTCGTCTTCCTCGCTCGACAAGACAGGAGCGAGGGGAACCTGGCACGTTTGTTTGTATGGTGTGAGACTGAAATTTTGGAGACTGGCTGGAATCCATTGAACTGGCGATGGAGCACGCCGACGACGTTTTGGACGGGGTGCAGAAGACGAATGTGAGGGAGCCGTGTCGCCACCGGCAGCATCAATGGTCGACATACGCGTACGTTCGCGGCGAATGGGTCCGGTTTCGTGGGAGTCTGCGGAAGGTGAGGCGGAGGCACTCTGCGGAGGTGAGGCGGTACTAGAAGAGCGAGGCGGAGGGGATGTGTCGGAGTGCGATAGTTCGGGGGTGAGTGCGTTGGTAAAGCCTGAACCGGCCTGAACCGAGCGAGGACCGCAACGGCGGACATGGCGATTGAGGTTGGACGCTACGCCGAAACGCCTGCCACAATGATCGCAAGCGTACGCTACAAAAAAAAATGTAAAGGTTAGTGTGGCAAACTTGATTAGGTAAACAAGATGAGACGGAACCTTTTTCACCAGTATGAACAAGCATGTGCTGAACGTAAAAATAGGTCAGTTAGTGTTAGTTGATTGATAACGGGAACAAGAGACCACACCTTCTTCAGCGTTGAGGGCCGGTCGAATGCTTTATAGCACATGTTACATTGATGCCGTTTCTCACGAACCCGCTGCTGCTGGGTGGTAGAAATAGATTCTTGAGCAGCATTGATGTGGGGGTCGGGCACGAACGAAGGAGGAGATGGCGGTGGCGGTGGCGAGAGCTGGATAGCGATGGGAGGACGGATTTGGGGTTGGGGATGGAGGGGAGGGTATGAGGTGTACGATGAGGACGAGGACGAGTTCATATATAGAGGCACGTCGGTTGGATGATATGACGCGATGGACGATGACGGGAACTGCGGCGTCCAATGCCAGTTGTTGTTTGGATGGGATGTAGTGGATGGGGCGGGCGCGTACTGCTCAGCCCCGAAATTGAGATTGTGGTTCGGGGAGAGCGGGCCGGAGTTGAAGTCAGGGTCGAAACGGAGGTGCGAGTAAGGGGGCAGGTTTGCCATTGTGGTGGACGAAAGCAGAGAAAGGGAAGATGGGGAAGGGGAGCGTCGGTGGGCGGTGGCGGATTATAAGGATGATGGTGAGGGCGTGCCGATCGCCAAATCAGATCTCGATAGTCCTCTTACGGCACTCTTCCACCGCGGGCTTTCAATGGTCGGCCTCCGCCACACCGCGGCCTCTCCTTCGAACAGCTACGTCTTCCATTATCCGCGCGTTTTCTATCATTTGTTGCCTGCTTTCGGTCGCAACATATCTCACTTCGGTCGACTTATCCATCTAGCCTAAAACAGACACAATAGAACGTGGCTTGCCTCAAAGCAGCTCGCCCAGGTCGGACATCGCCTTACGCCACAGGGCGTAAAGTGGCTTCTTGACTTCATCAACAACTGCTACTCATACATCCAGGCAACAATAACATTTGTATGTACAATAGAACGTCAGCTTCCCCGAGGCCTGCCGCACCACAATTATAGCAGCTAGCGCAGTCGTGTTTGCGCCAATGCAGGTGCAGCATGTCCCCATGTCCCACGAATCAGGGAACAGAAGGCCAGAGCGAGTCAAGAGCGAGAGGCGATTGATACGGACTCGATTTCGAAGCAGGTGAATACTCGTGCCTCATGCCAGCGATTAGATTGGTCGAGGCTCCTGCTTGGGCTGCCCTATGCCCTCATTTGACGCCACCTGTAACATGATGCAGCATCTCACCCGTCGTATATCAGGTTATCGATCAGCCTCTTTAGGTCCAATCGGCGCAGTGGCAATGAATCGATCTAGACGTATGACCGCGGGATCCGGTAACCTTCTCGTTGCAGAACAGCGCAGGAGGATTGTAATTATGTCGGTCCATAAAGGGCAAGCAAACAGGCTGTCACGAGAAGCCGCATCCATCTCCTGATGGGGCGCAGGAAGCTCGGCAAAGGACGCTGAGAAGTTGACAAATGGGGTCGTCGGTGATGGCATGTGTGAGCACGATGCAGACCAAGCATAGAATAGTATGCGCCACAAATACTAGGCCAGACCACGGTCACCAACGACGAACCTCACAAGACCTCACACAACCAAGCTAAATGCTCATTTGAAGAGAAGAGGAAACGGTTAGACTGATAGATGTAATGATGTCTTATTGTGAAATCTAGCATATCAACAATTGCAAGCGCTCATGATTGGCCAGAACGCACAGACAGCCAATCGGTGTGCGCGAGAGTACGGCCGGTGGTCAATGAGCTTGAGCACTGCATCAACATGATCTGGATAAAACGTCTTGAATCAAGGAGTATGCTCGTGCAATTGGTAAATGTACTGGTTCCACAAGGCGGTGCAAAGGCGGTGAGAATTTGAGTGTCTTGCTGGTTTGTTTGGTCTTGTTGTTTTCCAACGGTCATGACAAGCAACGCCAAACAACCTCATTTGATCTCAGCCACCGACGCGTCTCGCGATTTCGCCACACTCCGACTCTGTGAAACGCTCAGAATCTCCTCATATACTTGTCATGCCTGTTACGGAAGCACAGAAAACTGCTATAGAGGAAATTATAGGAATCATCAAGAATGTCAACCAACCCAAGAAGAAACGAAAACTTGTGGATATGTTTATGGATTTGGTGAACCGGGAGGTTTGGGCGGATTACTACCAGGTGCGTTCAACCCATATACCATTTTTTCTACCTTCGCGGTTGGCCCGCTGACTTTATCGTGCGTTCATAAAGGTCATCCCAGAACCTCGATCCATCAATGGTATCACTCAAAAGCTGCACGCAAACAAGTACAAGGACCCGTTGGTCGTTTACGAAGACTTGCAGCTTGTTTTCCTCAATGCTCTGTACTACAACGAGGAAGGTAGTCAAATTGCAAAAGATGCTGCTACACTCAAGGTTCATTCCCGTTCCACTTTTCGCACACCTAATATCACTGTTCCAACATCGTGTTTGATTCGATGTGGCACAGGGCGTACTCGAGACGGAATGGGCGCAACGGTCCTCTGTTCTGCCTGTACCACCAGGCTCCCTCCCCTCGAAATCTGCCCAGAAGACGCACGAGCCTGCGAAAACACAAGCAGCACCTGTGGCCTCGACTTCGACTGCACCTCCACCTCCCTCTACACCTGTCATCCGAGCACCCGAACCTAAACTTCCCTATGCTCCCATGACGGCTGTGCGGACGACTTCCATTCCAACACCAACATCAACCATGCCCGTCACACCATCCCGCTCCAGGGCTGCGCGATCGCCTCCCAAACCTGAAGCAGCAACTGCCACCATTGCACCTCCAACACCAATAACATCAACAACGGCTATCAACACCGACACCGCGAACGCGAACCATGTAATGAAGTCCCCACAAAGAGCAAGTTCGCCTGATATAGATGTTGATATAGGAGGGACTCCAGAGCCGGAGAGTATGGGTGCCGGAGACGAGATCGCACGGGACGAGGAAAGCGATGCGGTCGTGCAGCAGTTGGAGAGGGGATTACCGAGGTGGGGTGGCCCGGGGGAAGATGGGTGGTGGACCGGGTCTGAGGGGGGAAGTGAGAGGTGGGTGGAGATTGTGATGGCCGTGAAGGGGCATAAGGATGTTATGTGAGTGTATCCATTATCCTATTGTCGTGTTGGTGTGTAGGAAGAGACTGACATGATGGTGAACGTTTTGACGGTAGAGGGAATAGGATTGCTCAGGCTTTGGAGGCCGTCCCAGAGGATGCGGCAATTCCGTATCTGTCGTTTTCGGTATGTTTATGTTTAGAAGTGGTGTGAGGTCGTGGTTTCAGACCGCTCACGACAAGTCGCTATAGGGTTCTTTATCGCTAAAGCTCATTGAGGTCTGTCTCCACTTTCTTGTCTACATTGAGACATCCACTTCTGACGTTGCTTGCATTCCTCATATTGCCCTTCTCAGAGTCGCGCTCGTTCCAATGGCTATACGTCGTCGAAAGAATTCGACAAAGATATGGAACGTCTGTTCGAGAAGTGTCGAAGGTGGCATGAACAGGGCAGTGAACAATATGGCCGCGTGCTCCTCCTTCAAGTATGTCTCCTTCTCCCTTTCAACACGCGAGGCGTTGGGCACTAACTAATCATACTCGAAATTCAAACTCCTATAGCGTCTCTACCAAGCCATCACCTCACCTCACCCACCACCTGGCCCCCCATACGCCTCCACGACTAACTTCGCAGGTCTTCGCGCCGGACCCGGTGTCGCACGTCCTTTACACTCCGCATCTGATTCAGACAACAAAGCGTCAGGCGTGACGACGTTCCGGGTGTCAACGAAAGACAGAACGTTTGTCGATGAACTGCAGTACAAAGGGTGGAACGTGAGGTTGGCAGATTGGTTGCATCTGGCGAATCCGGACGATCCGGCGCGGCCGATTGTGGCCCAGGTGTTCAAGTGTTGGATGAGCGATGAACCGTGCGTATGCATATGCGTGCTTTAAGCGAGCTAACTGTACTGGTATTGATTGCGCTGTGCTAATGATTGTCACTTTCGTTCGCTCTTCTTTTTTAGGGCGAAGAAGGGACAGCCGCATGTTACGGTGGCTTGGTATTTCCGTCCGGAACAAACTATACATCCCGCCGTGCGCCAGTTCTGGGAAGGCGAGGTCTTCAAGACGAGTAGGTTCTGATCCCTTCGCTTCCTTTCCTTTACTATTCTTGATCTTTCATGCATGCACTCGACCCAATTCTTTCGTTTCACCGTTTCGCCGTTCCAATCCCTTTCCTCCATCAAACTTGAACTAACACCCTCAAACCGCACCTGCTAGGCCACTTCGCAGACCACCCCATCGAAGATCTCATCGAAAAGATCGCCTGCCAATTCACCGCGCGACACATCCGTGGTCGTCCCCGTCCTCCCTACTGGTACCTCGGCTGGCCTCTCTACGTCTGTGACTCACGTTACAACGACCGCGACCGAATCTTCGTCAAGATCAAGAACTGGAATTCGTGTGTCCCCGAAGAGGTCAGGAAGAGCACGGAATTCATGCCGATTTATCCGTTTGAGAGGATGGTGCATCCGAGGAGGTTTGGCAGTCCGTTCTTGATGCAGGGACAGGGAGGGAAGGGTGGTAATGTGAAGGGCCCGGGGGGCATTGGGGAGCCGGTCAGTGAGAAGGTAGAGGGAGAGAGGGGCGGTGAGAGGAAGAGGTCGAAGAGGGCTGGGCCGCCCAGTGGAACGGATATTTCGGGTCCTAGTAAAGGATTGTATGTGGGCGTTCCGGGCGCGACGACGGGGTATTCGACCGCGGGGACGTCTGCGGCTGCTGCACAGTATTTGCAGCATACGCAGCAGCAGCAGCCGGCGGTGACGCCACAGGTGGCGAGGGCGCAGAGCTCGCAACCGAGGCAGCCGCAGGAGGATAGGTCGATCGTGACGGCGGCGGGAGGGATGGCGATTTTGGGCAGTTATGCTACGGTGGATAGATTGCCTGCTGAGACTGGTGGGTATCCCGGGCTGAATTCGTTGCGTTCGACGGCCTGTCTTGATGCCTTTTTTGCTCTCTTTCTAGCGAAACACTTCGACCGCGATCCAGAGACGAACGAAGTCCTTTGGTTCGCAGCTCCCCCCATCAACATCGCACACACTCCTGCGCCGAGATATAGCCTCAAATACCTGCATTGGCTCGCCACCAAGCGCAAAAGAGAGTCGGAGGACTCCAATGCGATGGACGTCGACGAAGCTCGTGACCCGTCCCATATGACGAAGAAGCGTCAGATTGAGCCTATGCGGACCATGACGGAGACCATTGGGGAGCTCCTTGCAGACTTTCCGATGGACGAAGTCAGGCAGCCATGACGACGGGTTTGATATTTCGTTCTTGCCCGGTTCTTCCTCTTCTTGACACTTGCCTGGACGTTCTGCCGACTACTATTATTCGACTTATTGTACACCAACCAGTCTGACGCCTAATACCGAGAATGGTCAACCGCGTGTGTCCACGGTGCCGCGGCTCCAGCTTGCACTTTAGTTCTCGTCATAGGACATGGTTGGGGACTATGACGTGCGATTTCAACGGACATACAAGGTTCTTCGAAGACAGTCACAATAGCCTTTTGGCTATTCGCAGCTTTCTGCAAGGCTCGACGATCTAGGCTGGGGTGGTTAGCAGCGCCACAAGCAGCCTGCTCACCCGATTCGGCCCGAAGCATGATGTGTACTTCAACCACTCTCGGTACCTAGATTGACTTACCTGTCCGGTCTTCTATTCATTCCCGAAACTGACTCGTCGAATTCCTCGTGCAGGCGCTTCCGGTGTCCCAGAATTGGCCATGCTTCGAATCATCCAAAGCAGCTGTTCCGTGCCAGGGGCTTCTGCCCGTTGACTCCCCGAGGTGCGAGCTCGAGATCTGGGCCATATTGCGCTGCTGGTGCAATCAATCGCGTCTGAGCTTTTATGACCTGACCTATCGTTGTCGCTTTGACTTTGGCCAGTTGATAGATTCTGAGCTTGGGTCACACTAAACCTGTGCCCCTTTCAACTCTTGTAAGTTTGTTTTTCGACTTTACAGCTGTCCGATCTCGTGGCGCCCCTTTGGACAGAATGCGCTCGCCTAATCTGGACGAGACAAAGGCACCGGCGATACTTATGCATTCATTTACCCCAGGATCAGATTTGGCATTCGGAAGCGGTGCTACGACGCTTCTCTGAATCTCTGATAATATTAATTGGCCTTCCAGTCATCGTGTCCACCGCAACCGAGGTCGGACGTCCGAGGCTCGAACCCTCCCGATGGCTTTATTGCGCACAAGTACTTCGTCTCCCGAGGAGCGTCTCCGCGGACGTCGACATGGGGGCGTGAGGTCCTGATCCTTTGTGGCGTTGCCGTCGGACATGCCAATGACGCATGCAATAGTGAATGGGCCCGACACCGACACACTTTTTTTTTAGAGGTTAGGCTTCCAGACGATTGGCATTAAAAGGGCGACGATTAGCTTCCCGCTAGGAAGCGAACCGCGTATGCGGTTAAATGGGCTTCACAAGTTGTCTAGCATCGCCGCGGGCTATACACCACAAAGCCTCTGCTGCGGCTATAGCACAGTTCTTCTTTGAGCGGAGTTAGCGGCATTTTGACAAGGATGTGCGGCGTAGACGTGGCGTACTAAGAATGCTTTTGTAGGTTTCCCCCAAAGGGTGCTAGTCCCTTGCACCACCAAGAGGCCGACGCGGGGCGTGAGCTGTCGTACCTGCACGCCCTGCACCAGGGTGTAAGAAGGGGGGAGGCGAGCGGCCACTCTTATTCTATAGCCGACACCCTACGCCATTACTTAAAGCTGTCCGAGTCGACGAAGGTCGACTTCATTCGGTTCTCATCCAAGTTCTAGTGAGTAGGCAATGAAGTGAGGCGGCTGTGAAGCGAGCAGGTGACGGGATTGAGCGGAAAAGGCTGGCTGCGTTGAATGAGAGAACTTATAAACAATTGGTCATCGCAGAGACGAAAGTAAATTTCGCCAGTTATTCAGGACATAATCGAGAATATTGGGGATTCTGAGCCATCCTGAAATATTTCTGTTCAAGGCGATGCTCAAAATCGTTCCCTGGTAAAGGATAGCTAATAGCATCCACGGATATGCATTGTGGTCCAGAGGGTTCGATAAATGATTAATGGACCAGGCATCATTTCAAAGCACTATCATGTTACTATCGTCCTTATATATAAGGTGACCTATTCAATAGTGCAGTCGATGGATGAGTGTATTCTCCTCAAAAATGCGGATAAATGGGAACAGCCAATTGGATAAGGGGGTGTTGTTGAGTCCCGTTATGCAGAGATACGATGGATTTAAATGTGGACGACATAACCTAGAACGAACACTGCGGCCAGACAGTAAAAAAACCAAGCAGACGGGTGAAGCGAATACTTGTGACTCTATCACTTCTTATACTTGTTGAGCAACGAGTTCCCTTCTGTATCATTACAATATCATCATAAAGCCATGGCAGTTAGCGCGCCTCATCAGCAAGGATAGAGCGATTCAATGCAACTCAGTGACCTACTCTGAGCAAGCCCTTCCACCCGACTCTCAAATTGTCTTCTCCTTTCCTCTCCAGCCACTCTGTCTATAACTTGCGTCCGTACGAAATTCAGCGCGGGGTTACTACTGGTCGGTTGAGGCTGTGGCACATTAGGAGCAGAACGTGGCCGGGGGGGAGGTTGTGGACCTGTGAACCACGGCGCACGTCAACAATCACACACTAGCAGCAGAATAACTATTGACGAGCGAGACAAACAGAAGGGCACTCACGAGGCATGAGAGATGAAGTCGGAGACGGCACAGGCATATACGCGGGCTGATACTTTGATTGCTCGTGCTCATGGTGTGGGGGATAGGGTTCGGACAGCTCAGGCCGAGGAAAGTTAAAACCCTGAGGTGTGGATGGGTTGCTTCTTCCGTACTCTTCCGTGTCGTAGTTGTACCTGTTGATAGGACAAATTCCATCCGAGTTGTATGGGTTACCATAGTGGCTATGTTGGGAGTACGGCTGTTGTTGTTGTTGTTGGAGTCGGAGTTGCTCGGGTTGAGATGGAGAGTGAGGCTGGGGCATGGCCCACCCTCGTTGTGGCCATGATTGCTGGTCCCACGGAGATTCGAGAAGAAAATCAGATGTCGATGAAGAAGGACGGCTTTGATGATGGATTGGAGGTGGACGAGTTCCAGCATCTGGACGGGTGGAAGGACGAGGTGGCGTCGGAGGTGGCTTTGGACGGGAGTTGTGGTGCACTGGTGGCGGACCACTGGCACCAGCACTGACAGGACGTTGCGGTTGTGGTGGTGGATTCGGGCGTGTGGCGAGGGGAGGTTCAGGACGGGGTGTGATAACGGTTTGGGCAGCACCAGACGTATCGGCCACGAGGCTGTATGGAGGTGGAGGAAGTTCGTCGCTTTCTTTGGTCTGTTCGACTGAGGCCAGCCACTGTGCGTAGGTTTGTCCCTTTGTGGCTATATCGGTGGAGGTGCCGGGTTCTGAGCTAGATCCTGAAGCTTGTTGCTCGTATCTCGGATGTGAACTCCACCAGTCTTTCAGCTCCTTCTCCGGGAAATGTTCACTGATCTCCTTCAGTCCCTTCAGAGACTCAGAAGCATACCCTGCGATACGCATGTACCAATCACTGGGCAGGTCATAACCGTCCTCGTCTAGCGCCATGAGCTTGAATCGGCGCTGTTCATCGTGTGGGAGTTGGTTCCGATGAGAGACAACCGGGACGAAGTTCGTGCCTTCGTCGTATTCGTCCCACATTGCAGCGTAGATGATGCGCGCTGCGCCGAAGCGATGTATGTTGTAGAGTTGACGCCACAGGAAGCGGCCCCCCATGCGGGGAGCGCCGTTGAAGTCCCATTTGCCTTGAGACATGTTCAGTGCCTACGTTATAGGAGGGAACCATGAATATTAGAAGTATCTAGAGGCAAGAAAACCAAACGCTACTCACAGAACCGCCAGGATGAACGACCGGAATATAATCCACATGCCTCCCCTTCTCCCTCTTCCACTTCTCAATGAACTCAACATCTCCCTTGATACGATCCTCCGCAAACGAATCCGCACTCTTCTCATCATTATACCTCCCCACTGTCCAAGGCGAGACGGCATCAAAGCATTCCATCCAGGCTGCAACAAATTCTGGGTTTCGGTCGGCGTCTCCATGTGCGGAACGCCACCCCGCGGGCGAGCCACCCATAATATAGGCACCGCCTGGCGTATTGGAGCGGATGAAATTAATTACAGAACGGAGTTGCTCTGGTGTGTGCTTTGTGTGGTCGAAACCGAAGCCTGAAAGTCATAGCGGATCTCAGATGATGCCATAACGAGACAGTATTGTGGCGAGCTTACCCCAGATTGCAATAACGGGTTTGCCGTTGTGATGAAGGTAATTAGGACTGTCCAGGACTTTCTTCTTGTGCAGGAGGTGCGACCAGTCTTCTTGGATCATTCGCATGGTTCTGTCACCAGCCACTCCGGCAAGGTCATACCTAAAGACGAAACCCGTGAGCATTGCCACTTTTATGGTGTATTGGCGTAGTTATGGAACTACGCAAGACGTACATGATTGCAAACACTCTACCTTCCTTTTCTGCAGCTTCCTGGACGCGATCACCGATCTCGTCCCGCAAGTTTCTTGAGCGTTCGTCCCCGCCTTCAACGTCTGTGGCACCTAAGAATCGTTGAAGGAAAGCGCCGTCCACACCGTTCTCGGCCATCCAATGAAAATGCCTACAGCAGAAATCTCAGGTCAGGGCACAAAAGTACGCAGAAGCCGATTTCCGGTGAACACGTACCGTTGCACGGTCTTGGGATGCCGCGAAGAGAACAAGAAGGCTTGTTCTCCGTTCTCGTGTTTGAATCCGGGAGCAGGGTACAGTTCGGAGGGCGAGTACTCTGATGTATCCGGCCACACATCAACATTGATGCGTCCACCGTCTGGTACGGGATAGTCGAACCAGTGCAGCCAGCCATGATGACCTTAAAAAAGGGAGGAATGCCTTTCAACTGGGTGGGCCACAATGGCACGACAGCTGAACGTACCTGGACCAATTGGTTCGCCATCGCCGTGACATGTAAACCTGAGAGCACGACAAATTCATTGCTGAGCGGTAGGATTGAATTTTGAAGAGCACCAGACGTACCATCCCTGATAACCTACCAAAAACTTGTTATGAATGGTTGAGGCGTCTGCCCTACACATTGTGGCGAGAATGGTCAGCTCATCATTCTGTTTCATAACACAACCATTGCGCACCTAACAATGGAAGATTGTGTCGAAAGTGCAGAGCTCATCGCGGGATCGTCAACTCTTGAGAGCTCCCAGATGTTCGTGATGTCGTGGTCGAGGGCAAGCACGCTCCGTAAGCGCTGTTTGCATCGTTGAGCGCCGCTTCAAACAGTGACCACGTTCGCTTGTCGAGGCGCACCAGAATTATGCTCAAAAAGAGCGTAAGCTTAGGGTAACACAGCTTTTAAGTACAGGCAGGGCACTGGGTGCTCTGCGATTATTGATGATGATAGTCCTGTTCAAGCCACTGTAACGCCACACTCGAGTGAACAAGAGTGAACACGACTGCGGCTGTGTGGCACCCACTTCTTTCCACACCATCACGTCCTCTCTTACTACATGGACGCCATTGCCGACGAGCTCTCACATTTCCTCGTGGAACGTCTCGAGCAGTGAGGCTCTTTACTATAGTCTGTCTTGTCTCGGATGACATGGACGCTGAACATGCCGAAAATATCACACCAGCATATCTGCCGATGCTCGCCTCCTTGTAGGCATCGCAGGCATACCGGCGTCAGGCAAATCGACTCTGTCGGTTCTCGTTGTGCAGAAGACAAACGAGCTGCTTAGGAAGCGCAGTTTGATCGTACCACCTTCTCTTGCCGACAATTCCCCTGACGAGAAAGCTGCTGCCGCATCGCCCTCTGCTGTCCTCGTCGGACTCGACGGCTGGCACCTCACTCGTGCTCAGCTTGATGCATTTCCAGATCCGAAGATGGCTCACGATAGGAGAGGCATACATTGGACATTTGACGGCCCAGGCTACGTTTCTTTCGTGAAAGCCCTTCGTCGACCATTCTCCCATGTCTCTGCCCCCGTTATCACCGCCCCTTCTTTCGACCATGCGCTCAAGGACCCGTCACCAGACGCGGTCACGATCCACCCGGAGCATAGGATAGTGGTCATTGAAGGGCTGTATACATTTTTGTCGATTGATCCATGGGTTGAGGCTGGGAAAATGCTGGATGAGAGATGGTTTGTGGCGCTGGATATCGAAGAGGCGTCGAGGAGATTGGTGAAGAGGCATGTGGCGACAGGAGTAGCAAAGGATATAGAGGAGGCGATTTGGAGGGCAGAGGAGAATGATATGCCCAGTATGCTCACACCCTACTCTTTCCTTTCCACTGTGAGTTTCGTGCTGACTCTGAGTGTTCCTGGAGATGGTAGATTTATCATGGCGAATATGTTGGAACCGACGAGAACTATTCAAAGCGTGGATGATCAATTTTTTGCCTTCGAATAAACATATATGGCTGCGATATACCAATAACCCTTTGTCGGTGAATGTGTGGCTACCAAGATCCCCCCAGACTGCCTAGTCTTGTAATCACTCGAGGGACCAAAGGACACAGGTCAAGGTATGTTTATTTAGAAGCCGTTGTCTCAGATGTACCGAATGGTATCGTTCCTGTGCGTCTACTCTTGCCATATTCTTTGCTCCGTGCTGGTAGTAAGGCTTTGTACCAAGTTTCACTACTCTTGGAAATAACTCCAGCTGCGAACTTATCGCTATGGGTGCTATAGGGTCATGCTGCAGATGCACTTGACGGAGTACGACAATCTCCGCTCCTGACTTCGCGGAGGACTTGGTCCGTTTTCTGACGGCCCGGTTGTACATGGTCTTCGATGCGGATCCATGTGAGCTAGGTTTTCTAATATATAGATGCAGCTCCTCTCAATGTCAATATATCCAAAGAATGTTGTTCCTTTACCTCTTCCTCACTTGTGCGCCCTTATTGGCCCATGCCTTGGCATCCCTCCCTCCTCGTACATCGCCTCCGCCTAATGCTCTTGTCGTCCGTGTAAACACGACGGACTCGAGCGAGTTCGGTTCTCTCATTGACGCAGTGGCCGCTCTGCCTACCGATGAATCATCACAGATTGTCTTCGTTTTCCCAGGCATTTATCAGGGCCAGGTGAATATACAGCGAAGTGGACCCGTGACCGTCAGTATTTTACTGCTTATCCAGCCTTTCTCTTCACTGACCTGGTTCTCATAACAGGTTCAAGGCTACACGACCAACCCGTCATCCGTTTCCGAAAACACTGTTACGCTTGTTGATTCCATTCCAGCTTCGGCAGTTGGAGGTCAGCAACATACCTCCGTACCGCTTGCACCCATGCGCTGACAGTCCTCTTCATGAGAAATTAGGCTCTAACGATCTATCAGGGACGCTCCGTATTCACACTGACAACGTGTCCCTCTACAATCTCGACATTCGGAACGACTTCGGCGTTGGCTCCCAGGCCATCGCTTTGAGCAACTACGGCGATCAGGTTGGTGTCTATGCCTGTGGCTTGTTTGGGTATCAGGATACCTTGTTATCCAATCAGGGGAGACAGGTATATTTAGGCGGTTGGATAGAGGGAGCAGTTGGTGACGCCGTTTCTACATTCACATTGTCTAAGCTCCACTGATACTCATGGATGTGTAGACTTTATCTTTGGAAGACTTGGTATGGATCTGCGCATCTGCCATGGATCGTTCGCCAGATAAATAATGACTGTCGTTGACATAACTAGGTCAGGCATATTTTGAGAGTAATACGATCGCCGTCAAAGGTCCAGGATCCATCACTGCCAGTGGCCGGGAAGCAGATAATGCTCAGATATGTACGCTTTAAACGTTCGACCTGTCCTAATTATATCCTCACCACCTTATAGATATCTTCAACGAGAATCAAGTCGTCTTAGCTCCGGATGCCAATATGACCAAGCCCGTTGTAGCGTTCCTCGGTCGACCGTGGGGAGGTCAGTTCTTCTCATGTGGCCTTTTCTCGAGCACTCACGATCCGAGATAACCCTACCTTCTCTGTAGACTTCGCCCGCGTCATCTTCAAGTCGACATATGTGACTGCTACACTTAATCCCGGCATCTGGTCCATCTGGGACCCAGGTGACAATCGTACCGACAATGTCTTCATGGCAGACTGGAATACGACTGGGCCGGGAGTTCCAGCTGATGCTACACGCTTGGATTGGGTCACGATTCTCGATGCGACAGAAGCGGCGGCCTTCAACATCTCGACTGCTGTAGGAGACGACTTCGCGAATTGGGTAGATATGGAATTCTTGTTGTGAATTCAACTGACTGGTCGATAGTGATGATTCGAGCTTCGTGGGTTGGACTAACTACGTCTGATAATTGACTTCGAAGATCTCTATGCAGGCCAGTCTGCGACGCATGTCACATTTCATGCAATTGGCCGAACGAAGAACTTGTCCATGTGCTGATTGTTCCGAGACTACGACCATCTTCCGTCAGTGCCTGTCAAAATGAAAATGCTCCTGAAAGAAGCCGCCTCGAAGGGAACGGTCTCTCGTTGCGACTGTAACTCCCGGGTCTTTTGTGGCGTCGCTATCACAACCATTCCTCGACCACTTTCCGCCAAGGTCGACTCACGCTGAAAGTGTGCCTCGAACTTCTCTCTGGGATACATATAAAGCCTCGTATGGTTGATCAGAGTAACTGGTCTCTTCATTCTACTTCTCAGTACCATTGACACTCGCTAGTCGAGCTTTCCACCGTCAGCCGCTTCCTTAGCCTTTCGGGTCTGGTACCCCAACGTCCGGACGTTCTTTTCCCCCTCCCACTCGTTTCTTTCGTACTCCACGCTCCAACTCAACCTAGTTCCTCTTTCACGAAGTGATCATCATGCACAGCGCCTTTTTCCTCACGTTGTTCTTGTCTGCTATCTCCGCCCTGGCGATGGCACTTCCCATCGGCATTCATGGCCGCGCCACTGGAGCTCGACAGTTCTCAGCTTTTACCATCGCTAACGGTGTGGGAGGAAATGCGTTGGCTGAGGCTAAGGCCGCATTCCCTGGTACAGCATCAACTCTCAGTGCTGCGCAGACATCTGCTTTCAATGTGCGTTGTAGTCTATCCTGGGATCTCTGTACAATCGCTCACAGTCGTCTTCATAGGCTGATGCGCACTGTAGTGTCCTTGCTGAGCAGGCGTTCTTGGACGACGGAGCTATTGCGAGCTCCAACAAGGCTTCCAACTCAATCTCTGTAGGACTTTTGTGCGTCTTTTCACTGCATGCATACTTTGCGTAGCTAGTGACTGATTGAGCATCATATTCGTTCACAGTAAAAACAAGGTCCTCAAGATTTATGGTATGTTTGTCGTGACTGTTTGAACGCGAGTGAGGAGTTGACGCTCACCATACTTTGTCAGGCACGATGCTCGTTTTACAGGCAGAAATTGCACAGAACGGAGGAACCGCGACCTCCGATCAACAGGCCCAGCTCGATGATTTGACCACGAAGCTGGCGGCGAACGTCAAGGTCGACCAGACGAACGCTGGGATTACAAGCACGAGCGCTGACTTCACTTGCTAAATGTGTCACACCATGCGTGAGCGCGGATATACAGGATGAAGGTCATAGGCTTGCATTTGGTTCTCTTTGGAAGTACAGGGTTGGGAGTACAATACATGGTACCTTCGGTCCAAAGGTCTATGTGTATGCGACGGAATGGTGGCAGCTCCGATGTGATATTTTGATGAGGTCTTTTCCGAACGATCACCAAGATCCGTCATTCATGACCTTCGAGGGCACCTCTCGCGTGAGATGATCTTCTTCTGCGTGTGGCCCACGCAAATGCTGGACAACACTCCAGACAATTCGGCGTCCGATCGTGGGACTTCGAAAGCGGAGTTAGTGACTGATTCTGTATTACAGTTGATTGGTAAGTTGCCACCCATAGTTGGTCCATTTTTCCCGTTCATGGGCCGCCTTGACTTTCTCACTTCCCGAAGTGAACTGTCAACGCCTTTTTATAGCTTTTTAAAGGCATCCGGAGGGTTCTCCCCTTGTTATGTCCCATTTTGACCCAGAAATGACCCAGATGTTCCCTCGTCCGTGCGTTCAGATGCAAATACGGTTGATCAGAAATCTCTGGGACCCTGGTTGTGATTGAAGGTCTGTATGTGACGCCGTAGGACTATATAAAGACCCCTCTATACAACTACTCACACAACATAGCCCCTTTCCTTCGAGTCAATGCCTACTCGTATCCCTATCATATACGTATGTGTTCACCTCCTTGCCTTCCTGGACCTCATGACTGACCAGACTGACCACAGGGAGCAGCTGGGTTCGGTGCACCCGGAACGAAAGCCAAGGTCACAGACCTCGCAGACGCTCAAAAGTTCGTCGACCTCCTCGTAAGTGCGGGCCACAAGCAATTCGACACGTCCCGCTTTTATGGGGGTGGAAAATCCGAAGAGGTTCGTCATAAGGAGATTCATTTCCCGTTCATCTCAGAAGCTTACTTAGTGACTTGTGTGTAGCTTCTGGGGAAGCTGAATCTAGAGGGCGCAGAGCTTGATACGAAGTTAGTCTTTCCTTGAATTGTTTTGGTAAGCTGACACTCACGGTGTGGCGTGGACAGAATTCTTCCTGTGCAGCCAGGTGATCACCGCCCGGAGCGTCTCAAAGAGTTTGTGGCAGAATCTATCAAAGCGCTCAATGGGAAGAAGATCCGTACGCTTTACCTTCATGCCCCAGACAGGACCACTCCGTTCGAGGAGACTGCTCGTGGGATGGATGAGATATACAAGGCTGGTATCTTGTAAGCCTAACCTCTTTACAAATTATTGACGCCCGAAAACCCGGATTAACTGTCGTTAATGTGAATGTAGCGAGAATCTTGGACTCAGCAACTATACTGCCTTTGAAGTGGCGGAATTTGTTACAATCTGTAGGTTGAAGGGATACGTGCAGCCGACCGTTTATCAAGGGCTCTACAACTGCTTCGAGAGGACGAATGAGCTCGAGTGAGTTCGTTTATGACTGACCATCGCGACTATCACTTAAGACTAACCCAAACCAACCCGTAGATTGTTCCCCGCATTGCGGAAGTACGGAATCCGATTTGCCGCCTATTCACCTCTTGCGTAAGTCCACTTCGTACTTATTTCATCGAAGATACTTCTCATATTCATGGCATGCCTCATCATAATAGTGGCGGTTTCTTGGCCGGGGTCACCCTCAAGGATCAAGAAACGCTCTCCAACAGCCGCTTCGACCCTAAGAGTCCTTCCGCCTGGCGATTTGCTGGTCGATTTGCACATGCAGACTCCGCGCTGAGGGAAGTCAAGGCTGTCACGGTAACCATTTCCGCGAACACAGACACAAAATAAACAAAAATAAACTAAAGTGATGGAATTCCGTTACAGGACAAGCACGGCTTGACGCTAGAGGAGACCGCTATTCGTTGGCTTATGCATCACAGCCAGATGCAGGAGTCGGACTATGGTATCATTTTTGGTGGGAGTCAGATCTCCCAGCTTCAGACTGCCCTCGCGGAATCGTGAGTCACTTTTCACGTAGTTTTCTTTTGTGCTCGAGGGCTCCGGTTGAATCGCTAATTTTCGGCTGTATTAAGGGAGAAAGGGCCGTTGCCGGAGGAAGTCGTCACTGCGTTAGAAGAAGCGTGGATCAAGACCCAAGGAAGATTGACGCCGTACTGGAAGTAGTCCGTAGTCCACAGGACATAGCTCGCGACGCGCAGGATCAAACAGTGGGGGGTCAGGTGGCGGCCGTGGTTTGAGCACTGGTATAGCGCCGATGACAAGTTCATCATGAAGAGGCTTCGTGGCATGAATTGACCTACTCTGAATGAATGACTAAATCTCAAATATTTGCCCGATGACCATCTCTAGATCACTAGTCAGTGAATGTTACAGAGCACTGAACACCTATGGGCCACATCATCCTTCTGCCAAGCCTTTGTCCTTTGAAGTCGGGCCCCGAAATTAACATCCATAGTGTGCATTGATATAACATTCAGCGGAAATCCTGGCAGATGAAGCTGAATTGCTTGGAACAGCGGCCGTTCCTCCATAGCTCCTCGCTGACGGCCGCGAAGGAAGTGTCAAGACAAAGTACAGCCGACGCCACGCTTTGTTAGCCGTTTGCCGGGGTTTCGGTCTCGTCCCAGACACCGGAAGCGTTCGTGAGCCCATGTGGTTGGCTTCATCTAGTCTGAGTTCCTCATCAGGTGGAGAGTTGCCAAACAATCCTTGTCAGCGCTGCCATCGCGATCGCCGTCTCGTCTCACTGTCACCATAGCTCAATAGTTGAAAGTGAAAGGCTCGTTCAGCATCACCACTGCGTTCAACGTCCAATATCCGAAGGCAAGAACTATATTCCTTAACATTGATTGGCTTCTGTCTGTACTCAAATGTCAGCAATAGGGTTCTGTGCGTGAGTGCGTATGCAAGGCCTCCGGTTCTTATTGATTAGCATGATCGGTTTTACGGGGCCAAGGCCCAAGCCGTTGGAATTTAGCCGTTCACAATGCAGCGACCATGAAGAATCGCATGTGATTATGAAACGAGTTCGTCATAAGACGCTAGTGTGATTCGCTTGCGATGGCGATGTGGCCAATCACTGAACCGAAGTTGTATTATTCAGTTGAACATGAGTGACATCGTTCAAGAGCTCCAGTGAGCTAGATCAGAAGTGATAACCTACGACGACAGACTCAGACCGTCGTTGATAGCGTTACAGACAAAGCAATATAGAGACGCATGGTGAGGAGGAATAGGGAGTAGAAATCCGTTGCAAGAGGGCGGCGTCTCCAGGATGGAAAAGGACACAGCAAAGTCTGCGTTGCAAGTTTCTCTTCCATTGTCTTTGTGGAGAAAAGTCCACCTTTCCGATACGTGCGTCTAAAACAGTACACAAAAAAAGCTAACAAGAGAAGACCTTCTCATGACCATTCCCGGATATGAAAGGAAGTCTTTTTCGCCCGTAGAAGACGGTGATAAAGGGCATAACTTGAGTAAAGAGGATGCCGGAGAAATGGCGGTAGATAATTTGCCATGGGGGCATACCAATGCCTATAGTCCAGGAAACACGCTGGTATGAAGTGATCTCAGCCGCGATCGAGAATTAACACTAGAAATGCGTGCATCAGTCGAGATATAATCGCGGGAACCAGGGAGTCATATGTCGGAGGTCACGGACATAGCGACCTTTATGGATCATGAGTTACTGTAAATTAGTATAGATGACTAGAAAGAGTAAAGGAGTACGTAGGCTTCTTGCTTGGAAAGCTATGATGTTGACAGGATGGAGATAATCAAGGCACGAATTATACGTGTCCAGCGGGATGTGGTTGCAGGTGACCAAGAGGAGACCGAGCCAAGCACTGAGCAACAAGAAAAAAATCGGTGCTAGTGAGATGTTGGACCAGTTCTTCTGAGTCGTGGTAATATGTCTGAGCGGAGAACACAGATGATAGACGGACATCATCGCTGCTGTTCGAACGGACTGAAATCTGTTGATCCAGAAATAACAAACCAGGCAACGACCACGACGGCTCCGGGCGGATGTTCGACTGCAAAGGAGAGAAATCTCTCGTTCGCCCGGAAGTAGTATGGTCAGGAGCTGCCGATAAGGAAGCCCAAAAGAGTCACAAAATAGGAGTGAATCGCAAGGGGGCCGCCAAGGCGCCTGCAGGGACCCAGTATCGTAGATACCTATCCATATCTGTGGGCGGACCACGGGAAGACCGACATTGGATTCCAGTCAACTCTAGCCGAGCCTCGCAGCTGTAGTGATCGCGTAGGGTCGCATACGAACTTGTCCGTGGATATTTGAGCACTCAAGCTGATCAGCGTCGAACGTATATCGTTGCTGGTCCGTGTCCACTTGCTTCGCGGGACAGAGAATGGATGCCGTTGCAATGAAACTGCGAAATGGAGACTCACCGGCGTTGGTTGGGAAATGGAGTCCTGGGAAGAAGGATGGACAAGTTTGGCGACACGGAACAGTCCGGGTGAAATCGGCCGGTTCAGTGCCGGCGGTAGCTCAGGTTCCGGCCTCCTGTCCCAGCAAGTTTTTTTTTGAGTTTCACTGGAGAGGAAGCTGGTTGGGAGAGCAGAAGACGATGGTGGGATGTTGTTCGTGTGTATATCTGCACGGATGCTGCGGGGGTTGTGTGGCATTAAGCTATCGAGTATAGGCTGGGAATTTGACGTCGTACGTTCAAACGCCGGGAAAAGCCTCCGAACGCTAACTCTGTGAAATAATTGAGAGGGTCGCGCGACGTGCACGGCTGTCCATGCTTTGCGCTGTCTCGCCTCTGGCCATCAGCGTCATCGACTGATTCGCTCGCAGACGAGACCGAGGATGTTGTCGCCGTCGACGACGACGACGAGCAGGAAGAGAGATAGGGAGATGGTGGCGTTGTTGACGGTACGTTTTGGGCGAGCGAGGCTGCGTTCCTGAGAGGCACGAATGCCGATATCAAATGCGCGCCTAGTTCAGGATCACCGCCTCGACTCGTATTTATCCCTCTCCTCTCTCCCTCACCATCGTCCCCTCCCGCTCCCCGTCCCCCACGTCCATCTCCGTACTCTGCGCGCCGTACGCGCTGCTTCAGCGCCCTCACCGACGACGAGCTCTTCTGGCCGGCAACGCGTTTGACATTACCCTGCCCTGGACGTCTGCACTCCAACCGTACTCGTCGGCCTATGGAGGATCCAGCACGACCTCGTCCAGGGAGTACTCAGGAAAGCTTTGTGTTAGATACAACCAAGTGGATTATGACAGAAAACGGCGGTGGTGCGTCTCATCCAGTTCTCATACTTCAAGTTCAACAGCTGAACTTCATCCGTTTCTTATCACTCAGTTGTGAGTCTCGTTCGTGTTTAGCCGGTCCATTCTTACCTGAAGCTTGGGTTAAACTCAGATTCCTTTTGAGAAGCAGCCAGATTTCGATGACCCCAACATCGACTTTGCCTCTGAAGTCACCGATGGTACGTACGCACCCCTCCTCTGTGGCCCACCCATCATTTCTCAGTCTCCTTGCCTCCATTCTCTTCCCTCTCCAACGCCCATTGCAGCAGACTGGGAGGACGAATCGCCATATCCAGAAGTCCGGGCAGCAGTCTCAAATACAGATGACATCGAGATGCCCGTCGACACTATCCGCGCCTGGACAATCGGCCTACTCTGGTCCATTCTCATCCCCGGCCTCAACCAATTTCTCTACCTGCGTTATCCCAGTATCACCATAGGCTCAGTCAGTCCTATCCTCTCCCCATATTCCGGAATTACCGACGAGCCCATGTCTCCATCCCACTCTTGTACAGCTCGTCGCACAGCTGCTCTCTTTCCCCCTGGGTCGAGCGTGGTCACGGTTCATGCCCTATGTCACAATATTTGGCATACCACTAAATCCAGGTCCCTTCACCGTCAAAGAACACGTAGTCATCACTGTCATGGCCACGGTTGGGTCGACGAGCGCCTACGCTGTGCGTATCCCCTTTCGAGCCCGACTCAAGGCCGCTTTATCTAAAAACTACGACTGATGTGACTGATGCGCATCATATAGACGGACATTCTCGCGGTACAACGGAAACACTATGACCAAAATTGGCCCTTCGGCTACCAGTGGGTCCTTGTCGTATCTTCGCAAGTCATCGGCTTCTCCCTTGGTGGCGTCGTGAAACGGTTCCTGGTTTCCCCACCATCTATGAGTGCGTAATCCTCTTGTAATTTATCTTCAGGAAGACGCTCATATTGCTATGCATTGCTTGCATCAGTCTGGCCGTCTAATCTCGTCTCCTGTGCTCTGTTCAATACGCTGCATTCCCAAGAGTACACAGGGTTTGGCAAGCAGTACGGAATGAGTCGTGAGCGGTTCTTCCTGTATGGGTTTTTGGGCGCATTCGTATGGTGTACGTATCATCCTTGCATCGCGCCCGACGTGACGCTGACAGTTGATCGCGCAGACTTCTTCCCGGGTTACCTCTTCACGGCATTATCTACTTTCTCCTGGGTAAGTGCTGAAGCATTTCCGAGCTCTCGTCATGATTTGATGCTTATCGACCCTCGGTAGGTTACTTGGATCGCCCCAAAGAACGGTATGTTAGTGGCCTTGGGTTTGATGACCCTGCTGTCTAATGATTCCTCCTTTTCGCTATTTCCTTAGTCGTGCGTGCCTTTCTTCCCTATCGCAACTCGGATCATACTTACCCCATTGTCACCCTGCAGAAAGTCAACCAGCTGTTTGGCTACACGTCTGGACTAGGTTAGTGGCGTCCTGTTGGCCGTTGTTGATGGCCGATTGACAGAAGATTCACACCATAGGCATGTCGATATTTACCTTTGACTGGTCCAATATCGCGTACCTTGGAAGCCCGTGAGTACTTGCAATATATCACGCATGACTTAGAGCCAACGTCCTGACAATTTCACCCTGTTTATCAAGGCTTGCGACGCCTTGTACGTTAACTTTACCTCCGTGGAACGTCTGTATATTTGTGTGCTCACATCAATTGGACAGGGTGGGCGGAGGCAAATGTTGCGGCCGGATTTGTTATGTTTTTCTGTCAGTAAACTTGTTGCCCGCCTAGAGTCCTGACCCTGACCCGCATCCGCATTGTCCGTAGGGATCCTCACTCCGATTATCTACGTATGTCGTGATTCTTTCTATCCTCTGCGGCTTGCGCTCATGACTTTCCAGTACACGAACACTTGGTATTCGGCGTACTCGCCGTAAGCATCTCCAGTCGTTCTCCCTACAGCAATGTACTGATTCTTTCTGGGCTCAGAATGCTCTCGCGGCTAGCATACGACAACAAGGGGAACGAGTACAATGTCTCGCGGGTACTCACTGCCGAAGCCACATTAGATCTTGCAGCCTACGAAGATTATAGTCCGCTGTTTTTGCCGTGAGTGCAATATATCCTAGACAATATTCGGACAGCTCATCATCTTCACAGCGCTACATTCGTCATATCCTACGGACTGACGTTCGCGAGTATAACCGCCACTCTGGTCCACTCTGTGCTTTATTTCCGGAAACAGATCTGGACACAAGCCCGACGATCGCTGCACGAACAACCAGACGTCCATGCCAGGCTGATGTCAAGGTATCCTTCTGGTGAGTACAATTGGATCCTTCCGTTAATAGCGACCACTATCTTGCCTCGCTCTCTTTATCTTTCCCTTCCTCACTCTGCGCTAACATTGGCTCTGCACCCGACAGTGCCTGAGTGGTGGTACTTGGCTATTTTTGGTACGCCTTATCCTCTCTTGGCTCATTAATAGCCCTTCCGTCACGGAATACTGATTCCCGTAATCTGTGCTTGTGACTCTGCCTCTGCCCGCGAACGGACGCCTTGGATGGTATGGCTATGACTTGGCCTTTGTTGACGGATTCGGATTTGGGTTTGCGGCGCAACAGTTATCATGTTCATTCTCTCCGTGCTCACGATGGAGCTCTGGCCCACGGAGATGCCTATATGGGCACTGATCATCGCCATGCTCATCGCTATATTTTATCTCATTCCCCTTGGCATGCTGCAAGCGATCACGAACCAGCAGATTGGGCTGAACGTCATTGCTGAGCTGATTGCGGGGTATGCGTTGCCGGGCAAACCGTTGGCGTCGATGATGTTCAAGACGTATGGGTATATTGTGAGTTTGTTTTATGGCGAAGGCGTGTAGGGCTTGGAGGAAGACTGTGCGCTGAGCTTTGTTTCTAGACGATGACGCAGGCGCTGCAGTTTACGTCGGACATGAAACTCGGCCATTATATGAAGGTTCCCCCACGAACTGTAGGTCCTTATACAATAGTCCGTCTGCATTTACATCAGCTGAACTCATCCCTCCGATAGATGTTTTGGTGTCAGGTGTCTATCCTCACGCTATATTAATACTCTCGAAACCTATCTAATGTTTCCTCTAGTGTATCGCTAGCCTCGTGGCGTGCTCTGCCCAGCTCGGCGTCCAGAATTGGTATGTATTGACGTCGAACCGTCGAAGAGAATCGGCCTAATTCTGCCCCTTTCAGGATGTTCTCGAATATAGACGGCATCTGCCAACCGGACCAAAAGAACAAGTGAGCAGCAAAATAGGCTTGTTACTTGATGAGGACCTCGATGCTGACATTATTCGTAGCTTCGTCTGTGCTGGCGCGGAGACATTCTTCGTGGCGAGTGTCGTGTTTGGAGTAGGTGTTCATTTTTAGTTAGTCGCTATGGTACTTACTGAGTCGTGTGCTCGAATCAGGCAGTTGGCCCGCAGCGCCAATTCACGTCGGGGATATATCAGTGAGTTTCATACATTTCTTCTTATTGCTCGACATCAAGCTGACGGTATTATTCTTCAGCGGTTCGTTGTGTGCACAATATGAGTGCGGAGCCCGAATGCTGACTGTTCCCCCGAAATAGACCTCTACTATTTCTTCCTCATCGGCCTCATCGCTCCTGTCATCGGTTGGGTGATCAACAAGCGATGGCCGAGTAGCTTCTTCCGCTATGTGAAGTGAGCTACTTTCTGCATTACCAGATAGCGTTGTGAAACCTGACTTTCCATCTCCAGCGTACCTGTCATCCTCTCTGGCACAGAATGGATCCCACCAGCCACTGCCGTCAATTATATTCCATGGGCACTAGTGGGCTTCATCTTCAACTATATTGTCCGGAAACGACATTTCTCGTGGTGGGCAAAGTACAACTGTGAGTGCACTCGTTACTCTCAGGTGGAGTTCTTCGAGCAGGATGCTGACCCAGTGGCTTCTCTCCCTAGATGTGCTCTCAGCGGCCCTAGATTGTGGCACTGCAATCGGGACACTTGTCGTCTTCTTCTGGTGAGCTCCCGTTTCTTTATTGAACGCCCTCGGCCAGTCACTGACCGTGATCGTCGCATCTGTCTAGCCTACAATACCCAGAGAGTGGACAAATAGGCGCGAATACGATCCTAAAATGGTGGGGGAATACCGTATATAAAAATACGGCTGACGCCAATTCAACACCATTAAGGACAGTATCAGGGGATGATTACTTTGGGTGCGTATCTCTCTCCTCTCACGGATATAGATCGCTCACCGACGTGTTCTTGATTTTGCGCATTGTTTGACAGACCGCGGAAGGGATCGTGGTGATGATCTGTGGACTGCCGTTTTCTTTTTGGGATTTCTCTGCTTGCTTGCTTTCTATGACTCTATGACTCTTCCGACCGCGTCACTTGTGTTTATGTTTGAATGGGGTTTCTCTGAACCGACGAGGCGTTGTTTATCTTTTTGTGATCGTCCATGCAACCAATGACTTGACTGCTCGAGCCCCCACATCTTATTACTCATCTACTTTTCTGTGCTGTACTAATGTACTATTTGCTATCGATATCCCCTCCTCATCTAACCCCTTCCCCTCATCCTTACATTCCACCCTCAGCCCTCATCCTCTTCCTCTATTCTTCTGGAAAAGCCATCTTCCGCTCCTACACCCATTCCCCACTCGATCCCCACTCTGCTCCATTCGCTGCCGCCACCACCGATGCCTCCTCCGGTGCCCTCCCATACCGACTTATCCACCCTTATTATTTGACCAGGACACTGCAGTGTCTGTCGTTTTCGCCCCTCGTCGCTACCCCCGTTGACTCGCTACATTTCCCCCCCTATTGGTCGTGGTCTCCGTGTGTTTTTGGTTAGAGAAGATACTATGTACTTTAGCTAGTTTGCGAACGAAATGATGCCCCCTTTGATGACGCTCGCTCTTTTTTTGCGGGAAATACGGAGTGAGCCATAGGTGGATGGTGAAATTTGAAGCAAGTTTGGTAGGTAGGCCCGCGTCTGTTGGGGGGCCTGGGGAGCCTGGCATGTTTTCGAAGTGCTAGTGGCGCGCCACATTCTTAGTCAACGCCTTCGGATCCAAACAGGAACAAACAACCGCATGGCTCCAGGGTTTCCTTTTCCGATCATCACTGACACTGAACAACACGCCACGACCCACCCCTTCCTCTTTGCGATACTTTTGTCCTTCAACAGTCGTCAAATGAAATGGATGCTTGCTAAAAGATCGTCAATACCGTCAACGATACGTGAATCAAGTACGATACGAATACAACAAAATGCATAGAATTAGCTACAGAGTGTACATGTACAATTCCTACTTCTACAACACTAACTGTTTACATCGTGAACATACAGAGCCTGGTACTGAACCAAGCGAGGATAAACAAAATCGGAACCGAGCCAATCAAAAGGTGAGTATGTGCGCGTGTCTCGTGGCGCACGAGTAATCAAGGGTATCGCGTACATACAGGTATTCAGGAAGGGACATAGCACAAAGACTGTAACGGTTTGAACCGACGAAGGTACCGGCGGCCGGGACAAAGGGGCGACGAAAGAGCATCACGGAAGCGAAGTGCAACGGCAGGGTATAAGTGCGGACGCCGAAAACCGTCCAGCCAAAGAGACCAGGAATCAAGCCAGTCAAATTGTTGGGCAAAGCGCAGGAGATCGAAGCGGACAGTCTCAGCACACTGCATGAAGTATCAGCGAAAAACAAAGCAGCTAGGCGAGTATGAGCCACCAGGCTGGATGCTCAGTCATACCAGCCACTCTTCTCGACTACATCGCAACTTCTACGAACATCACCGAATACTGCACCCTCTACCCTCCTCAACATGTCGCTCAACCTCACGGGCACCTCCATCTGGAACATAACCCTCCTCTTCCCTCCTCCTCGCTCCGACTTCCTATCCGCCATAGTCTCACTATCGACTCTTTCCTCCGATGAATCGACAAGTTCTACATCCTCCGATCCACGATGAGCGCCAGATTGAGAATCCACCGAAGAACGAGCACCGAGGAATTCCGTTTCGTCTATCCGAATTAGAGAAGTGCTTGAGGCGTGGGGCAGGCCCGCATACCAAACGTCTTCGCGTAGACCAGACCGAGGAAGAGGGACGGGACGTATGCTGGTACCGAGGGAGGAAAGGCGAACCGAGACCTCTACCGAGTCTTCGGTGCCCGATTCAGTGGAGGATACGACGTCGACCTCGATCTTCCTAACGTCCCAATCATCACCAAACCCTTCTGTGACGACGACGACACTTCCACGCTCATCTGACAACTGCCTCAAATCACCCCAGCCGTTTGCTTTGACCAGTAAAGTCTCGCCCTCTCGAAGCTTGATCGTCCGTGTCTGGCCAGACCATACAGAACGTACAGGACCATGAACGAGGTAAACCTCCGATGGCGTCACAGGATGCCCGACACTGAAGCCGAGTTGCGAAAGTGGCCTCGAAGGTGCACTGTAGTACGACTCGGCATCATCTTCGGCTTCCGACTCGCGCCTGCTGCCTGCGCCATGGACTTGACTGGGGAACTTGTATTGATGGGCCAGAGTCGGTGGACGAGACAATTGGGGAGAGGTTGACAGGCCGATCGAGCTGGTCACTGGGGAGGAAACGGTGACAAGAGTCGCTTGCGAGAGAGATTCGGGGCGACAGGAAGAATGGCAGATCGATTCAGGAGCAACGGAGAGGGAGGTAGCAGATGTGGAGGACGATCCAGCACCGAATTCAGAAGAGACGACGGACACGCGCGTGTCAGTCGTAGCGTACGAGCCCACAGAAATGGTCTTACGGGCCTTCTCGGACTGGATCGAGACCGTGCAAAGATTAGCCTTACAGTCACGTAGATCTGAGCGAAAATCTGCCCACCTGGGAACCCGAAACACCCTCGGAATCACACCCAGCGCTCGTCAAGACGTAGTCCCCGGTGACTGTCGGTACGACGGGAGTGTCTGGGATGATACCCTTTCGCATTCTCTTCTCAGCAGAAAATTTCCCGATACTGGTCCAATCTTTCCATAACTCCCTCCTCAAAAACGGCACCTGAGGAATCGGCTCCTCTCGGGGAGGCGCCATCAGGACTCTGTCGTCCCTCTTGAATCTCTTCCCCAGGCTATCCACGCGAACTCTGAGCCCAGCGCCCATACCCTTCGGTTTGTCGCTTTCACCACCGTGTTTCATGGCAGACGGTGGGATTAAACTCTTGGAAGACTTCTTCTTGACGACAGAAGATGCGGGAACTCGAGGTGGGAGGCTGGGTAATGGCTTGTTGGGCGGTGGCCTAGCGGGTGGCATCAACGACAGAGGCGTGGCAACTCTGAGAGTGAGACTGTTGACGCTTTCTCCAAGGCTCCGCCTGCCGTTTACAGAGTCGGGCGATAAGGGAAACGCAATCAAGTGGGAGGAAGAGGGGCGCGAGGTCGTGTAAGGGCAGGGGGTAGGCTGGAGAATAGAATGATGCGAAGACATAGGTGTAGGCGTAACAGAGTCCCGACCCATGAGCGTAGTACTTGACCTCGACGATCCTGGGTCGATGAACGGTGTCGTTGCGCTCGGCCGTCGTGGTTGTGGCAATAAAACAGGTCCATATCCCGCCGCATGATAGGGCATAAGGTTTTGTACCGAACCACAAACGGGAGGGCTCGGGAAAACGCTCATGTCGAAAGTTTCAGGACTAGAAAGCATAGGCGAAGAGCGCGAACGTGAGATTGACTTCTTTCCCGCCCGCGTTTGACCATTGCTAGATGAAGGTCCATGAAGAGGCCAGTGTGCACCAATCTCCAGTCGACGGAGCCTGTCTAGGCGAGTGGCGTCATCAGTACGCTTGGAGGCTTTGGATCGCAATGATGACGGGCCCTTGCGCGAAGGAGATGCCTGGTGAGAATAGCATGGGTCCGACGGGAGGACGTGAACATCCGAGTCTCGGCGGAACGGGTCGTCTTCTGGTGTGAGTACACGATCCACGTCGAGAGCTTCTGCACGATCATCGCGGTCATCATCGCCGACCGACGGGACATAAGAGAGAGAATATTGTTGGGAGAGTGTGGTGGTGGTGTCCGTTGGCGACGCAGTAACGGAAGAATAAGTGAGGGTTGGCGTAGGGAAGAAGTCGGAAGTCGGAGTGTAGGGAGCTTCGGGAGGAGACATTCCTGGGTCGAAGGTGGTCGAAGATGAAATTATGGGAGAAACACGCTTTCCGCGCGAGAGGTTGCGCAGTTTGGACGCGATAGAACGCTTGCCTGGACTAGTCTGAGGAGAACCATTCTACGGCGCGTGATAGTTTAGAACTAGCGTACAATGGTGTAGAGGTAATAAAACCTACACAGTCTGATCGTGAGTCGGATGTCCGTCCTTGACTCCTGGGAGATCCAGCTGGTGTGTGTGGCCGTACAAACGAGCGTTGCATATCATGACCAAGATAGGAACCGAGGGTCGATGGTCGAAGAGTAGTGTCTGCTGAGGCATAGCAGTCCTCATCCAAGAATGAACGTGACTCCAGTGACGGCCTAGATGGCCGTGAAGGCTGAGAAAAAGCAGCAAGCACGCTAGGTATCGACTGTGAGCGTGGACGATGACCACGACGATGGGTCGAGAATGAGGTGGCCGACCTAAGTGGCGGGACAGAAAGTAGAGGGGTACCGCTGGGAGAAAGGAGATCCGTAGAGTATGAAGGAGGCAGGGCGGGGGTGAGATTGCCTTGAACGAGGTTCGTGGCCCTGGACTTGACCTTGCGCAAGATGTTGAAAGCCGAGTGGCGGGGTCGAAGTTGGCGGGGAGAGGTCGAGGTCGAGGCGAGGTTGTCGCCGTCGTCGTCGTCCTCGAACACGGAGAAGGGGGAGGGTGCGCCGTCGAGATCAAGATGAGGGGAAGAAGTGTCGAATGTGGCGGAGACGAGAGCGGTGAACTCGTCGACGGAGAGGCCGTTGTTCTTGGAGGAGTAGATGGCGGCCATCGTTTGGGGGTCGCGGGTCGCTCGAGAACATGACTGGAGTGGTTGGCTTTATATGCGCTGAGCTGACGGGAGCAGATCGAGAAGTGGGCGCCGAAGCGAGATGCGCCGCTCAATCAAGCTCGAAGCGCGGTTTGTGATCCTCATGCTGACAGTTCCCACGCCTCGGCGACGGTCTTCTTCCTTCCCCCGCTGCCGAGTTCCCACCGCTCGGCCCTATAATTAAAAGTAGGCGCATGTTCGCTCTATCAACATACCTATGCTCTACTCAGCTGCAAAAGATAGAACGGCTCGGATGACTGTCATGAATTCCGAGGATAATCCAACTCCTGTTGGCGCTTTGAATGGTCCCACGGCGCCTCGATCGTGTTTCCAGCGGAGGCAAAATGAACGGTCAACCGGCGCGAAGTGCGTTTCCCGGTCCTCGGAATAAGAATCTGTCGTGCTTCTTGCCGTCTCCGGAGCAGCCCGACGTCATCTATCCTTCTTCAATCCGCTCCGAGAGGCAGTCAAGTTCCAAACGGGTTCCGGTACTCCCCCAACGATAGAATACACCACGTTCCATAGATCGTGGTAGCTCGCGACGTCTAATCTATCCTCTAACAGAAAAAGACGCTGGCACAGCAAGTCCACATATAGCGAATAACAGCGGGTTGCAATGGTCCCCTCGTAAGCATACGAATTCGTGCCGATATTTGACCATCCCCGATAGAAAGCGGGAAATTGATGAGAGTCTCGATGTATAACCATAACTGACATTAGAGCACTTGACGCGAACACGAGCTACGAGTCCGTGCACAGAAGGAGAACGCTAAGAAGCGGCTTCGATTCAAAGCGCAATTGAAGCACCAGGACAAGTCAAACAGGATCGGGACATCGTGCATCAATGTTCGGCTCAGGGCGGCAGATCAGAACAAATCGAGAGTACCAGAGGCTGAATGTGGACAGTGCATCCTAGACCAATGACTGCAATGTGAGTTGGCACGCAGGACCTTGTGAAGACGAGTCGCCCAATTTAGAGGGAGGGAGCGTATTACAAGTGAAGATCAAGGACAAGTGAGCGTCAACGATCACTGTTAGGAGAGTATAACAAGGTATCGCAGATAATGATGAGAGTTATGACCCAGAAAAGGTGGCGCCGATAGTCAGAGTCGAAACACTCTGGAGAAGATACACAGAGCTATACAGAACAAGAAATGATACCACGTTAGCATGGACGTCGAGCCGGATAGAAACACAGCGAAGAACACAGAAGAGCCGAAGAGGAGAGGCCTAGTAACCGATAGCAAACACTCGATCAAACCGCAGGGTCAGTCACACCCCGCCGCAATCGCAACCCCCACATCCAAAACCTCCTCTTCCTCTTCCTCCTCCTCCTCCTCAACCTTAACCTCCCTCGACACTCTCACCTCCGTTCCACCCACCCCTCCTCCCACAACACTCCCAAACCCATCCCCAGCCCCAAATCCATTCTCCCTCCTCCATAGTCCTGAATAACATCCCGGAACACCCATCGCTTCGTCCTCTTCCCCATTATCATTGAAAGAATCTCTGCCAACACCACTTCCGCGAGCACCGATGCCAGCCCCGCTTCTCCTGTGGGAAGCATTATAACCGATGCCCCTCCCCATCCTACGCACGCCGGCTCCCATACCCAGACTGCCTAAGCTTGCTACGAAGGCGGAAGACCGGACCCATCCTTCTCTCCTACTCTGGTCGACCTCGTTATCGGGCCTTGAGCCTGAGATGGTACCAGAACCAGAGACAGAGACAGAGCCAGCGCCGGGGTTAGAGCCAGGAGCAGCAGAAATAGTCGCAGAGCTCGCAGAAGACCTCAGCGAACCGCTAAGCCTAGTACGCAGAGAAGGTCGAGCACCGGGTCCAGTCCCAGAGAAAGTCGCAGCAGAGACTTTAGAGCCACCATGAGAATTCTGAGCCGTCGCGCCGGCGAGAGATGTCCTAGAACTCGAGTCTCCTCGACTGCTGATCTTCTTCAGTATCTTCTTCACGACGCCACCGCCACCGCCACCCGTATGGCCAGCCTCGATCCGAATGCTGCTATCCGCGTTGGCCGAACTTTGGCTTCGACCTCCGAGATGTGAGTCCTTCGAGGCTCTACCATAGATGGACCACGTTACCCTGGCGTTTCCACCAGCGCCGTCACGCGAGCCCGATGTGAGCCCCTCTTCATTCATCGTGGTCGGAGCCTCGAGCGAAAGCGCACTCCATCTGAACGTCTCGTCCGCCCTGATCCTTTCGTCCTGTCTCTTCTCAACCAGATATTCTCCAGGGTCGGGGGACCCGGGGGAAGCAAAGCGTGAACGTAAGGAGTCAAGGGTTCCGGAGGAAGCACGAGTCGTTAGGCGAGGGCGGTAGTGCGCGGAATGGCGTCTGTGATTGCGATAGTAGTATCCTATTTTGGGAGTGGCTTCGTCTTCATCGTCGTCAACAGCGAAGCGAGCATGGCGGGAACGAGTGGAAGAAGGTGCAGGCGGTTCTGCTTGAACGTCGTGTCCATGCCACGCGATCTCCGGCAATGAGATGTCGGAGTAGTTTCCGGGATTAGGATGCAACAGAGCATTCGAAGGTCCTGGTCTGCCCAGAGGGACAGATGCAGACCTCGGCCTCAAAACAGAGCCAGAGATCCTCCTGACGCCATCCTCACCAGAATCAACACAAACACCAGAACAAACACTCCCAGAAGCAGGCGTCCGAGGCTCGTCCAGTTCCTTCGATCCCCGGTCTCTTGCCTTCTTCCAACCTCCAGCGCCAGTCCTATCAACGCCTTCCGACTCGGACTCGGAAGCCAAAATGACCATAGTCTCCCTCCTCTTCTTCTTCAGCTTCTCCCGAAGTCGACTCATCGTGCCCGTCCTGGACATAGCGTAGAGCTCTTTATCCTGTTCCTGTGCAATCTGAACCTTCAAACGGTTCGCGTTTCTAGGCGTGATGGTATCGTCCTCGTCGAACGCGTACCTGTCCGCTTGAGAACCGACTCGAGCACGGTCGACGAGAATAGGGATGGGAAGGGCGAGCGCGCCAGTGATGCTCATGACGTCCTCACCGGGGACTTCGCCCTCGAGTCTGAAGCTGTCTTCGTCGGCTGCAGGGTAGACGCCGCCCTCGCCGAGAACCTGCTCCTCATCGTCGATCCAGACCCCAAACTCATCGACTCCCAACTCCTCAGACTCGGTCCCCCGCCCCGTCCGACTCCTGCTCGTCCTCGCACCAATAATTTCTCCAGGCTCACTTTCGTGAACGTAGGGATCCCGATCGCCAGTGTATAAGCTGTACGTCGACGAGATTCTTCTATCCCATTCGGTTGAGTCCATCGCCTTGGCAATGGACGAACCGTACCTTGCGTTCATCGACCCATCCCGCACAGATGATGGGGATATGGGTGAATGCGGTGAAGGATGGCTAGGTCGCGCGTCCACCTCGCGTCCGAAGGTCGTGTTTGTACTGTTAGAATGTCGGAGGGTGTGATAACTGACGTCCCCAGCGCCCTCACCATCACCGTCGTTAGAAACGAGCAAAGAAATGCTGCTAGCTCTGGACCTCGAGTGATGGATTTCTGGCAGGCTGGGAGGCGGGAAGGAGAAGCGTTGGTCACTGTTGCGGTAATAGTTCGTGCTGGATGAAGATGCGGAGGAGGATCGATTCGAGTATCCGTATCCTTGAGAGATCGCACGTAGAGTGGAGATGGCCTGGACAGTACCCGTGCTGTTGTCGTGTTCTTCTCCCCCATCCTCGTCCCCAGCGTCCTCCTCGAGGATCGGGGGATTTACATAGCTCGGGGAACGAGATATGGCGATGGACACAGGTCTCTCGAGTGCAAGAAGGGATAACCTTTGCGCGAACCCCAGCGTCGCAGTCTCCGCATGGTCGGTGTCGGGGCTGTGACTCAGGCTGTAGGAGTTGGGACGACTTGACCTTGGAGGACTATCGACCATGTAGCGGAGTCTAGGAGAGTTCTCGGAGCGAAGGGAGAACGCATCGAGAGTCGAGTCGGTATCAGTGTTGGTGTGCGTGGCCGGAGTCGCGTAGCAGGAGTTTTGTGAGTCGCGCTGTTGGCGATGCATAGAGTTCTGGAAGGAGACGGGTCGTTGGGTTGTGTCGAAAGGTGATGCGAGGGTGACGCGAGAACAGGGAGTGCCGGACAGCTGGGGTGTTTGAGCAGGTTCACTTGCGCCTACCAGGTGAGCAAAATGGTGTCAGAAGCGGTGAAAGAGAGTTTGTGCGAGGGAACAAACAGACTTTGTCCTTCAAGGACCACATAGTCCCAATCGCTATACATTGCCATTGGATGGTTTAGCTCAACTTATCAAACAGTAGCAACGTGAATAATGAGGGACGTACAGATCCGCGAAGAAAGGATGACTCTTGATCCCTTCGTAGTTAATCCTCTTCGCCGGGTTGCGTTCGAGACACTGATGTGAAAGAATCGTAAGTTTCTAACGTTGTAAAAGAACCCTATGGAAAATTTACTTTTTGGATTAGATCCTTTAATCCGGGCTCAATATCGGCCAGAGCATTGAACCGCAGATGTCCTCTGGTAATCCTCTGTCGCATCACCTCCGAGTCGAGCTGCTCGCCTTTACCCACGAGTGGATGCTAAGACTATAATCAGCCACCTTCACTGTATTGAGAGATAGATGAACGGTGAAATGCATACCTGTCCGGAGGCGAGCCATCCCAAAGCGACGCCATAAGCCCACCAATCCACCTCAACTCCATGCTCCCACCCAAGCAACATCTCCGGGGACTCTTCCCACTCCCGTTCGCCGTTGTCCTCTGATACTCTTTCGTCTTCCATGACAGAGACGACAGAGTTCCTCCAAGCGTTACGGGATTGTGTTGATTTCGCCTCGAGTTGCTGCTGAGTTAGGATGACCGAGCGTTCGAAACCGCCAATGACGGCGTGGCCTTCACTATTGATGAAAATGTGAGAGGGTCGAAGAGAACGATGGACGATGCCAAGCTTGTGAAGCGATGCGATGCCCTGGGCCTGTTTCATACCGACAAAGTCAGTTGCTCATGCAAGGCCGGAGTTCAAGAGTTCTGAGTACTCACAATTTCGCAAGCCCAGATTTTCATCTGCCATCTCTCCACCGCCGCCGTGTCAGCTTCCATCCCGTTCACGCACTCCAACAAATTGCCATACTCTGGCTTTTCGAAAACCATATTCAGCCCTCTCCCGTCCTCCCAGCAGGACTCCATAGTCTGTAGAAATTGAACCTGTCCTGTAGCCGACGCCGAGTTCAGAAGTTTGTAGCACGCGAGTTCGCGGCGAACAGAAGGCGATAGGGGATATTTGTGGGTGCGCGTGATGTGTGGGATCTGGTCGTTAGCAGATGTGGATGGTGTAAGGGTGGGCGTGGTTTCCGTTGAGGAGGGGAAGGTAGAGGAAGAGGTCGCGCTTGGTAGAATAGTGTTGTCGTTGGAGGTATCGCCGGTATCCGATGAGATAGTAGTCGAAGTAGTTAGTCCAACCATAGAAGATCGCGGACGTTTGGATTTGTGTTTCGCGGAGATAACCATGACCTCCTGTATAGGGCGCAGATGAGTATTGTCCTCGAGCATGGGCAGCAAGAAAGGTCAAACCTCAATCTCGTCATCATCCCAGTCTGAGTCAACATCGCGAATATCCGTCAGATTCTACAAGTTAAAAAAAGAGGTGGCATCAGTCAATTGAACGGATATGTCTGTGGCGGTACAGACCTCGACATAGTAGCTCGCATCTCCGCGAACCGAGACTGCGACGGAACATGGACGAGGCTTCGTCGGCTCTGGATCTGGACTCGGATAAACTGTGTCTGTGGGTGTGGCCAAACCGGTCTCGGTCGGGCTAGCGGACTCGTCCTTTGCCTGCTCTTGCTCGTCTTCATCGTCGAGAAACCCAAGAAACGATTCCTGCTCCGACTCGTCAGCTGGCGGGAAATTGAGGATGCCAAAAGGAAGATAACGATACGAACGGAAAACGGTGCAGTGTCAAACGTTTCGGGGTTGAGTAGTGGTGTGATAGAATATATGTGTCTTTTGATTTCTGATGGCGAGAGCGGAGGTGAAAGCAGAGCATTGATCTGCAGCGGGCGGGGTCAGTTACAAGGAACAACACGAGCAGGAGAAGGGTAAGGAAACTCACGCTCTCGGATCCAACAGAGCCAGAATGGCGTATGAGAGGGCGCGAGGCGGACATGCCACGAAAGGCGCGGCGAGGGATAGTCAAGGGGTTAGAGAGGAAGGTGGCGGCGCAACTGGCTTCGTTGGGCGGGACGCTGTCAATGCCAATGTTGACTTTTCAACATCGAAAACGCCAGGCTGGAGATCGGGATCTTGTGAAGCAACAGTTGATATTGTGATTCAGTCGAAGCGGGTTCCGGGGATGAAGTCCTTGCGGGCAACAATCGTCAAAGAAGTCCGATTGCAATGTTGAGAAGCCGCTTGTAAGGTACCAGTTTCATATCTCATAAGTACCCTACGCTGATAATCACCGAACAGAAAGCAACTATACTTGTAGTCGAACTGTCGTTGACTCGAGGAATTCGAAGAGATGCTCGTTCGGAATCAAACGCAAGAACACCGATGAACCGGAAGAAGACGCCGGCACTGCGGCTCCAAAGTCCGACAATTAGCCAAACCCCCGGTTCTTCCCACCTAGCGCCCATGCTCTGACTCACACTGTGTCTTCTTGCGACCCTTGTATAAGACCAAGAAAATAACTCATGATAATCGAGAACAAAACTCAAGACTTGGGAGATAGAGTACCGAACAGCTGTATCAAGAAAAAAAAAGGAAAGCAGGACAAAACAACCGAGTTTAGAATCACAGAAGCACATGCGCCAAATCCATACACTGCCTCTTCAACCCCTTCCTCCTCACCACAACCTCCACCATCTCCCTCGAAATCACCACCGTCTCCATCTCCATCTCCATCTCCTCTTCGCCCTCCCCTGTTTCCCGACTCTCCTGAAACTCCCTTCTAATCAACAGCCCACACTCATTCAACGCGAACGCCGCATCCTCCACCCTCAAATTCGTCGCCCTCGCCAGATCCCGCAACGAACATTTCACGAGCACGTGCGTCGTCGCGCTCCCGTCTACGTTCGCGGACGTTTCGAGCTGTTTCATCGTGTGCAGATCGATCGGTCCGTCTTGTTCGTCTTCGGCGGGCTGAAGTTGGCCGTCTACTTCTCCTCCCAGTGGGCCACCGACGGACGGAGAAGGCGGGATCGGGATCTCGCCATCCCAGCCCTTCGTCTTCCTCCTTTTAGGCAGCGGCGGTCCCGCGAACATCGAGTTCCCATTCACGTTCAACGCAAAGTTCGGAACGGGGGAAGATCCCGTGGAATCCTGCGATGGCGTGTAGTGCATATGCGACACCGATGACGAGGATGTTCCGTTTCCGTTGCCATAAGGTAAGGCCCGGTTGGTCACGGGAGGAGCGGTGATGAGGTGCGAGAGGTCTGTGGGGAGGACGGAGAGGAGACGTTGGAGGTAGCGGAGGAGGGTGGAGACCCAGTAAGTTAGGTAGCTTCGGAGGCCGAGGTCTGAGAGGGGACGTTCGGGTGTGCCCACACGGCCAGATCGCCGGGAGAGTTCGTAGCCTGGTCGTTGATTAGTACCGACTAGGTTATCGAGACGAGGAAGAGAAATACTGACTGAATTCGATCATGAGCATGCCGTAGCCTTTACGTTGGTACTGTGGAAAGACGACGATGCACGCTAGATTGTAGTCATCGTAAGACACTTTCTCCTGCGAACGAAGATGTCAGCATGTATCACGGGAAGAAACGGATGTAGATACGAACCTTTGAAAAGAAACCAAGGACGTGGTCTCTCTGAGAGTCCGCGTCCGTCAGGAGGTAGAACAAAACTGGGTCATCGCCACATCAGCTCAGTGCCCTTGCATGTGAGAACCACGAAAGGGGCGTACAGTTATCGCAGTCGAAGAACAGTGTCTTAATATCAATAAATAGCTTCCCGAAAAGCGACAGGTTCTGGCAGTAGAGCTAATCCAGCACCAAGTCAGCCGTGAACGAATAACGCTTAATCGGTAAAAACTAACCTTTTCCTTCGCACCATCGACCTCCCAAATAATATGCGCGCCTCTCTGGTACACCTTCTTTCCCGGCGGGTGATTGATATTGCACCTCCTCTACGATTCCGCGTCAGCATCAAACTTACAGACAAAAGTTCGTCGGAAGAACCCACCATATGACTCTCCCAACTTGTTCCTTCCGACATGTACTTGAAGCACCTATCGCACACCCAGAGCACGTTCCCTCCCTCCGCACCCCCCGTATTCTCCCTCATCAACCCACCAGCCAACAAATCGCTCGTCCGGCCATGCGAACGGAACGTCGTACGCGAGACACCAGCAATGCGGTTCGCGTCCGGTGGAGGATGAGAAGGTGCGGGCGTATGTTCCTCAGCTTCGGATTCGGTGAGGGGGTATGGAGAGAAGTACCTGGTGGGGCAAGACGAAGACGAAGTTACCGGTCCGTCAGCACTAGAAAGGAAAGAAAAATAGGGGAGAGAGAACTGACCAAGTCCTCATCTGATAATCCCCAAAATTCACTTTATCGAAATTTCTCCTGGCCGTGATGCGCCTATGATGTCTCAAATCATACTCCTCCTCTCCCAGCCTCTCCCTCTCTGTGACCAACACCTCTCCTCCCAGTCCAATCGCAACCGCCCCATCCACATCCGTATCGCCACCATCCGTCATCGTCATGCTCATATCGACGTCGTGGCCCCCGGGGTGGACGTCTTGTTGCATGGAAGGAAGGAGAGGTGGGATGGGCGGTGGGGATGACGAGGGTGCGATGTGACGTTTACGGTGGGAAGAGGTGGTGAGTGGCTGAGGAGGAGAGGAGGGGAGGATGTCGGGTTGGCCTATGGCTGGTGCTGGGGCTGGTGCGGTCGTGATGTCTTCTTCATCGGAATCGTATCCCTCCACTAAGCCCAAACCCAGTCCTGAGCTCCCGCCTTTCTTCGGCTGTCGAGCACCCTCCATCTTCTCCTCCGGTTCAAGTTCTGCACTAGTAGTAGGCCCCGCCTCCTCCACAGGTACAGGTTGAGCAGAACCCTCACCCCCTTCAGCATCCTCCTCCTCCTCTTCACTCCTCTTCCTCTTCTTCGACTTTGACTCCGACTCCCTGTTCTTGTGCTTGTACGTGAACCATCCATTTCCAGATTTCCTCTTCTTCTTCGAAGTCCCTCCCGAGGACTTTCCTTTACTCTTGGACTTTGTCGTCGTATCAGCCGTATCGACGGCGGTGGTGATTGGAGCGGCGGTTTCGATTTCGATTTCATTGTTGGTTGTCGGAGGAGAAGGCGGTGGAGGCATAGGCTCCGAAGTCGACACAATCGGACCTGATCCTGATCCTTGGACGAGCAGTGGCCCAGGCGACTTCGAACGCGAACCGTCGATATCCACATCCACGCTCACATCTTCGTCCACAAGCTCCTTCTCCTTCTCCGCGCCCATCCGATCTCCTTCTTCCTCTGTCGCCAAACGACGGGCTGGGTCGATGCCCATTGCAGCTGCAGATCCACGGGTAACTCTCCTTTCCCTCGCTCTCTCCCTTTCTCTCATCCTCGACTCTCGCGCCTTGTCTAACCCACCGGATCCCGAACCGGAACTGTCGCCCCCACCACCACCGCTTTCCACTTCCCTCTCCCGTGACCTCTCCTTGCCAGCATCTTCATCCACATACCCTCCCCTCTCCATCCCCATGTCCAATTCCTCATCGGCGTTCGAGCTCGCAGCAGCAGCCAACCTCGACGCATGCGTCCTATAGCTCTGCGGACTCGGATGCAAATACGAATGCTGGTGCCCCTGCGGTGGTCTCGGTATCGACACCGACATGGGTCCAGGCTTCGACACCGTCATCGGCGCAGGCTTTGAGAGCACGGTCGGAGTGTTGCTGTTGGAGGACGAAGAAGAGGTGCGAGCGGGCATGCGGGTGGAGGCGGACGCCATGTCGGCGAGGGTGTCGAGGCCTGACATTTGTTTGGCGTTGGAGTTGTTGGTGGCGTTGGTAGTGCTGTTGTTGGCGGGACTGGAGTTGGAGTTGGAGGCGGATGGGTTTCTGGCGTGTGAGTGCGAGTGCGAGGGGGAGGGATTGGAGGAAGAGGAGCCGTAGCCTGGTGTGTGCGTGGAGGATTGTTTGGGTTTGGGTTCATGTCAGGGGATGATATGTAGGTTGATTTGGATTTACGTGAAGATGGGAACGAGGAACAGTTCGATGAGCCACGGATGCATGACAGAAAGACAGGAGGGGACGCACGGTGATGATGGCTTCCACTCATAGCGGTCTAATGCGGTCAAGTAGCGGAATATGAACGCTCTTAGGGATCTGGTCAGATATCACCGTGCAAACGCGTTCGCCGTTCAAAGAATTGTTGACTAGACGGTGTGCCCAATTGACGCGAATTGAACGAGACGTGAACGCGACGGAGGCGCGTTCAGGACACGAAAGAGACTCGCGAGGACAAAGAAGTGGCTTTTTTGAGCGAAGAGTATAGGACCCAAGAAGCGAGCGCAAAAGTCCGCTGCAAAGGCGAGTGCGAAGCGAAGCTTTGAAAGTACGTAGAGTACAAGTAAGAGTGTCACTTGCAAGGGACGACCGACGCAAGATGCAGCAGTCGCGTCGTGCCGGCGACAGTCGCGTAAACGTCTCCGGCCAATAACGATGCTCATTCATCTTATCCAAAAGCCGCTCTTGCAAAGGCTGCTCACGAGAATTCTCACACTGCCGTCGATCTTTCCAGGGCGCAAAAGAAAGCATTCTTATGCAAATAAAGGAGTACATGCGAGCATGGAAGGCGTGCGATCTTATATCTTCGACGGCGAAACGGAGAGAAAGTGGCATGCAGCATATGTGGTAATCGTGTGAGTGCAGGCGGGCGATGGATACAGGAGAGCGGACGGGGACGACGACGCAAAGACCAGAGAGGAAGAAGAGGAGAATATGAAGATGGGAGGGTGGTGTGTGTTCATATTTACTCCTTGGCCTCCTCGTGCTCCACTGCGATGATCCCCTGCCTCTTCTCCAGAACACGGGCCGCACGACGCTCGCGGGCAGCCTATAGTGTGTGATGAGTTAGGGATGGGATGGAGAGCGATAGAAGAGAGGATGCATACCTTGTTCTTGACACGGCGAGCCTCCATCTGGTCGGTGAGGACCTTTGTCCGGCTCTTCTCGGCCTTGGCCTTGTGAATGTATTCCATGAGGACACGCTTGTTCTTGAAGACGTTACCCTTGGACTTCTGGTAGAGCGAGTGGTAGCTGATACAGCATAAGCCCGACGGGTTCCGAGATTCGTAAAGAGAAAGAACGCACAGATGCTTGTCGATTTTGCCAGCCTCTCTGTACTTCCTCAGCAACCGCCTGAGCACACGCTGTCTCCTCATCCAGAGCACCTTGGACGGCATCCTGGCCTCGTTCGTACCCTTTCGCTTTCCGACACCGGTGTGCCTGCCCTTGCGCTTAGCGGCGAGGAGCTCGAGGGTGCGGGCGCGGGAGTGGACATTTGTCTGCTTGGCAAGGATGTGACCGTCCTTGAAGAGCTTCTTGATGTGGGAGCGGGAGTTGGCATTGCCGATCTCGGCCTGCTCGTTGGGGTCGAGCCAGATTTTGCGCTTGCCGACGCCAGCGACGGAGGCGGCGAGCCTCTTTTGAGAGCGAAGGTTGACCATCGTGCTGCAGAAGTAAAGGGTCAGCCTAGGGAGATGGACGGTCAAGGGGATGGGGAGCGTACGGGGAGTCTTGAGGGGATGCGGTCGTCGATGGGGCAGACGAGCAGCAGCTAGTCTGACTGGCGGCGGGCGGATGCGTCTTACGTCAGCTCAGCCACCGCAAACCTTATTCGAGCAGCTGTATATCAGCAGGCGGGGTGGTGCCCGGGAGATTGGCCATCTGCGCTTTGACTCGCTTGACGCTCTGAAAAGACCTTTGGAAGCTTAGCTGCTCTTCGCGTAAGATGCAGAACGTCACAGATGGCCGCGGTTGCGAGCGGTTACAAGATACAGCAGCGGGTGGGAAGCACGATACGGGGGACGATACGCAAAAAAGACGCGTCCGCTGCTGGGAACGTGCATCGGCCGTGGAGGGCAGCTGAGACGCCTCTGGCTGACTGTCAAGCCTCGAGTGGCGTCGCGGCGGGTGGCGCGTGGCTCGTTAGGTAAGCATCTCGGGCCTTGAAGAGAGCGAGCGGCGAGCGTCTGTACTTGGTCTCCTCAGCGTCGTCGACAGCCAGCTGGCCATCCTTGTCCCCGTCGACGCCATCCGCCCCGGCCCCGGCGAGAGCCCTGAGGGTGTTCGCCTCATCCATCGCGCGTTCTGCACTCCGCCCCACGCCGCCGCCTACCGCTCGCCACGATGATGATATCCCAATAGACACAACGAATCCCGACGAGCTCCACCCGTGCTCAACGCCTTGCGACTGCCTTGACTTTGACTTACTCATCCACATCGATCTCTCATCCTCGACCCCCTTCTTCTCTCCGCCACCAGCTCCGACAAATCTCTCCTCTTCGCTTTGAACTCCGCCACTCACACCCAGCAGCTCTCCCATGGCCGTCACCGACGCTGCCCCCGACGCCGCCCAGGCCACCACTGACGACGGCCAGGACGGTTCGGACAAGCCTCCCCATGGCCTCCCCAACAACACCCACAGCGCCCGCCAGAACGGCACAGCAGCCACCGCCGCTTCCGCAACGACGCCCACCCAGGGCCCTCCCAAGCACTCTGCCTCTCCCCGCGCCCACGACTTTGCTCAGTCTCCTCCTCCCCAACGCCCGCACAATGCCGAGCACAGTTCGATCCCCCTCCCGCCTCCAGACGCACACGCTCACCCAAAGCAGCCGGGCACAACCGTCCGCGATCTCCAGCGCCTCGTCCTCCCGCCCCAGCCCATGGCCACAGCAAACAACGGTGCCGGCTCAGCCCCGGAGTCGATGACGCCCTCGCCCGCAGAGTCCCCCTCGCCGTCCGAGAACGGTACATGGAGCATGCCCTCCACTCGTCCTCCCAGCCAGGCTCCGAGCCGAGCACCGAGTGTCTCCGGATCCAGGCCCGACATCTCTGCCATCCGCTCTCCCCCTCATCTCGTAGCCGCTTCCGTCACGAAGGCCTTCTCAAAGAAGGACAAGAACAGCGCTCCTTCCACACCCGTCGTCGAGCATTCCCCCGGTCCACGCTCCAAGGGCCCCCCGTCGATCAACTCGGACACCGGGGGACACAAGTTCACCCTCAAGGAGCTGCTTGCTAACGGCCCCAAGCTCACTCGCAAGGGCTCTGCCCGCTCGGCCAGCAGCAAGAAGTCCGATTCCGAGGGCGGTGGAGGCAAGTCCACCGCGGGTGGCGAGAGCACGCAGAGTCTGTTGAAGAAGTATGGCACTTGCGAGCGGGTGGCGATCGGGAAGGGCGCCACTTCCGTCGTCCGCCTCGCTCACAAGTGGGACCGAACAGAAGAGAAACTTTACGCTGTAAAGGTCCGTCTCTCTCCCTTCTCGTAGCTCGTGTTTCGTTGCTGACGAAGATCTGCAGGAGTTCCGGAAAAGAAGAAAAAATGAAACAGAAAAAGAATACGTCAAGAAACTGACTGCCGAGTTCTGTATATCGTCCACCCTCCACCACATCAACATCGTCGAGACAGTCGACCTCGTCCAGGACGAGCAACAACATTGGTGCGAAGTCATGGAGTTCTGTCCCGGTGGAGACCTCTACGCCGCCATCAAGAAGGGCCACATGTCACCGAGCGAGATCGAGTGTTGTTTCAAGCAAATCCTCTGCGGTGTCCACTATCTTCACAGTCAGGGCGTCGCCCACCGTGATATCAAGCCAGAGAATCTGTTCTTCGACACCAAGGGCCATCTCAAGGTACGCATCTCACTCCATTTAAAAATACGTGCTGACTGAGCCGTCGTCCGCTTCCAGATCGGCGACTACGGCGCCTCGACGGTGTACCGTCTGCCATGGGAGGCGACCATCCACATGTCGACAGGCTTGTGTGGTAGCGAGCCCTACATTGCGCCCGAGCAGTTCCTAGGCAAACGTAAGCCGAGTGCGCCATTCATCCTGGCATGCACCTAATTCTGTTTTGCTTTCTTTTCCTTCTGCTCCTGGGTTCCCTCCCGGAACTCCTTTCGATCTTTGCTCGCTCATGCAGCGTACGACGCCCGCCTAGTCGACATCTGGGCCGTCGGCATCGTCTATTACTGCCTGCACTTCCAAGAGCTCCCCTGGCGCGTCGCGCAGACCTCCGATCAGCTCTACGCCTCCTACACCGCCGCGTGCGCCAATCCGGCACAGTCGGCCTGCCCGCCCACGATCAATAACCTCTCGCCGCGTTCGTGCAGAAGCCTGATCAGGAGAATGCTCGAACCGGACCCGAAGCAGAGGGGCCTGATCGAGGAGTGCATCAAGCACCCCTGGGTGGAGGGCATCGAGGTCTGCCATACGGTGAATAAACCGAGTCATGTGCATGTGTATGCGCAGGCGATGGCGCAGGCACAGGTCGCGGTGCTTCCGTAGAGGATTAATGTGCTTTGTGGATGTGCGTGCGCCGGACGGTGGTAGTAGTCTAGTGTTTTCTTGAGTCGTATCTTTACTCGGTTTCGTTCTCTCATCTTTACTTTCCTCTCTCCTGCTTAGTTTTACTTTGCGACGCTTTTAGTCTTACATACGGGCCCTTAGTAGTGACATAGTTCTACAGTTTTTTAGTCGTTTACTTTCAATCCCTCTTCGTCTCCTTCTCCTGCTGCATGTGTCTCACTCGGATCGTGCATCCATATCCCATATCACGCATCCGTATCACCCACCCCCTTTGTCGTCGTCGTTGATGTGTCAGTGTCGTAAGTAGTCCTCCTGTTCCGGCGTGTACGCGATATATTTAGTTGCAGTCATCTTGGCCGGCCGTGGTGCGCGGGATGGAGTGATTTGTCGATGTTGATACCTGGATCTCAGGTTAAGGACATGATGTACCAGTACAGGCATGGATGGATACAGGACACGGTATGGTCAGACGTTCGTGGTCAAATATGCATGGTTGTGGTGTTTCGGGTCCTTGTCCGGGTTCGTGTGGCACAATGACAAATGCGGACTTCTAGTCATCCTGTTCGGTGCATGTGGGCTGTATCGTGTAGACATGCATGCAATGGTCAAGGATGATCAAGACTGTATAGCGACTATATACGATGTCTATACGATGTCTCGAGTGAGGTGGCGATGAAAAAAAAGAACCGAAAAAATGCACAATAAATAATTGATGCGTATTCGTAAGCGTCAACGTAAAAATCGTAAAGCAATTCTATTGGAGGACAGTCTGCCTGTACGTGTGTATCTCATCTCTAAACCATGAACGAAATTACCACAACCAACCTCACTGCCATGGCCCGTCCATCTGCTGTCCCTGTCCTTGCCCCTGCCCCTGTCCCTGTCCCTGCTGTTGGCCAGGACCGATAGTACTCCTCACGGACGCAGGCTCGAAAGGGGGTGCCAGGCCCGATAACGTCGATCCTCCCAGACCCGGCGGGCCCTGAAGAGAGGATGAGCTCGAGAGGCCTGATAAGCCGACTTGGGGATTGGGATTGGCGGTGGACATGGAGAGTGGTGGGGAGTGTTTCGTCGGGTTTGAGATATTGGCGTTTAGAACGGGCACTCCGGGTAGACGTTGGGCGCCGAGACCTATGGGGTGCACAGAAGGAGGAGCATGTGAATGTGGACGTTGCACTGGGCCGATGGGGCGGGGTGGTTGTATTCCTGCACCGCCGACACCGACGCCGACGCCAACACCTGCTCCGTTCCCGCTACCGCCACTATTGACATTGACTAGATTCGGGGGGTTGACCATGGGGTTCATGCCTGGGTTGATGTTGAATCCGTTCATGTTGACGTTGTTCAGGGAGTGTCGGGGGTGGTGTTGGTGTTGGGTGTGGTGCAGTGGGATGAAGGGGATGTGGCGTTTGTTGAGCATTGGGGGGACACGGTGTTGGAGATGTGGTGGCGCATGAGGGTGTTGATTTACCGTGTGTGGAGGCGAGAGCCCGAATGCGTGCAGGCCGGGCCTGGGGACGGGATTGAGATTAAACGGGACGTGTGGGGGTTGGAGGCGGGGATTGTGGAGGAAGGCAGTGTTGTTGCTGTTGGACGTGGATGGGGGCATGGAGATGGGCATGGGAATGGGTGCGTTGCTGAAAACAGAGGCAAGATCGGGGAGGGACTGTTCAGAGGGGATTATAGCGTCGTCGTCGAGGTTGGGATGCGAAGAGGCGACGTAGCCGTATGGATCGGCTTCGATCTGTTCACGTTCTAGTTGTAGCTCGCGTAGCTTGTCCTCCAGCTCGCCGACGAGACCACTACTGAGAGTGGCTGAATCCTGACTGGGCGCACTGTCCTCCTCATTTCCACAGGACGCCTCCTTCTCGTCCTTTGCAACCCATGTGTCTTCTGCCTCGTCGTTCGAGCTATTCCCGAATTCATCCAACTCCGTCGGCGCCTGGCCAGCCAACTTCTCCTTCCTAGCTCTCAACTTCTCGACCTTCGCATCTAAACTCGCCAGTTCGGCCTTCCCTGGTGCCAACCTTGCTACAAGATCCGCCTCTGCCTTCTCCCTCCTAGCTCTCCACTCCGCCGCACGATCCCTGACCCCATTACACCTCGCCTCCACAATCGCCAATTCTTCCTCTTTTTCCTTCCTCTCCGCCTCAACTCCCACCGTCTCTTCCTCCACCTCTTCCTTGCCCCTTGCAGCCTGCTTCATCGCCTCTTCCAAGGCTCTCACCTTCTGTCTCGCCCTCGCATCAGCCGTCGAATGCTTCTGAGACGCCTTCTTCAACGAGGTGATGTCCGAACGGAGCGCAGACGACGACTTTTGTGCGTCTCGCCGTGTTTGCTTGAGTGTGCTCAGGAGGGTGGCGTTTTCGGACTGGAGGGTGGCGAGGTTGGAGTTTAAGACGGCGATGTATTCTTCGATGGTTTGGGGTATGGTCGGTTGGGCGGTGGGTTGCGTTGTGTGCAGAGGTTGGTGGTTTGTGGAGATTGAGGGTGTTGGGGAGGGGGGACGGGATGGAGGAGAGGTCGGAAGAGAGGTGGAAGAGGGAATGCGGTCTGCGTGATCTGTGCTGGTGTCGTTGTCTGGATGTGTGGCTGGAGTGAGTAAATTGCATTGAACTAATTGAATGATGGTCTGAGAAAATTTGAGGCAACGCACGTTGGGATTCGGTCGTGATCTGACCCTTGACCCTCTCTTCACCCGGGATGACACCCAGTTCGATATCATACTGCCGGCCAGGCATAAGCCCATATATGATAATTACCGCCTCGTCCGCTTCGTCGTCTACTCGTATGAGCACACGCTGCCAAGGTGCGCCGTTCACAGTGACTGAAAGGCCCTTCGACAAAGCATCAGAGATGATGCGCTGAGACCGAGAGCCGGAGGCGACGGGCTGTCCAGGAGAAGTATCTCCTGCTCCGTCATCTTCGTCATCAGAGTGAGCATCATCGCCATCTAAGATCAGAGACAGATTTGTGTGGGCTGAGAGGGATGAGAGGATAAAGGTGGCGGAGACGGAGGTCAATTCTCGGACGGAGAGCGAGAGCCTTGGCGTCCATGGTCGAATTGAATGCCAACGATTATTTGGATTGGAGTCTTGGGACATAAGAACAGCACTTTCGTATTTCGTTGTGTGTATAGTTCTGCTGAGCACGGAAGCCTAGAGACTGAAGAAGATGGTGGTCGTGGATGAAGCGAGGCTCAGCGCTCGCCCGTGCGCAAATATTGCGTGTGGCGATGGGTGGCGGTGGAAAGTTCCTGTTGGCGCAAGTTTGAGCTTGTCGTGAGTCAGCCATTCATCGGGAACCGTCACCACGTGCACGGTGGCAGCCCCGCCCACCAATACTACATTCTCTACCTGTTTTGCGATTCGTCTTTATTTCTCTGACATTTGTGATACACTTGGGCTGAACGGAAATCGTGCGCGAGGTGCCACCCGGGGATAACATTGAAAGGTGTGCTAGGAGGGGGGCGTATTGGTACGGAAGTCCGATCCCAAAACCCAAACTTCGGGTAGTTCTGTACTCAAGGTTTGGGAGGATTGCTGTACTTTTGTGGATCGGGTAGTCCAAATAAGGGCGCCTTCCGTACTCACGAGGGATTGGACCTTCTCCCAGACGAACACCTAAAACACCGTCAATTTGACACAGAATGGTCTGTGCAGTGGCGTATAGTGTTGGAGAGTGAAGGTTGGCGACCAAGCCTGAACACATACAACAAAATTGTACGCATAGTGATCAGACCTAGGCAGTCCTGCCAACTTTCCGTACGCACAAGGGCAGTTCAAGGGATCGGACCAAGAGGCAAATCCAGGCCAGTCATGTACGCACAGGATCAGACCTCGCGTCGCATTTGCCACCAAAACTGTACGCATAAGGATCGAACCTCGATACCAATACGCCCCCCTCCTGGTGTGCTCGACACCGTGCTGTGTAATGGCGTTTGAAGCCCCTCTGAGCGCTGTCACAAGCTTTGTATAGGTCCCCATCTTCCTTTCTTTCTACTAGCTCTCTGCGAAAGTTACTGGTCATCAGCTGGATTCTTGATCTGGCTTTTCAATGGCTCTGGGAACCCTGGCTGCCCTTGGCTTGTTGGCTTTCTTCCGCATCGGCCAGTTCGCTGTTCACACCCCGTTCGTCTTCCTTCACTGACAGTCTCGAATACATCGTATTCTAATATCCATCAGTGCTAGCATATCTCAGTGCAGTGAGATCCTTCAGATTTCCCACAACCTTGCAGATCATGGCCTGACCAGATTCTTTACAGAGCCCGCCACCATAACATGGTCCGGAGGGTCTGAGCCATTCGTTGCCCATATCACTCGTGGTGACTATAACGTCGTATTTGCATTATGCACTCTTTCTGACATCATGGCTTTATTTCATTTGACAGGTGGGACGCCCAAGGCGGCTCCGGTAGGCGGTCGTTCTCAGTTACTTTGGCACCCCCTGACGAACTTAATCAGCTCGAATATTTGGGCCCGCAGAACGGTCACTCACTGACCTGGACGCCTAACTTTGCAGCTGGGTCCTCTATGTATGTAAGCGAAAGGAGACAATGTTGTGCTTTCACTGACTACCACGCCTCCGTTCCTCCTGCATCAGCGCTATCGTGATCAAGGACGCGAACGGAAATGCTGCTGCATCAGCACCGATGACCGTCAAGGAGAGTGACGATTATAGGTATGTGGCGTTATCTGCTTCAAATAGACCCCAACAGCTTTTGGAACTCAAGGTTTCACTGTCTTTGCATCAAATAGCTGTCTTGCATGAACCGGGTATGTGTGGCGACAGAGACAGCGATTAGCCTACTTCGTTCTTTTTGTTGGGATGGGTATGATTCTTCATGATCTTCATTTTATTTATTTGTTGCTCTTTCAAGTTATATCTATCGTGGTGTATCGTTACAGAGTCGTAAATTCGTGATTGCAACCGCACTGTGATTCAGATATTATCGTTGATCCATATCGTGAGGCAGTCAAAGCATGCTTGAAGATTTCCATAAATTCGCTAATTACATGGAACCGTGCCTGGCTAACTCATCAAAGGAGTTGCCTACAATGACACGAATCCTCAAAGTTAGATGTCCACCTCAGGTCTGATGTGGCGCCCCTGTGGCACCAAACAACGTACGAAAGGCCATCGAGCACGAGGTCTGAGTCTTGAGTGCTTCGTCTACAATCAAACAAAGGTGCTCAGTCAAAGTTAAAGAGCCTTTATCATTCGGACTCTATGATCATGTACAAAGGCGTTCATGACGATGAGGTGGTACGGGTCAAATGCTATCGGATTGGGAAAGCATTTCCGGCCGGGACCCGGACAAACTGATCGCAGCGGGCAAAGCAGTTCGAGCTTGTCGCGGTTGCCCCTCATTCTCCCCGTCATCCTCCCCTCCGCCCCCTAGCTATGTCAGGCAACAATCTCGATGTGAGTATGGTAGTAACCCTCGTGTTCTTGCTCTGATAATGCTACATGCTCAGCGTGCGATTGAACTTGTTCAACGCGCTATCGAGGAAGACACCAAACAGAACTACGCAGAAGCGTATAAACAGTATCAGAATGCCCTTGACTACTTCATGCTTGCTCTCAAATGTGCGCCTATTCTATTCATTCCTCGGGCAATCAGCGGTCTTACATATGGCTCCATATCAAACCTCATGCATTGACTTGCGTTTATATAGACGAGAGGAATGACAAGTCGAAAGCACTGATTCGGACCAAGATCAGCGAGTATCTCGCGCGAGCAGAAACACTCAAGGAGCACCTTCAGGCGGCGACAGAGAAACGCTCTAAGCGTGCGATGGGTGCTGATGGTGTCGCAAACGGTGGCACAGGGGGAGGAGGAAAGAAGTGCGTCCATTTACATTCCATTCTCTTGCAGTCCTTTGTCTCTGACATCCATCAATTATATCGTTGTACGTGCTCATGATATTTGGCTATGCAGGAAAGACGATGAAGACGGAGACGTGGACCCAGAAATAAAGAAACTGCGAGCAGGACTTGCTGGTGCTATCATCGTCGACAAGCCAAATGTTCGTTGGGATGACGTCGCTGGGCTCGAGGCCGCGAAGGAATCCCTGAAGGAGGCCGTCATTCTACCTATCAAATTCCCTCATCTCTTCACCGGAAAACGAACGCCTTGGCGAGGCATATTGCTATATGGACCTCCGGGGACAGGAAAGAGTTATTTGGCGAAGGCAGTCGCGACCGAGGCGAAGAGCACGTTCTTCAGTGTCAGTTCGAGTGATTTGGTCAGTAAGTGGCAAGGTGACTCCGAACGGTGCGTAGTTTCCTTGGCATGGATGAGGGAATGCGCGAGTTGATGAATGGGGAAACCTCAGGCTGGTCAAGCAGCTGTTCCAAATGGCACGAGAATCAAAGCCAGCTATCATCTTCATCGACGAGGTCGACTCTCTCGCAGGGACGCGTAACGAAGGAGAATCAGAGGGTTCAAGACGAATCAAGACGGAGTTCTTGGTGCAGATGAATGGCGTGGGCCACGATGACACGGGTGTTCTTGTTCTCGGTGCCACGAACATTCCATGGCAACTGGATCCCGCCATCAAGCGTCGGTGCGTAGTTCGATACATGTCTTTTGAGAGCTCCAACTCATCCATGCAAGCTGCTAGGTTTGAGAAGCGAATTTACATCCCACTTCCAGGTATCGAGGCCCGGAAGAACATGTTCAAGATACACGTCGGTACCACACCTTGCGAACTCTCAGAGAAGGATTATCGCACTCTGGCGGCAAATTCAGAAGGGTCAGTACATTGCCAATCGAAGATGGTGTCGCTTTTTGGCTGACTATTGCGTGATGTGACAGATATTCCGGCTCAGATATCGCCGTCGTCGTCCGTGATGCCCTCATGCAACCCGTCCGCAAAGTCCTTTCCGCCACACACTTCAAGCCGGTACCTTCAGAAAAGGATCCAAATTTGACACAGTGGACTCCATGCTCTCCCGGCGATCCGGACGCGGTGGAGAAGAGCTGGACCGAAGTCGAGAGCGAAGAGTTGCAGGAACCACCACTGCGGTTTGCAGACTTCGTGAAGTCACTGGATAGCGTGCGTCCGACAGTGAACGAAGAGGATATCCGGAAGCACGATGAATGGACGAAGGAGAGTGGTAAGTGTCACCTACATTCTGTTCTCAAGTCTTACAGAACTGACCTCGTTATATGTGGTTGTATAGGCGCTGATGGTGCATGACAAGCGTTACCACTGCCGTCTTCTCTACCCGAACCTTCCTTTCCACTGTTCCGTGCACCCTCGTCGCTCTATCAACTAATTCGACATCGACCTCTCAAGCGAATTGCCATTCTATCCCGTGGTCAACTCTTGTGCACAGATCAGTTATTATTGGTTCACCCTTTGTCTCATATCCACGCGTTGTATATCCTTCCATTTGTGGTCTGTCTGTGTCCAATTGTAGTGCAATTTAGCGGTGTAAGTTCCTTATGAAGTACGCGCGTTTAAGTCTGCGCCTTGTTGTTTATTATTTCCAGGCCTGCCTGTCGCCCTGTTGGGTGTCCGTGAACATTCAACCGAACCCAGTCTGAATTCTGACTGGTCGACTAGAACAGCTTCGGAATCGCAGTAGCAGGGAATTCCATCGAAGAACGAGTATATTATTCAATGACACGAGAAGACCAATAAACGCTACTTTATGCATAGCATCACGTCGATTTCCTTCAATGCGTCATGCACGAGTCGCCTGAGACGGGTTTGGAGGAAGAGGTTTCTCACGGTCTGCAGAGCCCAGAGACGCAGAAGCGACCAACGTCGAGGCCGACGAATTGTTCCTGTACAGTGAAGTCCCGGAGGTCGCCCAAGCTCTCACGCGATCTATGGGATTGTCTCCTTCCTCCTCCCTTGAAGGCATCGTTTTGACCACTTTCCTCCCTACCGAATCTGGATGAACGCGTAGGGCAGGTGGAATGGGGAGTGTGGCCCAGGTCGTACACCTTGAGAAAGTCGGCACCGTAGGCGGAGCCTGCGGATGAGTAGACTCGACAGATGTGTCCTTGTGAAGATCAAGTACTGGTGAAGTGAGATACGATGAGAGGACGTCCGAGGTTATCGATGCCGATTCCGGAATAGTCGCTAGTGATGGAGCCGATTCCAAACCTGACTGGTAGAGTTTCTGCGACTGTGAACGACTGAGGACGCTTTGGTACGGCATAGCAGAGGGTGCTGGAATTTCGCGATTGAGAGAGAGACCTGGAATAAGGTGCGCGGGGAACGGCTGGCGCGTGGATGCCCGTGGTTCTGGTTCGCGGGGTGGCGAGGGTGGAGGAAGAGACGTGCGAATGGAAGATGGGCGGGTGTCTGCGGGGGAGTCGGATGGTCCGTTCATCTTGGTCAAAAGGGCACTGATGAGAAGCGCCTTTTCAACGTCCATATCGAGCTTGGGAAGCGGCGCCTTCTCGTTGAATCTAGTAGACTCGCTGCTGACAAGACTCGACCGTCTCGACAGCTCGTCCAGTGCAGCCTGGCCGTGGAACCCACCAAAGCCTTGCACGCTGACGCTCCGTTCAGCGTCTCGGAGGAGTATGGCCTCATTTGCTCGATCGACAGCTAGCTTGCGCCGATGGTGACATGCGAGCACGAGGGCGGCAAGGAGGATGGCGCCGACGATAGACAGAGGAATAGCGAGGGCCAATGTTGGAGGTTGGTTGTGCGTAACTGCGGCGGATATCGGGGAGTGCGTAACGGGTTCGGTCGAATTTACAGGAGTGGCGGGTATGGACATAGGGTCTTGATTAGGTGCATTGGGGGGCGCTGGCGTGGATACTGTAGTTGGGCTAGCTGGCGGGTCGTTGTTGCCAGTGTCAGCGCTAGGAGGCTCAGCGGTGCCAGTATTGGATGCCGTAGAAGCAGATTGAGGATTTGCTATGGAGACACGTCAGATACATGGCCTCGGCACGCAAAAGAGAGAATACTCACGGCTGAGATTGAAAACAGGCGTGTTCGTCACTTGCCCCGTATCATCTGTCATCTGGAGGTAGTATCCAGATTGTGTCTCTGCCTTGGGTGCTGTCCTGTTGAATGGGGAATTTAGGAGAAATTAGTTTCCCTTCGTGAGGTGAACTAAAGCCAAAATACGCACACTATTGTGGCGTAAACCTCGCCAGTCTGCTGGATCTGCGGCCATATTGTCGAACCACAATCCCCACTTTCTTCACAGACACGAAACGATGGTGATGAAGTTTTTCCGGGGGCTTGCCACTTGATGTTGATACGTTCACCAGGGCCGAACGTGTCTCCCGCTGCGGGGCTCGTCCATTGGACGGAGGTAGACGGAGCGGCAGAAGAGGAAGCAGGACTCCCAGAGTCCGTAGAGTCAGACGGAGCAGAACTAGAGGCGCGTACTTGGCTGACCAGCAACACTAGGGTGGCAACCAGTGTAGTATAGCCCATGGGCTTCGGCTTATGCGAGATTGTGGTCAGTGCTGGAGCCAAGTAAGAAATAAGTGACGTTGAAGGGAGTGGAAAGCGTCAAGCCGTGCCAGCAGGTGTAGTATGGGGGATGAGTGATCGGAAGAGAAAGAAAACCGAGCTCAGAGGTGGCAATAGGAGGCTGTTTCATGGTCAGTTTCACTTCGCAGCGAGCAGTCCAAAACGAAATGTAGTAATGTTCCGATTGTCTCACCCATTCTCGACAAAAGCGCTGTGATTAAAGACACAGGATGATATAGTACAGAGAATGTCACGCAGGAGTCGAAGCTGTTGAGTCGATGTCCATCCTGTCAGCCCTTGTGCCTGGGCGTGCTTGGGCTGGTGTCTTGAGATCGAGTTTGGTGAATTCGTTCAACTGGTGCCTGACAATTGTCTCCTATGTAAGTATTCAAAGGCTTGAAAAGTGTTTTAGATGGAAGCACACCTTTTCTTATCTCGAAGTCGTTCAAGCATGGCGATAACCTCATCCTGTTCCTCAATCAACAGTTCTCCTCCGGGTAATGCGTTGGCCAGTCCTTTCGCTCGGCTCAAAGATGCCTTGAAATCGTTGGTCTGAAACATGCCCAGAAATCAGAAGTTGAAACTATATCGAAAGGGAGTAAAGTGTACAGCGTGAAGCAGAGCTTGTTTAGCTTGGGGAGTCGATGTGCTCTCCTGTTGAGTGAGCTCGAGGGTCGCCAGAAGTTTTGGGAGCAGAGACTCGAAAGCCGACGAGGGGATAGATGTGTCGGTCATGGTAAGCCACTAAGCATTTCTGGAAGCTGTTTGTTGTAACTCAGCGAAGCACTAATTGTGGCGAGACGGACTCAATGAGTGTATCGGATGCGTCTCAGACTCGGACACGCTTGGTCACATGGCGGTTGTTTGGCCTTGTTGAAATCGAAGGTTCTTGCCAAATAACATCAAATAAAACAGTGCGGAATTGGAACGGAATTATTTACATAGTTTATGTACTTCAACTCACGAAACTCATTGCAAACCAGTGTATATTACCATCGAGCCAACGATAAAGGAAGGGTATGCGGGCCGATAATACAAATTCATGCCAGTACGAGCGCAGGTGGCCGCGTTGGAGAACTTGCGTCGAAGTACTCATCCCTGCTTGGTGCTGTTGTCTCGCGCCCGCATCTTTGCTCGCAAGCCCCAGTACTCCGTCCTCTCAGGATGACTCGCCACTTTCCCCCACCCACAATCGTCCCCCTTCGCGCTCCGAGCCCTACACATTTCCGCCGCCCTGTTCGCCCACTTCTGGGCACCCTCCCGATCCTCCAGCGCACAACACGCTTTGACAAGCTTCTGTAGCACCCAAGGCCATGAAGTCTCTAACATCCACGTCTCCGCGTCTAACATTTCGACAAGCCGGAGACATTCCTTTGTGATATAGTTGTCTGGAAGACTGACGTCCTCCACCCAACACCGAAGTGAGGCCTCGTGGTCTTCGTACCAGCGGTCTGTGTTAGCGGCGTTCGTTGATAGTTCTTCGTAATGAGGTTCATACATGGCGAGGATTTTACGCCGAACATCAGAGCGCTTGGACTCGGTGGGAGGGAGTGAGCAAGTCTCGCATGTGCAGGTGAAGGCGTACTTCTGGCGAAGATCTTCTTGACGCTCGGTGCGGGGGGCCAAAGGGTACGTATAGGTGATCGTGATCTCGTCGCCGGCTGCGATTGGCTTGAGGGCTCGTATGAAGCAGGTAAAAGAATTCACATCCCATGCGAAGACGGCGTTTGGGCTGCAGCTGTGTGGTAGATGGGTTCAGCTAATGGAAAGGATATCATGACTGATGTAACTTAATTACCTGTGATTGATTCGTGACACTGTGGCACAAATAGCGACATGGTCTACAGGATAGCTTGGAAGTGGGCCGATTTGCATTGCGTTAGTGTCAAGGATGCCAGTGAGAACATCTGATCCGGATTTGCAGTTCTTGAGAGCTAGGAAACGCGCGCGATCGTCGAGCCTCATCCTATTTATGGCGCCTTGTACCATCTGTGCTTGCACGTTAGGAACGCCAGGCTTGAGTTCGGGCACCATCATGCTGCGGGGCAGGATGAGCAGTGGACGCTCAGAGATTATGCAGTCCCCTGGCTGGCGAGCGGTGGTGGCAAAGAGGCCGAGCCCAGCACCTGTGGCTGGACCTTCACGGACAAGAGAGATGGCGCTGTATGGTGAAGGGAACCCTGGGAGTGCGAGGATACCCTCTTTTGCGCCTTTAGTGATGATGCAGGCTGTCATTCGGTCGGACGAAAAGCGCGGGACGATAGGGAGAGAAGTGATGCGATAGGTGTACATTCCGTCAGGACCTGCCTTGGCTTCGTCGGTGTGCCAGTCCATGAGAGTCTTCGAGTCGACATACTCGTTGACGGGAATGATGGGGCCATGAGGAACGGGGATGGTTGCTAGTGGCGCAGACTTCAAGAGAGGTTTGTCAACCGCCTGTGTAGTGATCATAGACGATTTGTCTGCCTGAGAGGAGCGAGAAGCCCTGTGAGTGTTGCCTTTCAGCTGAGATGGATTGGGTTTGAGAAATCCCCGGCGCATGATGGTAAAGGTTCTTGGCTGAGTCGGAGTGGTCGAAACGTAGTAGATGAGATGACGGTCAGTAACTGCTCGAGAGCGTCCCGTTTTATACAGCAGGCAATGACACGTCGCGGCCTCGGAAGACAGTGCCGAGTGTCAGGAAGGCTACGTGCCACGCAGGTGTCTCTGGCCATGTCGCCTTCCTTTGTTTGTGTTGGGAAGAAAGGACCAGTGCGCCGCGGCCGTCGTGGGACCTCTCGGGTGGCACATTGGCCTCGTGTTGGGCTCAGGCAGATGTTTCCAATAGCTTGGCTCCACCATTCTTTGTCCCGCGTTTGTCTGACCATGTCCTCATCGTTGCCTGCGTGACGTTACCTCTGACACCGGATTTCTTCTTCAAAACTTTGCGGATGCTATCTGGCTGCGTAATCGTGTTGGAAGTAATATAATTACGAAGGCTCAGTTCCTGCTGTGGTGTCGTTCTATTTCTGAATAAGTATGGCAGGGCACTGCCAGCCTGTGTTAACTCAAATATTTTGCTTGAGATCATTTAGCAGACCGTCATTGCGATTCTTGTTGTCACAACTAGTATCCTGTCCCAGAAGTGCCTTGTATGCCTCCTCTGATATATCTGGCCTCGAAAACAAGTATCCCTCAGGGTGCCATCCTTGGTCTTTGTCCGTATCCAAGGCTATTCCCTTGTACCTCAGGCCTCAGCTGTCGCATGGACCGATGAAATACGCATAAAGGGTACCGAAGACACGGATGTTTGTGTCCTATTTGATCTCGGGATCTAAAGATTCGTGCCAGCCATCTACTAGCCGAGGATCCGATGATCCATTGACCGTCGTAATTGTGTCTTTGGCCCTCGAAAATATATATAAAGCCTAGTTCCTCGCCTCGATCCGCCGTCTCGTCCACCACACCACTATCATCCCTTTCATTCTTCGCCACTGTCTATCGACAACCATACATTCACGCAATTCTCTCCTTTTTTTAAAAAAATCAACTTACGTCAGCCCGCACTCTATCTCTACCATGTCCTATTCAACACATGTTCCTGGCCATCCGCGTCAATATGTCATGTCCATCTTGCCTCGAAGAGTAAGACCCAGTCCATCTCCATCGGGCTCCGAAAGCTCAGACGGCGACTCCTCTGACTCTGACTCTGCCTCTGTCTCTGCTCGTACTCAATCATCTGCACGAGCACCTGTGCTCGAGACGGCACCTGATCGTAGCGACGCGTCAATGAATGGCAAGAGCTCTGATTCTGAAACAACGTCCGGCAAGTCGCAGAGTGGCTCCAAGGCGGAAGAAGACACAGATATGGAGGAGGAAGAGGAGGAAGATGTCGATGACGAGACTGAACCAGGGCCCAGTGATCTGGATGAGCCTTGGGAGTATACATTTCGGGTTTGTGTCTGGGTCGAGTCGTTATCGTTCTAGAAGTGCGACGGCTGACTGGCCTCTCTCCCTTTGTTCTTCAGGCTGGTGATGCCGTTTGGATCCGTTATAGTGGTGACGAATGGTGTATGGCCAAAGTGAGCAGAAACACTCGCAAGGGGGCTACTCGGCAGGTAGTATTCGAATCATATTCCCCTCTTATTGTGCTCGATGCTGACTATATTGGCCGAACAGGGGGAAGGCACCTTCTATCTCGCTGTCTACCGCCCAGGCAGGGCAAACCTCCGCAAATACTTCGCACCCCTGAACGGCGAGATCAAGCCTGATACCCCACGGACGAGGAGGTTGTTGAGGGAGGCTGGTTTACTGTAAACTTGTTGTGAGCGATTAGCACGAAGACACCCTTGTAGACAGAGAATACACAAAGACAGCCTTGTGGCACGGTATCATTGTTTTTTGTTTTTTTGTTTTGGCCTTTGCAATCACTGGCACGAATCGCCCGTTAGAGGTGCGGGCCCAACGTGCATGCATGAAACGTGAACATAAATCCTAGGTTCTCAAGATACAGAAAGAACAGATAGTACCTCAACTCAAGAGGCCAACATCACCGAATCATGTCGTCCCGTTTACTCCCTCAGATTCCGCCATAACCTGCTCGTTCAACCTCTCCGCCTCCTCCATGACCCTCTCCTCCAACGTACTGACTCTCCTCTCATGCTCCTCCTTCTCATCCACCAACTCCTTATACACCGATTGCAAGCCCTGCTCTCTCCTCTCCAACACCTCTACCTCCTCCCTCAACTTGCTCACCCTAGCCGGGCCGACCGCGGTCTCGTTCATTCTCAAGCGTTCGAACGATTTGAGGTCGATCGTCGTGTTGGTGAATTGCTCGAATGCATGTGCGAGCCGTTTGGTAAGGTCGGTTGAGCGGTTGATGTACCCGCCGAGAGTGATACCGAGTTTCTTCTCGACTTTGGCGGCGCGGGCTGCTTCACGGCCCATGGTCGCACGGTGCTCTTCCAGGAGGGAGGAATATCCAGCAATGCGGGCTTCTGGACTCAGGGAAGAGGATTCTACCCAGCGGCCAGACGAAGTGTCGTATGCAAGTTCTTCTTTGAGTGCTGCCCAGGATGAACTTGGATTGATCGTCTCGTCCTTCGAAAGAGCAATAACACCGTCCTTGACTTGTTCGGGAGGCGCGCCTGGGAATCCTACAGCAGTCGCGAGCTCAAGCTGAATGGCCTCTTTCGCAGCAGCAATATACTCGTCTTCGGGCATCTCGTACGTCGACTGTGTGCCACCTGGGGTGGAAGTCCCAGGCACTGGATGTGCGATTGAGTCATGCTGTAATAACTGTGCGACCTCCATATCCACGAGCCTCTGGGCCTTTTCTAACTCCGACTCGCCAGCGGGTACAAGACTGAGGTCTTTGAGTAGTTGATCGAGATCCACGTTCGGTGGCCGAGGAAGTCCGAGTTGGACGGGCATGGAACGACGAGCGAGAGCTTTCCGTTCTTCCTCTTCCCGCTTCTTCTTCAGCCTTGCGTCTCGCTCAGCAGCATCCTCCTCAGAAAGAACCATCCCATCTGCCTGGGCACCTTCCTCATCTTCGTCATCTGGGACGAGCAGTTCGAAGTTGTTTTCCGGTTTCGGTAGGCTCATGAAGCCAGCCTTGAGTGACCTCTTTGCTGACGCCGCACGCATACGTTGCTCACGAGGGGTGTCTCCAACGAACGAGGTCCCGTCCTCAGGGTTGATACTCAGATTGTCGCGCATGGGTGTACGAAGGGGTGTCGCTGCAACACTAGCGCCAGCGTCTGTTCGGGGAGTGGCTCCAACGTCTCGAGAGCGGTTGAGAGGAGTGGTGAGTGGATTGGGGGTGAATGCGGTTTGGTGGCGAGGTGTGGCTCCTTCGAAGCCGGTGCCCCCTGCTTCGGAGACATGCATGGGTGTGTTCTCGTCGCCGAGGAGTGGGGTCTGAGCGACGGTCATGTTTCGTAGATTTCGCGCTTCCAACATGATGTTGTCCTCTGGGGTACATAATCAGATTAGTACAGCATAGATATAGATATTCAGGCAGAATGCACATACGCTGAGGAGCCGTGCGTGGTGTTCTGGCCATCTTCGCCTTATCAAACCCTTCATACTCGCCCAGCAATTGGCCACTAGCGTCATCCCCCTCACCCATCAACGCCTTCGCATTCTGATCCGCCTGCCCAATCTTCACAATCTCTTCCAACTCTGCCTCCCCAACCTGCGCTGACGGCAGCACCAATTTACTCCGTCTCCCGATCGACTCAGCCTCTTTCAACTTCTGAATTTGCGCGTCCCTGGCGGCAATGAACTTTGTCTGATGGGGCCCACCATTTTCACCCTCCTTGTTCTTCCGTTGCCGCTTCTTACGCTCAGCCTCTTCTTCTTCTGGCTTGCGCTTGTTTTCGAGGCGACGCAAGGTTTGGCCGACGGGAGCGGAGGCGATGCGAGCTTGTTCCTCGGAGGTGTCGTAGAAACCTGGAGCGGGTTTCTTCTCAAAGGGAATATCCGCGTTGTACTAAACAAACGATGTGTCAGTGTATGGAAGATAGATGATAAATAATGATTGGACGCACGTCCATGCCCTTCTTCTTCGACTTGTGGCGCATAATGATGCCCGCTGCCTTCAACTCGCGCTTCTTTTGCAAGACCGCCAACCGTCGAGCCTCTTCCAATTGACGTTCTCTAGCTTTCCGCTTGGCCTTCTTACCCTGAGTGTTGGCAAGACGAGCACGGGCTTCGGACAACATCTCCTTCTCTAGATGACAGAACCGTCTAGCCTGTCAGCACCTTAACATACGCAAACAAAAGCGTTCAACGCACCATCTTCGTCCATGTCAATAGGATCTGGCCTCGCTGGCTTCGTCTCTGGGTCGGGGTCAATCTCTCCTGGTCTCAACCTCCTCACATCATCCACTCCGGGTCCCGCGTCACCAGGCCCAGCAAGCCCCAGCTCCTCGTTCTCCTTTGCTTCAGCTTCGTCGAGAAGCTTTTGGTAGCGTTCGAGACATTGTGTCGCTGTGCGACCGACGATGGGGGCTATGGTGCGCCATTGGGTGGGCATGAGCTTGGCAAGGTGGAGGAGTTTCTCGTCTTCTTCCTGTAGACGGAAGGTGAAGAATGCGAATGTCTGAGAAAGTATACAAGAAGGAAGAAAAGAAGTAAGACGCACTTTTGACCATTCTGTCTTCTTGATGGAAGGGTCCAACCACTCATACCACCGAGCCTTGCACTGTTTCGGAGTCTTTCGAACCAGAAGAGACGAGATACGGGCCCTATATACACTCCGTCTCAACACCCCATCATATAAATACTAACTTGTAGATGTACGCACCATTGGTTCTTGCCGTACTTCGCGATAGCAGCCTTCAGAACTTCATCCTCCGTATTCTACAACGTAAGGCGAAGGCAACGCGACGTGAGCTTGAAAACGCGATAGCAGAGTGTAGATTGTGTGGCGTACCTTCCAAACGCCACCTTTGATGATAATGCGGACCATGGTACCGTGCAGCAAATGAAGCAGACAGACCAGCCAATAGTGCTTGCGGGGAAGGAGAGGGAAATCTGCAGGACGTTGGTGTGTGCAGGGGAAGCCGACGCCGACGCATCGTCAGCCACCACCCCACGTGGCGCTATCGGGGATATCCGAGTCGCCTGAGGCTTGAGCGCCCGTTCAGTAGACTGCAACCATCTCCCACATTAAGATTCCTCCCTCACATGGCACCACCAAAGCTGTTCATCTTGATGTCATTCTACCCATGAAAGATGAATATATGCAGCAAATTGTGCGTGGGGGGAAGACCTACGAATTTCGACGGTACCTTATAGCGTCTTCGGTGAAACGCGTATGGGATTCATGGTGTAGCTTGCGGCAGAAGATCGGACGTAGGTCGCAATAATGTATGGTGGATATTTATGGATAGTTCAGAATTCAGTTGCCAGTGGGATTCGTCGTCCATTGACCGAGATGGCTGTATTCTTGGTAAACAGTGATCCCATAATATTCACGCGTATCGTACACATACCTACAGTAGCTATCATATCTCAATCCGAGTCTCAACCCACTCCCTCGAAGCGTATTGGGGACCTGCGACAGGCCGAAAGCGTACTATCCCACCCGTTAATTACGATTGACACAATCTTGAAGACGAACACCTCCGAGCTCGGCATTTTCGCTCCTCGCAAACAACATGGCAAAATAATGTACCGTATATCCTCTGAAAAGGCGAAACGGTTCTGCGACCCACAAGTCGACTTCCTTGCAGAGCACTCCAAAATCCTTCTTGCTTTCCTTAAACTTCTTCCAGGACAACACGTACTCGAGCCCGGCGTCGCAGAGATATCGATAGGCGTCTTTCCCCAAAACCAACGATTTCGAGATCTTCGCACCGGACCAGTCCATGATCAGGGGAGTGTAGACGATGAGGAGGGGCTTGTGTATATTGCGCCACAACATCTGCTCCTGCCAGAACCCGGCGTAGTCGCTGCCGCAGACTTGGATGTATCCATGATCCACATTCTCGTAGTAACGCCCGATGACGAGGTTGAAGAGCTGGCAGTTGAACTGCAAGCGGTGACACTCAGAGGCGATGTTGACTATGAAACGACCGTGATAGGGGCATTTGAACTGGATAATGTCGTTCTCATCGTCATAGACGTTATGATTGCCGTATTTGTCGACAAGGCGACAAGAAGGCTCGGGGCAGGAGGAACGGATGGCGATCTGTTCAGAGGAAGGTTGAAGAGACACACCCAGTGAATTGCGATCCCGAACGATATCGCGGACCACGTCTGGTATGCCATCCTGGCGTAGAAACTCGTCCTCCATGCGGAGTTTGTAGTCAACACCGTATCTAGTCCCGAGTACGGCGAGAATGTCTTCGTAGTCCTCGATGATCAAACGTCCAGAGTCGCGCAGGCCCTTCTGATAGACGGTGCCACCTATGTTGATCTGTTCTGCCTTAGCATTGTCCCATAAGTCGACCACGACGTATGCCTCCAAGCCTTGTCCAGTGAGTTGTTGCGCTAACGAAAAGGTCAGAATCAAGGATAGAATGGCTCCAATATGAGGGGAGCTGTTTGGTTGGATAATAATGTTGACTTCAACGACAGGGCCGTGCTGAATAAGTTTGCTGAGGTACTGCAAATAGTTTTCTTTGAATGCATAAGAGCCACCGCCGAGGGTGTCATGACTGACACCGTCATAGGCGATCGTTGGCTAGGTGGTAACCCAAGTAAGTCACCATTCATCATGTAGCTTAGGTAGAATATGGCGTACCTCGTCTTCGTTCATGGTGATAGGAAGGTCGAGGGAGGATTTGTGGTCTCAGCGCAAAGCGTAATAGCGAGAGCTTCGTGGTCGTAGTAATAGGGAGAAAGTAGGGTGAGATACTATGGGACGAGCTACACCTGGATCCTTTTATATTGTGAGCAGAGGCGCCCAAACCGTTAGGATTCGTTGTGCCCAAGAAGAGATAGACAAGATGATGAAGGACAAGCCTGAGGTCCGCCACAGCGCACTGAATTTCGTTGATGAGCAAACCCTTATTGACCGGATGGGGTGTGCTGGAGGCTTCTTCTATCTGCAAATTCGAAGCTCATCAAGGTTTCAAGGATCGGTGTATTTAGGTTTTGAACTGCGGGTATGGAGGATAAGGATCCTTCGCCGAATACAGTAAGGATCTGGACCAGGTGCATGTCCAGAAAGCGTCACCACAACAACGCCTAGTAACCGGTTGTGCCCACGAAACCCACTACACTGCACCACTGGGCAGATTATCGGGCGATTCGGAAACCACAATCGAGAAGAATGAATTGGTCTCCACGCACGATGTTCAGCAGGTGGCGATGGCGATACTATCCGAAGAGCCCAAAGACGAGCCGTGGACGTAAGTGAAACAAGCAGCACCTTCTCTTCCCGATCCAGGAGACAATACGCTTCGAGGCACTTGTTTGAGTATCCTCGCACTTCAGTCCATGAAGACTGCACGCGATGCCATACTGGAGAGGTAAGTAACGTGTATTCATGAAGGACTGATATACGTCTCGCTCATAGTGTTGATCAATTCTGGAAGCTTCTCAGCTGTTATGAGCATCATCCTTCCGGCCAGGTCTAAGCCAAAAGCATCCTTTTCCCTCGGTTGTGTGTTTGTGAACGAGTATTCCTGTCCATGCAGAGCATACTAAAACAGGGTGTGGATCGGTGAGGAAGATGAGTGGCAGATTAAAATTATCAGAAATTTGGGGGACTACCTTCGCAATCTGCTCGTCCTCATGATGGAAGGAGAATACGCCACCATGTCCTTTTGGCTCTGCCTGGTCTTTCCGGTGACGTTTCGTCTGCGGTTGTGCAGCCTGCAATTCCGCCTCCTCCTCAGACGACAGACGATATGTCCGTGAGATGATGAGATAGTGCGTGAATGCGTAGGGCTCATTCTATCCATCAACAGGTAAGCCGACGCCACATCGAAATAGAGAGCGTAAAAACAGTATCAAAGATACTCACGTCGGCGACAGCCCATTTTATTTCGTCCGCTAGCATGCGATACATATGTGGGACGACTTGCACTGGCATGTTGATCAGCCGTTCAGAGAAAATGAAGCCGACGTGATTTTGGGATTCGATGCCATTGGGACCGAGGAGGTTTTGGAGAGTAGCGTGCAAGGGGGTATTGTCCATAGATTTGAGGAGAGCATACGCAATGAGCGCTTTTATGGATGGGTTCTCCTAAATCACGTTCCAGAACATATCAGAGGAGTGAGAAATCTGAAGAAAACGGCACGTACTCTGTGAATATGCATGTTCAGCACAGTCAAGAACGCATATGGATCGCTTTCCTTCCCGTCCGTTTTGACTGTCGTACCTACCAAGGGCTGTGACAATATAAGTTCTGCGAGGTCGTGGGGATGGAAGAGCTCTGCATCTGTTTGGAAGAGTTGGATGATGAGGCGGTTGAGGGCATGGTAGTCGACGGAGGGGTTTGGGTCGAAGAATTCGAAGTCGACATCAATGAGGCTCTACTGGTGCGTGATGAATAAGTGATAGATCAAGCAGAGGAGACTGATAAACATACGACGTCGCTGTCGTTTCCTTCTTCTTCATTCTTTTCTTGCTTGCGTTTTGACATTTTATCTACAGCAGTGTGGCACCGGCCTTGTGGTAGGAGGAGAAAAGTTGAGATGTGAAATTGATCGTGTGAATGAGATCATTGATTTAGTGTGGCGAGTGTGGCACTGTGTGGCACGCCGGCGGAGCGCCGTATGCACGGTCTGCACTGAACCGCAACAATGTCGGCGTCCACGAAGGGACGTCGAGCTCGAGGCCATGATAACGCTGCATGCTCGTCGTTCTCGAGGACGGGACGGACCTGCCGCGAGTCACTTGTTATCTCCCCATGGCCACGATCAACTCTGAGTCCATAACGTATTTATACTGTCGAGTTCTCAAAGCCTCATGTTTTGCATCTTGTCCGAGTCTGACGCGTTCGACATACCCTTGGGTCTCAGAGGTGGCCAGAAATGTCTCTAAACTGGCTTGCACTTCGAGGACTTTCGCGCAATGTACTTGGCCCCCAGACGTCGTACAGGAGCGGTATTTTAGCAAGAGGCTTGAGGACAGGGGCTCGTGGCGGTTCTGGCCGGAGGTATTCACGTCTAGGTGTTGCTGCTGCTGGATTACTTGGAGGTTCGATATACCTCGAATGGCCGCCGAAAGTGTACGCAGATGAGCTGGACAGGCCGTCGCAGATGAAGGAACGGTCACCCACGCCGCTGTCTACACTCATCAGGACCTACGGTGTTTATTCTATGTGCTCTATACCAGCCCTTATCGACTGGGCACCATCCATTCTCTCTTTTATGTCCTCGATTCCTGTGGTCAGGCAGATAACGGAGGCATTTGTTCGGCAGACGTTCTTCGCCCAGGTGAGCTTCCTGGCGTCCATTTCCATCGTGGTTCAAACGCTGAATACACGTGTGGTATTTAGTTCGTCGGCGGTGACACTGCGGAAGACTGCATGCCCCTCCTCGAACAACTTCGTGCAGAGAACAAGGGATGTCTCTTCGCCTATAGTGTCGAAGTAGACGAGGATGAGGCTGCTGGACAGACATATGGCAAGACGACGGTTCCGGTCCACAAGCGCATCGTGGATGAGATGATTCATTCGATCGATGTTGCTGCCAATTTTGAGAACCAGTACATTTCGGACAAGTCGTCTCCTGAAGGCCGGAGAACGTGGGTCGCGGTCAAGTTGGTGCGGCCATGATGTGTCCTTGCCTGATCTTTCGCTAAAACTCACCTTACTATGTTAGACTGCCATGACACCGGACGCACAGGCGCTCATCAACTTCTCAGAGTACCTTGTGAAGACTAGGCCGCCTCTTTCGCCTCCGGTCGCATTTCCTGGATGTCCAAGATCGACAGATATGGATGCACTGATTGTGGGGAAGGTGATCCCCGGGTCACCGTTGAGGGAGCAAGACGTCGCAGACCTGAAGGAGCTGTATCAAGATTTGGCCAGAATATGTGTCTATGCGCAGGAGAGGGGCGTGAGGCTGATTGTCGATGCGGAGTATAGGTAGGCCATGAACGTCCCGAGATAAATAGCGAAAACTAATGACATTGCTACTGGTACAGTTGGTATCAGGTATGTTGTTCTGTCGAGAAGACGATCTTGGATGCTGAAGAACGCGCACCCACCAGCCTGCAATTGATGCGATCACCTTGTCGCTGATGCGTCAATTCAATAAACTTCCCTCCCGACTGTCTACCTCTCGTGCCCCTTCGCCCGTCCAACCACTAGTCTATGCCACATTCCAAGCTTACCTTCGCCGGTACGCTCGCGCATTTTGTTCACAGTTTGACCGATTTTCTTACTGACTTCCGGCTCTCATAGCACCCCAGAGTACCTCTTGCAATCTCTGAAAGATGCGGAAGCCGGCAATTACGCTATCGGTGTCAAGCTCGTTCGTGGAGCTTATCACCCACACGAAGTCGCCGCGCACCCCGCCTCCGCTTCCTCATCAACGTCTCGGCCACCTATCTCTCCTTCCGCTCCGCACACGCTTTCTATCTCACCCGAACCTCTACCTCCGGTCTGGCTCACCAAATCTGAGACTGATATCTGCTACAATTCGATGGTCATGGTTCTAGTCGGAGCGATTAAGAGGGACATGGATACGAGGAAGAAGAGAGGTGGTATCCCGGGAGTTGGTGTATTGTTTGGGAGCCATAATTGGGAGAGTTGTGATCTGATCCTGGAGGAGCTTGTGAGACAGGGTCTCGCGAGTAAGACTATTGAAAGGGACGGAAAGGAAGTGATCATGATTGGAGATGAGCTTGGCGAGAGAGTAACGATGGCACAGCTTTACGGTTAGTACTCAGTTTGTCTGTTTTTCGGAGTGAGATTGAGACTGAGACAACGGTGGGGCGCAGGCATGAACGACGCGCTGGGGAACTCTATCGTCGACAGGACGAGGTCTTCGTTCCCTTTTTTGATCAAGTATATCCCTTACGGTGCACTCTCCGAGGTATGTTTTTTTTTCTAGTCTCACTTACTATCATTCTCCCATATTAATGCCTGTTTCTGTAGGTTATGCCATATCTTAGCCGGAGGGCTATCGAGAATAAGTCGGTGCTGGGTAATGGGCAGGCTGCGGAAGAGAGGCAGAGGGCCTGGGCTGAAATTCGCGCGAGGATAGTTGGGTAGATCTCTTTCTTGCATCTGCTACGATTCTTCAACTGTTGTTTGTATGTACCATAGACGAGCTGCATTATGGTGCTTTGGCACTGTGCCTTGTTGTGCCATTATAAAACGGGACGTTGTGAGTCGCCGGCGATTCGCAGACAATCGAGAATGCAAGAGCAACAAGGCGTCAATCATTTCGTGCATCAGTTCAATGTACATATCCGTTTTTGCTGTTTCTACGAAGGTATCAACAGAACGCGTAACAAGACAAGTTCGGTGTTGAGAAAGAAGAAAAGGGAAGCAGGACAAGTATTGCACAACATGACTCCACCGTAATCTCACAACATTTCTGTCAACGTTCATTACCACACTTCTCACTCGCCTTCTCTTCAGGCACTCGCGGCCAAGTCGTTCAACTCCTGGCCCCACTGCTGACTCTTCCTCAACTCTATCAAGAATGCGTCGAACCTCGGACTCACGCCCCCACCACTGATCTTGCTCAACGCCGCCACGGCCCTCAGCGTGCTCCTCTGCAATTCCGCCGCCCGCTCAATATCCTGCTTGACTGTGTCCTTGTTGACGGTGTAACCTTTCATGGTGGCTTCGAGGAGGGGTGTAGCCTCGTTCAAGTGCTGTGCGACAGCGGTGGGCGCGATCTGCGAGAGACGGAAGAGCATCATGTGGTTGATAACCTTGATCTCGTCGGAGTCGTCCCGAAGGCCGGTAATGACGTGTGCAAGGAATTCGTTGAGATCAATCTTGTTGAGGCAGGTGTCGAGCTGGATCCGACATAGTATGAGCATCATAAACAATGGTCTCTACGGAGACATAGGCAACAGGACGTACTAGGGTATAGAGCGTTTCGTACGCGGTCTTACGAGCTTCTAGACCATCATCAACTTTGTGCTGCCAGGGACCCATCTGGACGGTACGAATGAGCTCAGGCTTGATAATAGTTTCCTTGTATAACTCCGGCAAGAGTGTGCCAAGATGCTCGCGGATGAGGTGAGGCTTTGTCTTGGCTGCTGCATTCAGCGCCGACAAGGCTAGACGGCGGACGTTCTGGAGATATCTCGTGAGTATTTGAAGAAAGATAGACAAAGTCTCGTTCGTCGTACCAAATCTGCGTCACCCATCAGGGATAAGAAGTCAAGAATGCTGGGAGCCATAACATCATCGTAGGCCGACGAGGAATCCACGAATGTATACCGAATGGCGGACAAAACTGTGGCTCTCGTTGCCGGGTTCGGATCAGTAATGCGAGCCTATAACCACTTTCGTAAATACCCAAGTTCGCTTATACCAAAGGATTGATGACATACATGTACTTGGGGCAAGTACCTTGCCGGGTGCGTAGTGATAAGTTTGCCAATACAAGCAGCAGCAACATTCCGGGTGCTCTCGTCGGTGGTTTCAGACTTCTCGAACAGAGGAGTCCACAGCATATCCGCTACGGTCTCCAAATGACCATGAGAAGTGTGCGTAACGACCTCCTTGAGGGCGTGGAAGGCGAGGAGTTGCCTTTGGTCGTTGTGGTTGACGAGTTCGAGGATGGTGGGGAGGAAATGGTGAAGATTTCCTGTTGCGATGTTTCCTGGAGGCTATCTGTGAGAGCTAGTCATCGAAGGTGAGCGAGGATCTCACCTGCAGCAAAGGCAGCAGCATTTTTCACATCCTCCTGCTCTGCGGTGAAATTTTCGATGGCGTTGGCGAAAACGTCATGCTGGGGAGACATATCGCTAAACACAGTGTTAGTCCTAGATAATCAGGCACATAACCGAAGATAACTCACATAAAGCGCCCGATCTCTCCAAGAATGAACAAGCTGAGAACAACATATGCAGGTGTTGCCTTTGACGATTTCTGTGATTTCATGCCAATCAGACCACATCGAGTTCGAGAACTGATAGGCAAAGTCACAACAGACCTTGATGTGCTTTGAGAACTCCGCAATAGTACCAGCAGCGATACCCTGGAAACTCTTGACCACCTGGGCCACACTCTTCGCCACATTGGCTAACGATACATTGTTCTTCGGAGCACTATCTGCGGACTTGACCAACGAAGGGACAACATGCGTTGCAATCTGTCCGTCGGCCTTGACCAAGGCTTCGAAGAATGCGAGAAGGGATTCCAAAGCTGCGCCTGAGAGGAGGGGGGAGTGCGCAATGGCGTAAATATCATTCAAGAGGTCCTTTTCAATCTCGGGAAATGTCACGGCAGGGGCAGAGTCGAGGAGGATAGCAAAGATAGTGAGGGCCTGTGAAAGCAGGGAGACATCGGAGGTGGAGATGTAGGGTTTCAATTGAGGAATCAGTACGGGAGGAAGATCGGCAGGCACAGCGGTGTCATAACTACGCAAGAAAAGAGGGGGAGAAATTTAGCTCAACAAGTCACTCTCGATAGCACACGGCCAGACTCACCGTCCAACCAGAGTCGCCAAACACTCGAAGACATCGACCTTTCCAGCCCTAGTACTTCGCCGTAAAAGAGCTAAGGCCCACTCAACACATCCGTTGACCCACTCTGCTCCAATATCCGCGTCGCTCGCCACCTTGCTCACAACTTTTACAGCACCCTCCATTCTTCCGGTCGTTCGGCAGATATACTCCCATTCCTTCCTGTCCTTTGTCCTGACCACATCGGGCGCGCAGATCCAAAGGTCGGCAATGACATTCTCAGCACAGCCGCGGACTTCCGCATCCGTGTCATGGTTGCTCAGCCGTTTCAACGCCTCGGCATACACCCGCTCGGACCAGTCTTGCGACTTGACAGGCTTGAGAGTGTTGAGCAGAGATCCAAAGACACGGAATGCCTCCGAGGAAACGCGTGGGTGTCGTTCTCCGAGAGCCTCCAGAAGCACGGGCATAAGGGTGGGCAAAGCGGAGCTGAAAGTTGGAGGTGGATGAGTCGAGAAAAAGACGGTCAAAAATCGCAGGCATGTGATGTGCAACGTCGCGGTTGATGAAGTAGGTGGTGAAGAAAGCAGACCCTTGGAGATTGTTATGATCTGCTGAGTTTGGCTAGAAAGGCATCCTGGAAGGACATCGAGAAGGGTGCGCAGAAGGTCGAAACCTGCCTGAAGGGTGGCAGGTGGCGTCTTCGGAGATTTCAACTGCGCAAGCAGGGTTTTCGCGAGGGAGGGAACTTCAGCTCGTAGAAGGCCATACGCAGTCTCCTCGACGTCCATGCCGTCTTCTGTCCGCTTCCGCTTTCCACCGACCGTGTCCTTTGACTGCTGGCCGCCAGCGAAAACAGCCGATTGTCGTAGGAGAGCGGCATACGTGGACCAGACCTCCAACCGCACAGTGACCTCACGGTCACCAAATCGGGAGATGAGCACCGGGGAGACCTCCTTGTAAAGTGTTACAAGTAGCTCTGGGCGAGTGTCAATGATAGCACCGAGCAGCTTGGTGGCGGAACGGCGTATCTTGTAAGAAGAGTCTTCTTCGTCTGAGTATCTGGCGAAGTGTAAGAAAAGTGTGAGTGGCAGTGGGGGATGAACAGGCTGTAAAGCGCACTCGTCAAGTTCAGCGTCATCTTCATCGTCTTCGTCCTCCATCTCTTCATCGTCATCGTCTTCTCCGCCAGTGTAGTTCTGAATCACTTTAATTTAAGGCAATACCCCATATAAATTGAGACTCACGGGATCATATTTGATGTATTGGTTAGCGACCTGGATAATCGAGCTCAGGAATGCCGGAATCTCTGAAGGGCATTTCAGGACCAGAGACTCAAGAGCCTGAAGTTCGGAGGAAATTTAGGGATTAATCGCCGATACTGAACAAAGATCGCACCTGCAAGGATGCCTCTCGAAGCTCGTCATTATCTCGTTGTGTAGCTTTCAGTATTCCCGGAACAATCGCAGGCAAAGAGGGAGCAATTTGCTGTGGAGACGAGCGAGCGATGGCCGCTACGAGCTGAACTGTGGTCATCTGCTTATCAACATTGGCGGATGCCGCTAGGTTCGGCATCACCTCCGAACTCAAAAGTTCAGAGAACACGTCTGAGGAGCTTGTTGGAACAAATAGAGAGAGTGTGGCGATAGCCCGTTTCCGTACGGCGGGGCGGCCATGTGACAGGAGTGGGGTAAGGACCTTGATTGGTGGAGGTTGGAGTGGTAGTTGAGAAACGTAGCCAGGGAAGTTGGTGATGAGGATGCCAAGAATGGAGAGTGTTTCAATAAGAGTCTCAGGAGGGAGGTCGACCTAGAAAACCGTGAGTAAAGCTCCTACGCCACACAAAGGGGGAAGCATTACGACTGCAGCCTGCGAGAGTAACTTTGGGGTGAGCTTCGCGCACGCCTTTGGTGCCACAGTCCCTTCTCGTGGAAGTTCCGACGTGATAGTCTTCAACGCTGCAGAATTATGTGAGTAACGATAGACCTCTAGCTTCAAGGTGAGGGGACGTACCCAAACCCGAGATGTCCCTCAACTCTTCATCCTTGCTTCCCGAAAACTCGATTAACTTGTCCACAACAAATTCCATATGTGGCTCGCGGATGATCTTGATGAGCTGACCCAAACTATGCTCAGGTAAGATAGGGGGATGGGTGGCTCAGAGATTGAAGGTGAAACGCACCATCTTACGGCCTGATTCTTCACCTCGGAGATCTTGTCCTCGACAAGGGCAAGGACTTGCTTCAAGACCTTCAGTTCAGTGGCCTCTTCGCCGAGAAATGACTGGGGGTCTGATCGGACTTCCTTCGACAGGTCCATAAGACCCATATACCTGTATATTCATTTAGCTCAGCCCGAGTGTTGTGTCTGAGGCAGAGCCGCGTACCGGAAATCCTGGTCTTGTGATTGCATCTAAGCAGATCGCGCTCAGCTTGGAGCTACACCGATGAGGAGAGTGCGCACCTTTTCGATGAATCCATTCATGAGATATGCCTTTGTCATGGCGGCAAACGCGTATGGTGGTCGTGGTTGGAAAGAAAGAGAGGTGGCGCGCACGGCATTCACGCGAGGCTACATTTACCTTGTCCGCACATGACTCGCCTCCAATTCGGCTCATCGCGCCTCCGGTTGGCCTCAGGGGTTCTGGGACGCTCTGGTGTGGCCCACCCCAGCCTCAGCCTCAGGCCTACCCCGCAATAGTTTCCCTTCCGATTTGCACACAGCGATATGACTTCCTCGGAAAACCGTTTCATTGTCACCATATTTACAAAACGGCTCCATTGATGAGCAAAAACAAAGAAATATTGTAGGCATGCGACAGTTTATTCTACATGACTGGGAGTAACAAATAACCAGGGTGCAAAGGACGGCCAACGACAACGTAGCCTCCACAGGCGGATACGGCACGACTACAAGGTCCGACAAGAGAAGGCACGGCAAGAATGAAGACGTCGGGAAGACTAACGCTATCCAACTGCCTCTCACGAGTCCCAAGATGGAGAGGTGCTGTAGGTGTAAGGCCGCGTAGAGCTCGTCCCATTCTGGGCCGGACTCGACGGCGACCACTGAGGTGAAGTAGGGCTGTAGGCCGGCGATGTCGGAGCTGCGTCGAGTTAGTCAAATGTCAGATAGCGCAAGATGGTCAGACGACTCACAATAGGCAGGTGCTAAGAGGAGGGCGCGGATAAGTACCATGAGAAGGACAGCAGGAATGAAAGAACTCACAGGTTGGGGAATATGCAGGAGATGTGGGGGCTGCAGGACAGAGTCAGTCGGTGTTCATTATGTTTAGACATATACTCACAGTATTTTGGAGATGATGGCGAAGTGGGAGAAGTGGGGGAATATTTGGGGGATGAGGGTGACATCTGGGCGGGGGAGGCTGTGAAGAATATGATATCAGTAAATGGTTGCGGCTCCGAAGGGGGTAAATTCATACTTGGAGAATCTAGATGTCGCATAATATATGAGCATCCAGCCATATTGTGAGCACAGAAGGTACTTGTACTTACAGCGAGGAGAAGCTGGACTGAACGACGGGCTCGTAGGCGAGTACCTTGGTGACGTCGGGCTGAACGAAGGAGATTGAGGACTGTAGCGTGGTGAGGTAGGAGAGAACGAAGGTGACGTCGGGGAATAGCGAGGGCTTGTAGGAGAATACCCCGGCGACGTGAGATTCAGGGCAGGAGACGTGGGTGAATACGTGGGCGAAGTTGGTGCTCGACCACTGTAGAATGGTGATGTGGCGTATGGAGACGCGCCGAATGGTGAAGTCGCTCCAGCAAATGGCGACTGAGGAACGTAAGGCGACGTGGGTGAGTACACGTTGGGCGAACTGGGACTGTATCCGGGCGCCGCTGGTGACATACCACCTGCACCTCTCGGACTCTGACCGAAACCGAGGTACGAGTAATTCGCGCTTTCCTCGCGGTTCCCTGCGAGTGGAGAGAATGCAGCTGTTTCGCCCTTGAAAGATCCGTCTGGATTCCACGAAGGAGAGTTGCTGTCGTAGGGTGTCATAGCCACCTGGCCAGGAGTCATACCGTCGCCGACGTGAGCGCTGAGCATACTTTGCATGGGCAGGCCGGAGTCCACGATGACGTCCTTCAGCATGTCAATGTCGAGGGCGACCTCAAATGCACCGGTACCCATGGGCGCCATTTGTCCAAACATCACGTTCTCCGCGATACCGTGGCAATCGTCCCTCTCTCCCACTGCAGCGGCCTCCATCAGGATCTCGACAGTCTCCTCGAACGACGACCTCATCAAAGCTCCGGTGTCGGCTCGGTTGATACCGTGACGAGTGATGGCCATGAGGTGACCTCGCTGGGTCATCAAGTCGCAAAGGAGAGCAAGATGGCGATAGTTGACATACGAACCATCGAACTCGATGACTCCACGAAGCTCCTTCATGATGGCGGCACGAGCGGCTTCGATTCCGAGGACGTTGAAAATCTCGACACAGCTGTTGGAATATGTCCGCGTAAAGTCGACACCGTCCATGCACATCACGGCCTTCAAGTTGACGCCATCCGTCTCGAGGACCCACTCCTTTACTCCCTGGCCAGTGATATTGCCCTTCTCGTCCGTGACAACCTTGTCGTGTTCCAACATGAACACACGCTCGATGCCCTTGACACCGCGAAGGGACACAGAGTTGAGCATGGTGTTTTCAAGCTGACGAAGGAAGATGTCCTCTTCGATAGAGTCTGTCTCCTCATCCTCCTTGTCCGCACCACCCAACACACGACACCGGATTACCAGCTTCTCTGAGTTGTCTTCGCTCCAGATGACAAAAAGATCCGTCTTGAAGCTCTCCGCGATCCGGTTCGCGACGAATTGCATGTCGAGCTTGCGATCGATCATCTTCGCACGGTCGAGCTCAAGACGAAGCAGCCAAGGAGACTGCAGATGGATCTTGGACTCGACCTCCTCATCCGGAATGGCAAAGAACGACTCGACGAAGACCTTATCCTCCTCGATCACGGTCGACGTGGGGTCGGGGTCATACCAGATCTCGACGGAGGCTGTGACGGTGCGTAAGGAGGTGTAGGCCAACTCCTGTTGGATGGTCTTCGCCTGCGACGACTGTGCAGCAAATTCGGGTTGCAAGTAAACGGTGAGCGAGGGAGTCTTGATGTTCGTCGCAACGTTGATAATTTCCTTCAAACGTGGAACACCGAGCGTGACGTTCTTGCTGGATACACCTGCGTAATGGAAGGTGTTGAGCGTCATCTGCGTGGCCGGTTCTCCGATGGACTGAGCAGCGAGCGTCCCACACATCTCTCCAGGGTTTACAACGGACATGTTGAACTTCGTCTCCACCTCGCCGAGAACCCAGTCGAACGCTTCTCGGGTAAGATGGTGTCGCTCCAAGACTCGGCGGCAGGCGAAGGTCGCACGAAGGTGCATGCGGAAGTTGAGGGTTGCGTTGTCCTGGGCCTCCCTGCTCAAACTATCATCTCCGCGCACAATGACTAGGCGGTTGGCGAGGTCTCGTACGGCGTCGACGATGTAGACAGGGTCCAGATCGCTCGGTTTCCGTTTGTCGATATGGAAAATTTGGGTAGCGTTCTGGACGATACGGTGAAGGTTGACAGGAAGGTAATGGGGAGTGTTAGCGTCGGCGTTGGCAAAGACGAATTCTCGCAGTGTCCGACGATCCTCCACCAATTGATCATATTCTTCGTCTAGCTTCGCCTGCAATTCCGGTGAGCTGTCGTCAATACCAACTTGGAGAACACCGGGAAGGAAGCCGCCAGCCGGGTCTGTAACATCGACTCGGTAATTGTGCTCGAAATCCTGATGGTTGAGCGCAAACGTGTCGATATTTTGGCGCTCGATGAATGCACCGTCCATACCATCCTCGCCGTAGACGAATTGAATGAGATCGCCCAGAGAGTTTCGTACGGTTCCATCGTAGTTGACCATGACGTCTTCGAGAGCCTTCACCAGTCGGCGCTGAATATAACCGGTCTCGGCGGTCTTCACGGCGGTGTCGATGAGACCTTCACGACCGGCCATGGCGTGGAAGAAGAATTCTTGTGGCGTCAAGCCGCGGAGGTACGAGTTCTCGACGAAACCACGAGCTTCCGGGCTGAAATCATCCTTCGTGAAGTGGGGAAGTGTGCGATGGCGGAAACCGAACGGTATACGACGGCCCTCGACGGACTGCTGCCCGACACAGACAGACATCTGGGAGATGTTGATGAATGAACCCTTTGAACCGGCGACCACCATCTGCTTGACGTTGTTGTCCTCCTTCAAGTTCTTCTGTGCATATTTACCGGAGTCGTCACGGGCCAGATTCAGCTCTCGCTCGACCTTGCTCTCGAACGACTCTCGGATAGTCATACCCGGCATGGACTTCAAACGGTCGTGAGTGGCGTCCTCGATGATCTGCTGCACGTTCTGTTTCCGCTCCGTGATCTGCTGGGTGATGTACGCCATGGTCTTCCTGTCGGCGATGGTGTCCCCGATACCAATACTGAAGCCGTTGTGGAAGAGCCAGTAGTTGACGACGGTCTGTAGCCCGGTGAAGAGTGTCCGCGTAGCCTCAGGACCCTTCTCACGGAAAACGACGTGGACGAGACCGCCTTGCGAAGCACCGACCGTCTTCTTGTCAACGATACCGAATATGATCTCGCCGTTTTCGATGAGCATGCCATCGTCGAAGACCGGGTTAGCTGATTTCGGGTCTGGGGAACGATGAATGTTGATACCGCGGGGAATAGCCATGCTGAGGATCTGCTTCCCAGACCACATTGGCTTAGGCTTGATGATCGCTGGTATTGGCACAGAGCCATCCCAGTCTGGTACCCAAAGAAGGATGTTCTGAACCTGGTTCCAATCGAGGAATGTGTCGCGGAGAGTGAACTTGCGAATACCGCAAAGGGTGTCCTGGACGATCCCCATGACGGGTTTGTTCGCTTGAGGCGAGATGATCTACAGAACGGATATAAGGCCAAATCCAAAATCTAAATTCGTACATGCGTACCTGTCGTGGAACCCAAGCTATCTGACTCAGCTCGGCGCGAGTCTCTTCACTCTGGGGCACACTGATCCACGCGTCAATCTTGGTCACAAAGTCAAAAGGAAAGCAACTCACTGCATGTTCATCTCATCACCATCGAAGTCGGCGTTGTAGGGAGGAGTTCTGGATGCCTCGTGAGCGTTAGAGAAGGATGGCTTCACAAAAGCATACTTACACGGAAAGATTCAGACGGAAAGCTAAAATTGGATTGCATCAGACGGGAATCATTAATCAAGGGCAGTGGCGATACGCACTGGAATACGGCATGAGTCGGACTCGATGACTCATCATACTCATCTTGTGCAGTGACGGCTGTCGATTGAAGAGAACAAAGCTGACCAGTGTGTTACGATTAGATTTGCATATTTATATCTATAGATTGATTACTCACTCTCCGTCTTTCAGATGGCGCTCGACAATCCAGCCGAACTGGAGGAAGGTATCTGCACGCTTGTTGTATCGCAAGTCTATACGTTCGTTCGTGTCTCGGACGACATAGCGAGCTCCTGGATACGTAGTGGGTCCATTCCGCACGAGTTCTTGGAGGTACTCAATATTGTACGGAGTCACTGAATGAGGTCACGTTAGAAAACAATGAGTGCTGATATACTGAGAATAAACCGAAGACATACCTCGTTCAGGATATGTAAGCGTCATCGCGATACTTTTCGGTACGCCGACTTCATCGAGCTCCAGATTCGGATCACCGGTAATGACGGTACGTGCCGAAAAGTCAACACGCTTGCCCATCAAATTTCCACGCAGACGACCCTCCTTTCCCTTCAGACGCGCACGAATGGCCTTGACTGGTCGACCGGACTTCTGCAGTGCTTGAGGTATCCCTGCGATATCGTTGTCCATGTATGTCGCAACATGAAACTAATATTGGACGACTTAGCAGATGGACATGACTGTCAATGAAATAGACAAACCTGAAGCAACTGCTCGAACTCCGTGATGACGTGTGCTGGAGCTCCTTCCTGTTCACAACGGCGGACGTTCGCGGATGCCTTGATGATGTCGCCAAGCTTGTAGGTCAGATCGTCCTCGGAGCGCATGGCACCACCGTCCACGGCGATGCTGGGGCGTACAGGCGGAGGAGGAACGGGCATCACAGTAAGAATCATCCATTCTGGCCGAGCGTACTCGTCCGAGAGACCAAGAAGGTGCAGATCGGACTCCGAGATCTTCTTCAGTGTCGTGTACACCTCGGAAGCGGTGAATAGTCGCTTGTCTGGTTGGAGAGATTTCATGTCCTTGACGCACGATTAGGACAACGAACTGTGGAGTATAATAGAACAATCAAAAAAGACATACCTCATCATCGTCCTTCGACTTCTTGTATTGCAAGAACAACTTCAAGCCCTCCTTCCGTATTTGTGGCTGAGGATGTCCGCAACCACCGTGCCCGGGCTTTGCTGGTCCTTGAGCCGCTCCGTCTTCGCCATCTTCCTTAGGCTCGTCGGCCTCGCAGATCATTTTGCCTTTGCAGTGACCCCATACGACGGCCATACGCGTCTTTGGATCTCGAACATGCCGAATCTTGTCGGCGAAGTGGGGGTCGGACTTACGATGGGAACACCAGAATTCACGAGCAGACAATCGAGCCAGAGAGAAAAACGGACAAAGGTCAGCATGTAGGAATGAATGTGCGAACAAGCGGCGTAAACGGATCGTCGCCTCCCATAAACAAACAACAAAGAGGGGGAATACATGGAGAAAAATGGGCAATGAACATCGAGATTGAAAAGTGCTAGCCAGGGCATTGGCCACTCGAACTGCGACACAGCGAGGGCTGCCCAGCAGTCCAGCACAAACAGTGCAGCCAGTGACAGCAACGTCACTGTCCGTGGGGTTCTGGTTTTTCGCACTCCTCGCTCAGCCCCCATTTCACCGCACCACCGCGTGTCCAACCAGCACCGAGCGTTGGGACGGCCGACGCGGCGATCAAGCGACCGAAAACGCGCGTCTGCCACGCCACGGGTAGAAGAACGCACTCGATTGTCGAGCAACTGCCGCAGGGTGGGTTTGGGGTTCTCCATAGGAATTGGAGAGAGCCCCCAGAAAATTTGGGTGGTGGGGTGCGAAGCAAGCAGGGAAAAGGATACACCACTCACGATATCAGCTTTCAGTTTCCCACAATTTACACATATACTTTCCAGAATTTTCTTCACTTTTATGATGAAGCCTGCAATCGCGACAATTGATCGCGTGAGATTGAGAGAACACGTCTCGAGAGACTGTGATGACGCACCAGGGTGGAAAACAGGTCGTGCCAACTCTATATGCCCAAAATGCCCTGGGCACTCAGACATCCCTTCCCCACACGTCTGACACTTGAAATTACGGTCAATCGTGCCCATGCGGGGGTCCATCAGTCCGCCCATCTTTGGCTTGTGAGTAGCTTCGTCCATGACCTCCGGGTGCTCGACCTTTGCGACAGAGTACGCTTTCTGCGGGTGGGAAAAACATGGAAAAATTCAACGCATTCGGACGTGGTCGAAACGACGCGCGCTACTTACGATTTCCTCGGGTGAAAGGATACCAAACTGGACCTCCTTGACTTTGCGGAGAGGGGCCGCGGAGTGGGTGAATTGATGGCCCAACATGGCTGGGTGAGGGGGGTGGATTTGTCGAGGGAAACCGGGGGAGAAAACGAGCCGAGAAGAGTTCAGGGGTAGGTGAAAGGCGCGTTGGGAGCGTGAAAAGACGATTATGAGTGACTAGTGTGGAAAGGGAGGGGATTCAAAGGACTTTTGGGTCGCTTTGAGGGGTGTAGTCAGCCTAGGAGAGACGGTCAAGGCCGGGAGTCGTCAGATGAGACGAGGTCGAACCAGGCGCAGAACTACAGCAAAGTAGAAGAAGGAAAGGCGATATATGCCTTGAGGAACACGCCTGTGGATGGCAGACGGCGGGGACGGTGGTGAGGGGGACGACGACGGCGACGGCAAGAGCGACAAGACGCGGTGCCCGCAACACGCTCACTCGGGCCTTTTCAAACTCCGCTGCAAGGTCCGACAGGTGAGTCGTTCGCCTGGGCGCCAGCCCACGGAACCGCGCGCAGCTCGTCATCGTTCTCGACGCTCCGCTCTCCTCCTTCACTTTCCTCCTCTTGTCTTGCTCTAACTGGTTTAACTGAATCATATCTCCAAGTGTTTCACTCGAATAATTTCTCCCAGAATTTTCTCCATCCTTCTTCGACTCGGACACATCTATCAGCAGCGCTTCGCCCGCGTCATCTTCACTGTCAACCTGCTCACGCCATCAAGAATAATACAATTCGAGCATCTCCAGAACACTCATCATGTCAGGAATTGGTAGCTGGCTGTGGGGAGCCTCATCTATTGACGATGCGATAGGTCAGTCTTAAACTCGTTCTCTTCTCTGAACATCCAATTCATAAGTACTCCCAGAGAAAGCCACTTCGGAGCTGATGCCCACGGGCACAGAGGATATGGCTCTTAATCTCGAGATATGCGACCAGATACGCTCGAAGAGTTTTCCTCCCAAAGACGCGATGCGTGCTCTCAAGAAGCGGCTGAACCACAAGAATCCGAACGTGCAACTCCTCGCATTGGGCGTATGTAGTGTACTCATTTCCATTCTTTTCTTGTACTTACGCGTCTCGGTCGTTAGTTGACAGATATATGTATCAAGAACGGTGGAGACCACTTTCTTGCTGAAGTCGCGTCGAGAGAGTTCATGGATAACCTCAGTTCCATGCTCAAGATGCAGACCCTGAATCGGGACGTGAAGGACAAACTTCTGCGTTATATTCAGACGTGGGCCATCGCTACTGATGGCAAACCCAGTCTCAGTTACGTCTCCCAGACGTACAGATCCCTCAAAGGCGAAGGTACGCGCGTTCTATGCGCAGGTTTTGACACGACGTTTGTCATTGATCATGCGCATCATAGGCTATGTTTTCCCACCCGAAGACCGCACTATCGCGAACAAAGCCATGGTCGACACACAAACAGCACCAGAATGGATCGATTCTGACGTTTGTCTGAGATGTAGGACCGCCTTCTCGTTAATGAATCGGAAACACCATTGTCGAAACTGTGGCCTTGTGTTCGACCAGGCGTGTTCCTCCAAGTCTCTTCCTCTCCCTCACTTCGGCATCACGCAGGAGGTACGAGTCTGTGATAGTTGCCACACGAAGTTGACGAAGCATAAGGATCAAGGGTAAGTCCAACATCAACTACCTCGGCTATCCCCAATTTACATCTATGCTACTAGGTCGCACACCGACGGGAAGCGACATCGGTCCTCGCAAAGTGTTTCGACAACTCGCCATCGTGCTGCTCGCGACTACGCGGACGCAGAACTCCAACGCGCCATTCAGCTTTCTCTCCAGGAGGTCAATGGTCCCCAGCATGGCCGCTCAGGTTACGTCCCGTATCAAGATTCGCTAGCATACCAGGCTTCGGAACCGCCTCTGGTCGAACGTAGCACACGTCCCAGCTCTGCAGCTGCCGCCGAAGAGGAGGATCCCGACCTTAGGGCTGCCATCGAAGCAAGTCTGCGCGAAGCCAACGCGCCAAAACCCAGTGCGCCCATTGGCGTAGAGACTCCGAGGTCGGAACAGTCCATGTTTCCGTACTCGGGTGCAGGGTACTCACAGTCCTATCCCCCGAGTATCGCGCCACAGCCTGAAGTCCCATCCCTCCCAAACCACGATTTGGAGCCGCTGGAGAGTGATACCATCATGACGTTCAGTCAGACGATTGATCAGGTGCAGGCGCAAGGTGGAAGGGATATTTCAAGGTATCCCGCGGTGGGACAGTTATATGACAAGGCGAACGGGTTGCGACCGAAGTTGGCGCTGAGTTTGGACGACACTGGAAGGAAAGAAGGTACCCAGTCTTCATGGCCATATCAAACTCCAAACTTGTGCTAATAGACGGAACACACTATAGATATGTTGAAGGAGATGAATGACAAGCTCTCGCAGGCAGTCAAGCTTTACGACCAGCTCCTCACGCAACAACTGTCCCGACCTACCTGGCGCCAACAGTATTCACCCCAAGCCGCTCCACCGCCCGCTTTGAACCAGTATCGACAGTCGATGTGGAACGGCGTTTCTCCGCAGACTCCTATGTCGCCCCAAATGCAACAGCCAGCTACAGGATACGCACCATCATATCAGGCTCCGCCGTCCGCTGTTTCTTCAGAACCTCCCTATGCCCAGTCACAGCAGCAGCCACCCGCTCAGACCAATTGGCAGCAATACTCGGAGCCTCAAGCGCAACAGTCGCAGTATGCGCCACCGCCCCCACAGCCCACATATGTACCAATGAGCCCCCCTCCCACACAACAGCCGTCATTCGCGCCGATGGTCTCACAACCATATAGTCAGTATCAACCACCATCACATCAACAACCCCAATACGCCCCATCGGCCCCACCTGGTCCACCTCAGGCATCACCACAACAGCCAGCAAATGTACCTCAGTTCGCCCAACTCCCTCAATCGCCACCTCAGCATGCGACTTCTCTATCCCGGCACAACACGATGCCTGTTCAGCCTCAAGCCCAGTCTTACGCTGCCGTTCCCTCACCTCCTGTCTCTCAATCCCAGCATCTTCCCAACTCCTCGCTTGGCCGTCAGAACACAGTTGCCTCGTATACCCCCCAGCGGGAACCTCAATATCAGGCTCCGGCCTTGCCGCAGGCCCAATACGCTCCGCCTCCACCGCAGGTTCAGCAGCCTGCGTTGCCTAATTTCCCCGCGGTGCCGACGGCTCCGCCACAGCCGTATCATATGTATGGGTCTGGGGTAGAGCGGGAAGAAAAGAAGGAGGCATTGTTGATTGATTTGTGATACTCTTCCTGGGTTATGGGCGCGACTGAATTGGTGTACTGTAGTGGAATGTTTGGGACTCCTTTTTTGCGTCGGAAGTGTTGGATTGCATGGTTCGTTTTCGTGCTTGTTGTTTGTTTATATCATATTACTTCTTGTTCCTATGCATCATGGACTCGTCGCATATCGTAATGACAGTCTCCCTGTATTTATGACCATCCTATTGCCTCAATATTAGAGAAAACGGACGCTGCGTGGGCGGGCGATGTGCAAAGGGCCGGAAGTGGACCGAAAGCGGTGAGGACCGGGTGGGAAAGCGGTGCGCTGCGGGCAGCGTCATTCTTGCAGTGGTGACTGGCCAAAACCGAACCGGCAACGGTCCTCAATAACTATTACTCGGGTCAGCCCTGCGTCGTTGGTGTCCTCGACGCTCTCTTTCTTTCCCCCTTCACTCCTGACGACTAGGACCGGATGGGAGAGACAGTCATGGAGGAGGGAAAGCTGCTCAGCGAGGCCCTTAGCACGGTCAAAATACAGGTCCAGCAGATGAAGCGGCATCTCGTACGTCCCCATATCGTCCTTACTTCTTGCGGTGTCGACCACCCGTTCGCTTATCGTTGGCTCTGGGGATCTGTGGTATGGGGTATCTAGGAGCTGGACCAACTTATGGATGCGCTCAAGAGCGCGAGCTTGATGCTTGCAGAGCTGAGGACGTCCTCGCTCTCGCCGAAGCAGTACTATGAGCTCTGTACGTCTCCGTCCTCTGCTCAGACTCCTTTCGGACCACGCTGGCTACGGGCAGAACACCGCTAATCTTCAATGTCTTCATTTTTGAAACCGTAGACATGGCTGTATTCGATGCCCTCCGGCACTTAACTAACTATCTCTATGACGCGCACACACAAGGCCGGCACCATCTCGCAGACCTCTACGAGCTCGTACAATATGCAGGCAATATCGTCCCTCGTCTCTATCTCATGATCACCGTCGGCTCTGTTTATATGTCTGTTCCCGACGCACCAGTAAAGGAGATCATGAAGGACATGATGGAGATGTCACGCGGAGTGCTGCATCCTATCAGAGGATTGTTCTTGCGCCACTATTTGAGTGGGCAGACGAGGGACCACTTGCCCATAGGTGTTGACCCAGGGTGCGTCTCTTCACAACTATCTGTGTCGTGTGGAAGCGTATTCAGTCTGGTTGGGGGATGTGTAGGCCGATGGGTAACCTCGACGACTCGATAACCTTCGTCCTTACCAACTTCATCGAGATGAACAAGCTATGGGTCCGTCTCCAACATCAAGGTCATTCGCGCGACCGGGAAAAGCGCGAGATGGAGAGGCGGGAACTCAGAATTCTGGTCGGCACGAACCTCGTCCGGCTTAGCCAGCTTGACGGTGTGGATCTGGGTATGTACCAACAGACGATTTTGCCAGCGATCCTGGAGCAGGTCGTGCAGTGTAAGGACGTGATCGCGCAGGAATATCTTATGGAGGTGGTCATTCAGGTATGAATCAGAGCACGCCTCGTTGATTGCTGTTGTGCTAATCGATTCGGACGGCGTGTTTGCCATTAGGTCTTCACGGACGATTTCCATCTTCATACCCTTGGCCCTTTCCTCTCAGCCACTGCCCAGCTTCAACCAAAAGTCAATATCAAGCAGATCGTTATTGCTTTGATCGATCGACTGGCCGCATATGCTGCTCGAGAAGCTGAGAGCGAAGATCCCGAAGAGACAAAGAGGCAGGAAGAGGCCGCGGCCAAACGTTTGGCGGAGAGGGTGAAGCTGCAGCGGGCCCGCGTCAGGGAGAACGGCAACGTCACGAGCCCGACTGGCGACTTCAAGTCGGAGCATGACGCCTGGGGATCTCCTGTCTCAAGTCCCACGGTGCCTTCAAGCGGGGTCAATGGGACAAACGGGACAAACGGTACCCATGAGAATACAGAGCAAGCGGAGAAGATCGATAAGGGCAAGGAGAAGGAGGGGTCGAGTCAAGTCAAGAAGTTTAGAGGTGTGCCGGAGAACGTGAAGCTGTTCGAAGTGTTCTGGGAACAGGTCGTCCAATTGATCAAGGTGTGTGTCCCGAGCGTGCTGATACACGATGCTTGTGTACTTCGAAGTTAACACGGGTGGCGCAGGCACGTCCGGACCTGTCGATACAAGATGTTACGGCACTCTTGGTCTCCCTCACGAACCTTTCATTGAGCTGTTACCCCGATCGCCTGGAATATGTGGACCAAGTCCTCGGCTTCGCCAGGAATAAGATTCAGGAGTATGCCGATAGGTATGTTGATTCTTCTTTTCGGGATCAATGGTGATATTGATGTTTTCATTTCGCTTCAGCCCTGATCTTCACACCCAGCAAACCACCAACAACCTTGCCGCTCTTCTTGTCGCTCCTATCAAATCTTACACATCTGTTCTTACCCTTCTTGCGCTAGAAAACTACGTTCCTCTTCTTAACCTTCAAACTTTCGCCACTCGCCGTTCGCTCGCACATTCGATCGTCTCGTCGGTGCTGAAAAACGAGACAATCATTGAAGCACAAGAGGATGTGAATGGTATTCTTGAGCTTTGTCAAGTCTTGATCAGGGAGCAACCGGATGCGGGTGTCGGTATGGGGAGCACAGGGCCACCGAGTCTGCGAGATGGAAGGAGGCATGGGCCATACGGCATGGAGAGGGAGGATCTTGCGGAGGAGCAAGGGTGGTTGGCGAGAATGGTGCATTTGTTCAAGTCGGAGTCCCTGGCGACGCAGTTCGAGGTAAGGGCTACAGTTTATGCCTTTCTCCGTCCGTATCTGATAAGGACCACCGTCAGCTTCTGCAAACAGCACGGAGACATTTCGAAGCTGGAGGAGAACGGATGCGTTTCACATATCCAGCACTTATCACCTCTTCCATCAAACTCTGCCGACGGTACAAGCTCCGAGAACACCTGGTCCGTACGCTTTCCTTTCTCCTAACAAACTTCTGGCTTATTTCTGGACTTAGGAGGATGAGTGGGAGACCAAAGTATCTGCCATTCTCAAGTTTGTCCGACAGCTCACGTCCATCCTTGCCAACCAAGTGGAGGCACCCACCATTGCTCTTCGTCTCTTCCTTCTCGCCGCCCAAATCTCCGACGAATGCGGGTTTGAAGATCTTACCTACGATCTCTACGTCGAAGCCTTCACTGTATACGAAGAGTCGATATCTGAATCTCGGGCACAGCTGCAGGCCATCACGCTCATCATCGGCACTCTGCAGGGCGCGAAGGTGTTCGGGATCGATAATTATGACACGCTCATCACGAAGGCCGCTCTGCATGGGGCGAAGCTTCTGAAGAAACCCCACCAGACGAGTGCGGTGCAATTGGCGAGTCACTTGTGGTGGCAGGAGGCCCCGATAGCTGCCAGTGGGGAAGATGAGGAGGCAGAGAAGGTCGAGGAGAAATCAACGCCGGCAACCACTGCGACACCAAATGAGGATGGATCTGAACCTTCGCCGAAGGCTGTAAGTCCTTTCCGCCCTTTGCGTGAATAAGGGAAGCTGACGAATGGTATGCTGCAGTACCCTCATCAGGACAGCAAGCGTGTGCTAGAATGTCTCCAGAAGTCGCTCAGGATCGCCAACTCGGCATCGGAAGATATTGTTACTACCCAACTCTACGTTGATACCCTGGATCAATACGTCTTCTACCTCGACCGTGGTGCTTCAGCAGTACGTTTCACAACCTTGTTTCACATACGTTCTGTGTTGGAACACCTTACCCTTTCCATGCAGGTATCGCCCAAGTTTGTGAACTCCCTAGTACAGCTTATTACCGGCAAGATCGACGACATCTCTTCGCCTGATGTACACCCCTCGCAACGTGCTCCCGCCGGCCTGCTCGAGGGTGTGCAGACACCTGAGATGATCACGAGGCATTTCAGGAATACGTTGACCCTCATTCAGAGGAAGAAGGCTGCGGCCGAGGTTAAGGAGGCGAACGAGAGATGGGACGAAGTGGACATTGTGGGAGCATTGTTGAAGATGGGCCTGGGGGCACGATGATCACCGGTGGTCTGCCGCTTCATTCATGAGCCATAGTCTGCAGGCTGCATGCTACCAGTGTGGATTTCCTTCTCTGCGTATTCATTGTTTTCTTCCGTGTCTTACGTGCCCTTTCGATCGATCTTTAAGGACGCTCAGTGCATTCGTCGTGCGTTGATGCCTGTTTATTCACTTTCTTCTTCCCTTTTGTTCTCGCTTCCTTCCCAGTGTTGTTTTCTTTGTCATGTCCTGTTCTCTCTCCCAAATGTTTGTCTTTTCTAGGATTACCCCACAGCTTCGTGTATATTCTTTCTGTGCTGTTGCATGCATCTCTAATGTAAAGGTTGCGATGCTATTGACGTTCATGCCAGTCAATTGAGAAGCCGGCTGAAACGCCACTGGGGTGTTCTGTCGGACTCTGCCATACACTACTCCTGCAAGTATAGGATACAAATAACTAAGACTACAGGTCGAGAGATAAACTCAGAGCAACCTACGAGATGGTATAGAACGGACGATGAAAGATAGGTATACATATAGATCGATAAAAAGGGAGGCATATACTAAAAACCGAAGGGGGGATTAGGAGAGGCCAACTTGTCGCCATCTAACGTCAAAGGTGATGTCAAGCCAGAGTAATACGAGTCTCGAACAAATAGAAGGACTAACTGGGTGCTCATGACCGGAAGTAGGTATTCAGGCCCTCAGTGTCGCTGATACCTTTCTTCTTTACTCTACCGTTCCCTCCACGAGTAGTGCGTTTGTTGATTCCTTTGGACGTGGGTCTTTTGAAAGTAGGTTTGAGACAAGTCTCGTTATCGAAGTGCCTTTTCGCCGAATCATCCCTCGTGAACAAGGTCCCGCAGCCCCGTCCACACAGGAATTGGTGAGGAACGTGAAACAGCGCTGAGCGATGCCGCCTGAGATCGCTTTTATTTTGGCATTTGCGTGCGCAACCATGGAGGTTGCACTGAACCATGCCGTCCTCCAGGACGAGTAGGGGGTCATGCGGGCCGAGAACGGGCTCCTCTGGAGGGAAAGTTGGAGGTCGGGAAGCCGGCTGTGGGACCTGAGGAGCTCCGACGCTGGTCTGACTGGGGCCGGCCGCCACATGCGGGGCAGTGAACGGACTGCAAGCCGACGGGGGCTCTTGAGCTACAAGGGCCTCAAAGTACTCGAGGACGTTGGTGGGATATTGTACGGCGGCGTTCTGGCGCACATCGTTGTACAACGGGAAGGGAAGAGAGGGATGGTTGGAGCCCTCATCGTTATCTGGAAAGGTGGATTGCCAATGGTCGGAGTCCGATGTGCCGTCGGAGAACGTGGCGGTCTCGTGCGATGATGAGCTTGAAGCAACTGGCGAGGCCGCCACCGACGCGTGATGGTACAGCTGAGTGGGGAGGCAGAGACAGGCGGGGCGGCTCAAGGGGCTGAGGGGCCGGTTGGACAATTGATAGAGGGTGGCGGCGCCCAGGGGAGCAGGCTGCTCTATGTTTACGCCAGTATTGCCTGGAAACAGAAACGCTAATTAGCCTGAGGACTTGAGAGACTATACTTACAACGAGTGTGGCGGTGACTAACTGGCGTATGAAGAGAATGCCTTATAGGCATCATCGAACGGGTGCGTCGGGGGATCTACTACCGGCGCCCAGGGGTCTTCTGCCATGGACACGGTATGCATGCGTGCTGCTGGAGCATACTCGTTCGTAGCCATATTCATCGGCAGGGAAAGCGTCCTGGAGACGTAGGGCTCATGGCCCAAGTTCTGAAAGGGAGGGACGAAGCTCGTCGCGTTGTTGTCGATGGCAGGTTGGAGCCCCTGGCCGAGGTGATAGTTTGACGGCAGTTGGTATACATCAGCGTTAGAAGAAGGGCAGTGCATATAAACCCGATGAGTTAGAAAAGTTGGATGATACATAGAGGTCAGGTTAGATGCTGCAAACATACATAGCGAGGCAAATTATAGTCGGTTTCCTCTAGGGACTCGTGGCCTGAGGGCCCAGCATAGGAGCTCTCCTGCATCGCAGGCGCAGGGATGTAAGAATAGTTGTAGCTCATGCCAATGATGGATAGATGGAGAAGTTGAGGGGAAGAGAAGGGGATTGGGGCAGCAGGTCGGCAACAAGAGAATCTTTTATATGAGGCATGGGGCGCTTTAGGCCAAGAATCCCGATACAGAAACCCTTGCAGGACAAAGGAACGCGAACTGCTCAAAGAACCTCTGACGCGGGATGGCACTGTCGGCACTGCAAATCAGCGGTCTCTTGTACGGGTAATGTGTTTTTCGATCTTACTCGTCGAGTGGCGTGAGAGGTCGGACCTCTAATACAATCTTGTACATGTTCACCGTACCTCACGTTCGAGTGACAGGGCATACTTGCCTTTTGTGTCGTATTTTTTGTTCAGTAATTTGTGAAAAAATCAGCTTGAATTTCCGGGGACCTGTTTCCTGCTCAAGAGATTATGGAGAGAGAAGTCCACCTCTCCAAGATATTTCATAGAAGCCATCGGACAGGGGACGTATTTGCGGAAGATAGTGAGCTGCCGGGATCGAACAAAGGAATAAATACTGAATGTGGACGTTTGTTGACCACTGTGTGTTCACCTCGCGTTTACGTCACGAAGTTCGCACGCGTACCCCTGTTCCCGATCGCGATGACCCTCCGAGTAGAGCAACTGTACGGATCTGTCGATTTGGTTTCATTTCTCGCCCTCCTCTGGCTCTTGTCCCTTGCCCTCTATTTCATCCGTCTCCGCTCTTCATCTACGCTTTCCGTCATTCCTGCAGCTAATTTCGTCGCATCATTTACGCCGCTTTGGATACTTTGGATACGCTTCACTCGTCGCGTAAACAGGTCTGTGCATGCAGCTCATGTTGCTCATGGTCCCGTTGTGCGTCTCTCCCCTTCAGAGGTCTCCGTCAATCTGGTCGATGGCGGCATTCGGGTGATTTACGGCGTCGGATTTGAAAAAACGAATTGGTATTCCGCATTCCGCGCTTATGGGCAAGTATTGCAATGACCCTCGTCTGCCTCTCAGCTGTAGAAGGCAGATTCACTGACAAAGGAATCGTCCGCAGTGTCAACAACGCTTTCTCAACGTTGGAGCCTAAACCGCACTCGGCCCTCAGACGTCGAGTTTCCAACGTCTACTCCAAGGCCCATATCTTGAGTCCCGGCTCAGGTTTCTCCCACATAGCGCGTGTCGTCCTGCACGAGCGCCTGATGCCTGCCCTTCGCTCTGCCGCTCGCGGTCGCAATGCAGTTGATGTGGCCGAGATCTTTATCGCGATTTGCATGGATCTTATCACGGCGTATGAGTTTGGATTGTCATGCTCGACGAACTTTCTAGAGAACGAACAAGAGCGAAAGAGTTGGTCGCCTCTTTACGTCGCTCGGAGGCCATACGCTTTTTGGGGGCATGAGGCCCCTCGCGTGCAGAATACGCTAGCCAAGGTCGGCGTCCATGTCGTACCTCGCTCTGTGGTAGACGGAAATCGCGGGATCGAGGACAGAATCCTTGGCATGGTAGAGAAGGCAGAGGCGAGGTTCGAGAGTGAGGTCGCTTGGGACTATGAAGGTGACGGAGAAGTATATCGTCAGATGAGAAGGGCAATTGAAAAGCAGGAGGCGAAGCGAGGCTCCGCTCACACCAGGACAAATGCTGAGAGGAGAAAGGAGATAGCAGCTGAGATGTTTGATGACACTTGTGCGTATAGACTTTCGAGTATGGGAAGTAGTATCTTAACGTTCTATTTTCAGTTGCTGGCCACGACGCACCAGCCATAACACTCATCTACCTCGCCTACAACCTCTCAATTTATCCTGACCTCCAGTCTCGCCTTCAGTCCGAACTCTCCTCCATTCCTCTATCGGAGAACATCGACATCAAAACTATTGATGCGCTTTCGCTCCTCGACGCATGTGTTCTTGAAACTCTCCGCCGCTACCCACCTACTGCGGGATCTCAACCTCGCACTCCTATGGCCGGCTCATCGTGCTATATTAGTCTTGGAGTCGATGGACCCATGGTCCTCCTACCACCTGGTGTGAGGGTGAGCGCACAAGCGTACAGCTTACACCGTAACCCCGATGTGTTTCCTGACCCGGAGAAGTGGTATCCCGACCGATGGCTTGTCGATGAGAATGCGGACATCCACGAAGAGGAAGAGAGGTTGAAGGAGATGCACCGGTGGTTCTGGGCTTTCGGAAGTGGCGGAAGAATGTGTTTTGGAAATCATTTTGCTTTGCTTGGTTCGTCACTCTAAATCTAGACTCAACGCCACCTCGATGTGCTAAACGAATTCATCAGAGATGAAGATCATTGTCGCAACGATCTGGAGCGCTTTTAGCAGTGAGCTTGCTAACATCAAGGATGCGAGCGAGATAGCAGCTGGAATGGAGCAGGAGGACGGCGGCGATGTGGCGGGGCCTGTAGCGGGCAGGCTCGACTTGCGATTCATTCCGATCTAAACAAGCAGTAATATCGACGAAGGTAAATTGCAGGGGAAGTTCCGCGGTTGTACGATATCCTTGTGTATGAATCAGTAGGTATGTCAGTAGTACTATGCTGTGTGTAAGCCACCATGTTTCGATTCTGTCAACGTCGTTCGAACGTCAGAGTCTGCCAAAATCGAAAGCGAAGCGATCTGGATCTGTGCTGCCAGATGATATCACCACATTACATCCCGTATCCATTCTGCAATATCTGTTCCCCACTCTTCTCCTTGGCCTGAACAAAGAGAGAATATCGGACTAAGATGATCATGTCCGTCCATTACACTGGTATGCACAATGCCACCTTTGCTGGCGTATAGTTGCCCGAACGTCCTGATAGCACTAGATATATACCGTGGCTCTCTAGCCGCCGCCATGTTGCGCAAATGTGGTAATGCCCCAATCCACTCGTTATCCGCTCGACGGAGCACTCCCATAGGTTGATTAGATGCCACCTTCTTCGCACCTCCGTAGTAGACTTTCGCGGCCTCCCAAAGACCAGCGGCAGTCTTGTTGGCGAACGGTATCTCGTAAGGAACACCAAGGAGAATGACTCCACGAATGGGGACGGTGCGAGTGTAGATAGAAGGACTGAGCAGACATCCGGCGACATGTACGCCGCCCGCAGAGTGGCCCAGAAGAAATATGCGGTCGATGTCGCCGACATCGTTCAGATGATGAAAAACCCAGGTCAGGGCGTCATGTACGTCTTCAGAGCCTCCGGGAAAGGACACGGAAGGAACGAGTCGGTAGTCGACGATGACTGTGAGGATACCTTTCAGAGCGAAGAAGGCTCCTAGGTTAGCGTGAATAAGGTCTTGGTGCGGATGGATGCGTGCGCCGTGCATGAAGCTACCGCCATGGAAAAACAAGAGTATGGGCGGCTTCGATGACGGAGCCGACGCTGATTCGGAGGAGGCAGGGGGCGTATAGACATCGAGCTGCAAGACAGTCCAGTGTGAGCAGTCACAGGAAGATACATCACCGTACTTGGAAATACCTTATGGCCCTCAGTAGGGCCGTAGCTATACGTGACACGTTTGACAGACTGTATTGTTACCCTGTTCTGTTCCAACAAAGCATATTCTGTGAACAAAAGAGGTAGACTGATCAGTGGCCCGCAATTTTTATAAGAACTCCGATCATACCTGTAAGAAAAATATCGACACTCACGTTGCGCAGGGACAATATACCCTTCAACAATGCCAACCATTGATTGGTGAGAAAGTAACGGGAAAAGACCGTTTTCTAGACAGGGCGCTTGTCGAAGATGAAGGAAGGAAGGAACATCAGCAAAATGCCCGGAGAGTTGCAATCGGATGCGGAGTTTGTAACCCGATGAAATGGTTATGCAAAGTTATATCTGGTTGTGACTTCACGCGATTGGTTGCATTGATTTCCTTTGGTTACATAGGGGTTGCAGTCGGGTTGGGATCATAGCAGTTGTGTACTAGGCCCAGGTGTAGTATGACAGCACATTTTCATGATTTACCTTGTCAAGATACAGGTGATGTATGTTGTAGCACAAAATTGAGGAGCAAAGAAGTCGAAATAGAGAGGGGTGCTAGCCCGTTGGGTGTACGCTATGGCTCATGTAGCAAGCACGCCCATAACACGGAAAGTCTCTTAGTGTAGTCGTAGTAGTCCTCGCCTGTATATGTACCAAATGAATAAGATAATGTGATAGGTCGTGAGTTCGATTCCCGGTATGAGCAAACTCGAAGATAAGAAATACGATAAGAAAGCCGGAAGACCGGGAGGATCGGCGGAAGCGGAGGGGCTACCCGAGAGAGCCGACGACAGAAGCACCGAGGAAAAGTTTTGACCGAACGAAAGCCTAGCAGGGGGCTCGAGGTTGCAGTAGGTTTCATATGGTTCTACTCTGGTTGCATCCGGGTTGCATTCCAGATAAAATCAATGAGATCGGCATGTTTCCATTTACATCCAATTTCTATCGGTTGTGACTGGTCTTTCTGTTTGCATTCACATTATGTCCTTATATAACCCGATTATAAAATCTGAGCGATTTTGCTGATGAAGGTCACCAACTGGTCACTACAGGTATGGCGATTTCCGAGTCGGAGAAAGAAAGCTAAGCGCCGAGTGTCGTCGGCAACAGGGCGGCAGCTTCCGAATTCAATAAAACCAAACAACTTCTACAAAGGTTTCTGCCTGTTTGACAGTTCGTCGTGTATCGCTCGACATTGCATCCAGAAGGCACAAAGAATAAGTACTGTACAAATACCGGGGGATGGTTCCGAAACACTGAAAGGCTTTCCGCCTTCCTCATGGCTGCTTCGACGTTTGTGTCCTGTCCTTTGCCAGTGGAAGCTGACCCTGATAATGAAAGGCGCGATGTAAACTTGAACACGATGGAGAAATATGATGCAAGGGTACATTGGCACGATCGTATACACCCATGGCATCGCGAGCTAGCTTATCCAGTGTATCAGAGCTTCACGAACTGCACCTCAAGCTTTCCCCCCACAGGCCCAACAGTGTACCCGTCTTCCTGCTCTAGACCAAATGTGCTCCCTTTATCGTGTGCATTAGGGAGCTCGGTTCTGAAATGACTCCATATAGTAGCAACGAGCATCTTCATCTCTGTAGTCTCCATTAGTACTGAATTTCGAAGCGCGCACGCACGCAAAGATACAGAAAAAATAAGTGTCAGTGACTACGCACCGAGCAAAGCAAAGTTACTACCGAAACACATTCTCCCCCCACTTCCGAATGCCCAGAACCACCGGTGCATCTCCTTCAGCCTCTCTTCCTCTTCGACGATATCTGCATTCTTATCGACAAGCCACCGTTCCGGAATCCAGCACTCCGGGTTAGGAAACACATCGGGGTTGCGGTGCAAGCTATATGCCTGAGCACTAACTCTCGTTCCAGGTGGGATAACAATAGTTCGATTTCCGAGGTTGATATGACTAGGTGTGAGTGGAGTACGGGGCTGTGGTCCGGGGATCGGGGCATTGGTGCGGAGTGTCTCGAGGATGCAGGCGTTTAGGAAGGGGAGGTCGTCAAGAGCCTTCAAGTCAAAGGAGGTGGAGTCGGAAGTGCGCGGTGCGGAGGCAAGCTCGGCGTAAAGACGAGACTGTACAGCAGAATTCATGCACAGACGATATGTAAGGAAGGTCAGCGCTATGGCGGCCGTTTCATGACCAGCAGCTGGATGTGCGGATGATGAACTCTGTCAATAATACATTGGTGAAGTGATGAGTACGGGCCAACCTAGCTCATCCATTAGTTCGCTTGCAATCTCGAGCCGCCGCCCATCGGCGTTCGGAACATCGCCTGTAACCCGCTTCTCATCCTCCTTCTCCATAGTCCGTCTTATGGAGCGATAAACCATAGCTTCGCTACTATCGTCTCCAACGAACCCACCTTCTACTCTTTCCTCTGCTCTCTTTACCATCGCAAGCACGTAATCTTCCATCCCTTGGTTTGCATCCGCTACAAAATCAGGAACGACACGGATTCCTACTCGTTTGAGCATCCCTTGCAGGCGGGAAACGTGAAGGCCCCAAAAGCCGTATGGTTTCCGACAGTGGTAAATGTAAAGCCAGTGCCTCCTCTCCTCTAGATTCTGGAGGAAGTTTGAAGAAGATGGTAGGCCAAATTGATATCCAGTGATGAAATCCATCGCAGTCGAGAAAAAGATTTCTAGGATATTCACTGATTCTTGTGTACTGGCAGCTCGAGAAAGAATAGGAAGGAGACGGTCGTGGATGATAGTGTGCGAGTTGTGTGAGAAGCCTGATTCGGGGGTTAGAAGATATGATTTGGAGTATACATGAGTGATCCGTCGTTTGGCGAGTGAATGAGCTTTGGACTCCAACGTCGAGAATGCATTACTGACACTGCTCTCGTTTCAATAACGTGCAATACACGGATACCATAGTACAAACGCACCCAAAGTTACGGAAGATCAGATACCACTCGTGCTTCCCGAATCCTGCACCGTACACTGTACGAATGCCTCCTTCGACGGAGTTCACGGAGATCTCTGAGGGGGCAAGACGGACCACAGGGCCGTGTGCCGCATGCGCGGCTTGTATGGTCCGATTCTCACGACCGATATAACGGATCCAAAGAATCCAGAGAGGGGTGAAAGCGGCCAGTGGATGGGCAGGAGGGATAGAGGAGAGCCGGGCGAAGAATGCTGGGTAGATCACATATTGGCCGACTAGGAAAAGGACGCCATAAAATGGTATTTGAACCGTGTATAGGTCGAAGGCCATGATGGCAGAGCGGGAGAGAGGTTTGTGGACATCCTCTCTGAGATTCTTATCTATAGCGAGGAGAAAGAATCGGAAGACCGTTTGGATAAGCACAAGCCGGCCACTGGCACGCTCTGGTCACCCTTCTCGAGTCCGTGTGGCGCTGTGTGCTGCTGTGTGGCGTCGGAAGGCCTAACGCCGTGGCGAAATCGCGTGTCCGAGGCTCGAGCTGACCTACTTTGTACAACCAGGTACAACCACACTCTGCTTATAGTTGAAGCTTTGAAAAAGACGACTGTCTTCGTCGCACCCTGTGTCTGCCTCTTGGACTATAATGAGGAGAAACGGCTGTCTTCGTCGATCTTTGAGTCCGGTTCCTGTTTTCTTCGGGCCGTTCGTTCAGACGCCTATACCAGTGATTTAAAGTTGCTGGTCCGCAGCTCCCTTAGAGAGTCTACTAAAAATCGTTGGTTTTCCGTAGCGCATTATTCACAGAATCACTTACTACGTAGGCGTGCATCGTCATAGTTTCTCGGATCTTCGGCCTCCACGCTCAGCTATCGTCATCCGTAGTATTTTACTCGAGGTCAGGCTATGGCGTTTACAGTCAGTCACAGGGCGTGTTGTGTGGGTGTGGAAAATGTATATGTATAGCTGACCCTCCTTGATGTTACAACGGAGTCGGCGCAACGGTACCCACTCCTGATTGAGGCCGTATCCTACTACGCACCATGCTCTCTGGCTTGCTCACCCCACTCGACTGTGCTGTTGTTCTAATTTCTTTCTACTTTCTCAAAGCCTTTATATCCTCTCGGAAGAAAAAGCTGCCGTCTCCTCCTGGCCCTCAGGGATGGCCCATCTTGGGGAATATCCTCGACATTCCAAGGTCCCTGGCTTGGGTGAAATACAAAGCCTTGGGGGATAAGTATGGTCAGTTCTCTTCTTGAGCTATATATCCACCGCATGGGGCCATTTAACTCTCTCTAGGCGACATAATGTCTTTCAACGTTCCAGGGCAAACCGTCGTGGTGATCAATTCTATTCGGATTGCCAAAGAACTGCTCGATAAACGTGGACAAACCTGGTCAAATCGACCTACCATCCCATTAATACACCTGTGAGCGTTTCAAGACAGATTTTATGACTATCTGGTATACTGAAGAAGGGACGAAAGGATGGAAGTCGATAACTGGAACGTCGTCATGAAGCCCAATGATGAAATCCACCGCCTCGAACGTCGCATTGCGGACCACGGTCTACGACCAAGTGCCCTGACAGCATATCATTCTACACAGACATATAGAGTGCATGAGATGCTTAGGGCCTTCTTACACACTCCGGATAAATTTGTCCATCATATTGACTTGTGAGTCGGAAAGTCTTATACGCATATGGGAGTAGACCTGACAATAATTCGGGCTGCGAAGCATGTTGACAGGAATCATCTTATCCGTGGCCTATGGGTACAATATCACGAGAATGGACGATCCGTATCTGGCCAAGAGTCGAGCTTTGAACAGTGTCATTATTGCGTCTATTGGGCCGAGCGCTAGTCTCGTGAACTTATCCCCGTCTTGTATGTTCTCATCTACCCCGGTAATAGGTCTGGTGTCATGGTGGTGTCTTACTGAACCGCATGTTGATCGCGGGCAGTGAAGTTCCTCCCGACATGGTTCCCGGGCATGGGTAGAGCTCGGGACACTGCACGGTGCAGACAGCTTGGGCAAGAGATCCGAAACGAACCCTTCGATCTCGTCAAGGAGGAAATAGTGCGTCGCCTACGTGTAACGTCACAATATCCGGGGGCGAACCTATGCACTTACATGAGATACTCTCAGAGGAACGGAACCGCCAAGCCATCACTTACTAGAGATAACTTATTGACGCATGGCGACATGGATATACTGTCAGAGGATGAGCAGATCAGCATTATGAATGTTGCCGGAACGCTTTATGAAGGTGTGCACTGGTACAATTTTCTGCTCCCTTTCATTCACTACAGCAAGAGCTGATGCGTTCATATTCAGCTGCCGTTGATACCGTCAGTACTTTCACGGGCTCATGTTCGGCATTAGGTATGGTACGCGTTCGCTGAGCAAACCACCTGTGTATAGACCGGAACGCTTCTCGCCACCTTCATCCTTGTCCAAACAATATATCCTGAAATTCAGCGTCGTGCACAAGCCCAACTTGATTCTGTCGTCGGCCGCGAAAGGTTGCCAGGATTCCAGGACCGAGATTCTCTACCATATATCGAGGCGCTTTGCATGGAACTCATACGATGGAGACCATCTTCCCCCCTCGGTGAGATACATTGTTTTCTCGACATGATGGCACTCCATCATTGAAACGATATAGGTATACCGCATGCAACGACCGTGGATGACGTGTATGAAGGCTACTTCATTCCGAAAGGTCCGTGTGTCTGATACTCACATGCCAACGTCGATGTTTGACGTTGTCCCTACAGGCTCCATGATTATTGTGAATGCCTGGTATGCTGCTGACGATTTGGTGCTACTTGCTCTAAAAACCAAATGACCCTGATACAGTCTCAAGGGCAATGCTGCATGACCCCACGAAATATCCGGACCCAGAGTCCTTCAATCCGGAACGATTCCTTACGCCCTCTGGCCAGCTCAAAGAAGACCCCGACCTGACCGTTGCATTTGGCTTTGGTAGAAGGTCAGTCAAATCATAGTCAATCTTCGACAGTGTTTTATAGCCATTCCGACCGCTAATCTGTGGTAATGATCACAGAATTTGTCCCGGCCGCTTCCTAGCTTCAAGTATAACGTTCATCACAGTGGCCTCCGTTCTTTCTATGTTCAATATCGTACCCATGAAAGACGAGGCAGGGATCGAAATTCCTGTCAAAGCTGAATTCACCGTTGATTCTGGGATGCTCAGGTACGTCAGGACGTAGAGCCTCGATGGGCAGATTTTATTAACATGCGGCCTGGTTCAGCGTTCCACTGCCATTCCAATGCTCCGTCACACCAAGAGACGAGAAGGCTGTCGCGTTGGTCAAGCTGACGGCGGAGAAAGACACAGAGAACGATTCTGCATGAGGCTCGAAATCAGTCTGTCAGCCATTTCTGACAAATGTACATATTCCCTGTACGATAATTACGCGACGGTACAAGTAGTTTTGGACGATGAGGGAAGAGCGTTCACCAGTGGCGTGTGAGTCTCAATGGCGGAAAACTCGATCGGGTACGTTCTTGCGCCACCGTGAGTCCACCGGCATTGTGGCGTACACCTCTGTACTACTTGGAGACGGGAAACTCATAGAAAAGGAGTGGGATTTGATCTCAGGTAGCGGATCAGCAAGGACGAAGGAGAGGGGAGATGATCAAATAAGGGTAGCAGATTACTGTAAGATGATGTCCGAAAATACATGCATTGATGCCAGGCAATACGCGCCCGAGGGGGATTAGAGAGAAGGGAAGATTGAATGGAGGTGTTTAGGTACGAAGTCATACAGATGCCTATTAGGATGGATGGATGGAATTAGGTGATCTAAAATATATGCTAAGAGAGATGGAGAGAAAAAATAGAACGAGTGTGAAATAATTTCGTACAGAGTAAATTTTCGACGGTGAATGGCAGGCAGGGGTATGACAAAAAAGGCAGACAGGGACGATGGAAAACAAGTAGTGATGGAATGCTGCCATGAAAGACTTTGTTTGCACGGACGAAGACTCGGAACCGACTGTTTCGTTTCCCCTCTGCCTTCCTCTCATGAACGGTCGACGACCATGAAACGCATACAAAACCACATGGTATGCACACAGACTGTCAACAGACGGGTACCCAGAGCCAAGAGAGAGAGAATCAGAGATGAATTGGATCTGAGACAGCCAGTCAAGGAGCGTAGGGTACGACCAACAAACAGGTGGGCAGTCAACGCGACAGGAGAGAACACACGACTGTGATGAATATAGAGACACACACAAAGGGGATGAATAATGGATGGATGAATGATTTCCGTCAGCAGTCAGATCAGATACCGAGCCAGGTCAAGGTCAAGTCGAGTCCAAAATGTGTCAATGCAGCGATCTCGTGCGAAGTTTGGACAAACGAAGACGACCGCCGCCGTCAAGTTCAAGCGAAGGTCTAAGGTCCATGCAAGCCGCGGCAATGCGGCGGCTCACTAACGTAGTAAACGAACGGGGAAGGAAAGGGGAAGTCCGATGTCAAGGGAGAGGAGGGAATGAGAGGAAACAGAAGAGGTGAATGAGGGGTGGGGAACATTTGAATTGGCGAGAAATAACAAAAACAAAAGAATGACCAAGGTTGAATTGTGCGGCGTGGGCTGTGAGTCGATGCTGATAGGGAGCGGATGAGGATTTGGACCAGACGTGCAGCGTCATTAGTATTACAATTGAAGGGTATACGCTTGTGCTTGGGATGATAGAGGGAGGAGACCGACGGACATGAGGAGATCAATGAAGGATATCTGCTTGTAAGCGTATAGACGTCGAAGGTGAACGCGACAAGACCGGACCGTAACAAAAGAACATCGACAATGGAAGACCAGAGTGCCTGAAGACGCAGGGTAGACATTTGTGCGCCGTGAGCGAGGTATGGATGTCAAGGATGGGGGAAGGGGAGTATTGTGCGAGCGAGCGATGTACCCACAAGATATATATGGAGAAGACAAGTCGTGAGCGTGAACGACGGATAACCAAGGAATAGCGCAGAACATAAAAGATACTGAATGAGAAAGTGATAACATATTGAGGAAAAGCAGGCAGAAAGACAATGAAATCTTAAACAAAGAATTGTGTGCTACGAGACATGAATGATCAGCAGAAGTTCGATGCATAGAACAAAAAAGGCACGTACTGAATCCGACTGGAGGCATGTACTTCCATCTCCTCCATCTTGTACGAATTGAGTTCTTCCTTGATACGCTGAGCCAAGGCAGGGGTAAGTCGACTCCATGTCGCTGGTTCGCTTCGTCGATCGTATACGGTGGCCGGGAAAGTGTCGTAGACATGGAGGTTGTTTGCAAATGTCAATCGCTTCGAGGGTGTGGTCGCCGACCGGGGCAAAGTCGAGGGCGGTGTGAGCATGCTTGACAGGACGGGTGCGGATGAGTTGAGGTTCGGATGGTTGAACAAGGTCTTCTCCGGGTGTGGCCTCGCATCGTCCTCTGCGTCCGACATTGCCTGTGGCGACTCGGTTCCTCCTTCATTGTCGAACGAAAAGGGAGGAAGCTGGAACGTCGGCGTGGTACCGTTGCCGGAAGTCGAGTGATTTGACGAATGTGAACCATGTCGGTGAAGACCGTCGATGTGATCTGGATCTGGCGACGGGATACGAGCTAGAGGGCCCAACTCTGAGTGCTGAGTGACGGGGGAGTTATAGGAATTAGAGCGCTGACGGTTGGCGTCCATGAACACACGCTGATCATACTTGTCGGCATCTGCGGAGGAATAACGGTAAGGACAACGATGCCGATGAGCTAGAAGAGAACGCTTACTTTTGAGAATACCTCTGGCAGGCGTCCTCGCCCTTTCTATGCTACGACGAGCGTCAACAGCCCATGGCTCCATCTCTTCACCTTCACCGATGCTGGCACGCTCGAGACTTTGACGGATTGTCATATCCTCTTCATCCTCACCGCGATCCCAATCATCCTCCTCCCATCCCTCGATAGTGCCGGAAAAATCGTGTTGATGATTGCTCTCGCCATCCGATGCCGAATCGTCATCCTCCACGATGACTCGCATACCCTCCTCGTTGACTTGATACGCACCGCCTCTTCCTGATGATTCGCCTTGCCGGGTAGCTGTGTTTTTCTCCCAAGTCGCTGGCACAGGTTCTCCGTTTGCGTGAGCGGCAGCGGCGGCTGCAGCTGCAGCCGCAGCTTCTTCCTGTTGTTTCGCTCTGGCAGCGGCCTCGGCATTGGACTTCAGAGTATGTTGTCGAGCAAGCTTTGCGGCCGGACTGAGACCATTCAACTCTGGTGCCCACTCAGTGCTCACCCGATCTGGCTCGGCGGTAAGATAGGAGACGCTGGCCTCAGCCGCCTCGCCCTTTTCGCCCTTCTTCTTCTTCTTACCCTTCTTGTCATCGCTAGCTTCGGCTTCCTCTTTCTCCTTCTTGCTACCCTTGAAGACGGATGTGATACCAGCGAGCGAGTTACGACGGGCAAGTTTCCCGATTGAGCCCAGCTTGCGGATGACGACCGAGGCAGAGGACATGGTAGACGAGAGCGAGATGTTATCTGTGGAAGCATTGATGCGTGAGTTGAAGAGGGCCCTACGCTTCTTCGTCTTGCGTGTCGCTGTCGAAGCAGCATCCCCAGGGTCAAGGACAGCATTGGATTGCAGCGGTGATTCCGTCGAAGAGCTAGGACCAGGAGCAGCAGCGGTCGCTGGTTCCTTGCCGTTCATCCGGGAGGCACTTCCCTTGGGCGGCGAAGCCTCGTCATCGTCCTCCTCCGAGATCGCTTGGGCAGCGCTGAGTGAGAGTGCGCGCCTCAACCTGCTCTTGAGACCCTTGTGAGGTAGCTGAGCGGATGGTGCGGACTCCATCATACCAGCCAAGTCAGTATCGTCACGAGATCGCCGTTTGTCAGCCATGGACATGCTGCTAGTCTGCGATAACGGCGACGGCCTAACAGGGCGCGGAAGCGGCACCGACGATCCGGATGACGATGGGGTACCAGCCGCCGCCGAAGAGCGGGAGGGGCCAGTGGTACTGGAAGCTGTGGACGATGATGAGGCATTGCGAGTGTGGAGCCGGGCGGGAGGTGTTCCTGTGGCGGGGCTGGAGGAGCCGTTACCTCTCCCTTGACTGCTACCGCCAGCGGTGTGCGCAGGGGCGGGAGGACCGTTGCGGCTGCGAGCGCTGCCCGTCGAGCCTGCGTTGCTATGGTGGGGAGGGGTGTTGCGACCGCCGCTGCTCGTAGAACCCTGAAGACTGTTGGTTCTCTGCCGCTGGCTCGCAGAAGAGTTGACCGAGGTGGAGGATCCGTTCGCATCAGGACGAGCATATGGTGGTTGGAAATTGCCCTGGGGTGGTCGCCAGTCTTGTGGAGGGTTGGAGGGCGACGGTGCTTCTGTGTGTTGCGAGCCAGTGCGGTTGGGTCGGCGGTAGGGGTGGAAACCGTCGTACTGAGACTGCCCCTGTTGCTGTTGTTGCTGCTGCTGCTGGCCGGGGCTGAGACGATATTGGCCTTGCTGCTGTTGGCTGGGGTGCGGTGGCGGCGGAGTGCCGCTTGGGAAGTTGTTGAAGCCAGGGGGGATCTGGGACTGGGCGAAGTAGTCGTTGGAACCAGGGTTTGTGGCCCTACCTCGCTGAGAGTGAGGAGAGTTGTTCTGGGGGACGTGGGAGAGCTGTTGTTGGTGGGCCTGCTGCTGCGCGTTGAACATCATCTGCTGGTAGGCCCATTGAGCAAACTGGGCGTTCGGGTCGAAGTAGGGGCCTTGCTGGGGAATTGGGCCTTGTTGGGCAGCGTGTGCGGGATGGATGGGGTATGCTTGCTGGTGCGTATTTTGGTAGAAAGCGGGGTAGAAGGGCTGTGCCTGAGCATTCCATCCTGCTTGTGGCTGCTGCACGGGATAAGGATACGGCTGAGAAGGGTGGTTGGACGTGACCGGGGAGGGCGCTTGGGAGGGATCGTTGGCAGGCGAGGAGCGGGGGCGGTTGGCGGACGGGTTAACACTGTTTTGGGCGGGCGCATCCATTTGGTGATCTCTAGGAGGGTGCCAATCTTGAGGAGCGAGAACGGCCATGGACTAGCGAGGAGAAAGAGAGCGAACCGAAGACACGACAAAAGGACTGCCGGGCACGACGGCGACGGCGACGACAACGACGACCACGACGACCGGGTGGAGTCAAGAGAGAGAGCCCAGCTGTCAGATCATCCGGTGGCAAGTGGGAGAGGGACGGTGCTCACCGAGGAAAGAGCAGAAAGAGAGAAAAAGAATGGAGGAGAAAGCAGACTGAAGCTGCTGCCGTCGTTGTGGGCGACGGTGGAGGCGAGGGTGTCGACGACGGAGGGGACGGGGACGAGCACGACTGGGTTGATTGGGGAGCGTTCAGTGCCGGACGCAACGACGAGGGATTGATGGACGTCCAAACATGCGCAAACTCGGGATATCGAGGCCACCGCAGCTATTTAATTATTTAACGCTTATCCTATCGTTAAACCGGCGATCTCTTCCCGCTCGCTTCCTTCTCTCCAACTGCTCCACTCTCCAGCCTTTAACAACCGATATCACGCGTTTCACCGTTCCTATTTCACGCACTCGTCCAGCAGCTCTCATGTGCCGCACAACCCACTATCTGCTGGCAGCCCGTACGCCACGCCTTGGCCGATTCGAAACTTCTCCAGAGCTGACCGTGTGTGTTTCCCCAGGTAGCTTCCTCGACCCGACCCATTTCGCGCTAGCCAGCGCTTCCCACTCGCTTCATCCCACGCCCGTGTGTTCCCTCTCGTTCCTAATAGATAGCTGCAACCCGGCTTCCGGATCAATTCACTGCTCGTCATTCTTCGTTGTTCGCTATTGTCGCGATTTATCCGCTCTTTCGCGCGACTCGGAGGATGCTGCACTAGTACATACAGTCGGTGTATACAACAGCCTGCAACATGCAGTATCATATCACTCCTAAAAATACCATCCCTTCTTTGGCTATCTCAATCCTAAATACCCATCAACCATCAGAAGACAAATCAGCATCCGCACCCTCAATCCCTGCCGCAACTTTCTTCAAGCTCGGGTCGGTAAGTACGCGCACTGCGCATCAAAGCCCCGACGCGAACTTCTCCAAACTTGCCTTCTTCCACCTCGCCTCCGTGACCCTGAAGCAATCCGGTAACCATTCCTCCACCTTCATCGTATTTTCTGCGTCTGCTCCGAGTACCATGTACGCTACGGCCTCGCCGCAACGCCAGGCATGCACCATACCTTCGCCGCTATAGCCAGCGGAAATCCATTCGCCAGGCGGAGCGCTGAGTGGACGTGAAGATGTCCGAAAGTTAGCTGTCTCCTTTGCGGATAGTGAACGCGAGGAATCCTCTGAAGTTCGATCGGACGCAGGTAATGTCGAAGTAAGAGATGCGTTGCGCTCGGGCCTCCCTGACACCTTGGGGGGTAATCGTCCGACCCAGGGCTGCCCATCCATACTGATCCCTAGTACACCCGTCCACAGGGCCTTGACCCTCCCCTCTCCCCACGGACTCCGTCCCGTCCCCGATTCACCATCGTCTGATTCACCACCATCCGCTAACGGAGAGGCTGCCTCCGCTCCCCAATTTCCCCTTCCGAAATGCTCCGGCAAGGCGCCGCCAACATGCGCCGCCACACCTTTGTCATACCCACCATCGTCGATATTGCCCACCTCATCGAGGCGGACACGGTAGGCGTCGATGGCTCCTCCGCCGAACATGAGCTCGCCGCCGCTTCCTTCTCTTCCGTCAGATGAGGACGGGCGTGCGGGGAGTTGGGTGAGGTAGTCGTAGCCCATTACGCCGGTGTGGAAGACGTGGGCGCGAGAGGCGAGGATCAGATCCGAGTCTAAGTCTGAAACTAACGCTGCAGCTGAGGCTAGAGCGTTCAGTTTGACGTTCAGAGATTGACCGGGCCGTTGGGCGGTCATGAGCCCCCGAACGGGGACGATTTTCGTGCGAAGAGGTGCGATGAGGTGTGGGATGTAGCCATTCGTGCAGTGGATAATGTGCGGTGTTGTGATCGTACCGCGAGGGGTATGGACGGTATAGAGCGATGAAGGAGACGAGGGTGCGGTGATGGAGGTGCAAGGAGTACGAGTCGAAAGCTGGAAGCTAATAAATACGGGGTGAGCTAGAAGCCGGATTGAGTCTTGTCAGGGGATAGAATTGAGGAGGGGCGTACTTGTCAGGGTAGCGTTTAAGCAGGTTGGAGAGAACGGAGGTGACGAGCCGGTAGGGATGCCCTGCTCCGGCAGGGCTAATTATGCAGCCCACCGCAGATTCTGCCACGCCGAACTTCTAGACATGACCGGTCAGTACGTGGTAAAGGCTGAAACGGATATAACGGCCGAGGGTGAGGATATTTAAACAATGGTGAGCTCGTCGTGGGCTCGTTCCCTCGACGCGGAGAAGGGGAGTTTCAAAGGATAAGCCGCACCTTCCTCGCTTCCTCTCCTTCGACCACGAACGAATCCTTCGATTCCTGAGGCATATCTGACTTCCACTCTATAAACATCTCTTTCGCCTTCTCGAACTCTTCCTTCTCATAATATACATCGATGCCTTCTACGGTCCGGATCTGCGAGTACTCGAGTGCATTCTCGGTATCAGCGACAGAATGGAGGTGTGGCAGGTGCGAGAGACGGAATCGTATGATTTGCTGGGCGGCAGAGAGGCCATATGTCTGTTTGAGAGAAGGATAGTCGTGGAAGAGCTTAAAGACTTGTTAGAGTGAGTCTTCAGCAGAAAATGGGTGAAACGAATTTACTGGAGGATTCACATGACCGCCGTTACTACAAGGAGATACAAGAATTGTAAGCGTTAGCGAAGAACGAAGGTCTGTAGGAGAGAAGTATATAAGGTTATAGCCAACGTACCGACCCGTAGCCCCAGAGCAAGTCTCCCTTGCTTCTAACATTACCACGTTCACCTTGCTCTTCTTCTCGTTCTCCCCTACCTTCTCGCTATCATCTGTGTAGTCCAGTAACGTTCGCGCTACAGCCGTCCCTGTGATCCCAGACCCAATGATCACAACGTCTGCAGTTTCTCGCAGTCTCGCCGGCTGGACAGTCGCAATGGAAGACGGAGGGTCCATCCAGTACGATGGAAGAGATGTCGAAGGCGGAAGCCAGTTGGGCTGCAAGAGCCGCTCTTGAATAGTGCGGAAATCGCGTTCGAGAGTGGAGAGTTCGATGAGGGCGAGCTTCAAGCGCGAGAATAGAGTACCCATGTTGGCTGAGGTGCGTAGTAGAGCAGTACGGGAGAGAAATGCTTAGGCTAGCAAACAGAGCAATTGCTCTTGTACTCGACGATGCCGGGCGTTAGAACGAACAGACGCATATTGATATCTCACACAAGGTCCGATGTGGGTCAGGCTCGTGATAAGATATCCCGCCTTTGAATTGTCGGGGCGCATTTTAGAGCGATATGCGCATACGGGGGGCTCAGGTAGGGTGCCTCGCAGAAGCGGCCACGATAGCGCATCCTAGGTTGAAAAAGGAAAAAGGAATGGTCAGTCCCGAGTCTGTTAGAAAGGTGTGGTTGCAGGCTCGAAATCTCGAGGCCATTCCTGTCAACCGGACTTTTGGCGGCTTGTTCCTTCATTCCCGGCACGATGGCGCTTGATCCGGCAGTTCCCGCAAGCAGAGTGACGTCGCTGTGGCGGACGCTTTTGTCGCGAACCATGCTCAGGCTGCCGCTCGCCACCACCTCTACCCTCGCCTCCTCTCTCAGACAAGCAGCTAACACTTCGCATCATGTTCGATATGCCTCCACGTCAGAGAGATCTCTGCCATCGACTTCCATGGCACACCACAAGCACCCATTTCGAGGAGGTCAAAATCTCTCTGACCGATACAAACGCTTGGAGAAGAGCCTTCGAGGGAAGATGGACAGGACAGAGGCTATGGCCCATGATCACGAACATGCGCAGACTGATGACTTAACATCCCCGACGCCTGTGCAGGGTGCTGCTCTGGGTGACACATTCAGAGGGCTCGTAATCCCTAAGGAGCCAAGACCACCTGAATCGGATGGTGCGTGCGTCCAGTATTATAAACACCATCTATAAATGGTCATTCTCATCATTCATTCGCGCATCAAACTGTAGAATGTTGCATGTCTGGTTGTGCCGTATGTGTCTACGACCTGTACGATGAATCCCTGACTCAATATCGGGAAGCCGTTCAAACCCTACGCACCTCATTGGCCGCCATGAACGTACCCGAGCACGAGTGGCCCGAACACATACGAACGAAGTCCAAGAAGACTAAGCCAGTCATCCCCACGCAGAAGACTGTCAGCGTCGATGCCTTTGAAGAGATGGAGAGGAATTTGAGGCAGAAGAAGGAGCGCGAGCTGGATTTGTCAGCATCGACGAAGACAGAAAGTACAGCGGAGTCCCGGAGTTAGTGCATAGTTGCATTCCTTAGGCGGCTGGAGGCATGCTGATGGGAACGTTAGATGTCCCGTACGAGCTCGCTCCTGTGACTGCGTCAGACGATGAGACAACTGAGGTGGCGAGGAGAGCAATCAAGCCAGAGGTAAGGCGAAGGAGGAAGAAGAAGCGAGAAAAGCTGGATTGGGCATCAGTGTACGAAGGCTTACGCTGGGTATTATTCGCTCGGCGGTGACGAAGGTTAGACAAAAGTTCCTACTTATTACTCGTGCGTTGTACTTACCATTGACGTCTGATTGACTTACCGGTACAGTCTCCGGTGTATATCCACACCACTATATATCCACTCCTGGCTACTTCACGCAGCATCACGCTCCCGTTTCGTGAAATGTAAACTTAGGTAGCCCTCCGATCTCACCTATCTTTCGTATTAAACCTGGCCTTTGATCTGCTCTCTAGTACCACCACCACCCGTACAAGTAAGGTACCTCACATGTCGCTATATGGGACTGTATTTACATGTTAACTCTAGATTGCACTTACTGAACCTTTGGTAACCCTTCTCGCGCATCCCAACTATGCAGTCCGAGTCCATGCAAGTTAGACGTTGCGTATCTTCGTGCGGCCACTGTCGCCAGCGGTGACGGAGTGGCTCCTTTGGAGCTTCCCGATGGCGATCACGTCCTCGCGCAGGACTCTGACGGTCCTATTCTCTCAAGAAAGGACAAGGGGAAGGGAAAGGAAAAGGCAGCCGTGAGGATCAAGGAGTAGCCGATGACGGTGACGTTGCAACAGTTGTCGGAGCCTTCCTTTACGCATATGAGTATCCTCCCGGCTTCAAGAGTGCTTAGGTCGTGATAATGGGCCCGTTTTGAAGCGCAACGAGGACCATTGCTCTGCGTGTCGGTCTCTGGGCTCTTTGGTCTACTGTGATGGCTGCCCTCGAGCTTATCATCTCATCTGCCTCGACCCATCAATGAATGTGTCCGATGTCCCAGAGGGTGAAAATCGATGGTACTGTCCTTCTTGCAAGCTTCGCCAGGTGAGAACGACAGCTCGATAGCGTCGATTTCGTCTGCCCTGACCGCTCTCGTCGTAGCATCCGCCGCCGAAACCGCCACTGAATTTCTTCATGGCTCCTTTGGTCCAACACGTTCTAAATAGCACTCCGACAGAGTTCCAACTCCCCGATGATATCCGCACGTTCTTCAAAGGAGGTGAGTTATTGTTCATAGCTTTGTCCTCGCCGAGAGGCTCAGAATCTTCCAAAACAGTCGCCGCGAGCACACGGGGCGGTTACGTGGACACAACGCTCATCAAGCCCCCACGTCTCAAGTAAGCAACTTTATCACCACTATCCATAATATTGCGCGTTGATAACGCTCTGTTCCTCGCCTTCTTCTAGTCGCCACGGTGAGCCGGAAGATCGTGATCCCTATCGTACAAAGGACCGCAATGGCGCCCCCGTTCTCTGCTTCCGTTGTGGGTTTTCTGCCCTTCCAGATGGAATGGCTGTTACCGCTCCCGTATCCAAACGTCCTCGACGGGCTTCCACTCAGCCTTCGGTCTCTGAGCAGTGGAAGAGCATTGTCTCCTGCGACTACTGCTCTCTTCATTGGCATCTCGATTGTATCAACCCTCCATTGTTGACCATGCCTCCGTTGGATACGAAATGGATGTGCCCGAATCACACAGAACACACCTTCGTGGGTCTTTCTTGCCTACATATCTGGGGCCCCACTTTTTGATTAACGCCATTTATAGCGACACAATCCGCGAATACCAAAACAGAATGCTGCGCCGATCGATATCACGAAACCTGGACAACTCAGTAATGTGAACATCGAGATCAGCGAGCCGATTGAACCCACTTCGACACACGACAAAGTCCCTGTTGACGAGGTGTCCATCAATGGGCGACGTTATCGCATTCCGGGACGTACAGTCGTACTGGACTTCTGGCACAAGATCAATAAATATCGCAACCCTATGGCATAGTAAGTTTCATTGCGAGTCATCACGAGGATTATGGGACTGAAGATGCGTTTCTAGTCGTTCTGGCCTCGATAGCATAACGTCTTCTCCCTTGACGTCTCTCAGTGCTCTCGAAGACGAAACCCCTGCGCCTTCTCAAGCACCACTCCCACGTCCGTCTGTGAGCACCTTGGACGCCGAAGATTTGCGTCTAGCTTTGGTACGCTCTCATACACGTGTAATTTCTTACACTTGCTCATCCTTCATTCTAGCTCTTGGTGAACATGTCTGCGACCGAAATCACGTCAGAGTCACAACCCGGACCTGCTCAACCTTCGACTAGCACAACTCAGCCCACTCAGAACGGGCTTAACCACGCTGTCAATACCGCGCCCCAGACCAGCACCCAACAACCCGCCATTATCAACCGTCGTACCGACTCAAATAGCTCACGTATCACTGACAATCTTACCAAGCCTCAAGCACGCAAGGCCACGGAACCAAGCAATCAGGAGCCCGCTTCAGCCCCACCCACTGCAAGCTCATCCATCGTGGTGAAGTCCGAACCATGTACCGTTGTGATACCGCCTATGCGCAACCAGTGAGCGAAACGCCAGACTAAACGTCAGCCGGTGGTTCAGGCTCAGGCAGAGGGACAGGAGTCTGCCAGTGCGCCTGCTGCACCGGAGCGCAAGCAACCCGCTCGGGCCTCGAAGCGTGATGTCAAATATGTAAGACTTGTTCGCTGTAATACTCCTCACGATCATGTCTCTGACGAAATACTCTCTTCATGAAGGTCATCGCCCTGGACCTCAATGACTGGGCCGACGAGACCGCTCCTGTGGCGTCTACCTCACAACAACCCGTGCCAATGGACGTCGATACGCCTCCTCCGATTTCAACAGCCAAGAAGCCTTCAAGGACTCGTACGAAAAAGGTGGAGAAAGAGCCTCTTATACCTACTTCCCCTCTTACTCCCAAGAAAGCGGCAGCCTCAGGAGCTAAAGGTAGAGCAGTACACGCTGCCGCTGCCGCCTCGACATCTGCCTCGGCCCCTGTGCCTGCTCCTACCAACACATCTGCATCAATTCCCTCTCCGTCAAAACCTACTTACTCAGTCAATATCCGCCGTTCCCTCTTCCTGTCGTCATCTACATCCCTCAAGATCCGTCTGCCTCGTCTCGCGGACATTAATTTCGGTGCTCATGCGACTCATGCGAACTCAAACTCAAACTTTAAGTCTACGTCAGGTGCTGGTTCGTCAACTACGGGTGCTGCCGTGAGCGAAATTACAGTAAGTAAACTAACTTCAACGTTATATTCAAAGTCGAAACAGTCTGTCAAATGAAGGTTGCTTCTTTCGTCCTGTAAAACAGTGACTGTCCCTCTTCCAGAAAGACTTTTTGGGTCGAGCATCCGTATTTCCCACGTACCCCGTGACACTTAGCGTGAATACACATCTACGTCTGCATTCGCAGACGTCTGCGCTCTCATCCGATCCACAAGCTTCCACTCCATCCGACGGAGAAGAACGACAAACGGCTGACAGCGAGGCAGGCAGTATCAAGACAACATATAATTTCCTTCCCTCCGTCGACGAACGGACTGTCACAGCAGTCTGACCTTCTACTGAACCGCATGCTTCATAACCTTCATCTTCTTACATGACTTGATATCTTCACCCTCTCCGACATCCTCATTCCCTTCGTCGCTCGGGCCCAGCTCATCCTCCTTGACCATTTCGCCTCCCCTACGTCTTTTTGTACTCTTAATCTCGCTGGAACGCAACTCGCTTAAGCTCTTCTGTGTGTAGGGTTTGTCGTTAGGGTCCGCTGCCACCTCATGATCCATCTTAGGGTCGATAGCCCTCTTCCACTCCTCATTTTTCAAAGCCTCGCCCAAAACACCCAGTACCCAATCGTGTGTTGACCAGTGGTCTACCGCACCATCCTCTTCCATTACGACCGCGTGATGAAGCTCATCTACTAATGTTCCTAGACAACTTCTTAATGGTTCAGAGGCGAGCCGAATTCCAGCAGCCTTAGTTTCAATCGCGACTCTACCGCCTTGGATCAAGTTCTGTTTGTGTCGCCATTGATATGAAGGGGCGTCGAACCGCGCCAGGCAGTCTTTACGCTCTTCGGGTGTAATGGAGTTGCTCGCATGACGGATTGCCACCCACAATAGAACCCATAGGAAGGATTCAATATCGTCAGTGACGTGATGAGCTTTGCTGAGATCCTTGAGAAGGGCAAGCGACAGGAACTGCAATGTACCCTGCACGGTGTTGAGACAGCGGGTAGTAGAGAGAATAACAACATGACTTACCGTGCGCTCATTAGCTCGTTGCGGTGAATCATCTATCTTCGCGAACTCCCAATCGATGAGACGACCTTCTCCGTTGACGATGATAATGTTGCCAGACGAGATGTCGCGGTGGAGTACGCCCTTCTTAAACGCTGTATGATGTGCTGAGGCAACTTTATGGCATCAGCGTCATGTGCAAAGCGAATGAAAGGAAGAGACAAACATATCAACGCGTCCCGGACCGCGGTCACGTACTCATGAGTCGATCCAAAGTCGACCAGGGCTTTCCCAACCTCATTCAAAACAAGTCGATAGTGTACAAGCGTGCGGAGCGTCTCAGTCTCTCCACAACACTGAAAATGACCTCCAACATCTCCCGAAGCGACGACATCGAGGATATTTGGAACTTCCCTCTCTCGAAGCACTTTGTAGACCTCGTGCTCAGGAAGGTACTCTCCGTGGCGCCAAGTATCCTTCAATATGACACGACGTTTGTTGACGGGATCGTATGCGACGAAGCAGCGCGTACCGCGGCCGACGGGGTATGTATGAGTGCGAGTAAAGGGCTGGGAGACGTAGTAGTAGTCGCTGTCGGTGACGCGGACCTTGAAGAGAGGGACGTTGTTCTGAAGTCCGAGAAACTTGCGTGCACGAGGAGCCTCGACGTCCGAGTCTGACACAAGCTCGAAGGTGGTATCGAATCCGCGAAGGGCGCGATCAGCATGGCTGAGGCGCCAAAAGAAAGTGTAAAGGTCGTCGGACATCGTCCAGTCGAATAAAGGCGTAACTTGGGTACCACTGCGCGAGTGGCAAAGCAGCCGACAGAATCCTCTGCGGATGTAGAATGCGAAAACGCGAGTGCGCTGCTGAGTGGCTTGTATGGCATTGTGATACACCGTGAGTTGACCGCGTGCGAGCCGCGCTTGAGCTGAGTCGTGCTCGATCTGTTCTGATCCTGGAGCTTTGGAGAAAGGCTCATCTTTTGGGTCCACTTTGAATTCGCCGAAAGATTCCATTTTCGCTGCCTGGCAAGGACGACCTGGATCGTGCATAGCATCGGGGCTGTAGAGAGAGATATCGGGTTTCACTTCGTGGGGCCCAAAAATATTGCGAGAGTCCGCGTCTGCGTGATTAGATGTGTTGACAAGAACCCAGCCGTCCTTGAGGTAGGGGGTCATGTGTTCGATCTGCAAGACGATCAGAAAGTCGGAGACACAGAATAAAGATGAAGGACGCACAAATGGATTATACAAAGTACTTTCGTGTCCTGTCGACCAGTCAAACTCCCCGCGTTCTACATTCGGCATCCCGCCGTGTGCAGGAAGGAGACGAAGGAAATCATCGACGTTGATCTCCACGAATTTCCCCTTCATTTCCTTGGCTCCCTTATCGAATACATCATTTCGTAGGTCATGGGTTGAGGTGAATGGGTCGGTCGTGGTGAGGCTTGGGCGAAGAGGCGTAGACTTGGGCATCTCCGGTGTAATCTGTGGAGGCGGAGTGTTGGGTGGCGGTTGTCGGAATTTTTGGGAGCCGGATTATAAGGCCTTATAAGGCATTTAAGCCATTTCAGGCCGGCCGAGTCTGGTAATGATGACCAGGGGGGGTAAATCACATTATAAGCCCCCTTATAAGCGGGGCGCTTCTTAATAAATATTATGAATAAAAAGGGCCAGAAGGGGCCAGATCTCACGGCGCTTCGGGCACGCGGTCGGACATGCTAGTGTGGCCCTCTGTGGCCCCGCTCCTGCAAGCCGAGGAGTACAACAGCGATGATGATTGCAATTTGCTATATCTCGGCGGTAGAGCCACGGGTATAACGTTGAATGGTCACTTTCGTGGGTTGTGGCCATAGAGCGACATCCCAACGTTTGATTTGAGCGAGTTTGAAGGCATTTTCGAGCTGGGGGGCTCGGCGCGCATGCCTAATCGGGGAACAGAATCTTGCCACTTGATCGGGAGTGATTATAAGTTGTCGGCCCGGCTGATAAGAGCTTTTAAGGCCGGTCCAACCATGGTAATCGATCTTATCAGGCCATTGTAATCTAATCTACTTATAAGCTCCACGAAACTTTTCCGACATTGTGGCGGCGACTGAGACGGAGCACTGGTAGATCGAGACGTTGAATTGCTGACGAAGGGCAAAGTTGCGCACTTGCCACGACTAACGACGTGAAGATCGTTCACTAAGTTGCCAGTACCATATCCTACCATATCACGCGAGGAAGGCCCTTCAGAGTTTTTCTGCTTCTCAAGTCTTTATCACGGCTCCAGTGATTCCTCTGCGTGCGTAGCACGGGCTCGCTGCTAGTCATAAATACTCATGAACCATTAGAAGACAAATCAGCATCTGCACCCTCAATTTTTGCAACTTTCTTCACGCCTCCGTAAGTCGGTCCCAAACCAGACCATCACCATCTCGAACGGGGCTGTGTTACGTCTTTGTTGCGTCTACACAGGTCATCATCTTCGCGGATCAGGCGGTCTTGGAGCGCATTCTCTGCTCAGACAATCAGTATGCTTTGCCCATACAGAGCTCGCATCGTGCTGTCGGTTCCTCTCGTGTCCTGCGACCTCGTCCAATCAGCTCGTCTTTTGCAGTGGGACTAAAGTTCACTGCTCCCCTTCAATTCCCCTTCTCGTACCAGATGCACGGCCATGTCCTGGCGCAGTCCATCTACAGCCGATCGGCTGATTCCCAGCGTGCTATCCTTTCAGCGCATGTGATTCAAGTACCTATATTCATACATTCGTCCTCGGGTCCTCATTTGTTCTACTTTTCCGCGTGTTTGGCCTGTGTTTGGCCTTGTTGGATTCGGAGGCTGTCGCTGGCGTGTCGCGCGATAAGGTTATGGTTAGGTTGACCTGCCCCCGACACCGTCCTGATGTCTGACTGCTGGAGCCCGCCTTCGCCAGACATAAAGGTAACTCACCGTCCCTCGAATCGAGAATGCGCAGCATCAAGTGCCAAAATGTCGGATCCACTTGATAGATAGACAATACAATTCGTAAGCGTGATATTGTACACAGACTGAAGCTCAAAAGTCCTCAAAGATGGCGAACCACGTTCAATGCCGCATCGAATTCGGAGTACCCAGCCACTTCTCGTAACTGAACCCGCCCCACGTTGATGTCGCCGGTGCTTCCATTGACAATGGTGCTTCTGCAACAGCTGCACGCTGCATGTACGCCATGGAAGTATCGTCCAGTCCGTCGTCAAACATAGTAATCTCCCCCGAGGTGAGCTGGACGGCGGAAGAATATTTCTGGATGTCTTTTTTGCTTGGGCCTGAGTCAGAATCGGCCATGTCCTGGCATTGATCAATGTATCTTTGAACATATTTTGTCAGTCGATACTAGATGTCATGCTCGTGAGAGGAATCAAGAAAGATGAGACGCACCGTTGGTATTCAGCCTCTTCCTCCTCAGACACGGTAGGATCGAGGAGTTGGAGCGCTATTTTTCCCGTGAAGAGTTGGTCTGGCTCGTTGAGGTTGGGTTTGCCGTAGGCCGCAGCCTTTAACGTAGATACCCGATGAGAGTGGTGGAGGTTAGACATGGAGTTGGCACTGATCCATCGACGAACACCGTTTATCAGCCTACAAAGGGGCAGGTCGGTGAGCACTGTGTTCAATGGGGAAAAAAGGCTTGTGGTCATACCATGGTGGCTGTGGGGAAGTATGATGGGGGTGAAAAGGACTCTGATTCACGTCGCGCAAGGTTTTTCTGATGCCGCACTTTAATTAGCATTTCTCGAGACCTTGGCAATAGATAACCGAACGAGCTCTCACCCCGGAAGCTTCAATGTACTGTTCATGGAATACGCAAAATGCTTTCCCAAAGAAGTGAATAATAGGGGCCTATAATACTCTACCCAAAACTCTCGTGACATCTCGACGAACTGGTTGATCCCTGCCTCGCAAGCCTCGAGTGCGTATCCCGCTTCGAGATGTCTAGGGTCATACCATTCTTGATAGCCAGAGCGTTTGACCTTGCGGACGGTGACGGCGTCAGGCTGAATGCCGAGGAACAGGTTAATGGCGGCTTGTTTGTCGGCATCTGTCCGAGTGAGATATTTTTGAGCATATATGTATACATAAGCTACATGAGTTGTACGCACCAAGGAGAGAGTTGGTGTAAAAGCGCCGGAAATTTTCGATGATGTCGCGTGAGTGACTGTTCCAGTGCGGAATACGGCGATAGGTCTCCACACGATTGACGAGAGCACTGCCAGTATACTGTAAAGCAAGAACTGCAGAAGCGTGGCGTCAAAACTCGTCTCAAACACCTCTTCACAGCACGTACTGTCGCCGTGGTCGTGATACATCTCGGTCAACATATTCACTGAATCTGAATCGAAGGCTAGGTTGGGACTGTCGACGATGCCAAGGACATATAACTGATGTCCTAACGCGCGCTTTCCGAAAACGAACTGAGCTGCATTCGTGCGGTCCAAACAATCGACGCAATTGGTCCGACAGATCCCATTCTGAAGAAGCATGCTGTCTCGCCACTGTGGCGCAGACCTAGAAAGGGGGCGAGTGTTGAGTTGAAACTTCCGATGCGGGAAGAATATGGCGACTTACCCGTCCGCACTACGAAGGTAATGCGAATAGGGCTCAGAACCTGAGTGGAAGAAGCCTGACATCTGGATTGATTCTTCGGCGAGATCTTCGAGATAGCCGATCACATCCTGACTTTTCCTGGAGGGCGAGACAGTGTCAGATTCGTACTCCTGCAAAGGACGTTGGCTCGACACCGACTCTTTGTAGGCACGAGACATATCCCATGGTCTGTACTCCATCTTTTTACCCGCCGGCAAAAATTGGTTCAAATAGTCAACACAGCGGGTGTACTCGTCCAGTAGTTTAGACTCGCGCGGTTGAGGTTCCCGGCACTTGATAAGATTGAGGATCATGATTGGTGCTCCATAACGTTTGAAGAGATCGTCGAAGTGTTTAGCTGCGGCGGTGAAGAAAGGGTCGACGACGCTGACTGGTGAAAATGTGAGACACGTCGTATTGCGGCAGAGAGGACAGAGTAGAAGGCTCACTTTCGATGGGAGGCTTCGGAATCATGCTATTCTGCTCCTGGACCCAGTAGATAGGAATACTACCTCTATACTGTATCTTAGCTTAGTGACAGTATGGGCAGGAAGGGAGCAGGGTCGTTACCTGGACGTAACTGGTGTAGTGTGGGTTCAGCCTGCGGTTGTCTGGTTTCTGCGACTGAAATCGTGTGGCAGGGTAGTAGAACGGAGTAGTCAACGCCTCAGAGACGATCTGCTCCGTTTCAACTTCGTTGGCTACATTTCCCTGGTAAAAATTCGGATGAGCCGTGATCCTGTACGGTGCAGAGCAGACAGGTGTCTAGCGCACCTCGTCATTCACTCCTCGCTTTAGGTACCGTGCGCCAGCATAATGTCGGGATCTACGTGCGATGAGGGTCACATAGACGACGCGACCAAGGACCGACAATTCTACGACCTCTAGTGTGAGCAAGAAGACAGAAAAGCATTCCAGTGAACTCACTCGCTTGGTCAACATGTCCATGTATCAGAGGCAGAACCCAGTGTATCTTAGATGGTGAAGCTTGCTGACTCTCAAACGCAGCGGCGAACATGCGGTAGTTCCAGACATAACGATCGTTAAAGGGCCATGAGCCTTCGAGGGATACATTGCTTGACGTTAAATTGGCTTGGAGGGTGGAAGTGATGTCGTAGGTATAGCTAGATCACGCCAGCTGAGCAATAGCATAATAAGGGAAACGTGAAAGATGGATGAACCTGAAGTAGAAGTTCTTTGACATGTCGACTTGCTTGAATATACTCATCAATCTCTGCTCCTCTCCGGGCTTGTCTATTCGGTGCACGGATGGTATTGGGATGATTTCTGTGTTCTCGCAGTGATATAGATAATGGCCACCGAGAAGTGCTACAACAGAACGCTTTGTAATGACCACCATATACCATCCGGCGGTGAATTTAATGAAGCCTAAGACCATACGTGAAAACAACTTCGGGCAACGGGTGGTCCAGAGCGCGTACCAACGATACCAAAGAATACCTTTGGCTTCCCCAAACCTCCCGAACCCTTGTTACCGTCCTCCAGCATCTTCAACATGGCAGTCATTTGCTTCCCCGTATATGCAGCTTCATCCTCCACGACGAGGAGCTCATCCTGGGAAGTGCGGTCAACCTTGACGATGCGGTGGCATGAGTCGGAGGTGTTGGATGCGACAATGTAGAAACGGAGACGGTTCTCATAAAGTATAAACTTGTTGAACCCATGGACTTTGTTGATGTCGTAAGAGGGCCCGAACAGCGGCTTTCTGAACAAGCTAGTGGACGCAGAGAAGTTCGGGCTCTTCATAGACGAGAGGGGTATGATGGGGGTGGTGGGGGTGGCTGGCGTTACCGAGCCACTCGGCACATAGGTCGAGCTACCTGGTGCAGGAGAATCGGACATTATTGAAGCGTGTCGTCTGTCATAACCGTGCAGAACGTGGATGTCGTCCACAACAAGGTTCCAGCCGATGTGGCACAGTCTGATCGCCGTGGAGCCACCTAAACGAGACGCGTTTATGCAGCGCGTCTGCAACCGGCGGTCCCGGCCCGCCACCTCCTCGTCCCCCTCATCTTGTTCTCTGACGTCCGATTCTATCCTGTTGTAATTCAGTGGCCCGTCTGGACTTAGCATCGTGTTCTAGTCTCCTCAAATAGCCAATCTTCTTATCATACGGCTTGTAGCACCTCTTGACGATATCTTACCAGCTCGGGGAATATGTCGGATGACCATGCCAATACCCAGTTTCCGCTAGGCTGTGAACCAGACGAGGTAACTCTACCCGTCTATATATCAATACCATGCCCCACTCATCTCTTCCACTACAGTCTAAGGTGTCTGGTGATGAGGGTGAGGTCTACGTATTTGAATGGCTGTCCGCTACCGAACGCGCCTTGAAGGAAGCACCTGTAGTACGTTCATGTACTGCCAACTGCTCTCATATACTTCTTCATAATGTTCTAGGAAGATGTCAAGTCATCGCAGTCCACATTAGAGTCTTCACTCATCAAAATAATCACCGTCCGTGACCCATACCCTCCTCCAGGCAGACCTCTACGCAGCCTCGTCGCGAAATGCTTCGTACTTCTCTACACTCGTGGAGATTCCAAGACCTTATTTGACACCCTCATATCCTGCCTGAAAGTAGTTGGTGACTTTAAGGCTCCAACGGAAAGGGATGCAAACAAGATGTGCGTATCTATCCAGTCGAGTGTCTGTATTATACTCACTTGTACACTAGTGCCTGCCTCTACTGTGTTGGTGAACTTATGGCTTCGTCAGGGGCGCAAGTCATGTCTTTCATGACCGAGATTGCGATTTTATGCTTGAAGACATATAAATCGTCCAACGTGAGTCATGTAACCCTTCGTCGACAAGTTTGTCATCTCTGACCTCTATCCAAGTCAATCAATCTTCGCTACAACGCTGTGGTCACGATCAGAAAAGCGTTGACAACAGCTCGAAGAGCGGCTACAGACTCAGTCGTTAAAGACATCATCAAACAAATGAAATACGGTCTCTCTGACAAGGCTCTGCCTATCCGACGCGCTGCATCCGACGTACGGCTGTTCGTCTTCGTCTCGGGTCTTTGAATAACGTTCGAGCTCATCTCTCTTCCAGGTCTTGGCTGTCCTTTATCCTCTTTCTGGCAGCGACTGGACCACTTCCGAAGTCGAGTCTGTCATCACCCTCTGTGTGCGGAGCTTGGATAGCTCAGATCAGGTCACTCGACATTCGCTTGCCACCCTCGTCGCGACGGTGCTAGCTTCAAGTCAGACGGAGATTATCATAACATCCAATCCGGATTCGTCGAAAAAGTCCAAGAAGCCGGAGGGCGAGGACGACAACGATTTACCGCAGATCACCCCGACAACGACTACGAAAACGCTCTACACCCTTCCCGAGATGTTTCAGCAGCTGTCTGGCCATTTCAACAAACCGCAGACCTCACACAAGACCCGTGTCGGAATCTTCAGTTTCTATATTGCCTTGCTCACGAAGTTGGGGCCTTCTTTTGTGGAGACCAACTACGCCCAGATAGTGCACCACTTCATCTACGACGTGATCAATAACCCACGGAACAGCTCGACCCGTTATACGGTCCTCCTCCTTCGCAGACTCGTTGGAATCACCTTGCGCGATTTAGTGGGAGTCCGAATGCTGAGCGAACAGGCACAAATCGGAGCCATCCAAGAACTTTCGAACGCATATCTCAAGCGATGGCCTGCGCTCATGCCTGGTCAAACCTCACCGAGCCCTCATGCCCTCGCCACCGTGCTGAAAGAAGTCGCTGGTCTGTTGCAGCAGCTTGGCAATGCACCACCACCCGTACAAGTGAGGCACCTCATATGTCGCTATATGGGACTGTATTCATATGTTAACTCTAGATTGCACTTGCTGAACCTTTGGTAACCCTTCTCGGGCATCCCAATCATACGGTCCGAGTCCATGCAAGTTGGACGTTGCGTATCTTCTGTTATTCGGCTCCGCTTCGCTTGCCCAAGATTTTGATCAACGTCATGGACCTTCTCCAGCGAGATATCAGCTTGATGACCAGCCAGAGCGCTCCCGCCGACCTTCATACCCGTGCTCTTGGCCACGCATACGGACTTGCCGCATTGGTTACTGTCATACCGCAGAAGCCTTTGTACGTTTCCTACGACATTACTGCCAAAGTCCTTGACATGGCCATACAGCTCCTCAAACGAGCTGGGGATCACGATGTCAAGATCGCTGGTGTTGAGGTGGAAATCGCATGGACCTGCATCGCGTCGCTCATGACGCTCGGCCCAAATTTCGTTCGGGCTTATCTTCCTCAGCTGCTCGTCCTGTGGCGAAATGCACTTCCTAAGCCCACGAACAAAGATACGACCAGCGGTTCAGGCCGGACGCTCTCGGAATGGTCGTTTCTCCTCCACGTTCGAGAAAGCGCTCTCGGCGCGATCTTGTGTTTCCTACAGCACAACTCCCCAACACTCGTAACGCTCGATGTGGCCCGTCGTATAGCGACGATGCTTGGCAACGCTTTCCTCTTTGCCAACGCATTCGCCTCGCAGCACATCGAGGAGCCCGAGACTGAGACACCATCTAAAGACATATCCATCCGATCCCGCGAAGCCCTGCTGCGCCGCCGAGTCTTCCAGTGTTTCTCAGTCCTGGGTGTTAGTTCGGTTCCTGAGACCACGCAGAACACCCTCCTCCAATCGGTGATATCTCTTGTCGCCAGCGCAGATGGTTATATGGGTTCTTCTGTCCAGGCGGCCATCACATCGTCGTCCGGTTCGTTCACTTCACTTTGGCAAACATTTGACGGTTATGCGTACGGGGTTACGGGTCTTCAGTTCGAGGAAGGTTCCACAAGCGGCTCCGATGTCGATTCTATAGGTGGCAAAGAGCGTCTAAACCGAGACTCTATAGAAGCATCCGTCAATCAACTGGTAATAATGCCCTTCCTACTCCGTCTTGAACCGGAACTAATTTCGAACATAGTTGAGCAGCCCAATCCTGCAGTCATGCGAGCATGATTCCCTTTCTGTCTGTCAATCGGGCACTTTCGACTCGGAGACTTGGTGGCCAGAATTCCCTCCAGCTGTTACAGCAGTCGTCGATGCTGGCCTACACCTATTCGCTCGATTACTTCCTCTACAAGATATCTCGTCCGCGTCCCGCACCATTGGGCAGCTCATAGAGGCAGCTCGATCTCCCAAATTTGACAAGAATGTGGGTCGTAAAGCCGCAGCTTTTGTCAATGCAAATGCTGCAATTTTGTTGTCCTTGCGGCAAGCCATGTCCTCTCCTTCTCGACAGAGCCGAGACGTCTTTGGAAGCCATCAGATGACCTCCGCTTTATCGCCCTTCTTGAAGGTAAAGTCGCCCTTATAACCACGAAACGCTGTATTGATCGCCTTTACAGGATGCCCTCGTCGACGGAGACCCAAATCTGCGCACGCTCAGCAGCGAAGCTATCGGCTGCCTAGCAGGCTTCGCCGACAACACATTCTTAGCGACGCAGATGAAGGCATTGGTTGATCAAGTCGTAAACAACCGTGATCCTCAAGGTCGAGCAGGATGTGCCCTTGCCCTGGGCGCGATATACGAAAATGTTGGTAGTCTGGCCGCCGCACCATTACTGAAGACCACGGTCAACATCTTGATGTCGCTGAGCAAGGACGCACATCCAGTGGTTCACTTCTGGGCTTTGCATGCCTTAGCGAGAGTTGTCAATGCGGCGAGTCTGGCATACGCCCCTCACGTAGCAAGCACGCTGGGCATGCTGTTCAAGATCTACATGCTGGAATCTCACGAGCTCGAAGGCGGGACATTACTGAACGCGAACATGGGTGGAGACCTTCCTGCGTACCAAGTCGCCTGTCAGATCATCGACGCCCTCATCTCTGTTCTCGGCCCCGACATCCAAGAGTCCTCGAGGACACGGACATTGATTTTAGATCTAGTACATCAATTCCTCGACGAGGACGACGAAGGCATATGTGTAGAGGCCATTAAGTGTATCCAGCACTTCCTCATGTTTGCACCTGAGCATGTCAAGGTTCCCGAACTGATCACTCAGTTCCGTACACATCTAAACTCATCACGAAGGCCGCTCAAGCTCGCCTCCATTCATGCACTGTACCAGCTCGTCCAGAAGGACGCTCTCCTGATCTCAAAAGTCGGTGGGGATCGACTAGTAGAGGAACTCTTCGCCATGTTGGACGAGGACGCATCGATTGAAGGGGTTCGCAAGGTCATCTCCAGCTGGCTCCAGCAAACTGTGATCTATAATCCTTCGGCGTGGATAGACTTGTGTCAGAAGATCATGTCGAGGACCACCGCCTCGCAGCAGGTAACGGACGCAGCAGCCAAAGGCGCAGGTGGCTACGACGACGAGGGCGAATCACTGAGTACTGGGATGTCGCAGGATTCGGTTTCTGCGGCGTCCGGTCGCCTCACGTCTCGCTGGAGGACGCAGCTGTTCGCTCTGCAGTGTCTGCACGATATCTGCATCATCGTTTCACGGTCAGGACGGAAAGAACAGCTTGACATCGCATACGCACGTCAACTTGGCCTACCGATCAAAGGACTCCTCGTCTCTCGCGTATCAGACCTCATCAGGATGGCTTTCACTGCATCTACCGCATATGTGACGGAGATTCGACTAGAGGGTTTGATTGTACTCCGGGATGTGATTGAAGTAGGGCATATTGTTTCTCATTATGATACTCAAATCTGACACTCTCGTCTGCAGACTTTCGCCAAAACGCCAGATCCGGATTACGAAGACGCCTTCCTGTTGGAACAGCACCAGGCTCCGATAACCGCTGCCCTCACACCTGCCTTTTCTTCGGATTCGACTCCTGAAATCTTGGCGTCTGCTATCGGAGCGTGTGCGGTTTTTGTTGGCTGTGGTATTGTGAAGGACGTGACCAGAATGGGACGTATCTTGAAGTTACTCACGTCGGCTCTCGAACAGTGTAAAGGTAAAGAGTTCGCGTATTTGGAGTTTAAGAGAAGAACTCATCATTCTCCGATACTCTAGGCTCTGCTATGCTCTCACTTGGCGAAGCAGGGGAAGGAAGTCCTAACGCATCTGCAATGTTGCGTATATCCACTCTATCAGCATGGGCAGAGCTGGCCCACGCGAGCCAGGCGCAGGCATACCTCAAAAAAGTTGTCGGTCCTTACAGTCCAGCGCTGGTCCCGCTCTGGGTGGCAGCTTTACGGGATTACGCTAGTATCCGAGCAGGTGCTGAACTCGGTCAAGAAACATCCTCCGCTCCCCTCGACACCGCCTACGCAAATCTCGGAAAGGATATCCTTTTGCCCGTACGTGTCCCAGATCGCTAGCAGTGCTGTGGTCGCTGACATGCGTTCTACAGTATTATGCTGAGGCATGGCCCATGATCTTGCAAGCTGTTGCATCTGCGATGGACGCTCATGATCCCGGTGTGCAAGCAGCAATGGATGGTCTTGAGAATCCCGACCCTGTCACTACGAACGGCACACCCACTGCTCCTCGAACAGAACCGACTACACTCTTTTTCGTGATTTTTGGCCTTGTGTATGAGGCTCTATCCGTGAACTCCTCAGACTCCCCATCCGCACAGCGAAGCACGCTTTCGCTCATTGCAATGCGCACCCTGAAGAATCTTGTTCGTCCGGAATACGCAGGAACTGCTCTACTGGATGGCCCGATCTTCGACGAGCTCATTAGCCTCTGGTATCGCATGGCCATGACGGAGACACCAACACTGCAAATCCACCTGCTAGAAACGGTCTCGGCTTTCGCAGTCAGTTACCGTGGCCACGTCACATCCGAGTGCGTCCCAATCGAGTTCATATTCGTGGCCCTTCTTCATTGTTCCTTTTTTTAGAGGTTCAACAACGCCTTCCATGCACTGTCTACGCATATGTGCATATATACTGAGGAACGCTCTTCCAGGCTCCACCCATGTATCCAGAAGTAAGTTCGCCCTTGTCATCTCTTATTACTGGTCTCACATCTATGTAGGCGGTGTTGCAAACGTTGCCGACCGTACCCAACTGATCAAGACTGCCTTCGAGACCTTCTCTTCCATCGCCACGTCGTTCGATGCCGGAATGCAGGAGGAAGTGAGAACAGTCGCAGTATCACTCTATGGAGGTGAGCAGCTGTCTGTCGGCACCCGATTTGAATGGCTAAATATTTTTTTTGGCAGACCTTCTCAAGGACGAAAGCTCTCAAATCGATTTGGCTGGTCCAACTCTACAGTCGTTGAAGTCCCTTCTTGCGCAAACACCGACCAATCCGAAAGCTCTAGAGCAGTTTGCCAGACTCGTACATGGTCTTCTTTCTGCGTGTTTGATCAACATTGACGAAATCAGGTCAGTCTTTCGTGCCGGTCAAGTTTTGCCATAAAGAGGCTCACATAAGCGTGTCCAGAGGAAGGACAGGCATCATCTCTGCAAACAAGGCCAAGAACAACTTCCTAGCCGCCGTCCTTGTTCTGACTGTGGTGCCACCGTCGGTCAAAGTTAGTCGTGGAGTGGTATCTAGATGTTGTTTCCTCATTTCCGAAAGGTTGGCGGAAGCTCAAGAGGTCAGTGCTCGCTTTTCATGCATTCGATAATAGCTCTCATCTATGAGTCGAACGATAGATGGCTCTCACTGCCGCTCACTGCGCAAAAACGCTCATCGCCGCCTCTAGCACGGGTAGCACCCTTCTACACCAATGTGCCAAGCTCCTTATTCCTGGAATGGTAGAATACCTCGCGAAAGTTGCTGCTATCCGCGGAGATGCTGCCACTCTGCAGAAGCATGTGCTTGCTGCTGGAGAAGTTGTCAAAGCCTTCGGGGTCTTGTTCACGAGTGTAGCCGAAGAAATTCGTACGTTATACGTCCCCCCTGCGTGGAATTAAGCTGATGTTATATTATTCCGATAGGTGTTAGAGTACTCGGCATTCTTCTGCCGGTTCTGACGCTGTTGCTTGATCCAGACGAGGCAAACGGACCGATACATACCCAAGCGCTCACGCAACTGCTATCATTCGCTTCGACCTCGCCAGCAGCCTTCAAAGAGGCCACTGCAAAGCTGGAGCCATCGACACGAGAACGATTGGAGAGTTCGATAAGACAGGCGTTGGGTGCGAAAGCTTCTGCGCAGAGTCAGGTCGCGAAGCCGCAGATCTCGCTGCGGTCCTTCTGAAGACCGTGCTCGGAGATTGTCCTGTGATGTCGCATCATTTCTCATACCTTCACTCGAACTTGCTGTGTATTTCGTCTCGGGTTCTAATGTGTATTTTTAATTATTTTCAAAACGGATCGAGCAGGAGAGAACGAGCGTCTGTACGTGTGGCTTTTACAACAAATTGTGCCCTAGTGGCACGTACTACATCCTTGTCTGGTTCAGGCTTGCTCGGTGCTACAACTGGTTGTCGGCTTTTACGCAAACGCCGATGACTGCCTTCAAAGTTCCCCTCAAAGTCAGTGTGGATACACCATCGCGGTCTGCGGGGCGGGTTTTCTCAATTCTGACCCACCTCGCCCGAAAATATGATCCACATCGTTCGCGATGTATATAACAAGGCGTAGACTTGGCCTCGAGACCTGAGATCACTATGTCCGACATCCGATCCGTATGGTTAGAGAAACTGAGAGCCAGCCAGGCTGCTCCGTTGCCTGAGTTAGAGCCAGGCGATGTGAGCGGACAAACGGTCGTCGTGACTGGGGGAAATACCGGTAAGTTCGTCCTGTCAATGTGCTCAGTGTCACATCTCCGTCGTACTGCCACTCACGGTTGATGTCTGACTATATTGATGTCGATTCAAGGTATCGGCTACGGAATCGCCAAATACTACGCCTCACACGGCGCCGCGAAGGTCGTCCTAGCCTGCCGCAACGAGTCCAAAGGACGTGCGGCGGCGGAGGCTTTGACGAACGAGGCGAAGAGAGAACCGGGAGCGGTCGAGTATTGGCACCTTGATTTGGTGTCGCTGGCCTCTGTGTGTGCGTTCGCGAGAACGTATGAGGAGAGTGGCATGTCATTGCATAGGTTGTTCCAGAATGCGGCGGTTAATTGTGTGGGGAAGATCTATACGGAGGATGGATTCGATATGGTGTGAGTTCATTTACTGTAACTTCATACTTACCTGCCATAACGAAGACTCCGTCTGATTTTATTTTGTTTTGCACTGAAAGTCTGCAGGTGAACCATCTCAGCCCGATCTACCTCTCCATCCTCCTCTTCCCCATCCTCGAAAAGACAGGGATCTCAAGCGGCGTGGACAAGCCCGCGCGCATCGTCTGGACATCGACCTCAGGCGTCTACATGGGCGAACTCCCAGAAGCGTCTTCGCCGCATCCCGTCGAAGCATTCTCGAAGCGGGATATCCTACCACATGAGGAATATATTCACGAGGTAGAACATTACGGGATGTCAAAGCTCATCGCGTTCATATGCGCCAGCGAGCTCGTGCGCCAGATGCAGGCCTCTGAATCTTCTCCTTCCGAGACGCCGTGTGTTGTGTTGGGAAAGGCGAATCCGGGACTGGTGCGCACGGAATTGGGACAGAAGAACGTGGAGGGCGAGGATTTTAGGCCGAGAGATATAGAGCGTAAGTACGGTGTTAGGGCGAGGACGTGGGACGAGGGCGCGAGGGCGGTGGTGCTGCTGGGGACGTACCCGGTGGACAAGATATGGGCGAAGGGGACGGGCAGGGTTCCGTTTTATGATGATATGAAGGAGAGAGAGGATAGGCCGGTGCAGTTGGAGGATGAAGATTTGAGGAGGCGCATTTGGGAGGATACGGTGAGGATGGTAGGACTGGGGGCGGGGGACGTGGATGCACGGTTTTTGGCTTGAGATTGGGGAATTCTATCCGTGGATCCATGTTATGAAGCAGACGATTCACAAGAATACAGAGCTCTGTTGGGTATGGTAAGGAGTACATATTTGTCTAGCAGAAGAGATAACAGACGATGTCGGAGAACGACTGGAGATGATACAATCACAACACGAAGGTCAGGACAGACACAGAGAAACACAAGAAGCGCGAGCAGGACAGCAAGAAATATAGCACAACCCAAGGGGCAGCGGAACACAGAGTAATGCGAGACATTCAACAGACCATGGTGCCGCGACACGAGAACGTCAAAAGCGAGATCAGTCACTAGAATCCTTCAGCGGCGCAGCCTTGCGCTTCGTTCGCAATCCCCACCAGTCACTCTTCTCCGGATGCATCGCGACCTGCGACCAGCCAAGATCAGTCCCTTTCGGCGTCATGATCTTGGCCAAGAGAGCCGCCCTCTCCGCCCACTTTCTCGCGCCGTCTCCGTCCTCGATCGCACAACACGCCTTGACAAGCTTCTGCAACAACCCCGGCCACACCTTTTCGCAGAACCAGGTCTCCGCATCGAGCATCTCGACATAGCGCACACACTCTTTGATAATATAGTCATCGGGCAGGCTGAGATCTTCGACCCAGGCTTTGAGCTCAGCGTCGATTTTGGCGTAATAGGCGGCTGCATCGGCGACTTTGGTGGGAGGTCTGGTCGCGGTTGCGAGGTGGAACTTGGGCTGGAGCGCAGAGACGATGTTGCGACGGATGTCGGAGCGTGCGCTTTCGGCTTTTGGGAGGGAGCATGTGGGGCAGGTGCAGGTGAAGGAGTATTTGTCGAGGAGTTCGGCGCGTCGCTTCGTTCGACTTTCGAGGGGCCAGCCGAGGTAGGAGATGGTGACTTGCTCGCCTGCCGCAATAGGTTTGAGGGCGCGAACGGTGAAGGTGAACGAGTCTAGGTCCCAGGAGACACATGCATTGGGACAGCAGCTGCGAGATCGTGGTATGCAGGCGTTAGCATGGGATGAACCGTCTTGAATATGATTAGCAAAAGAAATAAAAAGTTCTATCACCTGTGGTTGATGCGAGAAGCGATGGCCGCGACTCCAAGCCAATCTTGAGTCATCAGTCCAGGCAGAGGCCCGATAGGCAGAGCGTTGGTGTCCATAATGCCCTTGAGGGGGTTCGGTTCATTGGGCTTGCAATTGGACAGAGCCCGATACTGGGAATCACCAGGTGGGAGGATACGATCGACAACATGGTTGACGATCGTCTGCCCGAGGTTGCGGCCGTCGTTTATGATGGGGGTAATGCTGGGCATGACCAAGAGCGGACGTTCTGTGAGCAGGATGTCGCCCGGTTGGCGGGAGACGGAGGCGAACAAGCCCTTGCCCACGCCGGGAACATCGGCGACGCGAGTGTATCTCCAAGGTGCGTTGTAGTCATACGAGCTCGGAAAGCCGGGAAGAGCAAGAATAGCCTCTTTTATGCCGGTGAAGAGGAGGCAGGTCGTGGGAGCTTCGAGAGAAAAGGCAGGTAGAATAGGGAGTTGCGTGATAACGTAGTCTAAAGTGCGTTGTTTTGCGCGGCGGGTGAACTCCTTGAGTATAACGCTGTGGTGTGGTACATCGTATACTCCGATAGCTGGACCAGTAGGTATCTTGACGCTGGCCGCAGCGGTGTCGGAGGAGAGGGTCACGTCGGGTGCGATGGCGGGCACACCGCGCGGGAGAGGAACATCTTCGACGTCCACTTTGCTGGATTCATTGCTGGCAGCAGGAGCGGTCTGCTGCTTCTGCTGCTTCTTGCGAGCGGCCGGTTGGTTGAGGAATCCTCTGCGCATGGGTGGATGTCGCGGAGAAGGACAAGTTGAAAGGGGCCAAGTTCGCGCCACCGACGCGTGTCGACGCGCTGTTTGCGCGTGTTTGGCAACCGCGTCTTGTCTGCACACCGTGTTCGGTCTGCGTTTCGTTCAGCTAACGGCGACATGGCGAACCGGATCCTGGTCGGCGCACATCTCTCGTCGCTGTACTCGCCTGAGCACATCCGCATCGTCCCAGTCAACACCTCACGCCGCAATGTCCCTTTGCCACCGCCACCCACAGAGTCGGACCCCCCACCAGAACACTGTCTTCATGCCTCCACATTCTACTCGCAGGAGACCGGCACGATCTACATTCGCCTCCTCCACGATGGCCTTGTCCTAGAGCTGCTCACCCTCACCAACGACACAAAGCCAATCCGCTTCGTCTTTCCATCCCCTGTCATACCCGCCCCGTCCATCGGCATCGTTGGCAGCGAACTCCACGTTCTCGCACTCACCTCTGCAGGCTCCCTATATCGCCTCACTCTGCCCTGCAGGCCGCCGCGCTTATGGTTAGAGCCGTCGACACCTGACTGGCAATACGAATACCACCTCAAAAATCCTCAACTTCTCACGAACGCTGTTGTTCAGGTTCAAGACCTCGACACCGTTTTTGTTGGTCTTGCAAATGGCTCTCTCTTGCGTCTCACCTGTAACGTATCAGATGACCGTAAGTGCTGCATCATTCTGCTTCCACCCGCTTCCCATTCAACCAAGCCACTTACGACGCATGCTTGCTCCTAGTTCCATGGACGGAGCAGCCAGAGTACCCGTCTTCATTCCTCTCCAGCTTCGCGTCCTTCCTCCCCGTCCATCATTCCTCCCCCACCGACTCTCAAATCATATCCATTGCATGCTCGGAGCACGAAGATTTTACTCAATACGCCTGGACCCTCTCCAGAGACCGTACCCTACGCTTTTGGGCCCCCGGACGTGGCTGCATTGGCACCAAAACCCTGCTGACGTCCCTGTCTTCTGGACGGGAAGTCACCCCCTTTCCTATCCGTTCCGGTACACCTAAACCGGTCGTTCTCCTCGACCCCGAACCACAAAAGCTTCTCAGCGTTTTCTTCCACCCTCCGACGTCCTATGAATCAGATGTCTATGTTCTTGCGTTCGTCCCAACACCATCCTCCACCGTGTCCGGCGGTTTCTTCCAGCTCTTCTCCGCATCCCACGACGCGCTTACGCTCTTTGATACCATTGAGTGCTCACAGACAAGTGTGCACTCTCATCTGCGGGATTTCGCCGTCGTTGGAAACAAGCTATACACTCTTTGGGACCGTCAAGGCGTGTCCGCAGTTGAAACCGTCGACGTTCCTCTCGGAGAGACAGAACTGATGGACAGGACGTGGTACGAGTCTACCTATCCATACGAGCCAGAGCTCACGCCGGCATACTTGGACGAGCGGCTGCTCTCCCCGGGCTCAATGACCGACAAACTCTTTTCAGCCATCATGCGTCCCGGCACGTTCTCTGCTTTCACCCTCAGCACCGCCATCCAACGATACACCGACGCTTGCCTGTCCATTCCCGGTCCCCCTCCCCCTCCGCAGCTCACGACAACGTATGGTTCGGTGGGCGAAAAGATCGCGGCCGTAGTTGGATGTACGATTCAGTTGACGAGAGATCCGTTGACGGGCGCGCCTCAACATGAAAAGTACTGGACGACGCTCAAGAGGGATTGGGAGGGCTTCATCGCCCGGTGTAGGGAGATCGAGAGGAGTGCTCGTTGGCCTGTCGCTCTAGGCGTCAGTGACTCTGGCGAGATCACGGTCGTCGAAAGGGAGCGCGTCAGCCTTCTGCTCGAGGACGACATGGCCATTCGGACTCATCGCATGCTTCGAGCTGACTGCGAGCTGGCACGGGTTTGGGTGCTTCCCAAGATCGCCTGGACGTTGTACACTCAGCTAGGGCGGAGAACGGTTCGGAACCTCGAGGACGCCGTCATCGATCTCGCGCACCAGGAAATTGCCTTCCCATTCCACGACATCATCCCGCATCAGGCGCAGAAGCATCTGATCAAGGAGGACATCGACGAAGGCCTTGAGAGCTGGATGAGCGGCCGGGTGCAGAGTGTGGAGGATTACGACGAGTCGGCGAAGTGGGCCCTCGACCTGATCGGTGGGCTAGAGTTCGTCGTCAAACGGGAAGAAGACGAGGTCCTGATGCTCTTGCCGCAGAGCAATTCGTCGGAATGGTACAGGGCGCTGACCGCGAACTTCATCTCGTATTCCGCCCACGCGCGGTACGAATTCTGCCTGAGCATCATCATCTTGCTCTTCTTCCTCTCCGACGAGATCCACGAATGGTCGTCTACGGTTTTGGCAGAGCTCTTTGCGGTGTTCAGGGGCTCGGCAATGCTGCAATACGTCTGTCAGCAGCCTGCAGGGGATCAGTCTACATCGGGCAGCGTCGTGCGAGGTGGATCGACTGCTCTCGATGTGGCGGACGAAGTGGCCCTTCGGATGCGGAAGCTCGACGTCTCAAGTCAGACGGTCACCACGACCAATCTTCCTCTCCTCCATCGGCTGCTGGCGCAATATGGCATGGGCGGGAACTCATCGATCACCGCTACTGCCCACGCCTTCATGGACACCTCGGGGCTGTTCATGTCCATGTCGCCGGCGAATGTGGCGAAGCTGGAAATGATATTCTGTGAGAAATTGAGGGTGTTGGGACGGTACGAAGTGGCTAGGGAGATGCTCGGTTGGTTGCCGAGAACACCGGCGGTCATGTACTCCTGGGCCAGGGTATGGCTGGAGGTGGGGAGGGATGAGGATGCAGTGGGTGCACTCGAGTGTCTTGCGGGCAGCTTTGGTCAGTCTTCTTGGCTACCTTCTTGTGAATGGTTTATTCACGATATTACATCCCAGGGCCAGCCAGTGGTCTTTCAGAGGAAGACGGCGAGGCCTTGCAAGCTGTTTTGCCTGGTAGAATGCTGTTCGATTCGACGTTCGGGTTCTATCTGCATGCGTCGGCCTTGTTCAAGGCTGCGGGCCTCACGGAGCACGAAGTATATTTCGCAAAGTTGGCCGTGTCGATCGCTCCCGAAAAATGGGACACAACCGAGCTGTGGCATGCAATCATCAAGGGCTCAACCGAGCTATGCTATTGGGACGATGCGTATTCTGCACTCATTGCTACGCCGAATCTCACAGTGTGGGTAGTCGTGATCGTCTGCCCCACTTGCACAAGCGGTACTGATTCCACTTGCGATGTTTACAGGAAACGGGAGCTTACGAGGCAACTGGTCTACAAAATGTGCGAGCTCGGCGCGGTCAATAACTTAATAAAGTATAATTTCGTTGGTGTCCAGGACGAAGTCGAAGAGTCCCTCTCGTTCAAGGTCCGGAATGCGGACCCTCGGGTGCGGCCGTTTTACTCTAGGATCCTCTATACGTGGCATATCACTCGTAGCGACTACCGCAAAGGTGGGTTATTATTCTCCTACACTGAGCTCGCACTGCTAACGAATGGAATATTGTAGCCGCGCTGGTCATGTATCAACGAGCACGCAGATTTGCGGCACTGGCCGCATTAGTACCACCAAACGATCTCTCTCAGTTCCTGTTCCTCGCCGAACAACAGCTTGACGCCTATCTCGTCGCTATCAACGCGCTCAGCCTAGTGGATTCGAAAGCCGGCGCGTATATCGTCCTGCCCGTTAATGCCGACGAACCGTCATCGCACCTTTCCGGTCTAGTCGGTCAAGCACGCAAGCGGAGAAAGCTCACGAAACATATACCGGAGAATAGGTTCGCGGGTGGGAAGAGAGATTCGGAGTTTGTTGGACTTCAGGATGTGAGAGAGGAGTATGCGTTCCTGATCGCGAAGGTCGAGTTGATTAAGAGAGACCCGGGGTTGTTGGGGGCTAGTGGTGAGATTTGTTTTTGCGTTGTCATATTCGCAGGAGCTGAGTTGACGTTTTTTTATGATGATAGAGGTTCTGTTGTCGCCGACGTCGGTGGTTCTCTGGCTCGCGCAAATGAATCGCTTCGATTTTGCATTATCCACTGCGCGGACACTACGCGTGGACATGAGCGATCTCTTCACGCATTTAACTCACCAATGCTTGAGATTGTCACGAAGTAACGACATGCTGTAAGTTTCGACCTGTTCCTCTGCATGAATAATCTCTAATAGATATCAATAGGACGGAAGGTGCTTCTGACTGGCTGCTCACGGATAACATGTCGTCCTGGAAAGGCACCACGGCGGAACGGGCGTGGCGATACCTCAGACAGGCACTCGAACGACACGATAGCCCCCAGGAGACGGACCTGAAGTATAGCAAGATCGTGTTCGAGACGATTTCTGGGTTTGATAGGTTGTCGAGTCCGCCGCCGTGGCTTGTTGGCTCGTTGGAGGTTAGTCGTTACTTGTAATTTATGAGTGTAAATTTCGGGCTGATTTCGATGCTGTTTGCTAGGCCCACCATCCTGAGTGGCTGATCCGGACTTATTTGCGGTATGATGCTCTGGAAAGCGCATTGGAGCAGACGATCTCGCTTGTCAGAAAGGTTCGTTCGTCCTATCCTATGGCGATATCTCTACGTTTACTTGTACTCACTCCGAAACTTGTTCTTGACAGGCCGATGTACGTACCTCCGAAGGTCTTCCCCAGAGCGCCATGTCGACATGGCTGCCTTACACCCTCATCGACCAGGTGCTCCTCGCCAGCGCAGAAGCAGAAGCGGATGGCAGCTTGTCCGAGAGAGCACAGAAGATGCGCGGGGAGATGCAAGTGGAGATCGAGAATCGGACGAAGAAGATGCAGCGGTTGAGTCAACATTTGTGGGACTCGCGGCCCAAGAGTATGACGGTTGCGGCGAGGTAGCGGGGTTGCCATTCGGTCAGTTGGTTGGTTGGTGACTTGTGCTTGGGAGTGATTCGTTGTTGTATTGCTGTCTGTGCTTTCTTGAATGAAGCTTTGCATTTACGGTTTTTGATAGTTGTAATTTCTTGTTTGATATACATGTTCGAGTGCTCCCTCGAGCTGGCGAATGACGAGTCAAGATGCCATGGAACCGACTATACTATGCAGATATTGCCGTCGAGGAAGGAAGGCTTGCTGTGGCACTGAAGTGTGGCGTACCGACGTCGGGCCGACGTGTTCCTCACGTCGTTGGAGCACACGCTCAACATGAATGTTCATGTGGAGACCTTGGACATCGACATCGCCCATCGATACTAGTGATATCCCTCGACTAACCGTCGAATCATTCGTCGACCTTGTGTATATATAAGACCTCGCGAGCTCCAGGCTTTCAGCGCATTACTTTTGCTCAGAAAGACCGCTTCGAACTATGTCGGATCCAACGTCGCAATCCAACTATCTTCAGATCTATACGTCCAATGTAGATTTCGACTGGACGATTGACTTTGCCACGAAGACCATTTCTGGCTCGGCCACTCATACACTCATAGCAGTAGAAGATGAAGTCAAGACTGCCATGTGAGTTTGTCCACTCTACTTTGGGCCACACGCTAGAGCCACACAATACTCACCTGAACGAGTCCATTTTATTAGCTTTGACACCATCGGCTTGAAGATTCATAAGATTGAGGTAGATGGAAAGAAGGCTGAGGTAAATGAATTTTCTTACTTCTGCTCAGAAAACAAGTCTCAATTATTTGTGTACATGGACAGTATACACTAGGAGCAAAGCATGAAGTCATGGGACAGGCTCTGACGGTGACCCTTCCGTCCACGGTCTCGAAAGGATCCAAGACGTCTCTAAAGGTCTACTACGATACCACGGAGAGTGGTTTGGCCGTACAGTGGCTCGAAAAAGAGTATGTCAAGAATGACAGACTCTCGAGTACTCCCGAAATATTCATGCGTTAACGTTGTACAGACAAACACAAGGAAATACCTTTCCGTACTTGTTCAGTCAGTGCCAGCCCATATATGCCAGATCTTTAGCGCCTCTGCAAGGTAAGTGGTTATTTGATTCCACTTCGAAACGGTAGGCAAATTTCTCTGACTTTGAGCAACATTGTGATGAACAGATACACCGTCACTCAAGATCGTATGTCCTCGTCCTGCATGCACCATGTCCACATTCTAATCTATTTAGAAAACTCTTTCCTAGACCTATACTGCTAAAGTCACCTCCGTTCTTCCCGTTCTTTTGTCTGCCATCCGTGTTTCGCCTCCTTCGGAGGGCCCTGCGCACGATGGTAAAGAGATCGGGAAAGATTCCGTCACATATGTCTACAACCAAGTTTGTTATCCAGCACTCGTCTCCAAGCTGGCTACTAACGATGTGGAGGATAGCCTGTCGGAATCCCCTCGTATCTCATCGCGATCGCGAGTGGTAACTTGAGATACAGGGCCTTCAAGCAATTTGAAGGACGAGCATGGAAGACCGGAATCTGGGCTGAGCCAGAGATCATGGAGGAGTCATTCTGGGAGTTCAGTGAAGATACTGCCCGGTATGTAGCGCGCCATACGAACGGCGGCATAAGGAACTGATGTTCCTTGTCTGAGATCAGCTTTCTGGCGAAAGAAGAAGATATTGTCGGGGATTATCGATTTGGAGTCTATGATCTGTTGGTCTTGCCTCCCTCTTTTCCTTATGGTGGCATGGTAGGTCTTCCCTTATGGATTGCCTATGATACTGTTCAATTATCTAATGCGCTCGGTACCTCAGGAAAACGCTTGCCTTTCGTTCTTGACGCCTAGTGTGTATTCTGTGTAATTCAGCTTGGGCTCTGGAGTGCTGACTGTGTCTATAATATAGCGTTACTCACCGGTGATCGGTCTCTTGTGGACGTCGTCGTACACGAGCTCACGCACTCCTGGTTCGGCAACGGCGTAACGTACGTGCACTTCGCACTCGACATGTTATCTACAACTTTCGCTGAAATTGAATTATCTAGCCATGCTGAGGCTACGCACTTCTGGCTCAACGAAGGCTGGACGACCTATATCGAGCGTCTCCTACAGCAATATCTTCACTCCCCAGCCGAGCGCGGGTTCTCGTTTCTGATCGGTTCATCTGGACTCTACGAGGCTCTCAAAGAGTACAGCGATAGACCCAAGTACCAGAGGCTAGTCATCGAGTTCGAAAAGGGAGAAGACCCGGACGATGCATACAGCCAGGTGGCGTATGAGAAAGGCTCTAATTTCATCCTCTATCTCGGTGAGTAGAGGACTCAACGATCGTAGTTTCATATGCTAACGTCGCTGAGGGCCACAGAGAAAACTCTAGGAGGTTTGGATGTTTTCCTGCCATATGTCCGTGACTATGTCAACACCTTCATTGGTCAAAGTATCACAACAGATATGTGGAAATCGCATCTGCTTGCCTACTTCGAGAAGCATGGTGGCGAGGCCCAGAAACAGGCCCTCAAAACTGTCGATTGGGATGTACGCCTGTTCGCTTCTAGTAGGGTGTAGAAAGTGTAGATTTGCTAATATGTAGTCCTTTACGAACAGGCCTGGCTTTACGGAGAAGGTTTGAGGCTCCCTGTGGAGCCAGAATACGACATCAGCCTTGCCGAACCTGCGCATGATCTTGCAGCGAGATGGGATGCCGCTCGCGATGTCTCAGACCTCAAAAAGCTGGACTTCACGGAATTCGATATCAAGGACTTCAGCTCGAACCAAAAGGGTACACATCCCCTCACATTCATTGTTCTGACTTCTGGCACTGAATATCATGCACAGTTGTCTTCCTCGAACAACTTCGGACCTACAAGCCCCTCCCTGCGGCTCATTTGCGCTATTTGGGTGGTCTCTACCAGGTGTCAACCACTGCGAACGCCGAAATCCGCCTCCGATTCTATAATCTCGCCCTCAATATCGCAGACCTCACCTCGCCGTTGGCACATGAGTTCGCGGAAGAGGCTCTCAACTGGGTGACAGGTCGCGAGAAGTCACCGTCTGGGCCTGGCGTGCTTAAAGGCAGAATGAAGTTCTGCCGACCTGCATTCAAAGGGGCAGCGAAGGTGGACAAGGAGAAGGCCAAGAAGTATTTCGAGGAGACCAAGCTGAATTTCCATCCGATTGCGAGGAAGCTTCTGGAGAAGGTCAGTTCAATGGGCTAGCATGCGCTTTGAACGGACGCTGACAGCGTATTTTGCACCGTTTTAGGATCTTGACTCAGTTTAGCGTGATTGAGAAAGTTGAGTACGGTAGGACGGCATAAGCAGTCATGTAACAGGAATGATGTACAAGAACAATGTGATGTATAGTCGAATGGGGTAAGCATCAATATGCAAAGCATTGTCGAATACCGTTATGAAGTCGACAAGACGTTTGACTTGAGAATGGCAGAATATTATCTGACCTCCATGGCTCGTGCACCACTGCTACTCCCCTGATCTTGACTTTCATCGATGTAACAGCCTAGAGTTTCACTCCATACATATTCGTGGTTCAAGATCTTGGTGATAGTCTTGTAGGCCTCGACATTGGCATACGGGACGTTCGTCCGCGGATCCAAGTATGGCGCAGGGAGCCCAGTAATCGGACACGTTTGCGTGGGTCGTGCTTCGACAAGTCGGAATGCAATTGGTATAAAATGTGACTGCAAGGACATGCAGTGGCGCACCTAATGGTCTGCCCTTGCTGGCGTATACCCTCAAGTCTTCCCACTTGACATGGTCGCCGAACATGGCAGCCATCGTCTCTTTCCATTGCGGCACTGGGGCATCTTCGTCTTGCCCAATTTCGTGAATGACGTAATTAGCTTCTTGCGTCACGGTCTTCGCTATCTTCTGAGGTTGCACGGGTGGAATCTGGGGTGGAACATAGGCAGGAGGTGTTGCATATGCACCGGTGATACTTGGTGTTGCTGAACGAGGATCAGCGATGAAGGATGAACGGACTTGGCTCGCATGCCCGGATGATGCGGTGCTCGTGCTTTGGGACGTGGGGTAGTTAGCACCTGGATCAGAGTGATATCAACTCGTTAGATCAGAGGGAGCTCTGCGTCGACAAAGAATATTGACATACCAGGGTACGGGACACTAGCGGCGGGTGGGTATGCTGGAGAATACCCTGAGTATAGATGCCCATAACCGTACGAGTATGCGCTCTGGCTTGTAGGCACGGTGGGTGGTGGTGGTGGTGGCGCGTCTTCCATCACTGTCACAGTCTCTCGCTTGCTAACCCACCTAAGAAGAGGCCCTTTTACGACCGTCCGTACGACATGCGCCCTCTTACGCTTCTCAGCCTCGTTAGCAAGATAGTTCTTATGCTCTGAAATGTTCCCTTCCTCCATATCAAGTGCGCGGGCAATGAGCTCAGCCTGCGTCAACACGGGCTCCTTGACTTTTGCCTTCTTCGGCGTAGCGTTCTAACCGTCTATCAGCATTGATGAGATCTAGATGAGTTGAGAAGTTGAGAACCTACTTTCTTACTCTCCGCATCCTTCAGCCTACTGACCAAAGCTGTCGTGCTATTGACTGTATGCGTCCTTCGGCTTTGTCTCTTAGCATTGTTGACCACTTTTCCCGTCTCTGCGTCAACGGCCTGGCCCATTGACACGCGCCGCTTCTTCTTGTCCGCCGGTGTTGTCTCAACAGTGGTAGAGGGTCCAGCGCCTTCAGTTTCCAAGGCCTGTGGATTGAATGTCATCTTGTGCCGCGCGTGTGCAGTCGCGGTGTTCTTCTCGATTGTCTTTCGCTTTGCCTATTCGTTCGTATAGGGAACACAAATGAGCATCATGATAATATGGGGAGACACAAAGAACGCAGACGAACTTTTCGGGCCTGCCGCTCCTCATCCTGAGCGGAAGTTTCTACAAGCTCGGGTGCCACCTTGTCGGCCTCTTCGTCGGTACTGGCAAAGTCGTCTTCGAACTTATCCTCCTCATCTGCAGCGAACAGTGAGAGCACAAAGGATTGATCATTATGGTAGACGCATAAGGATTTGTATCCATGAGCATGCCTTCAGGAGCGACGTAGTCCTCATCGGGTCCGGCGGCTTCCAGTTTCCTTATGTCTTCGTCGAGTTCCATCTCGATTAGAGCCTGTGCCATCCTACAGGAAAGTGATGATGAGTGACCTCTGTTCATCCAAGATACGAATAAGTGAACGCAAACCGATTACCGGCGGTGCTACGCCTTGGCCTCCTCCGCACCAGGGAGTCATCTTGGTCGGCGTCCATGTCAGTATTCAACGACGCGTTCGTGGAGGGTTATCGTTGTGAGTGAGGTGAGGAAAGGTGTGAAGCGTGAACGTGGAATGCGCGGATGAGTGGCGCGCGACGCGTCGGGGGCTACGGCTTCTGATCCTAACAAAGCCAAACAACCGCTCCCGAGTCTCGAGACTTCCAAGTGCAGCTTTCACTACGTACGAACAGTGTCACCCTTGTTCTCCCAGTCGGTCCTTCACTCTCTACCTCTGATCTGGCTGTCTCGCCCGTCAAAAGCAGACGCCATATCTATTTCCCCCCCTCTACTCGTAAACGCGAATCACCATGCCACGAGCGTATCGAGCTCTCCCGCCTCCGTCCCGCCTTTCTCAGGTCATGCAATTTCTAAACAAAGAGCCGAAGCCACTGCTATCTACACTATCCTCAATTCAATTGAAGCTCGCTGTACGGAACGATCACTGGGGTGCACGGTACGTACGCGTCGCGTAGCCTTTAGGCATTTGAAGAACTCTATTCTGATATTGTAGCGCGGCGCGTCACCGTTCTGCAGGCATTTCTTGAAGGAGGACATGCCCCGGATACAATACACGAATCCAAACATCAAGATTAAAGTAAATAGACTCAAGAAAACCAAGGAGGAGAACTGGGATCCCGAGCTGGAACTTCACTTCCGTGCGTCTCACAATTGGTTGCAACTCGGCATCTTTGGTTCAGTTATTGACGTTCATGTTCGCCTTTCAGGTGATGGCAAGGAGCAAAAGTTGTCGCTCGCTGACAAACGATCTTCTGACATCTTCGTTGAGCTCATGAACCTGGCCGGTGGCATTCAGTGGGACCGGTGGAAACAGCAGCGGACCTCTGCTAACCTCCCTCTCGTTGATCCTCCCACTCCGAAAGCACCGTCATTGGCATCGCTCTCTACAAAACCTATCACGGGAAAGAAGAAGCAATCGACGGAAAAGAAGGAGCCCGAGGTCGTGCCAGATATGCCAGACTTATCGAAAACGGGGGCGGCTATGGTGCTTCCGTAGTCTCCTCCATTACACTCGTGGGATCATGGTCGAGGAGGAAGATGCGGAGCATTTTGAGCGTTGGTGGTACTGTATAGCGCAGGTCCTTTACCTCCGCGTATAACATAATTGCAAAAACATATCATAGAGTCCCCCACTCTTACCGCATCCCTTCTCCGGACATTATGGTACAACACAACGAACCGTAGCCTTCTAAGGAACTATCCTGCTAACCATCCCGAAACAGCAACGAGCAGGCCTAACGCAACTAGGACGGCTGCGATGTCGTCTAGCAGCGTGCTGCCCATCTGAATGTACTTCAGCCCTGTGAGGACGAGGGTGGGCAGTGGTTTGGGAAGATGCGGAAGGGCGAGCATGAGTAGCATTGGAGGTTGTGTCGTGTTCTGAGAAGGGAAACAGAGTGAGCGGGCCTTCGGACAAATATTGGCAGGGTAACGACGTACGAGACCAGAGAAGATATGTAGCGAGTGCAATGCAAGCTCGAGCGAGACAAATGCCCAGAAGAAAGGCTGGGTACAAATGTGGGTGGTCATGAGCATCGACCAAAAGAGTGAAGAACGCTGCTGAGAGACGTACAACGACCTGCACTCCCCATGCTTCCCTTCCTAGTTTCAATCCACCTCCACTTAGCCCAGTAGTCTGTCCCCTACCCAGTTCCGCCCACCTCCTCCACATTTCGCCCCAACCCACCGGGCCTTTTCCTTCAATCGCCCACACCTCAGGCTCCTTCCATATTACGAAGAACGCAACAAGACACCACATCGACAACACGTGTATCAGAGGCAGAAGCCTCTGCAGCATAGTTTTGGGTTTTGGAGCGGCAGCCATCTTGCCAAACATATCAGAGGCGCCACCGGCTGCGAATGGATTGGCCATGGAACCTTGAGCGAACGGGTTCGAGTCGGGGCCACCCGCGCCACCCGCACCGGCTGCTTGTAAGGAGTTCATAAGAGCCATGAGGGGATCGTCGGGGGAAGGTCCAGCAGAACCATTGTCAGATCCGGCGAGGGTGCTGGATGCAGACGACGGAAGGGCGTTTGAGGGAGAAGTGGGGGTGCCACCCATCATGCCACCCATCAAAGCTTGCATGAATTGTTGCTGGAGCCCATCGGTAAAGGCGGACGGGTCAGAAGCACCTCCAAAGAGGTCGAAAGGTAACCCAGGATTGATAGAACCAGGTGTCGGGGTGCTTGTATTGGTGTTTGGACGAGAGGGGCGTGGACGGGGAGCGGTGGACGTGGGTGTGGGTGTGTCCTCGCCGAGAAATGAAGAGAGGTTAGAGGGCGGTTCTGTGGGCAATGTCGGAACAGGGGGGTCTATTGACCGTCATGTACAGCGATCAGAATCTCTATGGCGAGAGCGACGGTGTGAGCAAGATGAATGGCGCACCGTCATGAGCGTATGCAGGCGCGTCTTCTCCTCGGGCAGACGTCGTAAGTTTTGACAGTCTGTCCGAACCGCGACTGAGAATGGCTTTGCGTCGCGCTTCCGCACGAGCAGCTGCGCTTGACATTGTCGTCGGCGACGAGCACGAGAATTTGGTGGTGGTGGAGGACGGGAGGAAGCGTACGTGGAATGCGCGACGTGTAGCCACAGTTATAGCCACAGTGCGCAACACGCGTCTTCTTGACTCTTGCCACCGTACTCGCCTCGCTTCCGCTACTCACCCTCCATCCATCATGTCCAGGCAGGACAAGGCTATCACAGAGAGACATACAAGGACACTCAGAGAACTTGTCAAGCGTCCCGAAAACAAGGTTTGCTCTGACTGCAAACACAACGGTCCGCTATCTCTACTCGTTTAGCAGTCCGCATTCCACTCATCTTTCAATCTTTCAATAGATCCCAGATGGGCTTCATGGAATCTGTGAGCTGTCGTCCAATGACCACGAGCACTGCTCTAACGGTTGATATTATTGCAGTGGCGTGTTCCTATGCATTCGATGCTCTGGTATCCATCGCGGTATGGGCACGCATATCAGCAAGGTGAAGTCTATTGACCTTGACACCTGGACGCCTGAGCAAATGGAGGTCCGTACTATCTATCGCCTTGTATGTCCGGTGATACAGTATAATTGACTATGTGAATATCGTAGTCAATCATGAAATGGGGCAACCAGCGGGCTAATCTTTACTGGGAGGCTCATCTGAAGTCAGGCCACATTCCTCCGGACCAGTGCGTGATCTCTCCTCCAACGCATTTCTCTAACTTTATAACACATCTTTACTTGCTCATACGTACAGCAAAATGGAGTCTTTCATTCGATCCAAATACGAGTCCCGCCGTTGGGCCATGGACGGTCCCCCACCCACGGACCCCTCTGTTCTCGAGTCAGGCGCCGGTGTTTCTTCTTCTCCAGCACCAGCCGCCCTGTCTTCCTCGTCCTCAACGAGTCCATCGTCTCGACTTCCCTCGCAAACTCTTTCTGCCCCACGTCCCGCCTCGCCACTCACGACAGCCCATCGAGCTGGAACCGGCTTCACCTCCCGTCAACCCCAACCACATCAGCTCTTATCCGCTCAGCATACCCGTAATCAGAGCGCTGCGAGAGCTGCTCAACCTCCTTCAGCACTAGCCCAGCCTGCTCCTCAACCTGTAGCTCCCGCGGCGCAGAAGGCCCCCGAGAACGATCTATTCTCCCTCGACTTCCACGCCCCATCCTCGCCATCGCCATCTAACGCTAATGGATCTGGTGCGGCCCCTCGTAAAGACGTCAAGCAAGATATATTGTCTCTGTTCTCTACGCCCTCTCCTCAGCAACAGTTCCAGCAACCACAGCAGCAGCAGCAGCAGCAGCAGGGCGCCTTCGGTGCCTTTACCTCTGCACCTCCCGCGCAAGCGTCGCCTTGGGGCCAGTCTCAAGTTGCTCAGCCACCAAGTGGTGCAATGGCCGCTCAACCCCCCAGCGGCGCTGGGCAGTGGGGCGTCGGCTATGGCTGGAATGCAGCGCCTGCCGCCCCCGCCGCCCCCGCACAGCCAAATATCTGGGGATCAACATCTTCCACTCCAGCCGCAGGTGTGAGTGGTATGGCTGGAGGTATGGGGCAGCAAGCGGTGTTCAATACGAGCGATGTGTGGAGTGGTACGGCGAATAGCGCAGGTACGGGGGGCGGGGATCTGTTTGGGTCGAGTGCGGGGGCGACGCAGGCGCAAAAGAAAGATGATGTCTTTGGCGATATATGGGGTGGGTTCAAGTAGAGCGGCAGGTCGAACTTGTCCTCAGAAGGTGACTGTGTGCCGAAGGTAGGAGCGGGTGATGTATATAATTCTGCGTATGGATTGCATTTTGTGTTGTATTTGGACTGCCGCGGCGACGCCACATTTGCGCCACACCGTTTCTTTCGCACGTGGCACGAACTTGACTAGCGCCCGGGAACCGGACCTCGTTCTTTCTTCTTCGCTCACTTTGGCTCTTGTTTGGCTCGGTGTTCGTCCTTGAGCCTGACCACTTCCTTGACATCGTTGCCCTAATCTCTGTGCTTGACTGGTCATCGAACTGCTGGCAAATCGTCATTCTCTCTGATTTTGAACTAAATCCCTTCGCTGTCATCGTGCCGAACAAGTACAGCATTGAATAAATTGAAGTACTTCTTTCGCCAACTCTATGGCCTCACGCCCCACGTCCACTATGTCTGCCTCTCGCCCATGGACAGGGCAGTCTGCTAGAACCTCTACTGTCCGCCCTACCACCGGTCAGTCTAGACCTGGAACAGGTCGTCCTACAACAGCCGCGTCCTCAAGGTACGAAGGTAGCTTCGTTCTCGCCGTTCTGGAGGGTAGAGGTGTCGCTCGCGAAGTGGGTATGGCGGCGCTCGACCGAGACACAGGGAGGGTCATGCTAATACAGGTTCGTCGCCTATTTCTCTATCGATTCCCTGCCTGACTGATTTGTCGCTGCTCTAGTTAGCGGACTGCCAGACATACGTGAAAACACTTCATCAAATGCATCTCCACACACCCTGCCTTGTGCTGGTCCCCGACACGTTTCTTTCCTCCTCCGATAATGCGGCTGCATCCTCTGGGCGGAAAACCGACTATACCTCTCTGCTGGTGCAGTGCATCCAAGAGGAGTTTCCCTTTGTTCCGGTGGAGCCTGTTCTCCGCAAATACTGGAACGAGGACGCTGGTAACGCATATATCGTGTTTTTCTTTTCTAAAACACTGACCATTGTTGTATAGGTCTGACCTTCGTCAGTCAACTATGCGTCGAAGACGACGAACGCGCAGCCACGCTCGTCGCAGCTTCGAAAAAGTGCATATATGCGTTCATTTATTCAGAACCGCATATAAGCATGTATTGACAACTCACATACAAATCTCAATTAGGTACTATGCGCTTTCTGCTGCATCTGCTCTCTTCAAACATGCAGAGCTGAAGCTCAATACGCGATTTGCACCTGCCTCCCTTCGCGTGCGCTACCTCCCTGTGGAAGGGAGTATGATGATCGATCCGGAGACAGCGAGGAACCTTGAGTTGGTCGGCAACATGACTTTCAAGAAATCCTTGCATTCTTTGTTCGGGTAAGGGCCGCATGTTCCTCCATTCCAGATTGTCTCTAACGGCGTGCATTTCAGTGCACTTAACTACACTTACACCGCCATGGCTGGTCGACTTCTGCGTGCTACCATTTTGGCGCCTATCACAGGTTCATGGCGTCTTCTGTTTCGGTATATCTCGATACTCACGTACAAGCACAGTGCAATCCGCCATTGATGCCCGGTTAGATGCTGTGGAAGGTATATCGTTCTATATCCGCCTTCTGTGGCCGTGCTAAATGGTTATCGCCTGTATAGAACTTGTTCAATCTGAAGATATGTTCGGGGCCGTCAAGGATGGTCTGAAACAAGTCAACAAGTTGGACTTCGACAAGCTGATCTCTTGCGTATGTCTGCCTACTAATCTCTCACTTCTCCGTTAATCTGCTACCCATACGCTGACATCTCTCTAGCTTGCTGCGTCGGAAGCTCGCCCCACGAGCTCAGCCAAGGCCTCCTCAAACCGCATCGCCCAAATGCTAAACCTACGTTCCGTCGTAAGAAGTTTGCCCGCGTTGCAGAAAGCGCTTGAGGGCTCTAGGAGTCCGCTTCTGCAGCTTATATGCGAGGTAGGTAATTCTGCGATATATAATTCTTCGACTCCCCTAAACGTTTCGCTGTATAGATGGTTTCCGATGAGCGACTGCAGACGATAGAAACTCTGGTTTGCGATAGTCTGAACGAAGATGCAACTCTGTCGAAGGTGAGTTTCATTCCTCTGGGATCAATTCGTTTGAAGCTAACGTCCTTCAATAATTATCAGACTGGTATCGGTGCTGTCAACGCTAGAGTTTATGCCGTGAAGGTTCGATATATCCTTTGTTCACACTTCCGACTTCTGACGCACCCGATACAGGCGAACCGTAACCCGCTACTTGATGTCGCGCGCGAAACGTACAAGGAGAATATCGGAGACATATACGCGTTGCACCGTGCCCTTTGTGAGAAACATGACCTGCCGATGACTCTAGTGTATCAGGAAGGAGGTTTTGTCTTCGCCATCAAGAAGAGCGACATGGAGAGTATTGGTTCACTACCGTGGGGCTTTGTGAATGTTTCAATGCAGAAAGGAAGGTGGCTCTTCAACACGATGGAATTAGTGAGTCGATAAATACTCCACTGTCCACCGCTGGGCTGATAATGTATATCTGTCAGAAAAAGCGCAATGCTCGCATGAAAGATGCACTTGACGAAACCCTCATTCTGAGTGACAGGTAGGTTGTCCCGCGGCGAGAATCGCAGCGCCGCTCTAAAGTTTGACTACACTTTCAGTACCATCAACGGACTGGTGTCAGAAATTCTACAGAACGTTGGAGCTCTCTACAAGGCATCGGAGGCGGTGATTTCAGCATTCAGCGACTTGCATCAAACTCTACTGACATGCTGCTTTGTAGGTTGCTCTCCAGGATATGCTTTGGTCATTCGCACATGTCTCTATATGTAGGTACCCCACCATTTTCTTTCTAACTTCTTCTTACAATGGGTTCTGTAGTGAGGAACTATAGTAGGTTCCAAACTCCTGGTCTCGGGCGCTATCTCTAACAACATTCCAGCTCGTCCAGAGTTCACAGGCACGCTTGCGATTAAGGCGGGACGTCACCCAATTTTAGAGACTGTTCAGACTGCTGGAACACTGGTTCCAAATGATGTATATTGCACAGACGGATCGGAGTTTCAGATGATTCAGGGACCGAAGTGAGCACTCCATCTTCTTCAACTTGTTCCATCCTCAGGGTACTAATTTGTGCAGCATGTCCGGTATGCTGCCTTGAACCTCCTTCATGGGATGTATCTGACTTGCCCGAAGGCAAGAGCACCTATCTGAAACAAATCGCTCTCCTTGCAATTGTCGCTATGTGCGGCTGCTTCGTACCGGCCGAATACGCTAGTTTCCGGTAACATATTGCATTCTGACTCGAATCCGCTCCTATTATAACGTTGTTCCTGCAGTGTACACCACTCTATTCTCACCAGGCTGTCTAACGATGACGATATGGAAAAAAACCTCAGCACATTTGCTACCGAGATGGAGTCGTCCGCCATGATTCTGGGCCTTGCAGACTCGCAGTCGCTGGTGCTCATCGACGAGCTCGGCAGGGGAACTTCTCCGCGAGAGGGAATCGGCATCTCGCACGCGATAGCAGAGGTATTGATACGATTGAAAGTACGTTGATTTCCATATGATTTTATGAATGAACGGAACGCTTATTGCTACTTCTAGTGTTTTGTGTTCTTTGCGACGTGAGTGTGTGCGGGCTTCTATTTCTGATCAAGACCTCACGGCCTCTCTTCATTAGTCACTTTCATGAGTTGTCGGTCACTTTGTCTCGTCAGCCTTCCGTCGTTAAGTGAGTCCGAGGTCTTGGTTGCCGTAGTATAGGCTGACATCCAGAGATATAGTCTCCATCTGTCCGTTCAGGTAAGGATCCGTTTCCATTCTTATCGATTGGCACTGACTCTGACTCAGAAAACACGACCATCGGCGTCAAACTTCGGGATGACTTTTCAATACAAGTGCGTTACACTCCGCGAACTTGAAAATTCTGGAGTGTGTAATGACTCTAAATGTCGATATATTTCTAGAATTGTGGATGGAGTCCTTACGGACATGGACCACTACGGTACGCTGTAGCATCAAGTCTCTGGATGTTGACCTCTCTTTCATGCCTTTGGTGTATTCTAGGCCTGGAGCTAGCCCGTTTGGCCGACCTTCCTGTGGACGTCCTCACTGAGGCCAGGACCTGTGCAACCCGACTAGCAGAGCTCGACAGCCAGAGAAACCAGTCAAGCGAGTCAACGAAGATTGCTGTCAGGAGGAAAGCCTTGCACAGGGTGACTCTCTTTCTGTGTCCTGCCAACATCCTGGTTGCCGTGGCTTGTAGAATCGTCTCACTTATGACCATTACTGACTCCCTATTCCATCCTCTCACTCGGCGGAACTCTGCAGCTCAAAGCACAATTGACGCAGACGCTGGAACATTCGACGTTACCGAAGGAGGAATTCCTAAAGTACCTGGCGAGGATCAAGAGGGACACCATTAGCGTGCTTAGTTCGACGATATAGGCCTGTGTTGAGCGTGGTGTTTCTTGACGTAGTTTCTTGAAGGACTTACACAATGTGATCATGAGCACGGTGGTGTCGTTAGGGTTGGCAACACATCCATGTTGCAGCTATCGAGTGTAACCTTGAAGGACTAGCGTGTTTGCAATGACAGAGTGAAAGTTATGATATGAGCGATGTACAGTTTGAGAAATTGCTACAATAGGGCATATATGTAGAGGTGTACATTCAACCCCTCCGCCAATCAGGAAGCGAGCTCTGGCGGAGGCTCCAGCGTTTCAAACCGCCACATATATGCTCTAATGAAAACGTTTGGTATAAGAAAAGGAACACTCCCGAAATCGACATCCAGACACCAAAAGTATAAAATATAAATCTAAGGATACAAGTATAGTACGGGATACAATATGTGATTGAAGGGAACGATGCGAGCCCATTTTCACTGAGATTATCCACTCAAAAGTCCAGCTCGTCAATGACCTGCAGCACTACGCAGGAGAACACTTCAGCACCGAACTCAGTATTGTCGTGCACTCCGTGGAGTTGCTCTCAACTTCTTCCTGGCCGGTGCGTCGATACTATCCCCACTATGCACTAACCCTTCATCAAGAGGACGCTTCCTACTAGCATCCGCGCGCCGAGAGCTTTGCATGACCCCCAGAGTCTCTTCTGCCGTAACACTCGACCACCGCTCTCGACCGACACTAAGAGGGGGTGTCGCATACCAAGGGACCGATGTATGACTAGACCGAGAGGGAATGTACGGGAATGAGGCACGGACGTTCTGTGGGGTCCGGGGAATAGGACAGGATAACGCATGGCGCGAGAATCGGGCGGACGACTTTTCGGGAGTATGTTTGCGGGACCTGCGGTGGCGTCGAGCGCGAGAGGAAACCCTGGAGTCTGGTGTCAAGAAGAGGTCTAATATAAGCAGGTGTATATGGCAGGTGTAGTGCGGAGGAAAGCTACGACGTACCTGCAGAAGACTTTTGAAGTAGCCGCTGAGCGAAGGTCCGAGAGGCATCGCGGGTTCTCGAGTGCTTATGGCAGTAAGCCTGGGATCTTGATGTATGCGTTGAGGTGTGTTCCTTGACAAAGGTGCGAACTACGGGCGCAGAATGCCCGGCTTCAAAGGGGCGAAAGGGTCGTACGTGTTCAGAAGTTGGAGGGATATGGCGCGGCGAAGGTGAGGATGGTCTATGTCTGGATAGGACATCGTCTGATCGTGGACTTGGAGAGGGCGCCGAAGAGCGATAGATGGATTCTTGTTCTAGAACTTTTTTGCCGACACTCATGTTATGGCGTGAGTCTATGAGATCGAGTTTCCAGGGATCCCGAGCATGGCGAGGATGGCCGCGAGAATTAAGTGATGGAAGATATGTAGGAATGGGAGCGTGAATGTGATTTGGAGGGTGCTGACGAGCAACGGGCAGGAACTCTTGTTGTTGTTCGTGATCGCGTTTGCGTTTCACTTCTCGCCGTTTATGCTGGTACACCGTTGTTCCGTCAAGCCATGCCCGAGAGTACTCCCAGCGACGGGATTCTACCGGTGGCGAAGAGCAGCTTCGCGACCTTTCTACGGTCTCGTTCGCTCCCTGGGAGTATGATTGGCCTGGTTCCGACGTATTCCGTATGTGCGGTACAGTGGCTTCCAAGGGACGTTGCACAGATTGGGTCGTTATAGGACGAGCAAGCTCAAGGTGTGTGTGGTAAGACTGTGAGGACAGTCTATCGAGCCTAAGAAAAGAGAACCCATCAGTAATCCGTTTAAGCACGCGCAAAGAAATCAATGCGCACCGCACTCCCCGGAACATCACCGAGTTCTGGCCGGCGCTCAGTTTCTTGAGTGGCGGAAGCCCCGAGAGCACTCTTTTACCCCTAATTCGAGTGATGAACGCTAGGCGACGGCGGTGCCAGAGGCAGGCGTTGTATACGATGGCGTTGGCGCGCGCGAGTTTGAAGCGGAGTTTTTGGAACATAGTGGGATGGAGACTCGGAGATGGGAGGGCGGTGTGTCGAGGGTACATGGCGGGTTGGAAGGGGTATCTTCTGCAAGTTGAGTGAAAGAGGAGAAAGATAATGGAGCAGATATCAATTAGACCAGAATGTCAAGAAGTGTAAGAGTTCGTCGCGGCGATTCAATCGTCTTTGAGCTGATAAAGTTATTTGAAAGGGGGCACGATGACACGCCGGCGTGTCTGGTATTTGTCACGGCTGTGAGAGAACGGAGAGGGGAGAGCGATGGCATAGTGCAGCCCTCATGGCCTTTATATTTTGGGCACGACAGTTGTGAGAATTAGCGTAGTGGCCCAAGCTGAGCACAACAATTGTCTTTGTCTCCGTTTGGCTGAGCATGGAGCCTCAGGCTCGATCGAGACTGACGAACCAGCCTGAGACAATGGGAGAATGCCTGTATCCTCTAGAGAAAAGACACAATAGGGCTGAAAGGTCGTTTCTCTCAAAAGACCGGAGAAACCGTGATGAAAGACGAGACAGAGCCGCATTATGTAAAAGGACACAGCTCGCTGTCTCGATTAGGCGAGCGTGGTTGGAAATATGAAATTCGCCACGTGCCGCCGCATCACCGTCGAAAAAGTTTCGTAGAACAACCTGCCACAGCAGCTTGACTCCGAACAACGATTGGACGAAATCTTGTGGTAAGAGCACGCCATAGAGATGGTGCAAGCACAGAAGATCGGTTCGTCAGACTATCGTACAGTGAAATGCAGCCGCACTGCTCATGATTTGCGGTGGTTCCTTAGGTTCCCTACTGTTTTGCGGGGATTGCGGTACATTACTCGATGTTCCCAAGGCTGACGAGGGTACGGTGAACTGTGAACAATGTGGTCATGAAGAGCCAGCCAGTTGTATGTGGTACTTTGGCTCAAGGCTCTACACCAGATACACACTAACATTTTTGAATCCCGCCACAGCATACGAAAATATCGAGATCACGACACGCTCGCATCCTGACGCGTTTCCTTCGGCGCTGAGACAGAAGCGGAAAACTCAGACGAAGACGCACGAGGCTACGGAAGGACTGCTGAAGGTATACGTGGAATGCTTTGATGAGCGCCACACCGTGCTGACTGTGGCGGTATGCAGGTCACGGAGAAATGCCCAGAGTGCGGACACATGGAAGCCTTCTCAAAAGAGATACAGGTGCGTTGTGTTCAAGATGCTGATTTTTGTGGTTGTTAACGGGTGACTTTCAGATGCGGAGCGCGGACGAGGGGTCGACTATCCTGTACACAGTACGTGTCTTTGCGCCACACCATACCAATTTCTGTTCCGCAGCTGATGAGAGGTCCACAGTGTGTTGCGTGTAAGCACGGCTGGCGTGTCAATAACTAGTGGATCATACGTGGCCAGTAGCATACATGTCCACCTATGTCCACGAACGCGTTCTGCGTGAGGTCGAGTTTTTGGGTCGGGCGTGGGAGTCTACACGTATACACCGACTGAGCAGAAGAGAGCGACGACGCCGACGCCTGCGAGTGAGCTTGCCGTGAAAGCAACGGCGGACTCGCGCAGAGGCAGGGTATCCTTAGAAAGACTGTAGATATCGTGAGTATCTAAATTAGAGATTTGTGTAGAATGAGAAGGACGGGCGTACGTGGAGAAGTAGAAGGCGAGAGCGAACGTGGTGGCGAGGAAGAAGAAGGCGATGTAGGGCAGGACGGCGACGGCGACGTAGGGCGTGAACGCCGGGGTCGACTTGTGGAGGAGCTGTCGAGGAAGGTTAGCAGGATGGAGCAGACATGGAGGGAGTGCCTTGCCTTGACAGCGTTGTAGTCCATGATGAGCAGTGTGCAGCTCCAGGAGCGGTGGCGCTGACGTATTGAGCGGTGACGCAAACACGTGTCCTTTGCGAGCATATCAACCCGCCTGCGCCCGCCCTTCCTCTCGCCTCACTCCTCGCTCACGACCATCACCTCTCAAAACTTCCCTCACTTTCTTCGTTTTCTTTGGTATGTTTTTCCCGCTGTTTGAGCTAGAGTTTATCCATCTTTCGCTCGTGTAACTCACATGTCACCCGTCGCCCTGCAGATAATGTCGACCGCGTCGCAAAAGCTTCAATCGCACCCTGCCTTCCAGCAGGCCCAGAACAAGGCCAGCTTCTACGTTAACCAGCTGGACAAGGAGGTTTGTCTCCTTTGCTTTCCATCATTTCCGCGCTCGTCGCCTGACCGGATGCTATTTTTCTCGGTCGTGTGCCGCGTCATCACTCCAGCTCTCCAAGTACCCCGTCCTTGTCAACCTTGAGCAACGCACGCAAGTCCCCAAGTCGTATGCCTTCATCGGCGTAGTCTTCCTTGTCGGCTTCTTCCACTTCTTCAACGCCCTCGCTGCCCCCGTCTCCAATCTCGTCGGCTGGGCGCTCCCCGCCTACCTGTCCTTCAAGGCGCTCGAGACCCCTGGCCACCAGGATGACGTTCAGTGGCTTACGTACTGGGTCGTTTTCGGTTTCTTCAACTTCCTCGAGGGCTTTGCCCTCCGCGCCGTCCTCTACTATTTCCCCTGGTACTTCGCCTTCAAGACCACCTTCATCATGTGGCTCCAGCTCCCTGCTTTCCGCGTAAGTTCATGTTAGATTTGTCATCGATGTTTTCGTGATGCTAACCACGTTCACTAATCAGGGCGCCCAAGTCGTATACTTCTCTGTCCTCAAGCCTGTCTTGGCCAATGTTAGCCACCAGACTCGCTCTTCGGATACCACCACCTCTGAGGGTCTCCGTGAGCGCGTGGCCACCGCCACCTCCGACTAAGCGCGCGTGCCAGGTGCTCTATGATAGACAAGGAGCATTCATGAACTTTCCCCCCTTTTCTCTCCCATTTTGATTTTCTTTTTGTCTCCAGTTGTTTACGACAATATTAAACGCCTTCTATCCACGTACCTTCCTGCCTCGCCGCTAAACCTGCCTTCACTTTTCGCTCCAATTTTTATGTTCTTTCTGCCCCGCTCTAGTTGTCTGAACTCCCCTGTGTTTTTCTCGGCTCTTCTCTACGCTCTTCGCACATGTATTTTGGACTGGTACGTAGGAATGGAACTGAGATCAGGGCTCACTAGTTGCTAAACTTGTGTGGATAAGGATGTCTATCGCGGCATGCGGAGGGAAGGCGACTCCTTCATCGTCGCTAAGAGTAAGTATATCGGACCAGTGCGGCGAGTTCGAGAGATGTCTGGATGGCAGCTGGATGCGCAAATGTCTGTGATTGATCTAGCACATGGATTACGTCTGGATGCATATGATGGCTTCTCACCCAATTCCCACTATCGCTTTCTATGTTTGGACGAGCGGAAAAAGACGACGGCCTCAAAGCGTAGATGAACCTACTGCATTGCAGTCGAAACGCCGGCCTTACTTCGCCGTTCTGAAGGGCCCGGCTAAGGCTAGCATTTTCGCGAGAGCCGGACATCGTCGGGGACGATGAGCTGTGTTCAGGGAACGATGCGGCGAGTATGGAAGCCATATGGGATGCCAGCGAGCTCAGACGCCACGACGCGTGCAGGGCGAACAGATACAATTTGGGTTGGAGCTTGTTGAGCAGCGGCTGATAAGCCAGAAGACCAGCACATGCCTCGCGTGAAACTCCGGGCTTCTTCCATCATCATGAACGCTATATCAATACTGCTTCCCAGCGACTATGTCGCTTCCGAATCCCCCTTCCTCTACCCTTCCTCTTCCTCCTCTTCTTTTTCCCCACATCCTTTGCCCTCGCCATGTCTGAGGCCGCAAACGAGAAGGGTAATGGCTATGGCAGTGGTACCAGCGACGATGGCTCCCAGTCTGCTGCCCCAGAAGTCTTCGAGCGACCTACTGGTCTCAAGGGTACCTACTACAACCCTTATGCACAGGTATATCTTCGTTACTTGGCGTTTGTCTCAGTAATCTTCATAACTCTTGTTGCTCACCAGACACAAAAACTAGGTCGTTATGTTGGGTTTCGTCTGTTTCATGTGCCCCGGCCTGTTCAATGCTTTGAACGGCCTCGGTGGAGGTGGCCAGGTTGACGCCACGACCAGCGCCAACGCTAACGTCGCACTCTATGCTACATTCGCCATCCTCGCTTTCTTCTCTGGGTTCGTCTTGTTCGACTCGACCAGTCGATTGGAAATCAACTAAACTCCCACTAGATCGATCAACAACGTCCTCGGCCCCCGGCTCTCTCTGTTCTTGGGCAGCTTGGGATACTCCCTCTATATTGGCTCTTACCTGTGCGAAAATCGCACCTCTATGCTTTGGGGTCTCTCGCTTACCGTGTATCGTGCTATAGGGCCATGAATATCCACCCAAATGCAGGCCCGTTCGTAATCGCTGCAGGTGCCATCCTTGGAGTCTGTGCTGGCCTTTTGTGGACCGCCCAGGGTTCGCTTATGTTGGCATACCCCACTGAATCACAGAAGGGTCTATTTATCGCCATCTTCTGGTCAGTATGCTGTTCTGTGCTTTGACTGTGGGGGTACTTACACGGAGCACAGGTCGATTTTTAATTTGGGAGGTGTTGTGGGCGCTGCTGTCGCTTTTGGTGATAACTTCCATTCTACAGTGAGTCGCCTTCGAAAATCATCATAATATACCACAAGTTGATCGACTTACCCCGCTAGGCCAATGCTGGTACGTTAAATCCATATGTCATCCCAAGGTCTTACATGCTCACTTGTACTCGCGGGGATAGTTGGAAACGGCACTTATGTATGTGTTTCTCCCGGAAGTCCTTCCACTACCAAAACATCGCTCACTGTTTTGCTATTTTCACAGATCGGCTTCCTCGTCCTCACTCTCATCGGAGTCACCATTCCACTGTTCATGGCCGACCCCAAGAAGGTCATCCGTACAGACGGCACCAAAGTCACTGCCCCTCGTCAGCCATCGTGGCGTACCGAGATCTACGGTCTATACGTCGCGTTGAGGACCGATCCGATGATCGTGCTGCTCTTTCCCATGTTCTTCGCGTCCAACTGGTTCTACACTTGGCGTGAGCAGCCAGCTTCCATCTTTTGAATATTTGACTTCTTGCTAACTTGAAGCGTGCTGTAGAGTTCAACGATTATAACGCCGCATTGTTCAATATCCGTGCCCGCGGCCTCAACAACCTCGTTTACTGGCTCTCCCAAATCGTCGGCTCTATCGCCATCGGTCTATTGCTTGACTCACGGAGGCTTACACGTCGCATGCGTGCCTTCGCCGGATGGACTGTACTTCTCCTCTTTGTCTTCGCTCTCCATATCTGGGCCTACTTCTATCAAAAGTAAGTGATGACTACGACTAGTTCCCCACGACGATGTTCGTGCTGACATGCGAGGTATCAGGAACTATACTCGCGAGTCTATACCCGAGGATTCCCAAAAGATAGACATATACGATGCAGAATACGTCGGCCGTATCTTCCTCTACATGTTCTTCGGTATGCTCGACGCGATGTGGCAGACGACGGCGTACTGGATGATGGGTGCTATGTCCAACGACCCCGCGAAGCTTGCTTACTTCGCCGGTTTCTGTGCGTACTATTCTATCTTGTGACGTTTTGACCGCGCTCTGAATTGTTCTCGTCCCTCGTATTTTACAGACAAGTCCATCCAGTCTGCTGGTGCCACTGGCGTGTGGCGTGCTGATGCCGTCAAGCTCCCGTGAGTGGAATTCACTGTTACCTAGCATCGCGGTCAGTGGTAGTTGCTGATGTCGTGGGCTCCTGGTATAGGTATATGAATATCTTCATCTCGACGTGGGCGTTGCTCGTCGCAGGATTGCTCTTCGCCCTGCCCATGATCTACCTCCGGGTGAAGAACCACACAGAGCTCGCGGACGAGGCTGTGTAAGTGCTCACCTCTCTGATTTTCTTGCTTTTATGATTTACGCCCTTTTCGCAGTGCACGCATGGACGATGATGGCCACATCCAGCCACCGGAGAGCCTGTAGACTGAGATAAGGCCCGCAAGCAGCGTTACACTCTAATACCCCGTATAACCTTCTTATACTGGAATTTGTTGACACGATTATTGCTTAGTGCTAAGACTTACTTTCGCTCCTTTGTTGCGTTTCGTGCTTGGTTGTATTCGTTTTCTAGGGTGATACCAGGATCGTTCTTCTTGATGGTCTGTTTGCTTGATGATGATGCAATGCCTATTTATTTTAATGCCTGTCTCCTCCCTTCCTCGATCTGATACGGGGTGATAAGCGAGAACAAGATGCGATGCGTGATTCTAATACGAGTTACAAGATGCGACAACAATCTGAGATGAGTGACAAAGTCCGGGGTGGGTATGGTTCATTATTATATAGGGTAGGATACCATTCTGCCCAAAGGGTTGGAGGGTCGTTTGCGTGTCATTATTCTAGTCAATTAAAACGTCAGCCCACCCCTAAATAACAGCAAAAATAACTATCCTCACATGGACGAATGGTCAGACTTCGTTAGAAGATCGTGGTCATATGCCCATCCTCCGGGATCTCTCCCATGGCGTTCAGAGCTTTGAGTCCAGGGCCATTCTTCCCGAACGTGAACCCAACCCATACACCTCTGCTAAAGCCCTCGTCTTTCTCCCTGACGGCCTCGACGTTCCGCTGCTTTTCCCGAACTTCGGCATACTTGGCCATGTCTTCGACGGATGTAAAGTCGTCGTAGTAGCCTGTGTCGATCTCGGAGTCGAGAGCGGGGACGAAGGGGGCAGGGATAGAGCGCAGATCATTGAATTCGACATTCTTGAAGAAGGGGTGCCCCGAGAGCTGGTTGAGATTTGCGTAGCGGATACTCGTATGCGCTATCAGCCTGAAAATCAGGGTATACCCCTCAGCAAGTGTGCATAAATAATAGCTGGTAGGAAAAAAAGAGACGCTACCTTGTGACGGCGTCCCAGGCGACATCGGTGAGGTTGAAGATGAGGTCTTCGGGCTTGTCATACTCCGGCCTGCGAAGCACCTTGGTCCAGTTTTTGAGATTCGTCCAGGTTTCTTCGGGGGTGCTACCGCTGAAAGGAGGGAAACCAGCCAGGAATTCGAACAGGATGCAGCCGAGGGACCAGTAGTCGACAGCATAGGTGTAGGGTTTGCCACGGAGGACTTCAGGAGCCATGTAATCGGGAGAACCGACGATAGAATCGGCATAGCGTGGGTCTTCGTTGCGTATGGAACGGTATATGGAACGACGCTCGATGGTGGACCGATGGACGACTTCGTTATCCTTCACTCTGTCCAACTGAGAAAACGAAAAATGAGGAGATAGTCACAACGCGAGAGTAAGAAGGCTACCTTGACTTTCAGTGACTCAATACGTTTTGGATTCAAAGCGCCAGTAGCAAGGCCAAAGTCTGTAAGTTTAACGTGACCTGAGGAGTCGACGAGAAAGTTCTGGAAGGAAATGAGGAGCCGCAGGCAAGGAAGACGTGAGTATGAATGTCCCTACCTCTGGCTTCAGGTCCCGATGGAGGTATCCGAGCTTGTGAAGCTCGTTCACCGCAGCAAACATCTCGCAGATATAAAACTTGGCATGTTCCTCTTTCAAGACACCAGAGTTGTTTAAGAGCGTCCTGAAGTCACCCCCCGGGACATATTCCATAGCTAAATAGACATGCTGGGGATCTTGAAATGCGTATAACAGACGGACGAGCCATGGGGTTTTCGTTGCGGTCAATATGTCACGTTCGACCAAGACGTGGCGGATCTGAAGGCGAGGAATCAGTACAAAGCCATCGTAAAGACTGATAACCAACCTCGTCCATCTTGAACAGAGTCTTCTTTCGCATCTTTTTCAGCGCACAAACCTCTCCGGTCTCTTGCTTGCGCGCCAGATACACTTCACCATACCCGCCCTGCCCGACTTGTGCAATGATATGGAACTGATCAACCTTCAACTTCGTTCGTCGCCGCCGCAGAAGAACTCGCTCGCGCCCACAGTACGACTTGAACTCCTTGGCATATTCCGCCGAGGAGAGGTTGCGAGAAGAGGTATCCTCGTTGAAATGAGCCCGCCGCTCTTTACGAGAGCCGATATAGCCCAGAAGCTGGAAATAGTAGTCCAAGAAATCTGATACGATCGAGCGGGGTGATCAGTTGACTGCTTGTATTGAACGTCGCACAAGTAGATAGCAAATGTGGTTATGTGGTAACGAGCGGCTTGTGAGAGATTCCGACTGAGGGCAACTCACATAATTGGGCAACGGTAGCCTTACGCCTGACTTCCGAGCTTTCGAGCAACTCTTTCTCCCAGAGCTGAAATTGGCCGCCTTTGATGGTGTTATTGCCTCTCGCAGTCTCCATACGGATGTCATTGGTCAAGGTAACTCCCTTTGCAGTATTCATTCTGATGTCTGGCAGTCCTGCTGGGAACCCCTTCGCAGTGTCCATATGAATGTCGCGATATGGATCTTGGGGCGGAAGTCCGGAGAAGGCATGTTTCGATGGTGAAGTGGGCCGAGAACCGGCCATGATAAAGAGAACTGTCCTTTGTAACAGAAGCTGAAGTAACCAAGGTTGGGTTCGGGGCTCAAGCTGAAGAGAAGTGAGGAGGTTGTGCGATCTGCAATGTGTGTCGAAGTCGCGTTGAGCACGATGAATATCACGATGTTTGCATGCCCGTGGATCACGTGGCTGCGTTCGAAAACGCGTCTGCTTTGAGCGCGTCGTTCCTCAATCCGACTTCCTTCTGGGCACGACCATTTACTTGCGATCTTTGTATTAGCATCATGACCCACGCTCTTCGCGTCCCTCAAATTGACCTGTCATCTGTCCTAGCCGCACCAAACCCTCACATTGATCTCAGGCTCGACGCGTACGAATCCTCGACACGCAACTTTCTCAAAGCCGTCACAGACTACAAGAACCACGCGATCACAGAGATCGCTCGTCGAAGTAACTCACATGCTGCGGAGAAAAAGAAACTCGCGGACAGGGTCCAGCACATCGAGAGCGACACTAACCAATGCAAGATGCGGGAGATTGAGCTCGTGACCAGTACGTAGCTTTTATCATCACTGTCTCTTTCGCCCGGGTGGTCAATCAATCTTTCTCGTCTATGTTAGCTTTGGAAAAGGAGCAGGAGGAATTGAAAGGTGCCGAGGCATCCGTCGCTGCACTACGCCGGCAACTCAATACGATCCGCGAGAACTGCGCGGCCCTTGATGCTGAGATCGAGCAGTACCGCATTGTTGCTTCAAACCTTCGCCATGGTATCAAACAACCACCGATTCTCTTCAGATTTCTGCTTATAAGTCTGTGCAGATAGGGACACGGAGCGTGCTACAATCACAACCAACATGGCCATCACCACACCCGAGCTCCTTGCCTGCCAGACAGGTCTGCGATGTATTGTGGAGGGTGTGGGACAAGACCAACTCCTTATCCGTTTCTCACATCTCTTTTCTGGAGATCAGCAGCGTGAATGCAGGGTTGTGCTCGATGTATCATCCCAAATGTACAAAGGTAATAGTGAATAGTCCTCTCAAGGTGGGACAAGAACTCATATTCTTCCGTTACTAGTGCCGACCTCTACGCCGCCATTACCCACACTGCCCATTCTCCTTGACCAGTTAAACTCAAGTCGAGATGTCTATGAGTTTGTAAAACAGATCAGGGTTGCTTTCCAAAGTTTGTACTGATTCTGCTCTTGGTCTGAACAACTGAGTCTAGTGTTCTTGTACACATGTTTGATAATTGTCCACCTGGCAGGCTACTTATCCCTCTTCATGAACATGAATCTTGAAAATGTAGTCACTTATCAGTCTTATAGACATCATCACTCTAGACATCTGACTATTTTCTCACCAGTGCTCAAGTTCCCCTGCAGCTTGAACTCCACACAGGTTGTGAAAGTACTAGCAGCAAGCCCGTGCTACACACGGGGCTAGCAGAGAAACCACTTGAGTAGAGATGAAAGCTTGAGGAGGAAAAAAACTGAAGGCTCTTCCTTGAACTCTGGGTTGAGGCGCTATCGTGCCTCACCCCTCCATTCTCCAAAAGGCCCTCCAGTTTTGCTTTTGAGGCCCTGGCAGGCAGGCAAGACATCCTATGTGGCATGAAAATTCCACGGAGAGGCTTTCACACCCACAATCCTGCATCATGAATGTGATCCTGGTAGGTACTTCAAATGCCATGTAGAGCTCTGCTGTGTGAGGGTTCACCACTTGCCCGCCACAGAGCATACCCTATTCTGTCAACGCTGGAAAGCGGGTTGAGACAAAAACATAAGATGCTCATTCCCACAGGATAGGATTGAAAATTCCTCTGCTAGAGCAGCAGACCCCACCGCCGCCTTATATATTGACATCGACTGCGCTCAGAACTTCATGGCTCTGTAACGAACTTTCGAGAGCATGGTGGCGCTGGGCCACAGCCTGATCACTGGGTCAGCTGACGAGTGACTCTGGCTATGCCCAGCTTGGCCAGCCAATCAGATTGTCGTTTTGTTGTTTGAGCTGTAGTTGTAAGGATTCTTGGGTGGAAAATATATATCTGAGTACTTCATTTGTATGGTGGGTGCTCCTGGATAACACATGAGTATGTAGGAATTGGACAAATGATTAGTAAATTCACCATGTGGCTCACAACACGGCCATTTCACCTGGATTTGAGATATTCAGCCTGAAAATACTTGAATATACATAAACCCCTGAGTATGTGAACCCACTTGGGGGCTTTCTGTCATGACCTTTTGTCATTTCCATGCCTTTTCTATTATTTCCTGGTGGGTGCCACAGTTGGGCCACACTTTTCCGAGTTTCTGTGCCACTGTGGCCTGGGTTTGGTTGTGTTTGGTTCTGGCTAGTTGTGACTCTGTGACGTTGCGAGGAACGAGCGTCGTGACAGAGGGTGGTCTATGGATGCGCGAGAGCGAGAGCGGCGTGACAACTCTTTTCGCGCCTGCTCTCGTTCTTGCTCGCCGCTGAAGCCTGAAGCCTGAAGCCGGAGAGTCCTCAGACTCTCCCTTTTTCGCACTCTCTATAGCTTAGAGCACTTTAATCGGCCTACCTTCTAGTCTAGAGCCTTTTAATCAAACTTTCTTGTCACATATATCTATTTCTTTCTCAGGCTACACACCTTCGGCGAAAAGAAAAAATGAGCGCTGCCCTACCGATCGTTGACCCGACCAGCTTTACCCTGCCCAACCACAAGGACCCGGAATATGCACCTCTGATAAACATCTTGACGGGTACTGGCCTCAGCTTAGATGATGCC